AGTTTAAACTAATTAAAAATAAGCTAGAGAAGCTAAACTCTAAAATACTAAAATAGTAATTAGGTTCCTAAGGCTAAATATATATAAAAAAAATAAAAAAAATAGCTATAATTATTCCTATTCCTCCTCTAAGCTTACTACTTTAAAATGTATTTTCTTAAGCTAAAATATATATAAAAAAGATAGAGAAATAGGCTATATTTATATTACTTAAAACTATAGTATTTAATTAATTAAATAAAGATATTTTATAAAATAATATAAATAATTATTTAAAATAATTTATAAAAAAATAGTTTATAACTATAGTTTTTAACCAATTAGAAGATAAGCTAGATAAAATATACTTAAACTAGCCTTTTCCATACTATATATATAAGCGTCTATAGTATTTATATTAATAAGCTTTTTTTTTTACATTTTTATAAGCTAATTTTCTACTATTACTCTACTTTTATAAATTATATTTTTACTTAGGGAGTAGTCTATATTATAATTTATATAGTTTTTTTAATATACTAGCTTATATACTTTAGAATTAGCTAGCTTCTATAATCTACTAGCTTAATTATTTATTAATTACTTTTAAGCTAATTCTAGATAATTTAAGCTATAGTTTTTTAATTATATAATTATTTTATAATCTTATAAGTTTTAAATTCCTTATTAAAAATAATAATTTCCTATTTATAATTTTTAATACTTTTTTTAGCTAATTAGCTTCTATTTACTATTGTTCCTTCTATATATTAATATACTTTTCTAATATAATTTTTAACCTAATTAGCTTAATTTTTTTATTACTATAGCTTTTTATAAAAATCTTCTTTAATATAATAAAATTAAATCTTAGTTAAAACTTAATTAAATTTTATTTAAATTAAGTTAAGATAGTTTCTTTTAAGAGCTAGAATATAAATAAATAAATAAAAATATTATTTTTTATTATTTTTAATAGTATATTATTATAGATTATAATAAAAGTAAGATAAGAATATTTTTATTAGGCTTAGTTTAGCCTTACCTAGCTTAGTATAAAGTTTTACTTTTACTATAACTTATTAGATAGCTTTTAATTAATTTATTATCAATTAACTATATAGCTTATATTGCTTATTAAGGTCTTTATATACTATATTTTCTTATATTTACTTATTATAAATACTACTAAGCTAGTGAAAGTAAAATAGATTATTATATCTTTATAATTTATAGCTATATAAGAAAATAATAATATATTAGAAATTATAAAATCTAGAATTTATAAAAATTTTATAAAAGTTTATAAAGATTTAATAGCTTTATATTATATTTTATTTAAGTTTCTAAATTATATATTAATTCTTTTTTATTTTCTATATATAAGAGAATTATATAGCTATTTAGCTATATTAGATATATTACTAAGAAAGTAATAATAAGATTTTCTAATTATATTTAAAGAGCTTAAGCTTTTATTTTTAAATAAAGCTAATTATTATAAAAGATTAATAAGGAAAATAAAAAAGAAAGTTTTTATTTAAATAAATAAAGTATATATACTATTTAAAAAATATAAAAAGTACTTCTATTAAAAGAAGTTATATTTTAATAATAAAGATTATAAAGTTATATAAATCTTTAATAATAATAAATCTAGTTTAATAGTAGAATAAACTTAATAAGATCCTATAGCTTTTTATATATTATTTACTTTTTTAATAATATTATTAATATCTTTTCTTCCTTTTTATTTATAATATTTATTTATATAGCAATTTTTATAAAATAAGGATTATTATTAAAGTAATATAATTAGAGTAATACTTAATAGGAATAGAACTTACTTAGTATATATAAGATAGTGTCTTATATCTAAGCTACTATATATAGAAATAATCTCTATCTTTAACTAATATATTTATATTTTAATCTCTTTACTCTACTAGCTTAATAATTATTAATTTTCTTATTATAATAATTTTTTAAAAATAATTAAAAGTAGCTATACTTTATAATTATAAGCTCCCTTATTATAATCTCTTCTTATATATTATTATAAGTAATCTAAGTAAATAACTCTATATTAGCTATTTTATTAATAGTTTTATATATAACTAGTTATTCTCCATTTATTATTATATAATACTTTCTTTAAAAAAGTATAAATTTACTTATTTATAAATATATATTATAATATATATAAAGCTATAAACTAGTAAAATTATTTAATAATAAAAATAAATAATAAATAATATTAAAAGCTTTTAAAAAACTTAAAAAGAATAAAAATTATATACTTATTTAGCTACTTACTTAGTTATTTATTTATTTAAATACTTATTTATTTAAATACTTATTTAGTTACTTACTTACTTATATACTTACTTACTTATTTAGAAAGTTACTTTTTTAATTATTTTTATTTTATATTTATAAAATAAATATTAGCTAGTAAGAAATATATTATAATATAGCCTTTTAAATATATAATTTAATTAGTTTATAAAATATAAATAAATTTAATATATATAGAAAAGAATTAACTATCTTATTATTTTTTTAAAAATTAGTCTCTTTAAGAGTATATACTTATATATATTATAATTTATTTATTATATTTATTTTACTACTAACTTAATAAACTTCTATATATATTTTTCTACTTTCTCTATACTAGCTTTACTATAGTACTAAATATTTCCTTTCTTTATAATAAATGTAAAAATTAAAAGTTATTATTATAAATATAATAAATAATAATATTATAAAAGGGGCTATAAATAGTATTATAAAAAGAGTATCTAGTAATAAAAGTTTAAAATTAAAATATAAAGCTAATAGCTTACTTATTTATAAAAGTTATTTTAATAAGCTTAATTTATCTTTAATTAAATATTAAATAAATAAATAACTAATAAATAAATAAAAGTATAATAGATTAAAAAGGAAGAAATATTTCTTATTATAGGAGTAATTACTATATAAAAGTTACTATAATATCTTTTAAGAAAGGTACTAGTAAAGAGTACTAATATAGTAAAATATAAGTAATATATATAAATAATCTAAGCTAGGAGCTATATATTAACAATTATTTTATTAGCTAATTAAGGGCTTTAATATATTATATAATACTACTAGAGGCTTATAGAAAGTCTTTTTATAAAAGTAGAAGCTAGTTATAAAGTAGGCTTCTAGTAAACTAATAAAAGAACTAATACTAACTTATTTAGATAGTATTAATTCTAAGGGGGCTAGTAAGATTAATAGTATTATAAATAATATAATTACTTAGTTAAGAGCTATTATAAGTATTACTACTATCTATAATAATCTAAATAATAAAGAACTAAAAAAAAACTTTTTAATAATAGTAATATAATTACTTATAGAATTTAAAGCTATAGAAGTACTTAAGTATATTATAGTCTCACTTATATTAAGTACTATCTTACTTCTATTAAGTATCTTAATATATATAAATTAATTATAATAATTATAATAATATACTTTATTCTTTTAGATTTTTTTTTAAATAAATAGAAAAGTTATTTAAATAATAATAAAATATATAATAATAATTAATATTAATTATTTACTATACTATACTATACTATTTTTTTTACTTTAACTTATATACTTATATTACTTTTTTTTAAATACTTTATCTTTAGTTTTATTATAAAGATATAAAATATATAATATAATAAAGAAATTAATTTTTAAAAAAGTAATAATTAATTAATTTTTCTTTATTTATATTAAGTTTATTTATATTCTATAGACTAATTAGATTATATACTTAAGAGGCTATATTATAATAATATAAAAATTTTAATTTTCTTAAGAAATAATTAATAGAAAAAATATATCTTAACTTATAATATAATTAGTAAAATAGCTTCTAGATAAGAATATATATTAAATAAAACTATTTTATTAAAAATATAAAATAATAGCTAAAGATATAAAATTAAAACTAAAGTAATAAAATATAGAAAAGGAAAGTAGAAAATATATTCTATTATTAATAATTTTCTAGATAAATATTATTAAAGATTTTTTAAAATTTTTTAAGTCTTAGTATAAAAATTTATTAATATTATTTATAAGTATTTATAAAAGTTACTAAGTCTTAATAGAAAATTTTAATTATTTTAATAATTTATAAAACTCTTAATTATAAGAGCCTATATAGTATAGAAGAGAATAATTATTATTTAAGTTATTTTTAAGCTCTTTTCTACTATTTAAGTCTTATTAAAGGAATATATATTTAGTAGCTTTATTCTATAAAATTATATAATATAAAAATTTCTTATACTTCTTAAAAAGTATTTTTCTTAATAAATAGTCTAATAAGTTAATAATATATAGTAAGCCCTATATAAATGTCTTATTGTCTTTTATATCTAGGTTTTCTTTAAAGCCTAGAAAAGTTAGACACCCTTAGTAGGATTTGCAAGTACTCTATAATAGAGATAATTCTATAAGTTCCTACTACATAGATTATTATTACTAGTTCAAGAGTTTAAGAACTTCTCTATTTATGCACTCGTCCATTTTGAGTCTCTAAGGTAATTACTAACATTATTTTACCTTTGAAGGCCATATAGGATAGTAGACACGATTTGACAGCTAATGGATCGGCCGATAATCACGCTAGGAAGCGTGGCATTAGACAACAGAAGTGGGTTTGGGATCAAGCAAATATCAACATTTACCACTCTCCTTGATGAGACAATTCTCGACCTGCATCAAGCAGACAGCGAACTTTTGAAGTTTAGCTTGAACATTTGGAGAATTTGGCTAGGAGTAGGATGGGCCGTAACTTTTACGATCGTGCAATTGATTTGACCAAGAAATACGTTCCTCTGAGGACATAACTCTCCGTAGATACCTAACCTACAGAGAACTGGCGCAGTGCAAATTAATGTAAATGCCCAAATAGCTCGTGCTCAGAATCTATCCTTGCTCATCCGTTGAAAATCGCAGGCTTATTTTCCAGGAAAATGCAGTCATCCAGGGGAAAATTCACAGTCGCTGTGCAGATCACCTTTTGGGCTTTCGCCAGAAATATTGCTGTTTGTGTCAGTGTATTCAGCAAATTCGTGGTGAAAGGCATCATGACTGACTTTATGGCTCTTTCGGCAGTTTCGTAGTCCTCGCCCTCCAATCCCTAGGCTGCGAACAATGTCTTGTCGCATAGGGTTGTCATCCTGCTCTGGCATGTAGTAGTACTCGCTCTCGAGTGGTTTGCCTGCAGCATCTTTACCTTCACGCTGCACAGTTCCTATGCACGGAGTAGACTGGAGCAATTTGTGCAATGAAGCTGGAGACAGATCGTGGCATGCAGCCCCAATTGCCCCACTGTCTCTGGCGTCTTCTAAGTGAGAGTCTATGTGTTGCGACAGTGTTGAAAGCGGTGTTGCACTCAACTGCGAATACAATAAGTGGTTGATTACAAAGCTAGCAATGTTACCCTCAGTTCCGATTTTGGGCTTAGTCTGAGCCTTGTGAGCCCGTGGGCTGGCATTGCAGGAAAGATCTGTGAATGAATTGCTTTTTGGTGATCCTGTTGCATCGGTAAAGCGTTGTGGGGAAACGTTCTGAGATGCGCTCTCTTTAAGTATAGGCTTCAACGGCCGGCGCACTTCCGGTGACGATATCGTGCTGAAAGCCTCCATACGACCATTTAAATTGGCGCCATATGGACCAAAAGAAAGAATTATAGGATCGTTCTCCTCGTCGCTATCCGAAAAATTTTTGTATTCTGGGTTGGGGAGCTGCGTGAGTATTTGGGTAGATTGCGTAGGTTGAGCTGCGCCGCCATCCTTCTCTTCACAATGAGTCTCGTCTTCATATATATGAACTGGAGGCTGCGACGCATCTTGGATTGTGCTTTGGTCTAAAGTAGCGAAACTTGTGTGATGGGACGGAGAGATCGGCGACTGGAACCTTGCTGGTTGGCGTAGCGGACTGATATGGGACACTGGGAGCACTGGAGAAGTCCTCATTGCTGCCTTTTTCGAAGGTGACTTCTCATGATCAAACGTGCCTTCTGAATCAGTCGGCGTCATGACCTTCTGTTCCCGAGACGGCCATTTAATTAGCACACGCGCGTCTTGCACGTCAATCATTAACTCTGCATCATCCGTTTCTGACGTGAAAGTATCCCCCTTGTATAGCTCCCAGGCTCTCCCCTGACAATGAACCTTGATGCCATTCCAGCCGGTGCACTCAATCTGGACCTGCCGTGAAGTGCCACCGGTAGGTGGGATATAGGCGGCGCGAACGTGCACGCGAGATATTAGCTTATTTGTGGAAAGCTGATAATGGGATGAATTGGTGGATCTACCCAATAAGGTTGGCTTTCCATCCTCGTCGAGTTCTATTGAAGGTAGGATAGCTAGAGGCATGCGCTCCGACAGGGCCGAAACAGTACGTTGCAAAGGCTGTCGGCGCTTGTTGGGAAGCTGTGGTGAAGATGATGTTGGGATGAAGGTGGACGATGTTGGGGCGGAGGGAAGCTGGTTCGTCATCCGTTGCGTTGATCTACTCCCCTTTGGAGGCGCATGGTGTGTGTCATTGCACCGCGGTAGTTTCGGTGAAGTAACTTCGGGTTCAAAGGCCGGGAGCAGAGAGGGAGCAGGACGTTTCTTTCCCGCAATCGGCGAGACTTGAAAGAATGCACGTTGCGAGTGAGGGGCCATTTACCTCCCAGCTCACGTATCCTAGGGAGAGGCGCGAAGAGTCGGCACTTTGATATAGGCTCCCAAAGCGACAATGCTACACCCGAAAGAGAACACAGATCGTCAGATTATCTGCTTGCCATCCTGTCAGGCTTGTTGTTCTGGTTGAGAAGTTGTGTGCAAATCATGGGAAAGTTGAAGGCTGGGAGATGAGAAAGACCGACGCGTTTTCCTAAAACACGCTTGCCTCATATTCGGTTATTCCCCGCACCAACGTGAGTGTTAAGAGGGCCACTTTTTGGAGCGTAAATGATTACAATCGCATGAGCATCGCTTTACAGACAATAATCTTGCAAACAAATCAGCGGTCTTACTTAGGGCTGTACATCGAGGGGTAGGGCGATCAGGATGTGACGTTGAGGTAAGCGAGGCAGGTTACGGTCTGAGAAATAGCTGTGGAAAGTGGGTTAGGCTCAAGTTCAGACATCGAGTGATCGCGTTGTCTTGTCTTATGTATCTAAGTCTGGAACACACTTAGGTAAAGGATTTGATGCCTTTGCATTGTTCAGTCCGCACCAAGTAGAGTCCTCCTCTCTTCTAGCCACTCCCTCTGCTCCGTCGCAAGAGATCCATTGGTGTCCTCAATTATGGTCAGGATCAAGCTGTAATTGTTGTCTAAGAATTTAGACCGCTTGGCTGGATTGAAACCTTTGCACGCCCTGGCTAGGAACATCTCAACCTCGCTTCTCAGTCGCTGCAGCGAGCGCCCGGTTGGCTCCACGTCCGACTTTGTTGCCGTTGTTTCGCGTGCTTGATTAGAGGGCAATATACTGCTTACCTCTCGGTTGTCGTTGCTCAGGGTCAATAGTCCTTGAAGCAATTGACCAAAGCGCTGCACAAGGGGGTGAGGAGCAGTGTTTGCCTTCCCATCATCCACTTTGTTTAGGGATAGGGATAATGTGGGCCTCGTGCTTGAAAGGCTACTTGTAGCTCGCTTGACGGAATCGATTTGTATATCCATGCCCAGCTGGAACCTCGGCCACAAGAGCATATTCGTTCCATTAATCCATCCCTCTGCGACGGGACATCTCCGGCGCTGAAGAGAGAAGGCAAAGTGTTGAGTTATGCGGACGCAGAGCAGTAGACCTAGGCAGTCGAAAGATTCGCTCACGAGTTGCTTTGTGAAAGAGTAGCTGAGGTCGAACGTTGGACCAAAAATGCTGGAGAATGTCCGAGAGAGAGCGGAAAATGACAATGAAGGGAAGAATGAAGTGAGAAACATGTATTCTGCAGATGCGTTGTCAGATATTGCAGCAGTAAAAGCGTGAAAGGGCGACTCTATATACGCCGGTGATTTGGCTTCAGCGGCAACGTGAAACGGCAACACCGCGTCATCAAGACGGTTCAAGATGTTCGATCGACGACCTACTGATAGGGCATTAGGCGCTTTGGGTGGGTTCGTTGAGCCCGTGACCGGACCTATCACCAAAGTGCTCAGCAATGACACATCTTGGCGGTTCTATAAGGGGGAATAGACCTCTTGGAAGTGATTGCTCCGCTCCCAGAGCATCAGACTTATCAATAGCATAAGTGGGTATTTTCTGCATGGCCTGCATATATCGGGTGAAGTTGCTAAGATAGTACCAACGCATGGTGTAGCCATAAGCCTGAGTGATCTCATCTGCTAGTTGGTGGTGATGGCTATGTAAGAAAGCAAAAAGCTCCTTGTAAGACAAGAAAGCACGTTGTTGTATCACTTGGGCGTTTATATTTGTTGATCGGAGGGCTCGAATCTGCGAGACGAAGAAGTTTCGTATACGATCGAGGGCCTAAGCGAACGTGAGCTCTGAAAGATTACATTGAGGTCGAACTTGCTGACAATGTTCGTCAAGTTATCAAGAAGTGGCTTGAGATCAGATGCTACCAGGTCTTCACTCGAGTCCCTCAAAAGGTGATCGATATTATTCAATCGATTGTCCAAAATCGCTAACGCAGCAATCCAATCTTTATCGATGTCACCTTCAGAAAGCTTCTTTATAGTTGAGGGCGGTATAGATGCTTCCTCAACTGCGGGCCCAAGCAATTTTTCAACATTTTGACGATTGGCCAATTGCTCGGTCAAAGTGGTAGACCTGCTCTGAAGGGTTTCAATATCTGTAGAGACATTGCCTAAGTCCTTCTGAAAGCTTGCTAGAGAAAGCTCAATCGATCTCAAGACAGAATCGCAACTCTAAATACCGTAAGCATAGGCTTTGCGCCTTCTGCTTATGATGGCTTACCGAGATCGATCGATACAAATCTCGAAGTCTACGAACATCCCTTTCGACTAGCTTTATATTAAAACGAGTTCGTAACAACCATCGGGTAGAGCATACGCACTCACATTCTCTATCTGTATGTGCTAAACTTCCTTCACCTTCTTGCGGTTCGGATTTCTCCCTTGAGAGATCAGAGTAGAAGTGCTCTAAGGTGACAGATCCAAAGTCTACATTCACCACTAGACCATCTGGACGCTCAGCAAGCCTACTTTGCCAGGAATGTACCTCGTGCCCGGTAGAGCCTCGGACGATCTCGTGTAAAACTAGAGGTGGATCTTTGGCATTAGGCGCAGCTGTAATCTCCTGTTTCAAACCACTGCCGGAGGCGAAGCGCGCAGAACTCAAACTTGAAGTTGAGGTATTGCCTTTTGCTAAGACATTCAGAGAGGAAGATCGCGAATTGAAAGGCGGCCTGTGAGATTGGTTTGCAGCTGTATCAAGGTATGGAGGGCGGCGTGTGCCATTCGAGGATGCTGAAGTAGATGTAGGTGGGGCAGTCGTGAAGCGTGTTGACCACATGGTTAGAAGAGTGTAGTTATAGTCATACTCTAGGTATTTATGTGTGGACAATTGTACGAAATCATCAATTTGTAGATTGTCAGTATTGTCTCTATAAGCTTTTAGACCCCCTGCTTAGGGGGAACTAGCGCTTTTATAGGGGCCTTCTAGGCTTCCCCTATAGGGGGTCTATATGGGAAAGTTTAAAATTTAGTATTTTTAACTTAAAAATACTAAAATCTTATATCTATTTAAATAACTTATATACTTATTAAAAAAAAGAAAGTTAACTTATATTTTATAGTTTTATTTTTTTAGAATATTTAATTTATTTAATAATAAATTATAATAAACTTTAAATTAAATTATTTTAATCTTTTATATTTAATTTTTTAAATTTTTTTAAATTTTTTTATTTAATTTAAAATTTTATAAAAAACTTATATTAAATAATAAAAAAAATTAAATTTTTAATTATTAAATATTAAAAACTAAAATAACTTAATTAATTTTAAAAATAATTTTAAATTTTAAAAACTAAAAATTTAATCTTTTTAAAATAAATATATTATTATATAAAACTATAAAGTAATTTAAGTTTTATTAAACTTAGTTTATTAAGCTAATATACTTTAAGAAATAATATTAATAATTAAATAATTTTAAACTAAAGTTAATACTAGTTTTAAATTTATTTAACTAGAAAAAGAATTATATTTTATTTTTATAAATATTTAAATCTTTTATTTAAAAGAGATTAATATTTTTATAAAAACTTTTTAAATTTTCTCTGTAAAGAATTTATATTAAAAAGTTTAAAATTTAATATTTTTAACTTAAGTAAATTATATATTTATTAAGAAAAAAAAGCTATTTTAAAGATTCTTAGTAAAGAAATAAGATTTTCTAGAAAAAGTCTTTAAAAAAGCTTATTTTTAAACTAGTTAGTAGCTTAAAATATATATAATCTCTTTTTATTAAATTTTTAATATAGTTTAAAATAATTTTAAAATAATCCTAAGTTAAACTTAAGCTTTATTCTAATAAATCTTTAAAGAAACTTTGAAAAATTAACTTTTTAAAAAAATTTCTTATTATATAAACTATATTACTTAAAGTAAACTAGTGGAAAAACTATATCTATATATATATTTAATTAAATTATATAAATATAATTATATTACTTTAAAACTCTAATTTTTAATATATTTTTTTAAAGTTTTAATTTAAAAAAAATCTTATATACTTTTTTTTAAATTAAATCTAAGTTCTAAATCTAATATAATTAAATTTCTATAAGATCTAAGCTTAAAATAAACTTAAGATAATTTTTAAATAGTTTTAAAATAAATTTTTTAAAAAAATTAACTTTTTATTAAATTTATATAAAGTAAATCTTTTTTATTATATAGATTTAATTTAACCTTAAAATAGATTTAGTATATACTTTTTATTTAAACTTTTTTAAACTAGTTTTTATTTTCTATATATATTTATTAAAATAATTTATTTTTTATAAATTTTTTTTATTTAAAATATTTAATTTATTTAATAATAAATTATAAAATTTTTTAAATTAAACTACTTTAGTTTTCTATACTTTAGTTCTTTAAGTTTTAAATTTTTTTTATTATTTAATTTAAGATTTTATAAAAAACTTATATTAAATAATAAAAAATATTTAAATTTTAAATTATTAAGTATAAAAGATTAAAATAATTTAATTAATTTTAAAATCTGCTACGAAGCTAAAAAACTAAAGATAGAGACTTTCCAAAGTAGGTGTACTATTATCTAAAGCCGCGAAGCGGTCTAAGCTTTGTTGGGCCTAGCTTGCTAGGCTAGCACGCTTTAGGAGGCAAATTGTGTCGTGTTCTGATCTACAAAAAGCAGTCTGTTTTATCATCCTCAGCAGATCTCATTCTCAAGCCTTGTAGAAGATTATGGCGTCCCCTATCAGCCCGAGTAGCGGTCCGTCCCCACAACAAATTGCCCAGTTGCAACAACAAGTTGCCGTTGAAGCCCAAAAACGGGGCATCACCCCTCAAGAATTCCAAGCTCAGCAACGAAAGCAGCTCGAGGCGGACGCGCGAAAAGCAGGACTACCCTTAGACCAATACATCAATAAAATCAAACAGCAAGCGTGGGAACAGCACCAAAAGCAACAACAAATGACGACCCAACGACAGCAGAACGGTCAACTCGCACACACAGAGCCGTCCGGACAGACCGGGCAAGGTCAACAGGTTCCCATCCAGCCAGGAGCACCCGAACCGAAAGCTCTGGCTGTAGCAAAATGGCTCAGAGGCCAAGATTTGAAGACTCGAACATGTATACTCAACGGCCAACGGAAAGATATGTTCAAAGGTAACCTTGCCGCCAATTTCTCTTCTCATCATAGCGTCAGCTAAAAGTAAGGTTCAAAAGTTAAGCGTGCTCTTCGAGCATTACTATCGCCAGGATATACCGCCGCACAGAAGAAGAACACTGTCCTCCCTAGACCACCATCTAACCAGCAGGAAGCAGCTGAGCTCTTCAAGCTTCTGCCTCTTTCCCTCCTCGCTCTCCGAGTATCGAAAATAGACCCACATGCAGGTCACGATCACGGCAATACGCCGAAGCGCGTCAAAGGCCTATGGACGGTAAAGATTGAGCAACAGCAAGACATTTCGGAAACACTTCATTACGTCTGGCTCTACGATGGGCCGCAATGGCGCATGAAATTATACGCTGCCGGTGCTCTGTTAGCGATCATGACAATTGTGATGTTTCCGTTGTGGCCGATCCAATTAAGACTGGGCGTCTGGTATCTGAGTATGGGCTTCCTAGGCCTCGTAGGGTTGTTCTTCGTCATGGCTATCTTCCGTTTGATTTTGTTCTGTGTGACAGTCGTGACGATGCCAAAAGGACTGTGGTTGTATCCGAATTTGTTTGAAGACGTGGGCTTTTTTGATAGTTTTCGGCCCATTTGGGCGTGGCAGGAGGTGAGTCATTTACACTTCTTAAGTAGAATTTTCTCGCGGCGTGTGACGACACTAATTCTATTCCTTATGATAGGAAAAGGGCAAGAAGGGAAGCAAAAAGTCCAAAAAGCCCGAACCAGATAGTCAAAAGGAAAAAGCAAAAGGAAAGAAAACAAAGTCTACTGAACACAATGCGGACGATGCAACGAGGCCGGCTCTGAGTACTGAAGAAAGTACTAAGGGTAGACATTCTGCACCGACAGTCGAAGAGGTCATTGATTGATGATATCAATGTTTTTCGCTATCGAATCTGTATGGGGTTCCCCGCGGTGTTCTTGCACTATGTCTCTTCTTTGGCATAGCGGATCGTCGCGTGTGAGGTAGTGCATTTCGCCCGTACCTGAAATGAGGCACTGGCGGGTGTGATCGCCGCATTCGATCGCCAGCTTTAGTTGGGAGATTTGGCTTGCATGCTAGCGCTGATCATGAGCAATATATGAAGCATGCTGAACAGGCGCCATATTTTACAGACGATCCGCAAACTTGGCTCCAGCCATCGGCTTGATTCTAATCATCAAAACCTATTTTCCTGCGCGCAAGCACCTGGTCCTCTGTATGGCAGGCTTCGGTCGTCTAGTGACACGCTAAGAAGACTGCTTCTCCTTTTTACTTAGATATATGAATCAACGGCCACGCGAGCTTGATGTAAGAGAGGGAAATCGAAAAGGGAAGGTAGATCGTTGCATTCACAAGCAAAAGGTCGAGCCTCTAGAGGCTTCTCACATAATATTTCAATCATCTACCGAATCCAAACCAGCCTTTCTTGGCCTCCTTCTGACTTGGATCTAATTTGCCATTGACCATGTGCCTAGGCTCAGCTTGGTATCTCCCACGACCAGGGTACTCGATATAATTAAAAGCAACATCCAAGAAGATCGGCTTCACGGGCATCGGGCTAACCTCTGGTGGGTAGGAAACCAGCTCCTGAAGATCTACTAGATACAATGGGAATTCGTCTAAATGCTCGCTGAATCTTGAAGGGTGGGTTCGATCTGATGACTTTGCGGGATACGGATGCCGTTTGATTTCTACGAGGCTGCGATATTGGATGAGGAGGCCTTGAAGGAGAGTCTTTAAGTAGTCGAGTTGGGCCTCCACGATTGCGAGGTTTGGAGGCCCCTTTGGATCCATTGACAATCCTTGTGACACCGAAGCCGCTGAACAGTAACGCTGGGCTCTTGAAAGTAGTGCAAGAGCATTGGCTTGGTGATCTTCAAGTTGGTGACACCGTGCCAGTGCAAGGCAACGCAGGGATTGAAAATATGAATGTTTGCCGTGCAATTCGGTTTGGAACGCTTGATCCGCGGCAATCCCAGGTAGCAGCTGTACAGAGTCTAAGCTTTGGAGGGTGGCATCATAGAGAACTATTTTCTCTTTCAAGCGTCTTAACTTATGACTTTTGCTTTCAGCCGAGTTTTCTTGAGAAGATCCCTTGTGACTAGGCTGCAAAATTTTTGCATGCTTTGATTGCGAGGTATCCAAAGCTGCACCATCATGTTCGCCACAGAGTACACGATTCCGACCTACCCGCCAGCCTACCAAGGCGTAGCTAACCGCAGTACGTGTGATTTGCATGGCCTGCACACGTGGATCACTCTGGGATAGACCATCACCTGAGAGCTCATCGATCGCAATTTTGGTCGCGTCAACGGCGTCCTGGCTTGATATCAAGATCTCATCATACGCTGCTGCTTTCTCTTTGGCCGATGGCTGTGGTTTTGAGCACAAGAATAAGGATAGACTGCCCTCCGCGGATGTCACCGCTGCAAGTGCCTGGCCCGTTGCCGCATCTTCAAGGTTGACTATCTTGGAGCGCCAGCGGACAGTCTCTGGCGCCTTGGATGATCCCTGAACTGAGGACTTCCCCGTCACAAGTATTCTATCACTAAACACATCAGGATGTAACTTTTGAATTCCCTCTAGGTGTTCTAGGCTTTTGCGAGGTATATTGTCCCTGACCACAGCTTCGAGTGACGTAGTCCTCGGTTCTTTGGTCCTGTAAGCAGCAAATCGTAAGCTCGGATCGATGAACGAGCTCAAAAGCTCCTGGAACAATGCGCCGCTGCTTGAAATCTGAGTTGGAACTAGCGAGCCATATATCAATCTCGCTTCAGAATAGTACTGAAGGCAGGCTCGCCATTGCTGTTTCTCGAATGCAAAGGCGCCAGAATGCAGAACGAAGTAGGCACGCGCTTCGACTTTAGGCTGAGGGCCAGCTTTTACCTGAGGGGAGCTTATGAGTTCGACAAGGTGGCTGGCACACTGACAAGCTTTCCGTAGACGTGAGGCTATGTGGCGCTTTGCTGAACTTGGGACACCTTGTTGCGCGGCTTCTCCCGTGTGTATCGACTTCATGAACATGGCATGAGCCCATGCTCTCTCTGCTGTAAGCAATATCAAATGCAGAAATCTGGTATGTTGGTAAGCAAAGAAGAGCGATAACGAGCTTCCCTGCTCACTCGTGGTTACTAGCGACATCCTCTGCCTTGATCGTTGACCAATCTTTGTTGCTCTTGCCTTGCGTTGAAGTGTGGTGAAGCCGCTTGCGCACAATAAGTAGCCGTTGAGCAAGCCGTCTCTTGTACGTGCTGTAGTCGCCAGAGAGGAGACCTCTTTCTCGCCTTGAAACAATGAAGCGAGTGACGTCCATCGTGTAGTAGATATGAAGCTCGAGCTGACAAGATATGTGTAAAAATAGGACGGAAGTTTCCGTCAGCTGTATCATTTTAGTCTATGGAGTCGACGCTTTAGATTTCTTGGCATCCCTAGTTGGCAATCATTTCTCAGAGCCAGCAACATCCAATTCCTGGACCTGATCTTCAATTCTTGTTCTGTATGTGCACCTTACAACCATGATAGCATCTACACAGATGCTTCACGTGTAAAGCAGCATTTGTATTCGGCATATCGACCACCCATTCCGGCGGAAAAGAATCCATGACACCTATTGCAGAGGAGTCTATTGAGCAAGCGGAGGGTAGCTTGTCGTGGCATGAAAGAGAAGCTCGCAGGATGCCTTGGATATGGAAGGCTAGCTCTTCTATTAGTTCGATCCAAGGGGCGGGCTGCTCATGGTCAGAGATACCTACACTCAGCGTTTTGGTCCCACGGTGCTGCGCTGATCGATTTGCCCGCTTGGTGGATCCTGCTTCTGCAATCCTCAGGCGTAAACGATAACATTCGTTCAGAGCAGAGCAAGGGCTCTGCTGCTCTCGGGATTGTATCCCAGCTACACAGCATCTTCCTCGGCTTCTTGTACCCTGTGCAGACTTTGGCTTTGATCCGGAAACTACGGTACTCTACTAATGCACACCTGCGTGCAGCCCACAATGTCAAGCGTTGTTCGAGGAACTATGCATCTATTGCTACATCTCTAATATCCAACTCGCAAGCCTCTGCGCCAAAGCCGGCTCAAGATCTACGGCATTTCGTTTCCAATCGACACAAAGGCAAGAGGGATGATTTGGCTAGGTCAATTGGTCAGCCGGCCGAGGCTAAATTGCGTTCGCTTCCCTGTCATAAGACGTGGCAGCTTTATCAGGATGTGGTCCAAGATGGTGGATTTTTATCGCCCTCAGAGACTATCAATTTTATCAAGTATTTAAGCGCCTCTACGTCGCATGTCGATTTTGAGCGGATACTTGCGCTTTTTGAGGCCATTCCAATGAAGGGTCGTCGAGCTGTCCATTACAGCTATGCTATATCTGCCTCATTGAGACTACAGGACACCGAAACGGCTCTCTATGTCCACCGCGAAGCCAAGAGGAGGCTGCGTTGTCCATTGGGTGCCTCTGCTCTCCTTCATCGCGCTGTCGCCTTCGGGAATTGGACTCTGGCGATGGAAGTCTGGCGTCCCTTTTGGGTGTCCGGTTTTGCTCTCTACACGCTCAGAGGGTTATGGCGAGGCGTTGAGGCAATGCCGTTCGATTTTCTGATGGACAAAGTTTCGTCTTTCGCAGATGTATTTCTTGCTAGCGGGACTTCCCACAAACAAGACGACATTTTGTCGGGGCGTGCATTTGTCACCGAAATGGTGATTCATATGCTGCAGGTCCGTCTCCGTGAAGATTCAAAATCCAAATTCAATATACAACGGTGGCATACACTTATGCTTAAAGTGGTTGAGATAGCAGGCGCCAATGACAAGTCACAGGTTGCCTTGCTACAAGAGCTGGCGGTACATGTGGCTTTGTCTCTTGGAGAGAGTGGGTATGATCTTGCTGCACTTGAGATCTACCATGATGTGCGGCGGAAGGTGCCCGGTCTTAACGTTTCGAAAGAGCTCCTGACGACTCTTTTGAGAACGAGTCGGCTCTGTAATGCGGTCTCCGGTGCAGTGGAAATTCTGCGAGAATGGAGAAGAATACACGGAAAGGTAGACAAATTTATCTATCGAAGCGTTATGCGCACTTTCGCAAATAAGGGAAAAGTGCAAGAATTGGAAATAGCATGCAGCCTCTACGGTCTTGATCACGGTGAGATTGTGGACCCCAGGATATGGCAGCATCTGTTGAGAGTCCACTACTGGAGAGCGGACCCTCAGCAGGTTACAAAAGCTTTCACGAGCATTCAGGGAAAACCAGAATACATTGCTGATGTCCGACTTTTCAACACCGTGATCAGTACTTTTGCCCGGGTAGGCGACGTTGAGGGCGTTACTACATGGCTTGAAAACCTTGAGAGGGCTTCTTTGAAACCTAACCTTGTCACCTATTTTGCCTTGTTGTGGGTGCACGGCAAGCGAGGTGATCGGGATGCTGTGAACCATATGCTAGAGAGGGCCTTGTCTGATGGACTGAAGCCGGATAGGTCTATGATAGAACTGGTTGTATACGTCAATGTCACCGATCAGAAATTCGACGAAGCTGAAAGGCTGCTTGAAGAGGCTCTGACTATGGGCTTGGGGGGCTCCCTTGTTAGAATGTGGAATATCTTCTTGGCCGCTCTCGCTTTTCGTCGAGACCTTCGGAAAGTCCAGCAGATCCACAACCGCATGAAAGAAGTTGGAATTCAATCGAACGTTCAAACCTATGGAGCTATACTTACGAGTCTATGCGTTATGAAAGCCCCGCGCGCTGCCTATAGAATCCTCCGAAAAATCATGCCCGAAGCGGGCTTTAAGCCACAGGTTTCAAATTACGTCACAGTCATGATGGGCTTCGTCAAAATACGTGACTATGACAAATCATTTGAGGTCTACAGGCATATGCTTATGCAAGGTCTAGCTCCCAACATGAGCTCGGAGAGTGCCCTCCTGCGAACTTATATCGGCTCTGGGCGACATCCACAGCGCAACAGAGCACCTAAAGGCTACCGTTCCCAAGTACGCCGGGCTCGTCAAGTTCTTCAACGGACCATAGACAACCTTGATAGGTCTCAGCTGGTCACATCAGAGCCTTGGCAATTTGTGGGTCCCGAGCGGCTAGACGAAGCTTTCACGTCCAGCAATTTTGACTACATGGTCTATATATACGGCACGAGCAAGATGTACAAACGAGTGTCCGAAACCTTTCAGACCTATATTGCCACCGCAGCCAAGTTCAAGGCTGAAGACGTTGAAATCTCACCTCCAATGCGTATGGTGTCGGCCTTGCTCGTTGCCCATGAGAGGTCTGGCAACACCCAGGAAGTGGAGCGCTGTTGGTGTCTTGCTCTTGATAAATGCGAGAAGCTTGCTCGCAAGTCGTTAATTCGGGATCCTTTTCAAACCAAATGGGTCTTACCGGCACGACGCTTTGTGATTAATTTCCCATTCCGGTTTTACCTGAGATTCCTAGCCAGGCAAAAGCGCTTTGAGGATATGATAGGCGTCGTTGATGAGCTTTGTGAGGACGGCTACGATCTTTCGGCCGACAATTGGAACGCGTATGTTCAACATCTTTCCTGCTCACCAAACCTCACTCACCAGCTCCTTGCCTTCACGGTCTGCGAAACACGTCTCATGTCTCCATGGTTGGGTTGGGACTACATGGGTAGGCATCGAGGTAATATAATGGACCATTTCAATGGTATGAGGAATGTTACCGTTCGAACGAGGATACCGGCGCCGACTTACCTTACATTTGTATACCTAGCAAAAGTCTACAGGATTTTGGGCTTCGGCAGAGCAACGAGGAAACAAGAAGGGGTCTGGGATCTGCAACAGAGTGGAGCGATCTTGAAGACTCTGAATGCTGTTAGCAACCTGCCGAAGATGGATGACGAGGAGCAGAGGTCGATCCTTCGGATTGACGACCAACATCTGCCATAGGCTATGAAGGAATGACTGACAATGAAATTCGGCATGTACAAATACTCCTTGTAAATGCTAACGAGGAAAACCCCTTCAATCTATACTTCACTAAGTGCTGAGATGCCAAAACTCGCGATCGGATTGCCCAAAAAGTGAGTGGGGCGAGAGCGGTGGGTATAGGCAGCCTTCGAAACTTCGATCGAGGACGCTGTGAAGTAGCCGATTCATTGTAGTATTGAAATCGAATTATTGAAAACATTTTTTCTATCTACACTGGACCTTACATGGCATTCACTAACACAAGTCGAGCATCCACAAGTCATGCATCTATTGCGCAGATCATCTTTCAAGTGTACAAGCCACCCATTTCTGATATCGTCGTTCCTCACAATCAAGGGACATCGAACAGGACCTTCAGCTTTTTTATCAGATGCCACTCATCAGTGCTAACGTCGCTTCGATAGAATTCTTTCAGTGTATCAATGCTCTGCCGCGATATCAGCGAATACAGCGTGTCCTTTTCTTCAAGATGACGTCCATAAAGAGGTTGATTCGGCCCTTCAATCTTAACCGCAACAGAAGGGGATCCTTTTTTGGCCGATGGTATTGCTTTGTGCTCCCGCTCGATAGATGTCCTACATTATAGGATGTGAGTGAATGTTAGGCGAGCCAAAAAGGACAAGACACATCTAAGAACAGATGTTCGGGCGACTTACACTCTACCCACACTAACAACTTCCTTCACTCCGGTAATGCTATTTGTTTTGACAGCCGCAATGGGTGTGTGCAGTCTCAAGATCCCGTCCGTGACATCTGCTCCAACTAGAATTGGGTCCTTCTTCATAAATACTGCAATAGGCTGCAGAACACATGGGAAAACAGCGAGAAATTTGCTCTCCTCTTTCTTCTGCTCGGCAAGCTGTGCCATGTGCTTTGTGAAGTCATCAAAGAGGTGATAAATGATGTCCGCAGTGAAGATCTTGACACCTTGCTCGTCCGCGTACGCCTGGGCTTCTTTGTCGACTTTGACGTCAAAACACAGCATGACCGCATACTCTGGAGATTTCTCAAGCATAATACCTGCTGACATGACGTCGCGTTTGTAAACAGGTCCGATGGATATGTTAGCCACCGGAATCTTGGACACCTTCAAGAATTCTAGCAGGGCTTCGAGCGATCCCAGCGTAGAAGCTTGGACTGAAACGCCCCGACCAGTCTTCGAAACACGTGCAAGTAGATTCTCAATATCCGACATGACTTCTTCCTCCATATCTTCCTCTTCTTCCGCATCTGTCACTACCAGCAATCGCGATCCCGCAATGGCGTTTTCGAGGTCGTTGGCCGCTATTTTGACACCAAGGGACGCTTTGCATTCTTGATTATGAATGTACTGGGACTTGAGCCGTAGCTCCTTCAGGGGCGCTGGAGTGAGTAAAGCACGTATATTTGTCGAGATAGCACCATTCAGACCGCAGAGAACTATACGGTCCCCTTCACGTAAAACCCCATTTGAGAGAACAACGTCAATCGTGGTGCCGAGGCCTTCGATCACTTTCACCTCAAGAACAGTACACTCCACTTCCGAGAGATACATCAATTGGTTCGTCATTCGTTCTTGAGTCAGTGAGACAAGGAGCTTAAGTAAATCAGGCACACCTTCACCTGTGTGAGCTGAGGTTGGGACAAGAGAGACGTTCCGAGCCATTGACTTGTTTTCCGTGAAAAGTTCGGAGTTGAAGCCTTGCTCGGCGAATGCTACTTTGGTCTTTTCAAGCCGGTCGCGAAATTCATTCTGCACCCCCTTATTTTGGCGACTGATGCTGTCAACGAAGCCGTTGTTATCGATCTTCTTCCATCCGTACAATCTGTCGATCTTATTGAGTGCGACAATGAATGGAGTCTTTCGGTCTCGTAATAGTCTCATGGATTCCAGTGTTTGAGGCTCTAACCCATGCATGATGTCCACCACCAGAATGGCAATATTGCAAAGTGAAGACCCTCTGGATCTGAGGTTCGTAAATGATTCGTGCCCAGGGGTATCAATGACCAGAAGACCGGGAACTTTGAATTCAAACTTGCCGTCTTGGTTTACGACCTCGGTCTTGGTTTTCAAAGCGTCCACGGGAAAGTACGTAGCACCAATTTGTTGTGTTATGCCTCCAGCCTCCCCTTCTTGCACGTTCGTTTGCCTCACCTTGTCAAGTAGCTTAGTTTTCCCCGTATCCACGTGGCCCAGAATGCAGCAGATAGGAGACCTAAGATTGTCCTTAGATCTTGCGGCCAGGGCTTGCTCATGCTCCTGCTTTCGGCGAGCAACCAGCTCGGCTTTCCTATGGGCAGCAGCTCGACTCGCAACCGTAGCAGTGCCATCTTCTGAATCGTCAGTTGCCAAGTCAGACTCACCAACAGCCTTGTTCTGCAATTTTGGTCCCGATCTTAGTGTAGCTGTTCCGTTAGTAGTTGGCGTAGTGTCTAGAGGAGATTTCGCGGGTCTGGAGGGATAAGGCACCTCATCTTCATCATCATCCTCCCAGCTTTCTTTCACGTCTGCTGATTCGGCGTCTGCTGCTTTTTCCCAGTCGGCGAGATCATCACTGTCAGATTCTTGTGCCTTAGCAGCAGCGGCCTCTACTCGTAACTGATCTTCATCTGCTAATCTTTGACGCTCCGCGTCTTCAGCTTGCCTCTTCATTTCTGCCTCAACAATTAACCTTTCCTCATCGATTTTAGCATCTTCTCCCGGCTTTTTGCCAGCTTTCTTTTTTTACTGTCATAAACGGGCTTTTTCTTTTCCACAGGCTCATCGTCCATTCCTGCAATTTTAGCGCCAGCATCAATCATTTGCTGCCTCTTCGTTTCATTGCGTCTTTGCTGCTCCTTTTGCGCAGGAGTGAGAAGCTTCCCTTCCTTTTTCAATTGCTCTTTTTTCTCCTTCTCCTTCTCCTTTCTCCGCTGTCTAGCTTCCTCCTTTCTCTTCTCTTCCTCCGCTGCAATGCTTTCTTCTTCTTCAATACGTGCCCTTTCGACCGCATCTGCCCTTGCTTTTGCTTCCTGCTGCTGCCTCAACAATTCTTGCTGACGCTGTATGGCAGCGAGCGCCGCGGGAACTTTCTTCTTGCCGCCTTTGGCAGCGTCAGCCGTTGTTGTCTGGTCAACTTTCGTCTCTGGTATAGGATCCTGTGGCTCAGCCTTGGGTGTTGGAGCAGCTGCTGGCGTTGTTTTTTTTTTAGCAGCCTACGTGGACAACATTAGCATTGAGCTATTAAAAACCTCCATGATAGCCCCAAGGGCTCTGTTATACCTGTTCTCTCTTGCGCTGTTTCTCGCGCTCTTTTTTCTCCTTCTCCTTCTCCTTCTTACTTTTCAAGCCTCCTGCTTCATCGTCTGGTGCTTCGTCATCATTTAAGGGCGTAGAAGCGAGTTTACTGGATTTGCTCTTGCCTGCTTTGCCTCTGGCCACAGGTTCAGCGAAGAGATCATCAGCAGTAGCTTCTTCCGGCGGCTTCGAGCTCAAGCCACCATTGTCAGCTCCAAGCTGTCCATTTCCATCAACAGGTGTTAGAACATCATCTTCTATATCGTAGTCTTCATCTACCGCCTTGCCTTTCCTTTTCTTATTTTGCTTGTTCTTCTTAAGGGCGGCTAAAAGGCCACCCCCTCTACTGTGGAGCCGTTCTCTTGTGCATCATCGATAACTGGACCAGATGGTGACGAGGGCTGGAGATCTTCACCGAGAGCTTCAGCCTCCCAATTATCGTCTGCTGTCTTGTTACCCTTTCTTTTAGGAGCCATATTTCGACGCTTCGCGGGGTGAGCTGAAGTCAAGAAAAGGGAAGAATACTGCTAATGACAACACACGTATGGCGCCCGCAGAAGATTTTATGTTGATTATTTGATGCGCTACGATCAAGATAGTGCTCATGGTGGAATTGTGCAGATTGTGAGTAAGCTTGGGGGTGGGGCATCTGGCGTGCAGACTTTCACTCCAGAAGAAAAACCCAATGACGTTCCATGGACACACGAAAGCGGAAGTCCCGAGCGCATGGACTAGGGTGGAGGCTACAACTCAAAACGATTGTAAACGAGCCTACAAGAATGAGTCACAGCTCAGACCTGGCTATTTACTTGGACGCAGATGATATGGAGAATGTTTGTGAGTCAGGGTTTGGTGTTACAATTAGACCATTCTCGACTATCGATTGGCCTTGAAACGTCTAAGTCCTAAGCAATGACCTGATTAGCTGCTCCACTCCTTATTCTTTGCCTGACTCATTATCAGGCGAATCATTGTTGACTGGACTGCCATGACTATAGTGTGCATTAGCTAGTAGGTTCTGATTTAGAATGGCTCGGATGTTATTTCACTTACGCAAAGAACAGGATCTTGATCGCAATAGCTAGTCCAGCATGGAGGGCCACGACGACTATGACTAAGATTTTACTTATCTTCGCATCGGTGGCATTGACCACAGGCCATAGATTTCTGACCAGAAACACGACGCTCCAAAGAAATCCCAAGCCGACAAAGATGTAGTTGAGTAAAGTGATTGGGCTCCAGCTAATGAGAGCCACTGGAATCCAGATGCAGTTGCCGTATCCATAAAGTGCCCAGCACTCGATGAGGGTCGCGCTCTCAGCTCCAAACCACTTGAGGCAAGCCCACAGTCCAACTGGGACAAAGCCTGTGTATCCGTAAATCAACCCCGCAGCGCCTGAGAGTAATTTGAAATTGTATTCAAAGTGAATGTGGTGGTGATCCGAGAGGTACTGGCTGATGGTGCCTGTAAGGAACAATATGAAGACAACCGTCGTAGCTATCCAGAACGGGCCATAAAGGTCTGGATTGCCGTCTAGGATGTCAAGGAAAGGTGTGCGGGGGTAAAGTGAGGATGTACACCGGCGGAGAACCTCGGTAGTATCGACGTCAAAGAATTGGGCGTAAAAGGAGAGTGTCCAGAGAAAGCGCTTGGAAGGGGCTTGCCCGGGTGGTTGACTTGAATATGGAGCCGAACTGTCAGGGAGGATCTTCGATCTTGAATGTGTATTTTCATTGAAATCTGGATTCCTGTTAGTAATAGAATGACTGTGGAAGAACTGTTCAAAACCCACTCGAAGGGTGGAATTCGAGGTCCTCTTGCAGATCCGTATGACCAAGATCTCCCTAGTTCGGCCCTTTAGTGATTCTCCTGTCAATATTGCGCTCGAGCTGTACCTCTGCATCCACATCAACAACTACGTCGTAGCCGCGATTGGCCATCACGAAGAATGTAATGGTCGTGTGTCGGATATCTTCGAGATAGAATTCTAGGGGACATGGTTTCGGAAGAACGGCCACACGTTTCCCCGAGATTACCGCAATGGGCGAGGGGGAATATTACGTTCTACTAGAGCAGGCCACCAAATACCTCAAAGATTCTGGTAATGATCTTTGCCGGACGCTGCTTATACCAGAGTTCTACCGAGCTGCTGAACAATGTCCCATACTCGATGCATAGCTAGCTTTGCTAGACCCGTTTGCCCACCGTAACCGTCTTTCCCAATCCAAAAAGAAAATAGACCAATACCTATGGCTATTCCAACTTGGGCAGCGGGACGACGGCGCTTCCAGATTTCGATCATGATCATGTTTTTCATCTCCACGCGACGAACATGCTTTGCCTGACGTTCAAATATGCGCTTTCCGTTATCGACCGTATCATATTTAAGCCATCGCGTCGTCTTCAGAACACTATGAGACGAGATCTGCTGCCAAGTCCAATCTGGTAATGTTTCTGGAGGATGCTCCGTAAACAGAATGACCGTTTTCCCTATAAGAGCTTCAATATCCAGCGGTTTTGGCAATTTGGATAGGACTGAGTGCAGCATTTCCGGCTCCGAAGTTGGAATCTCAAGCAGTTCTTCGCGTCTTGAGAGGATTATCACGGCGAAGAAATAGAGCGACACAACGGATGGATGGGCAATCAAGAAGTCGAAGAGACGCACGATTTGGCCATAACCCTCAATTTCATGGGCGTACATGGTCAAGGTTGCTGATAATGCGAAGAAGGGTCGTGTTGAGGATAGATGGAGAGATAGGCCCGGATCTATTGTCGAGACAATAGATGGTAATAGCATCAGCTGGTCAAGGGACGGTGCCAAAGATGGTAGCATGAAGTCCCGTATCCTTAGGAAGGACAAACAGGTTACCGATGCCGGCGCTTTAGAGGCTCCAAGTACCAATAAAAGCACTTGCACAATATCATGATAACCTTGGAAGTAACAGAGGCACTGGTTTTCTCTCAGAACCTTCAAGATGACCCACGAAAGCTGATCTTTCCACTCCACAAGTTGCTGCTCATTGTCACCTGGAAGTAGCTCAGTATTTTCACGGAAAACACACATCGCTAGGGAAGCCTACACTTAGGGTAGTATACAAAAGACCGATCGACGTCGAGACGTACCTGCTCTTCGTCTCTGTGGGGCGGAAGGTCCTTCCACGATCGCCTTGCGCCATCCTTGTTGGATGAAGCGGGAGCACCTCTCAATAGAATTGGCCCTGACATCTGACCTTAGCTAGTAGCTTGTGAAATTGTGTCGGAACGTACATGACTTTTTACGTACCTCATCGTCTACTAAGCCATACCGAGTTGTAGCGTAGGTGACCAGAGCGTCGATGTCGGGAGGTTCATTGCAGGCAACTAAGATCTTGACCGCCTTCTTTTGCTCCGCAGAGACATGTCCGGACTTCCTGGCATTGGCATCTGTAAAAAGTGCTGCGTCTTCCATACAGTTTTGAAAAATGATATAGGGTTCGATTACTCTACAGACTCCCTCGGGCGTGGTTTAAGGAACTTTAGCGCCCGGGTTGTGAAAAGTAAAAAATATACTTTAGCGTACGAGGGGTAAGTATACAAATGATCTTATGGGGCTTGGCGCCAGAATGACTTATACCATAGCCTATCGAAGAATCTTTCCACAACAATGACGAGGAGTCTCTCGTGAAGGCTCTGTTACTTTTTGACCGTGAGATAGCCATGCATAGTGATCTTCACCTTTCGAGTTACATTCAAATGCTGCCATTTTAAGGGAGCGTCCTCGGCATTGTAGTGTTTTCGTACGACTGGTAGCATCGCGGATTTCATTGCGAGACATCCCAGTGATAATTCGACTTGCTTGTCACGCGTTTCTGTCTGGTCATACGAGGCTAATCACAGAGACATGAGTGTGTATGAAACAGGACTTAGCTGTGCACTGGCTGATTCAAAATTGTATGTTTGAGTCTTTGTGCCTCAATGTCAGTGCCTACTAGGGTCCTTGAGAATGGCCAGTGGATCACAAGATGGGTTGATCCCTACCAGCTCCTTTCCCAGAATCGAGTCCAACATGCAGGAAATACGAAGCCAGCTGTGACGACCGAGGCTGCTCCATGCAAGGCCATCTTGACACAGACCTTGGTCCAGTCTCCAATTCTGAAGAGCATCCATTCCGCTAGAATTCGACATCGTTCTAGGAACGATATTGTTTATATCACGGAGAACGCTGTCCACATCAAGGAAGCATACGCTGTCAAAGTTAAAGAAGAACATGCCGTCCAATTTCAAGCCGCACAATGGAAGTACTATCTCGAATCGGTGAAAGTAAAAAACGATTTCGACTCAGGCATCAGGACTTCAGCGGTTTTTGGTCTATCGAAAAGATCAAGCAAGCCCCTCCTAAACCCTCTTGACATCCATAACGACCCCTTGGGTACTCAACTTCCTAGCAATATGCGTATCAGAACTACCGAAGAGAAGTACAGCGATCAGATGCTGGAAGACGATATACTTGACCCAAGCTCCGATGAAGCCGAGACTGGTATCGTCATCACCAAAGACTCGCAAGCTGTACCTGAGGTTCCCTCTTGTTGCGACAGTAGGCATCCGCGTCACCATATCCTCCCACCGCAGGTCCTTGTACTCATCTTAGAAAATGCCAAAATTGTTTTTCTTTATGCCATTTCTGGACCGTGCGATTGCATCCGTCTTGCAGAGAGCCAAATGCCGTTGCCATTTTCCTCATCTCGGCTGAATCAGCTTGGGGAGCACCTCGCTATCGACCCTAAGTGAGTCAGCTGCACCCGCGAAATTGGAAAGTTGCTAAAGCTCCGAGGTCACGAGTAATTGCTGTTGGGGCCCACGAAGGTGTCTTCCGTGTCTACACACTCAAATCGAGGGACATACTCCGCAAGGAGCTCCAATCAAGCCCCTTTCTAAGGCCGATAGAGTCCGTAAGTGTTCTTACGTCAGCCGCAGAACGCAAACGATGCTCATGTGATCATAGGAACGATCGTTCACGGTCGATGGTATCATTCTTAATATGGAATTTTTGCATCCGACCAAGTCAGACGAGGAACACGCAATATTGCTACTTGTGGTGTCAAGAGACGGCAGAAGCAGACTAATGTGGTATGAATGGAACATCAAGATCGCCTTACGTGACGCACAAATCAACCCCAGTACGTATGCGCTAGCCGCAGAGAATCGCTTACCGGTGCTCTTGATCCCACTGCTATCATTTAACGCGTTTGCGATTGTGGGTGAGTCCTGTATTACGATTTACAAGGACCTTCTAAAAGGAATTCCTGATGTCTTCTCCCACCGGCTTGCGCTTCCTGATGAGACAAAGGAAGTGCAGGATTTGCCACATTCGAGAAATCATCCGCTGTGGGTCCAGTGGGCGCGCCCTATGAGAAGTCCTACGGAAAAAGCAGGTGAGAATATATATCTCTGTCGCGAGGATGGGGTCGTACACTACATTGAATTCAAATGTAACCGTCAGTCAATGCTCGAAAGCTCTCACAACGCCGGCAAGCTTGGAACCACCGTCAACACCTCCTTTGCAGTCATCGATTTCGGACTTAACACCGATGACCTCATAGTAGCTGGTAGCGACTCGAGTGCTGAAGGTGTCTGGAGATTTCCGGCCCGACAAACTGTAGAGGACCTTTCGACCCTCACAGGCTGGATATCGCTGAATGACTGCACATCTACATTGGTCAGACAAGAACCTTTTCAGCGATCAGTTGCAGATGTGGTTTGCCCCAATGCCCGAAGCTGCAGTCGTCTTTACGCAAGCACAGGAAGAGCGCAAGGTGGTTGTGTGAGTGAGCTAAATCATGGCCTTCAGGCTGCTAGGTCTGTGGATTTAATAGATTTGAAAGGTGTGATCGATACCACAAGTCTAGAGGTGTTCATTTTGTGCGCTCTCAAAGAAGCCACGCTTGCTCTAATCTCACATCCTGCAAGCTCGTCATTACTGTTAATAACGGACGGCGCGGATCCCGAACTTTTGCAAGACTTGAAAGGCTTTATTTTAGATTCGAAAACAATAGTAGTAAAATCAATATCGGAGGGTGTGGTATGTCAGGTAACGAGCAGATCAATTTCGATTTTTGATATACAATCTGCAACGAAGGTTGATATTCAATGGAAACACACCTTTGAAGGTCTCGATGAAGAAATCATTGCAGCTTGTGTGGAAGGCAACAGTAGGCTTTGTTATCTCGCAATCGCGTTGAGGCAAGGCGAAGATTTCATATTGGTAGTGTTTTTCTCCGATATGACTCATGAGATGCACTCCACGCACTTGGAGCTTTCTGCTAGGCCAACATGTCTTGCAATGCTTGATACAGGCGACTCACGAATCTTGTTCATCGCAAATGACCAAGGAGGGCTTCAAGCCATCAGGGGCTCTTCTAACGGCTCAGTTCTGAACCTTTGCAAGCTTGGTGAGTGGCATTTCAAAGGGCTCTTCGAAGTCTGCGATACGATTGTATCGGTCAAATCGAATAGGGGCAAACAAGCGAGTGTCTTCATCTTTTGTGGACTTCGGAATGGTCAAATCCATATTCTGGATCTGGAGCACAGCACTGGTAAGTTATTGTTGCAAAATTGAGATCTCTTTCAGATTCGCTGACCTACAAAAAGGGCAATTTCAACCACTCGAACAAATATTCCTGGGCCTCACCTCAGTCTCTGTAAAGGCCAATATGTCAAGTCCTGCCACAGTGATCGCTCATTGCGGTGAGAGCCTCTACACTGTCGGATGGTCAGCATGGTCAAACAGTATATCTCCCACTGAAGTCAAACGTATTATTGTGGATCGAACCTCCAGTCCTAGCTCAGAGAAAAGGGATGTCCTTGCTTTTGCGCACGCAGATGCGCTCCCAGAGTGGCAACATTCAATGCAAGGTACCGTGGCTGCGTTAGGATCGAACATGCTGCAATTTCTCATTTTAGTCAATGGAGAGGTCAGTGTTGTTTCCAAACAATGGCGGCTAAATGGTACTCCGAGAACGTGTATGTTCTCGAGACGCTTGGGCAAGATTATAGCCCTTTCCGCAGAAACTACCATCGTTCGTCAAATGAGAGCAATGGCACCGCGGCGGCACGCTGGGAGAAGGACAAGCCGCCCGGTTGTGTCATTTATAGATGTGAATGAAAACAATACAAAGAAGAAACTCGGCAGTGAGGATCCAGACGCAATGCAGCTCGACGAAGAGACGCCAACAGAAGGCACGTGTCCTTGTCAGATTATCGGTAGCAGGCCCGGAGAAGTCTTTCTCGGGATGACAGAATGGTTTCCAAGAGTTGCAGAGAATGAGTACCACTTGCTCGTCTTCAATACTATGATTATGTTCCGCCACAGAGCTCCAGCAGGACGACTCGTGCTCTGTGCGGTCACGGAAGGAGACAATCCAGCCCCAAAACTAGCAGCAAAGGTGAGCTTCAGTACAACCTCACCCGTGTACGCTGCGATACCGCACCAGAACGCAACCTCGATTATTTATACTACCGGAATAGAGCTGGTGGTGATTAAGTTGGATGCTAGTCCCAACGGCATTAGGTTTGAAGAGGAGTGCAAAATTGCTCTAAGATCACCTGGAAGGCGCATCACTATGGTGGAGCCATATATTTATGTCTCTACCGCGGAAAACTCTTTACAAGTCTATCTTTATCAAAATTGTCAATTGAGCCACTGGCAAGGCGATGCGATCGCCCGTCCAGGCATTTTTCATGTTACCTTACCGAAGAAGGGTGTGATTCTCACTTCTGATCGAAACGGCAAAGTTCACGGCCTATGGCAACCATCAGTACGGCGTGCGGACAATACCCTGGCCACTATCTTTGAAGCTTTTTTACCAAGAACTATCACGCGCTTGATTCCCATTCAGTGTCCTTCACACGTAGAAACCATGCTACTTCCTAATGGTTCGATCCTTCTGCAATCAGGTTCGCCGGACAACGCAATGAACGACGCTAGTCTTTCGAGTCTTCTACCCCATGGAGCGATTGCAGACACTCGCTCGGATGCCGTGATAGGAATTAGCGTCGACGGAACGTTGACTCAACTTCTAGTCATTGATAAAGGTTGGCGGCTTCTCAAATTCATTCAGAGCCTGGCCTATGAAAGCACAATTATTTGTCCGTTCAAGACTGCCGGTCACCAAAATGATGAGGCTTCTGCGAAAAATTCGCAATCTATGCACATTAACGGGGATATTCTGAAAAGGCTGCTGTGCAGAGGTGCAGATGCATTGTTGTTAGCTATGCTCGACGAACCGACTCAACCAGAGGGGGACCACCATACAGAAAATGTGACCGCACAAGAGAAGTGGGACCACTTCAAGAAACTGGCAGCGGAAGTGCTGTCCGATGAAGTGTGTAAAAGTGGAAGCAAGGACAAATTGGTAGGAGCAGTGTGCAGGTGGATTGCGTATCTGACAAGGCCAGCAATATGACTTATGCTTCGGACGTGCGGACAAAGAACCAGAGTCAACGAAAGTATGCTCAAGTGACCGGCTACCCGTTCTGGCATCAGCAACAAGACTTTCGATATTCGAATAGCAATGGAATTAGAAGTGCTTCCATTCCCGCTAAACTGAATTCGATGCTATCAGTTGTGCTCTCTACGTATGCCTCCCCCAAATAGGATGCTGGACGATTTGATCAGCTCACGCCCATCACCAAGGAACCCCGGAAACAGCGTCTATTTCAGCTTCTTCTTTGGCCTGAAGTGGTCATCACAGTCAGCTTTAGCTTTCTGGTCTATCAATACAGGCTCCCTACCTTAATTGGTTCGTGTGTCCGCACTTCTTTTTTCGGCAATTTGTGGCACGAGGGGGAAGTCTCGCGTAGCACTTGCGGCACTGGTGGTCTCGTTAGTCATTCTGCATATAGTTCCACTATTCTCCAAGACCTACTATGACCTTCTCACAATTATATTTCGAAGCAAGAGCCTTCAAAGAGGGTTCGATGATACCACCACGCAATCTAAGCACCAGGTGGAGAGTGGACTCCTGTGCCAATGATAAGCGTTTTATTCAAGCAGACCCACAGTAGTGACAATAGACCCGTCACCACACACAGCGGCCGCCAAGAAAACGGTGATTCGTTTGTCTTTTTCATCAAAGCAGGCTCGTCTTTCACTAAACTCACTTTCTGGATGTTATAGTCACTCAAGGTCCTCCCATCTTCTAATTGTTTTCCAGCGAAGATTAGGCGCTGCTGATCGGGTGGAATGCCTTCCTTGTCCTGTATTTTGGCTTTCACATTATCGATAGTATCGGAAGACTCGACTTCTAGTGTGATTGTCTTGCCCGTAAGGGTCTTGACGAAGCTGCTTTGGATTAGAAAGGGTTGCAGACATAGGGCCGAGGATACGGTAGGGCTCCGTTGAAAAGCACTTACATCTGCACTTGAAATGGTTAGCTTGAAAAGCAGTAGAGCCTATGAAGGGATTGTACTCACTGGTTGTGATGCGCAAGACGAGCTCTTTGGATAATTGATAATGGAATAGATTTGAAATGTGATGGTGTGGTGGTTGGCCAACCGAAATGCTCGGCAATAATTTCTAGAATAAGCTCCGGCAGGATTCATAAAGAACGCATAGTCATGCATAATTCACTAGACGTTCCACAACAGGCAAGAGACTGGAGGGCTCGTTATGCCTTCAGATTGGCTTCAAAGTCTTTCAAGGGTACACATGTACCAGCAACTGGCTGTTATCTCGCGGCGGACTGTTTCAGGCGAAGAGGCGGGGGCATGCCCGGATCGTTGATAATGGGTTTCTCCGCATGATTGCCCCCTTGCTAGTCTCGAGCTCTTGCACGCAGTCCAGGCCATCTAGGAGCTGACTTCACTCTACGACAATGCCCAAACCCTTGATCCTACAGTAATACCATCGATTCGATCGATGCATGCACCAGAATTCATGATCCTGCCTCGGAAATGCCTATCCGCCAAAGCCCCGGGCACTGGACTCCCGGATCACCTCGACATGTGCCCGCTGCGGTAGGAAGCAAGCACGAGCAGAAGAGGTCTCCCGAGCAAAGCCCTTCGAAGAACCGGAACAGTCCATCGCTGCAAGAAGACCTGCCTTCCCATGAGCTCTCGGGGCACCAAAGGCATTCCGGAGATGGAGCAATGTGCTCGGACAGAGCAGAGCTCATAGAACGCATCAAACGAGGAGAGTCTCCAACATGGGTTCCAAGCCAGACTTTGCAACAGGAATACCTGAAAGACAACCGCGAACCAATTCCCACCTCATCTACCTGGATTCAAGAAGTCCATCCGCCATTAATACCCTCACTGGAAAGTGAATCAACACGAGCCTACTCAGCCCTGACTTGCAACGGTCGCGACCGTACCGTGCGAGAAGACGATCGAAATAGTCTAGCACCCTCAAAAGTTCATTCTCCGTTTGAGATTGAAAGACCGCGCTCCGCTCTCCATTCTGGTGATTTCAACCACGACCTCAATACATATGTCCCAAAACCTACCCCAATACATTCACCTGACAACACCGAAGCTCATGTGTTCCCTACCGCGGAGGTCCCGTGGTATCCCTCTTCCCCGCCGTCCAGGCCTCATGATATTGAGCCTTTTTCCCAACTGGAGAGACACAATCGTAGACCCTTAAGAGCTAGGGCACCGTCCTTGAATTCTTTCTCCACATCAAGTTATGTCCTGAAGAAGCCGACAACTCCACTTGTTCAGCAATCAAACAACACAGATCTGGATCTCTCGGACCGGGACCGCTCTTCGAGCCCTGATAAGCGGATGTTTCGGCATTCCCTTTATCCTGGTGCCTTCCGAAACCCACAGTCTGAGTCTTCTGAAAAGAATTCTTCACCAGCATCCAGCTTGTTGTCACGAACGCATCGACGAGAGGCTAGCTTTCCTAGTGTTCATCAGTCCCGGAGGCTCGTGACGTCAAGCTGGATTCTTCAGCCATCGTCTCCGCCAACTCCAGCCTTTCAGCGGTCACGTCGGACGTCTTTTTCGTCAGAGGCATCCTCTCGGCGCCGAGCCTCCATGATTGGGTCTTATGAGGAGTCTATATTAAGAGGCAGGATGTCCACTGCTCCATCAAAGCCTTTTGATTTCCATGCCCACATTGGCGTCCTAGGCCGGGGCAAGAGGCCCAAAATGCCACCCCATGTCACTGTGCCCTTCCAGGCCGTATTTTATGATTGGTCTGTCAATAGTGATAGGACAGCCATTCATGACGAGCCAAGCCCGTACGTAGGTAATATTGAACTTCAAAATGCCAAACTAGCCCAGGTTCCTTCAGCATCTGATGGTTTCGAATTCCCTGCAACTGGTACTCAAAGTATGGGGATTGGAAACACTGCGGCTATGAATGTTGATAGACCTGTTGAACCATACCTTCTGGCAGACAGGAAGAGGAAGCGGATGGATTCATTCAAACCACACGTTGGCAGCTATCGAATCCCACAGCAAGGACAAATTCAAGTGGTTGTGAAAAATCCTTACAAAACTGCTTTGAAGCTGTTTCTTGTTCCATATGATCTCACGGGAATGCAACCGTCTCAAAAAACGTTCGTAAGACAACGTTATTACTCTTCTGGACCCATCATTGAGCGTCCCATACCATCAAGTCCCCGGTGCTTTCCTGCGGACTCGGAAAATCATAGCAGACCCATTCTGCGCTATCTGATCCACTTGAATATCTGCTGCTCAGCAAAGAACCATTACTATCTGTATCAGCACATCCGCGTGGTCTTTGCGAATCGTGTTCCTGATGATCAGGAACGGTTGACGAAGGATATTCAAGAGCCTAAACCTAAATATAGCGTTTGGAAGCCTCTTGTGGATCCTCTGCCCACGCAGATGTCAAGTTTTCTGGTACCGGCGGACGCGACTCCCAGCCGAGCGGCCCCTGAATATAGTTCCGTCGACGTAGGCTCCAATATACATGGGTTCAACGTTTTTTCGGCGCGCCCAAATCTAGCTATAGGTAGCAATCCTGCACCAGTGCCACCTATTCCATTTCAATGGACTCCTTTACCGGATGCAGTACTAAGCAGAGGGACCAATGATTTGGACGAGGTTGCGGATGCGGACACATCACAGCCTACCAGTGCTTCTAAAGTGTCGTTGACATCCATCGACGGGATGGGCCAACAGGGCAGATGCCTGAGCTCGGACAGCGGGGATAGTGACGGCTATACCAAGCTCCAGAGAGGGGACCTTGGCTATGGGGGTTTCTTTGGTCGTGCAAGTACACCAGAGCCCGGCGAAGGCTTGCTTACTAGACGGTTACGGGGCTTAGACGTGCACAGAAGCTCTGAAGTGTTGGACAGGGAGGAATTGCCACATTTGTAGCGCTGTTCATTTTTGCGGACATACGTTTATATATATAGCACCTAAGCCATGACATACTCATTGCCTCCGGAAAATAATAAGAATCTGTGAACCACCGACGTCATTGGTCATTATTTCATCTGTTGAGGTTCTGTGCTAAGCATCGGTTTTTCACCATATCAAAAATGACACGTCCACGAATTTTGAAAATCTCATGCCCTCAATATAGCCGTCTTCCACCCTCTCGTATCGTTCCTTTCACTCTTCCCAGGCATTACTCTCTTCAACTGATCTCAGTCCGCCATCCACAGCCATCATGTCTCTCCCTCGACTCCTACCCCTGCCGCCGCACATACCCACAATTCAAGACCACTCCACCGCGACTCAAGACCTCCATCCGCCTCTCCAGCACACTCAATTCCCTGCCCTTCTCAGACCCTCGCACGTACACCGTCCAAGAAATTCAGAGCCTCGCAGCCTCTCCCCTGCCAGCGCGCCTCATAATCGACGTCCGCGAGCCCTCGGAGCTTCGCGAGACGGGTCGTATCCCTGGCGCGGTCAACATGCCCATCACTTCGAATGCAGACGCGTTCTATCTGGGCGAGGAGGATTTCCTGGAACGGTTTGGATTTGAGAAACCGAGAGCTCACGGGCAAGAGGCTGTGGATAGGGCGAAGAGCCCTTTTTCACCGAAGATGAAAGCAAAGGAGGCGAGTGCGGGATTGAACCAAGGGGAAGGGGATAGCGGCGTTGGGAGTGAGGGGAGAGAACATGACAGCGATGTTGGAGGCGCTGAGCGGGAAGAAAGGGCAGGGGTGGAGGAGGTGATCTTTTATTGCAAGGCTGGGGTTAGGTCGAGGACTGCAGCTAGATTGGCGAGGGAGTGGCAGGGTGTGAAGGTGGGAGATATGACGGGCGGATGGAACGAGTGGAGTGGGAAGGGTGGAGCCGTGGAAAGGGAGTAGGAAACCACGCTCTTAAGGTACAATGTCCATGGTCGTTTGGGTCCGCACCCGAAAGAAGGCTTCACGACGTCAAGGCTCGTTCGACTTGGGATGACGTGCAAGTTTTCGGAGCCACACATCTGATCAGGAGTGGAGCATAGTACTTAGCGACCATATTCCTGGTGAATAGCCGTTCACAGCAACATGAATGTTATTATGATATTATCTATTCAGTGCTTTCTATGGAGTTACCTTCTAATAATAGCTCGCTGGATGACAGGAGTATATACAATGATGCTAGGATCCCCCAAGTGGTGATCGATGAGAAGCTGTCTATTGGTTCCTTTCTTTGAAGAGCAGCGGACAATGATCCTGCTCTATGTAAGTACGATCTTGCAGATCCTAGGATTGGAGCCGTTGGGCTTGCTCCCACTTACCTGAGGAAATAAAGTGGCAAACACTTCGATGTCTTCACTTTTTTCAGTGGGAAAATGAGTCCAGTCAAGACATAGACTAGCCTTTCCGATCATGCCGATCAAATTCAATTGGGCATATGTCTGTCCTAAGCAGTAGTGAGGTCCTGTGCCAAAAACCAGCCAGTTCTTGACTTGTTGTTCTGCGGTGCCTGAGATCCATCTGTCTGGGTCAAAAGTATGGGGGTTAGGATATGCTTCGGCATCATGAAGAGCTGGCCAGCATGAAGGTATTACCATGCTTCCTTTCGGAGCAGTATAGCTATCCGTGATTTGGAATGATTTTTTGGCTACATATGGTACCATGATGACTGGTGGCCGATAACGGAGTGTTTCCTTTACCACGGCGCGAGTAAAGGGTAGATTCTCAAGCAAATCCATGCTAAAGCGAACGTTAGGATCCCCAGTTCTCGCAGCAAGGTTCTCAGCACGGATTTTATCGAGCATCTCCGGCCTATCTGCGACAAGTTGAAACAACCAGGTGCAGGCACTTGACGTTGCATCTTGAGAGGCGAAAAGGAATGTCAGAATGGTCAGACTGATCTCGTAGTTGGTGAAAGTTCGAAGTAATGGATTGGGCTTATCCTCTTGATTTACCGGAATGCCCTTTGCGACCTGCTGATTCCACTTTTCGCTGTCTTGCATATTCTTTATCCAAGCATCCAAGATACAGTTCGGCTTTCCGCCGGCTGCTATTCGAGCTTTTGATTTGGCAGCACATTTGCTGAACTCCTCAATGACCATGTCAGCGGCCTTTTTTCCATACCATGCCTTTGTGAAAGGCAGGATGATCGGAAAATTGACAAGCTCGAGGGCCGCGGTGATCATCCAATAATCATCTGCAATTCTCTTCAAGGCTTCATCAGACATGTAATGACCTGCAAAGGTTCGGCAAGACACAGCGCACATCAATTCGCGAAAGGTTGGCATAAAGCGAACGCCCTTCTCCTGGTCGCCGCGTTGTGATATTTCAACAAACTCGGCAAAATATTCATCATAGACTTCTTCTTGGGAAGGCAGATACATTTCTAGAGCCTGACGAGTGAAAAGCCCATTGAGACCCTTTCTATAATCAACGTGCGCTCTTCCGTCCAGAAAAACCCAGTTTGTTGGGCGCAGCAATTTTGATGCTACATCAACAACGCATGGCTTGACGAACATGGGAGAATTGAAGACCTTGCGGGCTAAATCTCGTGAGGACGCGATCACGACGAATCTGGGGTTGTTATGAGCTCTGTGTGACCTATCCAGCTTCACTTGACGTACTTATGAAAGACCGAGACACAACTCAAGTCGCCGCTGTTCCATTTCTCGATATACTTATCCATCCTCGGATTGACGGACTCGAGAAAGGGCCCAATGAAGGGCGTTTTCCATGCTGGGCCAGCAATTGACCCTTTGTTCTGCAAATATTTGACTGTAGCAACTAGTCAGTATTATTTCCAGGCCCCGCATGTTGAAGTAGGCTCACACTGATCGTAGGCGATGAGGACCAAGAATATCGATAAAGTCACGCTCCAACCATTCATGGCATTGTATATGTTGGAAAGTACCCCCGGCAAAGCGGACGTGCTCTGAGGAACGGAGGCATCTGCTAGAGGCGATGCAAAAGAGCCGTTGACCTGGGTTGCCATGGTACAGGAGAGGTCACAGAGAAGGGGGGACTTCTTTGCCGAGGACGTTTTCTGGCTGGTGAATTTGGGGTGGTCTGTACACGGCAACAGAGCCTGTAACGCAGCGTGACTCCCTTTTAATTTACTGCCCGAGCATTACGAAGTAGGTCATTGCCACCAATGGCCGCAAGCGATCCGCAAAGGAGGTCGGTCTGCTTCGGTTGCATCTTCATGTCGGAAATTTCTTTGCCGAGACCGCCGCTCCAGTCTTGGCTCACACCACAAATATTACACTACCGTCTAGGCAGAATGCATTAAGGCGTAACAGGAAGGCGCGACTCAATTATGAGAGATGTCTCGTATCACTCAAAAGGGGAAACGGATCAGCCCTTGAAATTGAACAGCTTTCCGACGGCGTCTTTCTATGTACATTCCCGAATGCTAGATGCTCGAAATATTTGGTGACAGCAATCGTGAAATCATGTGGGTATCTTTATCTAACGCCTCTCGCTCCATCTTCCCAATGCTATATCAGGCTTGAGCCACTATATGCGCTTGCCTGATGCTTTTCCTTGACGCCGCAGACAAAAGTCCAGTCGTTCCGTCATTATTGTAACGCGCTTGTCATAAAGTCCAACTCAGCCATGTGCCGATCTGCCTGCTCCCTCGCGTTTCGGACGCTGCCAGGCGTTCGAACTGGAGTTGCACTATCGTCGTAAGGCGATAGCTGCATCTCATCCGTACTAGGGCTAGAGGCACTGTCAGGACCATGCGCCCAATCACTGACGCTCGGTCTTTGGCTGCGGAGGATTCCGCTTGAGAACACAGGTTTCTCCAGCTCCAGGCTGGGTGGCGGAGGCGCTCGTCTCCCACCCCGCGATTGTTGAGGTTGCGAGGCATCCAGAGTGGTGCCGGTCAGGGCTGGAGAGAGAACGGGGGAGTGGTTAGGGATACCACCCAGGCCATCATGTTGTGGCAGCCCGTTTGGTGAACGGTCGCGACCAGGTTTATAATACGCAGCAGGATTAGTGATGACATTGACGTCTACTGGTTTTCCTTCGTTACTGTTCTCGCTACGCTTGGACACGGCTCGTTCGCCAACAACGGCATTCCGATCGAGGGCTGGCACCCACTGGAAGCGATTTGGATGCTGAGGTGTGAATGAACTAGAGGCTCGATCAGGCATTCGAGAGGTCGAGTACGCCTTGTACATCCCGGGAGCTGTTGGCCTTTCTCGTTTCAGAGGCGGAGGACGTCTAGTCGGCTTCTTGTATCTGTGGCTAATGTATTCTGTTGACTTTGAGCGGCCAGCTAGAGCGCCCTTTTCATTTCCGTCCTCGATCCGTAGATTTTGATGATGATTGACGGATGAGTTGGCGAGGGTCATCAGTTGATTCAGGACAGCGAATTCGAGTTTTAGTTTGATACTGTAAATCATTGCTTTCAAAGTTGCTTCGATGGCGTATTGGTTGGCGTATTCGACTGCAAGAAGACCAACATCCATCAGAATGATTATCAAATTAATCCATATCAGCTTTGTCATGACTTTGCGTGTTCTACCATGATACACTGGTCTCAATAAGCTGATGGTAGCCCAGACGTAAACGCCAGATATAATGAACTCCTGAATGCAGAAGGCTGTCATCTGCAACTTTTCGTACACATTGAATGCTGGTAAAAACCTTTGGTCTGCCTGCGAGCCGTACGTGAGCACCGTTGTTGGCAAATGAAAGCATATTGCGTCAATTATGATCATCGCCAAGATTGCCGTCAAAACCCTTTGCTCCCGAACGACAAGATGCAAGCGTGAATATAGAACAACGGCTTGACCAGTGACCATGGCATACCAGCCGATAGTGATGATGGTGACCGAAACATAATAGTTTGTGTTTAAAGGGAAAAATTTGAGCAGGAAGCCGAGAGCATGCAGGACACAGCCGTAGCTCGATATGAGAAGCGACCAGAAGTATAATCCTCGATGTCTTTTGAATGTCAAGAAGACTTGAATATTCAATTCAGCGACGTTATACCAAGCGACCGCTGTAAAAGCGGCGATGGCCATCCATATTCCTCGATTATATGGAAGACCCTCGGCCGTGGTCCCTTCAGGCGTACCCATAGTGACCGCCCAAGGCCCGAGATGCCAAAGATGTCGTGTGTATACTGGTTACTGCCAAGACTGTCGTGTTTGATGCATATGCGAAGGCCTGCCCTGCACTCTCACGACGGACGTGAGAAGTATTGGTTGCGCTCGTTGTGTATTTCGGAACAGAGACCTAATGGCTTCACAGACTGTGTAATACGACGAGTCTCGGCACATCCAGCGTCATAAGCAACAAGAACCAGACAAAACGCCGTGCGGAAATTTTGCAGAACGAAGAGTACATGAGTCGGAAAGGATCAGCGGCTTGAGGACAGTATAGATCTTGCTCGTTAGCTGGGGAGTCCACTGGAACGGTGAAAGAGGAACAGAATGTGTGAGAAAGGAAGACGGAAAATGAGAAGTGGTCAAGTCGCATAAGACTGGAGGGGCAAAAAACGAGTCCACGCGATCGAGTCGGTAATATAGGAATAGTAATAGCATTACGCCTAGTGTGTCTAGTCGTCTCAGACTCTTCAGTAATGCTCGGAGGAGGGGCCAGCCAAGCCCCTGTTCCAACGAGTGAACGTACCGTGCGAACCAGGGTCGATCTCCTTCCCAAGATGCCCCAGAAGCTTTCGGGTAGAGGAACGGTCTGAATGCGGGGAATGAAGACAAATTAGATACGCAACGATGATACGGTAATATATTCTCCATCGTGAGCACTCTTCTCCTCTCGGATCTTCTTGAGCGTCGTCTGCAAACTCACTGGACGAGATCGTTCCAATTTTGATCAGCTGAATATGCAGCCGGCGGCATATAGTCCGGTGCTCTCGCAGATTGTGCTGCATCGAGTGGACTAAGCATTTCCAATCGTTATCAAAGCCCCCAGCGCTGTATGTATCCACCACGACCTGAGGGCTCGTGGCATTGCATCCCGGCCACCCAAGGTGGGAGCGCAAGGTAGGCACCAAGACTTTTGCAAACCTGCATGCGAAAGGTATCAGACTTTCCGGGCTCGCTGAAGTCCGTAGAATAGTGGATTGTAAGGCACGCGCCTGTCGTCCCGCGAATGGAACGACTTTGCGATAGACAAATAGCCGCATCGTTTCTCTTGCGATAGCAGACGATGGTGTGGTGTCACTACTGAGCGCACGCCACAAGCCTCGCAAGCTTGCGAGTTTGCGACTCCAGGGCTCTCCTACCAAAATCTCTTATGTCTACTGCAAGGGACGAAATCAGAAGTGTTTTCGATAGGACCGTCAATGAGCAGTAATCTCCAGTTTGACGATCATGACCTCTCGCAAGACCCCTTTCGCAATAACTTCTGGAGGTCATCTTGATGCGAAGAATTTGCATCTGCTCCAGTCCTCCGAGCCGGTAACAATGTCAAAGGCCTCTGAGAGCCAGATACGTCATCATTGGCTCGCATGCGGGACGGATCAAGGAGATCACTACTGTTGTTGGCACTAGAGTCGGTTGCTTTGAAGCGTTGACATTTCATTTGACTGCAAACTTTGAAAGGCGATCCAGCCGAAGCCCGCTAATGCATGTCACTTGTTCTTGGGTTTGGTATGTAAAAACTGTAAGGTAAAGAACGGCTTACGGAGTAGACAGAGGAACTCTCGAACTGCTGAGGTTTCTGTCATTTGTCCAACTCAATTCTTGCCGTGCAACCGGTGCAGAACGAGGAAGACTTTGACGGGAGATGCGTCTGACTTTTACAAAAATTCGCACCCGGCACCAGCCTCAGCCAGCTAGATGACCCTCTGTATTTGTGTTCCGTGCTCCAGGCAGGGAAGAACGTCCTAAAGGTCTGGTGACTACGGAATACTGCGGCTATGATGATTGCAGGGAGAGACGTGGTCGCCTGAGCCAGGGGCCTCCTGCATGTTGTAGCCCTTCATAATTGCACACACGGCCGAGAAAGATCGCCCATGGCCCGTCTCAACTTATCAAAAACGTTATGTGATAGTACATGATATCGCTTTCCCGAGAGAACAGGCACACTAATGCAATGGGATGGAGAAACCTTTCCAATAATTAGGCGCCCAAAAGCCCCAATTGATGTCTTCCCAATCTTACGAATGTTCCCAGGATCCTGGTGACTCGGTGAATTTCAGAGGCTAGGAGCATTGCCAACCTAGAATAAACATATCAACTGGACGCAATCCAGAAGGTGTAGTAGTGTTAGCATAGCATGCTGACCCATCATTCTCTTCGACAATCCTCCCTCAGACCCAATGTCGTTCCCTGATACAGCGCCAATAGGGTCGGGTCTATGCCAACCACTGGTGAAAGAGTTGCTTCGCATTTCTATTTGACAGTCGAAATGAGGAGACTCACCAGGCGGACATATGCCGGCCGGTGTCGATGGCCCTTCCAAGACGTCCCAACTCAGCGCTGCACGAGTCCAGCAGTCTCCTCAATTATTATGCTTACCATAGTACGCATGCTTCCGAGGGTTCCACGACGCACCATCCCTGCATGACATTTCCGGTCACTTGAGACGATGTCAGGGTCCTCTTTGATCTATCTTTTTCAGAATGAAGACACCTGCAACGGAGTTTCAAATATCTACTTCGATTTCCGTGAAGTCTATGTGTGGATGAGTCTGACCCTTCATCGACACCCTACAGTCTTAGAGCCTACCTGCCCTAAGCGCCATCATGATCGCCCCTATTATTGAACGACCAAATGGCTATCATGATCTACTTGCCGTTACTGTCATGCCTCCGTCTACAGTCCAGCTTGCGCCGTTAACATATGTTGTATTCGATGAGCACAAGAACGCAATCGTTCCTGCAATTTCCTCTGGAAGGGCTACTCGCCCTCCTGGCGCCATTCTTTCGATCATTTTCCCAAGCGCTGGTTCTTTGGTCTTCGCTTTCGCAACCATTGGTGTGTCCACCCAGCCAGGACATACGGCATTGACGCGGATTTCAAGGGGCATCAAATCAAGTGCTATAATACTGGCAATTAGTCGAATTTGTTGAATCAAGGGAAAAGAAAAGGAAGGACGGAATCCCTCTGATAAGGTGGATAGAATATTCCCTACCTGCACATTTAGTCAGCCCAACAACGCCGTGCTTACTGACTGTATAGGCAGTGATACCACGCCCAGCAATGTGCGAAGCCGTACTGCCAACATTTACAATAGCGCCACGACCAAGGCTACGAGAAGCTCCTGGCGCGCTGGGGCTACCGATGGTGGACATTCGGAGGTCTTGCTTCGACATTTGATTTGACACTGCCCTCACGCAGAGCATCGTTCCTCTCAAGTTGACCCCAACAACGTAATCAAAATTATCGATTTTCAGATGTTGAATGGGTGCGGTTGAGTTGCCAGATATCTGTCGCCGTCGTCGTCAACACCGGCCACAAATCGGAAGTAAACAGATCAGAAGGGGTGGGGAATGGGAGAGTATCACCCCAGCACTGTTGACCCCGTAATCCACTCTCCCAAATTTCTCCACCGTCAGATCGACCATGCTCTGCACGGAATTTTCATGTGTGATATCCACCTCCACGACTAGGACATCATACTGAGGGTTTGAGGCATACGCTTTGCTCTCTTCAGCAGCTGTCTCCGCACTCTGCTTTGAGATGTCGGCGAAAACTATCCCCTTAGCTCCTGATGAGGCAAAGCGAAAAGCCGTTGTCTTGCCTATGCCACTACCCGCCTGAATGAGTTAGGAGATACTCTTGAGATGAGAGCGTGATTGCCTGAGGTGCCTGGGGCTGCCTTACTCCTGTGATGAGAGCGATGCCATTGAGGTCTCCTGTTGTGGCCATGTTATGCCGCTTTGATGTCATATATCCTGTAGTTATGTACGAATCAGAAAATGTAACCGTGGTGGCAGATCGCTGTTTCTAGATGTAGCAGTAAGAACTTGTAAATCAGCAATAATTCCCTTCCGCGTCAGCAGCAAAGTTCTTTGCCCCCTCGACCGCACAGCCGCATGTCGATCCGAGAAGGGAAGGTAAGCACTAATTCTTGTGCCAGCATATGTAAACACAATAAGATAAAAGAAGTGTTTCCTCAGCTACGTTCTTGGATTGAGAACTAGCCACAGTTATGGAAGAGAATCCAGACGCTTTACACGTAACCAGCGGGTGGGCTGAACGCTTGAACTTGGAATCAACCAGATGAACACTGTTCTCGCAGTATCTATCTGTGATTCTTGACCCACAGACCTTTAATCCTTGCCAAGGGATTCCTGACCACTCAACCCATCCTGCAGACTTCACTTCCTGTTTTGCATTTGCCTGGACTTATTCCTGGTGCTAATAGTGCGACTCGACCCTGACCACGTTTACTTGACGGGGTGACAACTTGCTCCTGCAGGTCCCCAAACGCGGCAGGGCCACAAGATACTACGCTCGCATATTAGGTGTCATTTCGCCATTGCGCCCGAATTTCAGGTGCTCTGGCCCAAGGTATGAAGAAACGACCCCCATTTGTCTTTGAAATCTCACGGCAGTTCTCAGAATTACCCGTTCTAATGAAGGAGCCATCAAATGAGTCAAGGGAGCTTGAGAAATATAGATGAAACTTGGAACCGTCTTATTTCAAGTTGCGTGGCTTCGAGATGGGTACGAGCGAGGGACAGCTCTTGCCAGGCTTCCTCTCCAGGTGTCGTGAATAGTATCTTCAAGTCTAATACCTGCCCAGCCTTGTTAGAGGAACGAGGCTGTGAAATGTGCAAGTCACGAAAGAGTTCACTGGGTCTTTGATCAAAATCATACTGTGAGAGGAAACGATGACAGATGCGTACTGATGAAAAAGTCAGCTCCGTCATCAAGAAGACAGGGGCTAATCCACATTCAAATATGGATACCTGCCAAATATTCAACCTGGAATCTTTCTGTATGCACGGCGCGATAGAACGACACAGTCCAAGCAACCTATTATCAGAGCAACAGCAAGGTTTCCGACGTCGGTACAATCACTGCCCAATACGTAGGATCCCTCAATCGTTGTCTTGTTGCACGTAGCTGTTGGGACATGTCAATGTTCCCTAAAGATGCTGCTTATGACTGTTCGCAACAAAGCTTCTGCATGTGTTGCCGATTCTTTTTCGCACACAAGCCAAGTAATCAACCTAATGACTTAAATCGGTGTTTACTTCCCCTGATTTTGGAGTTTGCCCATGAGATTTTCTACCATCTGCGGTAGCAATTTACATTCCCGCCCAAGCCTTCTTTGCCCGTTTCGGCCAGGCTGTCTGGCTTTTTGAACGGCTCTGCGGAATTTCTCATGCTCTGCTCTTTTTACTTCTCTTTCTTGAAGTCTTCTGTCGATCTCTTCTCGTCTGCGTTCGCGAGTCTCTTTTCGTATATTTGCCTCTGAGAATTCTTTCTGGAAAGGTTCTGGTTTGGGCCGTGTGCGCTTGGTCTGTTGAAGGGTTTCGAACCGTTGTTTCTCGCCCTCGCCCTCTGCCAACATTGCCTTTCGATCGGGGTGGATTCCAGTGGACGCGGCGTTTTCTTTGGCATTCTCGCGCTCTTTGAGCTTAGCGTATGACTTTTTGATTTTTGCAGATCGTATCAGGTCTTTTTCTATCTTCTGTACTGCTTGCTATCAGTGTAATCCAATACTTGTTTAGCATCCGCCTGCACCTTTTCTCCTATGGGTTCCATCTGGGAGGTTGTCCGGACCCACGACAAAACCTCGCTTCTTGGCCTTTGGCTTTGAGTCTCTACTATCCGGCATGATTGAGACCTATCGAAATGAACCCTAGACGATCATAGGACGGATGAAAGCTACGCCCGAGAGGCCCGACATTTTCTACCTCACTGAGAGCCTAAGATCTTATCTTATCTTAATAGGCTTGGCATTCGCGCGACGCGTTTTGGATGTTTAACCACTGCGCAAAGACGACAGTGATCAACAGACTTGAGCAGTCTCCTTGGTTGTATCTGCACTGATCATGGAGGGAATTCAACTGAGAGATGAGGCGGTACGAGATCGGGTACGCCTGGCGATGGAATTCCTGGATCCTGGTGAGAAGAGATTTGTGTGCTTGAACCTATAGGCCTAACAAGAGACAGATGATCCTAACAAAGGGTGAATACGGCCTACCCGGTTCAAGAGCTCTCATTGAATGGCTTTTTTAGGTATCGTTCTGATATCATATTGATGCTACGCCGGAGGCAACGAAGATTGACGGTGAGTGTGGTCTTGGTTGAACCCTCATCGAATGTTCTAACACGGAGTAGGTGAGCCTGGACAACATCCGGTCTCACAACCGAGAGCTGGCAGATGGGTACGAAACGCGAGGTACACGTTTGAAAAAAGGCTGAGACTTTGCTGTAGCCTCCTACAAGCACCATTTGATTATTGCCCTGCCTTCGATCAGGCTCTTAAAGAGATAATTATCGTGCTACCGAATCGACCCCCAATTGAATCATCCGAAGATGTGGTGAGAATTGTTGAAGTGCATAACCTCATGCAAGGCTAAGAAACGTAGATATACTACTGCGCATACATCGGTAGCTTTGGTGAATTTGCCTGTAATCCTAGGACGCTCAGCTCAGCCCAATTGAATCGTATGGTGTCACTGGAAGGTATCGTCACGAAATGTTCGCTGGTACGGCCGAAAGTTGTCAAGAGCGTGCACTATAACGAAAGGAAGAACATGTTTCATTTCAGGGAGTACAGGGACCAGACCATGACCAACGGTGCCGCAAGTACTAGTGTATATCCTCAGGAAGATGAGGATGGCAATCCCGTAAGTCACATCCCACAGAATTGGCAAGGCAGAATCTGACGCGTAGAAGCTAATCACAGAATATGGCTACTGCACATACCGAGATCATCAGACTGTCTCGATACAGGAAATGCCAGAACACGCCCCTGCTGGCCAGCTTCCTCGAAGCGTAGACGTAATATTAGACGACGATCTAGTCGATTCTTGCAAGCCAGGCGATCGAATACAACTTGTTGGAGTGTATAGATCTCTAGGAAACCGAAACGCAGGCCAAGGCAGTGCCACATTTCGAACCCTACTCCTCGCTAACAACATAATACTTCTATCTTCAAAATCTGGCGGTGGTATTGCCCAATCTACGATTACAGACATCGACATCAGAAACATCAACAAGGTTGCAAAGAAGAAGCATGTGTTTGATCTGCTTTCGCAATCGCTGGCACCTAGTATTTATGGCCACGACCATATCAAGAAAGCTATCCTTCTCATGTTGCTCGGAGGAATGGAGAAGAATCTAGACAACGGGACCCATCTTCGTGGAGACATCAATATCCTCATGGTTGGTGATCCCTCCACGGCAAAGTCACAACTTCTTCGCTTCGTCCACAATATCGCTCCTCTCGCGATTGCTACAACCGGAAGGGGTTCCTCGGGCGTGGGTCTCACAGCGGCGGTAACCTCGGACAAAGAGACTGGTGAGCGTCGACTAGAAGCGGGCGCTATGGTTCTAGGTGACCGTGGCGTCGTCTGCATAGACGAGTTCGACAAAATGAGTGATGTTGATCGAGTGGCCATTCACGAGGTCATGGAACAACAAACTGTCACAATTGCCAAAGCCGGTATCCACACTTCCCTCAATGCGCGGTGTAGCGTTATAGCTGCAGCAAACCCTATTTACGGTCAATATGACCCGCACAAAGACCCTCACCGTAATATTGCGCTCCCAGACTCTCTCCTTTCTCGTTTTGATCTGCTCTTTGTTGTCACGGACGATATCGACGACTTCAGAGACAGGCAGATATCTGAGCACGTGCTTCGTATGCACAAGTATCGCGAAGCTGGTACCGAAGAGGGCGCGCCTGTTCGCGAACAAAACCAGCAAAGTCTAGGTGTTGGCTTGGAGCAGGAGCACTCAGCGAACCAATCAACCCCTGTGTATGAGAAGTTCAACGTCATGCTGCACGCTGGGGTTACGGTCACCATCGGTCGAGGACCAGCCCGCAAAGTTGAAGTCCTGAGCGTTCCTTTCATGAAGAAATACATTCAGTATGCCAAATTGCAGAGGAAACCAGTGTTGACCAAAGGAGCCGCAGACCTGATCGTAAAGACATACTCTAATCTACGCAACGATGAACTTGAAGGCAACCAGCGGAAAACATCCCCGATGACAGCACGTACCCTCGAAACGCTGATTCGTCTCGCAACGGCACATGCAAAGGCTCGTCTCTCCCATCGAGTAGAGGAGAAAGACGCTGATGCCGCTGAATCCATCCTTCGCTTCGCTCTATTCAAAGAGGTAATTGAAGATGAGCGACGCAAACGGAGAAAGACAAGACGGGCTGACGATGACGACGGCACGTCCTCCAACAGCTCATCTTCCGACGAAGATGATGATGACGCAGACCGGGTAGAGGAATTACCTAACAGTACCAATCAGCGAAGAAGTGAGCGCGCATCTGGAGGCACAACCCGTACCCGCGGCACGAACGGCCACGCAACCAGTAATGGCAATGTTGAAACAAGTAGCGATGAAGACTCAGATACCTACCAGCCAACAGCCCAGGGAAACCAGAGAAATAGCAGCCGCGCTCAGCGGCCGGCGCAGTCGCAGTCCCAGATGTCTGTGGCATCTTCAGCGCCAGCGTCACAGCTACTTACATCCCAAGGCGATGATTCCCAGGAAACCGAAAGTAACGGTGTCAATGGACACCAAGAGCCCATTAGCACCGATAGATTGAGAGTGTTCCGTACTGCACTCGGTCAGCTTGTCAGTACTAGTGTGTTCCAAAATGAGAGCGCGGAGGTAGAACCGCTTGTGGAGGCTGTAAACGATCGGTTGGGACGGACGAGGGATCCAGCATTTGGGATTACGGAGGCGGTTGAAGCATTGAAAGGGATGGGAGAAAGGAATGAGATCATGTAAGCTCCTTTCCGACTTCTTACTGGAGGGCTTTCTTGGTACGCTTGTCGAATGAGACTCACTGACTATTCAATAGGTACTCTGAGAGTGATGGTATCGTATATAAGATTTGATGGTCATGTATGGGATCAAGCGGTGATGCGGAGTCAAAGCTGGTGTTGAGAGGAGCATTGCAAGGTCTACAATCATTAATCGGTTACTTAGCGAGCAATTTTGACTGTAGTATCATGCGTACGATACCGCGTTCTATATCTTAACAGAAGTAACACGTATATGTGAGGCTTCTTGTCTAACTCGACTGAATCATGCATTTCAAAAATTGTGTGCATAACGGAACAAGCTCCTGTATCGTCTTCAATTGCGGAGCTCAATCCCACCTTCTCATCAGGATCTCGCCACCTGCTATGGTCTGACCCGTCAAAGGTACTTTGGCAATACCTGCACTTACCAAATCCTGCACCAAATTAAAGATCAGCCCGTCGCAACCTTTCGCCGCCATTATGTCGATCGTGACGGGGAGGAACTCCTCGTGCAGCGTGATCGTTGAATTGTACGCCGCTTGACCAACTGTAGGGGTACTCAACAATGACCTTCTTCTGTGTGATTAACGCAAAGTACATACCAGGTACAACAAAGTCAGGAACTTCGGCAAAGACACTGACTCTACCGGTAGAAAAGCCAGTGGGCGCGGTTGGCGGATCAAGATACTCATTTCTGTAAACAGGATCACCAAAGCCGGAATATAGTACGAGACTGTCGGAGCATGTAGTACTGTCGTTGCGTGACACGTTCTCACTGTACCAATTTTGAAAAGCGGTCTTGTTATTGATAGCATCTGTGAGTGCAGACTCCGGGTAGCCGTCACCAAAAGCCCAGCGAGCCTTGAGTCGTCAGTAAGATTATGAAGAAAACAATAGATCTTCGTTCAACTTACTAGCGGAGTCGGATCTACGAAAGGATGACGGCCATCATGCGCAGCTCTGTAGGCAGCATAGAACGGATCTCGGACGAGTCTAGTCTGCTCCTTAGATATCAGGATCGGATATGTGAGATTCAAAAAGGTGCTTAGAGAAGCCATGACTCCAGCTGGTTTGTTTGCAGCCCAAAGTGCGGTGAGGTTCAAAGTCGTGGCTTTGATGGAAAGATAAGCCTCGATTCTACTCAGAGTATCTAGCAGAACACCGTCCGAATCCGAATCCGCAGAGGCTGGAAAGCCAATAGCGTACAGCTTTTTAGGGTATTTGCTGTAGAAAGATAGACCGCCATATAATACTTTCGCAGCAGCAGCCCATATGATAGGATCTCTGGTCAAGAAGCCTGCGGTGTCGAGTTGGGGCGCTAGTGGCATCACGCCGGTAAGATCAACCAATCCATGAGAAGGACGATTTCCAAATAACCCTTGAACCTGGCTCGGTCCTCGAATACTACCACCCGTATCGCTGCCCAAGGTTAGGTCTAACCAGGGGTAACTCCCTTCAGCTGCTCCAGGCCCGGACGAGGAGGAAGAAGGGTCTTGATAACCATCGCCTCTATGCAGTGTAAAAAGTCATACTATTCGTCACGTTGCATGGGCTGGCCTACCTTGGATTAAACGGTGAATGATAATCAACCCAGTCCGCCGTTGCCACCTCACCGTTCGCAAATTGACTGCGAGACATCAGCAAGCGGTGCCTTTTGCTCCGCTTCGCCGTTCAGCGACGATGAACGCAAGCAACGTACCTGGTCTTCAGCTTACCTACAATGATAGCACCAGCATCTACAAGTCGTTGCACTGGCACAGCATTTGCAATAGCTGGCGGGTATAATCCGTACCAAGCACGATTTCCATCGCTCGTTTTGACCCCAGCGACATCATAGATGTCTTTGATGCCAACACGGACGCCGGCCAGAGGCTTCTCAGGTGTCTTCGTATAGTAGAGACGAGATGGAACGCCTACAGCTGGTGCTTGTATGCCAGCGATGGCGGCCGGTAAAGGGGCAAAAGTGCCATTCGACGCTGGAACTAGCGATTGAGTGAATGCGCCTGCAAAGTCGGAGTAAAGCTTGTATGGCTGATAGAGTGCGCCCGATGGTGTTGCGAAGTAAGGGCCGGGTGGCAATGTTGACGATCCGTTACTCGGGAGGGCCACCGTCTTGATACTGCTATTGGAGTAAGGCCCACTAGGGGAGCTAGGTCCTTGAAGAAGGATTGTTTGAAGAAAGTCCTCGGTCCACACGTCGTCGCTACCCAAAATTTTGATGATTTGATCAACGGTACTGAAACTTGCATTGCTTGAAGCTGCAATAACAGTCACGGGCGTCAGCCCGCCCGCGGAGGGAGCGCTTTCTGATAGTGATGGACTAGGAAGCACAATGAACGGCGAGGCAGGAATGTAATAGGAGATCTCGTTCAGCAGCAATGTGGAACCCGTTGAGGTCAGAGAAAGAGCAGAAGCAGTAGAGCAGAGGAAAAGAAGTATGAGACCGCGAGCCATGGTACTGTCTGAATGCAAATGCAAAGTCTTTGGCAGTGGGACCCGGTAATGAAAGGTTCAGGACATATCCTTTCGCCAGACTGAACAAACGGTCGTCGACTAACACGGCTGGTTCCTGCATGCTGTCTTGGCTGCGATGAAGTTCAGCAGGCTCTGCATTAGTCTTCCATAGTCTTTCATAGTTTCACGTAGTCTCATGTAGTCTCATGCACGCCCGAGCTGGTGAGAAGAATACAAGGGAGTAGTACAGGGCAGCCATGGGTGAGTATTGGGTTAACGTCGCGATCTCCGGCCCGTGAGTGAAAGTCGTCGGGAGCCTCAGTGCTCTTATCGGCGCACCACCTGCCCAATTAGTCGTCACTCCCATCACATTCCAGAAACAGTAACCCGGACACAAAAGTGTTCGAGCCAAATTGCTTGCCCTTATCGCCCCAATTCCGTGCTTTTCGCAGCCAGGGTATCATCGCTTGTAAAAATCATTCGCCTCAAACCGCAGTAGCAGGGCATTGATCGCGCCTCCATCTTCCTCTCGCTTGCTGAACCCTCTACAAACGCGCAGGAAGACTCCTATCTGCTTCTGCAAAGTATCATAACACTTGCGGAGGTCCATGTCTGATTGCGATCTCTCTACCCCTATTGGTGCCGTCATGTGATTTGAGGTTTGGAGGATGAGTCCTAATATTTCCTCCAACAAATGCATCACGTCCCGTTGTCTCTTGCGAAGAAAAAAAGCAACCATAATCTCGTCGAGTATTTGCTCATGGAGGCTTTTGAGTGTATATATGCTGTCTTCGTAGATCTGCGAACCAGTATCTAAAGCATTTTCAATCTCTTCAAGCTTTTGTCGGAACCGACCCCAATGCGTGAGAATGCCTTCAGAGAAGTAAGCGCAGATGGAGGAGATGAAATGATGGCTCGCAAGACGAAATTTCAAGCGCCATTTCTCTATTGTGGCAAGTGAAGATCTAGCAACAGCGAAATTCTTCGAGGTCATGTCGAGGACGAAAAGCACTCGTTTCGCTCGGAGTAGGGTGTTGAAGATTGCGTCGTACTTGGCAAGAGCAAAGTGGGTGATGACCGTATCCAGAGGGGGAGGAGCTCCAAATTGGATCCGCAAGAAATCAAGGGCATAGATAGAACGAGGGTCAACGCATTTCTGCAAGTCCGCTTCAGACATTTCGCGAATGGCAAAGCTGAGCCCGCCTGGCATCTCTTCTCGGAACAAGGAAGCTTGCCCGACATAGCTGGGAGAGAAATAAGACTCTGTCAGGATTCCCATCAACGCAAGTCGCATTTCTGAGCTTGCAGGTGGCCAAGTATCTCGGTAACCCATCTGAAGGCCCAATCTGCCGCTGCGATGGTAGCCTTTGCGCCGTTGTGCTGAAGCAAGCTCCGGGTCAAATAAAGCATGCGAAAGTCGAGAAGCAAACGGGCCGTCACCTAGAAGTTGATAGCGATAAAGGAGTTCAAGATGGGATTGTAATCCGTGGTTCTTGAAAAGCATACGTATGCAAGCTTGATTCACAAGGCCGGCCTGTAGGGCTGCAATTGGCAACAACGATAGAGTCGGAATTAAGGGAAGAGGTGGCGTCAGAAGTTCGATTTCCGAAGGCATCTCAATAGAATCCGTTAAATCGATTCCTACCAGAGAGAAGCCCTGAACAGAAATTTTGGGCAGTGGCTGCTCCAGCTCTCGTATCAAGTCGTGGGAGACTGTCGAGTCTTGGCCCTCAGATGACTGTAGGTGGGAGAGAGAAGCTGCCACAGTCTGAGTGAAAGTCTGTCTCTGATGCGAAAATGGTCCATAGACGTCGTAGTGTGCAATTTCGTCCCGCAAAGTTCTCTCGTGTATCTCAGCTCTCCTGGAGGTTTCTTCAATATAATGCCATGACGATTGCCATTCAGACAAAGCAAAAGTCGTCGCTAGATTTGAAGAGTGGCGAACCAGTGGATGATGCGGCTGATACAGGCATATTATGCGTAGGCTTTGTCCAGTCTCAAAAAGTAGTCGTGCGTCATCCGTTTCGAGAAAGCTCGGGACGGCGACATGCTCAAACTTGTACATAGCCCTTTTAGTTCTTTCGAAAGGTGCCTGGGTATTGTCGCTGGACAAGATCTTGACAAATGAAGGAAGCTCGTTTCCATCGCCAAGCTCTGGTCTGTTTTGAAGACCAATCCAGGCCTCAACACTAGTGCGCCATGGTCTCGCGGCGGCATTCAGAAATTTCAAAAACAAATCTTGAACCCATAATCGTTCATGCTCGGCTGACTTAACAGTCTCAAATATTTGACTAAGTAATTCAACTTCCGATCTCGCGTCCTCAACAGTCTTAACTATGCTCGTCAGGATAGCGAGCACATTGCGGGTCCTTTCGAAGACATGCTGCAATTGGAGTATGTTGCAATTTCCGTCTATCACTTCAAGTACCTGTGCTTCCGTCAAAGACATCTGAGCAGATATCTCATGTGCAACAGCCAACGTAGCCGCCGCTGACCAATCAGATGTATAGGCTTGCGTGACGAACAATTGCAGCTGTCTCCATGTGTTGCCTTGTCGGATGATTGAAAGCTCGAGGCTATGGAATGTCTCAAGAGCTATTCCCGGAACTCGCCCACGCTCTACACGAGCACAAAAGCTTTGCCGGCCCTCATCATAAACGTATAGAATTGATTGTCTTCCAAAGCCTAGCTGCATCAAGCTGTGCAGTGACACTCCTGAGCATGAAGTATGCGTTTTGCCTTCGGGTTTGCCCACAAGTAAGGTATCGTAGAAGAGAGGTGACTGCTCGCTAATAAACAATGTCCTAAATTCATGATCATCTGGATTCTGGAACCTTTCCCATGTTCTCAGAGGTTTCTGTGCTTCGTCACTCGATGCTAGCTGAGAGATACACCATATGTCATTCTCAACATCCTTTGCAAATTCAACCAAGTCAGGGCTCGCGGATCCGGAGAAGTCTTCCAGCGGTTCGACATCCTCTAGAAGCCCTATCGGTGAAGACGGCAAGCAGAGAAGGTCAGCATTGGTATGCTTGGAATTTGAGAGATCATCAACGAATGCATGAAATTCTAGAGGCACTGTTCGTCATTAGTCAAGCTACTTGAATGGCCGTACGCCGGTGGGGGGTAAGGCTTGCCCAGAGGCTCTGAAAGTGAGCCATTCGTGCAAGCCTCATTACTGTTCAGGTTCGAAAAGTACGATCCCCTCCAATAATTCGGGATCTCGAAAGGATCCTTGGCGGGCTTGCTCCTCTCATCCATAAATGCCCTATGTGCATCGGCATGCAGGTCGCGTCTAAGCGACGCGTCGAGCAAGCGAGTATTGCCTTCGTTGACGCTGGCGGCGACGCAATTGCGACTTTGCAGCTTCGGAGAGAACAGTAAGTCTTGAAGTGACCCTTCATCAGTGGACATCGGGTCTCTTGAAACTTTAAGCCAGTGCTGTGCTCGACGTGACAGGCGAGACAGGTGATAGGATGGTGCGGAGATAAATTCTTTGGTCCGCCGCGCTACTGCAACAGCCCAACCGCCAATTGCTCAATACAAAAGAATAACACCGTAGGACCTAAAAGTGAGCCCCTTTTGGCTCCATCGCCATGTTTCCGTTCGAAAGAAATGCCTCCTAAGAAGAAGAATCGGCAGCCCGCCGCTGAAGAGCAGATCGAAGATGGGGAGCCCGAGCGAGAGCCCCTCAAGGGAGATTTAAATGACCCTTGGACTGACGAACAGGAGGCTTTGCTATTCAAAAGCATGATTTCGTGGAAGCCTGTGGGTTCGTCCGCATGCCAACCGAATCTATACTCTAGCGTTTCTGTGGATAGTGACATCCGTCAGGCATGCATAAGCATTTCAGAATGATAGCGATTTCCCTGAATCTACGAAGCCTAGGCGTAGCCTCCTCAGGAGACTCTCATACGCTACCAGCGGGAGTGTGGAAGAAACTTCGCAAGCTGTATAACTTGGATAATCTGAATGAGATTGTATGTGAAGTACAGCCAAGTGATTGATCTGGTCTCACTTGCGTTCTTAGGAGGACTCCACTAGCTTTGGGCACTTTAATGACGAAACCACCGTTAATGGGCCATTCGTCGATTTTGAACTGCCAGGAGAAGAATATGGGGGAATGCAGTTCGCAAAACGCCTTGCCCCGGGTCGGCCTCCGTCACCTCCTCAATTGGGTTACCAGTTGGATGGATCAACAGTTCTGAGACGACAAAGCACAGTGGAAGATACAGACGGTATTCATGATGCTGGCAAAGAGTGACGTTCAAGTCAGCAACTGACCGCAGACTCAGATCCTCGTTCCTCTCCGGCGTCAAATCGGGGCGGTCGTGGCGCACGCGGGAAAGGCAAGCGTTCATCTCTGCTCGCTGCAAAGGCCGGTCGTCGTACAAGTAAGGAATCTGTAGAGGAGAGCGGTGATGGGTCAGATGACCAAGACAGCGAGGCTTTAGACCTTGATTTCAAAGAGCGTGCGAGAAATTCTAAAAGTGGTGGAGGAAGCATGCGGAGAAGTGGGCGGAAGAAGTAGTGCCGTACGGCGGTATATTAGTTGCTTGTCTTGGACACATTTCGAGAAGAAGCTAGCTGACACTCCGTGAGGCTGCGTAACTGCCCTGAACCCCTGAAATTATGGGCTTGGCATTCCGTTTAACCTCGGCTTTGAGCTGTCCCTTTGAATTGCCTCATTGCTTCGTGCATAAAAAGCACACATATCGGACGTTGTATGCTAGGATAGGCGCGATTGTGGCCGTTTGACCGGTCCAGCCTTCCTCGGCCCATTTATATATCCCTCTTTTCCTCCGTGATTTCGACTTCTTCTTCCAAACTTGTCAATAGGTATGTTCACAAAACTCCGACCTCGCTCCCTCTGCATCACGCAGAAGAACAAGGTAAATAAGAATTAAGTCAAGCACACGGGAGCTTGGAAGGCTAAGAATGGAGATAGATCTCTGTCATGCCGCGTATGCAAGGCCGCAGCATTTCATCTACTCTTCCAGATGGTACGGTTCCCTTCGCCCGCAGGGAAATCATGCTCATGAATCTCATCTCTCCAGGCTACCAGGAAGACACCTCAAAAGGCTCAATGTTGCGCTTCGAAGATTCTATTCCTCGTCTACCTGTTCCGACCCTTGAAGAGACAGCCAAGCGTTATCTGAAATCAGTCCACCCACTACTGAATTCAAGTGAGTATGGGCACACAGAAAGGGCCGTCAGTGCCTTCATCAAGCCTGGAAGTTTGGGTGAAAAGCTACAAAAAAGACTACAAGCACGTCGAGAGGATCCGCGACACAGGAATTGGATATATGAATGGTGGAACGACGCTGCCTATCTTAGTTACCGTGATCCTGTCGTACCGTATGTGAGTTACTTTTACTCTCACAAGGACGATAGGAGGCGGAGACATCCTGCCAAGAGAGCTGCAGCGCTTTCGACAGCAATTCTGGAGTTCCGCAAACAGGTCGATGATGGCACGTTGGAGCCCGAGTATATGAAAAAGCTTCCTATTAGCATGGAATCATACCAGTGGATGTTCAACTCTTGCCGTATTCCCGGAAAATCGACAGACTTCCCCGTCAAGTATGACTGGAAGGCGAATCAATACATACTCGTGATCCGCAAAAACCAATTCTTCAAAGTTCCGTATTCAATTGGCGGCCAACAGCTCAACGTTTCAGAGCTTGAGAGGCAATTTGCGCGTATTTATCAAATTGCAACCACCTCGCATGCTGTGGGTGCCCTTACTTCTCAGAACCGTAACACATGGCACAACGCTCGAGACTCGCTTCTCTCGGCGCATCCGGCCAACGCCCAGGCAATTGAATCCATCCAGGCAGCCTCATTCGTTCTCTGCCTTGATGATGCTTCGCCTATCACGTTGGAGGAACGCGCACGCCAGTATTGGCATGGTGATGGTCAGAATCGCTGGTATGACAAGCCGCTTCAATTCATTGTCAATGATAATGGCACTTCTGGCTTTTTAGGCGAGCACAGCATGATGGACGGCACCCCTACACATCGCCTCAACGATTATGTCAATATGATGATCTTTTCAAATCGGCTTGATCTCTCGGATCCTTCGATTCGATCTGATCTTGCTGAACCTGAACCCATCAAGTTTCAGTTGAACGAGACAATAATTAGGGAAGTGCACCGAGCGACTTCCGATTTCGACGCGCTTATGGCACAACATGACCTAAGGGTACAAGCCTATCAAGGTTACGGCAAGGGATTGATAAAGCGCTTCAAATGCTCTCCTGATGCGTATGTGCAGATGGTCATCCAACTTGCCTACCACAAAATGTATGGCAAAAACCGGCCTACTTACGAGAGCGCATCGACACGCCGCTTCCAGCAAGGCCGGACGGAGACCTGCCGCAGTGTCTCTGACGAAAGCGTTGCGTGGTGCGATGCAATGGCTGATCCCGAGATAAGCGAGGAAGAATGCAGAGAACGATTTAAAGCCGCCCTTGACGCGCACGTAAGATACATCATGGACGCAAGCGATGGTAAGGGTGTCGATCGCCATCTCTTCGGATTGAAGAAATGTTTGAAGGAAGGCGAAGAACTACCCGACATCTATAAAGACCGAGCCTATGGCTACAGCGGGACCTGGTATCTGAGCACAAGTCAGTTGAGTAGCGAATACTTTAACGGGTATGGCTGGTCACAAGTTGTAGATGAAGGCTTTGGGATTGCCTACATGATCAACGAAAATAGGTGAGCAGCCCTGTCTTGGACATTCTTGTCCAACTGTTCAATTCAGAAACACGAGTACTGACAGGCAAATGAAGCATACAATTCAACATAGTCTCCAAAGGTCTTTCTAGTGAGAGGATGAGTTTCTTCTTGAGTGAGGCGGCAGGAGACATCAGAGATCTATTTTTACCAATGATTGACACGCCGAAAGCTAAGCTATAGAGCGTCTTCAAGGGAAGAACCAATGCTATCCCATAGTCCGGCGGACGTGGTGTCTGTTTTCTTATAGGGATCTTCGGCAGCCCTCCGAGGCCAAGTTCTATGTCCGGGGAGCCCTCTTTGGGTGCTTCTAAGAGCGCATGCGGCTGGTTCCTCAAACTATGGAATACCCGATTAGTGTCCAAATCGGAAGCTTGATATAAGGGTTTCTGCTCGGGCCATTGGACAATATATTGTCGGCACCTGACCTGGAGATGAATCCGGTGGAAAGGACGCCGTACAAGCTCAGGATGTCATACATTAATGTTTTGGTTGCGTCTGAAAGTTATTCTCGACAGCTTCTCTCCCTTTCTACTAGCATCGAGCCTTTGGAAGATCAGGACACATCAGAAAAGCTGTCCGACTTCATGATGCGGGAAGTTGTCGATACCATCGACATTTCAGTCGCATTAGCATGTCGCTCGTCCGAAAACTTGAGGTTTGCAAAAGCTGTGTATTGACACATGTCGGCAGAACGCTTCGTAATAGACAAATTTGGCTGCGGGGCTAGTTGCAACACCATAAGACCGCTCCGAGCGGAGGCTGAGATTTGTCGGCATTGATCAAAAGTAAGTTGTGTATACAGTGTGCATTGGACGACTCGGGCTGAAGTTCTGCTCGATCGGAGGAATTCAAAGACGCTCTTGCAATGCTAGATTCGTGATTTATGTATCTACTTCATTACATATACAAGGCAGAACAGTTCGCGCCAGAGCAAGTAAAAGAGATTTTGTCTCGTAGATTTATCCATGAGCCAAATTTTTTTGTCAACGTCACAGGAGTGACGCCTTGAGAAGAGAGATGCTGCTGTGAAAAGAATGCACTGCCTGGCCATTGTGGCAGGGAACAAATGATGCATTGCCTCTAGGACCCGTGCGCAAGTGGTCATGACATTTTGATTTCAAACGAGAAAAGGGCAGTCAGTTGTAGAGCGAAAAGAGTTGTGGCAAGCCTCCATTTCGAGTTTGTAGTCAAAGAATTGTCAAATAACGGTGGATCGGGCAGATGCCTGGACGGGGGCAAAAGAGCTGGCTGTGGCTCTCGGCAAGAGAGACTCCAGAGCGTCCAGACTTGGACGGAGACAATAAGCGCTTTGACATGTGAGAAGCGAAGGACACTGCTTGTGGCGACGAATTGCCCGCAAGGCCTCTCCCTCCGTTCCTGCGTTGGTGTTAGTAGCCGTTGCGTGTTGGATGCTTTTTGGATTCCATGATCCAGTGGCGCCGATGCGAAAGGCGAGATTACAAGATGAGTCGCTGTCTGAGAGATCAGCAGCATTGTGTGGGTCTGCGAAGGGTCAAAGGCTGCGTGCTCGGGAAGATTGGCATGATGCGCTGTTTGCTGGGATGAAACATTCCCGGTCTTCGAACGGTGGTGAAACAGTGCAGTCAAACGAGTCTAGAGGCGGCGCAGAAGCTCAATCTTCTGGACGTCAGAATTGAGGAATCTCCATCATGATGTTCTAGCCTCTGCAGGGGCAACCTGCACTGATTACCTTGACCTTAGAGGATTTGACTCGAGCTGACCGTCGGGCTCATCAAGTTGACTATTTCTGCTTGCACGGCTATCAGCTCTTCTGTGTACAGTAGAACTAGACTCCATTCAGTACGCAATTGCACCGAGGCTCCCTTGTAATAAAACTTCGGATCCAGCCACCTGCATGTAGAACACATGTCAGCAAGCGTGGCATCGCAGCTTCCCATCACTGTAGGGTTGAGCCTGTACACGCATGAAAGGGACTTAATTACCTATAGGTAGTGATTTGACTTGGCAGGATTTCCTCCTTAGGGTTAAGCCTCAGCCACTGTACCGCTAGACTCCGAGTAGTTGGATATCACGATCGACTCCTATATATCCCCCCCTCCCGGGCAAAGTGGACGCTTCATCGCAAGACTGCGAAGACCTTCAAAAATGCGGTCGGCCGAACACTCATTTTTGATTGCTCCTTGCTGCTGGCCCAAGCTAGTGCTGTAGGTGGCTAAAGTCAGGGTTTGAATCTGAAACATAGCCAGAAAAGCACCCGGTTAGTCCAGAAGCTCTCGACATCTCCGCCTCCGCTTTCCCCCAACTCGAATTCATCGTGATGCTGACTACTCCTTTGGCCAGCATCGCGCTCTCAATAACATCCACAACGGCGTCCCTGACGCTGTGGGTGGACAGCCCACCGCTTAAGGGTCTTCCCGACGCCCTGCGCTCGCTGTCTGGGACATAGGCTGACCAGTCACTTCCTTCCGCTTGTCGCTCGCGGATCTCCCACCAGTGCCTGACAAAAGAACAGCCCGGCAACCTCATCGCGCGCAGGTCCTCACATCGGCAACGCCAATAAGCTTCTTGCTGCCCGTTTGGCTGGATTCATCCAACCTGTGAGACCTGCCTAGGCGAGCGGATCCCCCTGGGGCCTCTGGCTGGTGGAGAAAGAGGAACAAAATTGGCCTGTGCTTGTCCATGAATAGCTCGCACAGGGGGGCTTAATCGTCCTATCAATATTCTCTCCTAGCGCCATTTCGGCTTGCCACTGGAAGGACCTGACAATTTTGTCCCTGGACCCAGTCACTCGACCATGGAGTCCGCAGCTGGCTATCCGGAGTCTCCGATGGAAGCAGACGATGCAGTCTATCCATGCAAAGGCTGTGGCGAGGTACGTGAGCGATTCAGGCGTTGCCTGCCTCTGGCCCCTCTCCCACTCTCCGCAGCTATGCCTGATTGCTGACGCAACATCGCTAACACTTATGCTACAGATCCTGGAAGAAGGAAAGGCCTTCGAACTTGGTAAGCTTCACATTGATGGCTGTGGGCTTACAAGATCGTTCTAATGACTTTTGGGCCAGCTGGCAATCGATGGCACATAGACTGTTTTCGATGCAACACTTGCGGCACCATCCTCGATTCCGACGCAAACCTCCTCCTCCTGGGTGACGGCTCACTCATCTGTAATAATTGTACTTATAGTTGCAGTGTCTGTGGAAATAAGATAGAAGACTTGGCCATTCTCACGGGCGATCAAGCATTCTGTGCTAATTGCTTCAAATGCCGGAATTGCAAAAAGAAAATTGAAAATCTCAAATATGCGCGAACTTCGCAAGGGATCTTTTGTATGGAATGTCATGAATCGTTGATGCAGAGGAGGCGGAAAAAGTCTCAAAAGAATGCTACTAGCCGGCACAAGCATATTCCTCCGCCCTCGAACAGTACCATGCTACTCGACAAATCACTACCATCTCTTCCTCCGAGCGCCGTGGATCGTAGCGCTGTAGCTGCCTTTCCCACCGAGAACAACAGTCCTATATCAGAAGCATATTCAGAGGTCCCAACAGAGACAACAGCGTCCCATGGCCAGAGGCCGTCGTATTCAAGAACAAGATCGGACATGGGATCGCCAGAACTTTCTCGCACAAATCAGAAAAGACCACCATACGGCAGATCTGCTTCATCGACGAGCGAAAAGCGCAACAGGTCAAATTCACAGGAAGAGGAGCAGAAAGGTAAGTTTCGACCGCTTCTCATGATCAGCTCGAGTTTGCTGACTATGGATAGAATCTCTTGCTCCTCCACATCCAAGTCACACCGACAGACACTCCACCCATTCTGACGGGTCAGCTCTTGGGGAAGACTTTTTTATACCTATGAAACTTGACCCTAACTTGGCCCCGGGTCCCTCCCCTATTGCTCGTAGGGAAAACAACGAAGCAAGAAGCCCTCCTCAAGCAGAAAACAAGCCGAACTCTAAAGATTATTTCAATGCTAGATATCCACCTACTCGAAGTCGGACGACTGAAGAACCTTTGCAGAAACTGTCTTCGGCTGAATCTGGACATGGCTCCCGAAATTCTTCTCAGCCTAGCAGTCCCCACATTGCACATCAATATCAGGATAGGGGTAGACAATTGTCGTCTGACTTCACGTCGGATCTTGGCCGAAAGAAGATACACCATGCCAACAATAATTCCATCAATGCCGTTGCACGAGAAGCAGTACAAGAAACCGCTGGCAACGAGGCTCGACCCCGACGGAATGGAGAGAATCATAATGGCAGGTTTATGTTGCAAGAAGTACCCAAAAGCAAAAAAACCGAGAAGAGAAACTCGAAGGAACGACAGCATCCTCTAGCTAACTCCTCAGGATCTTTGTCTAAGCGACGAGTTGACTCAGTCACTGCGAACAATCAGGTAAAAGAACAACAGGTCACATTGTCTCCCAATGACTCTTCAGATTCATCCAGATCAGATGCGACCCTAAGCGGATCTCCAAATGAGTCTCAGCCCAATAGGAATCACGTCCCCACCGAGCCCCGTACATCGCCTTTGAGCACCCAGCTCAAAAATGTGCCAGAAAGAGGCGATTCCCTTAATAAGTCTGGGCAACAGCCGCCACCACGGCGAACAGTTGAATCGAGCGCTCCTAGCAAGCTGTCGAATTCTGTTGCGGCGTCCGACAATCAGCTAGATCTCCCTGCTTCGGCGCCTCCCAGCACAACAATACCGTCTGGAGCTATCACGGCCAACAGAAGCCTTCCGAGATCGTTAGATTCACCTGCTAGCAGCAACTTTGCTGATACACCACCACATCCGCCACTACGGGCAAAGGAACGTCTAGCTCAACTAGAGGACGATTCATCAAGCGATTCTTTCGTCACACCAAGGGCTCCACCCCACCCACCTTCTAATCGACCTAAAGCTGAGCCGTCAAGTCTCCGCAACGGCGATTATGCCACGTCGCCAAGATTACCTCGATACAACGATAAGGACGACTTTTCATGGGAGGATGAGACATCCCGCACTCCAGGAACCGACAATCAGCAGGAACAGGGAGGCTTCCTTCGTCGTGTATCTCACTCGGTTCGTCATGCACGAAGCTACAGTGATAGGGGCGTTAGGACGCCAAAGGAGCAGAAATGGGGTGCTCTCCCCAAAATCGCCGATGATGAGCAGCCCTGCATTCACGAACGAAATTAGTAGCCCTATCACTGCATCTCCCGAAACTCGACTTGATGAGCTGAACCGTGTCAAAAAAGAGCTAGAGGCAGAAAAGCAGAGAGTTCAAGAGCTCGAAATCGCCTTGGATGCTAAGAGCAGTATCAAGCAGATGAACTCAGAACTCAAAGAGAAAAGGTCAACCATGGTCGTTCTAGATACCCAGAAGCAAATCGTTGTGCGCGAATTGGAAGCTTTGACGGAGCATATTGCGGCCGCAAAACGGAGTGAAGAGCCTTTCGATATTAGCAAGATGACGAATTCTGTGCTTCGGGATTTTGCTCAAAGCCTCCAGGGGCTCAAGGAATCCTTTCAGCCCCAAATTGAGGAACTTATACAACGTAGAAATGAAGTGGCTGATGAGGTCAGTATATTTGAACAAAAAGGGAAAACACGATGCAAGAGGCTGAGCAGCTCACGGCCAAGAACTCTCAATTGGCAGACCTCAACAATCAGCTGGTGCATCAAATACAGGAGCTGTACAAGGCAAACGCTGGGCCAGCAATAGACGTCAGGCCAACGCCAAATGGCCTGGGTATATACAACGCGCAAATACAGAAGGAAAAGGGAGGCTCTATTGAGATTCGAGAGCATCGACCGTCGTATGCGGAAAGCAATCTCACCGGGTCGACAGCAGTGCCCGAGCATGAGACGGAGCCAGCATATCTTGCTGCCCCGCAGGTTGTCAACATTCGCAAAGCCCAACCGAAGAAATTCAATTGGAAAAGAGGAGGGCAGAATGTCGCTAAGGGTGTCACAAAAGGTCTTAAGGGCGCATTCTCGAGCGAAGAGAAGCGAGGTCACGGGCAAAAAGAAGGGCAGTATGCCACGGAGGGTATGCCGTACGGTGCGATGTCGCAGCAAGAGTACCCACGAACGGACACCTATCCTAAAGGTTCGAATCAAAATCGTGGGCCTGGGTTTGGGGGCTTTTTCGGAAATCCCAAAGAGAGACCTCAACAGTGGAAGAATTCGCCCAACAACAGCTTCCCGGCCGTCAACAATAGTGATGGTGCCCCTCGTAAGACTTGTCATCGCTCTGTGACGAATCTCGCTAACACGATAGCAGCGCTTTTTGGCTCAGAGCTGGAGCTTCGTGCTGAATACGAGCGATCAAACATTCCCAGTGTTGTCATGCGCTGCATTCAAGAAGTTGACGCGAGAGGTAAGTATTAAGAAATTCGTCCAGAAATATATGTTGACAATGTATAGGCATGGATATCGAAGGCATCTACCGCAAATCCGGCAGCTCCAGCCAGGTCACGGCCATCAAGGACGGCTTCGAGCGCAACAATGACTATGACATTTCCGACCCTGATCTTGACATCAACGCCGTGACCTCCTGCCTGAAACAGTACTTTCGCAAATTACCTACCCCCCTCATTACTTATGACGTCTACAATACCCTCCTCGCAAGCGCGACATCGCAGGCTAAGCCTGAAGCTGACGCCAGCGAGAAGATAGCTCACAAAGTCAATAGCATGCGGCTGGCTATCAATGGGCTTCCGCCTCGCCATAGAGACACACTAGAGGTTCTCATCTTCCATCTAGCACGAATTGTTGAGCATGATCGGGAGAATCTGATGACGTCTCTCAATGTGGCTGTGGTTTTCGCCCCAACCATAATGAGACCCGAGAGTCTTGCAAAAGAAATGCAAGACACGCAGGCCAAGAATGCTGCTGTGCAGTTCCTCGTTGAAAATGGCCATAACATCTTCTTAGGACGGGAGGAAGAAGAGGAAAGGGTTGAATAAGGTAGGAAATGAACAAGCATTATGTCCAAATCCATGTCACGACTACGACTATACACTACAGCCACAATACCCATCATCTTTCACGCATCATTGCCACCAAAACTTCGGCAACGGGGGTTTCGATATGTCATCAGCACTTATAGCGGGCGTCCATACCTTTGATCTAGGAGATACCATTCTGCTCCGCTTTGGAACGGGGAACAATTTTGGCTTTCTCGCAAGTTTGTACAGGCGTCGCTGCGACGTATATTGAATATGAATCAAGCTCTAGAAGCTGTGCATCGCAGAATGGCGCGGGTCTTTTAGCTAGGGGCCTGGATTTTGAATGTAAATATTGGGGTTCTGAATCATATGACTTGTCTTTACACCATCAATTGTCCATTTTCCGTTTCTGCTGACAGAGTGATTTCATTCGCCGGCTTGACGAGCACAAGTTGCACGGAACAGCGAGAACGGTACGCATGGGACGGAGTACAATCACGAATTCTCTTGGGCGGCTTACACTGACTTCGAGAGACAGGGCTGACATATACCGGACATGACATCTCACTACCTCCATAATGATTGGATGCTCTCAGAACGTGTCTTCCTCTAACAGTCCACCCCGTTTCACCACACTAGGGCTATCTTCGTCCAGATCTTCCGACACATTACCGCCAGCGGTAAGTAACAAATCCTCTACGATCCGCTTTGATGCTTCTCGGGCTAAATTGGTCGTAAGTCAGCAAAAACACAAACAAGGACCCCCCCTGTCCGACTCTCGAGTATCACACAAAAAGGGAAGATCTTGGAAATGGATGACACGTACCCGGCGTCCTGATCAACCGTGCCTGTGGAACGTGAAATTGCATCGTCTTTGGTGGACTCATACCCGCTCCGAGCCCTCCTTCTCCCTCACTATCGCTGTCCCAGAGATCATCCCCAACCCCACCACCACCACCAAATTTCTGCGCTGATTGCTCCCCCCCTCTCCCCGCTTCTCAGGGCTCGATGTCCTCGCCTTCCTGGCGGGCGTCAGCACGCTAATGCCTGGTATTCGCTCTCCGCCTACGCCTTTCCTTGCTGGCGAGTCGAAGATCTCGGCGTGCAATTCTGGCACAGCAGTTATGGGGCTAGAATCTAGATCATCGTCTACAGGGGCCGGACGGCCCTTCTCGCGGTACCGGGCTTCGGTGTCGTTGCGCTTGCGGTAGATTTGCCGCCACGGTAAGGGAGGCGGATGGTGCTGTGGGGAGTGGCTTGAATACGGTAATTCTTATCGAGGATGCGGTGGAGGAGGATGTCGTTCGCGGGTGTACGCCGGGTTGAGTGGCTTCGTCCGGATGGTGGAGGGGCAAATGGGGACGATTGTGGGTCGTGATCTGGAGTATGATTTTGAGCTCGAGGGGTGGAAGGTAGGTCAGAATCGGAAGGCGATTGTGGATGAGAAGGGAGAATGTCGCGTTTGAGAGATTCGTAGGGGGAGGAGTAAGGGGCTGTAGTGGGTGGTGGTTTTGGTGGTTGTTTCTGTCGCGGGGTTTTGGTCTGTTTCGATGTCGGGCGTGGAGTCTCCTGGGCTGGCATGGGGGAGAAAGAGTCACTCAGACTGTTGCGACCGTTTTGCTGAGGTGTTAAGGTCTCGTCTTGGGCTTGAGGAGGCGAATCGTACGTTGAATTTGAAGGAGTCGTAGCTGCTGTGACGTCGTCTTCTTCCGTGATAGTTTCATCCTCCACAGGTGACTCTTCGTAGCCAGAGAGAGACACATTGGCACTGGCCTCGAAGAATTGTTTCCAGAACTTGGACCTATCAGACAGGCTTCGCATGAGGGGCGCAGAGCCAACTCACCTTCGAACCTTCCCATACGTTCTTCGAATGCTCGGCGTACTGATCAACAACAGGGAGAACACTCGCAGTCACGATGCGATGTGCTCGGCTGAAGTTGTGATCAATCTCTGTTTATGGCTTAGGTCACAGATTTGAGCAGGGAGGCAGGCTGCCCACCTTGGAGGGTCAGGGTGATGGATTGCTCGAGCTTCTCCAATTCTTCAGTCAAAGACAGATTGGCATTACGCTGAGGCGCGGTGCTATGTCGTGACATGGTTGCGACAGACTAGAGTGGAAAGCATTCAAGATTGATTAATTGAATGATTGACGCGACCCCACGAACGGGATGCAATGCGCCCTAACTCCGCAGCCTGTGTTAAATCCGGGTCTAATCTAGTGTGGGTGGAATGTGGCTGTGGCTGTACTCGACTTTCCTGCGTCATCTCCTCTGTCCTTGCAATCATTCCACTTACACGGTCCCAAACTCTCTATTTGTCACACCAGAGCTTCATTATGACATCCGATACTTCTCACTGAAAGGACCAGTCCCACTCAAAATGCCCGCCCCTCTCGCCAAAGGTACTACCCCACCCTTCCTTCTGTAGCCTCGCAGGCACCAGCTTGTTGCAATGTGAAGACATTGACAAGCCACAGGTCTCTTACTATCGTTCTCCTTTCTTTTTGCTGCCGGACTAGCAGTCTATGACAGCAACCCTCAGATTCGACAATGGATCGATGACAATCGGAGAAGAGTTGCGGTAGCACTCCACGGTCTAGGTGACGAAGTGGCTCCAGGCACAGACGATAGGAATGCAACAGATGCTTCTACGCGGGAACATGAATCACCTGAAGCTGTTGAAAGACGGCGCCGAGCTAGGCAGGACATTCTAGAGCGAGGGCGACTAATGGAAGAGCGTAGGAGGGCCGCAGATCAAGCGAAACCCAAGATGTCTTTCGATGACTTAGTGGACAAAGATGGATCGTTGAAGAGAGAAGAAAGCTCAGAAGCGTTCACCAGTGCTGCCGAAACACACATGGAGGAGACCGGCTTGAGACACAGAGCCACGGAGACCAACGCGACAATGGCTGGCTCTTCATTTGCCAACCCTTTTGATGACGAGACAATGATGGAGCATCTAAGGTCTGGGACAGAGCAACCTCAAAGCGTGGAAGATCTCTCTCGCACCTCTACTCCTACACTTCCAGCCTCACCTCCCGTGCCTCCGAAACCTGCTGCCTACCAGCCCCGTAACCTGTTGATCGACACAGATCAAACATCCAGTCATCCGTCAGAACAACTCATCAATCTGACACCCACCACCTCGCACTTCTCTGCGGCTATTGACCTAGCTACCCTCCGCCAGAGCGAACAGAACACTTCCCAAGACACTTTCATGTCCGTTCACGAGTGGGCACAGGACCAAAGCACGCAATCGCTGCATTCGCCACTTGAATCTATTTCCAACAGCTCGAGCCATGCCAACGATGCCACTGAAGGATCTGTCACTGACAGTCTTGATTTTGTCAGTCAGATGGGTACTGAGGACGGCGAATCTGCAAGTGACCTTGGGGAAGGCATCAGCACACCGAGCACATGGACGGAGGTGGGAAGCATGGTGAGCGAGGAATAGCAGGAATATCCCCGCTGGTTTGGTTTATGAGACATACACGTAAGGCGCTGCGTGGGGAGGCGCTATTCAAATCCGGCATATTAAATGTAAATCATAGATGTGGACTAATCCTTCTAGTCGTACAGAGCCGTCTTTTCAGGTTGATTTGATGTTGAAGTCTCATTACCACGTTCTCAGCCTCATCTGGAATACAAAAGTTGCATATGTATGGGGCGGGTCGTAAATGTCCTGAGAGTCTTTTCTTAACTGATTCGTGACGTAAGTACTCTCATTTTTGCATCTAACTTGTTTCGTACGCGGAAAAATACATACGAACAGATGTGCCACATGAGATTCCATGACTACTTCGGTTTTGAATTGCTTGAATGGTCCTAAATTGCACAGTTAAAGCCCACAAGCTTTTTCTTCGACACCCTGAGACTGAGGATATATGTTGTTTTCAATTGTTCACTACTGCTCTGAATTACAGCATCGTCGGTAGCACCTGACCATTCATTCCCGACGCACAGTCCATTGTCATGACATGGGCACAATGATTGTGCTCCTTCATGCTACCGAATATCTTCCAAAGATTTAGATCAAGTGACTTGGACTTGCATTTGAGTATGCGATACTCTACTCGCAACGTATTTCGATGGCGTTTGCGCAAGAAACTTATCCTGGCCACCGTTATCTTCATTGTTTTCTATGTCATAACCGCAGTATTCCCTGAACCGTGCCATACCCTCGATGACAATCAAACTGACCGGTCACAAATCAGTCGAGACTCAACTCTTCCCTATCACGAACCTCCTGGCCGCTCTTCAATCTCAAGCTGTCTCAACCTGGTCGTCTCCGTCTTCATCTAGTTCTTCCGGCCTCCTCTTCCGATATCAATGTCTGCCGCGCCCTCCTCAGCGCTTCCATCCTTGGTTACCCTCCGCCAACCCTCATCGACTGGTCGTCTCCCCCATCCCCTTCCCACCTCGGAAAACTCAACGCAACGCTCCTTCACCTCAGTACCATGCCTTCTTCTCAAAATGCAGATCTAGTTCTCATGACAGATAGTCTAGACACATGGTTCCAGCTTCCCCCTTCCCTCTTAATGAAACGCTACCATTCTATCAACCAGCGGGCAAACGCTCGCTCTCTCGCCCGCTATGGTAGCCTCAATCGCAGGACACTTGCTCAGACGATCGTCTTCGGCTCAGAGAAGAAGTGCTGGCCAAATCCCCCTTCCTCTCTAGCCTGCTACAGTGTTCCCGATTCTCCCTTGTCACATTCACTTTTCGGCCCTCGGACGGACGAAGTGCGTGATGAGGAGGACGACGAGAATCCTTATCAATATGTACGGCCGAGGTGGTTGAATTCGGGATTCATAATGGGACCGGTGCGAGATATTAAGAGGGTTTTTGTACGCGCTGTTGAGATGGCGGAGAGGTTGGAAAGAGATGGGGAGGGGAAGGAGGGGGAGGTGGAAGGGGTCGTGATGAAGGGTGAGGTGGGAATGACGGATCAGGGTGTCTTATCTCGGGTATGGGGCGAGCAAGAATTTTCCAGGGAGGAGAAACTCGTGGAGGACGTGGCCGCGGTGAAAGATAAGGCGAACGGAAAGGCGGATTGGGGCGACTTGGGGAAGTGGAGACTCCAGATGGGGGTGAACTATGAATTCGGAATTGGGATTGATTATGCAAGGGAGCTATCGGCGACGACGCAGTGGAGTTGGTACGACGCTGAATGGATCACCATTTGTGATAATGACACAACCCTCGATGCGGCAGATAGGTTTGAAGTAGAAATGCCGAGGGTGAGTGGATTGCAGGAGGATGTCGCTGCATCAGCCTTACCTTTTGCTGCGCTGGAGAAACGCTTAAAGGTGGACGGGATGACATGGCAGAATGTAAGCTTGTACACGAGTTTGTGGACGGGTATTGTGCCGGTGAGTATACATCATAATGCGAAGAAGGATGGACAGAAGAGGGTACGGGATAAGGAGTGGAGAAGAATGTGGTTTGCGCCGTATGCGAAGCAGTTTCTTGATGAGCGTGTGAGAGCTGTTGAAGGAAAAGGGAAGGTTTTTGGTGTGGAGACTATGGGAAAGAAGGGAGAAAGGGGATGGATATCTTGGAATGAGCTGTGTGATCAGGGCATGCAGAAGATCCTTTTTGAGCTTTGAATTTCTAACCGTAAGAAGTCGTCCGACTTTATATTTGTACAAGGTTAATGCGTTGCTATGGAGGTTGGGATTTCAAATGACCGGAAAAATCGTAAAGACCTCACCAGTCTATTCCTCCGTCGCCTCCAGCAGTGATCTCCCTTGGCGGCTTGATCGGGACCGTCCCATTTACCAAGCTCGACTTTTTACCCTTCATGCCCTTCAACCTTTCGTCCAATTTATTATACGGCTTATCGGCTTCCTCCTCTTTCACTTTCCACTTATTAGTGCCTAGTCGAGCATCAAGTTCCTCGACAGGCGGTAGCTTCAAGTACACCCACCCATCGTCTCTTTCTTCGACAGGGAAAGTAGCTATATTGACTTCCTCATCATTGGTACATCTACCCGCGTCCTTTCCGTTCAGTGTGAAGTTCCTTTTGTGGAACGGACAAGACACCCAAAGCTTGTCGCTCTTGATATCGTCGCCGATCAAGCCCTCACTGAGAGCGAACGTACGCTTGTGAGGGCACATTTGTTGTGTTGCGTACCATTTGCCCCTGATTTTGAAGACCGCTAGTTGGGTATCACCTCGCTTGATATTCTTGCTGCTTCCCATCGAGGCATCTGAGAAGTGCTTTGCTTCGATGATAGGTTGCCAGGCGAGATTCGACCATTTTGTTCCGCGGAAGTCTTCAGTAACAGATTTCTTTGGCCAGTAGGCTGGCCTAACCTGACCTCTTTCGTCAACAACTTCGACATTATTCGGTATAGTTTCGGGGGTGTTGCCAAACTGTTGGAAACTCTGTTTTCGGGTTTCGTCATTAATAGCAGCCGTCCATTCGCAGAAAAAGGAGCCAACGAGTTCTGCCATCTGTTGCTCCAGGGAGCTAGCAATGCCAATTTTGTCCTCGAGTATAACTTCCCGCAAGTACTTGATACCATTTGGTAACTGTTCAATCCATCGCGCCGTACGTTGTAGCTTGTCTGCCGTCCGGATATAGAACATCAAATATCGATCTAGGATGGGTATCACATCATCTGGAGGAACATCTTTGGCAAGCAGCTCGCTATGCCGTGGCTTCGCGCCGCCGTTGCCTCCAACGAAGATGTTGAAACCTTTGTCTGTCGCTATCAGACCGAAATCTTTATTCTGAGCTTCTGCACACTCTCTTACACATCCACTAACTCCCGACTTCAACTTGTGAGGTGATCGGATAGATTTGTATCGTTCTTCGAGCCGTACAGCCATTCCAACACTATCGCCAATGCCAAACCGGCACCAAGTCGTACCAACACAAGACTTAACCGTTCGTAGAGACTTGGCGTATGCATGGCCGGACTCCATCCCAGCGTTGACTAGTGAAGTCCAAATGTCTATTAGGTCCTCCTTTTTAGCGCCAAACATATCGATGCGTTGGCCGCCTGTAATTTTACAATAGAGATTGTACTTCTTTGCCACACTACCAATAGCAATAAGTTTGTCAGGGGTGATCTCGCCTCCAGCAACTCGTGGTATCACGGAAAATGTACCATTGCGCTGGATATTCGCGAGAAAGCGGTCGTTTGTATCCTGCAATCCGTGAAGGGGCTCATCCATGACGTGTTGATTCCAGAGACTGGCCAGTATTGACCCAATGGTAGGTTTGCAAGCTTCACATCCAGCCGACTCCTTCTCTTTGCCACATTCAGCCATTACATAGGCAAAGGTTTTGAGCTTCTTTACAGAAATAACATTGAAAAGGTCTGCTCTTGAAAACGCAAAATGAGGGCATAGATGGTTTAGGACTTCGGCTCCTTGAGCCTTCATCTCCGCGTTGAAGATTGTTTGTACTAGTGGCATGCAGCCACCACAACCAGTACCGGCCTTGGTGCACGACTTGACATCCCCGATACTTTTACACGAGCCGTCTCTGACCACCTTGCACACGTCTCCTTTCGTAACGTTATGACACGAGCATATTTGGGTATCGTTAGTCAGGTCGCTACCATCGTCGTCGCCCTCCTTGCTTGCGCCTAATATGAATTGGCTTGGAGGAACCTCCAATTGCTTTTGATGCTTTACCATTGGTACCAGCTTTACATAGTCTTTGGTGTCGCCAATCATCATGCCCCCTAACAAATACTTGCCGTCGAGTGTAAATAGAAACTTTTTATAGACTGATTGGAAAGGATCTTTATATGATAAGGCTTTCACTGGAGGTGGAGGCGGTCCGTCAGTGATATTTTTGACTTGTTCTTGATGCATACCGTCAGTCTGTTCCTTTTTCATACCACGCCATTTCTCCGGAAGCTTCTTTGGGCCATCTCTATCAGCGAAAAAATCGCCGAAACTTGCAACTTCTACACCCAGCAACTTCAATTTAGTACTCAAATCAGGACTTTCGAACTTCCTTGGTCGATGAACTTTCGCCTGTGTCATATTAAAAGCCAGGATTTCGGCCATCTCGATACCAGGCGCAATCAATCCGAAAGTCTGATTCTCCCAGCTGGCACATTCTCCAATAGCGTATATACCTTCATGACTCGTCTGTAGGTCCGCGTCAACGACGATACCACCGCCTCTGTCAGCACACTTGATACCGATTCGCCTGGCAAGCTCATCGCGAGCTTTGATGCCAATACCGAACATGAGACAATTACATTCCATCCGTTCTCCGTCTTCGAATTGGACTCCCTTGACTGCATTTGTACTGTCTACTTCAATTCTACCCACCCTCTTGCTTAGCAGTACGTCCAGGCCAAGCTTTCGGACCAACTCGACTACCATGCCACCGGCGTCTTCATCTAGTTGTCGGCTCAAAACCCATCGATTCCGCTCGATCAGCTTGACTTTACCAAACGTCTCGAGATCCATCATTGCTTTGGCAGCCTCCAAGCCTAAAAGACCCCCACCTACCACGACTCCTGTGGAGCCTCTGCATGTCTCAGCGTATCTAATGAGCTTTTCGAGGTCATCTATGGTTCGATACACAAAGACTCCTTCAGCATCATGCCCAGGAGTATGCCGAGGCAGAAGCGCATCTGAACCTGTCGCGAGAATTAGAATGTCGTATGGCACGGTGGCACCTGTCGAAGTCGAGACTAGTCGGTCGGCAGGGTGTATTTCTGTCACGCGTGTGTTGAGATGATAGTTAAGCGATCCTTCCGGCATACCCGAATACCATTCTCGAGAGTTCAGATAAAGGTTCTCCGCTTGTCGATGTTGAAAGAAACTTGTTAGTCCCACGCGATTGTATGCTAGATGTGCCTCTTCTCCAATGACTACGATGTCGTATTCTCGCCTCTTCGCATCCATTTTCATGAGCTTCTCGATGAAGGCCACCCCGACCATGCCTAGTCCTACCACAACAACCTTTCTCCGCTGAGATTTCGGCTTTGCATCTTGTCGCCCGGCCTCAACTTCATCATCTATGTTGATCGGTACCTGCCCAGCCTGCATCCCAGGCGAGGAGTCTGCCCAAGACATCTCGAGCGGTGGAACTGGAAAAGAGCCACGTGAAAGGCAACTCCTTGCGCTCTCAAAGCACAAGCATCAAGGGCGAAGCCAGGAGTGGCAGCACATTGGATCCGTTGTGAGATACAGGTTCTGAAAGACCTAGAAATTTAAAGAGTCGAATAAAGCGATGAGAGCGACGCGCAACAGCATCCGATACTTTCCTACATGAGGAACAGATACGGCATAGCTGCCATTATCTGCATCGAACGCCCACCAACCCGCGGGGATACCCAGCGAATACGCCACGGCCACAGAGTTCTAGTGGCCAACGTGGGCGTCTCCATTTCATGCGGGCCGAGCTGCTACAGGCAGACCAACTCATTCTGGCGGGCTGCATTTCAACGGTTGCTCCAGGCATGGTGTGAGGATGGAGGACTGGAATTGGGTCTGCCTTTTCCTCGGCGGGAAATTGATGGAAGTCGACTACCGGATAAGGAGAATGAATGATAAGAAACGGCGCTTTGATTAGCTAGCTTACGGCTGCCAAGCCTCGAAATAACCGCGTCTCCGTCTCCTTTTGCCCCAATTCCGCAACCTCACCTCCTCTTGTACAGTCATACGGACTTCCATCAAAAGGCAGGCTCGTGCGATGCTGCTGGGAATGATTTCCTCGGAGTTCCTTTGCAGAGAGCCGTTCTACACATGCGCGGAAGCCTTTGCGAAAAACAAATTGAAGTTTGATCGCGACCTCATTGGGCAAACATAGCAAGGATGCCACTCTCTTACCTGTCAGGCAGAGTGCCCCGAACAATTGCAACATCGCGTCCCAGAGATGCTTCGGGTTCGAGCCTTCAGCATGACGTACGGGTGGGAATCTTCTTTCCCCATGCCCCCGAATGGTGTCTGCTCTTAGAGCAACGATCATTTCTGAGATTCGCGCCTTATCAGCGGCCTTTGATAGGACGGAGAATATTAAGATGCTTACCTCAGACACCATCAGACGATCCATCAGCTTGGTCCTAACGGTCTGGCCCACGCCGTCAGCCAATGCGCAAATCGTCTTCTTTCTCCGATCAGCTAATATCTATTTTTTCTGGCTTGCCAACGTTTGCCGAGATCGTAATGCGTATGCCACGGAGAATAAGGTTCCCAATCTACCTGCAAGAATTTAGGGAAATAGACCGCATGTCTTGTTTCCATGATGATTCTATTAATTGCACGTCCCATACTTCCTTGTATTGCATCAGATTTTCCTCTTTCCGAACGTTCCCCGCTACGCATATGCCTTCTTCAAAGCTCATTGAAAGCGTAATGTAATATGGAGGACCCTATAAGGCAGGACAGTCATACAGACCTCCTTCTGAGCAAGCACCAAAATCTTCCCCCCACTCCACCTTACACCGAAGAGAATATATCTGATTCATGCGACCATGATGTTGAGATCCCCCTACCTCCGCCTACCGTAGTTCCTATCGAGACTTTGGATATCGACTCAAAAACACCAGACGCCCATGTTCCCAGAGATCCAAGGCTCATAAGATTGACCGGTGTTCACCCTTTCAATGTTGAAGCACCACTGTCTGCCCTATTCGATGAAGGTTTCCTAACGAGTCCTGAACTGTTCTATGTGCGAAATCACGGCGCTGTTCCGGAAGTCAAGGATGACGAAATACCTGACTGGGAATTCTCCGTTGAAGGGTGATTGAAAATTGACGTATGATCTCAGGCATCGCGCTGACAGCAATGATAGACTCGTCAAAAAGCCAATACGAGTCTCACTCAGACAATTGATAGCCGAATATGAACAAATTACATGCCCAGTCACACTTGTTTGCGCTGGAAACCGAAGGAAGGAGCAGAATCAGGTCAGAAAATCCAAAGGCTTCTCTTGGGGAGCGGCTGGCGTTTCAACTGCGTTGTTCACTGGTGTAGCCTTAGGAGAAGTGTTGAAGAGAGCGCAGCCTATCAGGAGGGCCAGATACGTTTGTATGGAAGGGGCGGACAAACTTGTGGGTCCAATCACCACCTTTCAGCTTTGAGCTGAACACTGATTACGACTGTATCAGCCAAATGGATACTATGGAACTTCGGTCAAATTGAACTGGGCGCTGGATGCTAATCGCGGGATGATGCTAGCGCACAAAATGAACGGCGAGATGCTGCGGCCGGATCATGGCAAACCTCTTCGCGTGGTCATCCCAGGTCAGATAGGTGGTCGCAGTGTCAAATGGCTCAAGAAGCTTGTCGTAACAGCAGCGCCGAGTGACAACTGGTACCATATCTATGATAACCGGGTACTCCCAACCATGATAGGCCCTGAACAGTCTGCTAATGAGCCAAACACGTGGGCGGACGAGAGATATGCCATTTTCGATCTCAATGTAAACTCTGCAATCGCATATCCAGCCCATGACGAGCGACTAATGCTAGCAAACGCAAAGCAAAATTACACTGTGCAAGGCTACGCATACAGTGGTGGAGGCCGTAGAGTCACTAGAGTGGAATTGTCTTTGGACAAAGGTCGGACATGGAGACTTGCAAACGTGAACTACCCTGAGGATTTGTATCGAGAGACCGACCAATATATGTTTGGAGGTCGTATCGACATGTCCTGGCGTGAGAGTTGCTTCTGCTGGTGCCAATGGTCGTTCGATGTCCCAGTATCGGAACTAATGAATGCCCGCGATATCGTTGTTAGAGCAATGGACGACGCTATGAATGTGCAGCCTAAGGACATGTATTGGAGTGTGCTTGGCATGATGAACAACCCGTGGTTTCGAGTTGTCGTTCACAATGACGGCGAAATGCTCATTTTCGAGCATCCAACGCAGCCTGCCCTGCAACCAGGCGGCTGGATGGAGGAGGTCAAGAAGGCAGGGGGAAACCTTTCCAATGGCCACTGGGGCGAAAAGATCGGCAACCAAGACGACACCCCATCCGTGTCAACTGCAGCCAATGACATCTGCATGACCAAAGAAGGACTGAAGCAAGAAATATCCCTCAAGGAACTCCAACATCACGAGAGCGAAGCTGACCCCTGGTTCGTCCTCAATGGCGAGGTCTACAGTGGCACCTCTTTCCTCAATGACCATCCTGGCGGCGCGCAAAGTATCCTCAGCGCAGCTGCGCAGGACACGACTGATGAATTCATGGCCATCCACAGCGAGACGGCTAAAGCTATGATGCCGACCTACCATGTTGGCACGCTTTCCTCTTCCGCTCTCACCAACATCACCAATGGCTCCACAGACTCGTCCTCTTCTGGATCCAGCAAACCTGCTCTAACCTTCCTCAACTCTCGCCAGTGGTCGGGCGCCCCTCTGATAGCCAAACGCATTGTTTCTTCCGACACCGTGATACTTACATTCGCCCTCCAACACGAAAAACAGACTCTCGGTCTGCCAACAGGTCAGCATCTAATGATCCGTGTCCGAGACGCGCAAACCCAAGAGTCAATCATACGCTCATACACCCCGATCTCCGAGACTGCCCGGAAGGGTGATATGGAAATCTTGGTAAAATTGTACCTCGCCACCGCCGCTAACCGCGGTGGCAAGATGTCAAAAGCTTTGCATTCTCTCTCCTTGAACAGCATTGTCGAGTTTAAGGGTCCGACAGGCAAGTTTGAGTATCTAGGGAATGGGAGGTGTGCGATAGGAGGCAAGGAAAGAAAAATGAGTAGGTTCTGTATGATAGCAGCCGGCAGCGGTATCACGCCCATCTTCCAAGTTTTTAGAGCGATGATGAGGGAGAGAGGGGATGAGACGCGGTGCACGGTGCTCAATGGGAACCGCAACGAGGAAGACATTTTGTGTAGAGCGGAATTGGAGGGGTTGTTGCAAGGGCAAAAGGGCAAAGGGGAGGTGTTGCATACTTTGACCAACCCACCATGGGGTTGGAAAGGTAGGAGAGGGAGGATTGACAAGGGTCTCATTGGGGAGAAGTTCGGGACGGCTGATGGGGAGACGTTGGTGCTGATTTGTGGACCTCCTGGCTTGGAGAAGGCTGTGCATGAAGCCTTGAGGGGTTTGGGATGGGCCGATGAACAGATATTGTTCTTCTGAATGACTGAAGGTGCTTTACACTTCCGTATATATCGATATATTGTGTGACGAAAGATGTATGAGTGATTATAAGAAATGAAGGATCTGCAAAGCAAGGTACTAATAGTGAGACTGAAAGTCCATGATACTCGTGTCAAGCCTTCAATATGTCTCGAGTGCATATTTTCATTTGACTCACGAGTACCCCGTGTGGATCCGAGAGTCAGCAAAGACTCGGGTCTGACCAATCATAGGACGTCCTTTTCCAAAGGTTCTAGCGCAAGCCCCGCCCAAACGACGCACCGCAAAAATCCTTCCTCTTCTTCTTCCTCCCAAAGATCTTGACATTGCTCAGATCTGACCGCTCTTTCTTGTCACCCTTTTTGCACAGTCGAAGGTCCGACCTAAAGCACCTCTTTCTACAATCTGAATCTGCGATCATGGCGGACGATGAACAGGTACAGTCCTCGTCTTCCCCGCACTGCTTTCCTGTCCTGTGGAGATCTCTTGAATATTCACTTGGCTGATACATCTCTGCGCCAGCATGACGTTACTTTTGAGTCTGCTGACGCAGGCGCGTCAGCTACGTTTCCTATGCAGTGCTCCGCGCTCCGTAAAAATGGATTCGTCGTCATCAAGGGTCGCCCCTGCAAAATAGACAACATGTCTACGTCGAAGACTGGCAAGCACGGCCACGCTAAAGTCCATTTGACTGCTTATGATATATTCACCAACAAGAAGCTGGAAGAGTTGTGCCCTTCTACTCACAATATGGATGTGCCAAATGTGAGCCGCAAGGAGTATCCGTTGGTAGGTTCTATGCCAAACCCCACATGTTGAAAAGATGTGAGACTCATTTTTTCAACCGGAAGATCGATATTTCTGATGACGGCTACCTTTCCTTGATGACCGATGGCGGAGACACGAAGGATGATATCAAGATACCTGAACCTAGTAGTGATCCTAAAAATAAAGAGGGACCCCGCGAAAAGCTAAACACCCTGTACCCCGAGGAAGATTCGAAGAAAAAGGATACGGGTGAGTCGAGTCAAAAAAATATGGAGGTGGGAACTAACCTTTATGAGTTGTTATCATCCTTTCGGCAATGGGGGAAGAGGCTTGTATCGACGCCAAAGAAGCACCGAGATCCTAGAAATGCACCAGTCATCACATTCTTAGTATCCTCAAGAGCGCGTGTCTCTCTATGGGAGGATTGATGGGGAGAACTTTTAATGCTGGCTGCATAGAACATCAGCAGAACAATCCAGGGAACAGGTTACGCACTCTAAATCTAGGTTGGTCGTGAGTTTCTGCAGGTTCAACGGATCTTTTGCATAAGATCAACACAAGTTTATGGTAGAAAAAGGGGCTCGTGAAATCAATATATCGGTAGTGATATAGAAATGCCAACCCTTCGTTCCGTAAACCTTCTTTGCGTTGTTCATGCGTGTTGCAACCTTAAAACCCCATGTCACACTGGACATCGCATCGTCACCACTAATGTTGCGACATCGCTATTCCTTAGCTTTCGACCCAAAATGAGATGCCCTCGTCCCAGGGAGAATATTTCAGACGTGAAGAAGCTTGTGGGGACAGCGGCTGTAAAGAACGTCATTTTCGCTGGGGTGACGGTCACTTAATCTGCAAAGAAGGTCATGAACATTACGTGGGTCCTTGAACATTTCTCATTCGATGGATCGACCGGATGACAGTCGCAGGATGTTCAACAAACAGAAGCTGGCGAAGATGTATTTGGGTCCCAAGGTGGAGAGAAAACTCGGCTGAAGAAGCAGCCACAAGAAAAGACCCCCAAAGTAGATTTATAGAATTTTACCCCATCAATATGACGAACTAATCTCTCCCATAATAGTCTACAGAGGTACTAAAGCGCTTCTAGCCTATCTCCAAGGCTTCCAGCTTGTTCTTTGGAAACAATCTCGCGATCTCGCGCACTCCTTCAGCCTACCATCAGAATTGGAGGATGTTGTGAAGAATTTGTGGGGCCTACGCTTGCAGTTGGTAAGAGACAGAATCGATGAAGGAAACAGCAACGGAGACATTATATTCAGTTCGCAGTCCACGACGGAAGAGGAAGACGAAGCCCCAAGCCAAGACATGGCTAAATGGAAGAGCAAGTATCCACCAGCGTTGGTCGAAACATTGGCATTGTGCTATATTGCAGCTACGCTTCTTCGACTACCGGTCAGCATGGGAGAACTGTATCGGTATGCCCTCAGGGAAGATATTTGCTTCGTCCGAGCGATCCGCTTCATTCCGCAGGCCTTGAGATCCAAGTTACCCCCCGAATTTATCAAAGCCTTGGACACCACTTCCCCACTCGGCCCTGATCAGCTCAGGGTGGCTATCCACGGTCTCACCTTGCTGTTTCGACATCGCTTCGATCTCGATATTCCTCCATTGAATGCGCCGTTGATGCTCTTCAAATATGTCCAGAAACTTGCGCTTCCAATTCACGTATACCAGGCTGCTTGGAGGATCTCCAAAATCGTCTCCATGGATTTCGCATCGCCTTCACCACTAGGACGGCAAAGAATATCTGGCTTGCCGGAAATGGGCCTCATTAGCCTGCTCGTTATAGCAGTCAAGCTGTACTACCCATTCCTATCGGATGCTCAACATGCCACATCACTACAGGATCCAACTATACTGCGACTGAATTGGGATATCTGGCTTGCAGCAACGAAAAAGCATGAGCTCCGGCTCATGGACGAGCAGAATATTCCGCTCGGCTCTGCGATCCAGATCACGGAAGAAAGTGTCATGAATATGAATGGAGATCAAGCAGACGAATACCTTGACTGGTGTGAGCGCATGTGGGTCGATGAAGCGCGTGCAGAAAGAAAGCCCCGAGCTTTACCTGAGCAATTGCTGAAAATGTTTCCGTTGGGACGTCGAGACCCTTCAGAGTCTCGAGCAAATGGGCTTGAGGCGCAAGCCGAGCACGAGCGAGACTCTGAGCGGCGGCGACTGAGCGAAATTATCAGGTCACTTGAAGTGCATCAAACGGACGGTGACGGGAGAATGGACATTGGAGCGAAAATGGTGGGAGCGACGTATAAGCGCTATCGCTGCCTCGAGGACTTGGATGCTCGGGCTCGGGCTTTTCACGAAGCAGCAGCAGATTTAGTAGCGGTGAGAGTGGAAACGCTGTTGACAGCCGTGCTGCAGATAGAGCGGAGGGTGGTTGTTTGGAGAGAGAGCCAATCAAGGAGGGACCGAGAGAGTCCTAGCGAGTTCTCTCAGGACGAGGAGATGGAGCTTGCAGAAGTTGAGACTGAGTGACGACGATCTTTGACAATAGGAAGAACATTTGTATGTATAGTCCATTCAGTCACAACGTAATCAGATCCATCCGCAATCAGTTGGTCTGTGCATGGTCCGCTCTCGACCGCTCTCCTGGATCCTGCTAAACAGAAGATCCCGCGTAGATTCAGGGGCTTGACGGACGTACAGAAGGTTACGAGTAGAGTAGTATGATCTCCCGATCCTCTCTAAGACTTGCCCGCACCAGCCCCTAAAGCCTGCCGCAAAAAGCTTCCAACGATCAGAACCTGCCACTGGATCTAATAATAATATCAATAATGTTGATAGTACGGAGTAGTAAGTGCCTACGTAGTAATCTAAGCAATCATCGTGAATGCTACCTGTTGTCTGTTGTTGAACGTGCCGTATTACCATTTACCAGCCCGTGGACTATGGATCGTTAGGGCTGGCACCGACGAAGGCGGCAACTCTTCCCCGGCCGCCATTTCCCGAACGCCCATCATCGCCTCCCCTGCATGCAATAATCGTTCTGGCCCTGCACACTCGAAGCTGGGGAGATTGATGCAACACCAGTGACGGTAAGATGACCGCCGCAAAGAGCGCCGCAATTACCATAAGCAGCCCCCTTCCTTCACCCCACTGTCGAGTGACACTCCACTCCTTTATTTGATTCTATTCTGTTATAACATTCTCCGGCAATACCGACTCTCCTTGCCTTCATCTCACACCACCCGTTTCATCATCCAGCATTCCGCGCTATCATCACGATCTCATAATCTTCATCGCGAGACTCGTCGCCTCTTGACCCTGTTTGCCACGTCGCGGTGTGGGCGTTTCCTGTACTATTAAGCCTTTCTTTGGATTCCAAATCGTGCAGCCGTACGTCATCTGTCCGCGATCAACAATTTCAGGCCCGACGCGCCGATTACTCCTGTGACTTCGCCCGACGCGCCTTGCACAATCGACATGAGCAATTGACGGGCATGAGGGGAAGTCTGAAGGCAATTCGCATGTAAAGAGCAATTGTTGCACTTATGGCCATGGCGATCGGACAGCCAGAAGAGACCGAGGCGACCGCCCTACCGCCGTTAAACCCATTGCAGTCTTTTCACAGTCACATGTATTCCACGAGCTCCAACTCTCAGGCACTCAAGCATACAGACAGCGTGAAGAATGAGAAAGCCAAAAGAAGATCGAGTCGTCAGGCTGCTAGTGTCGCCGAGGACGGTATCAAAAGACGGTCCTCGCGCTTAGGCATGTTCGGTCTATTCAACCGACATAAAAACCCAAATTTCGACTTCGCAGAGCCATCTAAATTGGATACACAAGTGGAAGGAGATGAGAATCGGCAAGACCCACAAAGAGTAGACAGCGAACCGTCAAGTAACAATCATCGTGCTTTCGTGCCACCATCCGATCCTCAGCCGGTCCAAGAAGCACAAAAGGATAACCTCCGTCATCGAGCCTCGAAGCGCGCCTTGGAGACCAAAGAGTCTTTTGCGAAACAAAAGGCCGTGACCTGGGAGCCTCCGCCGCTGTTTCAGGCATACCCGCAGTCTGTCAAACACGCTGAATTGCGTGCTCCTACGATGGCAGCAGATACAATTGTACGGCTTAATCTTGAAAGGCAGATCGCAAATACAAAGCATACCCCTTCCCCAGACAGCTTGAATAGGGGTAAGAAGCAGAAAGAAAAGAAGCTCAAGAAGGTATCAGCGCTGGATTTGTCGAATAGTCGTGATTGGACGGACAGAACATTCGTTCTTGTGACGGAAGGCTATCTTCTACAGTATGCTGGTCGTGGATGTCATGATCGGTTACCAGAGAAGATTCTGCCGCTCGGCAGGGAGTCCGCAGCTTTCGTGACTGATGCAATCGCGGGGTGTCCTTTCGTGTTGCAAATATCGCAGATATCAGGGGACGACGGATCTATAAATCCTGAGATTTCGAAAGAACTTCTTCGAAAAGCGAATCTCAAATCTGAAATCAAGCGGTCGGCGTCTACAATCTTGCTTGTTCTGACCTCCCCAGCAGCTATGAATGCATGGCTCGTGGCCGTCAGAAAGGAGATAGAGGCTTCAGGTGGCAAGGAGTACAAGCCAGACGTTTTTGGTACTGACGGGGTTGAGGATGAGCGCCTAGATCCATCCTTTCCGGACCTTCGCCGAATTCCAAGTCAAAGATATCTTGTAAAGCGAGAGCCCCACAAATTTACCAAGGACCCTCTTCCTAGCATGACTTCAGATGAGTCAAATGACGACAGAAGACGGTCGCAGGTTCCTAGAGGATTGGGTTCTTCGATCAAGAGATACTCACTTGCAACCCAAGACTCTACGAATTCTCGGTATATGTCAGACACGACAGCTTCAATTGATCAGATTCATCTCGACAAGCTTAGAGAGTCTCCGCGCCAATCCTATGCCTCCGTTGATGCAAAGACTGCATCCACATCTCGATGCTCCTCCGCGGAGCGTTCCCCCGTTTTGGAACGATTCGATCAAAACCTTGAAGCCCGTGCTGTGTCGTCCCGGAAAAACTCAGCCATCTCCTCCATTGGCCCAAGTGACCAGAAAAATCTTCGCGAGGATGATCGAAACCTATCTCAAGCAACGCCGACCCCCTCTTCACCTTCTTGCTCAAGCACGGCCACGCCAACAGCCATTCGAGCTGCCTCGCCAGCAACTCCAAACTTCAGTGTTCCCACATTCTCCAAGCGATACTCGGTAGCGGTCGGCGCCTCGTCGGCGCTGGAACACGTGCGAGCATCACCTGTGGCGGCGCAGCAAGATCGTACCACTTCGCCTTCTAGCGAACGACTCGAAATTGGGCGCTCCAGAAAATCTCCGTCGACGCAATTTCGCTCAAGATCAGCCTCGCGGATGTCAAAACGAGTGTCCTCCACCACCTCAGATACCGATAGGCTGTCGACACCACCAAAATCATCTGATTCAAATAACCCTCCTTCGTCCTCCGGAAGTGAAGCGTATTTCTCGAAGCGTTACTCATCCCTGAACTATGCACGGGGTATCTCTCCAATACCGTTGCCGAGCCATTCTCCTTCGCCACATCCTCCACCTACGTCTTCTCTGCCTCCAATTCCTAGCGCTAATGAAGCCAGTCGAGCTTCCTTCAGACCGACCCCTATCACACCATCTTCGCCCGCCGTTGAGCAATCGGAGCAGTCTCCATATCCCTTAATGACCGGCGCCATCCCAGCTCCAAGTACTGTTGCACAGTCCTCAAACATTGCACTCCACCCTCCTTCTCCGCCCCCACCACTACGAAAAGGGCCCCCTCTATTGATGCTGCTTCAGGACGCAGACTACGCCGTCCGATCAGCATGCAAGTCCGCGCACGGCCGCCGACGCCTCCTACTTCACAACACGCCTCCGCGACTCATGTCGCGTCCGCCAAGTTCCCACCTCAGAATCCACCCGAGGAACATAATCAATCTTCTCCCGTCTTGAGACAAGATCCGCTATCTTCATCGTCACCAAAGACTCTCGCACGCAGAAGCATGCCCCGTCTTGGTCGTGAGCCTTCCCCTATCCCGATCATTCCCTCTCCTGCACAGAAGCTTGCCACTGCACCAACAATCGCTTCACCCTTCGAAAGCCATGCCAGGATAGGAGCGCCGCATTCGTTCATTCCACCGATTGACTTATCTGACAGAAAGAGTGTTGGCAGCCTCGATGGGCCGTGGAACAAAGACTACCATAGTGGAAAGAGACTGTTCCTAGATCTGAGCTAGGAAGGGGAAGAACTAGAGAGTCCTCATCGCTTCGGAGATAATTTGAACCTTATCAACTGGTTACAGATGATGACGATGATCATTTTTTTGCTGCTTGATTATGATACCCTTGTTTGTGGAGAGATCGCTACTGTAAGAAGTACGTAGGCAAACATCTTCGATCATTTCTTCTGAAACTTTAATCATTTCGTTAACTTCCTACTATCTCGCCTTTGACTACCGCTTTATTTTTCAGAGCCTGAACAGAATACCTTAATCCCTACCTTATCTTCACTTCTACTAAAGGTATAAAAATGCTTCTCGCGCAACCCATCAATCGTGACGCAAGTGAAGACGATCAACCCCCTTTGTGAGCATTAGATTTAAGGTCCAGATGAGCCGAAGCCACCTCAAGCGTTTGTTTCTTACCTCTCGGTACAATCTGCTAGCTTCAAAATCCTTACATATTTCAATGCACACGAAAGCTTGGTGTTGGGACTGACTTACTTGAGGACCGCGTGCAATGCTGCGTACTCTCACGTCTTTGATTGCGACAAGTATAGTCGTCTCATTTACGATCCTATTGCTGAGGACAAATTTCAGTAGCACAACGTTGAGACGAACACTCAACTTGCCCCCGCCAACATCCTCATCAAACGCCTACACGCATGGGTTTCCTGGATCCTCATACTCTACCACGACGACAGTGACGCTTGCAGTCGACCCAAAGAACTCAACCACACCGATCAGCAAAGCATCGGGGAATAATGCCATCAAGGACCGCCCACCTCCAAGCTACCCCCAATCCAGTCCTTTAGATGTCGCGTTAATCGAGACAAATGGAGTACACGAAGAAGTCTTCGCTGCTCTCGTCCACAGCTTTGGATCTAAACCAGAAGCTAGATTGCACTTTTATAAGGAAGAGCCTCGTTATGACATCCAAGGGATAGTCGCGGAGTTTGAATTGTGGCAAGAGCCCCCAGAATGGCAAGCATGGGAGGCTCTTCAAAGAGATGACATAGGCTATCACCCAAGCATATTGATATTAATAACTTGTTATAGTGATCCTTTGAGGCTTGCATCGCGCTTGAGAAGGCTCCTCGAAGAGGGCAAAACATTCATCTATTGTGTTGTACACGAGACCGCTCGCTGGGATGGACCAGACCCCGACTTGGACGAGATTCTCAAACCCTGGGCGCAAAAAGGGCTGCTTGACTTCATTGTACTCTCGCCCGCTGTCGCAAGAACGCTAGAAGAGAAAGGGATGAGAACATGGCCTAGGAGGGGGGCACACAAGGTACCAAGATCAGTGAGGACATTTCCTCCAATTTTTCCAGTGAGGCTGCCACCGTTACCAGCCATCGTCGAAGATCAAGATGATGGCATTCATATGAACAACTCATTCGCCATACAAGGCATCTTCGATCCCGAAAGACGGAATTTTGAGGTTACTTTTGCACACTTGGAGCGCTTTATCAATGACAAAGCAAAGCAAATGAACGATTCCACCCCCGCGCCACTGGAAGATACTATGCAGAAGCCAGAGCCACCGTATCCAATAGAGCATTCTCCTGTTCACCTGCATCTGATCGGCCATGGTGAGGAACGACCAAAGATACCAGAAAGATTGAGACAGAACATCTTCATCCACGAAAATTTGAATTACCACGATTTCTACAATCTTCTTTCTCAACAGTCAGCTCTACTACCAGCATTCAGTAGCGATAAGTACAGATGGATGAAGGCCTCCTCTTCAATTGCATGCTCACTAATTGCCGGTACACCACTCGTTGTAGACGAAAACATCCTGCGGGCGTACAGCTACCTAGGAGAGGACGCAGTGTACGTACAAAAGAACAAGGAGACAGAGTTCGATGCACTAGGCAAAGTTCTGGAAGGATCATACGATCATGTGGTCGAGAAGCGGAGGCGAGTCCGGCTGAGAGCATCGCAAGTAATTGAGCAGAACAAAGGGCAAGCTAGAGAGTGGATTACAAAAGCTGGAGTAGAGATAGGCAGGTATAGAGACGGTCATGAAAGTGGATAAATTGGTTAGGACGAAGGTTTTAAACATGTTCGCGGCTACTCTCGAGCCTCGGGAAAGCACAGCCTCGGAGTCTGCGTGTACGCGAGCAATAGAAATATATACATTCAAGTTCTTTGGTTGAGACAGTCTCGATCGAGGCACGAGAAGGGCGAACTGTTGGCGTGCGCCATGGATGCATATCAGTGACTAAGCATTAGAAGAGATGTTAGGGGAAACGCAACTCAAATACGCAAAGGCAACCCCGAAGGATTCTTAACCGTATATCATACCTTACCGTTGCCGTGCATGTCCTTTTCACAGCTTAGACCCAGGTAACATACTAAAGAGAGCACCAATCTTGACTTGGCTGTCAGGCTATGAGCATATGTGGGCAATTGGATACCTTGCCCTAGAGCACATCGCACCTCTGCACTTCATGTTGAGGCAAAAGTTGGAAGAGACAGGATTTTGAGGGGCCTGTGGGGTGGGGGCGATTGCGAAATGCCATGAAGAAATACAGGGAATTACAGGGGCCATACAGTATCAAGGAACCAACACTAACGAATTGAATTTTGATGTAGTTGTTATGCGACGGAGGACTTATTCAACCCAATGATAAGATACGCTCTCTATTACTTTACTGCCATGACATGTCAATGCAAAGCCTGCGTCTCCTGGAAATTATGCTGGAAGACAGCTGCGAACGATGACGCGTGCGAGTTTTTCTAGACAGAAAGAATCATAATCTCCAATACGCCATGAACTTATCGAAACTCAGTGGGGCTGGCTAGGGATTGGAATACTCTTAGCTTCAATAAAAAAAAATATCAGTATCGACAACCGGGGTAACTTCAAGAAATCGGTCCTATCCCTCTGGCTGGCGTTGGTAGTGTTTATTTCATACAAGGGCTTCAGGGCGCCTTCTCCGCCTCGGCGTTATTTTTGGGGAAGGTCTTGTTAGGAGTCTCAGGGAACTTCCCAAACTGACATTCTAAGGTCCAAAACATATATACACACCACGCCAGCCAACGAAGTAATTGCACCAGGAAATCGGTAGCAATAATAACCCCATGAGATAATATGAGAAGATAGAACCAAGTTCTTGGAGTTGTATGCTAGAGTCTGCACTTCTCAGACGCTGAAAATACTTACCATTTATCATCACGTCGTTTCATTGTGTGAGACTGAAAAGAAGCTGTCTGTCTGGCGTTCGTGCTTGGTCTTGTCACGAGTCTGCAGATGAGATGAGAGCTGGTCATCCACATACGAGATATTCAAGAGTCAGCCTTCTGAACGGTTTGGTCTGCCCTCGAATTGGGTGAGGTCTATGGAGTAAGGTCTTAGGGGTTCAAAATCGATGTAGAAATAACGATCGGAAAGATTCCGCTGGAGGTGAGGGAAGGCTGACGAGCCGACCAATGTCTTGGCATCGAGAACTAGGTATTTTCTTGAGTGAACCAGAAAGTTCCAATTTGTTCGATCTCTTTCAGACACCGCATCCTGATCCTGCTAGCCCCAGCACGTCTAGGACATGAAACACTGCTTTCAATCCTGACTCTCTTCAGGTATAACGGCCTAACAGAATCCGACGAGACTCTGGGCGCCCTCTAAGGAAATTTGCCTAGCTTGCCAAAATGAGCGTTGTTGGTGTTGATTTTGGTACGCTCAATACGGTCATCGCCGTTGCTAGAAATCGGGGTGTCGATGTGGTATGTGCAATCTTTAAAGCTCTAATATACCGAACTTGCTAACAAACACACGTAGATAACTAATGAGGTCTCCAATCGAGCCACACCGTAAGTCAGTATCCCGTCGTGCAGACCTTTCTTGCTAATTTTCGCCAGTACTCTTGTCGGCTTCGGCCCCAAGTCCCGCTATCTAGGCGAGGCTGCCAAAACGCAAGAAATCTCAAATCTCAAGAACACTGTCTCCTCTCTCAAACGGCTCGCTGGCCGGTCCATTAATGACCCAGATGTACAGATTGAGCGCGAGTTTGTCTCTGCCCCACTGGTCGATCTCAAAGGCCAAGTTGGGGCGGAAGTCATGTACATGGGTGAAAAGCAGCAATTCACAGCCACACAGCTGTGTTCGATGTTCCTCAGCAAAGTCAAGGCTACAGCGTCCGCCGAGCTAAAATTACCCGTCAGCGATATCGTCATAAGTGTACCACCTTGGTTTACGGATGTGCAGCGAAGAAGTATAATGGATGCGGCAGAGATCTCTGGATTAAAACTTTTACGCTTGATCAATGATACTACCGCCACTGCGTTGGGTTACGGAATTCCAAAACTTGACCTGCCAACAGGTGAAGAAAAGCCGAAGCGAGTCGCCTTCGTCGACATTGGTCACAGCACTTATTCCTGCTCAATAGTTGAGTTCAAGAAGGGAGAGTTAGCTGTCAAGAGTACTGCGTTCGACAGGCATTTTGGCGGTAGAGATTTTGATAAGGCTCTCGTCCGACACTTTGCCAAAGAGTGGAAGGAGAAGTACAAGATTGACGTCTTATCAAACCCTAAAGCAGTCGTGCGCGTCACAACGGCTGCGGAAAAGCTCAAGAAGATTTTGTCCGCCAATGCGCAAGCTCCTATGAACATTGAATCGCTAATGAATGACGTCGATGTCTCTGGTATACTGAAGCGGTCAGAGCTAGAAGAGCTTGTCAAACCTTTGCTTGACCGTGCTACTGGCCCCCTGGAACAAGCATTAGCAGACGCAAAGTTGAAAGTCGACGATATTGATTCAATCGAGATCGTCGGAGGATGTACTCGAGTACCTGCCCTAAAGGAGCGCATCAGCAAGTTTTTTGGCAAGCCTCTTTCTGCAACCTTGAACCAAGACGAAGCTGTAGCGCGTGGATGTGCCTTCAGCTGTGCTATCCTCTCCCCTGTCTTCCGCGTTCGCGATTTTTCTGTCCATGACATCGTCAACTATCCTATCGAATTTCAATGGGAACAGTCACCAGATATACCCGATGAAGATACGAGCCTTACCGTTTTCAACAAAGGCAATGTCATGCCATCAACGAAGATCCTTACATTCTATCGGAAACAACCCTTCAACCTCGAGGCAAGATATGCCAAACCTGAGCAGCTCCCCGGCAAAACAAATCCCTGGATAGGGCGCTTCTCTGTCAAAAACGTTAAGGCTAATGGTGATGATGATTTCATGATTTGCAAGCTAAAAGCGCGGCTGAACCTCCACGGAGTGCTGAATGTCGAGCAAGGCTATTGGGTTGAGGATGTTGAGATAGAAGAACCTTTACCAGAAGAGAAAGATGCCAAGAAAGAGGAAGCCGATAAAAAGGAAGAAAAGAAAGACGGCGATGTAAGTAACCCCGGCGAATCTTATAATTCGAGAGACCAATTTGTTCCCAAGACGACCTCCAAGGTCAAAAATTTCGCCAAAAACATATTCGGCCACAAATCGAAAGAGAGTTCACCGCTAACGGATTCTCAGGCCATGGATACCTCTACAGAGGCCAACGGCAGTGCCGAACCCCCTAAGCCCAAAACCCGCAAGATTAAGAAGCAACAGAAGAAAGGGGAACTGCCTGTATCTGCTGGAACGTCCTCCCTGGACCAACAGACCAAAGACGCAGCCGCCGAGAAAGAAGGAGCCATGTTTATGGAAGATAAACTTGTCGCTGACACAGAAGATAAGAAAAACGAGCTAGAGTCATTCATCTATGAGATGCGTGGTAAGATTGACGATGTGTACTCCGAGTTCGCTTCCGAAGACGAAAAGACAAAACTCAAGGAAAAGCTCGAGGCGTCTGAAGACTGGCTCTATGACGAAGGCGACGATGCAAGCAAGAACGTCTACCAGGCAAAGATCGACGAGATCAAATTCATCGCGGGTCCGATCGTAGGCAGGTATCAAGATAAGGTCGAGGAGGAACGGCAAGCTGTGCAGAAAGCGGAAGAGGAGAAAGCGGCCAAAAAGCGAGCGGAGCTGGAGGCAAGGAAGAAAGCCGAGGAAGAAGCAGCGGCCAAGAAGAAGAAAGAAGAAGCTGCTGTTAAAGGAGAGGATGTCAAGGATGAAGAGATGAAGGAGGCCCCCGCCGATGCTGGCGAGGGGGTGAAGGCTGACGGGGTAGAGGAGCCGGGGGACCAGGAGATGAAGGGTTGATTCCGGTCGGAGGTAGGACACTTTGAACCAGATGATAGAATTTCCCCCTATTCGATGCTAGACGATACAGATGATAGATAGCAATTTACTGCCAGACCTACGGTCGAAGAATGATAAGTTGTGCTTTCTCAATCTGTTTCTTCGCAGATTTGTACCTGATGTATATGCCTGTGAGTGTTGAGCCGGCGCTTTGAACCTGAAGATTACTTGGATCACGCCCTTTTCAGACCTTTCAACGCGCATCTACGCCTTTTACGCAATTATTTACCAAATTCCAAGGCAATTGCATATAACAGTAACAGTCCGATGCGACATGTAGCATTCACTTTTGATTTCATTGACTACTAATACAAAGTATAATTGATGCTCGCTTCGTCCCATTACCCTCTTTAAACGCACGACAGCAGCCCAGCAACAGCATAAGCACAGTAGAAAGGAGGCGCATTAATAGGCAACAAGCGACCTAGCGGACCAGAAGCACAATGGGCGTAAAGCCCCAGCTCCTGAAATCCGCCCAGGCCGAGCTCCCAAGGAACCAGATGCACATGGGCGTAAAAGCCCCAGCAACCTGACATTCCTATCGAAGCCCCTCCACCTGCCTTTTACTTCCATTCTTCCTTAGCTCTTCCACCTCACGTAACATGCACCAAGCGGTGCCTCGCCTGATAATAAGCGAACAGTCCTTTCATCCCGTCGGTAAGTCCACTCATGAAGGAGCGGAACTGGTCGGGGTTGACATTATGCTCTAACTCCAAGCCGTATTCGACTGCTGCCCGCCTGACATCCGGGTGCGTATGCTTCATCGTGTGATAGAATATGTATCCTAGTCCTTCGTAATCCAGCATACCGGCGACGATACCCTGAAGATGGATGCGGTGGAGAAGCCCGGCGAGGACATAGCATCCCATGGTCCTGAGGCGATGATCGAATTCTGTTCGCATGACGTCGACGATGGCGTTCACGGCTTCTGCTGGATGAACTCGGTCGGCGAGGATTTCCGATGTATCCTGCAAGCCAGACACCATGTGGGAGGTATCGTTGTAGAACCTCCGTGCAGCTATCAGGGAGCATAACATCTGTACGTGGAGGCTGCTCAGCTCATGCTCGAATTCTTGGTAGAGCATCCGAATGGTGATGAGAATTTGTGTCTTCAGATCGATCTCCTTCTGCACGTCGAGAATATCTTCAGAGTCGTTTTCGGTTTCGAGATGTTCCAGCAATGGAACCATTATTTCTTGTACCTTGTAGCCTTCTTCCCAAACAGCTCGGGGTGCGAAGTAGATGACGGATTGTAACTTTCGGAACCCGTGTATGTCCAGAGATTGTGCTTGTACGCGGACAATGGCGCTCTTCAGGATCTTCTGTGCCAGCATGGGATTTTCCATCTTATCTGACTCGTGCTTGACTTTAGAGAGCTGTCGTTTTTGAAGCGTTCTCCACTCAAGATTGTAATGCTCCGGCACGCCGTGTTGGTATTCTTCTCGATTGAGCTTAAAGTTATTATCATCGGTATGGCGAAGCTTGTTTGTAGGTTCATTGACAGGTAGTTCACCAAGAGCTCGTGGTCTAGACGATGTGTCTGCTATAGGTGAAGCAACCGTGGAACCACTGGGGAAAGGATCCTCATAAACCTTCAAGGATTTTGGAGTTTGCGACTTTGGTTGCATATTTTCTTTCCGACTGACTACACTGCGAGGACTCATCGAAATTCTTTCCGGGCGCTTTGGAGATCGCTCTGGAGAGTGCTTGTCTAGTTGTTTGACCTCTACGCTGCTATGAATAGATGGCAATGCCTTATCGGCCTCCTCCCACGAAGATTCCTCATGGGGCTGATTCTGATCTTTTCTCAGCGACTTCTCAGCGGTCTTTGGCGGTATGTTGCTAGTATTGGCTACTAGCTCATTGTCTGCTTTCGATCTCGTGTCAGATACCTCTTCCGGATCATGCATCAGGGATGACGGCATAGCAGATCTTGTTGATGAGGCTTCTTCCTTGACAGTGTTACGCGTGGAGGCTAACATTGCATCATGTTGTGCTTTTATCTCCGCGTCTCTCTCAGCGCCGATAGGTGGTAATGGTGTGTCAGCCTTTGGTCTTAGAGGAAGTTCCTCCCAGGAAGGTTCCTTATGTCGGCGGATCTCAGTGTCGACATGGCTTTCCGTGGGCGCCTTGGCTGTGTGGAGTCCACGGCGTGGTCGTACTGGTGCAGATGAAAGTGTGCCGATTGAATGAGATGACGGCTGACGAGTTGTAGACATGGACGTGGCTGGCCTAGCTGGTGGAGCAGGTTTAATGGGTGACACAGATGATTCAGCGGCCGATCCTGGACGCGGTGGAAGGTCTCTGTTAGCTGCTTTAGCTCTCTTTTGGGCCGCTATAGTTTCCTTGATAGAAGGTCGGGTGGATGCAGCGCCTGCACTTTTGGAGAAAGTCGATTTTGGTCCCGCAGCAGCAGCAGCAGCAGCAGCAGTAGATGTCGATTGTTGCGGATTTGGATTTGCAGAGTTCTTCACTAGCAGGTCTTGGTGGCTTTGAGATAAACCTGCCATGATAGCTTCAGATCTTTCCGACCATATTTTCGCGAATACCCAGTACACTGGTCGCATACTTTCACGAACCCCTGGGTTGCTGTCATTGAGACCATTTTTGACACTTTTCTCGACTAGTTCCAAACCGCCGGTGTGTTCAATGTTGGTCTTCAAGGTGGAGTGATTGCTAAGAACAATTCTTAGCCAGCCACAAGCAAATGTCCTAGGCTGTGCATTCTTGTCCTGCGAAGCCATGTGGATATGCTGTAATAGGCGGTTATGATAGGATACGTATTGCATAATAGCGGTGACTGTGTCATTGGCTTTATTGGCAGCAATTTTTTTGGTATTTCCACAGAGCTTAACAAGATTCTGCAAGAGTATTTCTACCATACCGTCCATTGCTGGTCCGCAGACTCGTGCGAGATCCTGTACAAGATGGCATCCAATTGTGCAAAGTGTTGTCCGAAGAGAGTTGACTGCTTTCAGAATGCCGTCAAGCATAGATTTGACATTAGCAATAAAAAGCGTCGTATACTCCTGAGGTGCGTTGCCTTTAATTAGACGTCGAAGCTTCTCGATGCTTTTCTCTCGCTTGAGCCAGTTGGATTCGGCTTCTTTACCTTCAAACCACTGCTGCATTTCGCGGAAAAATTCTTCGAGGTCTCGAGACGTCTCGATGTACACTGGAGTCAGTGAAGCAGCCTCCTGTTGTGAGATTGACATGGGTTGGGCTTCTGGTGGTGGAACCTCGTCAGAAATTGCATTAGTGGTTTGAGAAAGCTTCGATGGGGCGAGCTTTCTTTTTTGGGCTCCAGGCGAGACAGGTACGCGCCTATCTTGGTGTGTCTTTGATGCAAATTCAACTCGAGGTGTCCCAGTGGGGGGAGAGACGGGGGTTGGAGGCTGCTCGAATCGATTGACCTCTCGTGGCCTTACATCTATCTCAAGTTCGACGAGTATGTGGGTTTCGATGCTTTTGCGTACATCACGTTCTCGCATTTTCTTCTGTAGGTCTTGCCTTGATTTCAGCGGAGTGTCACTAGTCATTCTGTCAGCTGTGATTCAAAATGCATGACTCGTAGGGGTAGTTACGTAAAGAGCTCGATGACACTTTCCTGAGCAGCCTTTCGAACATGTCCATCAGCGTCCTCAAGGCAATTGACAATATTTGGCACAAAGCTTCGGAAGAGCATTCCCTTCTCCTTGTGCGTCTATGACGCGTAAGTCCACAGCTAGGGTCTGGATAGATAAGTCCTACCTGTAAGATCCATTGCATCGATGATAATTTGGCTCTGGGATGTTTGGATGTTAGGGCAGTGTCGCGAACAAAGCGCTCAACATCCGATGAGGCCTCCTCTGAGACCGAATATAGGTCAGTAAAAGCCGTGATCGCTCTCTCGCGAATCCGATCTCTTGGATCGCCAAGCCTGTCGTGAAGTATAGGGAAGAGTTTGACGGTGTAGGTATGAATCGTGGAAGGAAGGTTTTGGAGAGTCAAGCGGCGATTGAGGTGACCCAAAATTGAGAATCCAGCGTCCACGACGTGAGGGACCGCAAGAGAGAGACGTATGACATCAAAGATGGTAGGTATGGCACGGTCGGGACATGAGCGGTGTTTGATCTCTTGCTTGAGGGCGGTGAGATGCCTCAATTTCTCTTCGACAGGAGTGTGAGATGCCTTCAGAGAGGCATGCGCCTCATTTGCAAGATTCTCCATGCTCCAGAATTGGCAGAGATAGGTGATGAATTCGAGCAGCAGAGATATGTAGTCTCGACAAGATTCGAAGAGAAGAATTGCTATCCCTAAGAAGCAGACTGTGAGCACAAAAGCGTACAAAGCGAGCAACAGGGCGAGAAAGCCAGCTGGGAGTGAGCTGAGCATCCTTGTTAGAATGCTACTGTTTGAAAGTTGTAAAACTTGATGAAGGAGGCATTTACATGGGCAAACACGAAAGTAAACGGTCGCGTTCAGACATACCTTGGGGTCACGCTGCGTCAACAAAGCTATCAAGCCATGGCTGAAAAATCAAAGGTTGGTGGAGCATAAACATCACACGCGATTGAAATGCAGTATATTACAATATTACCGCGCTAATCGAAAGATTTCTGCCAAGACCTTTGGTCTCCCTTGTCACCCCGGGCAGATTTCGTCGTCTGTTCATCTCGACGATGCAAGAGTGTACACGCGCCTAAGGATAGCATGGTAAAAGCAAGAGATTGACAAACTCAAAGTCTTCGACGAGTACGTCTGCCAGATTCACGACTTGAGGAGTCAGATTCTAGTTCGTGGAATCGCCAGACTGGCATATGACGTGCAGGTGGAATACGCTTCGGGCCGAGCTGCAGATTGACGTTTAGGGAGGTAATTTTGAAAACTACTGATTATCATCGACCTCCGGCCAGCACGACTCCATGGCTGTGTTTGAGTGGCTGCTATTGTAGATCGCGAAGTTCATACTTTCCGAGCCTCTAGGGGCGCGTGTCTATTTCCAGATGGACGCAGGTGACCCTCAATTATTCTACGCGTCAAACAATTCAAAGTGGCTTGATTAGAGTAGAGTTAGACTTATCCTCAGTTGACATGGCAACCAGCGGTAGATGATTCAATTGCCTTTCAGCTTTCCAATCTGGCTTTCAAGTACTCTGACCAGAGACTGTCTAATTGCTCACCAATGCTACCAATTTCACGGTCGGAACCTTCAGGATTATGCCTGTTCGTTCGCCAAATCGCCTTCATAACGACACTCTTTTCACCTCCCTCTCGCTCTCGGACGAGATTCCAAAATTTAGTATCTTCCATACTCGGCTCAATGTTCTCTTGGTCCGACTCTGACCGCTTTCCAGGCAGGGTATCTTCCAAATATGCTTTATACTTTTCCCATAAATCGTTGACGCTGGATTCAAACAGGCCACGCCAAAAGTCGCCCTCGTCATACTTTGCATCTTTCAATCCATCATTGATCCTTCTGACACTACCCTGTCCGTACTTCGTCTCGATCCATTCCAAGAAGTACGCAGTGTGCTGATAACCTTGGTCCCATTTCTCGGCCTGTTCTCTTTTCCAGTGTGGGGGATCAAGTCCAGCCTTCAATCGCACGAAGTCAGCGATCCCCTCTATCAGGCCTCCTGGCGCCTGATCCTGCCCGTTCCACTGCCATGCGTGAACCATTTCATGCACCAAAACACCCATAATCTCTCGCGCTTTGAGCTCAGACTTGCGGCTGGCAATGTAGTCACAAGAGAAATGAATTTGCTTATGGTCGTTGTCTAGTTCGATTCCTGTCGTGTATGCGACGCCGTCCATTGCCCGAAGCACGAGAGTCACGGAACGGGTGGGAGGTATATGGTTATTAGTCTTGGTTGCTATATATAGAATCGAAAGCACGGTCTCTACAGCTTGAGACAGACAGCAGGATGGGTCTGCATTAGCAAAAAAGTCCTTTGCGCCTGGGTGAGAGAGATCGCGGCATTCCAAACAAAGCTTCGGAGAGGGGAATCTGGGTTTAGGAACAGGCTTTCTTTCAGATTTCACTGGAATATCCTTGTCAGAGAGTCAGTCGCAGAGCCCTGCTCAGGCTTGCAGTCTTCAGACTCGGACAAACGTCGATGTGGGAGTGGTGAAGGTTGGGGTTTTGCACTGGAGCTTTGCGTAGTATCCGCTGGAGCAGTACTCATGGCAAGAGGCACAGCGAATGGCTTTCTCGATGACTTGGTCATTTTTGGGCCCAGATAAAAGATTATTCAATGCAAGGGGCGCGGTCAAGAGTTATGAATTGGCCACATGGCACCCCTGCTGTCGATCTTGACGCCAATTGATGCGCGATGACATGGAATTCCAATTTCCAAGGCGCGACGAAAGCGGATTGCTAAGCCTGAAAGATCATAAACAGTTGGCACCACTGGTGTTCATCCTTCGATACACATATGAAACCTTGCAACAGCAATGCGCAGATGAAGCATGTTGAATGACCGTACGGACAAAGCAGGGCAGATCATCTAGTCCCTTAATCACCCATGGCCTAGGGTTCAGTTTGGCATTGAACTTTGAAACTCGGGAGCGAGCTTTACCATCCGATTGATGGTGCGCCTTACCAGCTGATCAGCTTTTTGGTTATGTTAATGAGATCTCTAGGCCTCTTTATTGCGGCAGATTGTCGCGGGACCTCGTGCACGTCATCCAGAAGCGGGCCTTGACCTGTGCTATGTCACAGACAATAGTAAAAGTCCATCAGCCACACACGCAAGCATTGAACCTGATGCTGTGAATGTCTAGTCATAGCTACATCCGGCCCGTCGTCGAGCTACCCCCAACGATACTACAGAAATCCTACAGAGTCCCTAGTCAAGTTTTTGGACTACAAACATGGGGACAAGTGGTCGATCTGGGAATTTCGTGCTGAAGGCACAGGCTATCCCGACAGTGAAGTCTACAACCGCATACGACATTATCCATGGCCTGATCATCATCCGCCACCCTTTGCGCTCATACCAAATATCATGGCAAGCATGCGCGACTGGCTCAAAGGCCCAGATGCCGAAAAGGGAAGAGTAGTGGTGGTCCATTGCAAAGCTGGCAAAGGGAGAAGTGGAAGTATTGCAACAAGCTATCTAATAAGCGAAGAAGGCTGGTCCGTTGAAGATGCGATGTTGAGATTCACAGAAAGACGAATGCGAAGTGGCTTTGGTGCTGGCATCAGCATACCCAGCCAAATCCGATGGGTGGGATATGTCGATTGGTGGGCGAAACACGGAAATACTTATGTCGAAAGGAAGATTGAGATTCGCGAAGTCCATGTTTGGGGGCTCAGAAGCGGGGTCAAAGTCGCAATCGAAGGTTTCGTAGAAGAGGGGAAGGTGATCAAGACTTTCCACACCTTTACTCGCCATGAGAGGACTCTCATGGATGGTCCAGTTGCTGACCAGACTGAGTCTTCCCTTGACACACCTACTACAAGCGAAAACTCTACTCCGTTGCAGCAAACCAAACGCGAACCAATGCCCTACGAGTCGTCACCAACTTCCTCATCCACGAGCATCAATCAAGTCGAAATCTCTAATGATAGCGGTGCGGCGGCAGCTCTATTCCGGCCCACAGTCCCAATCATTCTTCCAACTTCAGACGTCAATGTTGACATCGAGCGGCGCAACAAAGCTAAGTACGGCCTCACTATGGTTACATCTGTAGCTCATGTCTGGTTCAATGCTTTCTTTGAGTCTCAATATTCTCTACAGCGCTCAACGGCTCCGCCCGAAGCAACGTCTTCTGCAACTCAACCACAGATTCTTGACCCCACTAATCCTCCTTCAAGCGGCGTATTCTCCATTCACTGGGATGCCATGGATGGGCTTAGGGGCTCTTCGCGCAAAGGTACCCGCGCAATTGACCGGCTCTCGGTGGTCTGGAGCGCTGTAGCTATCTCACCATCCGCTGCTGCCACCAAGGAAGGTGAGCTGCCTAAGATCATCACCCAGCCTAAACCTGGTGCCAATATTTCTGATACTGGTGCTGCCGAACGCGATAATTCATCACTTTTGTCTCCGCTAGATCCGCCAAACATTAAAAAGCTTGGTTTGCGAAGCGAGACCCCTAAGAGTCAGGATCTTAGTCGATCGAGCAGCCCAGTCTCTTCCGATAACTTGGATCACAAAGACCACGACTCGGAAAAGGGCGTCAAGGTACATGGGCCAGACGGTCATGATTTTGCTTCTCAGCCAAATGACAAGGATACCAATGACGAGACAGAGGTAGCCGAAGTTGTAGAGGGCAAGGAGGCTGCTAGTGTTGATGACTTGCCGGTATCTACGCAAAGCATACCTGGGCAAATAAAGGCAATCTCCGAAAATGGATGAAGTTGGAAGTCCAGTTTCGCAGCATTTTCATCAATCGCAGGATCCCACAAATAGCCTTCATTAGGCTTGCCACGAGTGCGTTGCAACAATATCTGAACAACCCTGTGCGTGTTGAGGCAGAACCTGTAGTGCGAGAAGCCACAAGTGCCTCCGAATGCGAGTCGTATGTACGATCACGGCGTGCTGCATAAGATCTAAAAACCCCCATGTACTTACAGAAGAATCCGCATAAGCATGGCTCTCAAGACGCAGGGTGCGGCAGATTCGCGGAGTGTCATAACAAAGCTGAATGATCAGACAACGAATTCTAGGTATGGACGCTTAGAAGGCAAATGAACGAGTATTCAAGGAGGCATATCTTGGCTTCTTCACGCACGTCGTTAGCTATAAGATCATTTGGCCAAAGAAAGAACAGGTCCCCCGGCCATTTTTAGTACCCCTCTAGTGCGATCCCTACCCTCACTTCATCTGCTGAAGGAGTGTCTCTGATACTCACCATCACACATATGGGTCTTTGTCTCTGCATGACGGCTTTCAGACTGGTGATCTGACATACCGTCGATTCAGCTCCAGTACCTTGAATGCTGGAAGCGGCCAAGCGATTCAACGAGCGCCAGAAAGTCATCTAGATTTCAAGGTCAGAAATTTCTCCCAAAACTTGAAGCGATGGACTTTTAAATATGTGAAGCAAATATCAGAGTAGAAGAGCTTGAGCTCGCGATAAGCTAATCCGCATCAATGAGTACTCGGACTGGTGCCAGCATTGGAATTTCATCATGTTGGTGTTTTGGGAGAGTCGAAGAGCTAACGAAGAGATGACTTACAAGATATCGTGAGATTGATGAACGGCATAGCGATTGGTATCACGTTGTCTTCCACGACTGATGATAAATCACTTGTCTCTGGACGGAATGGCTGTGTCACCGTGGGCGGGATTTTCCCTTTACGCGCAGGAGCCGCTAGACACCCTCTAGTTCTAAATTGGGAAGTCGTGATGTGAACTGCGTAGTCAAGATAAGCTTTGTACAATGACCCACCTCCGGACCCACCCCCATACGGGAGGGCGTGGGGCGCATAGAAATCCCGTGCTTCTAAGACAATCTTGGGGCTTGAAGGTTGGCCAACATGAATTACTTGAATCTGCGAAGCTTACTTGGTAGCTATCGGCAAGGTAAGCAACATGTCAAGACAGTCCAAAACATCAGATTGGACGGTATATATTGCCCTCAAAATGTCTGCTGTACATGTTATTTCCACAGTAGTGATCGTCCTGTACGCTGGGCGTAGACATGCTCTCACTCAAATCGTTGCTCTTGGTGGTGTATGCATTGCATGCATCAGTGACTGAGGCAGTGCCCGTAGATCCCTTCATTGGAAATGCCACGTGAGAGTCTCTCTTTGCACCATTAGGATTCTTCGGCTTAACGGACATGATTGCAGTGGCTTTTATGAGGCAAAGATCGACGACGGCTCGCTACCCGTGTATATTCCACTTGATCCCCGACGGAAGCCCGACATATCTATCGAGGCCGAGAGACAGTATTCACCCTCATATCCGTGTGCAGAATTAGCACACACTTACCTCACAATCCTCGATGAATTATGGCGGCTGAAAGAAATAACACTGATTCAAAAGCCATTCGATGTTAGCTCACAGACGTTCAACAACGTTGGCCTGCGCTTTCAGCCGATTGCGAACTCGCCCACAATGTTCACCACTAGGCAAGCCACGTGGGCAACGCTCGAACTCCTTGACTTCTCAATCAAGCGATCGGATCGCAACACCGGCGAGTGGCATGCGCACGATTGGGTGGTAGGCAACAGCTTTGGACGATATGGCCAAATCGTATCCAATGGTGCCGGGACGGTGGCCTCCTCAGCGAGCAACACAACTTCCCCGGAGCCAACGGCAAGCACACCAAACAATGATTTGATCCAGGACCTCTCCACCGCCCCCCAAACCCTTGCTCACCCTACAGTCTCTAACGACACATTCCCCTCCCTCGAAGGGTCTAGTGACACCAGCAATAATACCAGCCCAAGCCCATTCAATGACGAAGAAATCACGATCATCTTCCAACCGACAACTGAGTCCCTCGTTTGGATACAGATGCTCTACCAACTCCGGGTCCTGTACGTCACCATATTGAAGTCCGAGTCTAGTCAATCAATGTACGACCGGTGGCCGCCATACGACTTGATTGGTGCAGATACTCGTGTCAAGGGTGTGGATGCACGAATGTCCATCCGCCGGAGAAGAGGTCTATTTCCTGTAGAGGTTGACTTCGCGGATATGACTGAAGGATTGAGATTGATCCTGGCGGAGCTCGCGAAAGATGGGGGTAATTGGGTGGGGTTTGTTGCGACGGTTTGCAAGCACGGCATTCCTATTTTTGATGTAGGGTTCAGGAAGCCAAGGACAATACCGACAGATGCGGTAAGTGGGACTGTAGATGGGTTTGCAACTTCGTAGGAGATATGGAGCAATTGATAGAATGAGAATGAGAACTGTACCTTGCATGTTTAGGATACTTCTCCAGCCATAGTATGTTTGTTTGCGGTCATGGAACATGGCACATCGTTGCGGAACACCAGGACGACTTTTAATCTTCAGTCATGAGAAGTGCGCACGTTCTCATGAGCCATCATCAGTCTGCTTGCCGTAATGAACGCACGCATGGCAACCTAAAACGTTGGGAGCTCTAGATCTGACTTCGGATTCTGCGTAAATGGGGCGTTGAAACAGAATCGAGAGATCATAGAAACCTCGACGGCACACTGTACGTATTCACGGTTAGGTGCATTTTCGCCGTTGAGATCCCATACACTAATCTGCTCCTACCACCTCTGGCAGCCAGCGGTACCATAATTTGTGACGCAGCTCCCATTCTATGTCTCCTTGATCGTGGTCCAAAAGTGTATACCTTCCGCGTAGATTATTAATCATCATCAAAGCTGCACCAGCTCGTTCAGAACTTGGTGATTCAATCTTGAGACGTTACGATCAGTACATGCGGTTAGGGTTGATAGTGGTAGAGGTGAAATTAGAGTTGCCAAGAGTGACCTGTTTGGGACAAGCGGCCGTGCTTTAGCGGCCGCTCTTTGAACTATCATGCTTAAGAGAGCAACGTTTATGTCGATTTCCTATCTCGGTAATTTCTTGCTTTCATACTTCTGGAGCACCATATATCGGAACACGTATACGACTCTCCCCTCCAGAGCCCTTCAAACAATACCATGATGAAATGCACCTCCCTCCATCTCGCCTACCCCTATCTCACTATCTCCTGTCTCCATACTTCCTCTCTCCTGCTATAGGTCTCCTACATCGCCGTCTTCCCGCCCTTGCTCCTCCTAACCTCTCAACCACCTCAGTTGGCACAACATACGAACATCTCGTCGCTCAAACCCTCCGCCATCTCGCATTTACACTCACGCACGTAGGTGGCCGCTCAGACCGTGGCATCGATCTACTAGGGCACTGGTGTCCACCTACCCAGACCCCTCACCCCTTCCCGTCTCTCAATGGAGACGCAGATGTTTCAGACAATCCCAGAATCCAGCCAAAAAATCAGATCCCAGTGATCGTCCAATGCAAAGCCCACGCGCGATCCCCGTCCCCATCCTGGATCCGGGAGCTAGAAGGCGCTATTGCGCACGCGCCCGCGCTTCTAGGAGATAGGGTATTGGGGATCCTAGTCTCCAAACGGGCGATGACGGCTGGAGTGAGAGAAGCGGTGATGAAGGCAGGAAGAGGGGTCATGTGGGTGCAAGTTGAAGAGCATGAGGGTGAACGGGGGACGATGGCGGAGGGGAGGATAGCACAAGTACTTTGGAATAGTGCTGTGGCTGATGTTGTGGGAAGAGATTTGGGGACCGGTGTGGTTTATGTTGGTTATGGTGGGGATGGAAGGGGGAAGGTAGAGAAAGAGTTAAGATTGTCGTGGAAAGGGAGGGTTTGGGAGCCGAGTGACGAGACGGTGAAGGAAGCTGGGAATGGGGAAGGGCAGTGACTTGAAGACTTGAAGAGCTCGTGAGTAATGATTATTTGCGCTCGCAATGTTCATAGGGGGTTTCTCACGATATCACAGGCTGTTTCGGTCGACGAGGCCCATGCTGTTGGATTGAATTTGACAAGAGCTGCGGTGTTACCCAATTCTGGAGATGTTGCAGGACTTGACAGTGGCATTACAAGGCTCCGCATCTCAAAACCCGATCCGATTCTTGGTTCCAAGATCCTGAGCTAGCAGAATGCCATCACTTTTAGATACAGGCTACACCACGAATGTCTCATCATCCGCCTGAGGCATGAGGTTCCAATCCATACTCCTATGCCTTGACGTACACTCGTTGATGTTCTCATAGCGACCTCATGCTTCGCTCAGACCGCCTATGCACAATTATTGCAGCCCCACACGCACCCAATTGTACAGACTGACACTCGATCTCTCATCCCTCCTTCACGTCGACCCTTTTAGGCTCGTTTCCGATTCCAATATCGTCATCCTCCCGTGAGCGTTTTTTCGAAGCGACCAATCCTGCATCTAATACCTCTGGCTCCTTCCGAACCTCAGCCTCGATGTCCTCTCGCGCACGTTTGCTTGATGGAACCTCTGCCGCAACTTCATTATCATCCTCCGCTCCATCATTTTCGTCGCGAGGCCGCTTCTTTAAAGATGCGGGGGTTTCAGCGTGCATATTGGAGTCTTCGGACGTCGGTGCATTCGAAACATCAGTGTCTTTGCTCCCAGCGTTTGCTTGCGTATCTTCCTTCGAATCCTTGCTAGCAGAACGCCTATTGCTTTGTCAGTTGGAACCTGCATTGCGGAGCAAATAAAATACTTCTCATGGTTCTCTCGCTCGCCATCCCTGTCTCTATCCCGCCCGCGACCACCTCGTCCTCTACCCGAACTTCCAAAGCCTCTATGTCCACGACCTCTCTTGTTTTCATGTCTAGAGCCCTTGTTTCGACGTTCTGGAAAACCCTCTGCAGCATCGTCTTGCCTTCGCAGTCTCCAATCTCGGTCATCGTGTCTACCGAGATCACGATGTTCATGATTACGACGGCGTTCGTCGAAACCGCTTCTTCTCCCATCATCGGGACTTCTTCTTCGGATGCGGCCGTCGTTGATGGCTTCAACCTTTTCATCGCAGTATTCTTTTTTGCTCATCACTTTTAATTCTTGATCCTTATATTTGGGGGCGGGTCAATTGCAAGAAAGTTCGTTGCGAGTTCTTCACCATCGAACTCGACAAAAACGCTTTGCTTGAAAACCCCGTCGGTTTGACGACGTAAACGGACCGAGTTAGTGGTGCCATAATTGGAAAAGAAAGCTTCAATATCAAATTGAGTGCTCGCCTCCTCCTCCCCGAACCCTTTTGCATACACCGATCGGGCCATCGACTGGTCTTCGTGGACTTTCTGAACTTCTTCCATAGACTTTCCAGTCAAATCCTCAGCGATAGGTTCTCTACGCTGGACATCATTATCTTCATTGACGACACTCAGAAGATTGCTATCCTTCAATGCAGAAATGACTGCCTCTCGTGGTTTGAAACGCTGCATTCTCTTGAAGGAGTAAATGACATCAATAGGTACGGGAATATTCTTGTGACCCTCCATTTTGGTGAATAGAAACTTATCTGTGAGCAAGTTTGAGGTCGAGAAATAAAACTCAACCTTGTGATGTCAGCACTCATTCGTTGACAGATCCAGAGATCTCACTTGTTTACGAATAGCTTCAGGATCATCGCTGTCAGGCAGTGAGGCGGGATCAAACTTGATATTTTGCCTATGGGAGCCCCTGTTCTTGTCGAAACTGAAGCGGTCATGCTTCTCGCGCTGCGGACGGCTATGCTTGTCATTGTGATTGCGGTTTCTCTGGTTATATCGTTTGGCTTCATCGAGGCCTTTCTTTCGATTTGATTTGCTCTGTTCCTCATGGGCAGACTCTGGAATTGGTACAGAGACCTCATCTGCAGTAATAGTATTATCTTCGTTCGCCGGTTTATTTTCATCATTGGCTTCCTCCATTTTGGTATCTCCGTTCTCCTTCACATCTGAATCGATCGCATCGTCGTTTACAGGTGCAGCTGTTGCTGCGACCTCGGTCATGTTTGGCGGTAGTAGCTACGACCAATGACGGAAGTGGGGCTTTGCTACACAAGCTGGTGAACTTTCCGTACAGTGGGGAAACGCTGGGTTGAATCTTCAGTAGATGAACAGCTGATACCTAAGTGCGGACCAAGTCTATGTGTACTCAGTGCGGGACAAATGGAGCTTGGGCGGCGTGAATCATTGGAGAAGTGGGTCTGCAGAAGCTCCAGTAGCGAAAAAGTTTAATGGGAAGCTAGAATTTTGTCTCCGCGCGCCGCAGATTCTCTCTAGGCGGATGGGCCCCGGAGCTTAGGGGGAGATGGCCCCTAGGTCACTGATATCCTTAGGCTAGCCCGTTCCGGATAGCGGTTATACATTTTCTATGCATTGGGAGCGACGAGCAACTGGACAACGATTGCTTCTTCCCCTAGACATGCGCAGCAGGAAATTATATGGACTGAAGCGACTGGTATGCATAGCAAGTCTTCGGGCTACTTCGCTTGCTGACTCTTCAAGAAAATCCGTCAATCTTGGAGCAAGTACAATTTATACAACCTTGCACGTGCCGAACCTCAAAAGACTCAAACTCGCACCTTCTTCCAGCAGAAATGGACAGCAAAAGCTATGTCAAGAGCCTATCACGGCGAAAATATTCAAGAGAAAAGGTGGTACCACATGTTCCGGAGCAACATACGATCCGTAGTGCCTATGGACTACAAGTATCTAGCCCAACATGATGGCTCAGAACAAGCAGCTGGGAGAGGATCCGGAGCAGATTCTCGAGAACGAGGAGAAGTAACGTACAGGACACCCCACTTGATGATGACCTATGCCCCACTGGAACGACGGCTGGATACTGCCATTTTTAGAGCCCTGTTTGCGAGCAGCGCGCGACAAGCCAGGCAATTCGTTATCCATGGTTATGTCAAGGTCAACGGCCAGAAGGTAAGATATTCTGAAGAAGTATGCTTTCGAAACTCACGGTATCTTGTAGATGATATATCCTGGCTATCAATTGAACCCTGGCGACATGTTTCAAGTGGAGCCGGAACGAGTCATGTGGGCGACAGGTGCATCTAAGGAAAGGCAAGAGAGGAGGATAGGCAGGCTTATCAAAGCGAAGACTCTCAAAAAGAAATCTGAAGAGAAAGAGGAGCAGGAACCCCCCGTGAAAGTCCCTTCTGAGGAACCCCCTCAAGAAAGTCCAGATCAGACCAAGCAACAAAAAGTGGCTTTGAAAGACCTCATGCAGCAGGCCAAAGAGTTCCTCTCTTCATTCTCCTCCTCAATTAGCGCAAAACGAAAGCATGACCTTCGCGAATTCCAACGAACGGTCCGGAAAGCACTCGCCCGCCCCAATGACTCTGCGATCGGCGAACTCGGTGGCCAACTCCAAGGAATAATCGACAGAATCTCCATCTCGAAAGACACTTCTAAACCGCAAGACGCCACAAATCGCCCTTCCGACATCCCACAACTAGAGACGCCCTCCCTCCAAAGTGAAGTTGCCACCCTCACCCCCTTCGAGCTACAAACCCTTCGGGACGCTCTCGAAAGCGCGAAGGAGAACCCGAGCGATCCCACAAAGCCTTACGCGACGCCCTGGCGGCCGCGAGAGTGGATGAGCGCGTTTGCATTCATTCCGAGATACCTGGAGGTGCATCCAAGAATTTGCGCCGCAGTGTATATTCGACATCCGGTTGCAAGGCCGGGGTTGGCAGAGGTGCCCACGCCTTTTACGGGTGAAACCTTGTCATTGGCTCATAATTGGTATCTGAGGCATCGATGAATGGTCGTAGGGAGAGGTATAATGCCCTTGAAGATAAACATTGTAAATAACTTACTTGACACGAAAGGGCTCGTGTCATTGATTTATCATGTAGACTACCTGAAGAGTTTTCGCTCCCTTAATGCAGAAACAAAGAATCAAAGCATACTCAAAGACATTGAAGAAGCAATGAGGAAAATGCAATGGAGCACCTGCAGGTGGAGAAGGGTATTTGCGCTATGTTTAATGCTGATATACATATAACAGACTCCTATGATGCATTCATACAATGCGCAACACATGAGAGTCAATGGTCAGTGGTAGATTAAAATGTCCCCTCAGTGCCTTGCGTCTGATCAGACGACCACTTCACCCCCATCAATCAACACAGGCTCCCATTCCGCCTCTGCCTTCCCTACTGTCTCACTTGGCACCCTCACCTTAAGCGGACTGTAAAGATACCATCCTTTTAACGCTGAAATCGCAGCTCTGATCCTCGCCTCATCCAGACTACCTCCACTGCCTTCTCCCAACTTCTCACGGCCACTAAATATTCCCACGTTAAATACAGGGTGTCTACTCTTCCTTCCAGTCTCCGCCAATATGCGCGCAATCGGCCGCTCGAACCCTTCCCTAGCACAAAGCTTGCCCAGGTCGCGCGTCGGCTGCCTGAAGGAGAAGAGGGCGGAAATGTCGAGGTGGCGAGAGAGGACGTGCGCGTTGTAGAAGACTTTGCTTTGGCGCATGCCTGTGTGGAGGTAGAGAGCGCCCATGAGGGCGCGGACAAAGTCAGCTGAGGCGTATTCGTGGGTTGTGGAGGGGAGTTTGGCGCTTGAACCTGAGGAGTCTGTCGCAGGTGTCTGCGATATGACTTCGCCAAAAGCATCATCGTACATTGTCTGGCTGCTGACGCCCCGCCGCCAACCTTTCAGCATTTGATCTGGGTTTGGGCGAGTGGCCGACAGCAGTTCTGAGGGTTCTTCAATTTCTTTGAGTTGGAAGCCAGTACCTAAAACGCTAGCATTGCCTGCTTCTTTGCGCCGAAATTGTAGGAGGCCAGGATCGACTTCGCCTCCAGGCTCTGCTGCGGCTTCGACGCCAAATTGGCGAGCAAGAGCTGCGAGGGTCTTCGGCCCGACGTATGCTGTCATTGCAGAGAAGGCGACTGCTGTGGGTAAGCGAGGGTAGCGACATAGTATTGCTTCAGATGTGAAGTAGGTGAGAAGGTTGTTTCCTAGGAGCGCCAGGGAGGAGTTGTTGAAGCGAGGGTTAGGGTCTGCCGTTGAATCGATCAGGCATCTCGACAGAGTCTCAATGGGTAATCGGGGCGAAAGTGCTAGACGTGCATGGAGTGCGGCGAGTCGAGCCGAATGCAAGGCAGCGAATGGGGGAGGTGAGGGTAGTAATCGTATGGATCTCCTCTGAGCATTCTTGTCTTCTCCTTTTTGGCTCAAGCCCTCACTAGAGGAATCTGCATCTGAGGAAAACCCATTCTCATCATCTTCGCGTAGGACAGCAGTTGTTGTAGATCTTGAATGCTGTTGAGGTGAACGTCGGTACAGGAATGGATACTGATTGTGAATGCAAAAGGAAGGTCTCGTGCGCGACGTTAGGACGCAGCCGCTCCATCCTTGGAGACGCAAGCTTTTCATATAGCATATATGCTGTCGTAAAGATTAGATATCCCGGAATAAAGTCTTCATTGAAGCTCCTCCTTATATTTTTGCCGTGTGTGAGAAAATCAAGGCTTTAAGGATCATCAATAAATTCACAGCGCTAGCACGATTAAATGGCATAGTTCTAGTTCTATTCTAGGCGGGCAATTCCGCCCTTCATTCCGAAGCGCAATTAAGCTTTCCATCAAGACAACGACTTTCTACATCGTACGAAGCCTGCGCACAGTAGCTTACACGAACCGGGGCTCATGAATTTATAATGTATATGGCTTCTCAATACATTTGAATAAGCCATCGCTGAAAAGGCTCTGCGGTGAGCAACATTGGTTTGTTCTCTGAAAGATATCCGAGAAAGGCATCATTCGAAATGCTACATCTACCAAACAAGCTTTGAAATACGAAAAGGCGAACAATCCTTGTTTGAGTCGTCGAACAATGTTGTCTTGCGAGGGCGTATCTGCCTTTTAATTCAATATTCCTCATCTTCAGCTGTCTGCCCCAAACTCAGCTTGGATTCAATCATCCGGCATCGCACTGCGCTAATGACTTTTATGCGGTAGCGCAACGCAGAACGTACATAGAGACAATGACGTTAGGTCCAATTCATTGTCTCATGTATCTTGATAGAATGAATCATGCGCGAGCGTTGCATTCCATTTGCTGATCCTCGGCCAAGCCGGCTTCCATCGCGTCCTCGCATGCATTTAACACTCCTTCGTCTTCCTGCGAACATTCTTCTGTATCAACAACGCTTTGGGCTGCTTCCAACCCCTATTCTAGCCTAAGTAAACAATAGCGCGGCGTGAGTATGAAAGGCGATATCACGATCGATGCAGCCAGATTCAATCCTAGTAATATCAAGGAAGATACAAAGCAAATCAATGCCATTGTTGAGAAAGCTTGCGTCGACTCGCCTGAATGGATTGATGTTGGGGCAGCCAAATATCGACAAATGTCGGATAATGGGGAGACAATAATGCCAAAGCCAGTGCTATTGCCTGGCGCTCGAGATACGACAATTCCGTCAAGAGAAACAGGTCGAAGCATTCCATTGCGCGTGTTTCCACCGGAGAATGGAAAGTCGAGCAAAGGCATTTTCTTGCAAATGCACGGCGGTGGATTTGTTCTGGGATCACAGTACATGTAAGTTGTTGGCTACACGTGTCAAATCCCGCTCAAATCTGCGAGGCACTTGTTGCTGGTCTTCGCTACTAACAGCAAATAATCTACGAAGTTCAGACGAGCGACTCCAGATGTTCGCCAACGCCTGCCAGCTCACAGCCATCTCTGTTGGATATCGCCATGCACCTGAAGATCCACACCCGGCTGCAAACCATGACTGTTTCGATGCCGCTGAGTACCTCGTCGATCACGCGGAACGAGACTATGGAGCGCGACTCCTTTTCATCGCGGGAGAGTCAGCGGGTGGCTGTCTCGCTGCGTTAACGACATTCCATTTGATACAATCAAGACCAGCCCATAGACTCGCTGGAGTCATCTTGCTGTTCGGTGTATTTGACCTGACGCTGGGATTACCCCAGATGTCCTTGCCCGAGTCCACCCGACCGCTAGTCACCAATGCTCAAATGCTACACAATTTCATAAATGCTTACACGCCCGGCATGAGCGATAGCGATCGACGAGATGCTTCGGTTTCTCCACTCTATGAGGATATGCAGGCATTGGCAGACTCTATCCCAGGAAACTCGCTTCCAGCGGCACTGTTCTTATGTGGAACTGCAGATCCCTTGTTAGACGATACTTTCCTGATGGGTATGAAGTGGATGATCGCTGGCGGAGAAGCGATTGTGAAAATCTACCCTGGTGGAGCTCATGGGTTTTCAATGTTCCGTGAAACAAAAGATGCCGAAGAAGTTGCTGCACTCCAGATCCAATTTGTAAATGAAAAGGCAGCCAACGAGGTGTGACATCTACCATTATTCGGAGGATTTCATCAGTGGCAAATATGTAGAGCATAAGCTTTTACATTCTTCTAATCGAGCTTAGTATGTGCTCATACAGTAGTGAAGAACTCAGGAATCAAATTTAAGACTGTATTTCTTCCTCCATCTGGTGCGAATCAAAGAAAGTGGAAAAAATCCCCCGGCTGGGTTCGCGCCAATGACCAATCGATAACTGCAAAGTCTCCATTACAATCGAATGTCATGCCAAATAGACCACGAAGGGCTAAATGAAATAGCACACATCCAACTAAAATTATAAACTCGTGATCTCTAATAGTGTTCATTGCTCTGGTCGCCACAACGATATCGATATCGGGGAGGAGCTGATAACACTGCGTAGTAGTGTTGTGACCTCTGACTAAGTGATACCTGTATCGGCGTGATTGTGAAAGCCTGGATAGAGCGAATGGGTGTGATAAGATATTAGCCCGCTCGCCGCTGATGAAAACATATAATCAATGACGTTATTCTACAGATAAACGTTCTATAGTCGATGATTGCTGTACATTTGAAAGCATGTGTGCAGTGCTCAAAGGAACAAAACTATAATCTTTTACAAGAGGCACTGGTTAGTGGTTACACTGGTTCGGGTGTGCTCAGCGTAGTTGTCCTCAATGGACCATTGGAGGCAATATTTAGTTGCTGACGGTTAGAGAGCGAAGCGATTCGGTCAGGATTAGCAATGAATATATTCATAACGTCCTTGGGCGTCGCTATTGTGTGTTGTCGCTGGTACTTTGTGTGGTTGTCTACATACAGAAAATCGGGTCCTGTTGCCGAGGGGGCTATCCTTACCAACTCCCTACTAGTGCTGCTGCTGCTGCTGCTACCACTGTTTAAGTAGCCGCTGCCTCCGCAGTTCTATAGGCAGTTCATTAGCGTTGAATGTGAGACGACGAGCCCCAGCCATGACGGTGTGAATGGCGTCGCTACCAGCGCTGTGGCCGAAGCGCTGAGGTAGGCAGTCTTCGCTGAAGCCCACGCAGAACATTACATCGCTAAGGGATGGCCAAGACTTGACCAGATCTTCTCGCTTGGAGATGCAAATATGTTGCATTACGTCGACAACGTCTTCCCATCAAACAACCCCCTGAAACAGGCTTGGAAGGAGCGCCTGGATAGCTGGAAAATCCCCGGAATGAGGATGCTAACCACCAAGGACAATTCCTTGCCAGCATAGCGCTGTCTTGTCCCGTCAACGATGGCTTTTATCTCTCCACCCGGGTCCGATGTCTTGGTACTCGATCCAAAGGGGAATGAGGGATGAAGTTTCCGTCGACTTCGGCCCTCTACATACAAACAATAAGACTCGATCTGGTATCGTTCCACAAGCTCTTGGGTAGAGAAGGGTAGAGAAGGAGATGTCCTAGCTAGGAAGTCGGTCGGTGGCAAAATAGCAAGACCTACTGACGTGATGCCTTCCCCAAACCCTTCACAGGCTTCCGTACAAATGCCTAGGCATACAGATTTTTGCAGATCGTGCCTTAGAGAACTGGTGTCCGTTATCTGCCGTTGAAAGCAGAATGCGTGGGTCCCTGGGTTCTCTAATAGGCTTGGGGGAAACAATTTTGGCATAGTGCCCTTGCCAAAGGCTATTTTATATAGTGGGTAAAATAGTTCCTGATTCTGTCTAGGTATGAAGCTCGCGGTTTGCAATAATCCTCGGACACCCCAAAATCGGGTTCACGAGATGACGCTTTCAACACGAGGCTTTGAAAAATCCGGGTGTAAAACATGTTCAGAGTTCTATCGAGAGTTGATTCGTATGCATCTATTCCTCGATGAAATGGATATTTAAAGACATATGCTGAGATGTCGAATGCCAAGCCTTGAAGGCCGGACTAAGCCTTATTGGGCGATCTTGCTCCTCCTCACCACCTTATCAAGAGGAGCGCCGCGTTGCCATCACTGGAATCGACCACCAATATGACCGGCTCGCCAGAAGCAGACCATTCAATAAAGACGGGAGCTTCGGCCGGAGCTTCTGTTTCGCAGGCTTCTGGGGGAAAGATACCGTGCGCGACTTTTATGACCTACTCCGCAAATGCTAATCCACCCCAGATATCCCAAGCATGTGTGGTCACCAGCCGGTGGCTGGTACTCGCAACCAGCCAATTGGAAAGCCAACACAGCCATCATGTTCACAGTCATGTTTGGCATCACGGCACTGGTTTTTAGATACAGTGCGGAGCACGAGCACAGGCATCGGATGCCGGAGAAGGGCAGGTTCTTCCCATCAAGATAGTATGTGGAGAATCAAGATCGGATTCGCAATGATACAAGGCTAATCAGGAGGCATCAGTTGGAGCCGGCAAATAATAGAGCATGAACGGGTAGAGGCAGCAAAAGAGGCTATAGAGGCTGCGGAAGCAAAGCAGCAATGACATTTATACGAACGATATCCAAAGCACGCTCGGCGTTTGATAGAGCTCCGTTTGAGCCTAGAGAGCAATATATATTTCATGTCATTGACTGATCTACCTACCACTCCGTCTATGCTTACCCTCTTGATCGTTCTAGACCTGCCTCCGACGAAAAAGATGCAAGTCCGGCCTCATCGCCGGCTCCCATTACGAACTCCGGCCTGGCTTAATACTGGAGGCATTGAAAGCTCATTAGGCATGGTCAATAGCTTTGCTCTTCTCACTCGCCTGTCATTTCCCTCATTCTTGCTTTTCCTCAAACGGGTTTCGTGCGCCATCTATGCACCTTGCAATTTCGATCTAGAAATTTCAAGGTTCTCGCTTTGACTGACTCTCCATTCCAGCCCTCTTCATAGCCACTTTGCTCTTCTCTGTTTTTGATCACACCTATCTTCGGCATACCGATCTGCTCTATGGCGAAGCTGGCCGCGATTGAGCCTAACACCCCTGCCATTTCGACACTATCAAGGTCATTATGCTCTGGTGATAAGAATTGGCCTACAAAACCCGAACAGAACGCACCGAGAAAGGCGTTGCCTCCACCTGTGACGTCTACGACATTCGAACTCGCACTATCGTAGTAAGCTGGCAGAAGTGTATGGCGTACGCTTTTGTCGTCGTCTGATTGCGAGATCAAGACGCCTCTGGGTCCCAAACGTATGACGAGAATCCCAACATCGCAGTCTGCAAGTACATTCGAAGCCTGGTCACATAGCCCTTCAATCTGCAGCTCCTGGCCCGCACCAGTATTGACGCCAATCAATTTCAAGAACTCATCTTCATTAGGCGAGAAAACATCAACCAACTTCATGGCATCACGAAAGTCACTGTAGTTTTCTGGTGAGCAGCTGTGTTCCATCGGCTCCCAGACAAATGTTGGATACTCTCGACAATATAGAGCGTTCGTCTTGCGCTTCGTGGACTCATTTTCAGACCACAGATAGCTGCGGCGGGCTTTGATACCCTCAATTGCCTCAATACAACGTTTTGGGGTCCCAATGATGTGAAACACTTTTGCCGAGACTTGATCATCATCTAACATGGTGTGTAAAACTTGAATCTTTGGAGTGACGAATTCGAAACCTCGAAGTTCCCCAGAGTAAACATTCTTCGCTCGCGTGGTTGGTCGATCAGGGGTGTCGGTGAATCGGACGGCGGTGCCCCAAGCATCAATCTCGTCCTGCACGGGAGAAGGAAAATCGTGGCCTCGATGTACAAGCCAACTGATTCTGAAATGAGAAATCCCGAAGTTACATATACGTGCCCCGAGGACGGCGTAAGTCCCAGCTCCGCCCAACACACCTAGTCTGGAAGGCTTCTGTTCTCCTTCCTCATCCTTGGAATATACGATGTCATCTACACCCGTGCTTTAGACATCGTTCAAATGCATTGGAAGAGCAGAAGCACACAGACCGAGAGTCAGCATTCCAAGAGTCACAATGTCCAGCGCCATGTTAGGTGCTTTGCTTCAAATCTAGAGGTCGCTCATCGTGTTAGGGAATGGCAAAAATCCTCCAACGTCTTTCATACAAAAGGTACATTTAATTAAAAGCTTAACTTCAGTGTTTTCTGGTATCTACACGCATTCAGAGAGAGAGAAGTATTTTTTGTCATAGTGAGTGATCGAACGAGGACAAGAGCTAATGGACAAGCGATTTAAAGGTCTGAAATGAACTCCGCACAGGCGATACCAAAGACTCAAGTCATTTCGACCAACATTTCATGAGATCAACTGCTTGTGTCGGGTCGTGACAACCAATTTTCGAAAGCCAACCAAACGTTTTCTACCTTAAGATGTCTCGGAGATAGTCGGCTTTAATTCCAGCTCTCCCTGGTTCCTGGGAGTGAGCTTCTAGGCACTCACATTCATCTCCATATGCGATTGACTGATCAAGTAAGGGTATAGATGGACATATATACCTCTTCCTGCCTTAGTCTTGTCCCATCGTAGTGCTGTTGTTCTACAAACCGTCTTGACATCAACACAACAGGATACCTTTGCAAAAGCGCAGTTCTTTGCCTCCTAGGCTTCTTTATCCAGTATACAGAATGTCGCAAATGAACTCCCTCACCACGCTGATAAAGCGGTATGTCAGGACAATTGGGTGCTTGTTTATACCTGCACTTTACCTATCCATTCATCCCATATGTTTGACTGTCTCTTTGAGGTCTCAGCATCTCCAACACTCGGCTAATCGTGCTCAACCAGGCTCGAGGCTGCAACATCGCGATTGGAAGACATGGTACCGTCCATGGCTGAAGACTCAAATGTTCCAAATGGAACAACTCCAAATCAGCACCAAGCTACCATTCTCAACGATGACCATGCCCGAGTTGCCTCGCCCTCAGCGCACCAGCCAAATGAATCACTTCCACAAGCTGTACAGGATTTTGATGAAATGATAAACAATGTTGTGAAGACCTATGTGAACGTCAGCGAAGAGGTCGGAGGACTTGTTGCTGAGCAGGTCAGCAATGTCAGCTCTATCCGGAACTGGCATATGCTAATGTTTCGTCTTGCAGTCGGCAGCCGTGCTACGTGCATTTGCTGCAGAACGCAAATTTCTGATTATTACGTGCAAATCAAAAAGGCCCGAGATACAGTCGACCGTCTACATGGAGATTTTGAAGGATCTACAATCAATGATGGGCGCTGTCAATGATATAAGGGAAGCAAATCGCGGGAAATCTCAATTCGTTCACCTGACTACAGTATCAGAAGGAATTGCTGTACTCGGATGGATCACAATAGATCCAAAACCTGTGGACTACGTAACGGAGATGCTGAGCAGTAGCCAATATTACGGCAATCAAATTATTAAGAACAATAAGGAGAAGTGCGGAGACCGTAATGCACGTAGCCTTACCGCTTGCTGACTACTGCTGCAGAGACCGTAAACAGGTCGAATGGGTCAACGCATTCTACAACATTTTCAAAAGCCTAGGTAGCTACGTACAACAACATTATCCCAAAGGTGTCACCTGGAATCCGAAGGGCATGGAGCCACAGAAAGCATTGCAGGAGGTTCAGTCGGAGCAGCCAGCATCAAAGTCACCAGCAACTTCCTCAATTGCAGCACCACCACCTCCGCCGCCGCCGCCTCCACCTCTTCCAACCTTCGACGATCCTCCTCAATCTGCCCCTAATGGTGTCTCAAAAAGCGGTTCTGATATGGGTGCCGTCTTCAGTGCAATATCCCGCGGCTCGTCCGTAACCTCACACCTCAAAAAGGTCGACCCTACAGAAATGACGCACAAGAATCCTTCCCTCCGCAGTAACAACGCTGTTCCCTCGGGTCCCGTCCGCACCGCCTCTCAAACCTCTACATCCTCCTCCCGAGGTAAATCACCTCTGCCGGACAAGAAGCCCAAGCCACAAAATATGCGAACGAAAAAACCGCCGAAAAAAGAACTAGAGTCCAACAAGTGGTTGATCGAGAACTACGACCACCATCAAGGTATGCTGGAGATCGAAGCACAAATCAGCCATTCCATCCTGGTGTCGAAGTGTACGAAAACTGCGATAAGGGTCGTAGGCAAGGCGAACGCCATCTCGCTAGACAATTGCACTGGAGTTTCTCTTGTTATTGACTCATTAGTAAGTTCAGTAGAGGTGATCAAGAGTCCGAAGTTCGAGATGCAAGTCCTTGGAAGCCTGCCAACTCTTCTGCTGGATCAAGTCGATGGAGCACAGATATATCTGGCGAAGGAGTCCCTAGGGATAGAGATCTTCACATCGAAGTGTACGGGTGTGAACCTCAATGTGCCTGGTGCGACGGAGGACGACGATTACACGGAGCGAGCGGTGCCAGAGCAGATCAAGAGTATTATCAGGAGTGGCACCGTGGTCAGCGAAATCGTGGAGCATGCGGGATAGACGCTGTGACTCTGCCGTCGTTACGGGAACAGTTATTTTTGTTGTATATGTGCAAATACTTGAGGGTATCAAGATTGTAATATAGGAGGCTTCAGAATTGCAGCATTAGTCCATAGCGCTCGCGAACTCTTCCATCTACAACTTTTGGAAAGGAAGAACGTGCTTCTTAAGGGGTCATCTGATAACGTTGCATTTGTTTGGCTATTCCGATTCGTCGTCTATATTACAGGGAGTGATTGACTCCAAGAATTACTTTAACAGCACCTAACTCGACTGGGTAAAAAGCCTGTGGGTTTGGACTTCTTACGGAAGAGTCATTACTTGCATTCTTCGCGCTTACACAAACCGACAGTTGCAGCTGGTCTCCCGAGACATCAAAGCCAGGTCCCAATCGGTCTTCCTGCGCAGACCAGCAGCCTTCAGAAACGTCTTGAAGCGACCGCATCATACCTTGGCACCTTCATCATGACCTGATCCCATCCGCGCGCTGATCATTCAAGTTGAATTCCTCCAGCTTCTCATCATACTCGCTATTCGTCCCGTCGCGACTAATTCTCGGACTCGTCGATATCACACTGCTATCACTCGTGAACTCGGTCATAGAAGCACGCCGGCCTTGCTCATCGTATCCCGGCGGTTGGGTACCCTCACTCTCGTACCCAGGAAGTGTGCTCACACTCCTCATGCTTCTGGGCCTTCTGTGCCCGGAGCTCTCTCCACGTGCGAGCGAAAAGCCGGACCGCCCTTCCTCGGCGGCAAAGGTCGCACCCGTCATCGCGGTCACAGCATTGTGTGTACCGCGAAGAGCGCGAATGTCCTCTTCCATCATTTTTTCTAGCACAGCGTCCTGCTCTGCTACACGCGATCGCTTTTCTTCCTCATAAAGAACAGTGGTAGAGACTAGACCGTACCTCAAACGAGCTTGCCAGACCCAATTTTTAATCGCTTGATGACGCGCGGCGCGGCGATAGAGACGGATAGTGCGGCGCTCTTCTCGCCGAGCAGCGCGATCTGCCCGGCGTCGTGGGTCGCGACATCGTAGGATGACCCACGTCAGGAGAGAGAGCAAGGTAAGGGAGAGGAAGAAAGACTTTAAGATCACGGCTGAGGGGATGCCGTTGCGGCTGTCAGAGAGAAGTAACGAGCTTGCACCAGTGGATGACTCCTCAAGGCTGAGATCCCTTGTTTGGGCTGCACCTGCTTGTTCAACTCGTGTAGGCTCAAGTACGTCGTAAGCTTCAGAATCGCCGTCAAGCTCGTCATGCTCAGCATCAGGACTCTCATAGGTTGACGTTGGCGCATACATCGAAAGTCCATCACCCTGGTAAGATACTTTACCCGGCTTGGGACACAAAGATATATTCTTGCAAGCTTCGATGACATTGTCGACCTTTTCCTTGATTCTGTGCTTGAATTCTTGAATCTTCGCCGAGAGGCTTTTTTGCTCGGTAGGGGCGGGCTGAAATGGGGCCTCGATGGACTTTGGCATTTCCCCATCCAAGGATGGCTGCAATTGTTCAACAGCTGAAGAAGTGAACGGCACTGATGGTGTTCGCCATTCGCCAAAATCGGCATTCGAGCTTGTGGGCAAAATAGAATGCGGTTCAAACCGGACGATTGAGGGTTTTTCAGATTGCCTGAATGAGACGGTGAAAGAAGGGACATTACGACGGTCATGGACCTGAGACAGACTCCAGGTCAGGAGATGGGTGATCTCTCCCGTGCTAGAGTCGCTAGAATCCCAGAGGCAAGTGACGGTCCAGGACATTGGAGCGTTTCCGTAGGCGGGGAGGATACCATCTCCGGAACCTTGGAGCCCACTCCATTCTGAAGTCAATTGCTGACCGTCAAGTCTGATGTTGGTATCGGCGCAAAGCCGTTCAGCAGGTCCGACTTCGAGGGTGAGGGTCTAACGTGGATCAGTAAATGACGAGGAGAGCGGGGAGGTCGGGGGTACCGGGTAACCCCAGTCAGGTTCGACGGAGTTGAGGACGAACTTGAGTTGGGCTTCTAATGGGTCTTGAAATCGTCAATGATGCGATCACGATGCAAAGTAATTGTGGATACCTCTACCATAATCAATAATAGGATCCGCTGGTCGGCCAACTAAGGCTCCAGCATCAGGGATGACCAATGCAGAGACATGGGCGGAGAGCAAAGCTGCGGCCTTCAGAAGGCACCGCATGCTGGTGGCAAATATTGAACAAGAATACAGACTTCGAGACGAAGTCGTGGGGACTTTCGCTCACATGGGAAGGAATGATTTGGAGGGTGAAGGACAGAAGATGGTTGCCTGCCATCAGCTGAGCCCACAATACGGCGTCCCGATGTCCCTCATTGACCCCTGTCTGTCGTGTCCAGTAGCAAGTGATGCCCTGGCTCGGCACCCAGCGTTGCTCCGTCTCCGCCTGTTCCGCCGGGAGGCATTGCGTCAACGCGCTTATAGCGCCTGTTCAACGACCGGATGCTCGCCGTTCGATGCATTTGGCGTACAGTCTTCACCAAGCTTGTGTCTTTGTGAAGAAATGGTGAGCTAATGTCTTCGTGAATCAGTCTTTTCAACCTTTCAAGCTGATATGGGGCCCAGCTTCCATTAGGCCTTCTCAATGCCGCGCAAGGCCATCCTATGCTCGTCGAGCTCAAGAACGGCGAAACCTTGAACGGCCATCTCGTCAGTTGCGACACCTGGATGAACTTGACTTTGAAGGAAGTCGTACAGACAAGTCCAGAGGGCGACAAATTTTTCAGACTTCCTGAGGTCTACATACGAGGCAATAATGTAAGAGACCCGATCGGAAAAAGTCAATGAAGACTGATTTTCCATCAGATCAAGTACCTACGCGTACCAGATGATATCATCGATTTAGTAAAAGATCAGCAGCAGAATCAGCCATCAGGACGCGGAAGAGGAGGCGGAAGGGGAGACCATGGCGGCCGAGGCGACCGTGGAAGGGGCGGACCGCGTGGAGGTGGACGTGGTCGGGGACGAGGTCGAGGCTGAAAGCAACGAGTACAGCGATATGGCAAATCAAGCAATGGAATATTGAAGAGACGATGATCGTGCGCCATCAGGAATTTCGTGAGGTAGAAAGTGTGGGGATCCTTTCGAGAATATTGCATTTGATGCCGAACTGAATTTGGAGTCTTACCGGCTCGATGAAGGGCGATTCAGCATCTCTGAATACCAACGAATGATTCTCATCCGTCTGCGGTGAAAGGAGAGGCTTGTGGGGGAAGGCATCGGATGTCTAACAAAGACGTGCGGCGAAAGATCGGTGAAGACCACGAACGTCAGAGACTTCAGAGATGGCATAGTCGCAACATCGATATTATATAGCTAGCAGGCTTCTGCAATCATAACGCTATGCGAAAGCTTTCTATCAGCTTGTTGTAAATTGTCTGTGAAAATTCTCGGCTTGGTTCCGCCTTTGTAGTTCTTGCTTTTCGAATCCTCATCTTACAAGCTCATGCCACCTAGTCCAATCATTCATGATGCACTATGGAAATGCCTATGCCCGTTCTCTAAACGACCTCCGCAATGGTCGCGAAACACCATTCTTGCTGGACCGCGTAGGAGGACTTTGAAATGGCACTCCACACCGCGACCTCGAGCGTACTCCCAACATGATCCAGCATCCAGCAGACGACCATCCCTTTGGACCTCCAACCATGACGCAAACCTTCCGAATACATCTGAGTCCCATGACGGCTTCTTCAGTCCTCACCAAGACGTTGCTTACGCAGCACCCACGTCGAGTCTTGCGACGGCTTATGATCAGCTAAAGACCTCCAGCCGCGAGGCCAAGTACCGATATGTGCAGTCGCAGGTCGAGCATCTCGTGAAGACCCTGAAGCAAAAGCCTGACAAAATCATCTACGATGCATTGATCCTAGCAAACGCAGATGCAAAGTACGGGCATCCCTCGGAAGCTGCGAAGTTACTGCAGGAGATGGAAGCAGAAGGCATCCCACCAGATTCAGGAACCTATCATTCTATTTTGAGGGTGCTCGCAGTTCATCCCGATCAGCTTCTCCGAGCTCATGTGCTCCAATTACTACGCCAGCGCTGGTATTCGTTAACGATTGATGGCTACCATGACGTTGTCGTTGGTCTCTTACGTGAACGGCAGGCGGAGCTCGCACTTCAGTATATCGAGGAGATGCAGAAAAGCGGCGTCGTAGTCAATAGTTGGCTGTACGATATGCTTGTGTATACTCTCTGCGATATGGGAGAATATGATGAGGCGCTCCGTCTTATGCAGTATCGTCTCCGAGACAGTAGTGAGCACGAAAAGGAAGGAGCGCACATCTCAGGAACGGTGTGGTATTACCTCCTGGACACTGCCTCAAGAGCTATGCACTACGAAGCAACGCTCATCGCCTACAACGCACGCATAGCCACCAATTATCTCCATCCTTCTACCGGCATCTGCAACAACATCCTCGCCTGCGCCGCGCGAAACGGCGACCCAAAACTCGCCACCGCCATTTTCAACAACCTCGCCAAACGCTCCGGCAACTCGATCCAGCTCCACCATTACGAAGCCCTCCTCGAGGCCTACGTGAATGCTCATGACGTCCGTGCAGCAATCTCCATCCTCTCTACCATGCACCATGCCGGACACTCGATAGGCCTGGCCTCAACGCGCATTCTCTTCGTCCATCTCAAGCAGTCACTGCGCAACACGGATGTTGCTCTTGAAAGCCTGCGAAACTTACGAGACGCGCAGCGCCCTGTGACCCTCGCCGCTATCAATGTATCAATCGAGGCGCTGATCCACCATCACCAGCTACCCAAAGCCCTAGCTCTCTGCGAGTCGATCTCGCGGTACAGCGCCTATCCCTCCCTCCCAAGTACCCCCGCTCCACTTGCCAAATCCAGCAAATCTACTTCATCCAAGCCTCCTACGTCGCCGTCGAGCGAGAAGAATCAAATGGTGACCCGAACGCCCCTGAAACCGGACACTTTGACATTCAACCATCTCATTCGGGGCTGCAACTACGCGAAGGATAAAAGCAGTGCCACATCCTTATTGGATCAGATGATCGCACTGGGAGTGCAGCCGGATAGTCTGACATATGATCGATTAGTGCTGTGTTGCTTGGACGCAGATGAGGATAAGGAGGGAGGGGGGCTGGATGAAGTGAGGAAGTATATAGAGCAAATGAGGACGAAAGGCTTCGTGATGAGAGGTGGTACGATATCTAGCGTGGTGGAAAGGTGCAAGCGGGAGGGACATGCGCAAGAGGAGGTGTTTCAGGGAAAGAAAAGGAGATTTGATAGCGATCCGAGAACCATGGTGGAGGTAGAAAGGGCCTAGACAGACGATGTCCCTATGACTGTAAAGATAGATCATGAGTAGAAACTTGTGATCATGCTTGAAAGATTCATCATGCATTTAATAGTATCCTATGCCCAGCCAGCGATTATACATACATGGAACAACGCCGCAGCATGGTGAACATCAGCCAAACCCACATCCGAAATATCGATCAGTTGCCAAATCGATCTGGCAGTACCACAGGCGCCAACAAGCTCCACCCAAAAATCGCATAGCACACCCACGCGCTCACGATTTTGACCCAACTGGCCCAGTACGTCCTGCCCACGGCAGCAAAATCCCCCTGCGTCTCAAAATCAATATTCTGCGTCAGCAGCGTGGCCACCCAGCATGTCGCCAGCATGAATATCACATGGAATAAGCTGTAGTTATACTGCGTGCCACCTCTCTCGTCGTCCTTGCCACCGGCGCCATCGTCCGCCATGTCTGAATCGTCATCGTCGTCATCGAGAGCGTTGGCGGGGAGCGAGCCCGCTTCTACAGCGGCGCGGAGAGCCTCCGCACGCATCTCGCGCCGCGAAGACACAGGTTGTTGATCTACCATGCTGTGCTCGGAGTCGGGCTCGGAGGATGCCAGCTTGCTGTAGTAGTTGTGGCCTGTGTTGCTGCCAAGAGCGATGCCTTGGGTTGCGGCGCGGGTGGTTGTATAGGCAATTGTGAGCATGGTGACGATGGCGCCAAGGATTATGGTGGCGGTTCGTGTGCCTCGAGCGCGGATCAATGGGTTGCACTGGTGGTCGTCAGGCTCCATGGATACGGCGGACATAGTCAAGTAGGTGCAATAGATGGAGACCATAGCTGCTTGGGCGAGGCCGGCACGAGGGTTATATTCTTGGATTGTGGGATGGACGGAAATGAATGAGATGCCAAGGAGGACGAGGAGGTTGATCTACGGTGATTAGCAAAGGAGAATGAAGGTTGACGACAGCAAGGGGATAACGTACTGTGATAGCAGCTTGATTCATCTTGCAACCACCATTCGCGAAGAAGATATACATAATGATAGTCATAGCGAAGGAAATGGTGTACATCCCCAGTGTAGAGCCAATGAGGACCCCTCGCCATGCTCTCGAATCATTGTCCTCGATCTTCTGCAAGCAGTATTCTGCCCATGTATGTGCAAGATCAACGAGGAGTATCAAGCCAAGCAGGACAAAGAGCATTGCCAGGATGAGGGCGAAATATTGCCCCCAGACCCTAAAGAATTCTTCAGGTATGAAGAACGTGATGACGACGAGTGCCAGCCAAGCGATAATTTTAGGGCCCCAGTATCCGTTTTGAAGCCCAGCTCGACCATCTCTCGACGATTTGACACCGAAAAGTAGCATGGCGAGGAGGAAATGGAAGACGCCCAGGGCGAAGTTGACTCTTTGGACGGCAATGTAGCCGTAGCATTGCTTTCCTTGGCAGGTAATGTTCATGTAGTCTAGCGTAAGATGCTCCAGCTTTTTGAGCGCCCAAGGTGTAAGCATGAGCCATGATAGCATAGAGTTGATCAGAAGAATGACTGCGTAGGCGATCCGAGTGGCCATGCTAGTATTTGATCAGCTATTGCCGGGATGTAGAGAACATATCAACCGTACCTGCTTCTAAATTTCCCACACATACTACATACTGCTGAGCAGGTTGCAGCTCCACAGCACGAAGCCGCAAATGACACTAGGGTCCCCATGCTGGGCACCGCAAGGAGCGGCAGAGACAATAATGCGCCCATGCTTCAAGTTATGATTTCCGGGTGCGTAGAGGACTTAGAGTCAGCGAGAGAAAGGCGAACAGCGGAGGGCTGAAGCCTGCCGGCTCGGCGTTTAATAGATGTTTCTTTTGCCAGGCTCTAAGCTGCAGCGCAACAAGGCACTGAGTCCAGCCGCCGTCTGTGTCTTACCGCTAACAGAGGCTGCTCTTGTTGATGCTAGCTGTGAGCGCGATCCAGTTGTTGTTTGAGGTCATGAGAACTGATGATGCAGTTATGCGGCAAATTCCGTCAGTGCTCGGATTTGGCGGATTCGCGTGAGATGTTCGCCGGAGATCAACGGCAGACTATAGGCCGAGGGGGCAGACTCTTACTGAAATGAATTTGAATTCGCTCCACCACAAGCGGTAGAATATCATCTGGATGCTCAGCGTTGAGATAATCCCGATAATCTATTGCACGGGTTGAACTTTGCTTTCGGCTCTACTTAGTAATATCTCAAACCTCAAATGAACCGTGCAAAGCACCAGGCTTCAATCCACCTTGTGTAGAAATGTTTGCAGGTGCGTAACATAAATGTTTACAGACACAGCTTGAGCTTCCTCGCCAAAATTTCCTTGCAAATACAGGTCACTAAGAGCCGAGCCTGTCCAGCAAGCTCGATCTCCTGCTTCATCATCAATCTGGCTCCCACCCAACCCCATCCCCGCCCTCTCACAGACTACTCGGATTCTCACTCGCCCCTTCAACTGGATGATTGCAATTCGCATATCCCGTAATGATGGTCCAGTCCCCGCTCGAATCGACAGCCATACCAGCCACAGCTTTTACGGAGAAAAATTGACTATCTCTTTTGCACGTATCCAGGATATCCTTCCATTCTTGACTGGAGTCGCCGCGCTTGACGTATGCGGCTACGGTCTGGCAGGGAACTGAGAAAGGTCCTTCTTTCTGTGAAGAGAGTCAGTATGTCTTGTCTCGTGAATTTCTGATCAGATTGAGAGGAGAAAGGTGAAGTTGAGGTCTTACACCATCTGCATTGCAGAACTAGCTATTCGTTAGCCTTTGGTCCTTTGCGTACAAGAAGGTGAGCGAGAGAAAACACATACGTATATTCCCGTTGTGTTGTCACAAGCAATTCTCACGCACTTGCCATCTCCCTGGGGCGTCGTGCAAGTGCCCCCCTTTTTGGCAAGTCTATCCGCACCTTTCCCTAGGTCCTCAATATCAGGCGCAGCGATGTTAGGAAGGCCTTCTGGCGAGTCTGTTCCCGTGCCTGCACCACACTCTATATGATCTGGAATAGGAGCATCGAGCTCGGCAGGCAGGGCAAGTGACTGGATGGGTATTAGCATTTTGCATTAAATACAGACGAGTTGTAGTGATTGCCTACCAAGCCACAGAAAGCAAGGAGTATAAGAGCGATGAAAGAACGTTGCAGTATCATATTGCCGTACCAAATGAGAGACCAATGTTTTCTTTGTCTTGAAAGGACTGAGATAGAAGAAGAAGAAGGTGGGAATTCACAGAAAACGTTCAGACGTCCATCTTTATAAGCCAGCCTGAACACGAGGCTGAATTGACAAGAAGCACAGGAAAAGGGTTCAATCAGTTCGTTGGCCAGCGGTGCATGATACCACAGGTTTTGCGAAGCGCTGAACAGATTAAGGGGCATCTCTTTTTGCGCAAGGCTGGATGTGTAGCCTTGTCGGTCCCCACCCGCCGAGCCACCTACGATATTCTCAGCGTGCAACTGAGATATACACTGCAGCATCAGAGTCCGGGTCCTTGCATCCTGTGCCGCCAATCACTCATCCAAAATTAGTCAGTTGCAATCACTTTCGACTAGATCGAGTCTTTTTCGCCTGGTCGGATAAAAGTGGCAGATAGACACATACGAAACAGGTATCATGCTCTTACATTCATAATACGAAAGCCCGGCCATTCAGTCTCATTTCAATGAAGGTTGGTCAGTGAAATCGTGTCGCTCGCTGAATACATTCTGGCAAGTATAGAGCATGCACAACGCTCTGGAGCATTTCAAGAGCGGCTAGAGCACCAATGGAGTTGAAAGCAAGGCCAACATCGCCAACGCATACTTCTTTCAGGTCGCTGTTAGCAAATTTTTCAGTGCCTATCCATGCAGTGTCCCAGCTATTGCAAAGACCCGTCGCCATGCAGCTCTATCGAAGATTCATGCTCTTATCACGAACTTCGCTTGCTCAAAATACGTTTTTGATCGCCTTGCGCTTATTCATCCGCCGTGAGCCATACCTTATCCTTTCCTTCGAAATTTGTGTAACTTCTTGGCCTTTTTATTACTCAAAGATTTTGTATCGACCGGAGTAGGAGGTTTAGCACCGCTAGATTGCTGCTCTGACGCTGGCTGGTATGGTGCTGAACTACTTTGCTGTGGCTGGCCCTCGAAAGAAAGGGGTCTTACTCTAGATTGTTCTTGCATTTCGTAAGATTCAACTTGGTCCTCCGTGGGGACCCTTGATGACAGTTCGCTATCCAAGTGATTTTTCGTACCCGTTTCGAGATCTAAAGGAGCGTATCCGCCTCTATTGGTATCCATTGAAGGCAACAGAAAGCCCCGGCCCTCAGGCTGTCCTCCATTAATATCGTTGTAATTTGAAAGCTGGCTTGGTCTTGCGGGCGCAAAATAAGACGATTGTCCTAACGACAGGCCCTGATTGTTGTACGCATATCGTGAATGTGTGGCATTTCGCAGCGATGTTTCGTCCTCCGAAGACGCCAGATCGTCCACGTCATCGGACCAAATACCCTTTCGGTCACTATTCTCATCCAACTCCGTCACACGTCCTCGTTCAAGGTTCTCGACATTCATGTAGGCGCCAGTCGGCGTTCTTTGCGCTTGTTGCGCATAAAGGTACTTTCTCCGGTCCTCTTCGCTCATTATGCTCTCGACTCGTTTCGGCATGTACACTGAATGAGTGCCAGAAGCTGCGCTACTGCTCGATTCTAGAGAGTCACGACGGTAAAACGGGGGCCTTGGGGCGTCTAAATCTTGTACAATCGTGGCCGGCATCGCTAGACCCGAGTCGACATTGCCATGAAGGTACCATCCACCCGGCAACTCCTCAGCAGGAGCGAAACGCCCTTCAAGCTTGGTTGCAGGCTGTACCGGTATCGACTCTACTGGTTTGTCAAGTCGAGCCTCGGCGGCAGGCTTGAAAGTCTCGGGGACCACATTCAGGTCGTCACCTGTAGCCTGGGCATGTTCTATAGCCTCTTGAGGCGAGGTCTCTGGGTCCGCTTTGCCCGCGTCTGCTCTTGGTCCGCCCCATGTACGTTGTCCTGCTGTGAAGATTCCGTATACCATGTACACCCAGTTGAAAAATGGGTTGATAATGAACATGATGGGATAAAGCCAGACTTTATATCTGCCCAATTTGAATCCAAAGTAGATCATGAGAAGCCAATTTAAGCCCAGAGATACGGCAATGAAACCTACAGGGACATTGCTGATACTGTTGGAGAGGGTCAGGAGTGAGATGACCATGATGAAGAACAGAAGAGCGGTGGTTCTGATCGTATTATTCATGAAACGTACGATACAAAGCAAAGGATACCGCCACCATAGACGGATGTCTGTCAACATGCAGACCTCGTTGGTGATGAAGCCAAGGAACCATCTTCGTCTCTGCTTGAGTAGACTCTTGTAAGTTTGGACAGCTTCGGTCTTGCAAAAGGCACCTGTACACATCTGGATTTGATACTGCTGCCTGGCTCCAATCATAAAGAGGTGCGTCAACCATCGGTCTTCACCCAGATGACACTTTGCAAAATCGAAAAGATCGTCACACTGCTCTGCTTTGTCCGCAAAGTAATATTTCGCCATCTTTCGAAAGGCGGAGAAGCGCAACCTATAGAAAACTTTGAGTTAGCAATCCTGTAAAGGCTGTAAACAGAAGCTTAGAGACGCGTTCGAAAATTTGTTTTTGGGTTCAGCATCGAGGCCCTGTGAGGACAATCGGACTTGAAGAATAATACGTACATGGTCAACGCGCCAGGAAGGCAAGTCACAGCTCCACATCCAGATTCCACAGATCGTTCAAATAGTTGTCCGTGGATGTACTCCATGTCTTGCAATAATGTAATGAGGGTGTTCTTCTGCGTCGTTGAGGTGATCACGCCGGTCATAGCTAACATGTTCTGTTTGCTCCCAGGTTTGAGCTCCATTTCATACATGAAATTCTGGATACAGACTTTGTCAAGTATACAATCAGAGTCAATGAATAGAATGAATAAATTGTCGTTCCGCCTCAAATACTCAGTGTAAATTCTATCAATGAGTTTGAAGGTCGACTTCTGACAATGACGTTTGCCTCCATGAGGAAATCTGGAGACCGTGATCCGGGACATGCGGTAGACTACGTCGATACTTTTAGGGTAGTGATCCAGGGTTAGTGGTACTCCTAATTTTTCAATGGTTTTGAGGTAGAGCTCATCTTCTTGGTCACCGTCGAAGGAAAGGAACACGTGCAGACAAGAGGGCGGATAGTCGCAGTCTACAACCGAGTCGACCGCTGTGAGAAGGACTTCCGGGTCTTCCTTGTAGCACGGCATTACAATGACAGTCTTCGGCGCAGTCTCCTCATCCAGGATTTCCTTGATTCGCTTCTTTCTCCCCAGACTGTTGACGACAAGTTGGTAGACGCAAAAGAGCCAAGGTACCGTGAGTAGGATCGCAAAAGCCCAAAAGGCAAACCATCGCAGGAAGCTTGCCACGTTTTCTGGCCAATATTTCACAACCTGTGGAGGCAATGGGAGGGTCACAATCATTACTGGAAGAAAGATACATCTGTGCTATGGTTAGCAGCGATGGAGGTAGCTAGATATTTCCCTACCTGAGTGCTGTAAATCCGATCATCATGATGATGGATAGAATCCTAATTGTCCAATGCTCTGCCTTGATGTAGACTTTGACCAAGCAGTAGAGAAAGGCTGCAAGCCACAGGAACCATTCCAGAAATGCTGCAAGTAGTACAAAGCCCAGGATCGAGACATACACGATCTGTGGCAATTTAGCATGTGCTTTTCGAAGTGAGCAATACGTTTGTTCTCACATCTTTGACAGGCCAAGGGTCTGTAATGGATGGGACCCCATTCTCATCTTTCATCTTTGGGCGTCGAGTTGATGACAGGTGAAGTTTGAGATGCGGCAGGACAATGTGCTTATGAAGAATTCTTTGTGATTTCGGCAACTCGCAGGCTGCAGGTCGACAGGGTCAGCCAAGCCTCTGTTTGGGTACTGACCAGATGCAAGGAGTTGCTGGCGGTAGAGCTAAATGGTCAAAAGGTAGAATCCCGAGATCGAGCGTCACATTAGTGAACAACAGTTCGGGAAGGTGCAGATGGCGTGTATCAACAACCCGAGTGGTCGACACGTTGTACGACACCCATTTCACTTACTAATCAACACAACAGTAAGCCTCAACTTTGGATGGCCTGTGATCTGTTGGTCATTGTTGTCGTTCCCACCGGCTTGAGTGGCAAGTTAAAGGCACAAACATTTGACGATGAAAGCAGCAAACTGCCCAGCGTGGAGCAACAATTATGAAAGCTTCCGTACCTTAGATTTAGAGCAAGCTACGTATGCACGACTTCATGTTGCTCCCTCACCGCACTTTCTCCTTTCTCTACTGAATGCTGACCGCTATGTCCTAAGCAGTCCTTCCGTCTTCCTTGCGACACCAAAGCTTCCTGCCGAAGGACGGTTTCAAGAGACTGAACGACGTTGTGGGTATCAGCCATTCCTTGGGAGACCCTTCTTGAAGGTTCATCCTCAGACCAATTCGCGTTTGATAGAAACCGTCCTTCCTCACTCTTTGCACGTACAGATGCAAGGCTTGGCTTCCAATGCCTTCCGAATCAGCGGGCGGTACTAATGTCTTTTCGCACAAGTGAGGCGCACTAGTCATGCTGTCACTCATGAATCGACCTACCTGAGTCTGCACTTTGCAGGCATTGCCATCTATATGTCGTATTTCGACAAGTAATGAATGCGTCAATTCCTAGAGAGAGGAAAATCAGCCGTTGGTCATTGCTGCTTCACCCCTCGAACTTTCAAGGTGCGCCCCTCCAAAGAACTTTTGAAGCGATCGGTTCAAGCATACCAATCAACATCACTCATCTGCAATTTTGGGGCTCTCTGGTTCCGCCGGTTCGAAGCAGGTTTCTCAGCAGCTTTCACCGCATTGTTCGACGAAGAACGACCGAGTGTGGGATTATGGGGATGCCGGTCTGCTGCACCCATTCCTTTGTGAACATCATCGTAAGCATCACGATTGAAATCCTGGGGGACCAAGGGGGGCCTGCTCCTGGGCAGGTTGGGATTGGGGGAAAGAAAAGGGTCGAAGGAGAGAGTGCTTGTTGTACCAGCTGCATCTGAATTTGAATCCTGGAAGTCGAGGTTGAGGATGTGACTTTTAATTCGCCTTTGCTCCTCACGCTCGGCTTCTCGTTGATTCTTCATAGCGATGGCAAATTGGGAGTCGGAAGGCATCTCGATCATTTTCGTCTATCTTCATTAGCCTGTACCTTTGCTCCAAAGATTCAGCCCTCTCTACCTGCTGCCGATTGCCTTTTTTAGTCATGAGGGATACAGCCATGGTATTCGTTGGTGGAGGTGATGCGATTCGTTCATTGTCACTTCCATCGCTTCCAGCAGTCTGCGGTCGCTGTGCTCGTCTCATGGGGAGAGGCACGTCAAACATTGGCTTGCGTTCGAACTTCCGTGATTCTAGGCTTTCAGACATCATCTTTTGAAGCTCGCGATCGAATTCAGCCTCCGCCTCAGGGTCGCGCTGCTTTTCTTGGCGGGTGACAACGATCTGTTCTTCAAAATCAGAATCGCTCTCGGAATTGCCATTTGTCTCAGGCTCCTGTATGGGTTAGCTTGAAGCGTATCGCAGCCTGGAGGGAGGAAATTGACTTCAGCATCTGCTTCATCGCCGGAGGACGGACCCTCCTCCATCTCAGGGAGCGGCATATCTTCATCGTCTTCACCATCAGATGAAAGTTCATCGGGATCCTCCGGCTCCAGAGGCTTTTCAAGTTCTTGAGATTTGTAATTTTGTTTCACCAGTTCAGCAAATATCCGTCCAGCTTCCTCAAAGGTTTCTGCCAACTTCCATTGGGGTCTTGTTAGTGCAAAAGTGTCCTGCACAACGAAGTCAATGTCCATTGGAAGGGTGTCCTTGGTGCGAATGTAGTACTAGATCTCGTCAGCATGAAATGGTAGTTTAGCATGACGTCTAAATACCTGCAAGAAAGTCAAAAAGAAGTCTAGTTTTTTACGAGATGCGCCTCGGTCGAAGCATACACCACAAGTATCGAGCATCGTGCATACGAGTCTTATTCGGAAGAAATCGTCAGACATATCTAGGGAATTCAGCTTCACGGGAGATGGGGTCCCGTCGGCTGAGCCGTGTTAGTGGAGATTCAAGGGGTTGGAGCAAAGCACCCACGGTGCCCAAATGTCACTATGCGGTAAAGCATATCAAATATCACAGACGAGTCCACCATCTTGTAATTGTAGAGTTCACCGATATATCTAATCTCTGCTAACCGTCGTTGGTTAAATTTGAAGTCGTTCTGTTCCAAGCCTAATGTGACCTGCTCTATCAGGTTGTCGATCACCATGATGACGAAATCTTGGTGGTAGCGATTCAAAGACCCGAGTAGGATGGCGAGGAGGTAAATGTTGCTATATTTGACCTTCCATGGTTTGGAAAACACCTTTTCTAACGTAGTAACTACCTGCCCCTGTTTTAGTATGAACATACATGACGAGTGGAGATCCTACCTCTTGCTCTTCCCAATGCAACTTTCTCAATGATTTCAAGACTTTCGCGTAGGTTCGTTTGTTCATATCAAGATAGACTAGCTGCGAAACATACATATCGACGGGTGACCTCTCCTTTTGCTGAATTGCGGCTCTTTCTGGAGGATTAACATAATACATGGCATTTTCGATAATCATGCGCTCTTGCTGGCCAAGATGCTGCGCAGCTTTCTTGCGTTGAAGCGTCTCCAGGAAAGAAGTCATTCTTGGTGATGTGTCCGGATTCTTTAACAGATATCTTCCACAATTTTCCAGGAGGTTGCCAATAATGTCAATGTTCATTCTTGAAAAATCATCTAAGCTGACCTTGAGGCAATGGAAAATTACATGTTCTGGTACAACACCGAATTTAGTCAACTCAGCAAGATAGCGAATGTTGCCAGTACGAACATGACCTAAGAATTCCTTTTGTTTTCGGCGTTGGAGGCTTCGAAATTCATCATCCAGGTACGACACCAAGCTGTGTGAGATATCTGGCATGTACTTACCTAGGGTCGCAACCAGACGGGAATAGAGCGGTAGCAGATCGGATCGGCCTTTAGGAGGCTCTTGAATAGCTTTAATCAGGCGATTTCGTGACGCTTTGGAGTTGAGAAAGCCGAAGTCATTAGCTGTTTGGTCAACTTGGTCTTTTGTTACTAGCTCTGGCAAGCATGCAATGAGCGCGTCGACTTTTGCGCCCACCGTCTTATTGGCTATTGCAGTTGACTGGTCATCTGCAGCAGCGGATGTTGAAGCTTTTTCCTCAGTCCTGGATTCTCCCTCGCTGGTCATCTTCCTACCGACTGGCTCATCTTCTATCTTCTTCTTCTTTGGATCTTCTAAGAGGATAGATGGTACCCTATCCTTTAGATCGATGAGATTTTCATAGAACCTTCGTTCTTCCTCGTCTTCCCAGATACCAGCCCCGTCCCCTTGGCCACGGAGATACTCGCCCGTTTTGACAAGTCCAATGCCGGCGGTCGCCGCTGGATCTTGAGCTTCTTTGCCTTTAAGATCTGGCATTTCTTGATCCACAAGCGCATCGCATAAGATCTGAGCGTTAGAGATTAATTTCTCCTGTGCCTTCAACTGCTTATCGTAATTGGCCTGTCTATCTTCAAAAATCTCTCCAGACTTCACGTAAGCTTCAGCATTACGCTTACCCTGTGCATTGATTCGTTCATGATCACGAACAATGTGAAGCTTGATATCCTCGAAATACCGATTGAGAATGTTCCGGAAGCGTTGCTGAAGCTCGGTGCCGATCAAGGGTGGATCGTCTGTTGTGATTGAAGCATCGCCATTTTCGTCTCCAGAAGTCTCATCGTTGGACTCAATGGCGGAATCAGGCACGGAAGTGAGTTCACCATCAGCCTTAACAGACTTCTGGTTTTCCGCGACCGTGGATTTAATCCCAAGAACATCCCAGGTAAAGTTCTTGACGAATTGTACGACCAGGGGAAGATTCGTATGTTCTTTGTCGTGTCCAAGTAGATCCTTGAGAACCTCAAGTGGGAAGGGTTCTGCATCTGATGCTGCATTGATCTTTCCACTAGACTGGCCGCCTTTCTTGGTCATAGCCTCTCCGACTTTATTCCCTGAGGTAGTAACATGTTCTTTGCCTCTAGCCAGGGCTTCTTCAGGCCTAGTCACATCATCTAAACTCCTCAGGACCCCAACTAACCATAACTCTGTCACAACTTTCAAGAGTACCCTTTGCCTGCTCATCCGCTCCCTCTCCTCTTTTTCCCTTGTCTCTTGTGACAGAGTCTTCAACTGAGACTTATCGGGCGTGCTCAAGCCTCTTCCAACATGCCACCCTAGACTGCTTGTGTATTCGGCCGGACCAAATCGTTGGTGTAATGCGCTAATGACTTCCACCCCTGCTACAACCTCACCTGGCGTTTTCAATTTGCAAAGACCCTCATAGCTCGCAGATATCACCTCTGAAAGGTACTTCTGTAAAGACAAAGACTTAATCTCCTGGATGAATGTGGGGGTGCTCGTTGCTGTAACAGCTGTTCGAAGTCTTTTGATGAAAGCGGTATTTTTCTTTAGGGACGAGTCGAAGGAACCATTGACTGGGAACACATCTGCCACCTATGTTAGCAAAGACATCGAGGTCGGCTCCTTGTGGAAGAAAGCACCTGTGTCTCCTGCCCAGACTTTGCTATTCAGCTCGAGCAAAGCGCCTAGATGAAAATCAATTAGCTCGAAGACGATTTCAGCAGGTTGAAGGAGCTTACGCTTCTTTCTACGGTCCATAGCGAACCAAAATATGCGAATGCGATCCTCAAGGCATGCAAACCACTAGACTTTCATTTGTGGCGAGCGCAGAGTGCGGAACACTCAAGGACACCACCCTCGTCACATGGAACGTGACTCAAGAACGATCGATATGCCAGCAGCCCAGGAAAGAGCCTTTCAGTCTGCGTCAGAGGGAGAAAGCATAGATACCGCAAGGCAAACAGCTTGTAGAACGATATCGCTGAGATAATGCGGCTTAAAGCTTGCTTATCTCCGGGGGCTAGTGCGAGGGGTAGCCTAGACTTATGCAAGGTACCGCCTCACCCCTAAATTGGACTGACCACGATCATTGACGATCCATTGATACGAAAGCTTGATCATTACATACTCTCAGTTAAGAAAGAAATGATAACGGACTCATTGCAACCACTTCTTTAGGGTTCGTCCGACATGTTCAATATTTTCGAAAGCCAACTCGATTTTGCTCAAACTAGCATCAATGTCAGCTGTGCAAGTTGAGCAGGAAAGGGGTATCAGCTCTTTGTCTTGGGAAACTTACATCGAAGACTCCACCAATACCACGGAAGAAATCTTCCCCTATCACCCAAACATCTCTCATTCCGTTTCCGCCTAAATTGTCATGATCGCTTCCAAGTCTTGTACCTCTCCTACCTTGATCAAGAACCTCATCTTTCTCGTCTCTTAAGCCCATTCTAGTCTCAACCACATTGCCAATGCAATATCCGCATCCACTTCTCAATCTACCCAAGCTGAATCTGCCGCCTACACCACCGTCTAATCGTTAGCCTTTCCCGGCTTGCTTTGTGACAGAGGCCGAGACTCGAGTGCTCTTCCTCATCAAACTCTGGGGCAAGTAAGACTTACCCGCTCGCTGGCCTTTCCAATCTGAAAATTGCCCTCTTGGACCATGAGCGAAAGGAAATTTCTGGTTACCAATTTCGAAGGCAACTTTTGGCGGGTTGAGACAAGGAAAGGCATAGAAGCTGGAGTGTGGCGGGGGTAGAGCGAACGACCCAGACACGGCTGCATAAAATGACTTGGCCGCTATTGGTGGGGCGAGTATGAATGGGCTGTTGATGTCGACGACTAGTGCTTGGTTCTGGAGAATTTTGAAACCGTCGACCCAAACTGCTTGCATGAGAATCTGCCACCATCCTTCAGCCCCATGTGTTTTGCTCCAAGCCCAACCTTGTTCCAATTCAGGTCTTAGCTCGTCGTGTTGCTTCATGGTTTGTCCACGTTTGAGCAATGTGGGCTTTTCTTCTTCTAGGACATCATCATTAAGCGTCGAGGCACCGATCTTGTCAAGATTGGTTTTAGTCTGCTCTTCGGCCAGCTCTACCGCCCTTGCGGCGGTTCCACCTACGCTGAGAACCCCTTGATGATTGTTGATGAGCGTCAACGAGAAGACGGGGCGCTCCACTACTTTGGACTCTACGAGCTGTTTCAGGATTGGAGTAGATTTAGTCTGACTCAAATGCTCCGAAGGGGCCAGACCAAGCACACCACCAGATGGCCCCAGAGTATTTCGGGAGCTTTTTCGAGGCCGACAATGAGTGAAGGAGACTGGAACCGATCTATTGATCGTAGGCAGTTGGAAGTTATCAGTGGGTAGACTGCACATTGGGTATGGACGCTGATCCGACTTCGCTGTCGTCCTCATCAGTCTAAAAAATGCCGTACAAAGATAAAAAATGAGACGTACTGTACGATTTAGAGAAGAAGTCCTCAAACATGCTGCCACCTTTACTGGTCGTCGTAATAACATAGAAGTCAGATACTAGCATGTTCAGATCCACCTCAATGACCTGTGACGGATCGCCTATGCTGAACATAGCATGCCTGATCCTCTTAGTGGATTGTCACCATAGACCAACGACTCTATTGCATACCAAGTACCATTTTCAGCAACCTGTCCCATGAGCGCTCCATCTTCTCGTCCACCAGCTGCGTTGGTTTTGGCCTTCCTGACCAGACGATTACCTTTTACTTCCCTCTTCGTTAGACTAAAGCGACTCTTTACCTTCTCCAGCTCTTTCTGCAGGTAGCTGAGATCGACAATGTCAGAAGATGAATTTGTAGGCGAAAATGGCCCGCCTCTTCTATTGAGTGTGAAATGGAGGACTGGTGCGGGGTCAAGCGACCGAAGAACAGCATTGCTCGCGTTCGCGATAGCTAGATAACATGGTAGGAAGATCGCGACGACATGGATATGCATATTGGTCAGTATCACAAGTGGGTTGCGAATAGAAATAGAGGAGGGTGATGGAGAAGACGTTCGAGTGTCATAAGTATGGGCAATATACTTGTCCAGATCGAGCGATGCAATTCAAGTGTTAGTTTAAATTGCGAGAGCGCTGTATCCTTCGTCTACCATCTCACGTCTAGCCCAACATGAGGCTTGGGTATCATATATACAAACCTTCCACGCTATGCAACTGCTCGTAATCCGCGTCGACTAACACAAAGATATTACCCACCTTCATTGTCTCTGTAGTACTCTGTGTTGCTTTCAAGCTCCGACATCTTCAAGGCTTCATCGACACTCTTCACGAAGTGCCTTGGACCACCCGATCTTTCCACAATGCCACTCTTCTCGAACATGGTATAGACCTGGCTGCTTTGTGCTGGAACCCTACAGAAAAAGACACGAACTCGCCTGCTAACATAACTATCGATGATCTCTGCCAACACTTGGGTACCTGAGCCGTCGATGGAAGTCACACCATGGACATCGAAGATGATGTTGCTGTTGTGCTCAGGAGCCCGAACACGAGGCAATGCAGGATGAGCTGCATTTGTGCCATACAACTCCAATCGTCTTAACCTACTTTTCAAATCGCCAGTGTTGGCAAACGTCAATGGCTCCGGGATCTTGACGATCAGACAGCCTTCGATAAACTCAAGCGTTTCTGGGCTCAGCTCTGCATTCTCGAATTGATCTGTACTGCCAGGAACTTTCCCTAAGATTTGAATGCGAGGCTTTGTCGAATGACGGATGACCTGCAAAATGGAAAGTCCAATTCCAAGGGCAATGCCAACGCCGAGCGAATAGAAGAAAGTCGAGATAAAGATCAAGGACATCAGAAGGAGCTCCATCCAGCCTCGAATCTTGATGAAGAATATAATGTCGTGGGGCGCCTCTTCAATCAACGAGTAGGCCACGACGGATATCATCGCTGATAATACAGCTTTCTATAACAATATTAGCCTGACTCCTAAAGTATGCAATGGGTCACTGACTGGTAGATAGTAGAAATAGGGCAGGAGGAAAAGTACACAAAGTGCAGTGATGATACTTAATAAGATGCTGCTCATGCCTGTTTTCCCACCTGTTGATGAGTTGACTTTACTCCTTCCATAACCACCGAAAGCTGGCAAGGCCATGAAGCAACCACCCACGACGTTCGCGACGCCCAGAGCTACCAGCTCGCGGTTCGCACTGAGTGACATGCCCTGGATACCTTCGCCTTGCCGTCCCTCGCCTCCTCCTAAGCTTTTTGCGGCAACAGAAGACTCAAAGAAGCCGAGTAGGGCGATCAAGAAGCTGGTACCCATTGCTTCCCTAATGTGACTCATGTGCGATGGGATGAAGGGAAAGCGAAAAGGAAATGGCGAGCCAGAGTGTGACTTAATCGTGCCCAGGATATCAATGCCTTTCCCTTGCCAGTCGAATCGCCATGCAAAGACTGCAGAAAGGACGACTATCACGAATCGATCCGGTATGTACGCCACTTTTGGATATTTGGGCTGTAAGCGCTTCTTCAACTCCCTGCAACTCGCCGTCAATATCTTTCTCATTCTTATATGGATAGGTCGGTACGTACCTGGCAACCATAATGATGACAAAACTCACCGCAGATACAGCACATGTAGCTCCATGAGCAAACCTGACATTCTGTACCAAGAAAGCCACCTTCGCAGCACTACTCCCATGCGCAACACCGCCAGCATGGTGTGTCCTCTCCCCTAATCCCATCTCCGGGATCAACTGGTCCACGAAGATCACAAAGCCGATCGCACTAATGAACCCTCTCAAAAATGGCCTACTCAGCACACTGTCCAAGAATCCCAACCTCGTCAACCCCGCGATGAGAATGACTGCCCCCGCCATCCCAGTCACCACCCCTGCGACCCTCGCATTCATCTCTCCATCAGCCTCTCCAGTAGCACCTTTGTCCACACTCATCCTAACCACCGTGCCGACCAACAGACTCCCCGCTGCCTCAGGACCTACCACCATCCGTGGACACGTCCCAAGTAGCGCATATATAAAAGGATTGAACACGAAAGAATACAACCCATTAATCGGCGGTAAATGCCCCAGATTCTCGGCATAGCTCAACGCCATCGGAATGTAAAAACTCGCCATCGTCAGCGCCGCCACAACGTCTCCCTGCAAGAATCGCCAGCTATACTGCGGCAGCCAATTGAAGATGGGGAGATAGTACGTCAAGTACATTTTCCGCCTGCCTTGCACATTATGCCGTTCCGCCAGCTCCTGGGTCGTAGACTTGTAGACATTACCGCTATTTCCTCCTTTGACATTGCCATTCTGATCTGCAGAAGAGGTAGAGGAGTCAAGTAGTGGCTGTGTCTCCGACGAATCCTCCACACCGTCGCCCAGTAAGCCCTCCGCCAGAGCGTCGCCGAGAAGTTTATGCCGAAGATCTTTTCTCGCGGCGCTCATGCCCCCGTAGCCCTGTTCGCGAAGCTGTGGCGGCCCATCATGGGCGCCACCACCACCCCTGGTGGGGACAGAGCCCGTTGAATGATGCGCTCGTAGTCGCGGACTAGAGGGGGGACTGGCATGTGGAGACAGCGAGCCATGGTCACATTCGGCGTTGTCATGGCTCTGGAGGTTTTGGCAGGAGGGGCGGTGGTAGCTGTGACGAGAGGAGTAGGAACGTTGTTGTGTCAGAGGCGAAAGTTCGTTTGGTGGGAGATCGGAGCTGCCTGGGCTTGGAGACATGTTGAAATAATTTACAGATGGAGATGGAGAGCGGGGGGTGGTTTGGGAGAAGGTGGGGTCAATTTTCAAAGCGCTGCCATGAATAGATACGGCGTGAGAGATAGAGCAAGTGTAAATGATTTCTAGATAGTAATTGCCTCATGTGACCATGGGTGGTGAGCACATGGTTTTGCAGCGTTTGCAAGTGAAAAAGCCATTGTAAAGGTTCGGCGTTGAAATGGAAGTGTCCCGATTGGACAGAGTATTTTTTCTTCGCAGCTGGCTGTCACCATGACTTGACAGCTGACGTGAACGTACTCAACCTTGCATGGCAGTAAGTTGGCACATATGTAAGACGATAAGCACAATACTCAAAATTGTCAAAATTGTCAAAGATTGATTTCTATGTTCATTGCAAGTTTCTACGGGAATAAAGATCTCTGTAATAGCGGCCACAGGCTGTAAGAAGTGAAGCTCAAGTACATAACGTTTCGCCCGTAAGTGTATGCTATCGACATAAGAGTCATCCAGCTGCTCCATCTCCGGAACAATGTTATCCACTCGAGGATGGTTCCACAGACGCTCCTGATTTACGAGCTTCTTGCTTACACGCATAACAATTCAGAACCATTCCCCTTCTGAGACCCTCCTCCAAAGTTCACATCCATTATCCCATCCCTGACATTTCTGCACTATTCCCGGCCTTCCGGTAACACATACCCTTGCTCGTCCAACGCGTTTGCATTTGTAACGTCTCTGTAGGGCTATTGACCCTTCTTGATCGGCTGTCCCTGCACATACCTGTTGACATCAGTAGCATCCGCTGCCTGGCCAATAGCACGCTTGACAGATTCCCAGCCTTGCTTGACCACAGGTGGTGTAGATTGCTGAGCAACGAACGAATCGATCCTCCTTCCAAATTGGAGAATGGCCCCCTGGACAAAGGTACTCTGGGAATATCTAGCGCGGAAGAAGACGGTGTAGATAATTATCAAGATCCAGCTTCCTTTCTGAAACATGAAAGCAGAGCCCAGAAGGCGGAACCAGAGGAAAATCTCGAGAGAAGCGACCAGAGTCATGCTGGCATCGTAGTATTCCTTGACGAACCTTCCGATCATATCGGCAAGGGCGTTGGGTTTCATCGCTGGCTTTCCGCCTGGCGAAGCACCACTTGCGGGGCCTGCAGGCTGAGGAGGTTGCAGAGTTGGGATGAGGTTTGTGCGGGTGTAAGTGGCGACGTGGAAGACGGAGTAGACTGCGAAGGGAAGTAGAGCAAGGGGGACCTGACGGGAGAAGAGCCAGATAAGTGCCATTGCTAGAGATATCAGTCAGCCCCTGCATCTACAGGGTATGAAGTTGAGATGAGGATTCTCATACCCAGATATTGTACATTTTCATCAGCAGCCAAGGCTAAAGGTCCACCAGGTTGACGGCTTCCACCGCGAGCTCGAGCTCTTGCAGCTTTGTAGACCACGATGCCATATGTAGCTGCAGCTGCGACGAAGGCCGTGCGATAAGAAAAGCGAGCCGAGCCCGAGGCAGTATGGAACGTGATGTATGAAAGCCCATATCGTAGCGTAGAGAAAAGGAGCGTTAGGTGGCCTACGAACCAGCCAAATCTATGTCACCAAAGTCAGATATTTCTTCTCCCCAGAAGCAGAGCAATCGAGGCCGCGAAATACTTACTGCAATGTTTGTGCGAGATGGATTAGCCTCTGGCCCAATGGCAGAGAGGCAGGCGGTGGGGGTGCCATGGCTGGCAAGATCGAAGAAGCTGGAGCTGTTCACACGAAAGACGATTAATTTTGTGATCGGTTGCAACAGCAAGGTGGCTTCTGATTGCTGAGTATGTGTGCAAGAGTGACGTGGAGGGACAGATATTTTGTAGTTTAAGGCAGACGCAAATCAAGTTTGTTTGGGTCGCGGTAATTTTCACACCAAAATTCAACCGGCACGCGACCTTTCCTTTGACACTGACTGACTGGCAGCAGACCCCAATTATCACACATTTATCAATACTGAAGGCTAGAGACACATCGCAATGACACAATAATTGTGCTAGCCGAAATTCTTGCAACTATTCCACTAGACAGGCAGGAATACACAGGAGAAAGCTACCGGCTACGACCCCAATAAGCTGCTGCAGCACCATTGCACCTAATCCCCCTTCCGCACGCACAACCCCGAATGAATTACCTTTCTTTTCCAGTCTGCAGAGTGTTGTACAAAGAAATAAGTTCAGGAGGAGATTCCAGCATACTGGTCAAGCCGAAACTCAAGCTCAAGTGACAGTCAGCGACACGGGTCAGCAGAAGATCGTGGCGCCTATCGAAGAGAAAATCCCTTCTTCTTCGTCTTCTCATCCAGCGGTCGACCGCTTTCAACCCTCATCTTCTTCTCGTCCAGTTCTCCCCGCTGCCGCTCGAGCTGTTCCTTCATCTCACGATGTCTGGCGTAAAGCTCCTCTTCGCTCTGCTTCAATTTGCTCTCCTTTTCGGCAACCTTCTGTTGGAAGACCATTTTCATCTCAGTCTCCATCTTTGCAAGTTTCTGCTCGTGCAATGTCCGCTCTTCTTCTTGCTTCACCGCTGGGTTGACTTCTTTGAAAACACTGGCATCTTGCTGGACGCCCATTTGAGTAAGCTTGTCTGAGCGATAGTTTTCATAGAGCGCGTTGTTCGTGTGCTCCTTAAGCTCTTCCATATGGGTTCGAATAAGCATTTGGCGTAGTTTGACGAAATCACAATGGTCCTCATTGTCGACTTCAATCACGCCCCATGGGTATCGACGACCACGTACTTTGCGGCCCTCAGGAGTGGTGACATCCGAGTTTGCTCCTACAATGGCAAAAGGAACTTTAGACATGATCTCCTGGTTCTCTGCGATTGTTTCATCGTCGTCCAATTCGTAGCGTGGGCCTTCGAAGATCTGGATTTTGTGATGGTGAATGTCGGTAAGGATCTGTTCAATGTGAGTGAAAGCTTTTTCGACAGCACAACTTTTAAGTTACCCTAGCTTTGAATGACACGATTTCATCGTCGGTCAAGGTGTCAGACTTGGCGATCACCGGGATCAAGTTGACTTTGGTATGCAAGCGGCGCATCACCTCGATGTCCAATGGCTTGAGTGAGTGACCCGTTGGTTGAATAAAGTAGACGCAAGCATGAACACGATTGTCCACGATGTTCATACGATTGACCCTGTTTTCGGCATCTAGATAGGTGTCAAATCTAGCTTCAATATTCTCAACGATAGGTCGCCACGAGTCGTCGTTGTTGACGAAGTCTCCGAAACCGGGCGTATCCACCACTGTAAGTCGTAGGCGAACACCATTCTCCTCAATATCTGCACTAATTGCCGAGATTGAAACGGTTTTGGGCATAATATCCAGGCTAGGGCCCTTCGACTCCTTTGGCGGGTAGAGAGAGGTATTGAACAGAGTATTGACAAGAGTAGACTTCCCCAAGCCAGATTCACCTATTCAAATGAGTGGACGTCACCGAAAGGGTGTTCATCTACTCACCAACGACCATCACGTTGAAATTGAACCCTTTTCGGACACTTTTGCGGTGCCATTGGTTAGGCAAGTTTGCAAATCCAACGTATCCTGTAAGCTTCCTTCGGACAACATTTTTCATATCACTCGCTTGCTGAGCTGCCGCTCTTGGGTCTCTTGAGCTGACAGTTTGAGCAGCTATTTGAGCATTGGGGCCCACCGGGCTTTGTTGCCGCTCGGGAAAAGGTGATGTTGGCTGCCCATTTGGAATTTTGCCCGGCTGAGGTGCGGGTGATGCTCGAGCGCCAGTCGAAGGAATTGGGCCGTTTGTTGCTAAAGACGTATCATTCTCATCAGCACTTTCTTCATCACTATCGTCATACTCGATATCTTGCTTAATCTGGGCATCTTCCACCATTTTTATGGTTGCTTTTGCCTCTTTCAGGCATGATTCGCGCCTGTAGCTGGGGGTGAAGACCCTGTCCATCTTGCTCCTCATCATAGCTTTTGAGGCATTGGACATTTTACTTATATACAACTTTGAGAATCTGCAGTGATCCCGAATTGCACAATGCTCGCAGAATGGAGTATGGGGGAAGGTGGTGCAAGGCCACGGGAAGCTGCTCACCCATTGTGTTGCACTATGTCAAAATGTTGAGGAAAGAGCGATTAGAAAAGATTCCGGTCACCTAGAGACAGTAACGAATTAGATTTCAAGACCTTGCCAACTTTTTCTGGTCGGGAAGGAGGTGCTGTCCTGTGCGGTTTCCCAGAAATTTGGGACTCCGCGCTCTCAACGGTGTAGGCGCACCTTAAATTAATGCCACCTTGCACTCCACGAAATTGGGTATCAAGTGAGAGAAGCGAAAGATTACGCGACGATGTCGAGGTGAAAGACTGATAATTCAGAAAGGCAGTCGTCGTATCTGCTCCAGATCAACGGAAAGGTGGTTTGTTAAGGGGGCGCTAGCTTGAAATTTCACTAAAACTTGCCAAGCATTTTGGTTCGATTGAGGAAGGCCAAACATAACGCTCAGACTTGGATTGAGCACGGTGTCTTTGGAGTGCGCATTGGGCTCCCGATCTTCCATTCACTATTTACTCCTCACTACGCGGCTCTAATGTGGGCTGCAGGATTCTATAACGGCTTTGCCAATTCTCCGTCTTACGTCGTAGAGCCTCGCTTCAAGGCAGGCATACGGCATGGACAACGGTCGTGCGGCTATCATCCAATCAATTCTTCTTCTCACTCGTATATAGCCCCGCCGACGGTGCAATGTTCGATCTCGCTGTGACGGCGAGCCTATTTGACGAACCTGAACCAGCCATAGGCAGATCTGAAACCGAAGATCCACAGACCCGATGATACTACGGACAGTAAAGCTGTCTTCATCGTCCTTTCCCGCGGGACCCTGTGGGGGATGTTAGCAGCGATGAGCTTGGATCATTTTAGCGAGATTGTCACTTCGAGGAGGCCAGGAGTGAACGGCAAGGACTGTGAAATGACGAATGCCACCATCATGCGTAAATGTTGAGACTTAGCCTCCGAAAACTCCTTGCTAATTCAGAGGGTTTCTATTGTGCCAGCCAGCATAGCACGATGTCAATAGCAATAAAATATTTTACTCAAAGTGCCGATTCGTTTTTCCTGCCCATTTTCAGTACTTGGCATAACCCATAAATCATATCAATTTGTATGAACCTCTACGCAGGAAAAGCGGTCGGTGCTGATCGTCGCTCGAGTCACTCTGGCTTCCGCTACTATTCTGCCTGGACTCCCTCTTCGAATGAGCCCCAGTGAGCATGCCGTTGGCGAACATCGCCGGTGTTGGCGCTCTCGAAAGAATATCACCGTTGTCTTCGAGAGATGCAGGCTTCTCCAGCGGTAATTCCCTTAATGACTGCTTTCTTGTGATCACTGTCATCTCCCTCTTTCTGCGCGCCATCTCCCTCATCTCCTCCCGTTTGAGGCTCACCCTTCCAAAGGCAAGGAGTTGTGCACAGACCATCAGTAGTGTGTAGCTCCAACAAAGACTCTCGTTCGCGTGAATGTCTAAATGAGGGCGAGAGGAAGGGCCGAAGGTTGTGTAAGCGGGACACTGAGCCGCCGCATCAACAGCGATTGGAGGGAGTATCCGAGCAAGCAGAGCGTTCCAGCTATGTAGGAAAAGGACAGGATTGAGTAGGACGGCGGGTAAGACGTATGACGTTGAGAGTGAAGGTTTCAACATGGCGAGGCAATCCTTGAACGTGCTGGCAATGGCGAAGCTCTTGAGGGATGGAATTGTTATTGAAAGGACCCTTCAAGGCGGAAGACAAGACAACGACTAATCTGTGATCGACGACGGTTCATGGAGCACTCGTTGCAAGCGTCAATCGTCAGTCACCTAGTGTGAGCTGGTCTCGTAGGCGGTCTCGGGTTTCAGCGATGAAAGACGTCACATAGGTGTCGTGTATTTGGTGTCCGGAATCTCATTGAGTAACCCAAGAAATAGAGAATGTAGGAGGTGGTGGTAGTGGTGGTGTTAAGCCAACATCTCAGTCAGAGTAGGATTTCCATTCTGGGTACTCCGTAATTCCTACATCCAGGTTTCTTGGTACGTAATCCTGCTGAGCGAATGAGCGTGCCCGGAGCCATCAGGGCCGCCTATGACGATGCGGGTAGATCCGTATGCTGCCTGTGGATATGGAAGATAGAGGATGACCGAGAACCCTCTCAATATCACCCATGCTTATTATTACTGTTCATTGCTGCAGGTATGACTGCTCGGAGTCATCCCGAACCTCTTGATGCCATCATTTCTCAGGGTCTTCGGGGACCTTCCTTAGGCCAGTTTAAGCTCCCTTCACCAATTTTAGACGTGTGTCAGAACTGTCTATGAAAAGAGTGCCAGCGATTGTAAACAACATATTGCATAATGGTAAGCACGCCAGGACTGCGAAGCTGAAAGCCTCCCTCATGTATGTTATAGAATTCACTCTTCAACTCAGCCCTCAAACAGTCTACTGCTGTCCGCCGTGACCTCGATGCTTTCAACGATTCTCCAACGAACACGTCGCCGGCCCTACAAGGTGCGTCCTAGAAATTGATAGCAGCATATCAACTTCTTACATGAGACGTAGGCCAGATACAAGCCTCCTTGACCTCATTTCAAAGGACAATCGACGACTATGCAGAGATGGCGAAGAAGGAGTTGGTACCAGCCAAGCAAGAAAAGGCGCACGACAGAGTCAAAAACTTTCGAAACGAGTTGGCAGACTATCGACAGACTCTCAATCATATGAAGAAAGACCGGGAAGACGCAGTACGTGCTGCCCTTGCCGCCCTTACCCAGGAGCGTTGAGCTTCCACATGTTCCTGAGCACTTCATCTGCGCGTACTTCGACCGACTGAAATCGTGCTTATGTACCTGATCAGGTCACCGCCCAGAATCGTACCGAGCTTCTGGGACGCCGTCCACATCACGCAGCAACACCCGAGAACCCCTACGCCCAAGCCCAACTAGCCCAAAATTCGCCCTTCGCACCCCCAAGAACCAATGGATCTTTATCAACCGGAGCTGGACCACAAGACTATACGCGGGAACAGCATGCATTTCGCGAGCAAAGCTTCATGTCGCAGACTAACACGGCTCTAGACGAATATCTGGAAAGGGGAAGGGCGGTGCTCGGAGACTTAGGTCAGCAGCGGGAGATGCTGAAAGGGACTCAGAAAAAGCTTTATAACGTGGCTAATACCTTGGGGATCAGTGGGGACACTATCAGAATGGTCGAGAGGAGAGCGAAACAGGACAAGTGGATCTTTTGGGCGGGTGTCATTGTTTTCTTTCTGTTCTGTTGGTTGGTGATACATTACTTGCGGTGATTGTCTTGCTGGAGTGAGTTTGTAATGCACCTTTCAATTCCCGTTTATATACTGCCCAGAAGAACAGGGTTCTTGGATTTGAGCGAGGAGTTGCTGGTGCTTTACGTCTGAGCGAGACCTTTGCAGAGACAGGAAAACAAATGTTCAGATCTATCGTTCCTCGGCGTGACAAGGCACTACCTTTGACGGGATGATTTCGTGCTCTTGCAAGCAAAGTTGAAGTCTCCATTAGTCTCTCCTCGTAGAGAGAAACCGTTATGTTTGGTGGCTGCTCGGCGGCAAGCCCTCTGCAAGCAAGAGGCTTGGCGCGTCGGAAGGAGTCGGGAAACCCCGTGATTGACGTAGCGCCTTCTGTGAAGCAGGGAATTACTCGCAGCTTTCTCTATCCAACTGACCGCAGCTCACACGACCACATTCGCCCACACCCATTCACAACTCCAGAGACCTATTCGACAGAAATACACACCTACAACTCATCTGACCTAACACTCAGTACACACTTTATAATGTTTTCTCTGCTTATCGCAAATGACTGACCCATTCCAAGCTCTAAATACCGCGGCCATGTCATATGCCAATGCTGCCTCCAAAGGTCCTAAGCAATCCCCAGAAGAGGTACGTGTACTTCCCCATCAAACTTTGCTCATTCGATCATCTAACAAAACCCTAGGCGTAAGTTTCATCCAACCTGTCACGCATTTCCGCACCGTTTTTCACCATCATAAAGGAGCCCCGGATTAATTGCTTCAAGCACTCTCCAACACGTAGCACCTAAGAGCTTGTAGAACTCGCTGACTGACTCTATTCCTCAGACGTGCCCCTCAACCCCCCAAGATCGAAAGCTCCGAGTCTTCCCTCGTTAACATCGACCCCCAGCAAATAAAAAACGACGCGTCCTCCGCAGCTTCAAAAGCCGAATCCACCGCCGACGACGCCGCCGACAAAGCCGGTGAGAAGGGCGAAACCCTGAAGCAGAAAGCCGACGAGACCGCTTCAACGACAAAGGAGAAGTCCAGCGAAATGGCCGATTCAGCGAAGAAGAACTTCGAAAAGGGCAAGGGCAAGGCGAAGGATGGTGCAAATGCGGCCGAGAAGGAGATTAAAGGGGAGTATAATGAGGTCTATGAGAACAGGGACAATCCGGTCGTGATTGGAAACGCGGTTGCCATTACGGCGGGTGTTATCGGATTGGGATATGGTGCTTATACCAAGCATGTGAAGGGAGAGCTGGATTGGCAGATCGCGGGCATCGCAGCCGCAGCTGTTGGTGTATTCGCTGTGGGTGATTATTACTTGAGCCAGTGAGTTTTGCCGCCCCACTAGTGTATTGAGTTTGAAGGGAGACAACGCTGACGACACGTAAGATACCTTTTCAAGAATAAGTACCCGAAGAAATAGAAGTGACGGACGTTAAGCGCGTTAGAAGTGGAATTGACCCTTATGGGTGGTATTGAGCTTCCTTGGGATCAGAATATACGACTCGACTCTTTTGCCTTGTCTGTTGGTGGCTTCTTTGGGATATCCAATTTACTAGCTGTTCATGTATCAATTGTTGAGAGTAGTTCGGTCAACGTCATGCTGGCCCTGCTCGCGCCCATGTCCTCGAATGGTATTCTTATGAGTGGAATTTTCTATGCAACTTCTTTCCATCCTCTATTTTACAAATAGTCCACAAACCCGAAATTTTTTCAATTTCTTCATGCCATGTGTACCATGACTCTCCATTTGTAATGCTGCCTTCCTGATGCCGCTGAATCAAGGTCTATATATTGGTACAAATCACCACCGCCAATGCCTTTCCTCAAGCCATCTCCCAGGGCCATCCTTCCCAAGTGCGGGGGGAACTGAAGTGGAGTATCGATTCGGGCTACCGAGCATCATGTGCCGCCTTGGGCACTATCTCATCAATCTCACTCTTCGGCTCACCAAAATCCTTTGAAACCTGCTCCTTCGCCTTTTTGGCCTTTGCCGTCACAGCCCCCTTTCCACCACCAGTCTTTGCCTCCGCAGTGACCGGGGTAGGTGGTTGAGATGACCCATTTTCTGCTCCACCGATTCCACCATCACGAACCGCTCCCTGCCTTGCAACGGACAAAGTCCCTCCCACCTCCTCATCCCCCCTCTCACCGCCCTTCACCACCCCTCCCACAACCTCCCCATCCCCCTCAACCTCGCCCCCTACTGCCCCTTCCACCTCCTCACTCTGCTGCTCAAATTGCTCCCCATACTCCTCCGGATGCGCACGGAAACAATCCTGCATCGCCTGAAAATGCTGAACACAATCCATCCCCTTCACCTCATCCTCGCTATGCACAAAACAGGAGAACGCCTCGCGGAATTGGGGGCCACAGGGCCCGTGGGCCATCCCACCCAGGCACGGGCAGTCCCAATTTATCTCGCCGGTTTCTTCGTTGAAGGCGCCTTGGGCGTGGGCATCCTCTTCTGTCTCCTCAAGAGTTGAGCTTGCGTTTGATGATTCTGAGGGTGGAGGAGGCGGGGAGGAGGGGGGTGAGGGTTTTTGTTGACGGGCCTCCGCGATGGAGTCGAGGGTGGGGAGGGAGACTTCATCTGAGGGGGAGAGAGGTTGTGATATTGGGTCTGGATAATTTCAAAGTTCAGCAATTTATGGTGGATGAACACTTTCTGAGGGGGCACCAACAAGCAGCTTCTTCAGCGAATAGGTTGTTGGTATTGTACCAATACAGAAGACCGATGGCGATTCCCCATCTTGCCGTGGAGCTCTTCCAGCTTCGTGATTTCTGAGAGGGTGGTGCGGTGGAGAGAAGTCGTCGCGATTGCGGTATGTGTCGGAAGACAGGGGATTTGCAGCGTATGAAGCGGCACGGCGCTTGTCGCAGCATGATTGAGGTTCTGTGAACAGGCGGATCGAATTGGGATGCTGGGTCGCTCGGAAATGTTTTCTAAGCATGGGTTTCTTGTGCGGAATTGGTCCGTCTCCTTCGATGACGCGCATGTCATATATTGCCTCGTCCAATAGTCAATATCAAGATGATAGTAGCGCCTTATGTGGATATTTTCTCGTGGGTTCCATGGCCTCTAAGTCTGAACCGCATGCAAAGATCTGGTATCCTGCAAGTTTCACTCACTTGGGAGAACCAGTCGGTGTCTACTCAGTCATTGTTTTGAATGTTCCTATCTTGAACCGCTCTCTATTCCTCAAGATATGCAAAGGAGGTAGATAGTCTTGATTTCGAATGCCCCGTCTCTGTCTGACATGTATTTTCAGCGAGATGGAGAGTTTGTGCAGATGGAGGAGCTAATCGAGTGCGAGAATTACAGCTGACTGAGGCTGAAGAGAAGTCATGTGTCTGTGATTATTTGTCTGATCGGTTTACGAGGCTGATTAAGATCAGCCGATAGACTTTATATGTGGTGATATGGACTCAATTCAATCTGATGTTCTGGACTACTTTCTAGAGCGTAGCACAAGGGTGTACAAGGATGCTAATCAATATGCCACCGACCTTGACAAGTCTTTCAAGAGTTTAACCCATGAGCAACAGTCTCAGTTTTCTGATCAGGAGACTGACGTAGTCATCTTTGGTGGACTTGAGGGAAGAGTAGATCAAGCTCTATCGCAACTTCACAAGCTTTATGTCTTGGCCGAGTCTAAAGCGCCTGGTGTTGAGAACATTTATCTCGTCACTGCTACAAGCATCGTAATGGTGGTGGAGCGAGGCTCGCACAAGTTTTGGCTGCCTCTCGGCCAGGGGTATTTCACGAAAAATGCTGGCATTGTTCCGTTGGGTAGACCTGCAAGGTTGCACACCAATGGATTTGAATGGGACTTGAAAGATGCAGAACTTGAATTCGGTCGTATTATTTCAACAAGTAATTACCTACGCGAGAAGAATATTGAGATTGAGACAAGTGAACCTGTCGTCTTCTCAGTAGAATTTGATGATCTCCCGCAATGATCATTATTTTGACCTAGGGGCAAAATTAAGCCATGAAGTACGCAATCAATACAGCCGTCGAGTATAGTGCCGCAAAGTTAAGCAAGCCTTGCCCGGAAAATCCCTTCTTCAAGCTCTGTTTTGGGCACTTTGCTCTCGGTGAGTAGAGAATGTGTTTAAAATCCTCATCCTGTTGAGCCTAAAATTTGATGTGCTTTTTTCCCGAGAACAGCATGGTATCCTGCGGGTGAGAGCGACATGTATCTTGGTCTAATCGCAAACTCAGAGCCGTCTAGATGCAAATTCTCTTGCTGTGATATACAACGTTCCTCATTTTCAATCTGAGTCGGACTTTCTCACCCAAAAAAGAGACTTCATACCTTCAGCAACGCTGTGGCGGGAAATCAGGTCAAACTCGTCATTCGGAAGATGACCAAAAATGCAGATGTGAACGCATTGCCCTGACGGAATATCATCAAGCGGGAGGCGAAAAATATCTTCGAATTTTACGCCTGCAAGCTGAGTTGCCTCATATTGCGACCCAGGATGTTCTGGACTTAGTAGATTGTCCGTGACTTTGACTTGAGGGAGGGCAGGATTAGTCAAAAACATTTCCTTCGCTCTGCCTCCAGCCGCTTTCATAAATTTCAGCCCGTGAACCTTCAGAGATTTGCTGCACCAAGAAAAGAAACCAGCAGACTGGTCAAGATCTCCGTTTTGAAAGCAAGGATGCCATTCAATAGAGCCTGCGTATGTGTCATCAGACGGTTGCACATCGAAGAACAGTCGACGTCGTAGAATCGGCGACGACCGAATAGCGGCTTGCCATTGCTTGCAAACACGCTCAAGTGGCAAGATCTTTTCGGATGAATAGACTTTCTCGAGGATCGATGTTAGCAGCTCTGAGATGCTAAAAACTTGGTCGACAGCTGACATTGCGGAACTGTGTTACTCAAGGATCCAAAGAGGTGATGATCAGAGGACGCATTAACTAAGAAATTGTACTTGTAATAAACTTGTTGATATTGTAATCGTGTTTCTTGAAGCTAGTTATGTTGATGAAGATACTGTCCAAGCGATTGGAATGCTTCGATGCGATGAGCTCAGCAATTGTTTCCGAAAGGAACACATAGTAAAGTTTTTCCAAAGTAGATTAGGAACTCTCATACACCCACGCGAATTGTTGTCGCCACGGAAACCTCACCTTTAAGTAATTGACGGAAATGCAATGACGTTAAACCTACTACTTGCTTATCATAAGGATGAATCATACGAACTGGGGGAAGGCAGGTGCCTCTTGAGAAGAGTCTTCCTCGGTCCAGACGTATGGGAGTCTACATTGGTCTACCTGGTATGGCGAACACTATTCAACAGAGATCTTTATCGCTCTACGGGTTTTGCTTCACCCATTCAACACCTGTACAGAGACCCATTAGCAAGTGCCACAATCCAAATAATATAGATGTGCAAAGAAAAATTGTCGACACACCTTTATCGATATTCTTCTTCAAATCCTGCTTACATACATCCAGCAGTTCTTGCTCCTTTGGCGTTATCTTTCCTACCTCCAAGATACTCTCAACACCGTTCGGTCCTAATTCAACCTTGCTTGCAAAGAAGTCAATGCCTTCGCTCTTGTAAAGTGGGCTGTCGACAAAGGTAGGCTCAATGATACCCTTGTCTCCTTGCGCAGCGCGCAGTAGAGACTCAGCAAAGCGAGCACCGGCCATAGCCATCGACAAAGTTGCTGAGCCTGTGCCATCTTTCGCCTTGACGACCTCATCACCACCAAATTGCACGCGCTTAATGAAGGTGTCAAGCGCTTCTCCGGAAAGCGACTCTCCAGACTGACTGAGTAGGGGAACTATCGTTGCACCAGAATGGCCACCAACAACAGTAATATTCTCGTCTGCAGGATCCGAGCCCTTATGTTGAGAGATGAATCTGCTAGCACGGACGACATCGAGGGTTGTGACACCGAAAAGGCGCTTGGGATTGTAGACACCCATTGACTTGAACACTTCTGCGGTAATTGGCACGGTACTGTTCACCGGGTTCGAGATGATGAGCACATTGGCTTCAGGAGCTGATTGGGCTACACCCTTGGCAAGGTCTCGGACAATGGAGGCATTGGTGTTGAAGAGATCTACCGCAGCACTGCATTAGTACTTTTCTGCGACCTTCACCTGCTACCAAAGACAGAATAGTATGGTCATACCGTCTCGAGTCATTCCAGGTTTCCGCGGGACTCCGGCAGGTATAATGACAACCTCTGCACCCTTGAGAGCATCGGAGAGTTGTTCCAAGACATAGCCAGTGACCGTGCTTTTGGTGTTGATGTGACCAATGTCAGCCGCCACGCCTGGTGACTTATAAGCTGTCGAACAGTATTGTAGAGAGAACAGAATTGACCAGGTGCACCCCGCACATCGTATATAGCAAGGTCGCTGACTCGTGGATTCAGCTTCATGAGGAGGGATAGAGGCTGTCCAATTCCACCGCCACCACCAAGGACAGCAACTTTCGAGGCCTAGAGAGGCCACGACGTGAGTCAGCAAAAGTCGTGGATCAGGATTTGGCGGGGCAATGGGTCCGGGGTTTCATGGAAGGGAGCTTCTAACCTGGCGAGCTGTGGCGGAGAATGTTCTTCTTTGGCATGCTCCAAAGAGCTGCCTCGACAACGTACGAGATGCCATCATGTTGTGAGTATTCAATGAAAGAGATAAATATAACAAGGCCGCTACGCAATGGTATAGCTTTTGGCTCGGAGTTTTAAAAAGATGGAGCTCAAGAAAATTGATGCTCGGCGATCGGGAGTGGTTTTTGGGCTAAACCCAATGCGGGGTGAAGGCTTCTGCAAACCCAAACCTATCAATAGTATTCCTGCTGCTTGACATTGCCTTCAATTGACATGAGTCACTGGTCAATGAGATACTGTGTCACAGCTGAGACTATCACACTTGCCAAAAAGGATACAGGGTCATGCAGCATCACTGATCAGCTACGAATGCCTTTTTGAGTGGACAGAACTATCACGGTCAGCCTGTAGAGGAAATATGGGCTTTGGGACGGATGTAATGGTATTGCATTCTGAGTCAAGATATACTATTGGCTGGCTGCTGGAATATGTCGTACAGTTCCAAATTGGCAATGATTTCAAATAATTTTCATGGACATGTGTTTCCTCCACAGGTTCTAGCGAATGTGAAAACATTGGATAATTGGCATTAGGTTGTCTTCCTTCGACTCCTCACCTCGAACATGGATTTGTTCGGTCTTGATGTGTCTCAGCGCATACTGATCATGCTTTATGCAGTGAATTTCTGTTTCTTGCGAATAGGCGACCTTGAAACAGTCGAAAGGTTCCACGCAATTTTGTCCACCGTCCAATTTGTGGTCTCGTTAAAGCATCTGAAGATGATTCAGTTTGTGTTGTGCACGCTAATTCTGTTGATGCTGATAATCAGAAGGGACTCTGCTGCTCCAGTGGATACTCCGACTCCGGCCAGTGGCCCGTTAGTCCTGGATGGAGCGAATGAATTTGGCTTTTCAAACGATTCAATTGTACCAGGGCAGACCAAGTGCTACTCACCCGACGACACAATATTTACCAAGCCTCAGACAGCAGGCAACTTCAATTATGACAGCTGTTTCACCCAGATAGAGGAAGTCACGGGGTATTTCAGAAGGGTTAGCGACGAGCCCATTAGTTTTTGGTACACAGGCGGTGCAACCAAGCCAAATGAAGCTGTTGAGCCAGCCGTTAAGCTTCCAGCCATAAGATCATCCGGTTGTTCGATCGTTGTCGCCTCCACAAAGCTCTTGAGCGACGTATCAACTGCGGGAAGGCCTGGTCAAGGATCGATTGGCTGGCGGCCTGAATGGGGTAATCGAGATCGTCGAAGTCCAGAGGGAGCGAACAAGGTCAACAGACTCAAGAGGGCAGACATAATAAATGGTCTTGACTGGCTATTAATCGAATGCGTTGCAGCGACTGGTGGAGCAGGCCATATGAAATTCGGTACGTCACCCTGTTTTCCTCCTCTCACTTCTGGAACAGAGGGGCTGACAATCCATGTCAAACGTAGATGAAGCACTTTCTCTGCATATCTTCCTTTATCCGGGTGGATATACTTTCTTTGACCAAATCTCAGGGTTTCCGGGGACACTCGTATGATCTGGAGACGCTCAGTGCTGTTTAGCAGGGAACGAGATCAGGGAAACATCATTAAATATCCAAAGAGATGTAGAGTACCAAACATAAGGCGAGCATCACATGGAGGAGGTAGCAGTGTATCAGGCTGGTCAGGATAGCGCGGTGGCCACACTGCGATCACTCACATCCAACACAAAAGGCGAGATTTTCGACTGTGCTTGCAAATAAAAGGCCGAAAGGCTGAAGCAGGTACGAGGTCCTCCATGAAATTGAAATCATAGCAACAAGGCAGCCTGACGGCACCGCTCCCTCGGTCCAGTCCGATGGATTTTCCACCCTCACTTCTATTGCATAATTATTATCACAAAACTGTACTCAAAAATCGAATTTGTTCAAGGTGTCTTGTGCCTTGCCGTCGCATGTCTGTTGCCTGCTGCGATGAGCATTGCAAAACGATACCTGGCCAAAAACCCGGCACTCCAGCTATTTTGATATTATCGCAGTGTTTGGGATGTCAACGAGGCCGAGCCCATAAGGCTGAAATTCAAAATCGTAGCATTTCTGCCAGACCTCGAAGAAATTGATACAATGCTGTCATCCTTGCATAAGTATCCAAAGATCAAGGGGCGGATCTTGATCGATCAGGCTGACCCGGGCCGAATCCATGGAAGTCGCGAAGCGAATTCTAGCGGTAGACGGCTGGCTCACCTGATTTCTGGAGGCTTCATTAAAGGTACCAAACGGAGCGCCTCCTTTATACCTTCAGATCCGCAACAGTCGAATATCCGTCTTTTTCAGAACTCATCTCGACAATTCCGGCTTGTTCCATCTCGGTAGGTGGAGCCGCTGTGATTTCTGTTCGGGCTTACCATGTCCGGACGTGAGCGGACTGCCCAGGCCGCGGCAGGTATCCGTGCGGTGGAGCCAAGTTTAAATTGCAGGGGATCTTTTCTGGCCCCATCGCATCCATCAGGATTTTCTGGTGGCAGTAGTGGCACAGCTTGCGATGCTCGATGCTACTCGGCTTGAACTGAGAGTTGACCCGGAGCACCCGACAGCTGCTCCTCTTCAGCTCTCCCAGCAGTGGTCTAGGAGCGAGAGATAAGAGGACAAGCTCCGATACAGGCATGCGACAGGAAAAGACTTCGTGTAGCTGTGATCCTAGCCACAGAGCTAGAAGGATGCCTAAGGGGTGAAACGGGGCGCTAAAGGATGAGGTAGGTCACTGTTAGTCTGTTATCAGGGGGGTCAGCATGGATGACCCACTGATTTCCCTGCTTGGCAGGGGTAAATCCTGGAAGCCGTTGAAAATGGTGGAGGGAATCTGCAGGTCCAGAAGTCAGAAGCGCTAACATCCGTGCGGCTTTTCAACTTCTCGCAAAAGTGACACATCGCATTCATTGGGTGGCATACGGCCTATTTGCAGCAAATTCTGCACCTTGATGCAGGCAAAAGCTGGGCCTGCAGCAGAGTAAGAGAGTGCTAGAGTGCAAGAACGTTGTGTGGTGTAGGCACTGCAGTCATCAAGCGCAGGCTTCAGGGCCAACTGCTGCTTCGCCAATGCTGCCAACAGACCCCCCCAGCTCCAGGCTTTTTCTTCGAGCTCTGCTTGGATGAGCCGTGTGTATAGAGCCGACCTAGTCCAGGGCTACCAGATGCGTAAGCACCAACCCTCAAGCCGCCCAAGCAGCTTTCTGTCCGCAGGAGGCTTTGTCACCTTTGCCTCAAATCTCACCTGAAGAGGTATAGCCCAATGTGAGGTCTCATTAAACTCAAAATACGGCTGCAGCAACATCGTTCATTGGCGGAGGTGTCGTCCTTTGCTGTGTTAGTCAGACCCTCACACCAAATACGAAGCTCCATGCTCTTCCCCCTGTCCACTGTCCAACTCTCCTGATCGCTGACACTCCTTATCCGACCCAGTTCCTTTAAAGCATTCACTCTCCCTGCATTCACTTTTCCTCTTCATCCACACTCGCTTGGTCAATCGTCTTCAGCGTTCTTTTCATAGCAAGTTCTTGCTCATCACTAATTACTTATCTGTACACTTATTTAATACCGTCGCAAGACCAAAAATCATAAAATCAAAATGCAGTCATTCCTTGCCATCGCCGCCCTCTTCGGCGCTGCCAATGCCTGGGGTAACTACTCCTCGCCCGTCACCGGCACCGGTACATCTGTCCCAAGTGGCACTGCGCCAATTCCAGTCACGACCGAGACTTTGACAGCAATCACCACATACTGCCCCAGCCCAACCAAGATCACCACCAACGGCAAGACCTACACTGTTACCACCGTGAGTAAATTCCAGAGCGTCACTGAGGAGACAACGGAAACTAACGCGTCCAAAAGGCTACCACGCTCACAATTACCGACTGCCCATGCACCAAGGTCCACCCGCTCAACCCCAGTGTCAAGCCATACACAACCACCGAGACCGACGTTGTCACATCATTCGAGACTTACTGCCCGGAGGCGACTACTTTCACCACAAACAACGTCACCTATACTGCCACTGCATCTGAGACCATCACTGTTTCCGCTTGCCCATGCACAGTTTCCAGCACTGCAACCTACACTCCCGGTGTGCCAGTCACCAAGACTAGCTATGCGACTGTTACCACGGTGGTGGAATCATACACAACCGTGTGCCCATACAGCACCGTCTTGGTCATCCCAGGACCCAGCTCCACAGTCACCATCTCAGCTAGCCCCAGCCAGACCGTCACTGTCAGTGGACTCGGACCTCTCACCACCACCACCGTGGTCCCAACTGTCATCACTTCGACCCCAGGCCTCGCTCCCACATCCACCAGCCCAGTCACCCCACCATCAACTGGCACCGCTGCCCCAGCCACCCCACCCGTCCCAACGACTGCAAGCCCCAGCCCATTCGCTGGCGCTGCCACCAAAGTCTCATGCGGTGGTCTCCTCGGAGGCATCATCGGACTGGTCGCTTACCTCTTGTAAGCTGGCCTTTCATCTGGATGATCAGTGGAAGGGAAGTAATTGGATAGACGGAGGGTGAATCTTTGTTGAGCTCCACAATATGGCGTTGCATAATACCCCCATTTGGTTGGGAATGTCTACCATGCCAACTAATTTGCCAGCTTATGAGAGGCTTTTGAACGAGATGCTGGCGCGGTTATCCTTTTGTACAGTTATTTAGCCAATATCACAGCCCTGATGAGCAAGAACACAACATCGATTCGATTCTATGAACACTGTCTACATGTGCTTGATTTGTTGCTAAGCCGTTGCGTTTCCTTTTAGGGACAGACCTGCATTCCTTGCTTGACTGTTGCAGACACTCCACGTGCGATTTGCATCTTTAATTCCAACTCGAAACAGCATATAATTAGAGTCAACTCGTCTTTGACACGAAAATCCGTGTCCTCCCAAAACTCCCAATTCAGCCTCCGTACCTGATCCTATGTTCCTACAATTTTCCCGCCCTCAGCCCTTTCCATTTCACTAACTTCAATTATCCCGTGTTCATCAAACTTACCGCCCAACCCGGAAATTAAAACCCAGCGCCCACTTCTTCGGGGCCCTTCTTTCGCCCTACAGCCACCAACGCCGCCAACGGCCGCCTGAGCCATTCTTGGGCATCCCGCGTCATGGTAAGGTTTGACACGCGTCTTTTCGAGGATTGTGGTCTGTGTTTGTCGGGGTACATTTGTATTGCAAAGCTTATCTGAATTAGAAGACGGGATGAGCGTCGAGAGTCCAGCGTCACGCTCGTTCATAACAATCAGCAGAACTTTGGTGAAGTTAAATGATCTTTCCATTAGCGTATCTGATCCTTCCCTGCTGGGTCGTCGAGAAGATGTGAAGGGAGAAGATCAAGCAGTTGAAGAAGAGGGCACAAGAGTGATTGGGGTTCAAGAATTTGCATGCAATATCATTCATCATTGCTTTCGTTCCCTGTCGCACCTGCTTTGCAATTGAGGATACAGAGACATCGTGCCACAGGCTCACTGCAAGCTATACATGCATACCTTCACCCTTGATTTACAGCTGCTCATTCACAAATAACCCAGCCATACCCTGGCCCGTCCCAATGCACATCGACGTAAGCAGGATCTTTTTCTTCTGGCGTCTACACTCGCTCAATCCCGTACATATCTGTCTCGTACCAGTAGCTCCCAATGGATGGCCGAGAGCGATCGCGCCGCCCCTGACATTCAGCTTTCTTGTATCAATGTCAAGGATGTTTGTGCAGTAGACCGCCATTGACGCAAATGCTTCGTTGATTTCAATGAGGTCGACGTCGGTGTGGAGATTCAGGTTGTACTTGCTCAAAAGCTTCGGGATGGCGAGGGAGGGACCAATGCCCATGATTCGGGGCGCGACACCTGCTACTGTCGCACCGACGAATTTGGCGAGGATTGGCTGGTTCAGTTCTTGTGCTTTGGAGCGTTTCATTAGGAGCACGGCCGCAGCTGTGAGCTGTCAGCGACAAAAGGGAGCGATAATGCAATGCTAAACGCACCCCCGTCGGTAACCTGGCTGGAGTTTCCACCTGTACTCCTGTCTCCGAACTGGGGAAAGGCAGGTCGAATCTTTGCCAGACTCTCGTATGTAGTTCCCCATCTCGGTCCCTCATCCTTTGTCAATGTGACCATCTTTCCCTCCCCTGTCTTGGGATCGTTCACTTTGGTCACGAGAGGGAAGATTTCATCATCAAACCAGCCAGCTTTCTGAGCAGCCTCAGCTCTGCGATAGCTCTCTGCTGCAAATCTATCTTGCGCCTCTCTTGATATATCGAAGTCCCTACCGACATTCTCGGATGTTTGACCCATTGGTTGCAGGCAGTCTGCTGATTCCTGGTTCTGCATCAAGGCCTCGTGGAAGGGGGACATGGTAGCGTTTGACATAGACATAGACTCGGCGCCGATGGCTATGCCACATTCTATACTACCACAGGCTATCTGGTTCGCAACGTCTTGCACAGCTTTTAGTCCTGACGAGCAAAACCGGTTGGCGCTGCTGGCACCGGCGGTGTTGGGAATCCCCGCTGCCAGAGACGCCGCACGAGCGAGGTAGGCGGCTTTTACTTCATTGACCTGCGGATGTGATCAACTCATATGTTTCTCAGCAAGAATCAAAAGCTCACATTGCCCAGGCAAACGTCCTCGACCAGCTGTGGGTCAAGGTTCGACTTCTCAAGAACCTTTTTCAAAGTCTGGTGTACCATGTAATCCAACGGTGTGTCTTTCATACCACCCTTGAACCCTTTGGTCAAAGGTGTCCGTACGGCGACAGTAATGACCACATCGTCGGGGTTCTTTTGTGTGCTATTGACTTCATCAATTTGGTTCTGCTACCGGGGCGCATGGCATACATTAGTGAGAGTCTGCTTTTGCTTGGAGTCAGATGGTTTAATATGGAGCTCAACCGTTCGGTGGCCATCTTGCTGAGATCGCGTGAAGAATGAGATGGAATTGATACGATGTCACAACGTAAGGAGTCATCTTGTGTCAAACAGCGAAGTGGAGATCACATCGATGTCATTTGCCTCGGCTCCATATGAATGATTAACGCTAACCCTTTTAGGATCGAACGGGTATGGCCTGGTGTGGCTGATTGCCTTCACAGGACATCCATCAATTGGCTAGATGGGCACTTGTAATACTTATCTAAAGAACAGACATATTGGCAGTGAAGTGATGCAGTCAAGATTTGAACGTCGCAAACGAAGTCCGTAGTGGCCTCCGACTGGATTGCCTTGGTCAATTTCACTCTTAGTAAATTATCTCCAGTCAACGATTGTCCACTTGCAGTGCTGTTGCCTTGTGCGCACCTTTCTGTAAAAGTACCTATAGCTACACGAACGTTGGACTAGGAGTTGCGGTCTACTGGCGTGACAAGTACACGACACGTATTACACTTGTTCCTAAGACTCAAGGAGCGCTTCACCTCCAGCAATCTGAGGTAGACTATCGCTTATCCCTCGATAGTCATCGAAGAATGGTCAAGACCCCTCCGCTTCGAGATCGCAGACCACAGGTCACAGATTGATAGCTCATGGATTTGTCGTGCCTGCGGAGATGTTTAAAGTGCCATTCATGATGTCGATGCACAACAAAATGGAATTATCAATGCCCTATTGTGCTGGAGTCATTGCTCCTTTACTGGCTTAATCAACAAAACCTGCTTGAATGAAAGATGTGCCGCCAAAACATATTCTTCATCGCAGAATCCTTCGGCAGCGAACGACCTTGCGAGCATGCGAATGAATACAAATAGTGTCTGTCGCATACGCGTATCCGCTGAGCTCACTAACTTCAAGCAAACTTTGGCCTCCGGTACAAACGAAGTTATCCGACATGTTAAAATTTCGAGAAACGATGCTTGCCGTTGCCTTTGCAAACAGCAATGGGGAAGGGCAAAGCTTGAATTCTTAGCAGCTTCATCGAAATTTCTTTCACCACGCAGCTATGTTCAAGACTCGGCCGCCACTTGGCCACTCTCTGCCTTCATCAATCGAACGTTGATCCTGCTCTTCTGCCCAAGATCTTTCTGGCCACCTGTCATTCTACCTTCCCTACAATCGGTTGCGATCTCATCAGCGCCCAAACGGATGTCTGCCCAGCTTGAAATGTCCCCCTTACTCCGACCATTGACTAGGTACACCCAAATCTCGCAACTACGACTAATGAAAGCGTCTGGTAGATTGTCCTTGTTGAAAAGCAGGGAGGTCGTGTCTACTGATATCTGATTCCTGGCGTTACAGCAGTCCACATATTCTGGACCTGTCGTACGGTCGATATCGCATCTAGTCCTCTTCTCACTCAAGTTGGATGAATGCTCGATTGCAGAAATGTTGAAAGTTGAGGAATCCCGTAGAGGCTCAAGAGGCAAGGTCTGGACCAAGCGAATATCAACCACCGCAAGCAATATTGAAAACACGCGTGGCTTCATCTCCCTGCATTCGTGGAACGTTGCACAGGGGCAGCAGGACGGGAATGCAATGCAGTAAATCCAGTCGCAGCGTCTGAGCACCTTTTTTCGCGACCATAGCGACTCAGAGCACAAGCACAAGATCCACACTGTGTCACATACACTGAAACCCTCTCACAAGTAGAGTGATGAATTTGAGAAGTGGTTGCAAAGCATAGCCCGATTGTAACGCCACGAAAGATGAATATTAATGCAAATTCTTGTCACGAGCGGGTGACCAGATAAGGTGGGGAAATTAATCAGATATTCACAAAACTATGAGCTATTGATGCAAATTTCTCATTACCATCGACTATCAGGCTCGCTTTGAAGAGGGTCAAACCTGTGCTGTCCAGATTCCACAGAGACTGAGAGGTGGTCGAAGCTGGAGCTTCCAGACAAGGTTGTTCACTGTAATCGTTGCGTCGTTGTCATATCAAACAGAGCTTTGGCATTTGAGCTCACGTCAGGAGGCTTGGCCTTCGGCCACTGGATCGGTATTTACGAATCCCATGGAACGCGTCAATCGAATCCTGAGCTTTCCATCCTTTGCAATTCTCTGCTCTCCGCCAGTGACGCCACCGTAGTATTTGCCATCCCAGCAACGCAAAGAAACTTGGCTCGCCGCAGCTCGTATCTCAATGTATGAAGAGATCACCTCTTGAACCCCGGGCATTAACAATCCTTGTATTGTACAAGTCCGACGATTTCTTTCAAATACCAGAGGGAAACCGGCATGAGACGTGAAGGGACGGGTTGCCTGTGCGGGGATTTCCCGTATGGCTTGTTCACAGTCCCCGTGAAATGGTCTGAAAGTTGGACGGACTTCGTCGGAGCAGATGATAGTCCCCCAATCCAGCATGGAAGAGCTTGTGTTGGACGCAGGTATGACTGACCCTGAGATGAAGTGATCATGGCGGGTGTGAAGGTATATCGCAAGCAGAAGTCCTATCCTAAGTACATGTGAGATCATACTTTTGATATGATTCCGGTCCCTGTTGCTCTGCCTGAGAATTAGTGTCATGAAGAAGATTGAACAGAATGTATCACAACGCATTTCCTTGAATACTCGGGGGGACATGGCGCACCAACGCGCATGAACGAAGACACAGGATGCAGGTTGTGCCAGGGTGATGGCATTACCGTTTCCCTAAGACTTATTCAAGGTAAATGCTAAATGCGATCCCTTGCGAGCATGCTATGATAGGCAACCTCTGGCGTATTTGAGAAAATTGTTTTTAGCATCCATGTTCTGGTCTCGCCAGAATAGTACGGACCACAGGCATAGACTTCACGAGGTGCCAATGTTCAGCGAACACAGCCTTCGCTCGACTTCAACAGCCTCAGCATGTACACTTAAGATCTGACAGGGTTGGGAGCAAGGTATGCTGTACCTCCGCTTGATATAGCTAGAGTTCAGTGTCTGAATCGAGGATGCGATGCCAGATCCGCATCATCCGCGAGGTTCTATCAGATCCTAGCAGCACGCAAAGGACGCTACCACCATTTATAGATGGATTCAAGCGCTTTACTAGGACTCCTAAGGTATATTTTGAAGGTCGGCTATCGTGGCTCAGGGCCCGAGATCAAGGACAATCTGTAACGGATTTGTAACAATTTTCCGTTCGCTGATTTCTGGAGCCTGGCATATCGCTGACAAGAATCTCCGATCTTACCATCCATTCTACACGACCATTTTAGACCACTCAGGCTTAATGCAATACTTCAGGAGGGCCGAAGCGTCCAACCTTATCCATCTCACTACGTTATCGTGAATATACTATGACTTCTGTCCTGTTGCCCTACATTCCTTATGCTTATAATCTCAAGAAGCTTGGGCCGAATCTTCGACCTCGAGAAGCCAGCAGGGTCAAGAATTTGTAGACCTGAGGCTGAGATGATCGAATATGACCAACCCAAGGTTTGGAGAACGCCAATGAAGAGATTCCAATTTTCCGACCCCTGCAGGTTAGAATGGTGATTTTCCCCTCGATGTCTCCATCATCCATCCTGCAAGCGTCTGTGGAAGAAGTTCAGAGCCAGAGACTCGCTCTGATATGAACGAGAGATCAGAAATGCCGCTTGCGTATCTGATCCCGCCTTCCGGCTTTGAATCCGGCGGCAATATCACAAAAGGTTGATGATTGGAAGTGCAGGCGCAAGATTTGATGTGTCTCATCGAGCCCCACGCTCAATCAAACTGAAGTATTGGCCTGAGTTGGGCAGCTTTATCTCTGCGACTATCGATCAAACTTGTTATCTATTGCTTACATACAAATTCTTGATACCCCTCAGCTCTTCAAGCATGCAATCCACGAGCTGTCTACAATGGCTTTACTTGATTGCTGTTCTTGTCCTTCATTTAGTACAAGCCGCAACTAACGATACCCAAGAACTCGAAAGACCGGAACCCTTCTGTCTTGACGCAGGTTTCTACCCTCCAACATCCCACTGCACCGACCTCATCATGAACCTTCCCCGGATAGTGTTCGCCACACATACTGTCACTTGGGGCAGCGTTTTGGTCCCTGGCCGCTTACCACAGCTTATCGACAGCAATGAGCATTGCGCTATCAAGTTACGCCGAGCTCGAGGCTATCGGCATCCGGACTCTTTCCGGCTGATTGACTATAGAAGAGCTCTATTGGACGTTGTTGAGCGGTGTGTGGACAGTGGATCAGGTAGGGGCGGGTTTGTGTTCGTTGGGAGGCTTGAAATGATCAATGCGTGGATATGGAGTCCGCAGAATAGGGAGATCAAGAATTTGACCAGCGTAGACAGCCTTGAGGGGGACACGGAGCCCTGTGTTGGTTGCGCGGCGAGTCTCGAGTCGTGATGATGCCAACCAAATAGGTCAACTCGAAGGTCGCACATATGTCAAGGCTTTTTGATGCCTGCCATAACTTCACCAGACATCGGTATGGGTAATAGCTTTTCGACTTGATACGAAAAACACCTGCACCTAACAATTCTTTCGCGATTGAGCTGGCGAGAGTGACCAACACAACCCGACCGATGATCCAGGGTTTCACCCTGTGGGAAATATTCTTGCAGCGTAATCGAAGAGTATCCGTCTTCGCTGAACAGTTGTGATCCGCAATGGCCACCGCAGGTTTTGACGCTGAGCGAAAGCACGGTATCTTCTGCATCATGTGAAAAGTTGGCATTCGAGACTGAGAGGGTGGATGTGAAATTCACAACCATGCACTTCCACCAACATGCCCTGCGAAGGCAGCGTTTCATGTGGACATGTGAATCTCCAAGGATTTGATCGATTCGTAAATCGTGTATCTGGCTCGAAGATGATCAAAGACGGATTCTTCGCACCAATTCGATTGGACATCCCAGCTGGCAATATTGCTGGATGTGATTGTACTTGAGGCGATTCTAGTTGTTACTGAGTATCAAATTCTGTACATGACGTCTTGGACGAGGAGCTTTCAGTTCCCTAACCGATGCTACATTGGCCATAGTCTCTCCTCAGGATGCAGTTTGCTCTCATTCACATGACCTTTTCAAACATCCCAACTGTACGCCCTTGCCACCATGTCCCTTGAAAAGGCGGCCTCTCGCTCCTGTTTTCCCCCTCATTCTCTATTCTTGAGGAGAATCTCTATTCATTTTCATCCAACAGAGTTTCCCACGAGTCCGAACACCATCATGTATCTCCCCATTTCCACTCTCTTCCTCTTCACTCTCCTCACCCTAATCCACACCCTTCCCCTTCCCACCCCGCACCACGACCCCCCGACACCGATGCAGTGAGCAATGACAAGCTACACAGTTTCGATCCTCACGTCTCCAAACGAATCCCACTCCCGAACCCAAATTCTCTCAATCCCATCGCTTTTGGTTTTCGAGAAACACCCAGCGCCCCCTCGGCCCATGACTGGAGCCCCCGCAGCAAGCGCGAAGCAAGAGCCATCCCCAGCGCCCTCAAACCCAGCGCTTCCGACCCGATGAACGCAGCGGTTGCAGCAGCACTATCGAGTGTATATCCACGAGTGGTATATCTGCCGGCTGAGAGCCTTCGACGTGGTACAGTCATCCAAATTCCTCTTCAGCAGCACTCCTTTCTTTTCCGCCTCCCCCCCACACCCCCAATGTCCTCGGTATTTGACAAAATTGACTTTTGGCTATAGAATATCTTGAGCATCGTGGAAATGAAGGCGTATATCCCGCTGCTACGCCGAGGAATACGCCTCCGGTGAAAGGGGTTGGGGATAAGGAAGGGCTGAGGAGGAGATCATGGGGGGAGGTTCTTAGATGAAGTGGGAGCTTAATATGATTAACATGTCAGGAGAGAGGAATAAGAGAAATGTGGAATGTAAATTAGGACTTGCGATGACGCGTGCGTGATGAAATGGTATTGGCAATTGGTCACCAATGAAGAGAAGAGACCAACGACTCAGTCAGCCAGAGGGAAAGGGTTGAGTGGTGTTTCGTGCAAACGAGTAGCACGAAACACATACGATACTCTCACCAAGATTATCCCTCTTATTAATAGATTCCCCTAATCTTACATCTACCCACCAATATCGTATATGTCCCCCCAGTACTCCTACCGCTTCCCCCTCTTCTTCCCAGAAACGACCCTAAACTCTCTCGAAGCATCATTCGCACCACTTGCAGCGGTCGAGGTACTGCCCTTTTTCGCGACCTCACTCCACCCCCCGTTCGAAGCCTTACTCTCACCAGAAGCACTTCCAATAGTGAAAGAGCCCGTGCTGGAAGGCTCGGGGGTGATTCCCTTGTCAGCGAGCTTGCGGCGCTTGACGAACTCTTCGGCGAAGCGGCGGCCGTCGAGGGTTTGCGAAGATGCGTAGATCGAGTCAGAGATGATGTCAGAATCAGGAGGGAGAGAAAGGAGGGAGGAAATGAAGTCGTCAGCTGAATAACAGTCAGAATAGTAATCGGGGTAAAGAAGAGAGATGGGTCAGACCAGAAATGTTGGGATTCAAGCCCTTACCCAGCGCACCACGAGTCCATTTCTGGAACTCATCGTTCGCGCTCTGCGTGGTACTAGATCTACCTGCGGTAGAGATGGTAGGTTTGGGTCTTGCTGTTGAAGGATTTGCCGCTATATTCGCACTTGTAGAACGAACAGGAGCAGGAACAGGCGCTGTCGGTGTTTTTGCCTTACCTCCAGCGCCGACTGTCGTCCAGGCAGTGTTATTCGGGTTTGGTGCAAGAGGCACTGGACCTTTACCTGCCAAGTTTGCATAGCTCTTACCGACGGTAGCGGAAGCCGCATTAGCTGTAGACGAGGCACCGGTAGCAGCAGCGACCCTGCTCTTCCGAGCCTCTTCTTCCTTTTGAATCTGAGCAAGCGTCTTTTTCGCGCCTGCAGCAGGCGTAGCGATCGTAGGTTTTCCAGCTGTAGGCTTAGTCCAGGGCGAGGTCGTAGGAATTGCAGGGGACACGCTGCTGGCCCAATTTGCTGACGAAGGCAAACCAGGCGCGGAGGGTATTGTCTGGTTTTGTTGAGTCAGCCGTTCTTGCTCGGCTACTGCCTTGCGGGCAGCTGCAGCAATCTCTTCCTGTTGAGCTGCTTTCTTCGCCTCCATGGCTTGGATTTCTTTCAGGGATGGGCCCTTGGATACCTCCGACGATTCTCTTGCCCACGGTGCGATAGCTGCGCTTGGTGTCTCGGCTGAATCGGTCTGGGAAGGCGTCTGAGATTGAGATCCCGCATTCAAGGCTTCTGCAACACTCTGCCTGTTTCTTTGAGGCGTAGGGGCAGGCATAGGTGAGCTTGGTTGGGCAGGCGGGAATGGTTGAGGCATCCCTGCATCAACCTTTGCCCACGGCGATGTTTGATTGATGGGCGATTGTTTAGCTGCAGCTTTCTGCACCTGCTCCGAGAGTGAAAGCTGCTCTTGAGGGCGGTCATCATTACCTTGGAACTCGTTCGAGAAAGCACGCTGTTCAGTACCGAAACCTACCGGGCCTTGTTGCTGCTGAAGCCGTTGGTCGGAGCCCTGTGCTCGTAGCCTTTGAAACTCCTCAAGACGATCTGCAGAGGAAAGTGCGTCGTCGAAGCTCATTTGATTGGAACCGTACTGTTGTTGCTCACGCTGCAGTCGTGCCTTTTCTTGCATCAATGCATTCACTTGCTGTTGATGATACTGGTCTTGACTTTGTGGGGGGCTATTGTACGGCATTTGACCTGGTTGGGGGAGATTCATTCGATCTAGAAATCCTGGCAAGCCTTCTTCCCTTACCGAACCTAGACTTTCAGCACCCATAGGACCTGCGTTCCTTTGCTCGAAGAAGCCTTGGGCCGCCGACGGGGGCTGGATAGCACCGGCTCCAGGTGACGGCTGATAGCCAACGGGAGAAGCTATGCTGCCGTAGCTAGGTTGACTTTGCAGGCTATGGGCACTTGAATGATGGTGCAGCTGCTGATTCAATAGACCACCTTGCATGTTTTGTTGCATTTGTCGTTGAAAAGCTGGCTGCATTGATGCAAGATGTTCTTTCTGTCTGGCCATCAAATACTGTTCTTCCTGCTTCCGTCTCTCTAGTGCATTCTGTTGCTCCGCAGTCAATGTCGTACCGAAACTCGGAAAGCTGCTAGCGAATGGTGGTTGAGCAGGATTCGACGTCCCAGGAGGATTGAGGACCGGGCCTGCTGCACTTGTGGGAATAGTTGGGGATCCATGAGGGATCCCAATCTGTGGGACTAGGAAAGGCTCCCTCGAATTACCAATACGTCGAATGAGCTGAGCAAGTGGCTCGTAGTCGTTATCTTCTTGCTTCTTCACCTGTAGCTCTGGGGAGAAGAAACCAGCTTTGTACCAGTCATGCATTTCTAGCCCAGACCACGGCCCCTGTTTGTTACCAGACGGATCTCTGTATATCCATCTCATTCGATCAGGCATGACCATCTGTTTCTGCTGGGGTGCTGGTAGTTGACCGGAGCCCCCTTGATCCTGGTCCTGAGAAGTGGCAAAGTAGCTATGTGGCGTCGTAGCCGCAGAGAAAGGCGCGGGCAGAGAGACGGATGGAGGACCATGAGAAATGTCCTTGGAGGAGAGTTGAGCTGCAGCGCTAGCACGAAGCCGATCATCACTACTACTGAGCAAATCCTCCAACCTACTTCTATTGGAGTGGGGGCTCTCGTTACTGCGGAAGTTGACCCCTTGGCTCATCATGTCCATGTTGCGTAAACCCCGAATGACATCGGGACTCTCAGTAGTATGCTCTTGCCTCAGAGGATCGCCGCGAGCTTGATTTTCCATTGCGCTTGGGAACAACGAGCCCAGCTTACTGCCGCGAGTCACACTTGCAGGAAGCCCGCCGACTGAGGGCCCGGAGGTGCCAAAGAAGCCAGAATTTGCAAATCCAGCGCTGTGAGGAGAGCTAACATCTGCAAAGCCACCGAACGTCGAATCTCCAAAAGCCTTACTGGGAGTGCCTATAGCTCCTGGGGCAGCAGACCAAGGACCACCTAAACCCGAGAGGCCGCCCAGGCCACCAAGACTTGGGAATCCGCGGGAAGTGTGGGCATTTGAGCTATTCCTTCCACTTTGGTGGTCATGAGTTGAGAAGCCTCGACCAAAATGCGCGTTTTGCTGATATTGTAAACTATGGGGGTCAGAATCATCGGTATCAATGTCATGCGGAACAGCCCGATCGCCTTCTGGGCTTTGATATGGGTTTGTGAAGGTGGGACTCAAAGGTTCCTCTGGCCGTGACTGGACAGGAGCCCGGCCTTGGATTTGGTGACTAGAGAATTCTCGATTACGGTGGGAGAAGTCTTGGAATGGGGGAGGATTGTTTCCAATTCCAAGAGACGAAAAGCCGATGTCGTCATAGGCAGGATGATTTTCAAGGTTCATGGAGCTGGAACTCTGCGAGGCGAGAGGAATAGCGTCATCCCCACCAAGCGCAGCACTCCCTGCAGGATGGTCCTCATCCTCGAACAAATCTCCCAGGGTCTTTGGTTGACCAGAGAATCCAGACTGCCAGGGTGAGCGCATTTCATCCTCTTGTGTTTCCTCAATACGCTGTTCTTTCGACTTCTTCACATTGTCTAAGCTGTCAGTCGCCATCAAGCTTTTGAATCGACTCTCGCTCCGCATGCTACTGAAACCGGGCTTTTTGTCAGATGTGCCAAAACTGCCAAAAGCACCCATCGGAGCGAACCCAGTAGAAGCTGGGCCTGCTGACCAGGGAGATGAAGGTCCATTCAGCGCAGATCCTAATGGGTTTGTACTTGTACGTCTCAGCGATCCAATTGGGGAAGTTGTGTCAAGACCCGGTTTGCCATTGTCTTTCTCCTTTTCCTCCGTTCTCGAGCCAAACGAGTCCTTAAAGTCAGTCTTGCGTCTTAGGAGGGACGGGGGAGGAGAAGTCACGCTGGATTCGTCTTTGGAAAAGCGGGAGCTTGTCGGGGAGGTTACGCTGTTGGATTGTAGGAGATCGCTGGAGTCTCGCCGCTGCCGTCCGCCAGGCCGTGACACAGTATTGGAGGTACTGCCTTGCGATTGAGATATCGAAGATCTCCTGTTAACGCCTGGGGTATTGGGGGTGCCATCTTTACTCTGGGCTGGAGGCTTCATTAAAGAATTAACGCTAGTGGAAAACATCTATTTTCCGTCAGCATGACTTGTGAGTAGCCTCGATAGATAGCATACATCTCTTTCTTCATCAGTCATTGGTATGAGACCTAGCGGTTGGACGGATCCGTCATTATCCCAACACATCTCTGGGCCGTGTCCATCTTTGTGTTCATCATTTCGTCCCCAGCCTCCATGACTTGTGCCATTTATTGCTCTAGGATTGAAGCCTTCCATTAAAAGACTGTCTACGGTCGGTCGATATTGACCATCCGGCTGGGGCTTGAAAAAATCTAGTAGTTGGTCTTTCGAGTATCTCGTCTCTGCCACATTACCATTGCGGCCTGTGCTCGTCATATAGTTTGGAGTGCTATGAGATGATCCAAAGACAGAATTTGAGTTGCCATTGTGACTGCTCGGTTGAATTTCAGCGCGCTGGGACAGGCTATTCGCACCTGAGGTTCGACGGAAAGTGGTGGTGGCCCCGTTGACACGAGCACGAGACCTGACAGATAAAGGTCAACTATGTCTCCAATCGAGGCAATTCCAACTAAGGTGTCTTGCGTAGGTAGTCCGTCACAAAGCAACGCCGCACTCACCAGTCTCCGCTTCCCATGCTACGATTGTTGGAGGGGCCATCGGCACCTGTATTCCCTGCGGCAGCAGATGCAAAGCTTGAAGTGAATGGGGAAGGCATTTGGCTGTTACGTGGTGGTAGAATTCGAGTGTTGAGAGGGGTACGGTTTGTGGGGGGAGGTTAAAGGATGGAATTTTGCTGAAAAGCTTCTGCTGGAATTAATTAGCCTTTGCGCGTTGGACAAGCCCCGTGGAATTGGCGTACATCAAAGTTATAGTATGATACGAGCTTGTATATAGATGAGAGTTGGTGACAATGCTGCTGGTCGAGCTATCCAGTGCGGGCGTGAGGTAGATCCAGAAGCAGAACGAGAATCTGTAATGTAGGGGTGTTGGCCGTCCAATAGCGTGTCTCATACCCCGACGCGTATTTTGGGTGTCGTCTAGGACAAATGAAGTATAGTGTTGGATCCCAAAGTAGTCGCTTGCCCCTAGGGTGGACTAACCCCTAGACCCGATCTTTCTTACCTGAAAGCGGTTTTGGAGGCTTTCATTTTCATAGTTGCGCACTCAAGATGAAAACTACATAGAAAATGCGATCTTGGTGTGACGGGGTCTAGTGCCATTAGAGCTCCTCGCTTTATGCATCTCGTCATATTACAGTACAACTTCTCTGTGACTCGCGAAGCTGCACGCGTTTCGGGCTTTCGTATAATCCCTCAACGACATCCTTTGGAAATTGGGAGATATCATGCATCTTTCATATGAATTTTGTCAACATCAAATCTCGTTCAGGGAACGTCGTTTGTCTGCAAAGATCAGATGCGCCGTGTCGTCGCACATCCGTAATCGGGTATTTTCGACTAATATACCTGGTGCTGTATCATGTGTACTAAGAAGACTTCTAGCTTCCTATCGTGCTGTCTGAATAAGAAGGAGAAAAGTATAGCAGTGCCTAACAGTAGTCACTCACTAAAAGCCTCCCCTGCATTGGGAAATGATTCAAGTTTTGCAACCAATTTGCCGCAGTCCACCCCGAGACTCTGATCAGCATTGAGTTCCACTCAGGCTAAGCTGAGATGATCCTGCAAGCTGCATAATATTACGTTAATAGAATAACAGTACCAGCTTAGCATCACCAATTCGTCTTGTGACCGAAGCTTGTTACAAGAGATATCAACTCTTTCAAATTCATCGGAAGACACATATTTCGTTGACAGGACGGTTTGAAAAACCATATCCATCTATCCTGTAGTGCTGGCTTATCTTTATTATCATCTAACAGACTGCGTTTGTCATTCCAAAGGATCGAAGGGACTTGGATCCCTCTGCAACGAGCTCATCTTCTCAGCAGCCTTAATATAATTTGCTATGCAATAGTCCACGCATCTAAACGTGTTTTAATAGCCATCGATTCCAGCGTCATACTTACCCTCTGTTTCGCTCTGCGTTCTACATAGGACACTCCTTGGTATCAAGTGGCGTGCCCCAGAACATGAGACGTCCTTGGTATGCTTGCAACCAAGCGAAGAAATCCGTAGGATATGAAACAAGGAATCGTTCTTTGTGCAGCAACAATCTTGCAGAAAGGGCGATCGCTAGGTAGTGGAGATGATATTCTCTCCCGGTAAGTACTTGATATGACTTGACTTCACTTTTTCAACCCCAATACCCTGTGCCCACAACACTTTCTCAACATTAGCGTCTCCAATCGACCAGTGGGTCAAAGCCTCAAACTACCAAACTGTGAAGTGGGTCGAGCCTGGGGTTGGGAAAGGGCATAGCTTTGCGTCACTGCAGATCTGCAGGTCGTCCGCCCATCTGCTGCAAGGTAATCGATTATGTCCCCCCCCGGCCTCTGGTTGGTTTCGCTAGCCACCACTGGATATACAAATATTCAGGCCACGAGATGCATCATGGCTGTGGCTCAGTACACGCATACGTGCATAATGAGGCTCATACTCGGTGAACAGCGGGGTCTCTTGCCTCTTGCCGTAAGAACTTGGAATGATGGTCGCAAGTAATTGAGAAACGGGACCGGTGTAGGCAAACTCAGGCCTCTAGTTGGCAAACCTCTGCACTATCGCAGCCGCCTCGCTCAGCAAAGTTTTGGCTGACCGTAAATTGGATATGACAAATGATGCACTGGAAGCCTCTGAGCTTAGCCATGTTTTGTGACACGGTACCCAGTATCTACTTGTGCCTTCAACATGTGCTGATTTCACCTCTCTGCCTGCTTGTCTTTGCCTGCCATGAATTCCGGCACAATTTGAGTCAGGCAGAGATGATGTTCACCGATGGAAGACATCCCAAAATGCATAAAGTCGAGCATTTTTGCTTGCGCTGTCTTTATTCCTTTTTCACATCCAAGAATAGCTAATCTTACAGCATTCACTACAATCCTCAGTCATATTTACTTGCATGCCCTACTACCCTCCCTATTTCAAGGTTCCAGGTGGAGAGTGCTTAACCAATCTTCTCGGATTTAGAGAACTTAACAGGAGGGTCAACGCTCAAGAAGACTTCGAAAAACTCACTGGTGTCCCTTTGATCATGCCTGGCAGGGATATTAGCATCCATAAGGGTCCATATCGTGACTGGAGTGCCGTGAGCATGGACCATTATGGGCGTGATCGTTGCAATCATGGCTACAGTGGGATACCCAACAACCAATATGATCGTGGAGTACGTGATGCGCTACATCGACCCTACGGCTCGAATAGATATTGCGAGGAGGAACTTGAGGCCTACAAAGAAGGGCTCCGACATGCAAAAGAAGCTATACGGACGCTGCAGCAGGAGTTAGATGCTACCAGAGCTAAAGTTCGGAAGAGGGAAAACACGATTGACAACATGCGGTCGCAGCGCCAACGCAACCACATCAATAACCCTGGTTATGACGATGACGACGAATCAGTGGGGAGAAGTTCCAATTTCACCTATGACATGAATGGACATCGAATTCCAAAAAGACGGAACAACCGGCAATATGAACATGCAAATTACGGAGATGACAACTATCCTTGAATTGAACTCGGCTACTTGGTGGCTTGACTCTCATTGTCACGAGTTCAGAGTGTGCAGTCACACGCAAGCTTTCTGGCTCGACTTTCAAATTCATTCTTTTATGCAAGTTGGCGTCGGTACTTCAGGAACACCAGTCAGGCAAGCGGCGACAAAGTAAGATTTGCCGTTTCCATCCCTTTGATATTAGTATTCATTAGATCTTTTGGATGTAGACTGAAGCAATCAGTAATATGCTGCAACTCTGTTGGTTCCATTCATGCGTGTACCTGCATCTAACCGACCCTATTGTTCTGAGCAAACAATTTCCATTTTGAGCAGCTGCACAAAAGCATTGACGGAATCTTGTTTAGGCGCAGACAGAAGTTGTTTGAGTATGTTCTTCATATACTCCCATATCATGGTCTTGTCTGATTCCTGTCCACAATTGTCTTGACTTTAGAATACCCAATCTACGACTTACCCTATCTACGGGCACCTTCCAGCTCTATCAATTCGTACCGGAGCCTTTCTTCTGACTTCACCGCCATCTAAGTCTCACCCAGTCAAGCGAGCCTCACAATGTCACCACCTCGACGCTCTGACCGAGAAGAGATCAGAATAACCTACACGGGCGGGCACTTTCAATTCGAGCGTCGACACCCTGGACATTCCAAAGAAGCTCATGAGACAACGAAGCATTATCACTATCACTCTCCTGCACCTCCCGTCACCTACAACCACACCGGTGATATGCACAACTATCCTACATCTCTCTCCCCCTATTCTTACCACCTTCCCTCCAATGGCTACTCCCTCCCATCCGCTCCCAAGAGTTCAAGACATCCGTATAAATTACTGAACGACCTCCATGAAGCAGACCACGAAGCGGGAAACCAGCGTCGCCAGCGCAAATATGTTGAGAAGCAGCGCTTCGAGGACGCCAGAAAAGACAGAGACAGGGCAGATCGAAGGCTGAAGGAACTAGGTGACGATTATGATGAGCCGTATAGCAGCGCGGAAGAAGATCTAGTTCCGAAACGTCGGCATGAGGGGAGACCCAGGTCGAGATATCACTAGGCATATACCTGAGAAACAGGATATTAAAGATTGGGAGACATGGAAGAGGGTACTTGGATTTCGAGATATTGCAAAGACGCAACGTGAAGAATTTATGTTTGTCGACGCCTGTAACATTATATCACTAAGAATTGAGGCAGTAGGTTTATCGCAGGACTCTCAGACTTTCCTATGATGCCTTTTCTCATATTTACTTATGGAGAATTAATGTCTTTTTTCTCGAACACTGGTGTGATTGAGCTACCTTATCTGATGCCTCACAGCGAAAGGCGAGAGACACGGCAGTATTGAAGGGTGTTGACGAAATCAAATCGCTGTAATTTCAGCGTTCCAAGCATTTTCTGAGGTCATTACCTTTGCGATTTGTGTCTCGTTATGTCACGTCACCGTTCTGATTTAGAATGATTTGGCCTATGTTGAGCCTAGACTACCTTAAATTAATCTATTCTTTTCTCTTCATGACGCAGGAACGGGTTGCCCCTCGATATCCAATGAAGTCGCCAATTACGGAAGGTGAATCCCAACACATAAAATGACCCCGAATTGCTCTAGCAACGGCTAGAGGCAACCATATATAAGACATGTCTTCAACTTCGTCTCTTTTGGGTTTCTCTAAAGCATTTGATTATCTTTTTACTCGGTTGTTGAGAGTCCTTGTCGCCCATTCAGATAGAGGGAGCGCATCGATAATCACTGGCATTGCATACCAACTTACATGGGCTCATCTAGCAAGCTGGAGCTAGCTTCATCAACATGTGCATCGTATATCAGTGCCATCGCTGCTCCCCGGCTTATAAGCGGGATCAATGCCCTTTATTCGGTCTGATGACAGGATGTCCACAAGAAAGCCTTGCACTTCCACTCCCTGGATATACTCAACTTTGTGCACAATGTTGGCATGCACTGAATCAAATGCAGTTTCAACACAGCATCATGGCAGCAAGAGAGCCTGTAGCAATGCAACAAGGTATTCAGCAAGTTCCGCAATTCATGATGCCGCCCACGGCATATACTGGGCCAATGTCTACTAACATGGTCTATTTCAATCCACCTGTGCTTCAGCAACAGCCGTCTATTGGGCCACAGTTTGCCCCAGAGCATCTCAATAAATATCGTCGTCTCAACTCGAAGCCCGCATTCCACCCTCTGCGGGAAGGTTTCAGGCAACATACTGTCGACCAAGGTTTTCGACATAATATTACCCATTATCCTGCACAACCTCCGATGCTTAATTCTCGTCATTCTGAGGATGTAAGGTATGGCGGACATCAATCTCTGCTGCCTGGTAATTATAGACCTCTTCTTGGAATACCAAATGCTGATCAGCAAGTCATGCCTGACCCGCCCCAAACCGGCATGGTACCAGCGTTCCCTTCTCTTGATTACCATCGGCAGAATATCAAACTTGAGCATAGCGACAGTATGCAGCACTTTCCGCCAATTCCAGCCCATGAAGTCCCTGTGCATACGCCAATCGGTCAGACACAGACTCAAGCCCCAGGCTCCAACGGACTTCAAGAACTCATCAAACATCGTATTCAAAACCTCGGTAATATCGACTCTTGCGAAGAAGGCGTTTTAGAGACATTGGAAACGCTTAGGCGAGCAATTCTTAAGCTTAAGAAGTTATACGCCCAGGCACAGATAAACGCCTTACCAGCAACAGCGGATGCAGGTTCCATTCTTCTCGACCCTCAGATCTGGGATATTCACGAACCAGTTGCGATTCCAACAGACAGCCGACGGGAAGTCGCAGGTGGGGAAGCCCGTCGGAACGCTGCTGAAGAGTATTCGACAGCACGCCCGCCACAAGGTGCTTCTCTCAAGCGGTTAAGAACACCAGACCCTGAACCTGAGCGAGCCCAAGTGTCATCTCCAGCCCGCTCCCCACAGGTCTCAAAGCGCTCAGTGACATACTCTGCTCCAAGGACATTCACTTTTGTCACGACCGCACCTTCAAATTCTGGAGCTACTGAGCCTCAAGTCTGGGGACGACCCAACGTACGCTCAATTGACGACCGAACAGCAAAGAAGGATTCGAAAGCTTTGCTGAATCGGTCAACAAAACGATTAGAACCCCAGGGTGGCAATTTCTTATCCTCCAATTCATCAGTGGTGGCGGATGGCTCATTCAAGGAGACCGAAGGAGATACAATGACAATTCAAACCGATATAGAGGACGAGGATCCCGCAAACTTGAACGTCCTTAAATCTCCAGTACAGCTCGCGGCCACGTATCGCCGGGCAGAGGATATCCTCAATAACGTCGACACCGCCCGTCCGATGCTACCATTCAACAGCATATCCCGGCGATCGCAGGAGCAAAATTGGTCGGAGAACGAAGCCGGAGCTCGAACTTACGTCGGAGCTGACGGTGGACAAAAAGAGCCAGACGTAAACACCAACACTCAGGTCGACATTACTAGCGGTACACAAGAAAATCCGATCGTGGTTTCACCATCGGAATGTGGAAGCACCACGCAGCTTCCGCAGAGTCCTCATGCCCAACGCAGATCAGCGACGCGTCATCCATACTCTGACTTCCTGCTCCCACGGGGAGAGGAGCCGCCAAAGCATTTCCAAAAGACGCTGTGGGCTAAGGAGTGGATGCCGGGCAAGGCATGGCAAATTTGGTAGTGTGGAATGCGTGAGGCTGAAAATGAAGTCGATGTGTCTGAAAAGGACGTTGTGCACCACTAGCCAGCCTTCAATTTTTTCAATTTTGCACTCAATAGCTCATACCCTTCCTCGTCTTCCCGTGAATCCTTGGCTCTAGCAAGCACAGATCTCGCTGCACTCCTAGCTTTGAATCTCCAGTCTTTCGCTACGAGTTCGCCCTCGCCCATGCCCGCCTCCCTCTTCTGCTCCCCTAAGCTTTCGTACGCATCAATCAGGTCAATGGTAGATTCTGCAACGTCCTCCCACAGCGCTCTCGACTCCTTTCCCACTGCAGAGTCCCAACCAGGCTTATTGAGCTGACTTCTCCAAGCTTTCTCATAGGCCGTGAGAGCAGCTTGAGGTTTCTGAAGATGAATGGCTAGTTTAGCTGTCAGGAGCCAGAGACGACGGGAGGAGGTAATCAAAGGTGTGATCTTCTTTTGCACGAGATCGATGAACATTTTTTCCAAGCCCTTTCTTGGAGCTGACTCGTTCGTCGCCGATTCAGATGCTGAATTCGTTCCTTGATCCATCCTGATTAGGTCGGCCAGGAGGGCCTCCATCACCGCGACATCAACACACTGCTCACCTTCCTTGGCGCCTAAGAGATCTATGAGTCGGGTTTGAGCAACGATAATGTCACTGTACGGTGGCGGCTCGATCTTGATGGCAATACTGAGCAGGTTCTGCCAGATGCGGAAGGAGTCTCTTTTGAGGATTGCTGCCTGCTTGAGAGCAACGAAAGATTCTCGTGCTCGCTTCTGCCTTTCCTCGCTCGCCATTTCTTGTCCCGCGGAATCGGAAAGTTTCAAAAGTGCAATGGCAAGGTTGCTCCATGATTCTGCGTCTTTGTCGTCGATCTGGATGGCACGGCTGAAGGCGTCGGCGGCTGCTTGCCATGCTTCGAGCTGGAGCCGGACGCAGCCGAGTGCGAACCATGTTCCTTGATTCTGCGGATTGATGGTGAGAGATTGCTCGTAGGCGCGGTCGGCGTTGGTGAAGTCGCCCTTTGCAAGGAACCACTTCCCTAGAGATCGTTGAGCGCGAGCGTATCTCCTGTTGGAGACTTCCCAAGCTCTCTCGTAAAGGGTCTCTGACTTTTCGAGATCGCCGAGAATACAGAAAAGACGTGGAGCATCAGCAGGAAGAACCTGCTTCTCAAGATTGAATGAATCGGAGGTCTCAGGAGACCCAGAGTCCTCTTGGTTGTAAAGTTGCTGACGAATTATTGACTTTGCTTTGTCTTCTCGATCATTGGCTGCCCAGCACAGCGCAACTTCCGCCCACATCTGCAGCCGTTCGTAGATCTCTAGAGCGGTCCGCAGGGCACCAAGAGAAACCCATCGATCCGCCAGCTCAGCTTCAAGCTTCCATCGGGGTGGTGTCGCAAGGACATGGATGTATCTGAGCCGTTCGTGCGCAGGTGCAGATTCCGCAGCATTCGGCCGTGGGAGAAAAGTGCTGGTCGGGTCTCTGTCAGAATTTGTCGTCTCCTGCTCGATGGCCGCATTCGAGGATGCTGTGTCTGCAATGACTTGATCCACCAAAGCCTGTAGTTGCAGTACACCTCGCTCAGCAGTACGTGATCGATACCCTTCAATTCGACTGCGGACGAGAAGTGCTTGCGTGTAGACCTGCCAATTTGAGCTACCCCCAGTGATTACTCTGTCAGCATAGGGAACAGTCTGCTCCCGCGTGAGCTCATCTTGCGGTGACGTGCTTATGATTGAAGATGCAGTGGAAAGCAAAATTGCGCTGTCGAGAGGACCAAGGATAGGCTGTTCGGCAGGGTTCAGTGAGGCTAGAGAGGCAGGTAAATCTTCATCCGCTACTAGTGTATCTGTCTGCTCAGCAGTACTTCTGAATAAAATACCCTCTAGCAAAGTATCATCATTGAGTTGAACCGCTGATGGTACACTTCCGTTGGTTCGGTTAGACGCTAAATCATCCTCATTTCTTTCAAAGTCTGTGTTGGTTTTGGCTAAGACGACTAATTGGCTCAGTTCTTTTACTTGAAATTGAGTCCGCTTTCCCATGCGTCCTGTCAGAGCATATTTGAAATGCCGTTGCCGGGTAGCCCTTTCCAAGTCATTGCGCGCTTTCACATCTTGGCCGTGTAGGATGTGAATGTTCGCTCGTTCGATCAACACTTCTGCACTTACATCTTCCCGAAGTAATTGAATATCTCTGTAGATATCATTTTGCAGGCTTGCAGTTATCTCACTCAGGAGCCGTTGATGCCATGTATTGGCTCGCAACCGCCATCGTAAAAGGTCGTTAGATTGCTCAAGAAAAGGCAAATTCAGGAGATGCTTGGAAAATGCAAAAAGCTCAATGTAAGGAAGTAAGCGGTATACACTTTCGCCATCGACATTCAGATATAATCTCAAGTGGGACTGTAGACTTTCCTTTGTGACTAGTGATGACCCCAATCTGGGATAGAATAGGTCCTCTGGATCCCAGTCAAGCCGTGGCCCGGTCACGTTTGCCTGGAGAAAGCTTTGCAAAGCCAATCTCCCTATGCTAATGATCTCTTCATTCGCATACGCAGAGCCATTTTCTTCATCGAAAAAGCTTTGCGCTTGCGTAAATATTGCATCGGCCCATGAACTTTTGCCGTCAGAAAACCCGACCGCATTTTCACTGGCTGCATCTAGAAGCCTTCGTGTTGTATTGCTTTGCAGAATATTGCTCGAAGAGCCATCTTTAGGTGAGTCTTCTGGCATCTTGACGCTCCTTGCTGTGGGGGTCTGAAAGCCCAAGAAAAGATGGACGATTAGCAATAGATTAGGGTTTCGTCTAAGCCGGCGCTAAGGCACGGGGCGCTAAGCCTATCTTGCCGTAGCCTTCGTCTGACCCTGCACTTTCAGGGGCAAAAATAATTGAGGGAGTGAAGTGACTGTCAGACGAGGTGATGCGGTAAGGGTACAACAAGAAAGTTGATATTCTCGAGTAAGGTTGGATGTAGTGAAAATGTACACATATCTACATAAGATATAAGATGGGCTACCTATATACAATTTCTTAAAGATGGTCGTCACCCAATTTTCCTAAATTAGGACCAAAAATTTTCATTGCGTCGGACCCTTCGTGCCCGAATTACTTCGCACTTCTTCGACCTCACTCGCGCCATACTCGACATCATGCCGTACAGTAGGCTCTCCGGGGTTCGAGAGATTCGTACCACGGAAGCCTCGGCGGGGATCACAGTCAATCGCTGGCTTCTCGTGGGATTGTCGCTTGTAGTGATCAGAGCGCTTCGCACGTACATGCCCGTTTCGGTCAAACGAACGGTCTGGAGAGCCTTCATCCGAGAGAGCTGCCCACGAAAGTTTCTTCGCGGTCTTACTGGCTAGGATACTCAAGACGGGCAGGTTGGCCGTCATGATTCCAAGGGTCAATTCGGCAAGGGAGTATTTGACTGATAGGGTCGCCGAATCTTTTTGAGATTAGCAGCTGTGAGGTACTCGGAAGGGCAGGGAATCAGCTTCGCTTACAGGTAAGATCAAACCCTGTTTGCTTCGCCATGGCCTGCACAATCGTCCTCGCAAGCGCAAGTCCTACATTCGCGAAGCCGACAACGCCAGCTACACAGACCTTGGACTTGGTCGACCAACTCATCTGGACCCGCCAAAGCATCACGAACGGCACCAGCAACAACAGACAATCCGAGAAGATATGCCACACGTTGAATCCGATAACAAGATCGAGAATTGGCATACAATCGGGCGCCTTGTTACGGCGACCAATTTCGCGAACGTTGTTGTAGATGGGAGGATTGCATTCGAAGACTGTTATGAAGAGGGAGATGGTGGCGCATACAGTGAGGAAGGCAATGAGTATGCGGTGGAAATTCGCCCAGGCTCGTGACGTGAAGGAGGTGAGCCGCATATAGAAGAGAACGATTGAGATTTTGATCACGGCCAGAGCGATGTAGAAGAGTGCAAAGGCTGGAGTGGACACCTTTGCATAGTAAACGGCTTTGTTACCTCCACATGAATTGGGAAGCAACCTACGTTTTGATGATTCGCTAGCTCCCAATACGTGACGTCGTATACGTGCTTTCCGGCGCCAGCGTTTACTACCTTGTATAATATCAAGATAGGTGTACAGAGCGACGTGAGCTTTCGTTGAAGAAGCGTCAGCATTTGGGTAGAGTATTTCAAGAGGTTCAAGAAGAACAGTACCGATGACTCTGGCAACTGTTCATAGAAACACGAATGACAGGTAGAAGAGCATACTCACGAGACCCAAGATAATCGCCCAGTCATCACCACCAAACGCAAGACTTCGATTCGCAAGCCTTATCGCCAGCCTCGTTACGGTAAAGAGAAGCATCAGTACTAAACTGACAGCAGCACCTGCGGCTATGCTATTTGTATCCGAATCATGAGGTGTTCCAGGTGGAGGTGGTTTCAGAGCGACCTTCAGTCCCTTCGAGGGGTCGGCCTTGTCCATCTTGAACAGGACTTGCCACTCGTGAACGATAGCTTTGTCGTCTGCGGTGAGTGGTGGCTGGCCAACGAGGGCTGAGATTGGACCAGACATTATTACTGGCTGATATTTTGGTTTGAGTGGTTGAGTGTCCGTACGTGCGTGTCAAAATCTCGACTTCTATGCTATCGAAACCACCCCAGTCTTCGGTCACGCGACCAAAGCCTCTCTGAAGATCTTTGATTTAGTCCCCCGGATATGGAGCTGTTGATTGCTTCCACCGCAATGTACTATTGAGGTTTGAGTCCCGGTATGCTGTCGAGCAGAGAGGGTGCTGGCACAAGTAGAATTGCAATTCGTTGCTGTCCGCATGAAAGAGGACGAGTCTCAAAGTGCGACGGGGTGGATATTGTGGGGTAACTGAAGACATGCTTCTAAATCCGCGGTGGTAGATCCAAAGCCAAGTGTACCTTACCTTAGTGAACCAAGATCTGCAGTTCCTTAAGATTGAATTGAGTAATAGCGTCTATAGCGTCTATAGCGTTGAACAGCGGGGGCAGCTGGCGTCGAGACGGGAGGCGGGTCGCTCTGGTAGGCGTAAGATCAACGTCTCGGGCTATTCTTTGAAGGGTGCGCAACTGCCCTGATGAACCTTCCTGCATGATTCGATCTGTGCTAGATGCTGACCTGCTTCAGGGCTCAATAATGCACAAATCATGGGAGTAATGCCGCGCCTTCAGAGAGTCGCATCAACTAACTCAACCGAAGGGGGTTCACAAGGCTTCTCATGTTGTCACGCGCTTTGTCAGACATTCCTATCTCTTCGATACCCTCAACCTCTCTCTTCTCGAAGACCAGAGTGACAACATAATATGTCAATCTGGCGTCGCCCGTGTTTGTACACTCTGGCTCTCCATCCTCGACCGTGAAGTCCACCCCGTGCTCCTCCAGTCTCCTTCTTGCAGCTATAGGGTCAATGTTCACATGAGTCCCACCTGATTGCCTCTCTCCCCACCATCCTTGCTTCCTCGTCTTTTCTTTCTGCAAGACCAATTTCTTCTTCTGCATCCCTTTTTCAGTACGCAACGGAAAGCGCCACCCTTCCGCCCTTTCCACAATCTCGTCCAGTTCGGCCGTCTTTCCCTCCACCGTCTCCAACTCTAGTTCAAAAATACGCAGGCTGCTGGAAGGCTTGAATGCATCGCCCCAGCTACCCTCCTGAAAAGGGTCTTGGGGCTGCGTGTACGGCACTCTTGCTGTACCCTGCTGCTTCGGATCGAGTCTTAGCATCGCAGAAGACTCCCACGACCACCAATCCCCATGGCGGAGAGTGATACGCAGATGTACGACGTGAGGAGAACGCACGATGAAGTCCGCAGGCGCCCAGTGCACGCTACCACGGCCCCATTGCTCAAGCCAGTACTGCTGTGTGAAGAGGTGAAAGGAGGGACATTTCGCCGGTGGTTGTGCGAAGGCCGCTTTGGCCTTGTTAGGCTCATCTGGCTGCCGATGGAACCAACGGACATGCGTGTAATTATGAACGGGCAAGTGTGACGTCTCAGCGTGGACGCGTTTACAGGTTCGAAGGAGAGATACAGCGAGACCTGTGGGTCGGAAACGGAAGTTGGGCCGGTAGTAATATTCTGTTGGTCCATATGGCCGGCTTTTGTCAACGGACGGAGTCAAAGCGAAAACGAACACGCGATTGCGAAGCTCGGGTGGAAGTTTGACGAAGAGAGGGCATGAGGTCTGTAAGTCCACTGACGACTGTGGGCAAGAAGAGTGAAAAGTCATGGCACGTGTGAGTGGAGCAATGATTTCTGTCTGAATGAAAGCAATCATTGAAGGACGACTTTGCGTAAGAACACAGGGAGACGGTATGATTTTGTACCTTTCTTAACAAAAGAGATGTGGGGTGGGAAACGGAGGATTCCTTCTGCAGCAACGGGTTGCTGCCTAGAGGCTATTGAATCGAGCAAGATCAGCGATCCAAACCAGGGCCGTGCCTAGTACCTCTATCAGTTTGTCGGAGGCCGATTCGCGCGGCTCGAAAGGGTATCCTACTGACTTGGAGCCTATCTATGATAATCAAGGTATGTCGTTCATGTATTCATGATCGATGGAAGGAGCTCGAGGAAGGTATTTCCAAGCTTCCAGGGTGTTGATGGAAATTCCTGACAATGCCCTGTGTCCTTGATGAGGGCCCGCTAAAAGCGGATGCTCTAAGGTTAGGGCGGGGCATTCCGGGGGTGGTACCATAAGGTATGACGCCTGTGACGCTGCCAAGATGCCAGACGTCTTGTCTGTCAGCAGGCTTGCCAACGCTACCATTGTTAAGACCTCTACGAAATGATTGATCGCGACATCTACAAGCATGATGTTGACTTTGCAGCTCTGGCATTGCGCTTTCCTGAATTTAACAAGCAGTGCGTCGGAGCAATTCCGCGACTCGAATGAAGATTGACGAGTGATCCGCAGTCTCAGAACGAACGGGCAGCTTGACTTTAGCAATCCGGAAGCAATTCAGTGAGCTCTTTTCCCTGAAGGCAACTTGTGCGACTAATTATGAACAGGGCATTGACGAAGAGCCTGCTCAAACGAGACTTTGGACTTGAAATCGAGCTACCAAGTGATCGGCTATGTCCACCTGTACGCGAAGCTCGCAAGCAAATGTGACATTAAGCTCAGGAGAATGTTAGGTGCCGAACAGGTAGGGGCCTTATTTTTATCGATTTCAAAAGTCGCTGAGAGACCTAGATTCAATTATGTATCATGGATTCAGGACCTGATCGACTCCACGGGCAAAACGTTCCAAGAGAAGTATGATGAAGATAGAGAAGTCATTGGCTTGGATATGTACGATCTATAATATCTCTGATGACTTTGCATGGGGCTGAGTGATGTAGAGGGACTGGCTCAAGCAGCATCTATGCTTTGTTAGGCTGCGCGACGAGACCAAAGTGGAAATTTGCTGTAACAGGTGAAATGCTCGCCATGCTGTTGTTTCCTGGCCGGCGGTGACTGACCGATCACAGACATTGATCCGAAGAATATGAGCTGCGCAAAACAAAATATACTTAAGAATAATCTCAAGTCTCGTGTCTATCCATTGCAGACAACGCAAGCTGAACCTCTGATTCAGCTCAGTCGCATAGGCTTGTCCACGTCAGTATCTCGAGGCCTTTACTGAATTAAGCTAATACTTCTCTAGCATCGATTTCTCAATGTGCAATCCTCCTTTCTACTCCTCGGCGGACGAACTCCTCGCTTCCGCGTCAACCAAGTCACGCCCTCCCCATTCAGCTTGTACAGGTGCAGACATTGAAATGGTCACTGAAGGTGGCGAGGTCGCTTTTGTAACCCGTATGATAGAGGAGAGTAAAAAGCTTCGGGAGCAATGTCAATGGTATACGAGTATGCTCGGTAAAGCAAGCAGTGTCGAGGCCATAATCCACAGAATCAGAAATGCTGGGGTTGAAAATTGGGCGGTCAAAGATCTTGTACAAGGTAGCAAAACTAAGAGATGGGTGGTAGGGTGGAGCTGGAGTAGCCTTCGACCGAGCGAGGTGAATATATCTGCACATCCCTGTGGGCCTTTGCTGAATTGGTGCAGGCCGTCGCACGCGCTACTAATACACTGCCGAAACATTTACTTCCCTTCCCTTCGGAGTTTGAATTCCACCTAATCGATATTAGTATCACGGTTGCTTCGCAAACATTAGACGACACTATGAAAGGACTAGAGCTGCGCTGGGTTTACAAGCCCGCTATGGCCACTGGTGTCGCAGTCGTCGGAAGTAATGTCTGGTCTAGAGCAGCAAGAAGGAAGCGTGAACGAGGACTGTCTCCTACAGAGGATGATCAAAACCCAGCCCAGCCTGCCTTGATAGTCAAGATCAGCGTAAGTGCTGGGCAAGGCGAGGGTCCATCCGTGAAGGTCCGTTGGCTGGTGGGACGGGAAGTCGTGCTTTTTGAGAGCTTCTGCGGTATGCTGAAACGGCAAATGACAATGCGTGACTCGTGATGGACCCAGACACGTGAAGTAAGCAAGTAAGCTTCCCGTGGCATCAGTATCTACGCTACTGAAAGGACACCGCCAGCATCCGGCTAGAACAGCTCAATAGCACTCTCCACTGGTGCGCTTGCTTGAGCTACATCATGAGATTCCGGACAGAAAATCTGCTGTTTTTGACCGAGAGACACGCTCAGCCTCATAATGTCCGGTTCTTGCGTATCTCATGAGGCCTTGGGGCTCCGATTAGCTTACATAGAGACAAACAAAGTCTTATTCAAAGTCCTCTACGATTTGGCCGATGATATTAGCATTCCAATACTTGGCTTCGACTTGTCACTTGAAACCCTATGTGATAGCGTTCTTTGGCGGTTCTTCCATCCTAAATCCATCAGAGGGTAGAAAACGGACTGGAAACCCATGCCTTCTAGACTCAGAGAGCATCATACCCCTATTTCCCCTGCAAATGCTTCACGTTGTCCCCCACCGTCTCCTCCAGACTCGTCCAACCCTCCCCGTTCTTCAAAACCTTCACCAATACCTCACTCCGCTTACTATCCACCTCACTAACGTCCCTACCTTCGCCCTCCGGATCTTTCTCGAACTCCTTCCCCTAGAAACCGAATCGCGTTAGCACCGCACCATTCTTTCTCCATTCCATTTCCCAAAGAGAACCACGACTCCCGAAAAGAAAAGCAAAAAGGGAAAAGAAGCTCACCGGCTCTAACTTCCTCAGATACCCCAAAATCTCCGTCTGCGAGAACGGCTTCGCATACCCCAACAGCCTCTCCCCCTCCACGCCCGGCACAATCAGCGCCGCAACATGCAACCTCGCCACATCCTTCACATTAACATAATACTGCGGCGGAAGAAAACTCCACGTCCCCTTCTTCCCCGTATACAAGCTCGTGACCAACCCCGAGGTGCTGCCATCCTGGTGCTCCGGCGCCAGAACCTCGCCGAGGACGGTATTAGGGCAGATGACATTGATCGCATACTTGGGTTTCTGCTCGGCGACGAATTTCTCGATCGCGTGCTCCGCGGAGACCTTGCTAGCGGCGTAGGCGAGGAAGGATTGCATGAAGTTATTGGGGTCGTAGGGTTTTGGGGCGGCGTAGGCGGCGGCGATGATGCCGTCGTTGAAGATGGAGGCGTTGACGGGGAAGACTTTGTTTGGCTCGGGGAAAGCGATGGCGACGGAGGAGGAGGTGAAGACCACGCGTTTGATGGCGGGGATGGAGAGCGCCGCGGTGAGGAGGGAGGTTGCTATCGCGACTGTGTTGGGGACTGTGACGTCTGGGTCTGGGGAGAAGGATGTGTCGCCTACGGTGTGGATTACGCCCGTGACGTCTGGAGCTGGGGTATTAGTGGAGGGGGAAAAGGGCGAGGGGATGGGTGGCTTGGGAGTTTTGCAAATAGTGGTGTATGGACAGGTAGCAGGTAGTCAGGGAAGAGAAGAGTGACGGGACGGAGGAGGGGGCAATGGGGAAATTGGTAGAAGGGTAAACTTGGTGATGGAAAGGGGTTTGGAGGGAGGATGGAAATTACCTTTGAGGGCCTCAGTGTAGCCTTCAGGCTTCATGTAATCCGCAATGCCAATGAGTTCGAATTTGCCATCACCGTGGCGTTTGCTGTACAATTCATTCAGGAAGCTGCTCTTGGCGGCGTTGCGGACGCTGCCTCTGACGCGGTAGCCGCGTTCGAGGAGCTGGTCGACGATGTGGCTGGCGATGTAGCCGCTGGCACCAGTGACAAGGACGAGGGAGTTGGACGGGAGGATTAAGTCAGTTGGAGCCATTATGGAGTTTGTGGTGTACCAAACATTCAAATTATCTTGTCTAGGACGAGTGGTTGAAGTCGGGTTATGTATGAAGGACGTAGAGGCTCTCGGACCCTTTTCGACGTTAATGGGTAATGATTAATTATCGTCAATGAATCCGGGTCATCATTGACCGATCCAGCAGAGGAGACGGACAAATTTAAGCCGCAGTCGTCGCTGCATAAGGTAGAATCAGTCTTGGGATCGCTTATGTAAGTCCAGAACATTGGGGCGCGGATTTGTAAGTCGATGTTGGTGCAGGGAAAGAAACCTTGATTATGTGATCACACACTAAGGTATCTTGAGGACTGGCTGCAAGAAAAATGGTTGACCTTGGGATAGGCCCATTCGCCTATCAATCGTCAGCTTGGTAGGCAGTAGCAACACTTGGCTCCGGGAGTGAAGGGCAGACTGAAATGCATTGCATATTCTATCGTCTAAGTTCTATTGCCAACAAGATGATGCAGGACCTCTGCATGAGATGTCCCACATCGAGCGTAAAGATACCTCAACGCTGACCATACCCCCTTCATCAGATCATCGCTTTTCGAAAGGTGTACCCGAGCGCCGAAAGATGTCGTGTATATCACTTGAGATCTTGGTTCTAACTGGCCTAGTCTTCGTCTGAAAAGACTTCGATGCCCGCCTTCCGCTTGGCCATACGATCCTTCTTCTTTTTGCGGAGCTCGCTCGACGTGAGCTTGGCCTTCTTCTTCGTGCTGTCGATCTTGTTGCCCATGGCATCGAAGCGTTCTTCCTCTTCAGTCTCACCCTTTAAGCGTGGGCCAGCGCCTTGGCCTTGGACCCAGTTGTGGCCAGATGGTGTCATTTTACCGTCCATAACGGCCCAGACCTGCAAATTATGTTAGTTGTTTTAGAACATGAGATGTGGTGAAGGGAGACTTGCCTCTTCCGTTAGATTTTGTGTGAATTCAGATGAATGGGTGATGATGATGACACCGCCCTCAAATGCCTTGAGGGCCTTGGACAATGCACCCAAGGAATCGCGATCGAGGTAGTTGGTGGGCTCGTCAAGAACGATTAGATGAGGCCTCTGCCATGAGCATGCTGCTAGCACGACCTTGACACGCTGACCGCCTGACAAGCCACGCATCCGGGAGTGCGAGACCAGCTCAGCATCCAGTCCGAAGTAGGCACAATGTTGTTCAATCTCCCTTCGTACTAGAGGCCGGAATTGACCGCTCGCCAACGCCTCCTTCTGGTCGACGTCAGCAACTGCTTTGGTGTGGGAGACGATGATCTCGCTACGTGGGATCCAAGCGTTGTCAGCTGTCATCATTTGAATCCATTTCTCATTCTTCTGGCCAACATTTTCTCCGAGCATGAATGAGCATTCATACTCATAAGAGTTTTTGAATTTCCTTCGCGAGAGCACGCTAGTCACTCGTCGTTGTGAGCCGTCGATCTTATATATTTTCTTCTCTGCTTCCTTGTCTTCATCAGTGACTATCTTGTTGGCCCGATCCATAGTCTCGCGATCCTCGCCAGTTTGGAACCGCCATTGTATGTATTCAGACGGGGTGCTGTCAAGATGATGATCGATGTGGGCGAAAGCGTGCTGCTTGATGTAGGCTATCCGGATATTTTCGTGCGTATATACGTCACCAGTCGTAGGCAGGAGCTCACCAGTCAGGACGTTGATCAAGGTCGATTTGCCAGCACCATTTGGGCCAATGACAGCGATACGGGAGCCCAGAGAACATTGGAATGTGATGTCTGAAACCTGAGGCTTGGATGTACCAGGGTATTGAAACGTCATGTTGCTGACGCGGACGATAGCCTTTGCCTTTGTCTTAACACCTTCCAGAAACCCTGGCTCAGGGAACTTAAACTCGATCTCCGACGCACTGAGCTCATTATATGATTTCGCAGATGGGACTTTCTTGATGAACCCGTCCAGATTCCCTCGGTATCGGTGAAGCTTGAAGCGCTCATAATGAATGACGTGTTGAATGACGTGGTTTAAGAATTTGCTATCGTGCGAAACGATGATCGAAGTGCAAGGAGAATTAGTAAGATATTCCTCAAGCCACTTTACGTTCTTCACGTCCAAGTGGTTTGTGGGCTCGTCGAGAAGCAGAATATCTGGTGCCTCGAATACGGCACGAGCCAAAGCCAGCTTCATCTTCCAGCCCCCGGAAAGAGAGGTGATAGGTCCTTCAAATTGCTCTCTGAAAAACCCAAACTCCTCCAATCTAGCTTCAACTTCATTTTTCTCGAGTGTAATACCGACATCAGCCAATTTCTTGACAGTCCAGCCAATGACCGTTTGTTCCGTATCCGCAGAATCAAGGTCATGCTCAACGAAGACAGTCTTGACTTCACTCTGCTTGGGGAACCCCTCAACCTGTTCATTGTTGATAGCGCGCATAAGAGTTGACTTGCCGGAACCATTGGGGCCCAGGAGGCCATATCTCTGGCCCCGCTTGAGGCGTAGATGGGTCTGGTTGAGTAGAATCTTTGCGCCGTAGGCAAGATTGAAAGTGCAGTTGCAAAGGTCCTCGCCTTCTTCCTCATCTTCTTCAGACTCTTCTTCGTCAACGGCACCGGGGGAAGCACGCTTTCGCAGAGCGTCTGCAGTGCCTTTCGCATCTGTCTCTCCAACGATGGCCGTAATGTAGGGGAGTGTGTTGTCCACCCAGCTGGTAGAATCGTTTTCTTTCTCATCAATAAGCTGGCCGGAGATGGCGGAAATATATTCGATGACCGGAACAAATTTGGTCGCGGCATCTTTGTGTGAAGGCTCAAGAATCTGCTTCAAGATGGCAGAGACGGTTGATATGTCACCAGCGTGTGAGACTTCTGGGATTTTCCCATCCTTCACATTTCCAACACGAACTAGAGTCTCAAGACCTTGTTTTGTCTTCTCACGCGCTTCAGGATCTGCCATATTATCAAAGTTCTTTTGCAGAGCGGGCATCAGCTTTGGTAGGAAAGATGCAACAATGTTAGGATCCTCCACAAGTTTGCACATGTTGTCGACAATCACGGCAGCCTTTCTCTTGATCGCTGTTTCGCGCTCGTTGAGTCCACGCTCTAGGAGAGGGACCATAATAGCGAGGGTTGGTTCATGAACATCGGTGACGAAGGTAGTCGCACCAAGCAAATGTACAGTCTCAGGCACGTTCTCGGGCTTGGCTATGCACTTAATGAGTTCGGGAATGAAACGCTCGATATCTTTGTTGCTGATCAAGTTGCAGATTTTCTCCATAGTGCCATAGGCGGCCTTCTTTACTTCGGCTTTAGTGTCCCACATGGCTTCCGAAACTACTGGAAGTAGGTCTGGAACGCGCAGTGCTAGCTGAGTGGGAGCACTTTCGACGAGGGTCTCGATACACTGTAGGCAGGTCATCTTTTCTTGCCACTTCTGAGCTGTCCTGAGGGAGTTGTTTATTATGGGAATGAGAGCCTTGATAGCATTGGCGTTGATCGCTTTTGCGATTGCGACTGCTGCACTCTGTGCTTGCGTCTTCACTGGAGTCATCTTGTCACCAACGGCTGAGAGAGTGGGTGCCATAAGCACGACCAGATATGGCTCGACATTGGGTGAGACCGTAGAGTGCTGTGCTATGGCTTGTATGGTGGAGAGACCTCTTTCTCGGGCCCCAGCATCTTTCTTGTTTGCGAGCTGCTTTTTCAGGCCTTCGACAGTCCTGCCATGATTCGTCAGTACTGGTGTTCTCCAAAGCGCCTCCCTTGATTTCGCAACGATGACAATCACATATGAATGTGAGGCTCACCTTGTGGGCGCATCTGCTTCTTCAATGTTGCCATTGATGAAGGAAGCGATGTTACCAGCGGCCTCGCTTGTCTGGTCTGCGGTTTTGGAAATGGAGAGTTTGGCGAGAAGTTCGTCGAGCACTTTTGCTGACTTCTGATTTTCGCTCTTTTGTGTAGCCGCGTTCGTAGGTGCGGCGTCCATTATATCGGCTGAGGGCATAGTGAGAACGTCCTGATACTTTGATGCTGATAGTACTCAACGTAGTTGCATCGAATGCTGACAAAATATGAAGGGATCTGCGACAACAAAGAAAAGTCCGTGGACCACAGCCTATACTCTATTTTGGCGCTGGGTCTACGATCTATTCACAGAAAGACCGCTGTCTATTGACACAAGTCTATGAAGCTGCCGTAAAGGAGAGGAGTGGAGAGGAGTAGGAGAATTTAGAGGCGCCGAGTTTGAGTGTGCGGATTTTCTTTTCGGTGGCTGTGGGCTGAGAAATTTTTATTGACGCTAAGTCTTTTGGTGACGGCAGAGTTCCAGATGAGTCCTAGCGTGATGGTCCTCGGGCCAATCCTTGAAAATCCTACGGCTGGACGACTGATAAGGATGCGACAAGTCAGCAACTTACATGTGGAAAGTGCAGGGGAGTCTCATCTCTCCGCATGGAAGATCAGACCATAGGCTGACACGCTCGCATTGAATGGTACTGTATAGCCTCGACGCAGAGCAGAGCCTCCTCTCAGAATGCCTACCCCCTGGTGCCTCTCTGATGCTTCCTTAAACAAAATACTGATTTGGAACGCCCGCTTAGCTTTCCTCCGTGCCAGTAAGTCGAAAATGGACTGCTGCTTCATCATGGCCACTGAAGTTCAGTTCTCACTCGAGGGTGCATGCATGGAATGCTAATCCTCTAAGCTGCCAATCTGTGGCGCGACCGGTGACGCATGTTTCCTGATTGAACTTGTTCGTCATCATCTCCTCATTCCTCGTATATGCTGGCGTTGTTGTGCAATCGTGGACATATGCTGCCATCTACGTTCAAATTGAATTGCAAACAAGCTTCAACAAAGGCATCGTCAAATGTGCTCGCAAATTTTGGTGTCCACTTGGCATTTGATAGAGAAACAATCAAGAAGCAGCTCGTAATGTTTTCAGCCGGCTCATGAAACGCTGCGGGCAAGTACAGTATCGCGCAGACCGCAGCAAACACAAAGTCGAAGCTCTGGCAAGAATATTGAAGTTTCACGACGTCCTGCCTTTGTCCATATCTGCTCTGAGGCACGATCAGTGTACGACCTCCGTGTTGCGGGAACATCGTCCTGGCAAATCGGTCAAACACCCAATCATGCAGCCTAAGTGACAGCATTGTGTCAGTCGCTTCTTCTGCCAGACGTTGGCTGGACTGCCGGAGCTACGAAACCTCGTAGATGCTGTTTATTAAAACCAGGGAAGTTGTGTGATACCCCATTGCATACCCCAAATCTTGGTCGCCTGCATTGCACGTCGTGTGCGACCCCCGGGATTGATCTTTCCTCCTAACCGGCTCGATCGCTATCACATCGTCGATGCTCGCCGCCTTCAACACACTGAGATGGCCCAACAAAGCTTAGTGCGTGCCAGCCAGCAGGGAGTGAATGGTAAACTCACTTCTTTGCTGAGGACCCACACAAACAGAGAAACAAGCACCAAAGCATTCACGTCCATATAAACCCCCTCTACTCCTCCCTCATCCTTCCAACCTACATCCTCCTTCCTACCACGCTTCTCTTCCTTCCTTCCGTTGAAGGTCGTAAGATTTACTCAACGTCACTACATCAAGCATCCGTATATCATGGCCTCTGCAGAAGTCGACACTATGACCATTGGCAATGAGGTGACTCCTCCCGCCTCTCCAACAGAAAACGTCCACGATGTCAGCCAGGTAAGCCTAATTGCTGCTTATTGAGCATAGCTAGCCCCACGAAACAAATGACGACACCCCCAAAGAGATGGTCACACTGCACTCATACCAAAGTCGAAGCTGACACTGAAAATATAGTACTTTGCTACCAACAGCAAGACTTTGTCAAAAAAGCGTGCCGCCGCCGAAGGCGCTAGTGGAAACATCGAACAAACCCCCAAAAAGCGCAATACGCGCAAGAAGGACGATCAAGAGACTGACAATGAGTCTAATGACACCGTCGAGCCAAAGACTCCAAGCCCCAAGAAGGGCGGTAGTGTCTCAAAGAAAGGCAAGGTCAAGGAAGAGCCTACCGAAGAACCCGACACTCCTAGCAAATCCCTACCCACACCAAAGGCGACCCCCAAGTCTTCTAAGAAGAAAGACAGCACTGGCCCTCGCCAGCTAAAAGGCAAGAGTCAAGCTATCGCGATCCCTACTTCTTGGGACAATGCTACCCAAGCCGATCGCCTGCTCGTCGAGATGAAGGAAAAAGGTGAAAAATGGGAGAAGATCCGTGAGATGTGGAAGACGGAGACTGGCGAGGATAGTGGTAATAGGTATCCTACCTTTGCCACCGCCATACTTCCCATAGCGAGGGACGCTGAATAATAATACTCGCATCTAGCACTCTACCAAACCGCTACAACCGCATCAAATGCAACATGATGCGCCTTAAGCCAGGTCACGTAAGCAAGCTTTTCAGCTTGATCCTCACCATTTCCTTACCATCTTACAGGACAAGACGCTCCTACGCACTGAACGCAACATTGCCGACGATCACCAGAAGCGACAAGAACAGCTGTTCCGTGACTTTGAGCGTCAGAAAGTCGAGTTCGAAGCTAATCTCGAAAAGCAGAAGCGTGAGCTCGAGGCTTCAAAGTGGTCGACGATTGCGGAAACAATTAGGAAGGAGACCGGGGAGCGCTATATGGAACCATTCCTGATGAAGCAATGGAAGCTGCTTAGTAAAGGCGAGGCTGTTGAGGTGTGTACAGCCCTTGCAGCTAACGAGTCGATGAAATGATGTAATTAACGTCGTCGTAGCTTGCTGTCGATGTCGATGACAATGCTGATGAGAAGGTGGCTAACGGGATCATTACGGTGAAGGAAGAAGAGGAGGAAGGTCAGGACGAAGAAGACGAGGTGATGGAGGGATGAATTGGTGAGTGCAATATCTAAGCATTCGTATTGCAACTTACAGCTTCTTTCTAGTTCCCCTTGAAGCCGAGGATCCAGAAACTTGGGACCAAAGATGGCTATACAATTGCTTGACGACATGAATTGATGTCAATGTTTCCCTCATAAGCATTTGGAGGAATCTGTGTGACAGCACTGTTGACTGTGAAGATGACTTGTCATTTACAAAGATGATCTATGATGCTGAGGAAATGGGGTATGCGATACAAAGCAAAATGCTACAAGCACCTACGATATACGTCCGTTGACGACGGTGAGATGACCACCAAGAAGCGACAATGAATGCACTGAATTCTATATTTCCATTACCTGGTCCAAAATGCCTTTGTTTGTCGTCACATCATCTAGAAGTAAAGCATTGGCCCGATGGCGATTCCTACTCCTCCCCCATCACCGCTCCTCCCTCCAGACCCTCACTATGACCCTGCTTCTTCCACTCTCCACTCTTCACCCTCTCACACAGCTCGCTCAGCGCCTTAACCCCTCGCTCCATATCCTCCACCTCCAGATAAATCTGCCCAGAGAACCTGACCCACAGCTTGCCAGCATGAAAGTACAATGCCGCATACGTATCATACTCTGCGATCAATTTCTCTGCCATCCAATTCGCCACAACTCCAGCTTCTTGCACCGTTATCTCTGCCCTAGCTGCTCTCTCCCTGTCACCTTTAATGTCACCATTAGCCACAGTGCTAGCACCATCATGACCCTCCCCACCCTCACCAGAACTATCAACAACAACATCGATAGGCAACTCAACATTCACCATCCCCCCACTCCCCTCCCGTCCTCCACTCCCATAAACAACCCTCGTCCCCCACCTCTCCCTCGCAATCTCCGCACCCTTTGCAGCAACATCAACACAATACGCCCTAATCCTCTCCTCGCCGCCGCAAACCTCGTTGCGGAACTGAAGCGCGGCCTCGACGCAGAGGTAGGGCGTGACGTCCTGGGTGGCTACGAATTCGAAGAGGGTGAGGAAGGGCGTTTTGGTGGAGGGGGAAGTGGGTTGAAGATGTCCTTTTTTCTTCTTGGCGATGGTGGTAAGGTTGGGGTTGGTGGGGGGAGATGGTGGTGGGACGAGGGGAACGAAGCCGTGGGAGGTCGGGTACGTGGTGCGGAGGAGGTGCTGGTTTCGGAGGGGGACGTAGAAGGCGGCGCAGGGGCGGGGACAATAGAGCCATCTGTCGAGAATCGTTGGTTATTGGGTCAATCGAATGCGTCCAAGATGACGATTGGGGAGAGAATTGGAGCAGAGGAAACAAATGACTTACTTATGCAGATTCGTCACCAAGAAATCTGGCTGGGCCTCCTTGATTTCCAGAGGGATATGTCCGATACCGTGTGCAGCATCGACAAAGCTGAGTACATCCTCCTCCCGACACACCTGTACCAACCTCTCCCATGGCATCCTAAATCCCGGCATGGAGCTCACGCTATCAAACACTGCAACCCTGGGCCTCTTCCCCTCCCCTTTCACCCTCCCAATCGTCTCTCTAAACCTCTCAATCAACTCCCCATCCTCAATCGGATACTCCACCTCGACCTTCACGCCCTCCACCCCATTAGTCTCCCTCAGACTTTCAACCAACTTCTCTATAGCTGCATACACCGTACTAAAGTAGAGCACCACATCCCCCAACCCTCCCCCTCCATTCTCTACCCTCCCACCAAGCAAATTCCTCAAAACAGTGTTAACAGCCACACTCGCATTCTGCACGAGCACCACCTCTCCCGTGCCCTCCGTCCCTAGGCCTAGGAACTTAGCAACAACTTCCCGGCTGCGATCCAGGAGTTTGGGGTACTGATGCCGCACGAAAGCGTCAGGGCGGGATTCGGACAGCGATTGGAAGTAGTGCAGGGCGTGCAGGACGTAGCGGGGATATGTACCGAAAGAACCATGGTTCAGGGGCGTGTAAGCCGGGTCGAGCAGGAAGTGATGGTTGCGCATGGGAGAGCCGAAGGGGACAGGTTTTAGCATTGAGGAAGGGGGTCGGGGGGAAGAGTTGTGGTGTTGTCGACGGGGGACGAAGGGAGAACGGGCAAGTTTTTATCGGACATGGTTTGAATTTCTTGATAGAGGAAATTGTTTACGTGATGTGCGGGATAGTGAGGACAGAGAAAAGAAAGAGATGTATCGGGTCGTGAAGGAGGGAAGTCGGTGGATAAGAGACGGAAGTTATTTGTCAATTGACCCACCTGGATGCTGACAGCTTTCATATATAGACATGGAAGGGATCCATGGTGCGTCGATTGGAAAGCAAGTGACTCATTTAGGTTACTCTCCAACATTGGTAGCAAGCCCCGACAATCGGAGGATCATGACGGCGGACTGCGACGGTTAGCAGCGGTCCAATGATTGGCCGCTATGAATGCTCTCAATCCATCCAAAAGCTCCTTGCTTCGTGCATACCACGCCAAAAGTTCGGACGAGCTTTCAAAAACCTTGAATTATGATTGTGGTGTTTGTAAATGCTGTGATTTAGGCTGAAGTCTTGAGAAAGTAAAGTAGCACTAGGGAGGGAGCGGATGCATTGATGTTGCACAAAACAACAAATGCATGGTGCGATTCTTAGAGTAGAAGCTGGAAACTCGGATGATGGATGAGGGTTAACTAATACGGTCTTCCCGCGACTTAATCAAGAGATTCTCGTTCAAATAAGTATGCCGTCTGAGATGCAGATGTCGTTTAGAATAATGCCGGAGCAGACGGGGACTTACTACCCACGACTGTATCAATTTACATGGAACTTTCCCGACGCAGTCAGAGTCTGTAGCGTATCGGGATGAGCGAATGTGATCTTGACCGTAGGTTCCCCTATTGCCGCAGCGAGAAAGGTAAATTCAACGCTCCCGGAATTGGATACGTCGTTGAGCACGGTCTCATTCAGGAGAACGATGGCATCGTTATGCAGGGGATCGATCCAGACATCCCAGTCAGCTGCGTTGGTAAACTATACGAGAAGGTGTTAGCATAATGTTTTGATTGAGTCTGCAAGAGCTGAGTGAGATAAATCCTCGCGAGGAATGGTTGACACGGATATTTTGAAGATGCATAAGCAGATACATACCGTAACCGTAATTGTGAACGTGCTTCCTACCATGGTAGACACATTCAAGGGCGGATCGCAAGAGATTTCCAGTAGATTAGGGGGTTTGGTGAAGTTGGTAAGGACCCCATCGATCGCGTTCCCGTATTGGCCAGAGATGTCAGGAACATGCCCATCAACAACATTGACAATGGCCATTACATTACTTTTCGCAAATATCAAGGTGGAGGGCGAAGCAACGCAAAATTCTCCGTACTGAGTACCAGATGCTGGCAATGGTTGTGGGAAGTTGTACGCATAGTCATCGTAACTGTCAAGCTCCAGAGCGAAGTATCTTTGGGCAGTAATGTAATCGGGAAGTAGGTCGATTTCAATCTCGACGTTTGCGTTATTGTTGTCCTTGAAAGACCAGCTCGCATTTACGATTTCAGGATTAACGTCCACATCAGGGGTTCCCACATCGCGACCTCCGATGACTAGGTGAGATATCAAGTAAGTTATGATTTTTCAATAAAGGAAAGCTATAAGAAGAATGCGAACCGCGGGAACAAGCAAGAGAGGCATACCGACTGTTAGCTTATTGGTCAGTGCAAGCTGGCTGAAGACAAGCGGCTGAAGGATCGGACTATTAGATGTTCCTGCGCCCGATACCAAATCTGTGGCATTTGTTGCAGCTGCCTCTAGGGCCTCTCTTGGTGTGAAGTCCCGTAATGTGGTAATTCCAAAGCTTGGTGTACTCACATTGTAATCAGTGATATTCCCTGGTCGATGCTGTTTTGCAGGATCGTTGATACCTAATGAAGCCTTTGACCGTGGTCCCAACTGTGGAGCTGTAGGATACAAAGTGGTGTGTTCGTCATCATTTGGTGGGGACGGTGGCTCTATCGCCCTCGCTAGATAAGCCGCAGGCGACTCTGTACCAGTATGAGGTCCAGCACAAGCGTCAACCACACATTGCTTGACTTCGATGAAAGCGTGATTTCTGAATGCCTGCCGAATATCGGCGTTGTTGTCGACCAGAAAGCTCGACTGCTGGTTAGATACATACGGGCTGTTGCACCGCCCACGCCCTACCAAGTTCGTGGTTTGAATAAAGCCATATGGTTCAAGAAATTTCCACTTGATTGTTTGCGCATCCTCAGGAATGAGACCGAGTCCAAGGGCAACTTGAACCATGGCGGCCTGGTCGTAGCAATTGATGAGAGTAAATTGACTACTGTCCTTCTTGCATTTCTCATAATCGGCAAGCCACCTAGCGATATCGAGGCCTCCTCCAGATTGGCCTACGTATCGGTTCTGTCCACTGTTCCACGAATTATAGCGCAATCCCATATCAGAGAAGACTGTGTTGGCCACGAAAGCCACCCAATTGGTCTGGATCGAGGCAAAAAAGTTCGGTATGAATGCACGGAGGAGTTTTACAGGGACACGACCGCCGTAAAGCTTTGGTAGGATGATGGGTAGGCTATAGAGCTCCAGTCGAGTGGAACCCAAGCTTTGCTCAGTGCCGCTTGATACCCATACCCACTGAATGTCGCCCGCGATACGACGTGGGAAACTGGAATTCAAAACAGTAACAAGGGCTCCGTCGCCTTGATCTATATGGACAGGCACATCATTTGTACCTTGCTGAGTAGTGACATTGCTGCTCGTAAACACATTACCATTTTTCCACATGGGATGACGACCCACTAGCGAGCCACTGGCGCCAATTCCAACCGAGAAATAGATGGAAAGCGTAAGAGATGCAGTGTTCTGAAAGTCGAATGAAGCAGGCCTGAATGAGCCATTTCCATCCGATAGTGAGGCAGATTGAGTGTGATCGTAGAGGACCTGTCCTGGGCTTTGCAAAATCTGAGCGTTGGCGGTAGTGTTGTCGATGGGTAACGTAGGACTTTTGATCGTTACAGTATGCACAACGTTAGACATTCTGGTTGCAAATGTCACCAGTGGAAATTGGCTGGCAATGGATCTGTACGAATGGCTTAAGAGCGTCGAAGTTCCAGTAGATCAAATTTTACACGAGAAGTGGAAAAACGTGCGAAAAACGAGGGACCCCATCGATTTAAGTCCTACCTGAAGATCTAGAACAGGTTTTGCCGTTCACCCTCGAAGCTTGGAGATTTGCGTACCTTGTGCACTCTGCGAGCCATGGTATTTCCATCCATACGAGATCAATGGAAGCAAAGGGGTACAGATTCGGCCCCTTGCATATGGGTCATTACTGACGTGGCACTCCAATGTATACGTTAGAATCAACACTGAATAACATAGGAATGTGCGTTCCATAGAAGGAGCCAAACCCCTCGTGGCAAAGCGTCCTGCATGCTACCGCTAATATCTGCGGCTTTGTGCTGCCTTTCACATCTTACAGCTAGCCACTATGCGCACTCTCAGGGTGGGATGTCACATAGATGGCGCCCGTCTTGGCGACATCTCCTTTCGGCAGACTGCCGTAAATGATGGCGCCGAATGGAGGCATTAGCGGATCTGCAACAGGAGAGGTATTGAGGTTCGCAAGCAAGCGGGTATGATGAGTTGCGCTCTTGGTTAGATTTTGGGGAATTAGCATATCAGATCGCCCTATGATTGCCCCTCAATCTGTAACTGTTAATGTCTACCTTATGAGTAGACCGAATCAAAAGACGGTGAGAGAAGAGGAAATGAGAAAGAGAGCGGCCTATCCCAGACCTAGGGTGATCAATAAGACTTGTGAGCGCAATGTGACATATTTCACGCTGCACCAAACGCTAGCTTAGAATATTCCAAATGATCTGCAACCTAGAGATCGCCGAAGACCAAATTGAGAACAGCTTGTGTTGGTTAATGAGATGTCGAGTGACCGCGAGCGCTGTTCGTCATGTCCACAAATGGTCAAAACATCAGCTGATACTCAGTCCCAGCTCACAATGAAGGGCCTCTTTGCTCTCCCTTCTTTTTGAGCCTTGCGATACTCATTCCTCGCTGAAAGACGTACAGCCACTTCAAAAGTGGTCAATATCAACATGACGATAGCCCAAACACCAGCTACAAGCACAGTGATGGGTACTACATTTGTCTTGATTCCATAAGAGACGTAAGTCGTCGAATCGACCTCATTAGTGGGTGGAACAGATGTCTGATCTTTTTGTGATTGTGGGGGCGCGAGCACTCCGTAAAGGAAAGCCGTATCTCTGACTTCAAGATTTGTAACCACTTTGCTTCCATCATGATTCACAGCTGAAAGTCTGATGTCAGGTGTAAGAATGGCAACGACGAATGCACTGTCACAGTCTATCAGCCTTACTTTATCCCTCAATGAGTATCGATTGGAAGTAGCCGCACCTGTCATTGAACATTGTTCCCATATTATCTTCGAGCTGCCCCTGCAGCCTCAGCTCGCCAAACTTCGTAATTGCGAAATTGTTGCCTCTTTTCATCAAACGGGTAACTTCGCTGTCCCTCTCGAATCCAGCTTCAGAGCGAGTTGCACCGTTGCCCTCAACCACAACCTGGCGTGTAACATTTGCGTGCTCGTACTTCATACCAATGCTGATGCTTTGATCATTGACCTCAGCCCACTCACCCGTCGGCCATGCTGTGCGATAAATTCTTAGATCTACCTCAAAAATCCCCCAAATCTGGTCGAAGCTATAGATGTTATAGCATGGGATCATGCCAGAGGGATTTGAGACATTACTGGGTCCATCAATGAGGGCCGATAAACAGACAATGTCAGTTGCTGCGTCCCAATCAGTCAGATTAATTGTAGGCTCAGCATATGGCGTAGCGGACGCCAAGATCCTGGTCGGATTGGATGAATTTGTGAATTGGCGCAAATCGTCGGAGGCGGACGAAATAGAGGTAGTCGAAGGTGTACCTGAGCTAGACTCCCCGCTGAAGCTATCTAAATTGGCAAGGCTTGCAATGAAATTTGGAGAAACCGATGCCGAGTCCGCTGGGACACTCTTTGATAGCGTTGACAACGTTGATTGAAGAGATGTTGCGTTAGAGACATATGGCGCTGCAGTCGTTGAAAAGATGACGCTCCGCCCGTACCAACTTCCGTGATTGATTATCCGAATGGGTTCAATCTTGACCTTCTGATCCACGTACGCACCGTGGCGATTACTGAATGATGATGTTGGTGTGACGCCTTGGATCCTTACGAATTCAAACATGAAAACAAGGGGAATGAACGGCAAGGGTAGCGTCTTCATCAGCATTGCCACTACCTGAGTCCTCTGGAATAGCTCGTCTCGAAGAAAGCCTGAAAAGATCATGGAGGTCCGTGTTGTCTTTCGTCAGTCTGCCTAGTGAAAAGAGGAAGGTCCGACTTTCGCACATCGCCACGTGATTTTCTGCCTTGCAGCTTCACCTCATTGCCGTTTGTCTCGTCTTCGCTCTAGTAAATGAAGTCATTTTACAGTTAGATGAGCCAAGATGCATTGATCAAGTCCGATCACATCAGAAGTCTAAACCGCATTCAGGTTGTCTTGCCAAAACACTACACCGAATCGATTAGAGGAGAAGGGGCACCATACGCGCCCGCAAAATCCAGCTGCGCCAGCTGGCCTTGTACTCGGTCAATCTCAGAGCTCAAGTCCTCTACATTCTTGGCTAGGCTAGCAGCTTCGTCGAACTTTCTGCGCTTATTTGCACCTTGCATTTGCTCCTTTACCATAAACAATTGTTCCTCAAGCACGATCAGAGTCTCTCGCAAGGTCTTCTCTTCGGCCTCGAGAGCCGAGACGGCGCTGCTGCTACTGATCTGCGATGCATTGTCGATATCGTTGTACTTGATGGATGAAAGAGCACCCGTAGGCTTGCCATTTGCATTCGAGTTTTGACCATGCGTAGTGGCATGTTTCAGTATCCTTGGGAGCGCTTTGAGGGGCAACATGTGAATCTGAAGGAAGTTATAGCTTTGCTGATAAATTGCTTGCTGTAATTTCTGCTGCGTGGGTGAAGTTGTCGGCATATCACGCACACGCCTAGCAGCGGTGCTGTAATGCCCAAATGCGTCAACGAGCCGCTTGCGGGTCCTAGATGCTTCAGCAAGCTGAGTGGAAGAAGGTGGCTTATCCGGATCCCTGGAAAATCAGTGATTGCTTGCATAGCATGGAAATAACCTACTGTAGAATGAGCAGTAGCCGCTGAAATTTTGGTAACATCATGCGGATTCCCTGCTCAAATTGCAATAGGTTTTCGTGAGCTTTGACATCAGGAGGCTTATGTGATTTCGACGCTGCAAAATCGGCTTTGCTGAAGACTGTATGCCGGCAGTCTTTACACATTCGAATGTCAATAGCTACCTCTTTGGCAGCCTTTTCTGTCAAAATATCAGTCACTGAGACTGTCAGTTAGGTGGGCAAAGGAGGGAGACGTGAGGGCTACCTGTAGCTACGTTGAGAGGCACTTCTTGAGAACAACCAGTGGTTACGTCTGCACAAACAATCCGACCACATAATCGGCAATGATGTCGTCGAAAGGTATATGAAGAGAATTCCTGTTGGCAAAAAGGGCATCTTGCTACCTTTGCATCGTCTTCCCAATCGATTATAGACTGCTCCAATTGTTTTCGTTGAGCCTTTGGGCTTGCTAACGGCCAGAGGCTATTCAATGAGGTCAAACTTTGATCCGATGGTGCACTCACAAGCAGCTGCGTGAGTTTGGAGAGACGAGTCTCCAGTCTTGATATTTCTAGTAGAGACTTGTCAAGGGTTTGCTTTCGTAGCTGCGCGAAATCATTGGTGACGTCTTGCTCTAATCCATGGCGGTCGCTGTACCCTTCCCTGGACTTGTAGCAAGTCTCGCAGACACGACTCCAAAGACCTCGGACAGGCTCGTGCTGAGCTGAGCGAGAAAGCTTCATTTGATACATCGTATGCTCTTCACAGAACAGCTTGCCACAATGCCGGCAGTTCACGTTGCCATTGACGGCTGTGAGCCTTTTCCCGCATGCTGGTTCGCTACACTTGTCATCTGGGCCGCGCCGTTGCCAATGCGTCTTCGTAATGACATCGTCAGGCTCTTGCTGTACAGGCTCTGGGTTCGACATGACGGGTCTGATCTCCGGAGATTTGGGACCATTATTTGACTCAAAGACATCTAGACCTTTGAATTTCTGGTTCAGTACAGCGAGAGGTTGGAAGCGTTTTGCCTTTGCCATTTGTTTCTCGAACCAATCTTTTACTTCATCTTGTTTGACCTCTTCCAGATTTTTATGATTATCGTCTAGATGACGATTAAGTTGGAGCAGGGTCATCTTTACGCTCCATTAGCATCGCCCTCTGCTTACAGAAAATGCCTCTAACCATGTCTTCATTGCAGATTGGGCAACATAGCCTCGAGCTTGCCGCTGCAGCAGCGGCACCGACAATTTCTTCATTATTTTCCAGCGAGACCCGTGAGCTGAGGTCTTGAGGATCTGTCGACGGTTGCGATGTAGAAGTCGAGTTGACGGAGACGGTGCTAGCGGAAGGCGAAAGAAGGCTGGAATTTCGTGGAGGGAAGGCAGGAGACAATGATTTTCCGCTTCCAAGGACACGGCCCCCTCCAAGCTTTCGACCAGTCATGCTCGCTCGGGCCTGTTGCCGTCATGGAGAGGACCTGTAATCCTTAAGTCATAAGACTTCCGTCGAGGCTCCATCTTCAATGATCAAGCGCTAGTGACTAAGCAACGGCCTTATCTTATCGTCGCAAATATTCATCGAAGCTCGAGATCAAAAATTCAGAGAACCAAAGTATTTACAGACGAGCCCGTACAGTATGGTGAAAGAACAACACTTTCCAGCTGTGCAAGCTGGCGCCTCTCTAATAATAGCATATCAGATCAAGCATAAGGCAGTACTTGTGGTTGGAGGCGGCGAGGTAAGGGATCACCGTTCCTGATCCTCGATGCCAGGACTGAACACTTGCCTTCACAGGTTGCCGCCGGACGGATACTTAACCTCTTGAACGCTGACGCTAATGTTACCGTCATCTCACCCAGAGAAGGCCTCAATCCTGAAGTTGCCTACCGAGTTGAACAAAAACAAGTCACCTATCACGACCGTAAATTTGAACCATCAGACCTTGATAACGTCGACATCGTGTTGACCGCCATTGACGATCCGGAAGCATCTACGCAGATCTGGAAAATGTGTAAAGAGCGAAGGATAGTTGCCAACATTGCTGATGTCCCCAAAGAATGTGATTTCTACTTTGGCTCCGTGCACCGTGATGGTCCTTTGCAGATAATGATCAGCACCAATGGATATGGACCGAAAATGGCGAGTATGATCAGGCAGTATATAGCTAGTATGCTGCCTGCGTACACCGGGGACGCGATTAAGAAGATTGGAATGCTCAGAGGTAAATTGAGGGAGGTGGCGCCGAAGCCCGAAGAGGGGCCCAAGAGAATGCAGTGGATCAGCAAATTATGCGAGCAATGTTCACTTGAGGACCTTGTGAGAAAAACGAGAGGGCTGAATGAATTTGACGTCGACCGATTGCTGGCCTCTTACAGCTCAGGGGAAATTCCCTCACTAGATGACGATGATGTTGAATCTCTTCCTTTCGATGGCAGTTTTGGATGGTCAATATGATAACAACAGCTTACCAAAAAATGCTCCAAGCTTGATCTTAGCAGTTGAGGCCAGGAGAGCTCCAGCTTTACAATCTCAAAGGCTTACCTGACTTTGATTCAGATCTCGTCTTGAAACAACGAGTCGACAGCGACTATTCAGTCGAGTCAGTGCTATGAGATCTAGGTTTCGATACCTAATTATTAAGAAGATGCGGATCTCGGCCGAGATGGAGACACGGACTTCAAACTCACCTCAACTTCTTGCTGACCCCCTTGGAGCGGCCCTCCTGTCTTGCAGCTTTACGATGAAATACGAGAGGTGATGCCAAAGTTGTCCACGAGGGCTGTTCCGATGCCATTCTTTTCCATAGGCTAGTGTCCAGCCCCGCCGTCAAGGTGTCTCTCTTTCGAGGAAGGAACTTAATAGGAAAAAATCAGGAGAGAAGAGAGGCCTTTTATACACCTCTCGGGCCCTCTCAAGCATCAATCGACGCTTCAGCTTTGGTCACGAATAGTGAAGAGCATTCAAGCTTTTAAGACGAAACATGCTCTTCACTGGCTTCTCTAGTCATCCCTACGTTGCTAAATCTAGGATCGTCAACTTTTGGTTTGAAGTGGCGCTTGAGTTCAATGATTGGGTGTTTTACGCGTGTGAAGAAGTCTGGTATCTGGCCTATTGGCATCGTGAAACCCCGAGTTTTCCTGAATGCATGGTGTCGAGTGGCATTGAGGGGCAACGGTACGTGGATGAACGGCATATCGTTCATGTATCTACATTTCTACGCTTTCCCTAGCAAGTAGTCGAGTTTCCCCATCATCCTTTCATTCAATGCAGGACAGTGATTTTTTGTATTAAGCAATTTCCTTATTGATCCGTAAGAAAGGCACTCATTCGGACTATCGAAATTTGGTATGATATTCTCATGAAATCTTATTATATATTCAGTACACATCAGTCTCCACCACACCGTCAGGCACATACCTCACCTCCCCATTCGCCATATGCTCCGGAAATTTGCCCTCCTCATGCGGCACCAACTCAAACAAAATCTGCGCGCTCTTCACCTGCGATGTCCACTGCTCCGAGTACTGCTCAATACAATACAGCGCATCTCCCAACATCCAGAACTGCATCTGCACCGGCGCCGCCGCAAATTGCGTCAGCCAGAACCGAATCTTCGGCCTCTTCGCTATGGCTTTATACTGGCGCGTTCCCAGGATAGGAGGCACGAGACTGTAGTCATCGAAATTCCGGTCTTTCATGTATGCCTTCAGGTCGCTTGTAAGCGCTTCGACGGCGTAGCCGTATTGCCGGGTGGAGATTGTCGGGTCCGCGTAGTTGCGGAATGTGGTGTCGACACGCTTGTATTTCCCCGTTGGATCGCTGGTCTCGCAGACGAAGGGGAACTCGAGGTTTACTGTTGCGGAGGTTGTGTTCGTGGTTTGCCGGATACGGATGTTTGGGAGGGTCGGGTTCTCCGCCGGCACTTCGAGCAGAGCACAAAGAGATGGGGAGAGCAATAAAGATGGCAGCAGGCATACAACGCATTTTTGGAACTGCATGATGTGTGCTACGCTTAAAATGCTGGCCACTCAGATTCGATATTTCCACTTTCTACACTTGCAGAGGACGGCATCTCCGCAGCAGTCTGCTACTTCATATAGCACAAGGTCCAATCAAGCGCCTGTCCATATGCAGAACATCTCAAGTAAACGCAACCCCACGTTTCGGAATAGGATATCGTTGTTGTCTTGAACATTTACTAAATTTGGTTGTACGAATGGTCGAGGGAAGCGCCAGCCGCTCGTTTGCGAGCATGCGATATGAGAGTGCAATAGCGTCTCACAGTGACTGACACATCACAGAAGTGTTAGTGCATATCATAATCCGGTGGGACACTAGGGTCTTGCGGATTTGGGACAAGTAGAAGTAAATTCGGTGGGTTTTTATGCGTGCTTTCGCTAAAAGATCAATTGCAAACAGGAGCTGAGTTAGTGATTGTTCCCGCAATCATAGGTCAATAGAGGAGACATGTATGACGAAACAGACATCTTTGCTCAGGAGAGTTGATCGGCACTTTCTCAAAAGCCTCTGCGCAGAATAATCCTGATTAGATGGATGATGGTGATCGACCAACTATGAATATTCCCTTACAAGAAGAACGATCATGATAATTTTCGTAGCATAACAGCATGACCCCAGAAAGCCCAGTTTGCGTTTCGACGAACGTACAAGGATAGAGTGATTTTCTCGTGAGTTGGGACTGGAAGGCAGCCGATTGCATTGACGACTTCTAGAGCTAGTCCACATGTTCTCTGAGCACGCCATACGCCTAATGTCTCTGCTATACATTGTCCCTAAATGGTCCTCGATCCACAGCACTGTTTGCATTACTCAGTAGCCTCAACCTCAAGTCACCATCAATTAGCTGCCACTACATATCCCTCTTAATCACTATAACCTTATACTTATCGTAAACATCCCGTATATCCTCCCTCTTAACCAAGCAATCTCCATAGTGCTCCACAAAATCGACCACACGCTCCTTACGGCCGCACCAAAGACAGGTCAATCGAGCATTCCGCCAATTCGTAGCATCTTCCGTATTGTCTATCATCTCAATGATCCCGGGATCTTCGGCGGGTAATTTCTGACGATATTCGGCTGAACCCTGTTCCATGTCTCCAGGAATCTATGGTAGCGAACGCACAGTTCGTCGAAATGTTGTTCGCATTGACGATGATCGTGGTGGGTCTGGTCGTTCATGGTCCAGAAGTGCTCCTCGACGCCAGCGATTGTGGTCGTGAATTGGCATCCTGGGGCAAGACATTGCAGTTTGTTTTCATCGTCAAGTGTATTTAGACTTTTTATCTGCTGGATGCGGTCAATATTTGATTGGTCATGGCGGTGCAGCTCCCAGTGGCGGACGCGGTGCGCTCTATATTGAGTCTGGTATTCGCATCTTGGGAACCCACAGCGTGACATGTTTGTGGGGAGTTGAATGATACGTCGCGAGTTTTGATCAACCCCTGGCCAGACGCAGAGGTCACAAGAAGACAATTTTTGAATGTGCGATTTGACCGGTATTCAGGGTGGAGGAACAGAACAAAGAGAATGTCCTTGTGAGCCCATTTCTTATGGAAGGACGAGCACAATGCGAGACGGCGGTACAAGACTCGAACACCCTTCGTACGTGAAACACAACTGCCACTGGCTGAAAGACGTGACTTATGTCTGTTAACTCTATTCTTCACAGAAACTGTAAGGGATTTTGAACAAATGTGAAGCGCACGTAAAATTAAGAAAGCCGACGACGAGTGACAGATACTCCAACAGGCATTCATGAAGGCACATGATCCATCAGCAGCTACTCAGGGAGTGAACATAGCGATAGGGCCTCCAATGTATCCTTTCGCATTCTGATGTGGTTTCTGTTCACTACTTCCGACACAAACTCGAATAATTTTGAATCACTTCGCGGACTTCAAAAGATTGCTGCGTCTGGAAGATATGTTCTTGTTAGAGAAAACATCTAGGTGAGAGTCGTATTGGCAAAGAAAAACGTCTAAGCCACGCAAGATTTAAAGCTTTACGCTCTCGCTTTTATGCATTTGGCATTTTCTCGCGTTGAATGACATTAGGTTGGCGGTCAGCAAGTAGTTATAAGTCTGACTCCAAATGTCTAGTAATAAACCATTGAGACTGTGAATGTGGTCGCTTTGTCATACCATTTTTCATTAGAGACGGTAGGTGAGTGGCATCTGACCATGCTCGCTGATAATGCTTTCAAGGCCGTCAAAAGACGTTCATAGAGAATAGAGAATATTGAACCAAAGTTGTGAAATGCTGCAGGCGATACCAGCTAGAGAGCCAAAGGGGTATATATTGAATAGCTATCAAAGAACCTTTGAAATGACACGTTTAGCGACGCGATGACAGTGTTCCTCCGCGAAAATATCATTGCTAGACAATCTATAAATTCGGCCAAGAAGAAAAGGGGGCGAGCTTAGATAGCGCTCTCCTTCTTACTAACTCCACCCTTCTCGCTCCCACTGCTCTCCTCGTCACTGTGCCGCCCGCCTCCAATAACTGCCAAGACTCTGTCTTCACCAGCTGCCTCCTTGATATCGCTATCAGCGTGAACGCCAAAGTCTTTACCCAACTTTTCGGGCCCGATCAATGCCAGGACAATGACATACGCGAAAACGCAACCCATGAAGATGCAAATCACTTTGCCATATTCATATCGCTTGGTCTTGCCCTTTGGCGGGAGTGGGAATCTCTCTCCGATAGTAGTCTCTATAGTGCTACTCGCGCTGCTTACCAGGTTGCCAAGCTGATATGAAGTCCCAACCACAAAGGTACGGAAAGAGCCAGGAGAAAGTTCCATCAAGTGGATAGGGATGACACCCCAAGCGCCCTGTACGCAAAACTGCTCGAAGAAGGCAGCGGCCATGATCTTGTGGCTACCAACGAAGCTGTATGGGTACAACAATGCCCCACCAATGATGGATATGAAGATAATGCTGAATCTTCGCCCAAATATCTGGCTACAGAAGCCGATGACCGTGCCGCCTGTCATGGCGCCAAGATTGGCAACGACCTGTGTGACGGTGACAGCGTCGGCGGAGAAGCTGTATTGATTTTTGAGCATGAGAGGGTAGATATCCTGCGATCCGTGGGACATGAAGTTGAAGCCTGCCATGAGGAGGACCAGGTAGAGGAGGAGGAGCCAGTGTTTTCGCAGGGCAACCTTGCCTTCGGAAAGGAAGGTTGATGTGACGCCTCCTGATGCCTTTCTGACCGCCGCTCGTTCTTGGTATGACTTGGTCTCCGGTAATGCAAGGCGAAAGAGGATGATCAGAACGGGAGGACCTGCGCCAAACCAGAACAGGGGCCTCCATCCGTGTGATGTTGTATCTACCAGACCTCTTGCGAAAGCGGCGGCCAATAAGTAGCCAAATGCGTATCCTTGCTGTAACATGCCCGATATCAGACCTCTGGCTGCTTCTGGACAATCTTCTAGCGCCGTTGCTGCTGCATTGCCGTATAGACCGCCCATGGCTATACCAAACAGCGCTCTGCATGCTAGAAATTGGCTGTATGTATTGCAGAAGCCTGTCCCAAGCTCGAGAATGATGAAGAGGATGTTGTTAACGATGAAAGGCCACTTGCGACCATATCGATCGGCAGCAATGCCTGAAAAATAGTTAGATGGGGAAGATGGAAATGATGCTGATTCGTACCAAATATGACACTTCCCACAGAGCGAAACATCAGCACCAAGGTGATGCCCCATGTGATATCTGCATTGGTATATTCTTTCTCTGGCGTGCTGAATTGCTCCGCTAGTTCCTCCACTGTGAGTGAGACGGTGAAGAAGTCAAATGCATCCCAGGTCCAGCCGCAAAACCCGACAAGGAAGAACATCCATTGCTGGAAATTGAGCAGCGCGAGGAGCTTGAATGGGTTGGGCGCCTTATGCATTGGTGGTTTGAGAGTCGGAATGCGAGTAGCGATGTAGCGGCCAATGGACATGCCTTCGTAGTCGTCATCGCTGTTGCGGTAAGGCTTGAGCTCGCCGCTGCCGGCTTTCTCGTGTTCCATGCTGTCGGTTGACGAAGGACGTAGCTAGGCAGGAGGCCTTTGCAAAGGAAGAAGAAGAAGAATTATATCGCGCGCATGCCCGCGCTGTCGATCCATTACGACGGCAGCTGCGGGGAAAAGGCCAAGACGAAGATGGCCCCTGCATAGTGATTGGCTGAGGTCTAGCGAGGTATTCGGATGGTCGTAGCGGCACGTGTGCAATGCGACTCCCATATGTCCGGTGACGATGTTTTATTGTATGTTGTATGTTGTATGTTGATGGACGAAGTGGAATAGTCTGCTCATTCGAGTCTGACCCAAGACCTTGGATCTAACGCTCTCGCAGATTGCGCCATTGCCGTATTCGAACACTCGGTGCCCGGCACTCAGTCTGGCCTTTCAGATAGTTACTCTCTGCGCGAATGAGTCCGTATCTAAAACTTTGAGCTCGTTCACTCCATAGATGAACGAAAGAACAATGCACAGAAGTCTTACGACTCGCTTAAAGTCAATTGACCCTCGCAAATGCACGAAATTGCTCCGACGTTGGCCTACGATTGTCTCCCACCCGAGCTACCTTATGGTCTGCCGTAGCCAAGTGGAATCGGCATCGGATGAATTATCCTAACTTCTAGCAATCTTTATAACGACGGATCTGCGAATCTTCCTGTTGCGTCTGCGCGACGGAGCACCTGATCCATTTTCCTCTGATGATGGACAAAGCACCTCCTTCTAGAATCCTAGGAATGGGACGGGTATTCTCCCCGAAAATGACAGATAATCTGTCCGCGCAAGCTGATGCCTGCTGGCCATGGGTTGCACCCGGAAGCACTCATGCATATAAGAGGGCGGGGGAAGCTCCTCAGCTTGACATCAACCACATTCCTCTTCACTGCTTTTGACGTTCCTCAAGACATACGTCTCAAACCAACCGCTGCTTCCATCCAGCTATCACAGTCTCAATTGTGCCTACACATCAATGGCAGATACCAAACCCCTCCTAGCCTTCTACGGCGCAACCGGTGGCTCATGTCTTGCCTGCCTAGCTCCAGCCCTCAAGGCTGGCTATACATGCACAGCGCTCGCTCGCACACCCTCTAAGCTCGAGACCGCCCTTCGTGAGAAAGGCGTTTCCGACTCCGCCATCTCCTCCTACCTCCACATTACCAATGGCGACGTCTATGATCTATCAGCCGTGAAAGGGCCCCTCTCACACGATGGCCGCACTGCCTCCACAGTCTTCTCCGGTCTTGGCGCCTACCAGATGACTGGAGAGATCAAGATCTGCCAAGATGGTGTCGGGAAAATCTTCGAGGCACTGAGGGAGCTGAAGACGGCCGAGAAGCCAGTGTTTGTGGCACTATCAAGCACTGGCCTTACAAGGGGTGGGGAGAAGCGAGATCTGCCATATGCGATGTACCCAATGTACCATGGGTTGCTGAAGAAGCCACACGTCGACAAGATCAAGATGGAGGATTTGGTCATGGAAGAGGCGGGGAAGGGAGAAAGTGTGATTGGAGGGTATGTGCTTACGAGAGCAAGTCTGCTCACGAATGGTAAGGGCGGAGGAAAAGTGAGGGCGGGACCGGAGAACGAGCCGGCGATTGGGTATACGATTAGCAGGAATGATGTTGGGGAGTGGATGTATAAAAATCTTGTCAAGGGAGACAAGGGGAAGTGGGTTGGAAGGAAGGTCTCTTTGACTTATTGAGTAATATCGCGATCCATGCGTATCTATGGGGCTTAGTCTTCTCCCACTCCACTAATAATATTGATACCCTTTTCAACTAACATATACCTCTATATGACAGAGCCGCGCGCATATGACCCACATTGCTTATTAGCCAGATGAATGAACCTCGTATCTAGCTCTGTAGATCTAATTCTATGACTATTCCATCCAAGGCTTCTCAGAGATGACGTAGCAAACGCCAAGCACGGCCAAGATCCAGAAAAACCCTCCAAAATCAACTTCCAATTGCCCCAAAAAGTCATTTATGCTCCGACTGATGAAGCACAAGTGCCGTAAAGAGCTAAAAAAATTGGAGCGGCGGGGAATCGAACCCCGGACCCCTTCCAAGCGGAGATGTAGCTTTTGATGGCTACGGCTTGCTAAGGAAATATTATACCACTAAACCACCGCCCCATGAAAATATAGTTCTTTATTCTTTTATATATACCTTGAGAAATTAGGTATGCTTCGTCTGCCAGATTCGCAGCCGCCTGATTGTTGATATCAACATCTTTTGATGCGGGACCTGTTGCGTTGATATCACAAGACAACCTAGTAAGCTCTCGGTGACGTATTGTTTCACATGCCAGATTCAATGAAGGAAAGTGCTTAATGACTTCTGTCTCGATCTTGCTAGGAAGTGTGAAGGGCGAGATATCTTGCACCTAACCAAGGCGATCCGTGAATGGGATAACTTGTGAAAGAATGTGTGAAGATGCAGTGAAGCGGAAGCGTTCCAAGACGTGTGAAGCAAGAAATCCTTAAACATTCCTCTGTGTATGTCTAAGACAATGAGAGGGTATGACATTCAATATATACTATCCACACAGCAGGCCGAGTATATAAACCCCCGTCTTTCCCCTTCAAGTCTTCTTTCTTTTCTACTCTTCACCTTTGTAAATATATATACTCTGGAGGTGGGAGCAGATCCACTGTCGTCTCCTTGCTCTCTGTAATGCAGCCGCAGAGTACATCTTGCCCTCTCTATTAACAGTAGGACATCACAGAACTCATCTCTTCAATCGCCGAAGCCATGAATCCGCTTCATGAAATACGAGCCGTAGCTCTTACTGCGTTTTCTGTTTACAAAATATCCCGATAGCGCATCCGCAACTCGCGGTACTTCAAAGAGGAAGGACAGCAGATTTGCGTCCACTCTCACAGACAAATTTCTTAAGCAGCAACCACTTCCGAACCAGATCTCTCGATATTTAGGACGTAAAGAAACCATCAGTACACATCAGGCGTCTGCGTGAGGAGCGCGTTGACCTACCAGAGACAAAGATTCAGTCTAGTCCGTCGAAACATGAAAGAAATGTCACTCGTTGTTCTGCTAAACAACCCGCGCCTCCACCCATGCCGGTGGACGCTGCAGCGAGTGTGGCGATATCGACGCGATCCAAGCGAGAGAGTCAACTTTTCGACATGAAATAGCATACATAGTGCGTAGCGCTGAAATCTAGGGCGCGAAGTCCAGGGCCAGATTTTGACAGACTTTTGGTTTTAAATATATATGTTAACTATCCTGCTGTAGCGGAGACGGCAAAGTGGTACTCGCAGCGCTCCCAGCACCTGATTGCAAGATATCTTCCCTTGCACGAACACCACACTGTCACGTACTCGAAAGCTGAGGGGTAGCTCGAAAGGCGAGCGCGAGCTCCAAAACCAGCTTGGCAGACATGGCTAAGTGATGTCAACATCGACGCCTTTCTCGACAACTTAGTTGCGGCCTATCGAATAAGCCGAAATGCTTGCAATCGAATTACTTCAATTCAGAAGGCGAAGGATTCGCCTGAGCAACAAAAAGTTCTCCATCGAATCAGGTTCAACTCAACTACAACTCAAGTAGCATTTCTGTCTTACAGCGTCGAGAATCACCGCTTACTGTTCGCGGTCGAGCCAAGCAGGGGGAAAAGCCGTTGCTACGCTTCATGGAAGTTGAGCAGACAACTACATCGATACAAGGATTTTCAACACAATCGGAATCTCTTATCGAGCGCGTTGATGCTCCGCTGCAAGGAGACGAGAGCGACTGTGGCCTCAGAGCACACAAAAGGCTTAAAGAGGCGGAAGGTTTGGAGGAGGTCATGCAAGAAACTACGGCGAAGCAAGCTCCAAGCTGGACATTGTCAGCACGAGTCAGGATGGCATCGACAAGCGCTACGGAGCCGGACACGACAATCACCACTCCATGGTGCAAGTTGGAACTCTTCACGCCCTACATCAAGTGTCGTTTATGTCAGCCTGCGACACCAGAATGTCCTATCCAGGCTTCTCTCTCGACAAACGTGACACAGAGCCGGATCAAAACAATAACCACCACGATGCCAGGTAACCTAGACAATCACTACGGAGCCAAGCAGTACCAAAACCCACCACGCGTGTTGCCACTTTCAATACAGTCGTCTTCATTGCAACCATTTTCCACTCTGACCTTAATAAGGCCATGCCAGATTTTTGGCCTTCCTTACGGTCAGGATGATCAGTTGGTGGGGCCGTGTTCGAGCGGAATATCGTCCCCTGCCTATAGGACTGACTTTAAGGGTTGGATAAAACGGCTTTTTGTTGGTATCATGGCGTGATTGTGTAGCTGAAGTGGGGAAAGGGGGTTCTTCTGACGATCTGCCATGGGATAGAATACACGCTTTACAGCGAATGTATACGATGGTCTTCATGGGTTTGAAGTGGGGGTGTGAAAGGCTGGGATAGATACGCATACTGATTGTTTTGATGACGCGGTTAGGAGATTCGGGGGTTGGGGGTCGTGATGGGGTCTGAGGGGACAAGATAAATGCCAGGGCGAGGCGATATTGTGTTATTTAGTACGCCTTCATTACTGCTCAGTGCTGTGAGTGTTAACAGTAGGAGGTAGATATATCAATTAGGAAAGGAGTGAAAGTTGGAGGGGAAGAACCATATTCATTCGTTCCACCAAGCTCCAGGCTCCAGGCCATTTATCCTTCTATCGCACAACTATCTGTCAAAAGATCCGTCGATTCTACGAAAAACAAAAAGGTATATTCCTTTGCCCCCCATTAATTTTGCCCCCAATTACAGTTACATATAAAACTTCATAGCCTCCTCATACCCGGCTCCCTTCAGATCCTTCGCAAACACATTCCCCACCGCCAGCACCTGCAGCATGTGTTTCATGCCCAGCTTCTCCCCGCTGATCAATGCCACGCTCTGAGCAGTACGGACTGCGTTCTTGATCTCGCGGCCATTCAGCTCGTAGGAGGCTAGGCGCTTCATATCTTCATCACCGAATGCGCCGGGTTCGACGCCATGGGAGCGCCTAGCTGGCTCTTTGGCGTCCGCCTTGGACTTGACCGGGACGGTGGAAGAAGATGCGGCGACGGCATTGTTCGTAGGAGCGGGAGTTCCAGCAGTGATGATCGGCGCGTCAGGAGAAGTAGGCCCCAAAGCACGAACCTTCTCGATAAAAAGCCTCCAGATCGCTTTCCGGGTCTTGATATCGAGTTCGCCATAGCGAAGGCCGATATGAATTCTGCTTGTAAACGCGGGATCGAAGCATTGGACACGGTTCGTGGTGAGGAAGAGAATGCCTTGGAAATACTCGAGCATGCGCAGGAAGATGGAGACTAAGGCGTTTCGGCCCAGGTCGTAGTTCGTGCGGGCTTCGAGGAAGACGTCTGCTTCGTCGAGGAGGAGGATCGCGCCCCAGGTGTGGGCTACGTCGAGGATAGTGGTGAGGTTGTGCTCGACGTCGCCGCCTTTGATGCCGAGTTCGCCTACGCTGACGGCCTGGAGTAGTCTCAGTATTAGCGATGAGGCTGCAGATAAAACACTGTCAATTCATAGGGTTTGATCAGACTTACATATAACGGTTTCCGGAGTAGTTCAGCGATACCTTCCGCTGTCAGTGTCTTGCCTGTCCCTGGAGGACCGTGTAAGACAGCAACCAATCCTCGTCCCTTGCCTTGAATGACGTCGTCGATATTGTTGTTCCCTTCGTACTCGTGGCTCTCCACTAAGGCTTTGACGATAGTCTTTTGGTCATCAGGAAGGATCAAATTGTCGAACGCGCTGTCATTCCATTGGATATCGGAAATACCCGAGACAGCGAATTCAAGCCAAAGTTTCTCGCTGAAGGAGAATCCGAGGGTTACCGGCGAGGCAATGAGGTAGTCGGTGTCTGTGAAAGTGTACGCAGGTTCGTCTGTGGTGGTCGCCTTTTGTTGCGAGATCGATTTAGATTTTGCCCTATCGTTATTGAGTGGGAGATCTTCTAGCTCAGGGGCAAGTTGCTCGCTCTCATCAACTGTGACTTCGACATAGTAGACTTCGTCCGGATCATCAGGGTCTTGAAAGGCTTTAAGTTTGCGCTTTGGCTTCTTCTTCTTCTTATGTGAGTGACTGGCCAACGGGTCAGATTGGGAAGCACGGTCATCAGAGCTCGAAGAAGTCTCGTTGATCTCTTCAACTTCTGCGTCAGAGGCTGGGTCGTCGATGATGTCTTTGTCAGGGGGCTTGACGTTTGAGAAGGGATAATTTGGGCGAAGTCGGCGGAAAGTGGCTGGATCGATCATTACGCGGCCGTTGACGAAGACTTTGATTATTTTACAGTCTTTCTGAAGGATATTAGCAAAAGGAGAGCACTTGAGTGGACCAAACTTCCTTTGTAATATGCTATGCCTTTCTGAGCCTTGTATTGCTTCCCTTTTAATGCAACAAATTTCTTCCCACGCTCTATGAGCGTCTGCTTGAGCTGTTCGTGCTGTGGATGGTATTTGAGCGGGTAAACAGTAAGGCTGGTGATTGGACGGACGCCCGAAAAGTGCTTGATATCTAAGGTAGTGCTTGCTATGCCGAATCGCTTTCCATCATTGTCTAAGAAGCGCGTATCGATGTCGTAGTACTCGCCTTGGAGAAGGCTTTTCTCCTGCAAACCGTTAGATCTTGATGCTGGTATGGAATTGATGCACATTTACCTTGCTCACGTATGCCACTTTCGCCGCTCTTGGTTGCTCATCGTGCCCGTAAGTGCTTGTGTAGACAATATCATTACTCTTAAACAGAGCCCACACTAGATCGAAGGTGATACGTCCCTTTTCTAGTAAAGGGTAAAGTGTCTTTTTCGTCTCCTCATAATCTTTGTCTAGGTAGTCAATGAGCACTTTGAGATGTTTGCTGGCCTGCTGCAGCTTTGCCTTGATAGCTTTTTTCCTTGTTTGCTCTATCTTCATTTTCAACCCCTTCCGATAGGCACGTAACTCTTCAAGATACAGGAAAACCATGTTAGGATTGACAGCAGGCTTGTCCACCTCGAGTGAGATACCTGACTCTGTTCCCATGACGTAGAAGAGCGCATGCTTGAGTGGTTTGCTGAGAATATGGAGAGACGTATCTAGATAGCGGTTCTGATGATCCATACGTCGTACGACATTGAAAGCGTATTCTTCATACTTTTCAAGCTTATCTTCTTGAGTTGATGGCTGTTTGATGAATCGATATTCTCGCTGCGACCACACTTTGTCAAGTCGAACAAACTCTGGCTTCGAGCCCTTGGCTACATTAACGCTATCGTCGGAGCCTGTCTTCTTTGCATTCGCTCCTCTGTCTCTAGAAGTAGTGGCTGAAGAACCGCCGCCACCACCGAAACGGAGAGCTTCGAGCTGAGAGATAGCGCATTTCAAAGGATCGTTGTGAGATACCACCACTGTCGCCGAGGATCCCACGGGTGTTTCCATTCTGTCCGACTGAGATTCTTCTGTGTCGTCTTCAGAATCTGAAGACTTTTCATTACTACTTGAAGTATCTAGCGTGTTCTTGACAGCTGCCTTTTTCGCCTTGATATAGCCATCTTTTGATTTCCTGCTTTTGACCTTTTCCTTCTTGGCTACCTTTGCCTTGGCAACTTCGCCTTCGGATGAGGAAGAGTCGCTATCCGTAGTATCTGCCTTAGCTTTTTTGGACGGCTTCTTCATGTTCTTTGACTTAGTTTTCGAGTCAGCCTTCCGCTTCGTGCGCTTCTTTAAACGAAGTTTCTCCTCCTCTGACGAGTCTGAAGATGTGCTTCCTTCTTCGCTGTCTTCGGTATCTTTGGTCATGTTCGCCTTTTTCACGGTCTTAGGGTGATTATTCTCGATTTTCACCCATTTGGTAGGCTTTGAAGATGTCCCCAAGCTTTTAGTCGATTCCGATGGTGTCTTTACGTTTGTGGCTGTGAAGTCAGTCACACGCTTCCAATCACCTCCAGGGCCATTTTTGGACGTTTCAGTATTCCGTGCATAGCTGAAGACCTGCAATCCGATACGCTCAGACATCGTCGCCAATTTGACATTGTATACCCATGTTAACGCAGGCTATCAAGTATAAACGCTTTTCGGCCTCTAGTTGCATAGCGTCGCTCAACATACCCCCTTGCTTATTTTCAATTCAAATCCAAAGCCCCCTTGAACATTAAAGTTGTACATCCGTGACCTCCCATATACTCCCAGAGCTCCTGCGCAACGCAGGCTACTACCTGACTACAGATTTTTCAATCCAAAATCAATGGACATGCTCAGTCCCATTTGCCATATTGCTTAACTTGCTGTAACACTGACCTCCTTCGGCAACCCAATACAAGCTCTCAATTCCGCCTTCTTCTCGCTGGCTCCCAACCCCAGCACCTTCACATCTAGCGCCTGCAAGATCTGTATGACCTGATGTTGTGCCATTGTCTTGATGTCCCTCTCGTGCTTCGGAAACTGCCTTACCGCTCTATTGGTCCCCACGTCGTGCAGTGGGGTCAAGGTGGTATGATTGGGATTGGCTGACTGTGCGAGATGCGAATTATTTGTGCGAGCGACCGCATTATGTTCACTGGTAGCGGGAGTCAGCACGAGCGAAGTAAGGGAAGGGGGCCAGGGGCGTGGGGACAATAAGGATGAGGCAGGGGCGACAAACTTCGCTTTCACACGTAGCTCGAGCTCGGTGTTTCGCTTCTCTAGTGCTTCCTTTGATGTTATAAGGTTCTTTATCTGCTCTGCTTGCTTGTGCTTGGCTTGGGTGAGGTCATTAGCTTGAGCTTGCAGATTTTTGACGCTTTCGGAGAGGTTATCGAGGATATGCCGTTCTTGGTATGCTCGTGCCATGGTGGGACAATGGGTCGCGTGTGGAGACAAGGGCTATCGAGTAAGACCGTGGAACAGAAGAGTCAATGGCAAAGAAGAGGTATTGGGATGGTCGTTGCAAGAAAGTTGGCAGAAATGGTTCAAATGGCTGGTAGCTTCCTTATCGATAAGCCTGACGTCACCCCTGAATTCGCCTTGTTGGTCTGGCCCGTATGGGGCTGTATGCAACGTTTCAGGTATATGCGCAAAACGAGAAGAAGAGGAGAGAAGAGAACAGAGTGGCTGTCGTTGTAAAGAAATGAAGTACAGGAAATCAATCAAGACCAAAGTCATGTAGAAGATTTTCCTATTGAAAACTGCCTAAAACATCTTTGCCAACCGGGATATGCTTCCTTGTCCAGAAAACGCCAACCTGCAGGGTACCGTTCGCAAACATGCCACTGCTCACAGTATCTATCAATGTGTATGGGAATCATGCTCATAACCTCTTCCCCGTCCTTTCAAGCGAAAGTCGTTGATCTTACTCCTCCCTTCCTCGCTATGCAGAATAAGACCGGAAGACCGAATGTGAAGTGAATGTGTGAAAGGCAACGAGGGATTTCGACGTTGTTCGGGTTGGGACCATGATGTTGGAAGTGTTGATATGGAAATGAAATACTGTTGAGAGGATGCCGTTCTCTATCCACTGATAGCACTCTGGACATCTCCTTGTTGGTGGAGGTTTTGCGCGCTGGTATCCAGGTAGCCTCCGAAATCATATGACCCTCGCGACTGGGTCAGCCCTGGTGTGGCCTGCTCATGTGTGCTATATGGGTATGTCTCAGACAGGCTCGGCAATCGGTTGCTGCTTCCGTGATCGGAAACGCTTCTCGACATGTCACTCAGAAGCGAGGCAGCATCGTGCGATGAATAGAGTGCAGCATTGGAGGTATTCGCACGAGGTCGCTTGTATGGCCGACCTCCCTCATATGCACTTGCGGAATTCATGCGGTGATGATAAGCCGACGCACCATAGGGGCTGCTCTGCATTGACGAAGGGAAGTAATTTTCCGTATAAGGGCTCGGCGCGTTCGACATATTGTACTCCGAAGCAGCTAAGCTTGGTAGTGGGGAGCCGGCATCATTGTATTGACTTGGTATACCGTGCGGGGACATCGTGTTGGACCGCAGACTCGAGGCATAGGCAGAGGCATTCCCGTCAGAAGCTGAACGTGACAGGGTCGAGTACCCAGGCGAATCATAATGATAGGAGACGGTGGAGGTTCGTGGCGTGCCAAGTGCTCCAGCAGTGGATGAATAGCTGGCGGACTGTTCGCTGTCAGCGGTGGTTCCTTCAATGGATCTAAGTCAACTTACATATTTGGAAATGATCTTCTTCAAGGCGTGGCCGAGGATCTTCCATGGGAAGACCTTTACATCTTTCTCAATATTTCTGGGCTTCGGAGCGGGAAATCCCATGATGATCTTGAAGAATTCTTCACTGTCTGCCTTCCCTTTGGATACGGTCTCAGGATGAAAGCCTTCAAGGTTGCGGCGAATACGATTCTTCTCTTCGACTGTGAATCTCAGAGCAACAAGTTGCTCCAGGAGGTAGATCGTATCTACACTCGTGACGAAACATTCTTGGCGCTCCTCCCACCAGATACAACTGACACAGATGCTGTTTGGCTGGCGTTGCTCGGCAGTCACAGGGTCGAAGGTGGCATTGATCGTGCTCTTCTGCTGCGAGCGCTGAAATTGGACGAGGCGGCGCTTGTTCTGCCATTCCTCTGTGGACCAACCTTCTGTCATGCTGTTGAGGTCACCTTGTATCCTCAAGACCGCCTTTTGAGGATATATGTAAGGATTGAAGGTACTTGTGCCTGTTGAGGGATTGGCGCTCGGGCTCCCCTGTTGGAGTGTAGTCGTCCTCACCAGCATTGGCTGAGACTCTGCAGACGACAGAGACAGGGATTGTGTTTCGCCACCGAAGTTGGGGCTACGTCCGCTCGATGTTGTGAAGTTAGGGCTCCAAGCCGAGGCCTGTGATCCCATTGGGCGAAGTAGAGATTGTGATGGCAATTGGGTTGGTACGGAGTACGGATCACGTTGGCGTTGGAAGGATTGGCTCCGGCTCAGAGGTGCGAATCTTCTCGAGCTAGTATCCACCTCGACCGAGTGTAAACTGGAGGGATATGCTACTGGAGAGGCCGATGTGAAAGGGTAGCTGCTCTGCGTACGACTAGACGCACCGATCTCTTCCTCATCTGACATCTTTCGCTTTCTGCTGGTAGGATGTGGTGAAGAATAGTGTTGGCCCGCTCTATATTCAAATTGGCCAACATCCACAGTGCTGGCGTCTTGGCCCGAGCTGTCCTGCATATGCAGTTGAACCTGAACTTGAGGAGTCGTGGACCCGGTCTCCGAGTATTGAGGAGCACTCGCAAGGATCATGTATTCGAAGAGCCCGCCTGTTGTTTCCAAACGTGTTGCATGCGCAGTTGTGTGTTTTGAAGCGAAGCTCAGTGTAAGAGTGAAATTCTCAAGTGTATTCTCCGACCGAACATATACATTCACTGGCTCACCACTGGTCCCTTGTGAAGGGTTCAGTGACTTGACCTCTGGACTCGCACGCACGTCGAAGTCAGACAACTCCCCGGGAGAAGCGCCATATGTACCGCGAGGCTGGTCCGAAACGCTTGATCCGTAAGTCTCTTGGTCAGAGTTCTGGTTGTATGCCAAATCGTTTTGTTCTTGTACGTCTTCGTTTTCACGTTGCGAGAAAAGACGCTCAAACGAGGCTTGGGACGGTCGGGTAGAACTATATGGAGCACTCGCTAGAAATTGGTAAGTGTCCTTATCAGTGTTCAGGCCTAGCATATGGTTAGTCCTTGACCTGCCTATAAATAACCTCGGTGGGAAGGATCATTCGGGCAGTATGATGGAACCTCAAAGAAGTTCCGTGGACCGAACTGGCAAACAACAACGCAATCACTTACCATCGATGCAAGCATTTTCATCTTTGCCATCGCATCCCGACATAGACAGCAACGCTGTCTGATAGTCAGGCTTGGCCAAAAGACCACCGCCTTCCTGCTTCAACGCCAGTGACTCGGCCAGATCGTACCGTTCACCAACAATAATTGGCGAGTGCCGGTTCTAAGAACACGATGTCAGTCAATCTTTCAGTCCATGTTTCACGATATCATTCAACAACGCCGAAAACCATTCATCATTTACACGAGGCAAAGGGACTGTCAGTGTAGTGATTGTGACCGCTTCGGTAGATACATCGACAGTCCCACGCTGAAAGCTCACTCCAGATGAGAAATTCTTCGAATAAAGGGAAGGTCAAACTTACATCGATATCTGGGGGCGTTGGAGAATCCAGCTTGTCTGATTTGAAGGATTTGGGGTGGATGTAAGAAGAAGGATTTGGAAATCGAGTGTTCAAAGGATGTAAGGGCTGAGTGTTGAGGTGCCGAAAGAGTATGCTTTTCTCGTTCTAGCTACCCTTGCCGACGTTTGGTGAATGACAGTCAGCTCGATCAATATTCGGCAGATCTTGCTGGTTGAAGCTCTCCTGGCTTGGTCTCTCCGGACAGGAAGGTAATCTCGCAACAGTAAGATGGTCTTCAGTTTGTGCAGTGACCTGATTTGGTTGGATCTATATCATGGTCAGACATCCGATTGCCAAAGACGAACATGTGGAGACAGGCAGTCTGTGATTCACGTACGAAGGAGTGAAAGACCTTGCTCAGTCCTGACACTTGGCTTTGGTCTGGTGGCGAGGGAGGGGTCAAAACAACTTTGACGCAAGGGGAGAAGGCAGAGGTACCTTTTTGTGATAAACCTGAACCGGCTGACGACAACTCACCCCACGTCGAGCTAACCGACAGTTTCCATCATATTTTGGGAATCCTTTGACTACGCGGCTAAGCAAGATGTGAGAGGTCGCAAAGAACGATATGTGACCTAGCAGGCTAGCAGAGTTGATGCCTCGGAGAATTACGATAGCTAAAAAGAAAAACGCGACCAAATGCAAGCCTTCCAAGCGCGAAAAGCTATGAGCGGTCGCGGCAATATCTACGATATCGAGCGAGGCTTTGTGAAGCGCAACGATGGAGATGACGGGCAGCAACGCTTACAAACATAGATATTTGCAAACGCCGTCTAGCCGTGAAGGAGTGATAGTTCACGTACAAGCTTTCCTGCCGTCCTGATACACGGCTGATCAGTTGTCACCCATGCAGACGCTACCTTTTGATGTCAGGCCTTCGCAGGGGCCCTAGGGGCAGACCTGGCGGTGGCCTATGCGCCAAGGTTGAATCTGGAGAGCTCCTGGCTTTCCTTCTTCCCTTGAGGGCTGCATGGCATGCGAATGGTGCGACTTGGGATTGTGACTCGGCCCAAGTGGCTGCCATATTGGCCCTAAGGCTGGAAGAAGCGAGAAAGGTCTCGCTGAGCCTCCAGGCCTGTGATATGAGTGAAACTAGCGGGAGATCTTGTGACCTGCGTCCTCGACCCTTTGTCGGATATGAGCAGTCGGTGAATTTGGGAAGTGGCATGATGGCATGTCAGTGGTCAGATATTTTCGATGATGGGAGCAAGGGGGCAGGTCTTAATCTCAAACGCCAAGGATCGGTGGTTCGGGGGAGCCTAAGGGGGAGTCTAGGGCTTCCGGGGGCCCATTCCAAAAATAACCCGCCTAACCCCCCTGGAGCGTCGCTAGAACGGTCGCAACCTTAAACCCCCAAATCTCCTGCCTCTCGCCCTCTTCACCTTCTCTTCTATGCGTCAAAGCAGATCAGCCAAACACTGGTGCCGCCTCACTCCTGCCTCTCTCTTTTCTCCACGATGTCATCGATTCGCGCCTATGGGGCATTGGAAAGAGAGACATAATCCAACTGCACCGAACAGCGAATAGCCCTCGCCATGCATCTCCTGGGGGGGGCCATCGACCACGCTACCGGGACCGAAGAAGTTGCCAGCTGGGTCTACCCCTCCAGCGAAGAAGTGGGGAGGGAAATGTGATTGATGATATTTGAATGCAGTTTTATGACAGCCGCCAACGGCCTCCTGCATCCATTAGGGCTGACTTCATCATCTCGGGCCTTCTCCTGCCTCCACCACCGACCGCGCTCTCTGTCGAGGTCGTCTGGGGTACATCTAATCAAAGCATTACGCTAACGCCACGGACCACCACCAGCCGCATCGACCATACCGAGAGCGCCGCGTCGCAAATCAAATTGATACTAAGAATATCTTCAATCCTGGTATGATCGCCATCGTCGTGCGACAGTGCGGTACGCGAAAGCCAGTCCTGCGTGTACCTGCCAATCACTCTGATCGTTTCATGTTTTAGGCTCTGCGGCTCACCTCTCTCGCCAACGATTGCCGGGTCCCCATCTTTCGATCGGTCTGATGATTATGCCTTTGGCAGTAGTCGGTCTGAACCTTGCCGGCGAGGCAGTGTCTGGCTATAAATAGAAGCAAACAACCTGGTCTGTTTCCCGTCCCCCTTGCCGCTTTGGTCCGCCAGAGAAACGGAACAAGAAACTCAATCCCCACCACCTCACTTCATGAGACCACGAAGGGCAGTTTCAGGGCAGTTTCAACGAGAGCTGTCTACTTCCACCAGAAATGGCGTCGGCGGGACAAGCAAATGACCAGGTGCAGGACGGCGTCGTCAGAACTCGGCCCTGTCCGTTCGCTTTTGCCTGTATTCGACCTAATGCGTCATCGTTGACCTAATCAAAATAGCTATGAAGCGCGTATGTGCTAGCCGACCAATCTGTCCAGGCCATTTCAACCCTTTTCCCATCTCGCTGGAGGCTTTGAACTAGAGCAGGCATCCCACTTGGTTCGGTGCAATCGTAGGAGCTGCGGCAGAAGTAGAATCGGCACGCTGACGCTGCGTCAAGTCCGCGCCCAACCGGAGCCATAGTCCAAAATGATGCCGAAAGAATAGATGAAGCAAGCCATTATGCCGTGATGGATATCCCTAGTTTGATTGTTGCGGATGTCTTCATCATTGAGGCTGTGTGCCAACATTGACTCAGTTGAGTGCTAGATTTGGTCGCGATCAGTAGAAGAATATGCAGCCTTGACCCACAAGCGCGGGGCTACGGAAACCATTGGTAGCAGACTCCCAACGAAAGGGCCTTTTTCGTGGCTTTGGCGCTAGAGATTGGTATTTGCGAAGGCTAGTGAGGATGAAAGCACTTGCTTGGAAAGGGCGAAGCTGTGAAGGTCTCACAATGTAGCCAATGGCGCACCCTAAGCACTTGCCGCTCTGTTATTGGCTCACTTCGAGATCGAAGAGTAGGTTTCTCTTTCCGCTAGCTTTCGAGCACTGTCGAAGAATGCGCTCGCGATGTGATGCCCATACCGACTGGAGGAGAAGAGGGTTTCTCCAAGAAGTTCCGTGGGCATTCTCTGCGTCTAGTACTTTCACGATCGTGTTCTGGTAGTCTACATCGTACTGCGCTGAGAATGAACGAAAACGCCCCTGCCCGAGTGTGAATTGATCCAGACATTCGACTATCATCTTTTATCCAGATTAGGAAATTCAATACAATCTTCTACCTTGCGTTCTCCAAGACAGAAGAATGTCTTTCTTTCCACATCAAATACCCTAAATAAACGATGTGGACAACATGCTCCACAAGCCTATGCATGGGAATGCTCTGGTCGCTATCGTGCCGCTATTCTACATACCTATGTATCACCATTCTCATCTTGCATTCAAAAATGGCTCTACCACCCAGTTGTAGTAGTCATGCAAGGATATCTTGAATGAGCCTGGTCACTTTGATCAGGCTCCAGCAGACCATCCCTCCCACCCATTGAACCTTTTCCATCATCGACTAAAGCTTGAAAATCGAAGACTCACCGACATTGGTATCTGTCTCCACAAACCTTTCACTAGACTGATGCGATCGAATGAAGACGGATTATACTTAGGGAAAAGATGGCTTCTTCATTATTTGGATATCCAATGCCCATATACCGAAGTTGATGATTGAGCTCGCGGACTACCCTCCAAGATTGAAAGAGTATCCACTCGTTGCTTATCGACTCTGAGTGCGTGCATGATCCATAGCCCACATCGACGGCTTGTGAAATTAGTCTACAAAATGCGCACCCAGATGACACTTGTATTGGTGCCAATCAGGCATAGCTCTCTTTGAAGCCGCCTACTTTTTTTCTCAAGTACCTATGCTCTGACACTATCACCTGGCTACATGCATAATGATCACTACCATGAATCCAAACACAAGTTTCCACAAAAATGCGATCTCTGCCCAAGCTTTGTCTCGTTCGCGATGTTTGATGGTACAATGATTCAGCCGCAATGCCAATATCGACGAGAACAACATCACACAAACGAGGACATGTCACCCTTGGTCTCAACAAATACTGACTTGTTGATTGCAGTCCCTGGCAGAAATGCTCACACGATTCCGCGAGGTTACGTACGTCACTTAGCCTCACACTCAGATGTGAGAGACGAATGCTAACACCGTACCTAGATTTTCCAAAGTCGGACCATTCTCCCTCTTGGCGGACCTTTGTCCAAGAAAACCCCCCTTTACTCAAATCTTTAAAGATCCACCTCAATCAGTGCCTCACATGCCTCATGGAGGCCCCCGAAGGCTGCTCGCTATCCGACATCCAAAGCCCTGTCTCCTCATCCCTTACGCATAATATCAGCGCTAGTAATGAGCACGTCTACTGAGCCTGGGTTGGAACATCACTATCTACACTCCAGCCTACTCTATACGCTGCCATGGATTGGCCAATGCGAAGCATTGCCATCCTGGAAGAATTCCTCAATCACTCTCGAGAAGTTAACACCAACATCGATCTTTGGTTGGGCACTCTACGGGATTGGTCTGTGCTGAATTTGTTCACCTCTGAGGTGGTACGATGCACCTTCTCGTTTGGTCACTACGTCTACTTAGAGGTATTTTCTCTAGCAGCGTACATACCCTACGCCTTTCAGGAGCACATGCAGCTACATTCGCCTGGAGACTATGACCCAGGTGAAATACAATCAGGAGCCTTTTCTAAAGTGGTGTCCCCTGCCTACGACTTGTTTCCTCAGCCAAGATCAGTCATTGACTATCTTACAAATCCATACCCATGACCAGTGAAAAGATGTGGGAAATTTGAGTTGCCTCACCCTAGCAAGCAGTCCATTCTGAGGATTGTCTGTCGATTTCCTCACATTCCTGTTTTCTGGCATCCCCACGTGATTTTTGCACACTGCTGTTTTGTCATTGTTGAGCAGTGCTGAACTCCACGGGGCGTGAAGAGCTTGTGTCACATCGAACAATGCATGCATCTCTGTGAGATGATGTTGTAGGTCCTGGTGTCGACATTGCATGGTTCGCTCGACACCTGCAGTAAAAGACAGAGAGCCTCGTGCTTAAATTGGAGGGATTGAGTCTCTCCTCGTTTCTTGTTCTCCTCATCTCCAGCAATAGTCGAGCTCAACTGCCACCTCGCCATCGTCCACAGATCAATCCACTCAAAAAGACTACTCAATATGGCTCCTGGAGGAAGCTTTTTGTGCAAGGCGTTTGGTATCGAGCAAGCCTTGACAGCAGCTGGCTACGAACCTATAGATCGGCGTGGTCGAGCTCGCAACGTACCACGAGAACGAGGTGCAGAATTTCAAATACGAAACCGAAACTTTGAGTATAGGGCGAGACCACGTACATTCATCGGCGTTTTCCAAAACTCACTTGCTAGTCTCCAGGCGCAACCACCGGCCGGAGCTCAACCGAGGGCTCATAGGCGTCCTGGACCAGCTGCAGCTCCTCACTATGGTGGAGTCTACCCTCCAGGTCCACCGGGCCCACCGGACCCTCGTCAGTATCAGAGCCCCTATCAGCAAGGTTATGCTCCAACCGGCCCACCTGGGCACATGCAGCAACATCCTAATGGTGTCAATCCTGGCGGTCATCATGCTGGAGGACCACCTCCGGCCTACGAGAATATACGAGACCGCAATCGACCTAGGAATCGTAGTAATAGTCGTGCGTCTAGTCATGGATCCGGCAGCCAAGCAGGTACGTTACCACGCCAGCCTCATGGTGACGACCCCCTAGCACGACAGCCCCGTCTATTCTCTTTGGAAGAAGACGAACCTTCTGGCGATGAATACGAAGACCATGATAGCGTTGACGGTTCAAATGCTGGACCCGCTGATAGACGTGCGAAATCCCCTCAACCCCCTGAACCCCGACACTCTCCCCCTCCACCAAATGACATACCTGCCACTTCTAACGGCCGAGGTCGCGGAGCCTCTAACTCTCACAACAACCGGAACAAGAATCGCAACAACCGCAACAATCCGCGACGCTGATGAAGAACAAAGTCGCCACAGATGAATGGCGTAGGAGATGATGTGCCGGTGGTGAAGGATCTGATGAAGATTGTAAAGCTCATGAAATTTTGGACAGCACTGAGTTCATTGGAGGGTTGGGGGGTATATACAATATCAGCATCGGTGCTGAGTTTCGGCATTACAGCTTGTTCGGAGTTTCCAAGAGGTAATGTTCATGAGTTCACTAGCAACTAATTCTAGAATCATCTGCTCCACCAAATTTGCAATTCGTTCGTCCCGCAGCCATACTCGAACACCATACGATAGCAAGGCTGGATTCCTGCTTTTTTTCTGCGTGGTGTTCCGCTGCTTGACCCTCATACAATCTCTTTGTTGAATCTAGCTGACTCTCAGCTCAGGAATTTCCGCCTGCACAGTACAATGCAGTTGTGTTTCTTTGACCATCATTCTTTGAGAATTTTCGACTAGCTTGGCCAAAAAATTATCACAATGCCATTGTTATGCCTCGCCTCCTCAGATTTCTTGGGTCCTCGGAGCGACATAATGGCGTTGTTCTTTTTTCTGCCTCCAAAGAAGATCCCTAACTGACAACGGGCTTGTCCTTCGAGAAGCTAGAGGCTAATCATTGTTACCAGCCGACTCTCGTATATATTCACCATCCGCGACGTCAAGGCAAACATCAGCTTCTGCTCTCCATCAAACTACCAAGCCCAATATATATATATATATATACCACGTCCATTCCATCAACAGCAAACATACACTCAACCAAACAACCAAAAAATACAAAAGTCAAAAATGTCAGACAAATCATTCGCAAAAGGAGGTGTCTCCGTCTGCAACCCCTACCTCTCCTCCCTCCTCGCCTCCTGCTCCTCTTCCCACAAGTCCGCAGAGGCCCGTTTCTACTCCACCTTCCACCACCCACCCCCCCGGGCCCATTCAGAAACTTCTCCTCCACCATCTCCTTTGTCGACAACCTCCTCACCAGCATGGAAAGCCTGTTCAACTCTCCTCCCAACCCCAACGACGCCAGCGACCAGCCCCACCACATCCTCGAACCCCTCGCCTTCAAATACAACTACCAAAGCCAATACATGTGCAACATGGTCCATGCGATGGACGATATCACTTACTCAAAACTAGCGGAATCCTGTCTCGTCCCTTTCGCGGTGTTCGGATATGGGCTGAGAGAATTTACGGAGACGTTCTACGTGGCGGACCGGCTGATACTGGCGCTGGGGGGTGAGGCGCAGAAAGAGGATGAGTGCGCGGGACGGTGCCATGGGCCGTATGATGGCCATCACGGAGGGGTTTGGGAGGGTGGGAATGAGCACTCGGAGGGGTGTGATTGTACGAGCGAGGAGGAGGAGGATGAGGAGTCTTATGACGAGATTGCGCATGAGGAGGGAGTGTGGGGTGGGGATGAGATGGACTTGAGTGACTAGGACATGAAGAGGTAGATTGAGGTGTCGCCACGCTAGTACATTGATAAATCTTTGATCTAACTGAACGAATATTGCTATCTCATTTTACTCTTTTGTTTTTCGATTCTTGTGCATTGAATGTTGCAGATGCCCTAGATCTTTCGCCACGGCTATGCAATGCTTAAAAATACACGACAGCCAGGACTTTTGCCACCTACAGCGGAAGTATCTCCGAGCTGTTATTGCCAAAAAGCTCGATCGCTATGCTATCTCCCCCCTACAGCTCGCTCAAGGGCTCCTCGAGGACGTCGATGCTTCTAAAAATTGCAGGGGAAAAAATCAGAAAAAAGAAGGTGGCTCGAAGAAAGCCACGATTCGAACCCTCGCTATCACTCGATTCGGAGACTGCCTTCACCCTGCTGCAGTGTACCACCTATAACCAAAGCCAAGGCTGGTAAACGGATGGTCCAGAGCGAACAAAGATCCAACTATCAACCACAATGGTAGACTGCTAATGTACGAACCCGGTAAACAGGTCATTGCCATAAATGTTGCATTTTTATTTAGATATATATACCATTTAAATCTGAAAATGTATTTTGGTAGCCATCACACTCCTTGCGCAAAACTCCTCTCAGACATTGCACATGATTCTTTCTTCGTTCTCACAGCAGTACGCCAGATTTGTGACTCTGCGATCGGTGTCCCCTTCAGTGACAACACCGTGTCTCTACTCGCGCCATGTAGTCCAAAGCTTGCATTGACGAAATTATCATTCTACAGCGATTTGATAGTCTCTATGCCTTATGTATTGAGATCGCGCAAGCCTTTATCAAGAATCAAGGTCTTACTGGAAGTCACGCTTTGTCAATTTAATACGATGATGAATGCCTTCTCTAGTAATCATGCATTGAGAATCACTGCGCGCAATGAGATGATATATTTACAATGATGGTTTAGAGCGCTCTAACAGTCGTTATGAATTGGATACATATCATCTCTTTTTACATTTGGATGACAATTTTGATCAGTATTACACATACCATTGGTGCCAGTAGTACTAGAGAAACGAATATCGGCACATCATTGCTCTTTATGACGCTGCAAGTAGCACCGAGATTTTCCTCGAGCCTCTTTAGTCCAGCAGTCATCCGTCAAGTCACTATGAGCATTGGGTTGCTAACAAGCCCGATAATGAGAAGTTGGGCTCTTAGATACAGGAGAGCTTCAGTCGGGATGCGGATCTGGATCGGTTTTCCATCTGGGAAAGCAAGTGGTGGGAAAGACTCGTATGACAGGTATGGCTGGTGCGCTTGGGGGATTGATTATCTAGTGCCCACTACTTGTCAACGTAGGATATCATCCAGATGTTCATCATGTCAAGAATACTGCGCATGCTCAAAGATTATTACTCTTGCAAATTTTACTTTGTATATTATGCTTCAGTAGCACAGCGTAATGATAGACAATCGCATCGTTCCAAGCAGCAAACTTGCAAAAGCAATAGGGGATCAGGAGTCTTTGTTATCTGGTCTCAGAAACAAAGAGAAGTTTGCACGCATTGGGATCGCAGGAGCATGAAAGACGCGGCGAAACGAAGATCCACAAGATTCATGGTATGCGGAATTGAGACTTGTCTGCATCCTTTCATGTATCTATACTGACTGTATCGTATGCCTCTTTTCATCTCCTGGTAGTCTATGCCACGTCATGCTCGACACCCTATTTATTGACTACTGCCTTTTCTGTACAGCAATCTCTTCCTCTAGGCTAAACAGGCTCAACCAGCGAGAAGATCGTAATCAGCGTGTTTCATCAGTATTGCTCACACCGCATACTTCCTCCCACCCTCGCCTGTGTATCAACCTCATTCTTGATTGAAATATTGACATCTCCTCCGATGCTCACAGAGACTCTGACTCTATCATCACTTTGGGTACCAGCAGAATTCGGCTCCAAGACATGAATATTGACCACGCGTGATGGACCTGTGTGTACCAGATCTATCTCCCGGAGAGGTGCCTTAGGTGCTTTGTTCTCGTCGTTGACACTCATGATCCGGGTGCCCACCAGTGTGTCGGATACTTCGCTAGGGGCGAGTTCATTCGTAGGCTCGTCAGTATCTTCAGCCACTTGTTAGCAATCGTGCCTCACGAATACCGGACGATCACAGATTGCTCACATATTTGGAATGTACTTTCTCCTGCCCGACCCTGAGCTAGCTCTGTCGGATCCTGTAATTCGTTTTTTCTCATACCTAGCTGAGAGTCAGATGGCAGTATCTTCACGTTCGTGATTTTGAAGGTCTTTACGGGATTCTTCCGCCCATTCGGGTGGAGAGCCGCCATATTCTGACTCCGGGATGGGCAGGGATTGCTCGCTTGTCATCCGGTGAGCATCAATGAGATCATTCCTCAATTCCTCCAGAGCGGCTGGTTACACCAGATTCAGTACTTCATCTTATTGAGGAAAAGTCAAGGAACTAACCCTCGTTTCGATTGTGCTTAGCCCTCCGCTGTCGCCTGTTGGGTCTAAAGTTTTTAGCCTTGGTGACTTTGGAATCCATTTGGATATCTTTGCTAGGATGTATTGTAGCCAGGTAAACGATTATGTGCTATGGCAACGGTGGAAATAAAATCGAGAAGGGGGAAATCTGAAAAATTTGCAGCCTAAAAAGACAAAATCTAGGCTATACCTACAATGCGAATAAACACCAAACAGATAGCAGTTTCGCCACCAAGCGGGGTCAGATAAGAGAATTACTCTATTTGGGTCGAAACTCCCTGCGTCCAAGCTGAATTGGAGTTTTGTCTCACATTCTTCATCTTTTTCTTTCTCCGGTTCTCTCACAATCTCGCCACGTTGGAAACCCGATACATACACAAAGTCAAGTACGCCATCATGCGACCGAACATTCCGGAATCGGAGAAAAGGAGATCAACAATCACCGCAGGGGGGGTCGGGTGAACAAGCGGCAAAGACTTGCGGCAGTTCGCAGGCAGAAGGGTATGTAGCAAGTAATCTCTGCAGTACTTTGCGATGCCCAATACTGATCAAATCGTTGATGAGCAGTATTTGAAGCTGAGTGGGCTGCCAGCAGGGCTGCCCGAAGGGCCATCGAAGCCCAAGAGGAAGAGTCCCTAGGTCAGGGATCGGAGGACGAAGGATCGGAGAACGAATTTAGCAGTAAGTGGCGCCAAGTGTCGTGTACTCAAAAAGCCAGCATCTCATCTTGCACGATCATAGTGGTGCAGACGGCGGCAGAGAAGGAACCTAAGCCAGCAGACAATGATGTCCCTATGGGTAAGAAATACTCCAATTTCGGTTGCTTTGCGGCGTATGTTAGCTCATGTTCAGACAGATAACGGAGAGAATAAGAGCCACGTGGACAGTAGCATGCCCTCCCTCTCCGCCGCTAAATCGCAGACGTTCGTCGCAGAGATAGAGTACGCGGATTTGAGTAGCGATCAAGATCCAGAGAGAATGATTGGCGCCGGTCAACCATTTGTGACCACGAGGAAAGCGTCGGAAGTCGAGGCAGAGCATAGAAAATATGACTTTCATTACCTTGAGCAAGTTATTGGTGGTGGAGAAGACATTGATGCTGTTCGCAACTAGACTTGTATGTGAGTGCAGATGGATCAGGCAGCCTATTGTTTGCTATGCTAACGGATCGTGCAGTCGTTCGGGGATTATTCGTTTCTTTTGTTTGACGTATGCAAAGAATTTGCCATCGAAATGATTCACTAGGAAAGAATTATCTATAGAGAAGACGATAGCAGAGAGACTTACATGGAGAGAAGGCTGAAAGAAGGGTACAGTTGTGAGTGCTGACTAAAAGACGAATATGCGAGATATATGCAGGCTTCCTATAGATTGAGTATCGTGATAATTACCCGAATATGGACAGAGAACAGCATCCGAAAGTTCCAGCATTTTGTTCCCGTCCACTGAGATTAATACATGCAAAGTTGTTGCTACTACTGTGACCGCAAGCTTTCCTTTGTCATCAAGCTCAACAAACAATAAATTGCGGTTGTTCTTTGAGAAGCCTCCCCGTTTCCCCTAGGACAATGCGATTGAATATTTATCAATTGATTCGGTCGCAAAAAGCCGATAAAGAGAGATACACAAGGGCTAACATCTCAAAGCACTTACACTATCCGCTATTAATATCCGTATGATGGCCTTTGTTGACAGCTCTCGTCTACCAGACATCTACACTAGCTTTGCCAGTCTTGACGAACCCATCAACCCGCCTATCGTCGACGAGGAACCTTCAATGTCTTCTTGTGAGGTCAAGTCTACTAATATGGGCGAAGATATGACAAATGACTCAACGAATGAGTTCCCGATCGACAAAGCACACTACATATATGAATCGTTCCCAACACTTTTCTATGCGCAAGGAATCCCAAACGAAACAGCGAATCAACTATACGAATCATTCTTAGCACTGCAACTTACAAAAGAGAAACAAGAGACTCCAGTCCCGAGCGAAGCTCTCTTGTACATACAGGCTCGACGCTTCATTATCGAATTATTTGGGAGTCCAACACCCAAGGTGACTCAAGGTCCGACATTTTCAGACCATATGAATGCTATATTGGGTGTATTGAGAAGCAATGATGTCGCAATATTCTCCTCTTTAGCCATAGCGCTCATAGTATTTGTACCGCTCGTCAACATTATTTTGTAGCGCTAGAATGATCAATGAAAATTGTGCCTCCAAAAGATGCGCATGTAGCCCTTCAATATCATTGTTATAACGTTCATCGTCGCTCAGGTTTCACCAATAGACCTTAAACTTTATTTATCCAAAGGGAAGATCAATGTACCCATTGAAAGAATGCTGATCAAATCTGAGCCAGGCAGCGCATGTCAAGTGCATTGAAAGTCTTGACACCCAGGCCTTGATGGACCGAAGGCGGAATGCCGAAATGTTGTGCAAGATGTGGAAGCAGATTGCGGCATATTCGACAGCAATGCGAATGCTAATTATACGCAGTAGTGAAGTGTGCTGGAATGGATCAGAATAATAAAAGGAATATAATTAGTAATAGTGCTAGAAATTTTTATAGAAGGAACGAGAGCCCGGACCACCTTACCTTAGCCTAGTTACCATGACCAGACATTGCTCTGCCTGCTGTTGTTGAACGAAGCGAGGGTTCGAGTCCGGTTCTTGCAAACTTTCACCGTGACCAGATATTGCTCTACCTGCTGTTGCTGGAAAGACAAGACTTCGAGCTTCCTTCTTTTTGATTTTTGATTTTTTTCTCACTACATATCTATGACTTACACCGAGGGCGCCCATCATAGACTTTGTCGTCGCATTATTTTTGATTTTTGACTCCAAATATGACACTCAGCGACGCCTCTGCCAAGGCTTTGTCTTGGTATGGCAAACAACATAAGTGCCAACGACGACGATAGTGCGCAACGAAACGAATACAGAAAGCAAGGCACGCACTTGCAGTCTCTTTGAACCTTTTTCATGCTGATAGAGTACCATTGGATTCACGGTGTGTTTGATATGTGGACGTGCAACATGGTTGCCCCCTGAACTTGAGATAAGTTCTCGACCAACCCTTGCGAATGTCCCTACAATTTGCTCATTACGGCGAGTATCCCGCATGGAAGCCGAAACTCAAGGCAATATCAAGTAGTATTCGGTGCGATATCATGATTGGGATGTCGGGGTTCCATGGCCCTGGAGTCGCCGCCCGAAAACTCAAGCTTCTGTGCCTGGGATGTCATTGCCTGACCACTAGAGTGTTCGCAATGCCAGTCAAATATTAGGTGAAGAATGATACAAGCAACGATGTCAAAGACGCTTTATATGCACCATGGTAATTACACACCCCACTTGATCTCATGCCTCCTCAAAGGGCCGGGTATGGTCATATCTCATCTTCTGGTAGCATCAGACTAGCAAAGATCATGGTGTGATGAGAAGTCGACTCCGAAAGTTCACTGCATTTTGATACCTAAGATGTAGATATGAAGAGATACTCAATAAAAGTGCATCAGGTGAGATCCTTTGTTCTGCGCCGTTTTCGGAAACCATGCCTTCTCTTTAGCCCAACATCTGCTTTCTTTGTGGGATTCAGTGGTCCTAATCGCAATCCTTTCTATTGACACAACAAAATCGAACATTTCATCATATTCGAAAGCTATCTAGACCACCACTAGGACATCGGCGTTCCATCGTTGTCGCAGCCGCCAGAAAGACTTTCGTACTCTCCTTTCTTTCGCTATGAGATACAAATTGCTATGCTCTCTAATCAGTATTCTAATCGTTCTCCTCGCTATCCTACTCCGCAACGAACAAAGAGCCTATCGATGGGAGAGACAGGATGGGTCGTCAAGATCGACAATGCGCGCCCGCTCAGAGCTGGATGAAAAGTTGATCAAGCGCCTAGGAGACTTTGACCACAAAACGCGATTTGCCGTTAAAAAGTGCAACCGCTACGAGATCGACTGGCTATGGAACGATCAGAAAGAATATCTAGGGCACATCAAGGCCTATCAAAATTGCCTAGCGACGATGAAGAAGATCAAGGCAAAAAATCTCGCCTCCCTTGGCTCCCAACCTACTTGCTCTTGCGGGGGTATGGAGGGCGAGTGGTCATTGAAAAGACTGGATCAATGCGATGTCAAGAGGGCTGTGCTACGTGCCGCGATGAGCGACAAGAATTGGAATAATAAGATATTGGAGGATGAATTGGAATATATGGACAAAATCGCGGAGCTGTTGCGACCTTTAGAGCTTCTAGGATAGCCAGTCAGGAAGGTGATAGTCTTCTTGTCAAGAACAATGTAACAGCATAAGAGCGTTCGAACTGCTTGAGGTCTTTCTCTACTCAACAAAAAGACTCCTGGAATCGACTTTACATTCACCGACCCTCGATCCATAAAGGCAGCACATATTCGACCCAGCATGGAATCCCTGAGGCAGAAGGTCATTGCTGCGCCTACACTGGAGATACTGCGGAGTAAGCCCTGGACGATGGATTCTCTGATAATGAATGGAGATTAGAAAATCTCCAACCTGAAAGACTGGCTTAAAAATTTGTTGAGAGCAGCATTGAAGCTGGAGGACATTGGATCGGAGGAGTATGGGTGACAGTGACCATTTGAGAATGAATGGCCCGGCTATCATTCGAATGCCGAGGAAGCTGTGAATATTGCATTGGAGGACACAAGGCACAGGGCGAACATGTCAACACGATATAGGGCCTGCGAAGGTCAACCTTTCCTGGAGTAATATTTGATCGTTACACTCACCTCACTCAATTCTGGGCTCACAAGCTCGCTCTGGTGTCTGACATGTCGATAGCAATTCTAAAGGAGGAATAGCATCTCCTTCAGGCTAGATTCATAGTTTGCTTACAGAGCAAGCAGCCAATTTACACACCGTTACCCAATGGCTTGTTGCTTTACGAACTTGTCAGTTCATGCGCGCATTCTTCTCCTCGAAGCTCGCGGACATCCTGTCCTAAAAGCTGTCTGGTGTCAATGAGAGAGAAAGCATCAATTGTTGACAATCCAGCTCATGCAGTCTCTCTTTTCCATCCAATTCATGCCTTCGCCTCTCTTCGTCTGCGAGCTCAGCTTTCTGTTGAAAATATGGTCGTGAGCTTTGTGCCTCATCTGAAGATGATTGGAAAGATATTACAGAATTTCTCTGCTTCCACCTAGGGTACACAGACTTTGCTAGCAAGAACAGTAATAGCGGTGCAAGCGTAAGGGAAAGTGAAAGGCCAATAGCAAGCTTTTGAGACTGATTGAGCAGCTGTGTGCGTGCTGGTGGGTGGGAAGATGAAGATGGCGGAGAAGACGTAGGTGAGACGGTCGGGCTAGAAAGGGAGTTCAGAGCAACTTACGCCGTTGTTGACATTGTGCTGAGACCATTCGACGAGACTACTCCACCAGAGACAGAACAAGAAACAAAGCCTAGATCCGAAGCAAAAATGTCTCTAGCTTCCGGAATGAAATGCGAAAGCAGTGTATAATTAGTAATACCGAGTGAGATCACAGTCGTAAAAAAGTTTCTTGTCGAGTGGTGGTCAAACATTCTCCATTGAATGGGAGAGTACTGCTGATGTTGTAGGCCGTGAACCACAGCGTCTTCAAGGAGCTAATATACCATCATGGTCATACAGATGGTGAAGAGGAAGAAAATGCTAGGACCGGAGACACTGCGAAATTACACTCTGAGCAGCGTGCTCGCAGCGTAACAGATGTCATAGCAAGGAAAAGCTCCAGTAGTGACATCACTCGAATGTTGCCGTGTCATATGAGCAACCTATGGTAGTTCTTGGCTTCTGAATGTTATGTTGACGAGAAGACAGACCTGATTGAAGTATGTGAGCGGTGGTCATCGTCTGGACGATGAGATAGAGATGCATGCTTCAGAAATGGCCAAGGAAAGAGTAGAGGGTCGACAATGCGTGAAAACTTCTTGGCAGGCAGAGTTGAGGAGCTCGAGGGACCTCAGAAAAAGAGCGCAATGACTTCGATGTCTAAAGAGTCAGCTAGGATGTGTTCTTCATAACATAAAAGAATTAGAGAATTTGAAGCATACTTCAACATTGCCTCAAGCGATCTCAAATGCCGGAGATATCAAGTTGCCAAGGCATCCAGTACAATCTAAGGCAATAGTATCTGCTGGAACGGGTCAATCAGGGCCAGAATGGATGATGTCTTTACATTGTCCGCTTTGTTCTTCGCCACATGTGCAATGTTGTACCCAGATTCCGGAACTGTTAATTAAACCTGCCATATTATGAGACGCGGTCATTGTGCTGAGCTTTGTTTACGGGCGACAATGTGCCACCACGATCATTCTCTCACACACAATCAAAACAATGACACAATCGTACTATAAAAGCTACATAAGCTCTGGCTAATTTTCTATCCTCCAACTATCTCCTCACCTAGAGCTTTCCTCCACCAACGAATCACCATCGGAAGTGACTGTTTGCGTTGATCTCAGAGCCCTTCGACCTTCTGGCCACAGCGACTGGACCTTTTCGACGCAATATGGCGGTAATCAAACGCATTCTGGCGATTGTGCTAGCAGTCGCTGCATTGTTTTTCTCGATCGAGATTGGCTTGTCAGTGCGAAAGAGAACCGAACTCGACAAGATCGCTCATCACTATGGCAACTTTCCTAAAAATTACTCGCCGTTATCCCCTTCCGAATATGAAGACCTAGCTTCTGTCGGATACAACAAGGAGATTGTCAAGAAATACGAACTCTATTCATCAGTCTTAGAGGGTGAACTAATATCCCTTCAATATTGCCTAAACGACATGGAGCCGGGTTTGCGGGTTGCCCTAGAGGAAGGAAAACATGAATTCGCGGACCTGAATCGACAATGTCAGCATGTGTACTCCACACTACGAACACGAAAGGCCGCAATATTCAATCTGCTTAAATTTCTAAATTTGGAAGCATGGGACATAAAACGACTGAAATTGGTAAAACACAACGACAAGCTCAGCCGGCTTGCTAAAGAGGAGAAGTGGACTGAAACGGCTTGGCCAAGCACCAATATCGACAGCAGTGGAAAATGGATCGGAGAGGATGCATGGGAGATGTGGAGCTTCTTGTCCAATTAGAACCTCTGCGGGCTTAGTGATTGTCTCAATCATTACTTTGTGTTTGACATTGGGGTTGTTTCTTAAGCCTACGGTCTAGGGTCTGACAATCAGGGGTGGCGCTCGCGGAAGACATAGATAGTATCCTTCCCGCCGGATGAGAGTGTGCTCATGAAGCGAAGGGTCTTTTTAAAAAACACGATCCACTATCAAGTTGCGTACATAAAACGCGGGCTTTCGTCTCCAAGCTCGTCGATTTCCTGCTCACTCATGTTCAGTACTTTCCTATGTTCTCCACCTGTTCTCCGTCTTCTGTTCGTTCTGTGCATCGACCACCATAGTACTATGACCAGAATGGCGCTCATCCCAAGGAGTGCAATAGTGACAGCATGTCCCAGTATGAAGCGTGGCCCATCGGAGCTAGAATATAGCTATATTTGTAAGCGCATTCGTAGATGATACATAATTGAAATATCCTTACATATGGTGCAGGAATACCTGCTGAGTTTCCAAGCGCTATCTGCATTGCTACCCCGGCTGATCGCTTTCCATAGCGAGGCAGATTTGATGGCAACCACGCCAGAGCGATACCAAGGATGAACAAACCAGTTGCGATCACATAGCAGGCAAGATACAGGACTGCCACGCTTTTTCCTGCTATAAGCATAATGTGACCGATGATTGACATAGTAAAACCGAAGAGAATGAATGAAGCCCGATGTTGTATTCTATCAGAGACGAAAGCGGCTGCGAAGTAAACAACTGTGCACCACACAAAACAAGGTACAGTCAGTGCCTGTACAACCAAAGTCGACCAGTCCGGATTGATCGATTGGATTATGGTAGGAAGAAAGATGCTGTAGGAAAAAAGCTGAATGTCGCCGCCGAAGTTTTCTACGCAGAATGCCCATACTTTCCAATCCTTGAACGCAGCAATGATATCGGCCTTGTTGAGCGATTGCGCAGATGCAGTGGAGGCTTCTCGTTGATCGCGTACACGCCGGCGGACGACGATGCCACGCTGTGCTGGAGTAAGATACCAAGCTGACTCCGGGCCATCTGCCAGGAAGAACCAGCCAAAGACACCGAGGCAAATTGACGGTAGTCCCTCTAGGATAAGTAGCCTATGTTGAGGCATCAGATCGTCAGAACAAGAATCTCCTGAGTCATATGCGCTTACCATCTCCACGCGCGCATTTCATGTAATTTGTCCATGTAGCCGACGCCGTATGCAATCAACCCTCCAACTGCTCCAGCCATGGCAGCTCCACTGATTAGATACCCAAAGCGAACCGCTAGTTCTTGTCTTGTGTAGAACGAAATCATATACACAACTAGACACGGGAACAATGGACCCTCAGCTGCCCCAAGTAGTAGCCGACAAACAATGAAACCTCCATAATTCTGGGTCAAGCCGGTCAGTGTTGCAATTATACCCCACGCGACTGCAATGGCATTGATGAAACGCGCTGGACGAAGTGTTCGGAGCCAAATAGTTGAAGGAATTTCGCTCGCCTGAATTCTCATGGTCAATTGCGAGAGCACTCAATTTGCTTCGAGAAGAAGCTTACAACATAGGTGACAAAGAAGAGTGAGGATGCGGTCTGGAATTGATTCCCTCGCATGCCAAGGTCTTTCTCTAGTCCGTACAGTCGACCGTTCCCGATATTGGATCTGTCGAGGAAACTGAATAGATAGTAGAGAAACACCATCGGCAGAATGTGAAGGTCCACTTTCCGGACAGCTTCTCTCTCTTCATATTCATCAGAATCTGTGCGCTCACCATAGCCTTCTTCCCTGGTACTTTTGCGTGCGATGATTGAGTTATCTGACAGTCTGGATGACATCGTTCGTAATCGTTGCATATTATCTAAAAATAAAAGTAATCGATACCAAGGTCTTCGACGGGGAAAACCAGCTGCTCAACTCAATCTTTTAAGGACTCAACTCCCTCCACACTTCACCTCCCACCTTTGTGCAATGACGGAATGCATTATCAGTAATAGTCATCGCCGGGGAAGCAACTCGAAGCCACAGTTCAATACTTGCCACCCGCATGAGATCGTGCCCAAGGAATCCTTGAAAATGCTTGGATGCTCACCATAGTGCCCCGCGTCCCCATATAAAGCCTTTCTAGGAGTGAAATGAGGGCCGAAGTCGACCGAGCTCGGCATCGGCACTCTTTATGCAGAGATCCCAGCAAGCTTTTTGGCCCATGCAAGATGATCTCACCCCAGCCACACCTTTGCAGATCGCGAAGATCGACCATGGTGGAGAATATGTTGTCCACGAACTGTATATGACGAGGAAGTCCACCGCTTTTCTGCAAGATATTCCATCGCGAGGTCGTGATTTGAGATGGGGCAGACGAGGTCAGGCATTTACTCTGATTTTGTCACTGACGGCTTGCGAAAATAGTCATGTGAGTATTTGTCAGATGCTTCTTCCCAATTGAATCAACGTGGCTGATCATACATGTTGATTGTCTTGCATGGGTGCAATACTGACAGACCGAGGCAATGCGAGAGACTTACATCAGTGTACGATCGACTGAGTGAGTTTGCAAGCCAAGCCATGAGATTAAGAGAAGTGAGGTTGCCCAGGCGGCGGGGAGTCGACTTGACTGTCGGCCATTCTGGTGATAGCCCATCTCGAAGAACCGTCGCTCGCGTAAGAGCTGTGGTCGACAATGAAAAGACTATGCCAATGAGACAATGAGCATTGAGTTCTGACGTGACAATGCTCACAGCACATAGAAGATGTCGTAAACATAAAGAGTATTCCCATCAATGCCATTGTATTGTTCCAGTGCTCCTGAATCAAAACCGACTTTGTATGACGTTCCTCCTCTTGCAGCGAGGACCGCCCACTAGTCCGGAGTCACTGTATCCTTCTTGTGACTAGCTTTCAGTCCCGGCAATCAGAGACTGAGATGCCTTTCCGTAACTTTGGACCCTCCTCGCTATACTCTAAACTCTCTAGGAGTGAGCCTCGTGAGGACATTAAAGTGGCTACCCACAGCCGTGACCATGGAAGCGAGGGAGGGTCGGCACGCCTTCCATCGCGCCATGAGCATGAGGGACTTGGCAATGGCACGGAATGCAGCGATTCCGGAGACTGGATTGATTTAGCGGATCGATCTCGCAGGGATGAGTCTCCAGCCAGAGCCGGCCAGGAGACCGAGCAACGCCGAACTCGTCAGACTCCAGTCGATGAAAGACGAGACCAGCCAAGCCGATTCACAACGGACCTGTTCAGTACTACTCGAAATCAATTGAATCACACCCTGTTGCAGCGCGAAGGACGCCTCAGGGTCCCATCCAGAAGCCCGAGTCATAGCGACTGCAGCTGCAATACTCGAGGACGCAACGCTCACCATGTTCTCTGTCCTCGTCATGAGGATGACATCGACAAATCGACGCGCCTCAATTCACGAGGTTACCCCACTGTAGACCACAAAAAGTCAGGTAAGAGTGGACCTGGAAAGCTGTACTACTCTGACGAGGATAGCGATGAAGACGATGAAATGTACTATCGTGGAGGAGGGAGGGCTACCCAGCGCCGGCATTACCCTTGGTAAGTGCTCCGATTGGAGGTCACTTTGCATGTGAGTCTCGTAGCACTGAAGCCGCAGATATAGATCATCATCATAGAGTATCAGGAACTTAGGAAAAAAGGCTTTTTACTCCCATGCAAAGGTATCCATCACAAACGGCGAGTACAATCACAGTCATACGCTATCCTAATCTTACACGCCTTGTAAATTCTAAGACAAATCGATTCTCGACCCCTCGTTCTCCAAGCCAAGCATCTATACCCCTCGTCTCAACGCCAGACTCAAGCAGGACAATCATTCAGCTGTGTCCTTGAGATAGACGTGCAGCCATCGTCACCTATTCTGCAAGGCCAGCAGCTAGGAACTGGCTCAAATTGACAGCAGTTGCCTACGTTGCTATGCGAACGTCAGTAAAAAGCTCAATCTCAGTGACAGATGGGAACCTATGATCCTACTTGTCCGGGTTGGCATGGTTGTAGCAAAGCTGTGGCCCCTTTGAAATCACAATCGTTGTGAAAGCCATTAGGTAGGCATGCAGAAGGGCGAAGACCTACATCGTGATGAAATTGCTGGTTGAAAAAGCTAGCTGAAGTGGAGGTGAGTGTTTCGATATCTTTCGTGAGAGTCATGTCTGATTGACCACGATAGAAGCGTATCTTATACATTTTCCACACTCATTGTACGATTTCACGATAAAGCCTACAATACGGGTGCTACAGGCATAAGACTCACGTCTACCCTGGCGACTTTTGAAAAAAAGAGTCTGTCGACTACCTCGAATCCCGCTCCGATAAGCTTGAACCCAATCGCTAAAGATGGATCTATGTTGCGACACAAAGGATTGCCGTGGCACAGCCCAAAATACTGGAGAGTCAGCAGCGGCTCTTACATACGGGAAGATAATTTATACAGAGATGGGATAAGCATATTGTCAACGTGCTGCGGGCCTCTGCACCAGGGCAAGAAGCTCTTCTCGATCGAGGATGATTGGACCATGAGATGCATGAATAGTCCGAGACGCATCTCGGTATCGATTGACCCACGAGAATCCGGAGTCCCGAGTCTCGAGTCGCTTCCTGCCAAAAAGAACTTTTTGGTCTTTACACTGTTGCAACTCAAGTCGTGACCATTTCCTGCAATACACCTCGAAACGACGATTTGCGGCGAACTCGGCTGTCTGATGAAGCCTGGCACATGGGGGCACAACCCGCGCCCTACGATGCTGCCTCTTTCGGAAAAGATGAACAGTAACATGGGTTTCATTGATAAAATGGGCGAAATCACTATCTATGAATGCTTTTCGCCTAGTCAAAGCCCTAAGTAATGGGTGAAACGGTCAAATCTTGTCACTGTATCTGTATGCTCCACAACCACAGCCACGACTTACCTACGCACCAGCCTGCGCTCAGCATCTACATTGCGGCGTTCGCCACATATATGTACTTTACAGCCTACGGTCTATTCCAGCGAAGATCAGGCTGGTACACGTCCTGATTGTTTGCAACCACGACTCAACATTGGAACCCCTGAAAATTATGCTCACCTCCCTGCAGTTGAGCGTTGATCTTGAACCCACGTCTTTGGCTCGGATTGGGGCTGAGTCAAAATATTTGGGACCTTATTCAGGTACACTAAGACGACAGTTCGACTTGCTGACAGCCGTGCTAGCATGCTCTACACCATAAAAAGAATGATCTTCGGTCTGTATTGTGCGCACGGTGGCCTCATCCTGCAAAAGAAAACTACGGACGCACGCAAAGGCAGTTTTTTTGGATAATTCTTCGAAGGCAAAATTAAATTATATGGGCAAATGATAAATTCCGAACTAAAACGCCCTGCAAGATAATCTACAATCCAACTGAACATCGCCCTTCTTGGCAGTCAACTCATGAGACATTTCCTTCGCCGTCTTATGATCATCTTTCGAAGCAAAATCCACATCATGAGGTTTATCAGGCAGACGACCTTTGCAACCATGACTGGGTGTCTTCTATTTACTGTGAGTATATCAGATTGGTAATCTCTGAAAGGAACATTCCCAGGAATCCCAGTCCTTTCTAGTACATTGTGAGTCCGCTCCACATAGTGACGACCAACCAGCCTTCAATCTAAGAGAGAGAAGCCTCGCTCCCAAGGAACTCGTCAAAGGGTGGGCTTGACAAGAGGATCAACTGGGACGCCAAGGGACAAGCTTGCGGCTAAACCACTGCCATGCACGGCACTCACCAAGAAGCGCTACTGATATTTTTCAACGGCGTCAAACGTCGATCTGTACAAGACATCAGCTACATCCTCCACGACGTTTTCGTGGCGTCGACAATTATACGTGCATAAAGGTCCTTGACATCTCTTCCGGAATCACTGACTTGTTGGTGGATCACGACACCGGTGGTATTGGCATTCCTGTGGAGATACTTTCGAAGCGGTCTGGAGTGCTTGAAGTGCTAGCGGTGGCACGGCTGATATCACCATTGAATCTGACAAGGGGACTAGGACGGCTCAATTTTCAGCGAGTGATGAGGGTTGGACATATCCTGTTGATATTGACACTGGTCTTTGCGATTCTAGAAGACTTGAACAGAACGAAGGTTGGAGATTATGCATTCTCATGTACAGACCCGCTCTCGCAGAAATCCTCGCCAGAACCCGAGAGATCAAAAAGTGTTCCCGCTTGATTAATACTTAAAGTAAGCCAAATCGACTAAAGGCCCAGGAAGTACGATTTTCCCCCAACCAATCTCAGCCGCGTAATCAAGCCTCGATGATCTCACAAGAGTTGCAGTTGAAAGGCCTACATTCAAATTATCTGTTTTAGAGTGACTCGATTCTCTCCAACAAGGGTTTGCGTATTAACACGATGAAGTACTCTAGACATCCAGTTTCTCAATGCTGACTCCTTCCAAACATGCACGGTATGTCCAAACAACCTGCTGCGAAATCATCAATCATATCGATACTCTATTTATGTTGCAACCCCCTTGCACAGCATACATTGCGTTGTGTTTGACGTACCACCCGTTGAACTGACTTGAGTACGGCAAACAATGATGACCTAGGAGAACTGTCATTTAAGAACAGAAAGCCTGGTAAGGGAACAACAAAGGTTCTCTTAAATCTCGCAACTTAATGTATCGCCAGTGTACAATGTTGCCAAGTTGTCTCGCGTGAGAAGATTTGAGTGTAGATTTTGGTCCACTTAATACCGTGTTTGTGGTCTGGTGGTTGATTATATGCTGGGAATCTACAAACACGTACATGCTCACACAGTTTGACGAGCTTAGTGTCAATCTTTGATCAATGCCCTCTGCAACACATGATAGCCTTAAGGCTTTGAGGAATCCGTATATGTCACGAACACGAGAGTATCACGAAGATGAGTGTTACTTTACTTGGCCGCGCTGTGTGAAAAGAGGTTAGTGTCAAGAGATCGTATTGGCCGACTAAGACTTCTCGATAAGTGTCGGGACTAAGATAGAAAGGTGGAGCCCTAAGCTTTTTCTCTTTCAATCTTCTCTCCCATTTCTCTTCTCATCTCACCTTCTTGCACATCCTACATTATCAAAGCTTTGAACAGTCTATCAAAAGTTTGAACCACGTATCGAGCTTTCAGCATCTTTACTTCATCAAGTTCAGTACCATCCATCATCGACTAGGGCCTAGTATATCACCATCCTCTACAACCCAACCATTTCCATCCGATGTCTTGTAGAGAACCCTTGAAATACTCTCCGAACCATCACGACATGAACATGAATCGATACTCTCGTTCGGAAATTCCCTCTCCGTTATATGACCATCGGTATGGAGAAGCGTTAAACAATCTCTCGCCGTATGACGAAGCTGAAGTACCAACAACGTTTCTATCGCCTGCATATGGTTCACCCACCGAAGCAACGTACGGTATTCCCCCTACTCTTCCTGGTCAAAAATCGACAGTTCGAGCTCAGGAAGGTCGGACATCGCCATCCTTTGCACCAAATCATACCTTATCCTCCTTTATTACGCCGTCACCTTATGGACGACCATCCCAGATCCATTATGCGGGCAATCATTCTAGAAGTGCACACAACGTGGCACCCAACGATGGAGCCTTCGAAGCAGCTTGGAGGTCACGACCTGGAGAAGGATACCCAGAGTCCCCCCGCCGTTTGTGCCCTCCACTCCAAACCCTGGAGGATACCCTTCGAGAGAGTATCAGCACAAACATAGTATCCCCACACAGTCTCCGCTACTCTCGAGACCTATCATTAGCTCGCCCGTTTTTACAACGACACAGCCGTTCGATCTGGGATCTCCCAAAATCACGATCCCCTCACCGCTATGTACAAAGCCTCTAGAAAAGTCGATGTCGGTCATCGACCATTTCAACTCTCGATTTGAGAGGCAGAGTAGACCGTCATCGCCTGATCTTCGTCAGAACTATGGTAAGGACATTTCTGAGGAGCAAAAGAGTAATCATGAGAAAGAAGTAGCACCCAATGATTCTCGTGCCCAGTATCAGAAGGAAGATAATTCTGGCGTCAAACGAAAGAGAGTGTTTGAGGAAGATGAAGATGCAAGGAGGATAGAACGGACTCGCTATGGAGGCCCGACTGGTGGACATTTAGAGCCTGATGATACTGGAAATGCCGCAATTCAAACAGGAACAAACCCTGGCTCGTCAGTTGCTACTTGTTCAGAGGAGGAAATGGATGGAGATGAGGAGATACCTCCACCAAAAGCAAGTGATTACGAAGTGGTCGACTTCATCCTTCTATGCAAAATTTGCAACAAGAAGGTAAAGGGTTCCAAAGTCGACCAGCACAATAGTTCGGTCTTGCATAAACACCTGGCAAAGGCCAAGAAATACCAGAAAATCACAAGCATGGTAGGATCAACATCGAATGGTCGGACTCTGGACCTTCCAAGAATGAACCCACCTCTTTCTCCCCCTCACTCCTCTGACGCGAGGCATGCGCCAAGTCCACCTTTGAAGAAGCGAAAGAAAAATAGCCTGCCAGCTGCACGGAATATCATAGTGTTTGAAGATTCGGAAGCTCCTATCTCGTCAACAGACTCCAGTCAGACAAGCTTTCACTCATTTCCTTCGATCGAGCCAGACAGCTCGTTTGATCAAGAGAATGTCCGGTCAGCTGCCGTCCACCATCCAACTCCAGTCGCGGGTGGAAATACCAGTGACAATAACGACGAGCCTGACAGCTCTGAAACGGTGGGCCGCGAAACGCTTAGTGATATCACCCACGACCTCAATACCACACTTCGACGTGGTAGAAAGGGTGGTGCACGTCGTCGTCGTCGTGGAGTCGTCGATCCCACCGCGCCACGCATGGGGCAGAGTACGCAGACCCCCGCCGCAACGATTAGTGGTGGTATCTCATCACGGTATCCTGCACGCGTGCATCGGAGACCTCAAGTTGTAGTACAAGACTCCCAAGAAACAATAAATGAAGACGAGGAAGATGTGGATATGAGCTTCGACGGCGGCTCCTACGTCACACAGACCGCACGAAGACAATCACCTCGACTATCAACACGCCGCCGTCGTCAAGACCGACCAACGGTACTTGGCTCACGCCGACAGTGAGTCGACAGCGGTCGAAGGGGAGTGATCGAGAAGTGGTGGGGTTTGCAAGGTCGAAACGGCGGATCTGAGATACATCGATAGTCATCCTTCTTTAGTAAGGAGACGCTGGAAATTTAACCACGGAGTTTTATGGGTCTGCGTCCACTGCAATCGGATTTGGTCGTCCAGCTAATTGTCAGCTGGGTTATTCATACTGGGATTTGGAAACAATGGGACTTGTCTGAGTTTTTGATATTCTCCGAAATGTAAGAGCAAATGTTGAGCAAGGACTGTCGGAAAACGAGTGATGGAGGGAATGTCTTGGAATGAGAAGAGGTATTGAGCTACATGACTCTCTTACAGTTTGAGTGCAAAGCTGGGAGTTGTTGATGAGTGAGGAGCATCTGGGATACTATCAATGGAGATACATGGAAGTTGAGGCGCGATTGAGCTATATACAACACTTCTTCAGCTTGATCAAAAGGCTGAGAGTGATTGTTGAGCGAGGAACATCTGGGAAACCATCAATGGAGATACTTGAGAAGTAACATGGTATTGAGCTACACAACATTCTTACAGCTTGATCAAAAAGCTGGGAGTGATTGATGAGCGAAGCTGAGCTAGCGTACTGAAAGTGGATGGGTTTGGAATATGGGAAATTGTCGACATTCATGGTGTTCCTGCAGAATGTTTGAAAAGCTGGTAGAAAACGGACGGCAAGAACGAAGTTGGATGGGAGGAAACATTAGATGGGCTTGGAAAAGCATATACTGGAAGTGGGGGTCTGCATTTAGGGGAAATTGTTGGAAGTAGTCATGCGAACTTGCAACCGCCTGTATGCTTTGGTTACTATCTAGATACTCAATTTCTCATGAATACATTTAAGCACTGAAACACTCAGTCTCAAATGCGTTATATTATTACCAACTTCAAGCCAAATTATCTCTTTGACAGCAAATGTATATCCACCCTTTGTTGTAGGACCAAAGTTAACGCTAAGCCTAGCACCTTTTTCCACTCTGGGCTTTTTCCAGGGGGCTACCAGGCCGGCTTCACAATTACTCATTCATTATTGCTGTTCCTTCCTCCAAGGATTGACCACGATGCCATGCCCACCATTGCAGCGGAACAGCGACGTCCTTCTGAATTGGTTACCTACATCCGAGGGGAGCCGTCGGGTGATCTGTTAGGTGAACCGCTTTAGTACAAGTTTGAAACCCTTTCGAAAGTCTTCCTGTCTTGCTCGAGCTCGTGATTGATCGTTATCTCAAGATGTTAGCGTGTTCTAATTTCCGTTGGCCCGTTGTGGTCAAGGTTCACTGGATATTTACGCACAGACAGTGTTTTACCTAGATGATTTTGTCTTCCAGGGCCCGTGATGTTTCGTGATTCCAGACCCTCTTCTAATGATAGCAGAAAGTAGAGAGCGGTGAGGTATCTACTGCTGTCGAACTGTGAAGCTCGAGGTTTCTGCTTACCCAGGTGCTTGAAGCCGGCTTAAAGAGCCTCATTTCGGGACACCTCATCCGATGTAGCTTATCAGTGAGCTAGTAGAAGCCTAAGATCATTGGCCCTTTATGGAAAGCGGTGAATGGTGATGAAGTGGGTGTGGGGGTCTTTCTTAAAACACGTGGCCAGTGCCTATATGATCTAGACGGGGCTACTCTTGCATTTTACAACGTAACTGAAGGATCCTGGCCTAATTCACCTGACCAGGAGGCGTAGAACCGACCTTTCTTTGCCCCTTCCAAGTAAATGGCGTCGGCAGCGTAGCCGGTCAGAAGTACCGCGTTTCGGCTTGTGACACATCCATTGCTCTGTTTGCTTCATCTTGTGTACGACGAGCACCTAGCTCATCCATGCTTCAGAACTCGTACATCTTGCTGTAGACTACTTGAACAGTTTATCGTAGCTCCACAGTATACCAGAGCACGCAACTCATGTCATAGGCCTCATTAACAACGTCTCCTGGTTCTAGCATCCACCAGAACACGCACATCGTGACATACACTTCGTGAAAGTCATCCCATAGCTCTGCTGCGTACCAGAGCCGGTATTCCTTGTCAGAGACTACATGAACGATGTCCTGCAGGCAATTCGAAGCACACATGGAGGTGGACGATTCAGAGGTAAGCTACAATCCTCCACTCTCTCCCAAGCCACAAGAGTGTCCGAGCTCGGAGCCAAAGAAGTAGGCGCGTTTTGTAGATGGCCCCTCACAATGACAATCACAACAAGGAAGACGAGGAGTGTATGAGAACGCGGCATTTGGAGGGAATCTCGTCGCGCTAGTGTCACATGGGCTAATTTCCAATAGCAGGAGTATGACGAAGAGGTTCTCTTTGCTGATGACGAAGCATCAGAAGCAAATTCAGAGCAGACAGAACACAGTAAATCAGACCAGCAACAATCGCAATCGCACCGCTTCGGAGGTTCTCGCAGTGAACAAGCACCAGCAGAATTGCTTCGGCGCTTCTCTCACCCACAGCACAGCAGTCAGCATCCAACATCAGGACCAACAAGGCCGCCCGTTCAAGCACGCCCACCTACCTTGCATTACCCTTTTGACCCTCACAGAACTGATCCAACTGGCTTTTCACAATATGAAACTCCGTATGCTCCGTCTGCCGCATCTCATACATATGGCACTACCGGTACAACGCAGCCAGCCATGCTTCCAGGGATGTTAGATCCCAATGATCCATCAATGATGAGAGGGTTCAATCCGACTCGCACGCAGTTAGAGAACCCTTATGCAACTATACAGACTGTACACGGGAGACCGCAGCAGCAATATGCTGGTACTAGGGACGCCCATTTCGCTAGCTCGCAGCAGGCTAATCGGTATGGAACTTTGCAGAGTATACCAGAGACGCCGTGGCAAACAGATACCACTGGAAGGGATGCCAGCTCGCAGCCAGGTCGAATTCCTACCAGGGAGCCAAGCAACGAGTTGGCGAAGGTTCCGCCTCACGCAATCCTTAAATCCAATGATCCTGACGACCCATACTGTAAGTTCTGCGAGAAACGGATAGCCTCTACTCATTGGCAATCCCATATTCAATCGCCGCAGCACATCGGCAATTTTGAGCGTGCTAGGCAGACGACAGGCTTTGGGGAGCGGTCTCTGGGACCAACCGGTCCTACGCAGAGAGGGAAGTGGTGCGAGCTCTGTGGAGTTGAGATCCTGTCAAAAAACTGGACCCAGCACAAGAACAGCCTCACCCACTTGGGCAAGGTACGACCTGGGGTTCCAGCGACACCAGAACCAGACCCGGACCCCCCAAGGGGAAATACAGGAGATGTGAAACCTGTAAGACAGATATCACGTCCTCTCACTGGCTCCAGCATACTTCATCGCAAAAGCATCAAAATCTTACAGCTCACGGGGAGCAAGTTGCCCGTGAGCAAGAACTAGACGACGAAGCCATGCTGCGGTGGGATACCAGATACTGCCCAGTTTGCGACGAGCGAGTACCCAACCGAGCGTGGGAACGCCACATCAATACGGCGTTACATGTGCACCAACTTTGCTCTCACAATGGCGTGGCTTGTAATAATGGATGTCCGTTTTGCCAGAGACAAACCTGAAAGACGCCCACGACCTCAACTCTACCACCACAGGCCGGATGCCGAGCATGGGTGACCATCAGTGATGGCTTTTTTGGGGATACCCTTTGCTACTGTTCTAACACCTGCATTGCACGACGTTTGCATTCAAATGAAAGCCTCTTGAGCGAAGACATAAGGCGGGAAAAGTATGATAGAGATTGATTTCTGTGGTCACGTTTGCTTTTGTTGACTATTGAAGAATGCTCATACCTGGCGGTCGACAACGGTCGGACAAGAGGACAGTGCAACAATATGGAAGGAAAGGGGTCTACTTACGGCAGGAGTGCCCCTGAATTTTGGCTGACTAATCGAGTCCCTGCCAAGATCTGGGTAGATCACGGAAAATCCGGTCTCCGAAGGACTGTCGAGAAACATGCAAGAGCGAGTTCATGGGATGATATCCTTTCTGGTTGCTGTGCAGACTCACAGACTCATCGACGGCATGGGGTGGTACAGACCATTGCGAGATGCATAGGCAGGTGCATGTTTCAACGGCAGAACTGGCTCACGATCTGCGCCTTCTCAGCTTCAATGATACTTGGTCAGCAGGTCTGGATTTCACATTCTTGCGGCCTCAGATTGATGCAGTAAAGTAGCCCAGTTGCTAGTGAGGCTGAGAGACTCTGATATCATGCTGAGGTCGAGTTCACCTTGCATTGCACATTCAAACACTTGACGAATCATGATCTTTCCCCTATCGAGTACTTCCCACTATGTCCCGCCCTCCGAGTCTCATACTTTCTCTTGACGCTCTGCATATACTTTTGACTCCACCTGCGCCTAATACACCAATGGTGTCCATGGTCTGAAGCCCTACAGACCTCTGCCGTTGCCTGATTTATCAATTCCTGCCCTTCATCGTCGGAATCGGATGGAAAGAGTTTAGGCTACCTCGTAAACCAAGCCCTTTCTAGTCTAGCTTTGATGATTACGTGAACAAGGCGGTAAGTGCTCCCCTGGAGATGTTGCTCTACTTTCAAGATGGTCTCTCGATGACCGCTGTCTAGTCTGGGCCTACGGGGCTGCAGTCTGGCTCTAGAAGATATACTAAACAGGTCCCCGGAGAGAAAAGGGTCTCCATAAGGCTTACAGCAATACAATGCATGGTGAAATACGAGTTATCTTATTTCGAAAGGCATGGGAAGTGATGCTTGGAGGAGACTTCGCATGACTTTTGGTCAACTTCAGTGAAAACACTATCACGAAAAGCCTCGCCGATTTCCAGACATCGAAGAATGCGTTCGTGATCGACAAGCTCGTTGGATAAATACTGACACTGCTCAGCGAACGTAGCAAACAGCTAGGACATTCAAAAAGGGTGTGGGAATACTGAATGACAATAGCACGAGACAAACTTGACTCACAATCTCAAGCGGTACCTCTTCATGTGGGCTCTCGGTGATGGCTCAATAATGCTGGTGTCTTTGACGGTCTTCATCTTGCGGCCGACGCTTGGATCCTCAGATTATCATTTTGACCAAGGCGGCCGAACGCTGACGCATAAGATCCTTCGAGCCCGCTGATAGCTGCTTTGATAAGGGAAGGAACAAACGACGCCTATATTCTCTTGTAATCATTCTGTATTCAAAAGCTAAGGCAGGGTGTAAGGCAACGAGTTGCTAGGCTCTGGTTATCTTGTACCTCCAAGCTCTTCTGTAATGGCAGCAACGCTCGACGTTGATCTTCCTAAAACATCCTAGCGAGTTCGCTTTCCCAATGACATTCATATTTTTGATCTCGAGAACCTCGGGCAGAATTCTGTTGGAAGAGTCCTGGCTCTCAGTTCCTTCAAAGCCATGTATGATAGGTGAGTTGAAATATGTAGGTCGCCTCGGTTGATGCCGAGAGCACTCCACGTCGAAAAGATACGCTTATGCGACAAATTCCCATCCGCAGTGAGCAGGTCTTGCCATTGCAGAATACCTAAGTCTCAAGAAAGGAGGACAGTCAGAGAGAGACACGCTGTGGTTTTCAGATGTGCACAAGGAAGTCAGCAACAGTCAAGTAAAAATGATCGTCGCCATGCTTCACTCGGGTAATATTCTCGCCAACAGCAGCACTTCATCTCAAGCGTGTCAGTCTATTGGCTTCTTTTGACATTGCTAGACCTTTCGCCTCTGCCTGCTGGCGATAGTTGTCGTCTTCGCAGACTTGAATAGTACTGCATTACGGCCAGGTGAATGAGGCAGCGAGAGTGATATGGAGTCATATGCCAACCATTGGAACATCGAAGAAGAACTGTAGGAGAGATGTAAAGGGGCTGTCTTGGCATACTACTGAGATCTTCGAGCCTTACTCATTCCTAACTAAGCAGATCACCGATTCGCTCGGTAAGCACGAGGACCCTTCTGATAGGGCTGTGAAATCTGTGAGGCAGCATTGTCGAAGCTCAACCGGCTTTCTGCGCTCGGCGCTCTGCGCGCCGTTGCAGTTCCATTGTAGCTATCCACAATCGCTGCTCATGCTTCCGCTTCTTCACCAAAAGGAGCTACCGTTTTCCCTTGAACGCCAGTTCACATGGCTCTCGACAGCGGCCTACCGGCCCTCCTATTTGATGCTCCAAGTGACCACAAAATGCTCCGTCATAGGTCGCATCCGCCGTACCAAATGATGAATGGCAGTCCTTTCAGGAGCATATGGAATGAACCTCTGACAAGAAAGCAAGTCTTACAATTCATAGCTCATGTCATCAAGAGGACTGGGGCATGCCAAAGCCCGCGTACTTCGACATTTGACAGCCAAAATTATCTGGTACGGAACCTCAAGAGACTTTGCGTGCGAATGGAGAAGTCAGCTAATTCGAGACAGACACAATACCTCCTCATCAGCCCTCCTGTCACGTCAGATGCCTTGAAACTCCCAAAGCTAAGCATAAAGAAGGTTTTCTCGAAAAGAACTTCTTCTCTTCCTCCGAGAAGTAGAAGTAGAGCTACACCGGATGGCGACGTCAGTAGATGGGATGGTCGACGGGATAAAGTAGAACCGAACGCGGGTCACATCAGCTTCGTGCCCTTATTGACAGGCGATGGACTCGAAACTGCCAACGAAAGACCGATGATAGAGTCTGATCCGGAGATGAACAAAGTAGCGAATATCAAGCGCCCAGAGACATCAACAATTGGTTCCCCTATATATCCAAACTATATCCTCCTTGGCCGTCGTCGTTGGATGGACAGGAGTTGGATATGGATGGAACTTGAAAGCACCAGGTTTGAATCTGACCGAGAGTTTTTCAAGGCATTGCAGCAGTCACGTCTGAAAAAAGGGTGTGGTATTACTCCCATCCAATTGGTCCACCAATCTGTGCGAGAATACTTAACCAACGTAGTATCGATAAATTATGTCAAGGTCAGGTCTCGAAACCAAGCTTTACATTCCTTTGCTGATTAGGACCTAGGTCGCCATCGTAAGTGTCACCAATCATGAACAAATCCGAGTTGTAGAATCACCCAGCCTTCCACCAGAAGAAGAGAGAGGGAACTATCTACCGTGTGGACGAGACTTCACTTTTCTGCCTCCGATCAGTCCTCACAGCCTAGCGCATTATTACAACAATCCAAACTGTACGACGGAGACAAGAAGATTGTTGGACAGAATACCTAAGAAACTCTCTTCTCCCATCATGCCAGGTCGCCAATCTTTGTCATCGGAAAGATCGGTCGCATGGGGTATCGAAACCTACGAGGAGTTGCGCACTGGACCTGTGATCTGTGCTGCTATATCAACCTGGGTTGCAACGTCAACGTTGCTGGTAGGGCTGAAGTTTGAAAGAAATTCTCTCGATTCCTATATTTTTGCCCTGGCTGAAGTTGCAATAATTTTATCGACTTTTGCATTGGCTGGGTGGATCTGGAAACTCCTATATGACAGGAGAGTAAAGCTGGCGAGAGAGCTGAGGCTCCTGATTAGTAGATTCACAGCTAAGTCTACAAAATCTGTCAGCAGATCTTGGATATGTGGGGCGTGTGGCAATTTGGTCACTGGTTCAACAGACGAGGATGTTGAGCATGCAGGCTCAATCGGGCTAAACAGCATCCAAGCGCAGGTGCCAGTGACATGGGGTCCAACTGAGCCTATCTACTACTCTGGAGATCAGCATGGGTTCAAAGGTGGAACACTTTCATTGCCTCCACCAGCTACGCACAGTGCTAGCGGAAGGCAAGGGCTTGGGACGAAAGGCGGAGACCGAACAGCGCAAGGAATCAATATGGCGCGTGTCACAAACACTGTTCAGCAACGGCCAAGAATAAAACCACCGAAGGCTTGTGCAAGATTTCTCATCTGTGCCAATACAGGCTCAGACAACCTGCCTCGCTTCCACGAGAAGCTGATCTCTCGCACACTCAATGACGAGAAATTTTTCGAATACCTAAAGAGCTTGAAGCGTTCTAAAAAGAGCCTTTTCAAGCCCTCGAAATGGTTCACTGGAGTCGTTGCCATCAATTATGTGGCGATTGAAGTGCTCGACGATGGTCATGTCTCTCTGCTGGAACGGCCTGGATACGCCCCCCTTCACGTGCAAAAGACTACTACCCTTGCAAAGAACGCCAGAACATCAACGGCTTCTCGACTTTAGCCGGTTGTTTCCATCCTCTGCCAAGTGATCTTTTGCTACAGATGTACTGGCGCCCAAAGCTAGCTGGCACTACAACATACCACATCGACCGACTCACAAGAAAGCTCAGTGGTGCATTAACAAGGAACGAGCCGGATCAAACAGCATACGCATTGGAGTTGGAAGAGGGCATCATCTGGGCTAAAACCGTTGGAATCGGAAGTCTTCTACTCACATTCTGTGCTGGAATAGGCGCCGTTTTATCACATATATTTCACGACGTTCAGACGGGGGCTTCGATCGTGAGCTGTATGGTGCCAGTGACCATCTTTATTGCTACCACTTTGACTCAAAGCTTGCAACGCCTTCAGCCAGTCTATCCCTCAGCACCTGGCTGAACAGAAAAGACGGCGTTCTTGATAAGCTTGTGGGGTTAAAAAAGATGTTCAGAGTAACGAAACAACGACCCGCCCAGTAGCCACTTTTGCAAGCCATGACGGACATCGAATGGCGACAGGATCACTTGCCGCTCGCTTTGAGTCATTTGACTCCTGAAAAGCAGGAGTATATCATTGATCTGGGAGCTAGGGCGACGGAGACAACCCGGTTCACAAACCGACTGAAGCCCTCTCGGGATTGCTCTGAATTGTGCAGAGAGTTGACAGCTAGTACGCACACATTGTCTTGCCAATAACATCGAGGCGATCCTTCTGTCACAAGATGAACTCAACGGTGGGACCGTCAGCAAAAGAGATGTCGTGCTCAAGCTTTTGACAGCGCCGGTCGTCAACCTTATCTCAAGTGTTGTTGGAACAGCGTGTTGGATTCGTGCCGACTTAGCCGACCCCTGAGGTCGTCCCATCAAACCTCTTTTGCTCTAGTCTGATCGCCAAATGCTATCATCGACAATCAAGGAGCTTCGGTAGGATTCAAGAAAGATTTTTACAATCCCTTTTTGCTATCTATTCTGTCGTCCGGCTTTTGTCCAAGCTGCAGACAGTGGACATGCGAACCTAGCTTGTACACTACGTTGATCTAACGAGTGTACCCAATAAACTGAGCAGGTGGTTGGAGCGGCAACATAATCCTCAATCTTGCAAGTATGAAACGGCCGGCTGTTATAGGAGCCACGCTCTGACATGTTTCAATATGCGCGTTGTGACTTCCCTTTAAATTGAGACTATTGAGACTAATGATACCACATTTACCATATGTCTCTATGCTGGAAGACGACGGCAGTCGTATTCTTGTTAACTAGTCGTAAGGACAATGGGGAAATAAAGGAAGTCCAGTACGCACTTAAGCGACCACTGCGGAAAAGGTAGTATTGGTCATATGCTGTCTATGTCAAGTGAAGTACTTCTAGGAACGGCTGAGCTGGTCACAAGGATATTGGCGACAATTGTTCGCCGAATGTGAGGGAGGAGCGTATTGCACATCTTGTCAGATAGCTTTAGAGGCCATCAAAGCGCAGTCGTCCAACGTGAGCTACGATCTATCTAAGTGTGTCTCGCTGAAGGCAATTGGATTTGATGAGCACCTCCCATAAATCACCAGTAGAATTTAATGCGAAGTACTCCTGATATCCGACCAAAACTTTACAAGACTGCGCGGTGTCGATTCAATGCATCAACATTCATCTCAACCCACTCGTTAGCTTATATATGAGCTTTTGCAAGTCGATTTACATGCAGATATTATACTCCGTCCAGTATGCACAAAATTGTGAAGGGAGTAATTCAGTTGTGCAGCAATGAAACATTAAATTCGAGCGCCAAGTCAAGTCACGTGTGCAGACGCGCCAAGACATCACGGGTCGCGTGAAGCTCTGTCGGCGAGCGGGGTGTCATTGAAAATTGCATCCTTCTTTTGCGTCGGCTTGTCCTGCACCCCTAGCAATCACCTCACATGCTCTACTTGGGCGACTATGACGATACAGACGGTCAATGACTCGAGTCATCGGCAATTGCAAGACATTGCAGGCACAATTTCCTCCGCGCGGAAAATCGTAGTGATTACCGGAGCAGGCATTTCTACTAATGCTGGGGTACCGGTTCGTGTCGATGATCGATCGCTTGTTGGTATATGAGCTCATCGAATGCAGGACTTCCGATCCAAGAATGGTCTCTACTCAAGCCAAGCTTCGTTGAAGCGATCACATTCGGACGCATTCAATGCTAGCCCAGTAAAGGAGAATGCACACCCACCACATCCCTCAAATATCAAAGCCAAAGATTTGTTCAACGCAAATCTCTGGAAAGACGATTCGAGTACCTCCGAATTTTATCGATTCATCTCCTCCCTCAGACAGTCCATTCATAAGGAGGCCTCTTCAACCACGGCTGCACATCGTTTCATTCGTACGCTACGTGATAGACAAAAGCTGGTCAGATGCTATACCCAGAACATAGACGGGCTTGAAGAGCAAATGGATCTTTCGACAGACCTCGAAAGAGGACAGGGTTACAGGTATCGCTTTTCGAAGAAAGTGTTGCAGAAGCCAAGGTCGTTCGCTTCGAGCGCCCCGGGAGGTGAACGCGATGGAGGGTGTGAGGTAGTACAGCTTCACGGAGATTTAGGCTCCCTCCGATGTACACTGTGCCAAAAAGTCATCGAGTGGGACTCAAAGCGCCATAGCTCTGCCCTTCTCAAAGGCAAAGCGCCGCGTTGCCCTTCCTGCACAGAGACAGACGACGTACGACAGGCACTAGGAAAGCGTGGCACGAGGGTAGGCACGCTCCGGCCGAACATCGTGCTATATGGCGAAGAGCACCCTTCAGCAGACGCCATTGGCAAAATCACAACTCACGACCTCACTCTCTATCCTGACCTTCTCCTCATACTAGGGACCTCCTTGCATGTTCATGGCTTGAAGACAATGGTCCGTGAATTTGCAAAAGCCGTCCACGCGCGTCCAGGTGGAAAAGGCAAAGTTGTCTTCGTCAATCTAACAAGGCCAGCCGAGAGTGTCTGGAAAGACGTGATCGACTATTGGGTCTGTATGGACTGCGACGCCTGGGTGGAAAAGACAAAAGAGTGCCGGCCTGAGATCTGGAAAATACAAAAGCAATTGAGCCCAAGCGTGAAGAAATGCAACAGCTCACCGCCATCGTCAAAGAAAGGGAAACAGTGGTTAGATGATGAAGCAGACAAAGAGAACATCCAGGTCATTCTCGACTCAGAGACTTCCCTCACCTCTTCACCGCCAGCCACACCAAAGGTTGTAGTCGCCACACCCAAGAAGCATAAGCCAGAGGACCAGCTTCAATACCGAGTCTCACCACTCAAGACGTCACTTCCAAACAGGAGGGTGAAAACTCGCGAGATCCCGGACTCAGATCCGCAGTCTTCGTTGCCAACACCACCCTCATCTGGAGACAATACGCCGAGGTCGACGAGAAAGCGCAAGGCTTTGACGGAAACCTACGAAGAGTGCCTTTTGACGCCATCAAAGAGGAGGAGAGTCGTAGAGGTGTGGGAAGATTAAGCGACAGAAATGTCGTTAGTTAGAGCTCAACTTTGGGGAGAAACAATTGCATGTTCAGGCAGACAGCATGAGTACCGCTATCATACCGTTCGAAGCGCTTGAAGGCAGCAGAGATAAAACGAAGAAGGAAATTGCAGGATCGTATTAGCTAGAATTCTATCTGAGAGTCAAAAGAAATATGTGTTCGTACAGTCATCAAAAGCATCAAGCATGTCATCAAAAGCCACCGCATAGCCCTCATAAGACCACCGTGTATTCCGTCAACCTCCTCACCAGAGTCGTCATATTATTTCGCGTCAGCGCCCCTGCCATTGTTGCTTCTTGCAAAAATCCTCAACAGCTAACCCATCTCGTAACACCAACTCCCTCAGCCGACCTAGTAATCGTCCCTCCGTCCCTTACTCCTCCTCCTCTCCACGCGCTCATAGTACCTCCCATCATCATACTCATCAACCTCATACTTGCTCCCCCTACCCCCATCTCTCTCATAGCCCCTATCAACATGACTCCTACTCCTCCTCTTCTCCCTCTCCCTCTCCCGTTCCCTATGCCCCCCTTATCCCCCGATCCTGTAATCTCCCCCACAAAATCCCCCACCTTCTCCTTAATCCCATCAATAATATTATCCGCGCCCTTCTCCACCTTCCGCTCCCCCCTCCTGACATCCCGTCCAAAATCATCCTCATGCTTCCGTTCCCGGTGGCGCTCATGTCGTTTCTCCAGCTCATGCGCCCCCCACGCCCCCAGCGCCGTCCCCGCTACCGTCCCCAGCGCGTTCTTCCCGCCAAACTCGTGCCCGAGGAATGCGCCTGCTGCACCGCCGGCTGCTGTGGCGCCTACGCTCTTCGCGCGGCTGCGAGAGTGGCTGCGGGATCGGTGCCGGGATTTGGATCGCCGGGTTGTGCGATCGTCGCGCGAGGAGCGCCGGGAGAAGTATTCTTCCGATGAGGAGCCCGAGTCGTCGCGGCGGTGGTGGCGGTGACGCCGGGGGCCATCGATGGGGGAGAGGAGGTCGGCGCTGTCGCGGCGGTCGCGGGTGGAGGAGGGGTAGTAGGAGCCGGAGGGGGGCGATGCGTGGTAGTTAGAGGCCCGGCTGTGGGTGGGTATTCGAAGTTTGAGCCCGACTGGGTTTGGGTTGAGGCGCCGGGGGGTGGAGGGTAGTAGGTTTGACTGGAGGTATAGCGGTCGGATGTGTAGCGATCTCCCATGGCGTGAGGATCTTTGTTGGTGAAGAGTGTGAGTGGTTGATAGGCCAGTGAAGGCTAATCAGAGGATGGGAGCTATTGAAGACTATTGTTCACTTTGCTTCTGTGACTGAATTTGCGAGTAAATGTGAAGAGTGAGAGAGAGGAGCAGATAAGAGAGATGAGTGAAGAAGACGCATTTAAAAGTGTCTGGTAATGATGTATCAGGCTGAAGTCACACCCTCGAGGACACTTGATTATGCAGCAGGACAACCCATCGAATGGAAGGCGCAGGCCGAGGGCAAGTCTTGGCATCGATGACGCACACAGCCGCCGCTTTCCGCTCCTCTGATTTGCGGAGGAAGCAGTGGCGCCGTGGCGGAGTCAGTGTGTGCATTCCATAAGCCACAGCTGGTTCACCTCGCTGAGAGCCTGAACACTTGGTAGGTGTCGGTTGCATAGGAACGTAGGGCTGGTGTCTGTGGTGAGATAAGAGATTTGACATGTAGCTGTACCGTGTCGAAAGGCTCCATTCAGGCGTTCAGGGGCCGCGCGGTAGCTGGAGTCGGACTGATATCTGGCCGTATGTGTATGATCACCTTCCAATCAGTGAGCTGTTGGGTATGTCGGAGTCACCGCTCCTGGGACAGAATCCAGGCGAATATGAGAGTCATGTTCAACCCTTTCTCGATCATCTAAAGCGCTCGAGCAACACAGTCAAGAAGCAGTTCGACAAGGCCGAAGGCCGCAATCTTTTCGAGACCTCTTGTGAGGTTGACAACTTTCGCGTCGGGATCGGTGAGGATATTCTCGGCAGTTGTTTGCCAGAGATAGAGGCTGCGCAGCATGAGGTCGTCATTGTCACTTGTTTTTGGGCAAAATCCGCATCTCAACAAAATCTGGCCGCTTCACTGCAAAAGCTAGCGGATCAAGCGAAGTCTGCAAAGCGACTCGTATCTGTCAAGCTGTGTTTTTCGTCTTTGTCGCTCTGGCAAAAGCTGACACATACCTCGTCTGTCAATGGTCAGACATACCCGTCGCATACATGGAGAAGTACTTTCGGCCTTCCCCAAGAAACCGATCTCGTCACGACCGGTCCAGACGGCGCGATCGGAGTAAAACTGAGTATCAAAAGTATCTTCGTTAGGCCTTTCAGCGTCATGCACCCGAAATTCATCATCATTGATCGCCAGCGTGCTTTCTTACCCAGTTGCAATGTGAGCTGGGAGAATTGGTTTGAAGGATGTGTCAATCTGCGAGGCTCGGTAGTTGCATATTTTTTGAGATGTTACAGCCAGTTCTGGGAACAGGGAGACGACGTAAATAGAGTCGACGATGCTGCGGTAAACGGACATAGCACAGATCGAGGGATCCAGTCAGGCAGCCTAGGCCAGGAGCACCAATCCGTGCCTACCCTCTTCTTACCATCGCCCCACTCCTCCAATCCCTACTTCCGCCCAACGTTCTTCCTGACGGCACCAGAACCACCACCAACTCCGCTCAACATATTTATGCTCACCAGTTTTGCTAATGCGAAGCGTTCCATTTACCTACAGACTCCAAATCTCACCTCACCCCCAGTTCTGTCAGCTTTAGTCTCGGCGCTTGAACGCGGCGTCGATATCGACATCATTACTAGCAGCCGTATGATGTTACTGGAACAACTTCTTACGGCCGGCACAACTACCGAAATATGCGTAGGCTCCCTGATCCGGCGTTATCAAAAGCTCGTTCGCACGCACCTTACACTCATGAACCGTCCAGAGAGCATTGAGGAAGGATTGAGTAGACCTGGACGATTGAGCATAAAATATTACAAGCCTCAGACCAGTACCTCTGGGAAGATCAATGAAAAGGAGCCAGTCAAATCCCACCTCAAGCTTACTATAATCGAAGATTATGTGGTGGTACTAGGTAGTGGAAATATGGATCGCGCGTCTTGGTACACTAGTCAAGAACTGGGTATCGCATTCTTTTCTTTTGAAATGGCGCATCGTGTTCGAGGAGAGGTAAGGAAATGGTTGGAAGATGGACGGCTTGGAAAGGAGCTTGTCAAATCTGATAAAGCGCTCTTGAGGCCATGAAAGCCGGGAAGGAACGATGTAGAGCGCCCATTCAAGCCGTCTACTACGCCACAAGCTTCATCAAACAGCTTTCTCACGGTCATCTACATCGATTCAAATCACATGCTAAGAGTAAAATTTAAGGCTATTGCACCGATTACACTTTTGCAGGAATCTCTTTCTTTCCAACAGTGCCTCTAGCCGATTTATCTACAACATCGTACAGAACCACAACATGCCGATGATTCCCTTTGATATCGAGCTTAACATTGCGTCCGAGCCCTACTTTTATTGGAACTACAAAGCCTCCACCATTCCCGAAGCACAAGCGCTGGCCTCAGATCTGGGCTTGAGATTCCCGGTTAGGCCTTTGTACGGAATTGAAAGCGCCACGGTGTGAGTTCCACCGCTAAACACAGCTCGTCTGCAAGTAGTTGATATATAACAGATATCCGATACGACGCCTGATAATAACAAATGAAGCTTCACCAGAGAGTTACGAATTGCTTCTAGGACCATTGTGGATGTCCAAAGCCTCTCATACCATTCAAAAGACGCGAATGGAGGTCCTGCTATATCCGGCTGCTGGCTCACTGAGCTATAATATCGCGGAAGAACTAGATGAAGGTACTACTGAATGGAATCCTAGAGGTGAGTCTTGCGATGTTTGCTTGCGGTTTTGAAACATGGCGAACCACCTATATCCTCCTTTCATCTCGCTATCTGGCTCAGGATCTAAAGTGGCTACGAACTCCCGTCTCTTACAGACAACAAGATTTGTCATTCCGTCCTGTTCTATGTCTCCCTCCTTTCTTTCCGGTCAGTGAAGCTTCCGAGCCGATCTCCAGAAATGAAAATCTCGGCATTTTCAAATGTTATGCTTCAAATAACATTTATCTCTCTAGGTCCAACCGATTACGAAAAAATCGAGCTGGATCGCATCCTCGAGATTGCCGAGAAGGTAGATCTGTACATGAGTTACCACAAGGGTGGTGAGAAGGAGGTTTCGCTTGACGATATGACCGATATATGGCTACAGTTGGGAGGAGGCTGTGGCTATCCGGAAAATTTCTGGCATCTCCAATATGCCATCGATGCGAGGGACCAGGGGTTGTAAAATTTTGGAGGGACGACGGTACAAAAAAGATGTAGGATTCTTGGATTGGTTCTCTTGATGGACAACGAAAGCGCGCGCACACGTAAGACAACATTCTATGTTACGGAAAAGAGAACTCGATCTCGTACGAATGTTGCCCTCTTTCTACTTTTCTACCCGATCTCTTCACATCCTCAAGCGTCCAAAGTCGAGTGCTTCTCCCTTCAATTGATATCATGTCAATATGCTAAGCCTCAAGTGTTCTGTAGCCATGTTTCTCCTTTGCCCTCTGAAACTCGTCACACACTTTCGTACCCCTCTAGGATTCTTATCATCTGGAAATGCAATCATGGCCTACCAAGGCTACCTAGTGGTCGCTTTTACAAATCACGTCCGGCAGTACCTTTACCTATTATTGCTTTAAAGTATATTGCGGTTGGGCTAAAGATGAGAATCTAGGACTCCATTGGTTTAATCGTATAGATCGTCCCTGGTAGTCACCAAAACATGCAATCCTTAGCAACGATCTTCGAAGCACAGACAGCACCATGGAATGGTGAAACGAGATTTGTCTGTTTAATCACTATCATGCGGGCTAGTTGAAGAAGCCCCATGCTGACACCAACAAATAAAGCGCTGCATTCGCCAATCCAAGACCTATCTCTCCAAACTCACCGCTCATCTATCCGGAACATCTTCTATCCCTTTCCTCTCAGTGCTCTCATCTCAATTGATTATGCCACAAAAGCCCTTGCTGCAACACTAGGCGTAGGGGCCTCCTCGTCAGTCTGCCCCTTATGTCTAGCAGCAGCATCGCCATCGTTCTGACTGCCTGAGTTATCTACGCTATTGATGCCCTCATCTGGTGCGTCTGCAGTCTCCAGTTCCGCAGCATCAGCTGCCTTACTTTGTGGGCAGCGAACCTGTGATCAAACTGTGTCAGCGACACGGAATAGGATAGAAGACACAAAGACACTTTCACGCCCACTAAAGATGAGCAGCATGATGAAGTGAGAGTGTTTACCCAGGAACCAGGGCTCAATGGGAAAGAAGGCGCAAGGCGCAAAGATGGGAGGACTCACTGCTCCGCCATCCCTCTTGGGGAACACGCGGTCATCGTTAGGGCTATTGAAGCATTTCCCATTCGCGAAGAGAGGAGCTATGAGGACTTGAAACTTGTTGTTCGGCTGGCGAATTACTGAATGCAAAGGGCTGCCGTAATTCAAGGTGCCGAATTGGTTCTCGCAGCCTGTCTGCCCAATCTTCTTGTTGGATTGAATGAGGTAGAGATCGATTTGCTTAGAGACTATGCGAGCCAATCGCCGCTTAGTCAATAGCTCAATGAGAAGATGGGGGCATATGAATGGGTGGGCAGAGAAGAGAGATATGTACCACAACCAGAACAATCGTCCTGCACGCGGAAATACTTCTTCAATAGCGGTATGTATACTCGTTCGCACTTCTTGAATACGGAGTTGCCCTCAGCGGCAGCGGCGTATGGTTTCTCATACGAGCCGTCCCCCAGTAGAGTTTTGTCACCTGCTACCGTGTTCACGACGTTGTTTCCGTTGCATTTGTAGGCGGGTGTGCCGGAAGCGTCGGGGTAGCCGTAGTTGGTGAATTTGATGCCGGAGGCAACTGAGCAGGAAAGGGTTGAGAGGGGAAGAAGGAGGGTGGTAAGGGAAAGAGCTAGGTATGTAGAGTGCATCTTTGTGGATTGAATGGGTAAATGTATTGAGGGCTGATTGAGTAGGGAATTTTTGAGATGATGTGTAGGAGCTTTGTGCTAATGGAAGTCTTGAGAATGATAATCAGAACATGCCGGGAGGGGAGGTAAAGGATTATATAGACAAAAAACGGGTTAGAATGTCAGTTGCAACAGCGTGATAGATTGTATTGTTGATCATACTTGTTGTAGGCAGTGCATGCAACGTAAGAGGCACCAACTGCATCCAAGAGACTTGGCGAGGATAGTTGTGGGCCCATCGCAGGCTGTTGCTTGCCATCTAGGTCTTGTTTCTGATCATAGGGGAGAGAGCTGGCTTCTAAGAGGGGTCGCAGCCATGATCAGCATCTAATGTCTCGGGTGTGGAGAAGAAGCCGATGAGGCACAGTATGAAGAATGTTTCACAGTAATGACGAAGATTGCGTATGCTAGCTCCTTCCGGAGATGAATCCCGCAAACGGATACATAAGCTCGCTTCCTACTCCATCAAAGTGGATCAGTCTTGTTTCCTTGAGAGTCAGCGCAGCATAAAGACAGAATAGGACGTCGGAAATCTATGCGAGGGCTTGCGGACAGCAAATCCTGAAAAGCTAGACATAATAGCTTACTGCACACATCCCTTCTTTTGGATAAGAGAGCAAATGCGAAAGCTAGACCTGTCCTCGATCCCAGACCTTGGCATAACGACTAGATTATGAGCTCCATTTGGAATTTTGTCTGGCCGAGATTAGCCTACTAAATTCTCAGAGTGACCCACATGACACATCGGAACCATGATCGAAGCGATTCCTGAAGCAGTAACGAATGCGACGAGGATCCAGCCAATGTTTTCGTAATCCCAAAGGGGGTTCTGCATCTTCTGGAGAGGGTTGTGTCAAGTTCTGAACATCTTTCTTATTGCCGCTCTTATTAGGCTCAAGCTGTTTTATTCTAGCAAAATACTAGTAAGAAGGATCAAGACGGTTCTGGGCATTTGAATAATGCAAAGAAAATGATTGAATACTGTTTAAAGGAGAGTGGCGACATGTTGCTACGATAGTGAGAACGACAGCGTAAACCTGAACAAGAAATACATTCACCAGCTCTCAATACCACATTTTCAACAAATCGAGCGCCTGCTACTGTTCGAGATAAACAGCTTAAGTAGCATCCTCTCACGGGCCTCCCGAGGAGAAACAAAGCCTGACAGCCAGAATCGAATCCGCGTTGCAGGAGTTGGTTTCTTCGGACTCGTCAGCGGACGTGGAAGCTCCCCCTTCGCAGCCTATGAAGAAACCGTCCTCTAAGAATGGATTGCCTTCAATGTTAATGACATCGTATTGGATTTTGTTGTCACTGGTGCGTATGTAATCAATCTGAGTCACCTCCCTGATGCTCACAGTGCCATCGTCTTTGGTACGGCTCAGTCTGATGGTGGCGGCCTCGTTGACAGCGGGATAAGGCACCGAAAGCGGAGCTATTTTGCCAGCAAGAGTGTTTTCGCCCAAGGGCGAGGAGACATAGACATTACCGCGGCCTGAAGAGGTGTGTTAAAACCATGATTGATGAATTGTGCAGATAAGGGAGACATTTGGGGCACGATATCACCGTAGATACGTGATCAGGAGAGAAGATGAAGGTCAAAGCTGGATACTGAAGTGGAAATTCAGGGGGTGGAGCAGTAGCCTACGAATGATGAATACGAGGAAATGGGAACGACTTACAATTGGTCGTAATGACTACAGAGCCATCTTGGCTGTCTCGGGGTAGGCTGCGAGCGGATGGACCAGCATTTATCTTTGGGCCCGAACCAGGAGGGGGTGACACATTTATCTTCGGACCAGAGCCTGGAGGGTGTGTTGGAGGTGGTGCAGCAAGGGCAACGCTGCCCAAAAGGCTGAGGGGTACGATGGCCTTAGAGAAATACATGCTAATGCTTTACTTCTGTCCAAGGTTTTTAAACGTTCACTTGTTGGTTGCAGATTGTGATGTCTGGAGTGAATTTGGTTTCTTGAGAACAAAGGGGATATTGAAAAATGGTGATCGCTGAACGAGATTTTATATCTTTCGAAGACACACATGGTCTATGTTTACCCTCGGCTTAACACGAGGCTGATTTTTGAGAGTCATATTGGTGACCAAGGTCAGACAGGCCAAGCAAGGCCAAGAGGTAGCCTCCACCAGTTGTTCCAGCTCGTCGCAGCGTGCAGCCCATTCGGACGTTCGCCAAGATTCATAGATTGCAGAGCGCTTTAAGACTTGTTGTCGCATAGATCTCCAAGATGATCTGACTAGATGCTCGTGCTTGTCTTCATGTGAGTGTCGGTGGAATTGTGAAGCTGGGCGATCTCAAGAGAATTATTACCTGCGCCTGCAGCATCCTCGATCCCAAAGATAAAAGAATCCTTGGGAGTACGACAAAGCTTCTCAGCTACTGACATGATCAAAGTGCTTCGAATTCTGTTCTGTTGGTCAGGAATTCTCATGTCCGAAAGAGGCACGTCTCCATGCTGGCTGTTGTCGCGTCGCTGTCGCTTCTACGTCTTACGCTTGGCAAATATCAGCTTACTGACTCATGTCGAAATTTCATTCTTTGCTCGTGTCAGCCGCTCCTTTTCCAAGGTGCTAGGCGAGAGGAGAATTGCATATATATGTATTAAATACGAGGTTGGTTGGTGGGTGGAGTAAGGTTGGCGATAGAGATTTTAAGGCTCTTCAGGGGAGCGGGCAACCTAGAACCAGCCTAGAAGCTGGTCTTCCCGTCGGAGCCCTAGCGCTTAGGGCTAATCAACGGGCGCTCCCGCTAGCTCATTGCTGGATCTGGAGTCATGAATCGCATCAGCTGCTTTTTCTTCACCTTCTTCGGCTGGCGAGGACTCTATCTTGTGTTTGATCCCGATTACTCTCCGGCATGCCTGCCATACGTCGGAGATCCGCCAATGCATCATACACTCTGTGGTCGTCCTCAAGCCGAATGATGAACTGATAGGAAAGTTGAAGTTGTCCATCATAGTCTTCGATACACTCTTCAAAGCGACTGCTACACAATCGCCATGCGCTCCCGCCCATTGTTCCCTCCTCTTCTCCGTCTCCTTGCCCGCCATTCCTCAAGACTTACCCCTCGCAATCGCATCCTCCGTCTACGCCCTTCTTCACAAAGCCGCTCCCTCACCACCCTCCGCCTCCCTCACCTCCCCTCGCTACCACCTCTTCGCGCCTTTCCTCTCTTAGCTATCAATACCTTGACCATCTACGCTCTCCTCTCCCTTATCTGGCACCACGGCATCAGCGTCATGGCCGTCACAGGTCCCAGCATGTCGCCCTTCCTAAATACAGATTGGAGCAATACGGGGGACAAAGATTGGGTGTGGATCGACATGTCATTCCCCATACGAGCGGCGTGGAGTAAGAACCCACGGAAGGGTAGGGGATGGAACTTGTGGAGGTGGATTGGGTGGGGAAGCACATGGGAAAGAGGGATGGTTGTTGCGTTACGGTACGTGCATGTGCCTTCTTTGGGGAATTTTCAGTTGAGTTGGGATGGTATAATGGCTTCGGCGGAAAATGGCGTAGTGAAAGAACAGGCTGCTATCGTGTATCTTTCGTGCATGAACCTACTAGCTGACATGCTTGGCGACCTAGGAGTCCTAACAACCCAGATCGCCTACAAGTAAAACGTATAATCGCCCTCCCCGGCGACATCGTCACCCCCAAGAGTCGCCCAGTCCCCAACGCCCCCATCTCTTCTCCCATCAACCCACATACATCACCGACACCGCTCCCACCACCACACACCCTCAACGCCCAAGTCACCATTCCACCCGGCCACTTCTGGCTCGAGGGCGACCATCCTGAGCCTGGCAAAACACTCGATAGCAATACGTACGGACCAGTGAGCCATGGACTGATATTGGGCAGGGTGGGAGGTGTGGTATGGCCGTTGAGAAGAACAGGAAGGATAGGCGGTGAGGATTGGACGGTGAAAAGGGAGAGGGTAATAGAGAGGGAAGGAGAGGCCCCTAGGGTCGAGATATTCTAGAGATGATATTAGGAAATATTCAATATAGTAATACTCATAACTCATAAAATGTCTGAAGACCAAGAGCTCAAACCCAGCCAGTCAACCGCTAAGCTCCCCAGCAACAACGAACGCCACGTATAAATATTAATCCACCACCCTAATATCCTCCCCAGCGTTGGATAGCCGATCAATCTCCATTCCGATACTCATGACCCAATGGTCCCTTTCCGCCCTCGATCTTGCCCTGAAGACGATGCTCCGTCCAGGCACACCAAGTCGACTCACGTGTCTCAGCCTCTGCCTCATCTTGCCGGGGCCCGCATCGTCTGGGCTAGCTCTGAGCCAACTCTTATTCCTCGGCTGCCAAATCACAAAAGTAGTCATGACATCCTCATCAATACTCGTCCAGCCATCCTGAACCCACACTCTCGGCAGGGCATGATGGCCAGGATGATTGCTATCGAATGTGCGATTCTCGTATAGCATATCGCCCTCTGTCAGCAATCCGCTATACACGTAACAGTTCTTCAGGTCGAGGGCAGAATGGCGATCGTGCTGGATGTGGCGGACTTCTTCACCAGTACGCTTACGGACCGTGCCGTGGAAAACGAGGAGTTTGCCATGGCAGAGAATGACGCCAGAGCGGAGGAAGGTGGAGCGCCGTTTGGGCTTGTGGTAGAGTGTGCCCGCAAGAGTGATGGCGCGGCAGCAGGATATTCCGCACATGTGAAACAGCTTCGGCGAGGCGATAGATCGGGAGACTTCCCATTTACTCCCGAATTGGCCAAGTGAGGCTTCCATTTCTTCGTCAATGCCCAGACGATCAAGATTCTGAGCACGGACGAATTTCAGCAATTCCATATCATCTGCAAGGCGCAACTTCCAGTAGTGCACTAATTTGCGCAGCCGGTGAATCCATTCGCGTTTTGTTTGCTCGTCGTAGGCCTGTAGGCGGATAACGAGTTTGTTCTTCATGACGAGCTCGAAGGTTCGGTCATCGTCGAACGTAGAGACTTTGCCGTCGTCCCTAGGCGTGTCCAGAACTTCCTGATGAAAGTCGACGTCCGAGCCTTCAGATATGTGTGGGTCGGCTACGGAGTTGCCCCGAGTGGCATTTTGGACGCGAGAGACATGTAGGAGGTTGACGTAGCCTTCAGCTTGGAGCAATGAATTGACCTTTCGTTCGGATTCTTTGTGGGCAGCTTCATCGTGCTGAGCTTTGACAGAGGCGTTATGCTTCAGCCAGTCGATCTGGCCGTTGTGCTCGGGAAATGGGTTGACAGCGAATATTAATGGTGAGTTGTCCACGAGTTCGCTGGCGCTTGGAATTTTATCATCTGCCTTCTCCGGCAAACTTGGAGGAGGTGGTGGCTGAGCTCTTGCGGGCCTACAGTAGCAAAAGTATTGATTGTGAGTGGTGAAATATAATCGCTTGTAGTACATCTTGCCTAATCGACGAACGTTCCCCTTCTGCGAGGTGAGACGAACTAGGAAGCCTTCAACCGGAGCTGGTTCCCTCATCACTTCCTTTGCCTTTCGGGCTTCGGTTGGATAGTGATCCTTCGGCCGCAATTCAAGCTCGTGAGTCTTTTGCATTGCTAAAGTGCCGTACATACGTTGCTCATTAGCACCGTGAACCCATTCAAGGCGATCGTATCTTTTCCAAGCGAGGCCAATCTTCTCCTTCTCGAGCCACTTTTCGAGCACGTTTGACCACTCGGGATTGTCCTCTAGCGCCTTAAGCGCGTTTTGTATTATTGAGCTCGCTGCAGCTTTCTCCGCCTCCATGGTCTTCATAGCAGCCTTTTCTGACTTTGCCGACAGCGCGTCTGACATAGATCTCTCCAAGTCGCTGAAGGGCTTCTCAAGCTGTAGAGACACACTTAAATCAGGAACATTTATTTGGAGATGAGTAGAGCGTGTCCAGCCCAAAGTCTGACGCAAGAAGGTATACCACTCTACCGCACTGGCTGCTGATCTCGCATGGAGAATGTACATTCTTATCCCGCCTTTCCATGGCGTCCATAGTATGAGGGTTTTGTCAAGGGAAGAATACATGTTGATTTTAGTAGTCCTGTGGGCAAGCGAGATTTCATGGGATGACTTTCCTCTGACATGAGTCTGCTCCTTTGCGGGTATGACCCTTGTCTTGTACATTTGCAGAGCAAAATCAGCATCTTGACTTGTGCTCTCTCGGCAGACAACCACATATTCTCTCCACTTGTCTACGGTACGAGCCTCAATTTTTTGACTGCCATTCTCATCATAGTCCGGTGGTAGTTCGTGCATCGTAGAGTCGACCCGTACTAGCATCTTTTCTGCCTTGACAATCTCACCAGGATGTACTTGCCCCTGACGTAATCTTCTCCAGCTCATTCGCCGATCGCTTTTGCTGATAGTCTTACTGATTTTGGTCATCGTGCGTCCATCATCGCCATCAGCTTTGTTGTCCAAATTGAACCTTACGAGACCACGTGCATTTGTATTGGACTGTGAATTGGGCTTAGACTGATTATGGTCTTCCTCTTGTAGTGTTTGAACCTTGTCCGTCTGTTCATCAGGCAGGAGAGCAGTGGTAGAGTTGGTGCCGTTAGCAAGATTGGGAGAGTCGCCATTGGATGATCTTGACGCATTGCCTTCTACAAACCCAGGTGAAGAAGCTTCACCTTGCGAGGGGTCTAAGTGAGGATCTTGAGCAGGCTCTCGGGCGGTTTGAAACGATTGTGGAGGACTTGCGGCTGCATTGCTTAGGCTAAGTCTGGACTTGCCAGCCTTTGGCTTAGTTCGAGCTGTAACGAATGATGTGGCTCTTTCTTGTTTATCTTGCTTGCTGTCGTGCGCTCTTGTCAGGCTTCGCCCCGAAGACCTGCTATTACGGATACTGTGTGGCTTTAATAAGAAATTAGACTTGTCCCCAGTCCGTTCTTTCGTGCCTTTAGGAGTGGTATCGTCGGCTGCATCTCCATCTTGGTTGTTCACCTCTTCAACATTGATAGCGACGTCGTCTTGATCCTCATCGTCTGCGTCTTCAGGCTGTGGGAATGAGGGCATAAATGCAGCACTAGCACTAGGTCCATCAAGTCCAGTGATCTGCCGTGTCTTATTGATACCAGCAGGTGCAGTGAAAGTGGCTGCTTTTGATGAGTAGTTCCTGGCTATGTAATATCTGTACCAATTCTTCCTGTGACTCTTTAGCCACCCTTCCGGTATAGGACCGATGAAGCATCGTCTCGTAGTAAGGTGGACATGTTCTGGGGAGGCATGTTGCTGAGTGATAGTCAGATAATGCTGCTGCGACGTTGACACTGCCTCGTACTTACGAGACGGATTGCGGTGTAGGAGTTCGGGTCGATGGTAATGGTAGGCGACTGCTCGTGGTGAGGACTGTCGTGTGAGCTCATTGGCGCTACTTTCAGCCCCTCATTGATCGAAACCCTTCTTGAAAGGGTGTTTATACATTAAAATAGATAATCTGAGCAATTGCAGCGCCTGGCCGGTATATTGAAGCTATGATGTCGATTGAAGAAGATTGACAGCTGACAGCCGCCAGACGCGCGCATCCATACAGCTCTGCCCCTCCTTGAACCATTAGACCTGCCATTGAGTGACAGCTCTTGTAATATCAATCGACGTACCACTGTAACCTGCAAATATGTCGATACCAGCCTCAAATACCTTCCCCGCCGGCGGCACCTGGTTTGACACTCTCCGCAAATCGTTTGTTGACGTATCTGTCGATTCGAGCAAGGACAATGCTATAGCGACAAGTCAATTCCTCGAGGCTGCAGAAGCACTCTCGACTCTGTTTGGTGGCTATACCCGCCTCTTGCGCCATACCGTATAACGAAGTGCTGAGCTTCAACCCAGATACCCTTGGCTCTGTTGCCTTCACACCAGTGAAGAACGATATCATAGGCAATATCAAGGTGCTCCTCCCCTTGGGACTACGTGATGCAAACTCCTGACTGATGGGAAGCATGGCTAGAAAGTAAGAGACCGCCAGTTAGCTGCACCAGCAGAATCTGAGAATCTACAATCACTCGTAGTCAACGAGCTGAAGACGAAGAAACACGTCGCAACCGAGGGGCTACTATGGCTCGTACGGTACGCCTCACCTTCAGAGAGACTTGAGCTGTCTTCAACATTCCATTGCCATGTACAAAATGATGCAAGTCGTCAAAGTGCTAATATTAAGCCCGTACTAGTGGCCTCGATTTTACTTCGCAAGCCCTACGACATAACCTCTCACACCCGAGCGAGGAGCTTGCTACATCCTTCCGACATTCTTATGGCAATACCCTCAAACCTCATCATTCATTCCTAGTCAAGCCGATATTCAGCGCCGCAATGTCTGCCACACCATACAGGAAGGACTTCATGGCAAAATTGGGAGAGAATCAAGGCAAGGTTGATACTGAAATGGGAAAATGGCTAGACGCGCTTGAGGGCCAGGTGAAGATTTTGAAAGAATTTCAGGGACGAAAGGAGGCTAAGTGGTAAAGAGTGATGAAGATCAACATTCGACATATGAGACGAGCCTACCGGTAACAAACGAAGCTCTTTCTCTACTGCTACGTGCTTCGTGTATCCAAATCTTGGTCGAATGCATTTCTTATTAGTTGCTTTATTTCAGAGTTTATTGTCGCTGTCGTTGCCTTAGCTTTCACGCTGGTAAGGTAGTAGAGCGTTGAAAGTAATCGCAGCATTATCCATTGTAGTAGTCATTGGGGAGATCTCACTTTGAATAGCTTGGAGACGCTGGGCTATTCAGGTAGTGGCCTCTTTGAAGGAACAGGAGCTGATGTGGCCGCTGGAAGATAAGATACTCCAGTAGCGGTGTTGGGATATTCGGTAATTCGAAAACCTATACGTCGACATAACATCTTGAGTAATAATTGAGGTGGAATACATATGAAACAGGACGGCTCTAACAGCGAACAAATTGAGATTGGTCAAGTAAGCTTCATAAGGATGAATGTCCGATCAATCCAAGGGGCATTCTGGGCCGAAAGCTCACATATACCAATGCAGGTAATACTCACCAAATGCATGCGTGATGAGAGCCTTCCTTGTTTTAGGTCTATTGAGCCTTTTGAATAACACATACCTACCATCCTCAGCATTAACAGTGTCTACACGCCCTCCGATGACAATGTTCAAATCATCGGTTCATGACCTTCATGAACTTTTGCGGACATCATCAGGATCTGCAAACCTTCACTACCGAGCTTATGAGACCTTTCAAGTATCGTTAATAGTGTCGAGATCTCGGGCTAATTGTGCAATGTGCTGCTTTCGGAGCTGAATCAGAACCCAGCTTTCGAGGAAATTCTCCCTCGTCAATGCTTATCAATGGCTTCTCGGCCTCCAAGTTGGCCAGAAGACCGGTCAAATCAGCATTCTAGTCATCGTTGTGGCCGAAACAGACAACTTTAATCCATATCAGCCGGCTTGAGTGGACTGAACGAAGGGTTTTTGAGGAAATTGAAGGGCTTCTCCACATACTAAGGCTGATCCCAAGGCCTACCTCCCTGCTCTTTCGGAGAATATCGCTAGCCCCAAGTGTACAATAAGGCTCTGTCCTTTGGTTTCTTGCTTCTCCGGACTTCCCAGATGCTGCATTGCATTTGGCTGTTCAAGACGCCTGGAAGCAGCTCAACCACGCGAATGGAGTCATTGAATTGCAAAGATTTCCAAACAGAGTATTGAATCAAGCTCTGACGATGCCATCAGGGGAGAACAGATATTCTCATCGATGAAAATTATCAAGCAAGGTTTGAGAGGGCCCGCCGCCCAAGGCTGAGGCTAATGCATTGTAGAGCTTACTAGTCCTAAGCCTCGCGCCCAAATCATCACCTTAAGTGCTCATGCCCCTTTGGCACTAGGTGAGCGCCACTTCTTGTCGTATCATGGTAGCCGCTTTACCATGACGACCGCCATTCAATCTTCCTCGAACAAAAACGAACTCTTTTTTAGGGTCCATCAAGTACTATTCTACCAGCAAGTTCATTGTGTCAATCGATTATTATCAATACTTGCCTTATCCTTGATAGTGAGGTTTCCGCAATCAAATCACTGAATTTGTTAGAGATTGGTTCTGCACATTTGCGATGGGAAACTGACGTTGAAGACTTCTCAATGTTGTCGATAGCTTGATGAGTACCCGTACCTGGCTTCGGTTTCTTCTCTGATCGAGACATGGGGCGTGTAGCTGATGTCGACTCCTCGTCTCGGGCAAGGAGATGCTCTATTAGGCTTTTGGGATGGTCTTTTCAAAGCATGTCCCAAATCTCTTGTGATGCTTCAATCTCTGGAGCTTCCTCTGCCATGGCATTTTTTTGCTTGATGACGGCGGAGGCCGGCTGTTCTTCCGCCCTCGCTTGACCTTCAATAACGTTTTGGGGGTCGTCATTTGCTACTGTGGATACTGGCACTTGACTGGCGGGGCGTGGTTTGAACGGAGGGATGGGCATAAACTCTTAAGTTGGGTTGCTTCGTTCGACGCGATTCGACTTTCCAGGACGATGTCTCCTTTTCTTAGACTCAGGATGTATGATGTTTCCATTCTCGTCTATCGGTATAAGATCGCGCATCGTTCTTTCTGGGTAGATTGAGGCAGCCCTGGCCTTCTTACGAGCTTCCTCAGCGGCTGAAAAGTTTCTAGGGTCGTGCAAAAGACCGCGTCGCCTCAATCGCTCTATGACTACGTGTTTCAATGAGCGCTGTGCATGAAGATTGGAGGCCTATCATATTCCCCACCGATACTCCCTTCTTTCTCCAACTCCATTGTTTCAGTTTAAAAGCAAGCACTCGATCATTGTTTGCCGTCGTTTTTTGTGTCAACCGTTTTTTGTCTTAAGATTGTAGGTCGAGTTTACTGACGGGAATTTGCAGTTGGAAAGCGGGGCATAACACTTCCCAAACAATCCTAGCTTGGTAAGTTGTCCGCCGTGGCAAACTTGAAACCAAACTTGCCTTCAAAGTGGAAAGACACTTAGGATATCACCTCTATTTCTTTGCACAACAACATCGATATTCAACATGCCGAGCAAAAAGAAGACGCCTTGTAAGTTTTGATGTCTTGAGACACGATATACGAATCAAAGATAGCTTTCTGATTGAACGATGCTTTTTTGGTAGCTGTTACACCCGGCGCATATGTGGCAAAGAGGGCTGTCACAGAGAACAAAATGGAGCAAAGTCCTGATAAGGTCTTGAGCGGCCAGATTACAAAGCAGACCAGGACGCAGAGGAGAAATAAGCGCCGAAACAAAAAAAACTTGGAGGGTCTGCTTGAATCCACTGAATCTTTGCCAAAGTCTTGAACTGACTTACCTTTACCGCAGCTCGGAGCATGCGCCAAATCGAAAATGTGCTCCAAAAGACATCTCTAGAGGACCCAAGCTCGAAATCTGCGTTACGTCGATCCAACCAACTTCTGAGATCCCTCAAAGTGATCCCTTCACTCGACAAATACGCATCACCAACGGCGGAATCGTCGTCCAAATCGCCAAATGTCCAGAGGACCGAGTTGGATAAGATGAAGATGAGGATTTGAATGTAGGATGGATGAATTGTATGAGAACATGATGCTGTGTAGCTTTCCGGCAGGATGTAGGACTTGAACACCAGCATTCAGGATAAATGTTCATGTCAGGACCCTGAAAACATAAGCGACGAGTCAGGCATAGCAACAGGCTGATCTTTGCTATTTGATAGCCACTCAAGCATTCGGAGATGTTTTGGTCGCAAACTCAATCATGTGAAAGCTCCGGCACAGATACAACAATGAAATAGAATTCAAGATAGTCATCTCAAGGATCTGATCTCGATGTATGCATGCGTTCCCGCTATGGCCTGCATGGGCACTAGTGTTTCTCCGAATTGGGCCGGAGGTGATTTTGGGTTTTCTCTTCGTATATCTTCGCCTGGTCGCCACTTTCGCAAGGAAGTCAGATGATCGTGACTGGACTCGCTTTAGTGAGCGGCTGCGCTCACTGTTGTTGCTTTCCTTCGGCCTCTGCCCATCGAATCGCATGTGAGAAGGAAGGTTTACTTCTGCGCTACTGCAAACTACGAATCTGATCGGTCAAGAGTAAAACTTGTTCAAATTTGTGTGGATCGAAAACAGGCAATGGCAATGACATACCTCGCCGCAGGATGAAGGCTAGCAATGATCATCTAGGCATCCTCGACAGCATGAGGTTCAATAATCCTCCGAGGTCAATCTAAGTTTTAGGTTGCCTCGTCCATTCTAGGCGCCAAGAAGGGTGGCTAGGTGCCCCTAGCATTAGCCTCGGGGGCCATGACCACCTAGAGCTCTAGGGGTCTTTTAGCGCCTTTGGTAGGCGGAAGTTGGAGGCTCACCGCCACTGCTGCCTCATGCCGTCAAGAATGATAAGTGGATTCATCAGGTGATGTTCATTCTCACCTGTATATGTCTCTCGTAGCACCGGTCTGCATCGTGCCTTTCTTTTCATCCCAATGGTCGAAGCTACACGCGGTGTGAAAGGCTGAGTTCTGGTAGCAATTAGCACTTCTGAATCTATCGTTTGCTCCAACATGTCTGCTAAAGGGGCCAAAGTCGAGCTTCCTGGCTTTGGCCAGCCGCTCACGGCGCGTAAGAACCGGGATGACAAGTATCCCATTGCCATTCTTGGAGACGGAAGCTCGTATGAATCCACTACTAAAGATGGCAGAGAAGGCTATGGTGGGCTAAAGAAACGTAGAGCAGCAGTCCTTACGCAACGCGAGTACACTCTCATGGAGATGATGAATCGCATCACCGACAAACCTGACTGGCAGCGCAAAGTTTTCGATGAAGCAATAGTGGAGAAGTGGAAGGAAGAGTTCCTCGAAAACAGCGACTCTGAAAATGAATCGGCAAACGGCAGAATGGAAATTGTAGATCCCCTGGAGATGAACGCCAAATCTGAGGTCAATAGCGACGCGATGCTGCAAGACGAATCGATGACCGAGGATGATAAGGCCTCTGAAGCTGGCACTGAAACGGAATCTCTAGCTTCTCAATATGCTAATGGACCTCCTGAAATGACAGAGAAGATGGTCCAATGGGCTATCGCAGAATGTCGCTACAAGGCTGAAGTCTTTGAACAGACTAATTGCATTGAAGCCCTTGACGGGGTCTGGAAGTCTGACACCATCGTGGGGAAGAAGCTGAAGAAGAAACTTCAGGGCGCAGTGGAGGTATTGGAGAATGTCCCGGAAGTAAGATTCACGGCAGAACGCAGCCCGCAGTGTCTTGATGTTCAACTATCCTTGAAGTTATTGACTAATCGCAAATTCGCAGAAAGACAAAGACTGGCATCCGGGTTCCAATAATCAGGTTCTGGACCTAGTGCACCCATCCGTCTATCCTATGGTCTACGGCCAAAGCAAGATTCTAGCGGCGAATAAATGCGGCGTCAATGACTGTCTGAAATGGACTGGCAAAGGAGAAACTGTGCCTCTCATTGAAGAATCCGAGGAAGTGCCTAAAGAGTGGTCCAGGAAGTATCAGTGGCTTCCTGCCGAGGTCGAGCTAAGTAACCATTCTCAAGACGTCAGGTAAGCTGAACCTACCTCCCCTTCTATCAACAAGTGCCTTGGTGTCTTTGAACAGATCGCAGTAGGATCCTCGAGATTGGGGTGCCAGCTTAAAAGACCATACTACTACGGCAACTGACCTTTACAGAGCTGCAAGTTATATCAATAACCTGCACCCTGTCGACAATGCCGATCTCTACGCCATTATTCCCGCCATCATCGCCAAAGCTATCCCACTCTGGAACCGCGTTCTTAGCCGCATCAGCTGGTCCCATCAAATCCCGGAGCGCGTCTCGGACTGGAGTAATAGCGACATGGGCTACGAGAAAGACTGGGAGGAAAATATGCCCGAGGAGCCAGAGGAAGACGAAGACGATGCCGACTTCGAAGACCGGCGCGAAGCCTACATGGAGAATCGTGAAGTCATACCGCCCGAGCCGAAAGAATTCAAACCTCCTGCTGAAAGAATGAAAGAGCACTACGGGCACGCAGTCGATGTGTATGACCTAAAACCGCACGTTGATCTCCGTAGAGGTATTCTCTCATGGCAAGATGCCAGGAAGGCGGATTCCGGGACCCACAAAGAAGCGAACAACTTACAAATCATCGTCAAACTCGCCAACATCCACCTTACACCAGAGAAACCAGAGTACGAAGGCGGAACATGGCACGTAGAAGGCATGGCGAACGAATCCATGTAAGCCCACCCTCCATCCCCCCCACCGCACCCTCTTCCCCTCCTCTACCGCCCCCCTCGTCTGCCCTTGCATCTCCATAACCTCTCACCCAATTCCTTCACTAATGCCAACCCCCCATCCCAGCTGCGCCTCAGCCTTATACTACTACTCCTCCTCCAACCTAACCGAATCGCGCCTCTCATTCCGCCAATCCGTCGACGACGGCATCGACCTCCCTACCCGCAATCCGACCACCGCGCCGTCCTCTCCATCTACGGTATCGAAAACGAAGGTCCCACGATTCAACATCTCGGCTCCGTCTGCACGCCCGAAGGCCGCCTCCTCGCCTTCCCCAACGTCATGCAACACCGCGTGCTCCCCTTCAAGCTCGCTGACCCGACGAAACCCGGGCATAGGAAGATCCTTGCACTTTTCCTGGTGGATCCGCATATGCGGATTATCGGGACGGGGGAGGTACCGCCGCAGCAGAAGGAGTGGTGGGGACGGGATGTGGTGGATGAGAGTGGGGTTTTGGGGGGCTTGCCGAGGGAGATTCAGGAGGCGGTTAAGGGGTTGGAGTATGAGTTCCCGGTTAGCTTGGAGAAGGCGAGGGAGCAGAGGGAGGAGTTGATGGCGGAACGGAGGGTTTTTGTAGAGGAGAATACGGAAGATTTTGAGAGTCGGAATACTTTTTCTGTGAGTTCTCATAGCTTGGGGGTTGGGAAGGGGCTAACTCGATACAGCTGTGCGAGCATTAGGGATTTTGACGTGAGAAATGGGAGGGCTGGCTCGGATGGCTCATTGGAGGGGGACTGTACGAGGATGGCATTCGAGCGTTCATATAGCTTTCTTGATTGGGGACAGGCTTTCTGGAATTGGCGTATTCTGCTGTCGCGAGATGCATTACCTTTGATACGTACATAATTTTTATGTCGAATTTAGCCTTCGTGAAGCATAGAGATGATTTTCCATGACGACCTAGGTATTCTCAAAGTCATGATGTAGCTCAGTGGCACGATATAAGCTGTGATCCAGGTGCGATTTGAGGGCCAAACAATCAGCTTGCCCTCGAAAATCTCTGTGTTGTTTATAGCCTTGATCATCTGGTCATCATATCTGTGTCTCGGCTTCATATTGTTGGATTTTCAATGACTTGCGAATTACCACCGACTTCAGTGAAAGTTTCTTCCTCAAAGTCGTTCGATAGTACCTGCGACTGAGAGTCTTTGTCCAAGATTCTAACACCCGCAGCTTCAAGCGACTTAACGTAGGCAGGGTCCATGCCTTCATTGCCGTCTTGCTGAATATGATCCCTGAGGATTTTGGTATAGAAGTCGGAGAAGGATGCAGTTGTTCGCTCCCAGTCCGCATCGATTTTAGGATATAGTTCATGAAATCTCTGCCTCGGGAGCGTATCCTCTTCTGTCATCTCTTGAGCTTCTTCAAGATCGACTGGTGGCACGATACCGCCGCTTGTGATTCGGCAACAAGTATGACGAAGTCCAAGGTCTTCAAATAAGCATAGTCGCAAGGCGCTGTGGCTGAAAACCCATGAATCTCGTGGATCACCAGTCGCCAAAAGGATTTCGATGATCCAGTCGATGAGTCTGAGACGTAGAAGTGTCCGCCTTTGTAAATAGCGATACCATCCAAATCCCTTAAGGAACATTTTGGGTGGCCTGCATCCAGATAGAGAACATTTGCAGCGACAGAAATCATGTGAGCCTATGAATCGAGAGCCTAGAACCAGTTGCAAAACCTCTTTCATTGACTCTTTTGGAAGGATCTGTAGCCTTTGTTCGAATGATAGGTGGCTATGGACTTCCAATTCGAACCACTGCCCAATTTCCTGTGCCACCAGATTGACTGTGGAGACCCATCTCGAGTTCGAGGCCTTTGATGGTGTAGGCTGCAGAAAAGAAGCGCCTTTGCGGAAGTACCACATGATCATGGGGAAATTCATCGGTGTAGGGTCCATCGGGTCCCAAACCTTCCTTGTCCTTGTGACTTCCCTCACAAGAGGTGTGAAACCTGCGGAGTCTCTTGCTGTGACATTCTGGAACCCAGCTGCATACAGTTGCTCGGCTAAAGTCGTCGTAAGGTATGAGATATTGTAAATGGTATATGCCGTGCAGCAGTAGTAATTTGGGTCTGCTGAGCCACCCACCTCATTTATCGCGTATACCAAAGATGGCGCCTCCGTATCGGGCAATCCGTTCATCGAGGCGGTAATTGCACTGAACTTCTGGCGCGGGAGGAGCGCTTTCGCGCTTTCAAGAAGAAGTCGTCTTCGATGCGCTAGTTCCTGGACAAGGAAAGAAAGGAGCTCCTCATCGGCATTCGCGACGACTGCATGCTCTAAGACGTGAGTAGACTCAACGTCGTTTGTCAGAAAAGGGCTGCCGGCAGCTAAGAGCATTTGCACGGTGTCACAACAGCTCAGTTGACATGCATATGATAGTGGAAGAAGGTGGAGACGATCTGTGACTGTGTAGTCCGCCCCAGCATCCAGAAGAAGTTGACAAGCCCACGGCCAATCGGCAGCAAGATGGAGAGCGGTCTGCCCTAACAAGTTACGCTCCAGCATACTCTTGTCATCCTGCGGCAAACAGCGCTCAAATCTGACCTTTGCTCTTTGCAATATGGCAATCTGGAGGCTGTTACATCCGCAATCTGCTTTAAATTCAGCCGTAATTACTAAATGGTGAAGGACTTGTCTCACGATCGGCAAAGTCTTCGACTAACTTCATGATTACGAGTATAAATTGGGGAGCTAACTGAGGTGATTGAAAGAAGGTCTGATATGGATTTGGTCCAAGTCCAAGCAAATTGTGATGTCGAGCCGTCTCACCAAATTGTGCACCAAGGTCAATAAGCTCTGAAATGAAGCCTGTTGAAGGTTTAGCCCTGGTGTAGTAGCCTTGTAAGATCAAGCGGTCAAGTATGGTGCTGTTGGTTCATCAACACCCCCTCTGTATCACACCTATGATGGCCATACCACTTTCCATGCATGCCCTCATCAGGTTCTTCATTCATAGAGAAGCCCATAAGGGTCAATTCCTTTATGAAACGATTTCTGTGTTCCTTATAACTTGAGGTAATTCCAGATTCGTATGCAATTCCCCCAAATAATTCGTCAAAAACCACCTTGAAAGGTGTCAGTCCTTTTTTCGAACGGTATGCATGAGACCAACATTTATGACTGCTCTTCCATCTTGATCAAGATCATACGGCGAGACTCGTCTGCTCTGGATCAATGACCTAATTCGACCCCCCACCTCTATCATTTTCGGTACGCTTTCGCCTTGAGTGCACCCGGAAAATACATGTAATAATTTGAATACGGGCGAGTTGGATCGACGGACACCCCGAATTTCGAGATGGGGGCTTATCGACATGCCACCCGCACCGTACCGTAGGGCAAGAGAAATCTGTCCCGCAACACTCAACATACTACCTCTCAGCTGAAGACACAGCCTCGTAACATATTCTTCTTCGCGGAATAAGTAGCACCCTTTCCTATGTGAGAACTCAGATTGCGACATTACAGTGGTACCGAGAAATCTCTGCTCCCAAGAAGTCTGGATCTGAGGACGCTTGCAATGACACAGCATGCCAGCGATGTCAAAACTATCCTTGGGCGTGCCGATTTCATGCGAATGCAGCATTAGATGGTCCGGACGACTAGCTTGGCTTCGGGGGTCACTCCTTCCCATGGCTCCATCCACATCAATCTCTTCATCAGTTTCAGAGACCTGGAAGTGATTTACGCTGTCGAGGGCTTCTCTGAGAAGACTTGGCCTGGTTACAAAGCGGCCGATTTGATTCCTTTGATCGAGAGCCTTACGCTTTCAACGTGAATCTAATCCGTCATGAATACAGGCGATGCTTACCTGAAGAAGCTTTTGACTATTAGCTACCAGCATACGTGTTGATTGAGCTGTCTCATTGGTCAGGTAAAAGTGAACTGTATGAGTCAGTTGGCCAAGATTGTGAGTCGTTCTTGTAACTTCGGCGTCATATCGAAGGCTTTTCATCAGTAAAGACGTCTTGTTCCAACTTTTGGCAGGCGAGGATGGGATTATATTGCTCAAGACGCCTTCCAAGTGCCTTATCTCTTTGGAGCAGGCTCCGAGAAGCGAGCGTAGTGCAGGCCAGGGATCCTGGTGTGATGAATTAGATTCAACGTGGTACTTGACTTGATCGAGAACATGATTGAGCACGGGGAGTTGAATGGTCACAGATTGGATACTTCTGGGAACTTGAATTGACTTGTCATTGACATCTTTGCAGTGATCGAGGATTCTCTTCGAGCACTTGGTGATTTGGATTATGGCTGCGACGAGGCCTACGACTGTGATCGCTTCAGCCATTGTTTCTCCACAGAACCAAGTCAGTGTGCAAAGCTTTGAGAGCCTCTGAACAGGAGAGGTGACGAGATGTCGAATTCGGCCAACCTCCTCTCAGCCTCATGACGATGCCCAATCGTGGCTTAGCTAGATCGGCAGATTCACCACCCCATGAGGGCCTGCGACCAGCTATACGCTGGGAAACTGCAACACATTGTTTTGAATTCATCAACAACAGCATTACAAGCGCACGATCTGAGCTTCTGCTCCACCCCGTTGAATGAAGCATTGAACAAATTTAAGAAATACGCCAAGACGCGTTCTCAACGTGCAGACGATGCCGAGCCGCTAGCTGGGCGCCGTTGCTTCAATCCCGCCGCTAGTAGAGCTAGCACCAGATGCTACGAGGTCCGAGGGTCGGGTAATCGGAACATGGCCACGCCAAATTCAGGATTAAAGCCATCTTTAGGGAGGTACAGCCCAGAGCCGGGGTGATAACCCGCGCTTTTTAGGTACCCCCTCCTCTAAAAAGGCCCCTATAGATTTGGCGCGGCCATGTTCCGATTACCCGACCCTCGGTCTGAGGGGTCTCGCCCGGATATCCCTCCGCGTAGTTTTGCTTCTCCATTCACCTTCATGCCCAACCTAGTATCACAGCCTTGATCTTCTGCTTGCAGGACGTTACTAGACAGATAGATGCTCAAACCTTGGTGAAATCACTTGTTCGACCTCCTTTCATTACTGTAGTGTCTAGCAGAGCCAAATGTGCACGCGCAAAGCCTCCACCTATTTCCGTAGGAGGAGCTAGAAGGCGCGAACGCGCAGTCTTTATCCTCAAAAGAAAACGCAATCCAAGTCATAGGTCGAATTACTTCATAGCAGGGAATGAGTTATGAAAACATCATAGATTGGTATTTGATCTTGCGGCACAGCCCACGGACGCAAGGCTGGAACGGCCAATATACCCGACTTCCAGGAAGTTCATTATTTAAAAACCCGACTTTCAATGTTGGTAAGCTTCACATGATCTAGGCGGCAACCTCGCCTGAGCCTCAAAAAAGACCAGTAGAACCACTTGGCCCGTTTTCATATGAGTCATTTGAAAACCTGCTGAAGAATTTACCTCGTCGTGTCCCATCATATTCATCAATGGCCCATTGAGCGGGAATTTCTAACTCCTTCCTTTGCACTGAATCGATGGGTAGGGTCGATCGTTAAGAGTATCTGTACGAGTCGTAGATCGATCTGTTTAGTCGGTTGACTGAACGGATGAGCGACCCTGAGATGATGCACATGATAAGCCGCAGGTGATAGTGCCGTTTACTGGTGCTGTCGAGAGAATCACTTTGATATGAAAAGGACGCCAATGGAGCCGTCGGTATAAGATTTTCCTCGCCTTACGATTGGCGTCCTTATCGTATTGAAATATCGACGGCGCGATATTACCCTGCCACCCCGAATCATAGCGAGGGAATCAATAGCCGAGCAATTCTGCAGATTTATATGCCCGTTGCCTCCTGCAACTGGAGACATCAGTTTTCGTCGCTTCTTGCCTATTTGTGGATACAGTAACTTTTGACCTAGTGCCGCAATCATCATGGCTCTTCATCCCATCAACCGTGCCCTCTCGTACGGGGAGCCGCTGCTGTTCATGCTCGTAGCTTTGTACAGTGAGCGCAGCCCTTTGCAAACGTTAATAAAGACTGAACGCAAGGGTTCAAAGGCTTCTTCCTGGTGCTCTTCGACATTGCGACATTGAAAGTGAGCCCATCAGAGCTTCTCTCCTATGACGCCATTAGCGACCGTGTATTTGGCAAGATGTGGTTACGTATCAGTGAGCGCCGCTTTCTCCATCTAATTCCATTGTTCCTTGAATGCCCACGATTGAATTTCAAGCCGCTCGCCTTTGCATATGGAATAAATGCTTGCACCAGGTTCTTCAGGCTCATATTCTGACCGTTTGATTTTCACCACGCAGACAAGACACTCTTCAAAGGCGAAATGGAGACCGTGGTCCCAGCACTCGTCGGTTCGGCCTCAGGCACCGTTCTTGAAATCGGTCCTGGCAGCGGCAACCAGCTTGCGCGCTACAATAAGTCGAATGTCACGACCATCTTCGGTATTGAGCCAAACCGACATCTTCATGACGAATTGCGCGCCAATGTCGCAAAGTTCGGGTTGCAGGATATCTACCGGATTGTTCCATTCGGGATCGAAGAGGTGCAGCGCATGAAGTCTTTTGGTGTGGAGGAGGGCTCCATCGATACAGTGCTGTCTGTTCAGGTGCTTTGTGGTGTGCCAGACCCGGAGCAAGTCTGTAAGCGGATGTATCGGTTGTTGAGGCCCGGTGGGACGATGATTGTGTATGAGCATGTAGAGGCGAAAGATTGGTTGAGTAGGAAGGTGCAAGGTCAGTACTTCTATCATTCTACTCATTTCTACTCTGCACCTCTGGGATTCATGCCAAGACATTCCGTCGAATCTCATTTCGCGCAATATATCGCTCACAGGACGTTCCAGGGGTCTATCAGATCGCCTGGCCCTGGCTTATGGGAGGATGCTCTCTTGTCAGGCCGACAGCAGATTACCTCCTCAGCGCCGGTAAATGGGAAACTGTCGACCTCACCTCATCGGCCAAGGAGGATCCGTGGCTTGTCATTCCCCGTGTTTCCGGGAAGCTGATCAAGGCTAAGTCATAAAGAAAGCAAAAGCATGAGTAACAAGCGAGACACAAGCGAGCGCAAAATGATATTACGAGGGATGTGAAAAATGTATGTCGAAATGAAGAACGCTTGTAAATTGACGTGCTTGAAAACGCGACAACCTAGAGCACATCGGGTAAACAGCGTGAAGCACCCATTCAGGTAGTGCCACCGAGATATTTGACCTTTCTCAAATCCCACGCTCCATGCTCCCCATAATTCGCCTCGAGTCACCGAGCCGCGCATTATGTCAAATGACTACCGAGGTACAGCATCCATCTCATCGATTTGAAGATCTGCTCTAAATTGGCTCCTTTACGCGTGACTTCAAAGAGATCAATCGGACCCGCAACGTGGTCGCCTCCTAAAGTTTTAAATGAAGAGACCGGGACGAGACTGCAATGTAAGCAATAATGATGACAAAGCCATTCGCTTCGAAGTGAGTCTCGGACCTACACGCTACTTCTGTGTACAGCATAGGCTAATGACTCATGCCATTGGGCGTAATCGAACGTTACTAAAACAGGCTTTTTTAAAGTTGAGCTTCCAAATGGTGTAGGGCTGAATCATACTCCCACACTCTGTTATCCCCAAAATTATCTCTCGCGTCAAATAGCCAACTTCAAGTACCTTACCCGGCGATATCATGAACCGAGCAGACGAAGGGAACGCCAGCCCCTGTCCCGCCTTTGATAGCCGGTCTTCAGTCCTCGCAGCCGGCTCCAATAAAAGCCCAGCTCTAAGCGATGAAATTCTGAATCGAAATGCCTGGGTACAATACCTCTTCTACACCCTCATGGTATCTATCACTCCCTTGAAAATCACTACCATCCTTTCTTCCATCATATCGAGCCCTTTTATTTCCTTTATAAGCCTCTATTTCCCTCCCTTATACCACCGCGACTTTCCCGCACCTACCTCTCCTCCCCATCACCGGGATCTCCTCGGCCCCCTACGCTTCTCTCAGTTTTGCACAGAGTAAGGCCTACATTCCCAGCACCTCCAGCTTTTACAAGCCTCTCTGCACAGAAAGTTACTCTAGCGACCCTCTTCCAGTCTTGCACAATGGTGGTACCTGAACCGCTTTTGATACCTGTAATCAATTGATCATCATTGTAACGACATTGATTAGGTCCACGACTACGTACGAGGACAACAAAGTCATATACGCTTGGGCAATTTTTGGAAAGAAGACTAAACAAAGCGAGGATTTGGACGGAGATGACAAAGTGATCTACGCTTGGGTATTTTCTCGATGAAGAGAAGCACGAAGGAGATTCAGATGGCGATTATGAAGTTTCAGACGCCTGGGCATTCTCCGCACGACATATTTGATGAAGGTTTCTGACATTGAAGCGGTCAGATTAACCTTGATTGAAGAGCTAATTTGCAAAACAGGAGAGATTCCAGACCCAGAAACTTAGAAAAGACTGTTCATTGTGAACTTGCTTGAGCCAGAGCTCGCTTATCATATTGAAGACTGAAGATGGCTTACGAACCACATGCATAATGGGGAAGATAGAGCATGAATGTCGCCGACGGCCAGATTCACGCTAAGGTCTTGGCAGTGATTACTAGCGTCTTGGCATGCTCTCCCGCCTCGAAGCCCGAGGGGCTGGGGGCTTGTGTCCACCAGCCTCCACTTTCCGCGTGTGATCCACGAGCTTGCCACACCTTACAAAAATCTAAATGAGCTGTCACAATCCTAGCATGCAATACAATCTTTGCTTGTTGTTATAGCCCCAAAATAGCATGGCTCGTGTCCGTCGCCTCGTCCCGTAGATAGGACGCTTTAGACTATGACAAGTAACGTAAACAAAGAGTCATACGAGAGGTCATCAGCAAAACTCAACATCAACATGTAGATCAATATGCTGCATAATACTGACTACATATGCTAGAAAAGCTTATATCCACAACGCTCAAGGTCCAGCCTCTGGGACTGTTTCATTCAGCCCAGCGTTATCGTTGCTTCACCAGTCAAGTCATTCATCAAAGTCAGCAGCATACCAAGAAGATGCTGATCATAAAGCTTGTCTATCTCTTTAAAATTTGTTCCAAAAAATCTGAGGTGGCGAATGTGTTAATCTCTGGCCAACACATCAGCATATAGTGAATAAACGGGTCATCATCACCACTTGGTGATGGCAAATTGCTAATCATTTCCTTTCTTCTCGGCTTTGCTTTGCTTTGCTTTGCTACTTTCACTTCACTTCATTTCTCCATAAAATCGCAAGGACATACTCACAATTGTCATACTCCGACATGTTGACCTGCCTGGAATTTGCGCCTCACACATTTACCTGTCTGATCGCATGCTTGACGTTCGTTTTTGCAATCAATGCGCTCGATATTGACAAGGAACTCAGGCCAAAGCTGTCAGCGAATGCATCAATCGATCATCCAGCTGTAGCCGTGCGCTGGAGCGACTATGACCCATTGGCCCCCAACAGTATCGTCAACATCGCATCCGAACAGGACGTGCTCTTGACTGTATGTACTACTTCGTCGAAAGTTCGGCTGCAACTCATAATCATGACACTAAGTGATCGCAGGTGCAATACTGCATCGCAAACGATATCACCTTTCTTGCCTCGGGCGGGGGCAACGGTTGGTCTACGACACTCAACATTGGACCTGCCGACGTCATCATCAATCTGCAGGGCATCTCCGCAATTACATTTAATGGAGGAAAGACAGAAGTCACCATTCAAGGAGGCGCGATCGTCAGAGACGTTGTCAGTGCGGCATATGACAATGGCGCACAAGTCGTCACAGGCAATTGTAATTGTATCGGCATCTTCGGCGCGAACCTTGGCGCTGGGTACAGTCGCTTGATGGGTCTCTATGGATTTGGAGTCGACAACGTCCTCTCGATGACGGTGGTGAATGCCGATGGCAACTTCCAGACCATTACTCCAGCAGACACAGATCTTTGGTGGGCATATCGAGGGGCAGGAGCCAACTTTGGCATCGTCACATCAGCGACCGTGAAATCTTATCCAGTACCAACCGAACAAAACGGAGCCTGGCTTGGCCCTCTCATATTTGCGCCAGAGAAACTCGAGATACTCGTCCAGGCCATTAACGATCTCGTCCTGGCCCCTGAAATGGCCATCTTTTTGTACTTCGCAGCGACTCCGCCAGGCTACACGCCCAGTATTATAGTTTTCCCCTTCTACCTTGGTACGGAAGCAGCAGGTAGAGCTGCCTTCAGCTCCATCTTCGCAGTCGGACCGATTACGGAACAAACAGCATGGCAACCATACAACGTGGTGAATGCAGGAAGCGAAGCTTTCTGCGTCAGAGGTGGCCGCAAGCCATCTTATTCAGCTGCTGTCAACACCTTAAATCCAACGATCTTTCGCGCGATCTGGAACGAGTATCTTAGTTTCCTACAGAATCCAGGCACGGAACAAACGACGGTCCTCGTGGAGCGTTACGCACTCGAAAAAGCGAAGTCATTCGGCAACGAATCCTCTTCTTACCCGTGGCGTTCGGCTGAGTATAACGTTATAGTTGAAACGTGGTATGATAATTCAGCTCTAGATGGCGCGGCCAATGTCTTCGGCCAGAGTGTTCGCGCTCTCCTGTGGTTGGCAAATGGAGGTACACCACCCGCTAGGTAAATCGAGATGTTTCCCTCACGTGTGACGTTTGCTGATCAGTGACCCAAGTTACATCAATTACGCGAACGGCGACGAACCATTGGAGGTTATCTACGGAACCAACCTCCCAAGATTGAAAGAAATCAAGAGTAGATACGATCCCCATGGTCGCTTTAACCAATGGTTTCCGCTGCCCAGCGGGCAAGACAGCGCTGCCGCTGAGGTAATTTCTCGTGAACAAGCCAGCGATGCCATCCACTACATTGCTGAGGCCTTTGAATACGCTTCTTAGCAAAGATCTCTGGTAAATTTGGCACGCGACCACGATAAGGAAACTTCACTCTCTAGTAAAAGCCTCACGGGTACTGGTTGGAATTATAAGATACATTTCTGAGCAGGATATCGGAATTTGGAAAGTCTGCCAAGTGGAGACCCAGAGGTGTCAGCTTTTAGTAGGGAATAAAGACCGAGATAGAGCATCTCAGCGGTCTGACTCGATAGGCGGTAAACAGCAGCATGGTGTATAATCTTATGAATCAATTACTATGGCCTTCTCAGATGGCGCTCTCGTTGACTTGGCTTACAAAAACCTAGCGCTAAATCAATTTCTCGATCCGGTCTCGGCTTCAGTCCTCAAGTCCTTTTCAGAAGAAGAAGAAGCTACTCAAGTCTGCTGTACCCATCAGCCGCTCCTCACAGCAACGCCTTCCATGACCCTTCTTGCACACTCTATCCACGTCAACTCTTCTCGACTCGACGCTTTTACCGCATCCCTCACTTCGTCCCCTATTCCACCACCTCATGTACTACTCCCATCACGCCCGCCCCGCCCCCCGCCCCATCTATCACCATCCCCTGTCTCCTCTTCCCAATACCCCCACCCTTCCCCCCTGCCTCTCCCGCTGCCCCTCCTCCCGAACCCGCTTCCATACCCACTTCTCGGCACCCTTAGCATCTTTGCCTTCCTATCCTCCCTCCGCGGTGGATATGTGATGGCTACTATATACAGAGGTGGGCCATGCGAGGATGAGATTGCGAACACAGGGTCTAAACCTAACCCTCAGATTTAAGGACTTACGGATATGTGTCGGGGAAGATGGGGATGGGGATTGGGAGAGACGAGCTGAGTGGGCGGTGGGCCAGGTGACAAAGGGCAAGTGAGTGGAGTGTGGGAAATGGAGTCTTTGTTGCTATGGCGGCATTACAATGCTGGTGAGTCTAGAGGTTACGGAATGATGCGGAGTACAGGTATTATGATTCAAGATCTTCTAGATGATGTGGTCGCAGGCGACTTGACTATGCGGAAGAATGTTGTGAGGTGGCAAGGCAGGTAGCGGAGAGGATAAATTTCGTGAAGAGTGATTCCGGCGGGTGTGTATTTATTGAGGTGGGTGCTACATGTTCAGAGCAATAAGTATTGTGTACAGGTCATGAAGGTGCTACTACCGGCGATGGAGGCAGGAGCGAGAGTTTTGGGAGCAATTTGTATGTTCCTAGAGACGGGAGAGGCCGATTAGGGGAATCTTTCATGTTGAGATGAAGATTGAAGTAAAATGGTATGAGTGAGAAGGAAGAAGAAGGATATATTGACGGTGACGAGGTGAAACGACAGGGAGAGGACTTCAACAGATTGGAGAAAAGTGTTTCCTAAGGCACATGATGTGTTCAGAGTTGCGGTGGCGGAAAGATCTGAGAGAAGCGAGCTACAGGCCGTTGAGTGTGTCAGACAAGGTAGGAAAGGGTAGATCGTTCAGTTGCTCGTTGGGATGATTGAGTATGAAAGAGAGGGGGAATGGAGCCACTTTTCCGTAGTACTTTTGGTCATCAGACTGTGCAGCTGGCACGCAACTTAAGGTAATTTTGATGCTGAAGTGCTCGTGATTACCTTGTGATCTACCAATAGCTCTCCGTGTCTATGGGATGCATCACTCCTCACGGGGTCCAGCTGCTGTGTGCACTCTAGATACTTAAATTCAAAGCCATCACTCATGGCTTTTGACTTGTGATTGCCGATGTCGCCTACGGGTACTTCATGTTTGTTGAAATCACCTCCAGCTCCTTGAAGATATCAAGATTGTCATTACTTCATCAGACTACCTGGTTCAGCTGGTGATACCTCGAAAGAGCTGAAAGTGCAATGCTGGACCCCTTCAGCCTCGTTCACGACTCCCCACTGTACCGGTAATACTGATACTTTGGAGTCTGCTGGAAGTCTTTGGCAAGCAGCACTCAGTACTGCGCTACAGTGACCTGCGAATGGGATCCCCGGTCGTAGCCGTCGACAGCCCGTGAGGATGACTGCAAAGATCATTGAGCAGCCCAGCATCAGAATAAAGACGATTCCTATGCAAGAGTATCCCCATGTTGAAACAAGATACTGGACGCCTCCCTTTGCCGGATCCTGATCGCTGGCATTGATCTGGGCCAAGAAAATCGATTGAGAAACGAGCCAGTGCATTAGCCCCGACAGGATGATGAGCGAGATGGCATAGCCATATGGCAGGGAAAGAAAATACGAAGATCTTTGTCCATTGGTAGGCGAGGAGACTCGGAGCGGTTTGCGATGATGACCAAAGTCATTCCATTCCTTTTCCATGAGCATGCAGGTGAAGATGCTATTATAGTTGAGGTGCAAAAGACTGACTAGAAGTTGGGGCAGGTTAGCAAGTAGCAGAATAGACGTAGGGCTATTGGTAGAATATGCGGGCCCGATGCGAGCATAAGAGGTTATCAGAGACAGAGGATCTACCCGACCTAGACCTGTTTTCCATAAAGAGGTCAATGACGTGCCCGTGAATTGTTTGAGTGTCTGAATTCCGCGGTGAAGAAGGGCTGCCGAAGCTGCCATACCTACGATAGCAATTAAGAGGAGGAAGATCCAGCGCTTGAGGCTTGCCGCACGGTACCAGCGGAGCGATGTTGCCACATAGACCTTAGGATCATTTGGTGAACACTTGTAAAGGTGAGGGATCCACACGCATCTCTCTATGTCCAATTTACTAAGAAGACAAGTCTGGGTAGTGTATGGGTCCGGTCGAGCCAGAAACGAGCTCAGTATATCACTTAAAGATTTCAGCATTTCTTCATTGTCTGGGACAGGTGAAACTCACCCTTGCGTACAAAGCATTTCGTCTCTTAGATAGGCTGCTGCATATATCATACAGCCTACCTTCACAACATTGCATATAATGATTGTAATCGAGAATGTTCTGTTGAAAAACAATCGACAGTGTTCAGCAACCACCTCGCTGCGGCAATGCTCAATGTCAAAGCCGAATAGATTCCAGGTGTCGGGACTGTTATTGTCGGGCGTGCATCTTTTCAAGGTCCCATTGATGTACCCAGGAAGCCCTGAGCACAAGTAATCGAAAGGCTCATAATGAGGTGGGTAGCTGTTGATGTATTCATTCGTTGAAATCTGATCAGTGTAGAGCAGGCTTCCACTCGTGACGTTGTTGTCGAGACCTTCTACTGAGAATCTTTTACCACTAGTAACCGCAAATAAATTCCGATGTCCAGTCAACATCCTTGTGGAGTATGTGTTGATACAGTCTTTATTTGATAGATGCTGTAACTTATCTGGCGAACTCTGCAATTCACTAATGAAGTCGGCGACATACTCCTTGTAAGCCCATGAAGGCATGCCAAAAGTCGAGTTGTCAAAACGTATTGCCGGGGTGACAAGGCTTCGCAAGGCCGGGCCCTCTTTCGGGCCATCTTTCGCTCGATAGTGTGTTCCATTCTGATCAAAACTTCCGCCCGAAAAGAAGTCTTTGCTGACAACAGCCACGCTATAATCGTTTGACTCAAAAGAAGTGAAGATTGTGGAATTGTACCTTTGCAAATGTCAGGAAATGGACTCAGTGAGGATTGCAGTATGAAGTGACAATTCTTTCTGGCTGTGTGGCTCGACTCACAAAATGGCCAAAGGTATGGAGCTCAAGGCGAGACTCAACCAAGTCATAGATCGTCGTGGTTTGATGAATAGAAGATTCTTTAGCGTCGGAGCACCAATATCCAGCCACTTCCCAGCAGCATGAGCCCGATCAAGCTCTTTGCGTGTCGGCGAGCTAAGATATTGCATGGTGTAATTGGAAGCAGATAAGAGGAGAATGCTGAGAACATTGATAACGACATGCAGTCCTGTATCCAAACTTGATGTTTTAGAACAACTTCCCTCGAACAACAGCGATATCCCTTGTGTTACAGGAAATGCAACGCTTGCCCAGACAGTCACCGAGAGGTTGATCAGCATGACCACGATGGTCAGTAGCGTCCAAAAAGAGATACTTGTCTGAGGGCTTGTCAAAATACGCTTACTTCGTGAAGGGATCTCCCGAATGAAGGTGGCATGACAAATCTTCTTCAGCAGCCGCAAAGGAATAGCATGACATTTTCTGGCCGAGTCAAGTACCGTTGTCTGCCAAATATCCATAGAATACGCCACTTTTCCAGGCTCGCCTCGAAGATAGAGCACGGAACAGATGCACTTGCAGCCTGTAATCTCAAATCATTCAACGAGGCCAACATTTGAGATTGTCCATTAGCGGGGTATCGAAGGTCCCAGAGTCAATCTTAAGAAGCAGCTGCAGCGAACTTTGATGACTCTAAGCCTTCGGCACAGAGTTGTATCAATGCATGCACAAGAAAACAAATCCTTCAGTCTCAGACAAGACGGTAATGCAAGTGCGCTTTGCGTGGAATGCCATACATATGGGGCACCCGGCTGAAGACTCTTCACCTTTTGCAGCTGTATGATCAGAGCACAGCCTCATATCAGAGGAAAACATAGATTTCGTGGCGAAGTACTCAACATCCAACGAAGAGAGTCAAGGCCATTCATGGCAAGGATATGACCTAGAGCGAGTCCTGGAGTTGCGACATTTGTGTCTCTGCATGACTCGTCAGTCTCAAGAACTGCATAAGCGCACCAACTCTCAAGGAAGGCAAAAGTCGGCAGTCCAATCGCAGTCGCTGACTTGACAGGAGCCCCGGCGGCGCACAGCCTGATGTGTGGCACAGACACTCTACGCCCTCTGGTTGAAGTTCACAAGGGTCCTACGATCCCTTTCACCCTTTCCCAATCCTTCTTGGGTCCTGGCGCCACTGAAAGTGAAGAAAGTCAGCTTGATGTCGTGGAAGCTACGAAAGTTTTGAGAATTTAAATTGAATTGTAAAATTGATGACTCGTTGTTCGTCGAAGGGGGAGACATTAGTGATACTTGTGACTATAATTTACGAAGCACCTGAACATCATCAGCCATAGGCATTGAAACAGTGACGGGCATTTTTCCATCTCCATGTAGTTTCTCAGCAGTCAGCTGGGAAGTCAGGAGGGTGTGCAGCGAGTTCAACAGACGGGTACCACTATCGTTGATGACAACCTCCTGAATGATACAAAATCATTGGGAAGAGGCACGGGAATACTGTGCCGCTTAAGAAAGGCCAACAATTTCCAGTGTAGCCTGGAATATTTGGCATACTGGCATGTAGATTTGTGCCAGCAGGAATCCTGCATGAGGATTCACGCCACTCTCCAATTCGAAGCATCAAAGACAATGATAAGTGCTACCATCGTCTCAATTCGTACAATGAGGTCTCGAGCCTGGAGGCCAGGAGTATGACATTCACGTGAAAGATGTACCTTCACAACGTATAATAAGGCTCGACCGTTCTTGACACCTGCCCAACCTAATTTCTGACATCCGCAAAACATCCCAGCAATGGCAACAGCGAGCGGCGAGGCTGCAGGCCCACTCGTCCGCTACGCCACAGAGGACGGTCAGAAGCCTTTCTCTCGCGCCGTCCCTACACATGGCCTTTCATTTCTACTAAACCTCGCTCAGACGTCCCCCTCATCCTCTCCCTAATCCACGAGCTCGCCAAATACGAGAAGGCCACACACGAAGTCAAAGCCACCGAAGCATCCCTACGCTCCAGCCTCTCCTTCCCCATCTCCCCAAACCCATCCACCAACCTCGCCTCCACCTCCTCGCAACCCAAGCAAGATTTTACGCCCGGCTACGCACGTACCCTCCTCCTATATCCCCCACATACAAACGAAGCAGCAGGCTTTGCCCTCTTCTTCACCTCCTACAGCACCTGGCAAGCCTCGCCCGGAATCTTCCTCGAAGACCTCTTCGTCCGCCCACAGTACAGAAAACACGGGTATGGCAAACTATTGTTTCGGGTGCTAGCGAGGGAGGCACAACGCGTGCATGTCGAGAGCGGGGGTGCGGGCGTGGCGAGACTGGGGTGGAACGTGCTGAAGTGGAATGAGCCTAGTATTGGATTCTATACTAGTGAGGCGATTGGGGCCAAGCCGACGGATGAGTGGGTTGGTATGAGGGTCGAGGGTGAGGGGGTGGAGAAGCTTGCGAGGTCGGTGGAGACGAGTGGGACGGATGGGGGGAGATGAGATGTGAAACATGTATTACGGGTTAGACGGGGAACGGGAGCAGATGGTGGGCGTGGGAAAGCGATTGGAAAGATACGAAGCATGATGTATGATGATGTACGATGATGTGGAAGTTCTGGCATGTGAGCAAATGGCATATTACAAGAAAGAAGGGTATGAGGCCGGGTTCCGTAGGCTGAACGTGTATAAGAAATTGTACTTCATCCAAAAAATAACATTTAATCGTGTCACTAGACCTCTCGTCTCAAGACTACTTTGTGCATGCTTTTCCGGCTATTGCGTCGGCGGAGTCGTTTGCGGAATCGATTTGGATAGCAATTTGCCTTTTGCATCTACACCCTCAAACATCGCCAGCGGCAATTGCTTGCCCGTTTTCATAGCCACTTCGCACTCTTTCCGGATATCTGTCCATTCGATCTTCCATTGGGCTTCGTTCTTTAATTTGGCCTCAGTGGCCTTCAGAGCTGGAGTATTCATCACAATGTTGGTGTATCTCCTTCTCATGTACCTTGAAGTCAGAGCATGCGGTCGGCTTATCATTTTTGTTTGTGTAGTGTGTGTTCTCATTCCTCGCTCATTTCTGGACCCACGGCGCCGTGGACGAGACAATTTCGCTGCATCTCCCTGCCCAAGAGCTAGATGTCTTAGCCGTTTCTGTTCATCGTAGGGTACAGGAGGGAGAACGCGATCCATGACCTCCCCATATATTCGTCTTTTCTTGTTATTCACCCTTTTTTGCGGCATCGGACGGCCCCAAGAGTTCTTCGCAGGAATATCAAGAGATACTTTCTTAACTGCTGGGCGGATTGGAGAAGTACCAGGTCGAGACCACTGCGAGCTCAGGAGGTCAGAAAGCTCAGGAGACAGTCCCGCCCAGTCGAACTCGGAACCCGTTGCGGTGGAAGATTTGGTAAATGCTTCCAACAATCGATGGCGGCGTTTCCCTGTACGTCCATACGTCATTTCCAGTACCTTGGTGAGATGTCTTTTATGGCCTGCATTGGCGCGCTGGAGATCTTTCAGAGCATCTTTGGCCTTGCTGACAGCACGACGTCCTCGAACTTCAGCACTTTGCTTGCCGGTGGAAAAGGCTATATCACGATCATCGTCTTTGCGGGCTTTGAAACGATGCAAACATTGATTCCACATATAATTTCGAGCTTGATAATCAGGTAAATAGGTGCATTCTCGGAGAATGGCGCGGAGCAGATGTAAGACCCGGGCTCTGTGACTATGATCGAATGGCGGTAGATCGACTCTTTTGGAGTCGTTCTGGACATTTTGGCATGCGATACATAACGTACGCAATATTTTGAGCCCCTGCTGAGGAGATCGGACCCATCTTGAAGCGCGTATCATACACTGTTGACGAGCCCTTAGACTCATGGCGCTGGCCTGATGCGTTTCATATTGAAGCGGCACTTGTGTGCGAAAGGTCGACAAGCCTAAGCTGGCCCTAGGAAGTGTCTTCGCCACATGGCTCCCCAATAGCGACGTGATGGCTAATAGCTCAATGGTGGAATGGTAATATGTGTAGAGTTGTGATCTTGGTAGGGCTGAATTGTGCAGAGGGAGATGCACAAATTTTGCACAAGTGCACAACTCTAAATTGCAACGCGAGATGACTTTCCCCACTCCGCGCGTCTGGTCACACGTCTCCCATATGCGGTAGCGATCCCACTCCACTCCAAAATTGAATTGAGCATGTAATAGGTTCGGCCCCTAAGACGCAGCGCCTCATTCGACGCCTTTTATTGACTGAGTGATCTGAAGATGTTTGATCAGGTACTCTCCTGGGTGACGACCTCCGCTTTGGCGCCGACCCTTTGATATTCCCATTACACTTCGCCATGGCCGCAGTGGTACACACCGGCTCAATATCGTATCATCCGCCGCCTTCACACTCTCAGACCAGTACAGATTCTCTGTCGAACGGCATACAGCCGTCGCATTCGACAATGACCTCCTTTGAGGCACCACAATCCTCCGCCACGACACCGACACCAACGCCTCCTACTTCTAGACAACAACACGTGCCCTATCCACCTTCTAGCTTTGGTGTCTTGAACGGCTCACATGGATCTCTTCCAAACCCACGACCTTCACCGAGTTCTAAGCCACCGGGACAACGTCAGTACAATCCCGGATACAAGCCTCAGATTTACACTGTATGTGTCTCCTCACTCAAGTCCTGCTCGCTTTACTGACGCGTTCTGAAGGCTGTATATTCTGGTGTTTCTGTATATGAGATGGAGATCGATGGCCTGGCGGTCATGCGAAGACGAAACGACTCGTGGATGAACGCAACACAGATATTGAAACTCGCGGGAATCGATAAAGGGAAGCGTACAAAGGTCTTGGAGAAAGAGATCCTGAATGGAGAACACGAAAAGGTCCAAGGCGGTTATGGAAAATACCAAGGAACATGGATTAGTTACAATCGAGCGATCGAGTTTGCAAAAGGATATGGCGTTGTGGAACCGCTACGACCATTGCTCGAATATGACATGGGCCAAGAGGGTCAACAAGCAGGCGCTGGCAACCTCAATACTCCTACCAAAGAGCAAGCAATGGCTGCCCAGCGAAAAAGAAATATGATGAACGGCGGGTTAGATCGAGGACCTGCTCAATCGCCGAACGGGACTTTCTTCAAGAACATGTCGAAGTCTGCTGCAAATGCTGTGAATGCAATCAATAAGGCTAGATTTGACTCTCCAGCACCGAGACCAGCAAGTGGAGCTGCATTTCGTCGCCCATCACAGCAGGTGGATACCCAAGACTCAGCCTACGCGAATAGTAGCCAACAAAGTATGCGAAGCTTGCATTCAGAACCCAGCTTCGGCAACGGCCAATTGGATCCAGCTTTACGAGAGCGCGAAGGCCCCTACTACAAGAATATATATAACGCGCTCAACGAGGAGCCACCTCAAAAGAGAATGAAAGCTTCGTTCAGCCAAGACACAAAAGATGCTAACGGCACTGACGTGACCACGAGAGACGGACATGACCATGATGGGTACACGAACGGCATCTCGCCGTCAAAGGCCGGAATTGCTCTCATGGGCCTTCCACCATTGAAGCACCCAAGTATCGATCTTGAGACTGGGAAACCACGACTGATATCATCCCTGTTTTTTGACCCGACCCGGGAACACTTCGCAGATCATCCAGCTATGCTCAAATTGTCTAGTCACGACATGGACATTCCAATAGACAAGACTGGCCACACAGCGTTGCACTGGGCCGCAACACTTGGAAAGCCGTCGCTCGTCCGTGCATTGGTCCAGAAGGGAGCAAGTGTGTATCGGCTCAACAATGGAGGGGAGACGCCACTTGTCCGATCCGTCAGGACCACGAACAATCTCACTCGCCTATGCTTCCCAGAATTACTGGAGTTCCTTGGCCCTACTATAGAAATTAGGGACGATCGAGACCGAACAGTACTTCATCATATTGCAGTCTCATCTAGTATGGGGCCAGATCGAGCTAAAGCCGCACGATACTATCTCGAATCCTTACTGGAATACGTCGTTCGATCAGGCAGCGCCACGAACAGCCAAGCCAACTCTTTTCATGATCCCACAGCTCCTTCTAAACCAAGGCCAATAGGCTTAGCTAGGTTTATGAACGATATCGTCAACGCACAAGATCTATCTGGAGATACAGCTTTGAATTTGGTCGCTCGACTCAATAACAAGACAATCGCCAAGCAGCTATTAGAGGTGGGAGGGAATCCTGCTATACCCAATTGTGGTGGTCTGAAGCCAAGCGACTTCGGAGTGAGAGGAGAATATGATATGAATGACGACACAGTTGATTCCCAAGTCAAAGCTCCAGATGCGCCTCCAAATCGAGTTACACAATCAAGTCAGGAGCTCCTGAGCAGTAAGCCCCCCTATACGCATTCAAGTTTCCTTTCCATTCCGGATCTCTTGCCTTTCTAAAACTCCCACAGCTATCAAAACCTTCGTCGCCGAGACTGAAACATCCTTCAACGCAAACATGCAATCCAAACAATCCTTAATTGACCAATCTCAATCCAACCTCAAAGAATCTACGCGCCTCCTCAACGAAGAACGCGAACGCCTCAAAGTCGTCCAAGAAGCTGCCGAGAAACGTAAAGCTCTGCGCCAACGCATCTCTAATCTCAAAGCAGCGAACGAACAGCACCGGCAATACCTTGGCGCTGCGGCGCGTGCAGACATAAAACTCGGCGAAGCGGACGCCGGGCTCGAAGTCGACGCCACCATCCTCCCTCCTCCCCCATACAGTGCTACCGATCCGCTCGAGCTGGACGAGAACCAAAAGAGCTACGTCTCGAGCCTCCCCACTGCAGCGGTCATCGAAGCGAGAAAGAGAGCATACAAGCAATTGAATGACGGCTTGGAGAAAAGGTATCGGGAACTCAAGAGCCAGAGCTTCGAAGCTGAAGGCATGCTCAGGAAGCTCGTGGCGCTGTGTACGGGCGTTGGAGAGGAGAAGGTGGATGAGCAAATTGCGCGGTTGGTGAGGGTCATGGGGAAAGAGGAGATAGGGGAGAGGGAGAGTAGGCGGGTCAGGGAGTTCTTGAGGCGGGTGGAGGGGGAGAAGTTGACTGCATATCATTGACCTGAAGGCATGGGAAGGCAATGGAATGGCTGAAAGAGTAGCGTTATTGTGGGCGAAAAGGGGTGAAGCGTTGGGCGGTGTTGGTGATACCATTGCTTGAGCATAGCGGAGCGGGTGGTTTGTTCGATTCCTTGGGTCGAAAAGAGAGCAATGTTTGCTTTTGTTGGTGTACATAGTTGGAGTGGCTCGAGCGGAGAGGGCTCATATGTATTGCAATATCTTTGATGTCATCGTGAGACCTTTGCCGGCACACATATATGCAAAGAGTGTTGTTCGTTCCTTCGGCCTCAAGATTCTTCTTCTATTTGTCATACACTCTGCTCAACGCAGCTTTACTTTTGGATTTGCTGATCCTGGCACTTGAACATGAAGTATCTTAGCTCCTCCTGATGCATTTTGGACCCCTTACCCCTCATCCCCCTTCTCTCCCGCTGCATCTTTTATTCTTCAGTTCTGGTCGCCCGCTTGCTCCTCTCACAACCCAGCTCTCGCCCTCAATCTCACCCAAAGCGCCTTCCGACTCCATGTCACATACGCTAGCTGATCCAGCCAGTCATCGCGCAGCTCGTCCTTGCAGAGCTCGATATCAAAGTTGTAGATTAGGCGGGCGAGTATTAGACGAGGTTCTAGCGTTCCTAGACTGTGAGGAGGGGTGGATGTGTTAGCTGATAGCACGTGAGGGAAAGGTTGTGGGATGAAGACGGGGAGTTTAGAGGAGTATTCAGAGGCTAAAGGGGTAAGACCACAAAGGGGGCTACGCTTCTAAGCCCCTTGGGAAGATGAGCAGCTGTTGAAAAAGATAGGGGCTAAAGGAAAGGAACTTGAGAGCTTACTTCTTGCCTAGACAAGCGCGGTGGCCGTATGAGAAGGGGTGAAAGACCTCTCGTTGATCGTTTACGAAACGCGGATGGCCGAGCCAGCGCTCCGGTATGTAGGAGTCTGGATGCTTGAAGTTGCGGGCCGAGCGGTAGGCGGCGTACATGTTGATATTGAGACCGGTCTGATGGAGACAACTTAGTCAGTACGATAAAAGGGGCAACGGACTAAAAGACAAGAGGCCATACATTTCCTGGAATCCATTTGTCGCCAATGAAGTCGCCTTCAGGAGGAGTGATGACGGCTTGACCAAGTAGTATGGCTGGATAGACTCGATGTGTCTCATCAAGGCATGCTATTGTGTATGGCAATCGTCCAACGCTCTGGCTCGTGATTTCACTCTCCCCTTTAAAAGCATTTCGGACTTCCCTGGTGAGCTTGGCTAAGCATACAGGATTTTGGAGCAAATGGTAAATGGTGCCTGTCAATACTGTGGCTGTAGTATCGCTTCCGGCAACGATGAAAAGCGATGCGTTCGATTGTATTTCTCCCATACTCAAGCCCTTTCCTTCTTCATTGTACTTGATGATTGGCGAAATGAAATCTGGTCTCTTCGCCCCAAGCTTCATGCGCCGTGATAATTTCTCGACCGTCATGGACCAGTGATCTCTCATCATTTCTCTGGTCTTCCTCGGAACCAGATGTGGCAAGAAGTATCGAAAGGTGGAGAAGCGATTGCAAGCAGCCAAGCAAACGTCTGCTCTCAGGAAGCCATCGATCATTTTCGCCCAAGCATGAAGCTTCTGACTTTGAAGGCAGCCAAAAGATTCTCCAAATGAAAGGTCACCCGCAATATCGAAAGCGGTCCATCGGAACCAATTTGAGATATCAACTTTGCCGTAGTTCGACCCATGTATCTGGCCTTGAAGGCGATTGATCAGGAGATCAACGTACGACTCTACGATAGGTTCCTGTTCTCGTATGGCACGGTCAGAGAACGCATGACCAAGTACCCTCTTCATGCGCGTGTGGTCCACTCGATCTGCTGTCAGAAGAGATGCTACTGAATTAGGGGGCTTGCGGTATACTGCAGGATCCTTCTCTAGGGATGCATGGCCTTGTCTAGTCCCGTGGAAACCTTTCCACGCTGAGGCATTGATGAAGGACAGTTCGTGCGGTGATATCCGCACTACCTCTGCATCATATCTGTCGTGAAGATCCTTGATCCAGAAGGGAGCCTTGCCGCGAAAGATCTGTATAGCATGCGGGATATGACTTGCAGCGGCGACCTTTGGCCCTGGATATTTTGACAATGGATGAAAGAAAACATTATAGATTGCGAAGACAAAGTAATAAACAAGGAGCTGATACGGTTCAGCGTCGGTTTACTCTTGCCCGGGAACTTGGGCAACATTCAATGAGAGTCACTCACCAGACCCAGTCCACCTACGACCAGATTCAAGGAGTTTGCGATTGGTACACTCATAATAGATATCTCTTCGTGATTCACGTCATGCAGGTTAGGGTATGACTCGATCTCATGCCGCTGCCAAAATGGTCTAGCGACTATGGACTCCGCCAAAACTCACTTGTAAGAAGAGATTTCGATTCTTTGTGGGTATACTGTCCAGAGCCATCAATGATGACCGCTGAGAGCAACAGTGATCTTCCTCGGCGTTCGTTATTGGTCAATTGACCCCTGACCAAGGGGTGCCAAGCTACTTATCTCCGATATCTATTTCCGAAGAATAATGTTTTTTCCATACAGAAATTTTTGGTACACGTCGACGCCATCTAGATCGAGGCTCTTTCGGTACGACTCAAGCCGCATGCTTTAGGCTATTGTGTTGCCACCGGCACCTGTGCTGCAGAGCCGCCAGTGCTGTCAGTAGAGTTCGCTGGGTTCAGGGGCGATCTCCCTGCAGCTCGTAAAATTCTTTCATTCGTCCCCACTGTGGGGCTGCAGATGAATCACTCATGATGGCAAGCGAAGTTCCAGATCAGCCAAATGCTAGTGAGAAGCCATCTGCTAGCAATGAAGAAAGCCGAGAAGCGTCGGTGCGCTTCGGACGAGGAAATCCTGAGATTAAGGCGCATCAAATTCGAGCGATCTGTGGTATCTAGCCTGTTTTCGGTTAGCACAAATTAGTCTTGAAGACTACCCAAGACTACCTTGCCTCGACGAGGCTGTTCGGGCCGTGCGAAAATAAACGCGTTGATGATTCGTGGCCCAGTAGTCTGCATTTCCTTAAGCGATCATGCATGAACGAAAGCTTGACGGTGAGTTCCAGGTAATCCAGCACTCCGTCACTTATTCGTTTTGCTACTGCTACAGGGGTATTGAACAAGAAACGTAACTCGTGAGACAATGGCATTACGGCAGCATCCTTGGCCGAGAATGCCATGCTGTGCTCCGAGCTATTCACTCTTCGGCCTATGATATCAAAGCCTCAAGCTGCAAAGAGCTCAGAATCTCAGTATGGCACCTTCCCGAGGCATTCTCAAACTTGGAATTACTGCGACAATAATAGTTCAAAATGACCTCAAGCAGGATTGTAGAGCTTGCTAATACTATCCAAACGAACACATGGAAAGTCGAGCAGCACCTATTCTACCGTGGCATACCTTCACCGTCATTCGATGTGGAAACGCCATTGGAGATTGAGTTGCCTGACGATATTGCCACATGCCGCAAAGCAATCCTTGAAGCTACAGATGAGCTTCATATGCTAGTTCTAGGACCTGTGCAGACGGTCAATTGGCTCAGAGTAATGAGAGCCTCTAGATTCGACAGCACACGGATGATGATGGCTGATACTATCTTATCAGGAACAATGCAACCCCGTGCTCCAAGCCATTTACCGCTTCAGAATAGCCTTCAGCTTTCCCGTGGGCGAAACGGCCACATTTGCCCAAATTGCCAAAACTTGCGGCAGGGCTGAAGATGAAGTCAAGAGGATTCTCCGTATGGCCATAACATACCGTCTATTCAAAGAGCCACAGCCCGGTGTGGTCGCGCATACGGCAGCCACGAAGGCATTGGTACAGCGGCCGCTCTTCAATGCGTGGATTGGTATGTGGCTTGAAGAAATGGGTATCACATTATCAAGGGTAGGCAACTTCAAGCTGCTATATGCGCTTTCAGCTCATGAAAGGGTAGATGGTGGATGCAATGACCAAATGGAGCGGATCGCAGGAGCCTCAAGAATCGGTAAGACGTTGTAAACTCCGCGCGCAACTCAAGAAACAAGCTAATTGTAAGGCAGGCCTTTAATCTCGCCCACGATACACAACTCAGCGTGTATGAAGAGTTGAGTAAGCATCCCGAGCGTGCCGTACGATTCAAAGATGCCATGAATTACTTCCAGACTGCTCCTGGCTTTGAAGTCACCCGTGTAGTCGACAGCTTCCATTGGGCTTCGATTGAGCAAGGAACTGTAGTTGATGTAGGTGGCTCTCACGGCGTTGTCAGTATTGAGCTGGCAAGGAGGTTTCCATCACTTCGCTTCGTTGTGCAGGACCGAGGCGAGGTCATATCTGCAGCAAGAGCATGCACACCCAAAGATGTTGCGGAACGAGTAGACTTCATGGTAAATGACTTCTTCGAGGAACAGCCAGTAAAAAATGCGGAAGTGTACTTCTTTCGTTGGATCTTGCATAATTGGTCCGACAAATATTGTGTAAAGATTTTGAGGGCCTTAATTTCTGCACTCAAGCCTGGCGCCAGGGTCTTGATACAGGATCTGTTGATTCCTGAAGCCGGAACTTTGTCGCCGTTCGCTGAGAGAAACGTGCGGTACGTAAAGAGCGCAGCGCATGTTCACAATCATAGTGTCGAGGCTAATTTTGAATACAGCTGGACTGATCTGGGTATGTTAGCAATGGAGAACGCAAAAGAGCGAGATCGCAGTGACTGGACCGAGCTATTGAAAGAAGCTGATCCTAGATTCATTCTAAAATGCATCAACACTCCAGTGAAATCAGAATTGAGCATGGTCGAAGTCGTATGGGAGGATTCAACCTCACCGAAGGAATCATTGACGCATGGCGAGTCTAAGCACGAAGACCCTCAGCTCATAAATGGTGCCGCAATGGCAAACGGTAACTCTATGACTGACGTCGAGCTTTTGAAGCATGGTCCGCTGGACAAGCACGGGAAGTCGGATTTGCACGACCGCCACGCCGGCAACGGCGTTTCAGACTTGCCTGATGCAACAGAGGTCAATGGCTCTTCCAGTACACATGACTTGCCAACAGCAAATCTAGAGTCCAATCTTGCACCATAGGCGAACCCTATCAATGATGTAGTGACGGAGACGAACGGCAAAGCTGTCTGAAAGGAAATCATCGACGGGTAATGAACGAGTGTTCTCAATACTGCTCAATGGACAGCCCAACGAGATCTTGAGCCATAATGACGGATAGATCTCGGACAGTGGAGCGCTGAGGTTGTGATCTGAGGATCCTCTTGAGGAGGGTCTCTATCCCAAAAGTTTACCTTCGTAGAAAAGATCATGCTCATGATGATACTCTCAACATTCTCGCCTCTTACTTCCACCATTCCTCCAAGAACAGGCTTTCTGTCTGCTCCTATGTAACTCCTGGAGGCTATCATCCTTCAGAGCAAAACTTTAGACCCTCAAGCCCATTCCTCACCATCCAGGTTTTATGTCGCGAATCTGATTCACATAGACCCACACGCAAGGCACACTTCATGTCCCGTTTAGATAAGACCTTTACTGTCTCGCAGAATACCTGCCTCGCGGTTGTCGTAAATCCCCGAACACCTCGAGAATTGAAAGTATAATTAAGTCTTTAGGAAAGCATTATAGCGACTAACTTTTGCTTATAAATCCATTTGAATTAAAATAATATACGCTTTTTGTACTGACAATTTCTATTCAAGACCTCTTGTTAGGAAGTTATTTTATGGTAAAGCTTTGGGGGTGTCCGGGGAATTATCACAACCGCGAGCCTGCATCTGACGCTTCTGACCCAACATTAAACCGACATTAAGTAACCACCTAACCCATATATACCCTTCACCAAAATTCTGATCTTCAATTCCCATTTTTACCCCCTACGATCAGAACAATCCTCGCTGTCTAAGACAGAAAAACGTTGCAGCCCCCACGCCTTCAATTCTAAGCTGCGGCACCATCACCACCGCCACTATGACCCAAGACCCCACCCCTTCCACCCAGCCAATCTCTCTCGCCATCATAGGCGGCGGAATCGCCGGCCTCACCCTCGCCGCGGGCTTACACCTCAACTCCATCTCCAAATCCGACCCCCGAAACAAGAAATTCGTATTCACACTCTACGAAGCCCGGCCCTACTTCACCGAAATAGGCGCAGGCATAGGCTTAGGTCCCAACGCCCAGCGCGCGATGCACCTTCTACACCCAGATATCCTGGCCGCATATAAGAGCTGTGAGACGAGGGATCAGCTGAGTGTGGAGGAGAGGGCGCGGTTTTTTTGCTTTAGGGTTGGGGTGGATGATCTTGGGGCTGGAAAGGGGGAAGGAAAGGGGAAGGCTGGGGATCTCATTGCTGATGTGAGGAGTGGAGGCGAAAGTAGTGTGGTTCATCGCGCGAAGTTTCTGGGGGAGTTGAGTAGGCTGGTGCCGGTGGAGATGACGAGGTGTGGGAAAAGGTGCGTGGATGTTGAGGTTCTTGAGGGATCCGGGGTGGAGGATAGGGAGGGAGGGGTGCTGGTGAAGTTTGCGGATGGGACGGAGGCGAGGCATGATGCTGTTGTTGGGTGTGACGGGGTCAGGAGCGTGATCAGACGGGCTGTGCTTGGGGAGGGTGATGAGGCTGTTGAGCCGGTGTTTAGCGGGAAGTGCTGTTATCGGGGGATTGTGGGGATGGAGAAGGCGAGGGTGATTCTGGGGGAGGAGATGGCGATGGAGAGTCAGATGTGTATGTGCTGCTTCCATGCAATCGCGAGTGATCAGAAGGGTGCTGACGATGTCTGCAGACTTGGGGAAGGGTGGGCATGTGCTCACTACGCCGATGAACCAGGGCCAGGCGGTCAATGTCGTTGCATATCATACCAAGGAAGACGGTAAGTGGGAAGATGAGACGTGGATCAAAAGCGTCACCAAGCAGGAGATGGTTGCAAGATTTGCGGGGTTCAGTCAGACCGTCAGGGACCTCATCGGTGTCATAGAGAAGCCTGATCTTTGGGCGATGTTCGACCATCCGCCCGCAAAGACATACCACCAGCAGGGACAGCTGTGCCTATTGGGTGATTCTGCACATGCAAGCACTCCGCATCACGGAGCTGCCGCAGGTATGGCGGTGGAAGACGCACTGGTACTTTCAAAGCTGCTGGGTTCGGTGGAATGCAAGGAGCAATTGCGGGGTGCATTCGCTGCTTATGATGCAGCACGCAGGCCAAGATCCCAAAGACTCGTCACTTCGAGCAGGAGAACTGGCCGGGTGTACGACTTTGAGGACGAGGTGGTGGGTGACGATATGTTGGCTCTCCGAGAGTACCTGGAACATGCCTGGGATTGGATTTGGTACGCAGACATGGACAAGCACCTCGAAGAGGCCATGCTCGTCTGTGATTCCTTGAAAGAGAGTAGTCAGCCGCAGGTTTCAGCTCCCAAGGGACTTGATCGCGATCTCTGCTTCTCCGCTGGTGCTCAGGAACCTTTGAGATTGATAGGTTCAGTAGGCTAGCCTCTGGGAGCCATGACATGATGTTGGCGTCGGGCCGAACATGCTGCAAGTCCCACGGCCATACGTTGTCAGAGAATGTTGACTTTTACTCGTGGCCAATGCCCTGCAGAGGGGCATTTCTGGAGTTCCTAGGAAAGTACCAGGCTTCCTCAATGCGGGCCCACAGGTCCGCAAAAGGCAAGGGGATACTAAGATGATCGGCACTAACGTCACAAACATCGGCCTGATCAAAGTTCAGCGAGACGAGAACGAGATAAAGCGTGCAGGCCCACTCGTCAGTCGTTAGGCATATCAGACCATTGGCGAGAGGCTCAAGCGCAATCTTATTTGCACCGGACATGCACGGTGCTGAGACTCTGTGGGTCTCTTATTGCTGTAGACCAAGCCACGTTCCGCAATGCGATCGTGTGGTAGCTCCATGCAATTGGTATATGCGCAGCGTTGTTTGGTCGTAGCTTCGGCCTACTGGCGTGGGAAAGAGTGAAGTCACACCGCTAGAGTCGAAAGGGGTGCAGGGTGTCAGAATTAGCGTAACACTAGCTGACGTTAGAGGCAAAAAAACGCTTATTCCCGTCGTTATTTTTCTATGGCTGTTAAATTCGCCGACAATGGTCTAGCGCTGAAGAGAAAAGTCTTTGGTTCGTCTCTCTTTGGCTCTGTACCCACATATTCACAGCCACAGAACTCTCTCGGTCATTACTTTGGTCACCGCTAGATGCCGCTTCTAACTTCTAGATTCCCGTCACCTTCGGATCAGCAATCGCATCTACGTAACGCAAAGCATAATCGCAGAGTTTGATCCAACCAGTTCCTGTGTTGACCGATGTACTCCTATCCTTCGCTGCTGTCGGATTACGCACCACAATCTCACGATGGACGACGTCATATCTGCGAAGGGGATGTTCCCTACTCGTGTGAAGCACCCCATCGACAACTACATTCCTAATTATGGTGGTAGAGACGTGTGTGGAGCCAGAGTCCAAGCCATCGACCATTCGGAGACTGAGATCCTCACCCACCTTCATTTTGATAACGGTCTGGGTCGCTTTATTTAACGTAAGATCTGCCACGTAGAAAGCAATCTCATTGACCTGATAATCGAGGCAGGATGTGTTTCTTTTCGGAACGGTGCGGCTGCTCACATTCATTGGTAGCAAAATGAAAGCTGATGAAGAGCCCAGATAATACCGGTTTTGCCATATGCTCTACCTCATAGGATCAATGTTCCTTATGAAGATGGTAGGCACATTTCCTGAATATCGGGTCGAGCAGCGCTCACAACGTCATTTAGTGCAATTCTGGATTGCTATCTTGCTTGCCGCATACGGCGGTGCCTTACTGGTCGGATCGCGTAAGTCTTCCAAATTCAACATCTTGAACAGGACTGAAGGTCTGGACAGTGGTTTCTGGTTGGGCGGGAGACCGTCTCCCCCAGCGACATGCCATCTTTTTCTTTGGTCTCGTAATGCTTATGGCCGCGACAGCGCTGTTGCAATTTGGCGGACATGCTGCCATCCTCGTCATGGGACGTTTCTTCCAAGGACTGGCTGCGGCTGTGGTCTGGACAAGTGGCTTAGCACTCTTGACAGACGTGTTCGGCAAGGATAGATATGGAGAGGCCATCGGATATGCACAGACGGCGACCAGCTTCGGCACCACCTGTGCTCCACTTCTCGGCGGCGTCGTCTACGGTCGTGCTGGATACTGGGCTGTATCTGCAATGAGTATCGGCACAGTGGCCCTCAGCGTCGTATTGGCAATTTTCATGGTCGAGCCTAAATCTAGGAGGACCTGGGAAGAGCAAGCTCGCGACTATTTGAAAGCCGAATACAGACGTTTCGAAGGCGGCAAAGAGGGCGGTAATGACGGATCATTCTTCCAAAGGCGCCCAGGGAGGGATTCACTATCGTACTTCCCCGATGAAACATCTACTCTGCTTCCGAATAAGCCGGCAGGCACATCTTCGAGTGGTCCCGCATATCTTGTCCTGCTGCGATCTGGTCGGGTACTTGCAGCAATGGGAGGAATATTCACATTCGCATTTGTCATCATCAATCTCGAAGGCATGATTCCATTATTCGTCAAGGACACTTTCCATTGGACCTCGACACAAGCTGCTTTGATTTTCTTGTCTTGGATCATTCCTGGATTCCTTGGTCCCCTTGCAGGCAAGGCTTCAGATCGATTTGGACCGCGATGGGTTGCTATTGGAGGCTTCCTGTTTGCCGTGGCACCTTTGATTTGTTTGCGACTCATCACGCGCAATACCACCGAGCAAAAGGTTCTCTTGTGCGCATTACTAGCTATGATCGGTAAGCTGCCTGCTACTCATCAGACACGTCTGACCGCTTCCGCTAACCGCAATCCCAAGGTTTCGGGATGGTATGGACCGTAGCACCCTGCATCTCAGACCTTACCATTGCTGCAACCCAGCTCACACGCGAAGTGGACGATGATACTGATGATGCTGGAGCCTCAACTCAGGCATTCGGTCTCTTCGTCTTCGCATTCTCATGCGGCTCCTTCGTTGGTCCCGCAGTCGCAGGTATCATCAAAGCGAAGACCGATTGGGGGACGGCAACGCTGATTCTCGCGTGTGTGTGCGCGCTGACTTGTGTTCCAATCGTGAGTCTTCATTCATCCACTTCACATTTTGGCAAAAGACCTGACTTAGTGTGCACAGTTTTTCAAAACCTCAGCCTCGTCGCGTCGTGCGCAGAACAATGGATCTTAGGTTTTAATAGACTTCTCCAAACCCGAGCTTCGCCGAAAAGAAAAAGCTTACGATAGAACGGAAGTTGTACGACTAACGATCTGAGTTGGCTATTTGCTGCATTCGCATTGTACGCTCTTTGTGAATAATAGATACTATAATGAGAGATTTTGGAGTCGTAATACTTTGTTACGGTTTTGAGGTTGCTGAGCTCTTACGCTGATTTGAATTGCCAACCTCTAGGTACTCCCATACCCTTTCTCCGGCCTCAAATAATCTACAACAAACACCCTTCTCCGCAACCCATCCCCCACCTGCGCAATCGCATGTCTACAACTATGCAGCGCTTTCACCTTCCCTTCACCCTCCCCTCCCCCTTCCCTCGCACTCAAGACCTTCTCACTCATCTCCCCCAACGCATCCCCCACATTCACCAACCCCACCCCCGCTCTCGGCTCAATATACCCCCACTCCTTACTATCCGGGTCCTCGAGCATGATCCCCCATTCCTCGCAGAACAGCAGCGTCAAAGTCCCGGAATCGGTGTGTGTCGTATCCGGGCAGGAGGAGCGGAGGGGGAGGGAGGGCGCGTGGATGAGGTTGAATGCGCTGGTTGAGGGCTTGTCTGGGGCGTGGTGGGCGTGGAAGTCTGTGTGGGGTGAGGTGGGAAAGAATGTGCTGGAGAGGAGAGAGAGGAGGGTGAGGTTCACTTCGTGCGTGCTTGTTGCGAAGGATTGGAGGAGGTGGCGGTGCTGGGAGAGTGTGGTGGGCAGGGTGAATGTGTTGGTCTTTAGGGTGTCGTGGGGGATCTGGGATGTGTCAGCACGTCTTCCTTTCTTCTGAAGAGAACAGTGGGATTGGAAAGGGAAGTGGGAGAAAGGGAGCTGACCTCAAAATTCCCTCTCGCCTCCTCAGCTTTCCAGCCCGCGTCTTTCTCATGCCCTGGCGGTGGATGCGAGAAGTAGTCATTTGAGATGTTGTAGACTTGTTGGAGATCGGAAAGGATGGGTTGGCCTGCTGAGTCGTTGAAGTCGAGGTTGAAGAAGCCGGGAGTTTGGCATGCGGAGAGGAGACGCTGGATTTCGGTGGGGTCTTTGGCGAGGAGTTTGGTGTATGAGAGGGTTTCGAGGGGGTAGATGGGGATGGTTTCGTTGTTGATGGTTGCGGTGGGGAGGGTGGATGAGCTGGTAGTCGTGCTGTGAGGCATCTTGCAATGTTTTTCGTGGTGTCTTTTGTGAGGGTTGAGAGTCGGTTGAGTGTCAAGTGTCTTGAGAGCTCGAACGAGTAAGGCCCATTATTTGCTCGACTTGAAGTGAATCGCGCCTGGAAATTCCCCACACCGCCAAAGAATTTCAGGAGCGAGCAAATCACGATGTACGGAATGGGCCGCGTTCAGAGTCTGTCCTGTCAGGGCTGGATCGCGATGGATCTGTGTTGTCACTAAATTAAAAATGAGGCAATGACGATGATCCACGTTTTGCCAAGGGGCCGCAGCCGAGACCCGACAATACAAGGTGCAGATACAAGATGCAGTAGTAGTGTGCAGTGTGCAGTGCCTCATGCAGAGTCAAAGGTGCATGAAGACAATGCCAGCAAACTCAATTAATGCTTGCCGCAAATACGTGCAAATTCACACACTAAGCATAACGCTGTAAGGTTGTGTCTTGGACGTGTCAAGCTGCATTGCTGGTGCCGCGTGTCCACGTCGAAGCGACTCGGTCGCCATGGCGGAGCACCTTGGTTAGTCTCAAAATTAGTAACAACTTTGATGGCATTCTGTGAGGTCGATGGCAGAATCGCATCTTGGGTCCGCGACTTGCAGGAACCAGAACGTTTTCGGAAGATTATGACCAACGAGAGCGAACGTCTCCGCTGCGGAGTTGCCCGGTGTTCGGGTACAGATCCGGGAGATATGCATGCACAATACTAAATATGGAAAGGAGTTCAGCTATGAACCAGATGCACCAGATGCACCAGCTGCAAACAAACCGACCACAGCGTCGGTCTGTGAAGGTTTCACCGGAAAGTACCATCTCGATCGACCATAACGTACAACAGAGGCGTAAAGATGAACGCGTGTATCGATAGTATTGTTACCGCCGGAGGTATTCACTTTGCCAGACACGAAGATGCAAGAACTCTAATCCAAGCGGAGTAGATGCACTACATGTGCATTGCATACGCGAGAATGATGTGATTCTGTCAACAAATCGCTCATGGCCGATGGAAGGCCGACATCAATAGGAAGACGGGAAAGACGGGAAAGAGAGTCCTAGGGTCAGTTAATGCACAAGTTCCACGGTACTCAGGAACACTGTAGTTCTAGGGCTTGTTGTGGCTAGCCTTGCAATACTCGTCTGCTGACTTGGTGGCGATGTACCGACGGTGACAGTCATGCCGTTCACTGTCCACATACCCAACATCTGGCAAGCAATCTTGCTTGTGACCTTTGCCATACTTCCTACCAGGCTGTACGCTGTTGCCGTAAAACACTTCTTCAACAGCAAACTCGCGCCCGAGAATGCTGGCTCAACATCGGCGCTGGAAGTTGTACAACTCGATGAGAAGGATTCGAGCAACTTAGCAGTGCCTCAGAGCGACCAACAGCACGAGGAAGCACAAGAGATATCTCGATACAAGCTGCTATATCACAAGTTACACAATCTCGAGCAGTATCCAGACATTCTCCCCCAAGCCCGCGACTTGCTCTTGTCTTTGCTTACCGAAACCCTCAATGATGCCAAGTGTCAAACGAACTATGGGATCTTGTCCATTGATCAGTACACGCCAGATGCCCTCGCACATTTCATGCAGGCGGAGCATGACCGGATCACTCAGGCATGGGAGCAGTACATTCTAAGGAGGCGTCAAGGGCTGCCCCGGGAGATGTTTCAAAACAAAGAAGAGGCGGCATGGTGGCTTAAACAGATGGCACCAGTAAAGTATGTAGATGGTGCCTGGCTAGGTCACGTAAACAAAGTCACAACCCCATTCTCCCTTCGACCAACCACTAAGGATGCGTGGCAAGTCATGTCAGAAGAGCTCGGAGATGGAAACTCACACATGAACCATGTCTATGTATATAAAGACTTGATGCGAGACATTAGGTCGGGCTTACCAGACGCAGACGACGCTCGTTTTATCCACCCTGATCATCAATTGGACCAAGTTGGCGTTTGGAAAGCTGCCGTCGCTCAATTACTCGTATCACTATTTCCAAATGAGTTTCTTCCAGAAATACTCGGCTACAACATGCACTTTGAAGGCTTAACGATGGAGACGATGAAGGCTGCAAGGGAACTGGAAGAATTGGGTCTCAATTCGTACTATTTTGCTCTTCATATCTCGATTGACAATGCGGACTCAGGTCATACCGCTATTGCATTACAGTCAGTCACCAAGTATTTAGATATCATAAAACGGAATGAAGGAGAAGTTGCTGTACAGCAAGCATGGAAACGTGTCCAGGCGGGATTCATCCTCTCTGCGGGAGCTGAAGGGCCACAGTGTCCATCACAGAGATCCAGTATCGCCAAGCTGCCGGTGTATCGCACACATAACACGCAAGAGAAAGATGTGCTGAGGATCTTCAAAGCCAAAACACCCGTAGCCTACAAAATCCACTGCACCAGCCGCATCAAGATGGGAGGACGCAGATTTGTTGACTGGCTCGAACCGCATGCTTTCAAAGATCCTCAATGGCAGGCGGACTTCTTGCATCACCTTGCCCACCTGAAGCCCTGGGTGCGTAAGGGCAATAGCAAGAATAGTCGGCTGGTCAAAGAACTTTCATGGGGCGGGAAGATGTTCGGATCTTTCACACACAGCGAAGTCGATGCTGTGGCGCGCTGGATCGATAGCATGGGCAACGCAAGCTCACAAGATGGCTATTGGGCTTTTACAGGAAGAGAAAAGACCGATTCAGCTCAGGCAATACGTGACCACAATTTCGCCACCGACAATCCGGTACTGTCGCCTACTGTCATAGCTTTACCTTTCCCGCCGCTCACCATGGCCACTGTGGATTCTACAGGTCCTCCACCATACAGTGCCGCATCCAGGGTACTGTCCGATAGCCTTACCATGCCCGTCTTAATTCCTCTCTGGCTCACCTCCCCATGCCTCCTCGAATCAACCATCTCTATACCGTCGAAGACGACCACCATTCTCGCATCATCAGTGGTCCGGCTTCTACGAGCTCAGAATGGCTTTGAGGCTGAGATTGATGGACCTGGGGTACCGGGTATGGATGAAGCGCGCCGAACTGACAACACTGGGCTGATAGAGATTGGTCTCGAAATGCTCCTGAAGACAGGAGGAGATGGAAAGCAGCCACGCTGCTTGAAGGACGTCTTGGAACCCATGCCCTCAGATTTTGCTTTGACTATGCTGAAGCTCAGTGGAAAGCCGACGGCAAATCTAGGATTACTCTTGGGGATGTCATGGGCTTTTGTGGGCCTCCATGAGGCTGTAGCGACACGTACTGCAGGGACTCTTTTGAGTGACACAACTCGAGATACCCTGATCGGAATCATTAGTAGGGAGAAGTCTTGCCTCATGGTTTGCTTCGATGAGATCAAGGGAAATAAGGAGCTCTACGCAGACTTTCACAGAGGGTTCTCGGTAGCATTGGGGGAGATCAGAAGGTGTTTTGGGGGCGCCGAAGATATGGAAGAGGATTGGGTTGCTGATGTGTCCTGCGAAAAAGCAACTTTTTAGAGGATGTTCCACGGCGTGGGACACATACACACCACGCTTGACAGGTTGTACATAGTACGATTTTCATCTAGACAAAAGTTCCCCGGACATTCTGTACAAGAACAACAGGCTACAACTGCAATAGACTCATCATACTGTGACCCATAATATGACCTTTTCTCGGTGTTCAAAGTGTAGGCCTCACATATCCAAGTTTATAATCAGAGGAAGGACTTCTGCGAAAAGATCCCCGGCCAAATGTCAATGCCTACAAGAAGCACAAAGTCTTAATCATAGAGAGAAGTTTGAGGCAATCACACACTGAACTCGACTCTTTTGTTGAGGACTTCATATCTCACTGGTACCACCAAGCCTCGCATTACTCTGCTCAACCCATTTGTGTTTCTTCATAGCCAGCTACATCTACTGAAGCAACAAGAGCACCCACTTACCTACTAATCATACCGTTACAAATCCATGTGCCACCCCCATTCAAAATATTGCCATGACCATCTTCCGTCTCTCCTGGAGCGTAAGCCCCCGCAAGCACACTCTCCTCATGCCGTTTATACCCCACAAACCTCTCCACCACTTTCTCACCCAAAACCTCCTTCACCGCCCCATCCCCTTCCAACGCCTCCACCGCCTCCTTCAAACTCCCCGGCGCCTTCTTCTCCACCCCCAACTCCTTCCTCCTCTCCTCCTCCGCAGGCGGCACACCCTGCACGGGCTTCATCTTAAGCTCCCTCCCCGCCTTCCACGCCTTCATCCCCGTCCCCAAAATCGCCGCGAGCGCTAAATACGGATTCGCCGTCGCATCCACAAACCTAAATTCCCAGTACGCATCGCGTATCTTGCGTACACTGCACATGCGGTTCTCAGTGTCCCAGCTCACCCACTCCCCGCCCGCGAAGTCCGCTCGAAGATAACTATCGTATCCTGGCATGGATATCGCGCAGATGCCTGGCACGCTGTCCAGCACCCCGGCTAAGAACCCATCATCCTTACTTTTCTCCCGCCCCTCGCCCTGCAGCGAAATATGCAAGTGCATCCCCACCCCGTGCGTCTTATCAAACGGTTTCGGATGCATCGTCGCCCTGAGCCCCTGCGCCACAGCCGCGCTTTTTATCGCTTCCGTCACATACACGATCGCGTCCGCCGCCTTCACCGGCGTCAACGGCTCCAGGTTGATCTCAAACAACCCGTCCACGAGCTCGCTGTGTGCCGTCCACACCGGAACTCCCGCCGCCTCCGTCCAGCGCACCGCATCCTCGAGCACTTTCCCGTACTTAGTGCGCAGCGAGGCCGTGGAGCAGTAACTCGTGACGTCCACGACGGGTCTCACCGGCGTCGAGCCTACGTGAAGATAGAACTCGATCTCCACACCCACCAGAAAATTGACTTTGCCGTCTTTCTCGGCGTCGCACTCAGCTTTGACGAGCAAACTCCGCGGATCAAAGCCCAGCCCCTCCTCCGTCCCCGTCGCCCCTTCGTCAATCGCACACATCACCCCCGCGTGCCCTGGCGCGTACGAGAGGACGTTGAGCGTGTCCCAGTCCGGCACGAGATGGTCCTTCTTGCCGGCGTGTACTTCGTGGAAGGAGCCGTCGATTAGGAAGGCAGAGGCCATGGGCGAGGCCACGGAGATGGTGCCGGTGCTGCTGGCGGAGTTGGTGGTGGACTTTGAATCGTTGGGAGCGGAGGGGGTGGAGGCCACGGCGAGGGCGCGGGCGCAGCGGACGGATACTAGGCGTGTGCGTACCGTGGCGCTGTAGTCGAGCCAGTGGAAGCGCAGGAATTCGATTGAGGGGTTGGTGGTTAGGAGGGCGTTGAGCTTGTCGATGGGGGTGGTGGGGGTGGAGGGGGAGGTGGTACTTTCTGCAGTGGTGGAGGGTTTGTCGGTCATGTTTTCGGTGCGTTTGGAGTGGTATTTGCTCGTGTTTGTGGGGGGTGCGTTGAGGGTGTTGAGATTATATTGGTCTGGGACGATATGGAACAGTGATACTTTGGCGTTCGTGAGATTACTGTCGTGAGCGATGCGATGAAGACGCTGTTCGAGTTTTCAATGTACTGGATGTTGGCATAGGACAAGAGTAGACTTGAGAATTGGCTGGCCAAGCTGGCTGTGGTGTGAAGAGCAGCGATGAAATTAGTGAAGGAACTTATCACAAAGGTTGGTGGCCAGTAGCCTGAACTCTCAGCGCACTAGAGTGGGCCCGCAGATGAACGGAGAGGTTGAGATGGAGATAAATGAGGGGTCCAGCTACTGAGGTCTCCAGATTATGAAGACTGCGGTGAATATGCACGCTGACGTCTACGGCAGAGTCATTGGTGGGGCAAATCGTCTTTGCGAGTCTTGGATAGATCGAGGAGCTAAAAGGGAATGTGCAACAGGGCGTGGCTGATGACGTCCTGGCGAAGGGTGGTACATGTACTTGGGCTTTTATTTACAACAATCTGTGGGTGCTTTGAGAGTGGGTGCAGTCACTCTGGATTACAATACTGGTTCCACTTTTAGGTACTCCCTTCCTCAGCTTCAGTGATAACATTCTGGTTCTGTACACTGCAATGGTTGTTGCAAGGTCAAGCATCTACACTGGTTGCCAACAGGGCAGGGAGCGTCTCCTTTCACAGCAACTTTCTTAAGATCTTGCCGCTGGGACTCTTTGGGATTGACTCGACGAAGGAGACGCCGCCGTCAAGATGCTTGTATCTCACCAACAGGGCTGCGATGTAGGCCTTTACGTCCTCCTCCGTGAGAGATTCCGTATTTCGAACAATGAGAGCTTTAGGTGCCTCAGAGTTGTCGTGCTGGACCCCAATGACTGCTGCGTCGGCAACTTGTGGATGGCAACGTAGGATACCCTCTAACTCGGCGGGCGAGACTTGCCAGCCTCTCACTGTGTCACTGTCAGTCGCACATCGAGATCGTCACGAAGCACGCTTGTTCACCTTTGATGAGGTCCTGCAGCAATCGTTAGCACGGAAAGAGGCGACAACGGAAGCCTTACTTGCCTTTTGCCTGTCAACGATGAAGATCTTGCCATATTTATCGACTGTGCCGACATCACCTGTCTTCAGCCAACCATCGATGAAAGAGTCTGCGCTTGCTTTGGCATTGCCAAGGTAACCGTTCATTAGGCGTGGTCCGCGCACACAGATCTCGCCTCTCTTGCCAGCCTCCTGAACAAAGATACCGCGACTGTTGATCAGCCTGAGAAGCAATCAGTGAATCGCACTGATATTGTCACTGAATGCCTTACTTAGCCTCGACATTTGGCAGAAGTTTCCCGACGCTACCAGAGTCATCGCGCTCCGGGAAGAAGTTCGATGTTGATATCCAGCCAGCCTCGGTCATGCCATAGACTTGTGCTATGCAAGCATTTGGAGCTAAGAGTCGATACATCTTCTTCATGATAGCACCATCCAATGGCGCACCTCCACACCAGACGAAGCGAACATTCTTCAAGTAAGCCTTTGGACTAGTCGAGGATACAAAGTTGACAATCATTGGAGGGACAACCATGATCTCGTTGATTTTGAATCTCTCAACAGCGTCGACGAATTGAGACATGGAGAATCTTGGCATTACATAGGTCGCATGCCCTTCGCGCAAAGGAGCTAGGTGTGAAAGGGGAGCAGCAAAGGTGTGGAACATCGGTAGAAACACCAACCTGCATGCATATCAGATCTTGTCATGCGATACTAGAGATCAACGGGGCGTAGTCTGGGACGATGTATCTGAAGGGAAGACTACCTTTTGATGTCATAAGGCTTTGGCACTGGGTCGTCAATGACACAATTCAATGCGACCCAAGCATGATGTGAGAGGACGGCAAGCTTAGGCATCCCAGTGGTCCCACTCGTCGTCACTAAGCACGCCGGTGTGCTCTTGGCGGTATGCAAGTCATCGAAGCGGATCCAGTCCTGCTCGCCAAACTTGAAAAGGTCTGTCCATGATCTGAAGCCTTTGGGAGTCTCGTCTTGCTCCGCAAAGGTCAGAATCTTTGAGGTTGAGATATGGCATATCTTTGCAACACTCTGGATGGCTGGCAGTAGATCCGGGGCTGTGATGATAAGATTGGGCTTCGAGGTCTCAAGAAGACTTGTGAGCTCTAATTCTTTATAACCGGGATTGGACCCAACAAAAATTGCACCTGCACCAATGACGGCCAAAAATATCAATGGATAGTATATCTGTCACCGTTCAGCCAAGTGATCAGAGAAGTCTTGCCTGGAGAGCACTAACGTCCTACATTCATCCAAGGAATTTTTGTTAGCGCAAGTCCAACAATGTAATGGTCCAAGGTTCCGTACATTGAACGAGTGCAGACAAACTACTGAGCCCCTGGTTATGCCGAGTTCGTGGAAACCCCTGATCATCGACCTGATAGCATTGCGAGCTTGACGATAAGTCAGATTTCGCTCCGGATCCAAAGCATCTATGTACAGCTATCGTCGCATTGATCAGCCACTGCGAAAATCCACCCCGGATGCTTGGCCCTCACCGGTCGGTCGGTATCATGAATATCTTCATTTCCAAAGATCCAAGTCAGAAGATCTGTGCTGGGCACATCGAGGTGCCTGTTTGGTTTGTAGTACATGTTGAATGCTACTAGCCCGGTTTACTGCCAGCTGCCCATCGCAGATAGAAAGTCCATGAACCAAATGAGTGTATTGGAAGTATCTTGGCCCAGGCCAAGAGTTTTTGACATTCACTTCAACTGGTCACAATCTCCGCAACTTTCCCAAGCGACTGTCCATCCTGACGTCCGGCGGTCTCCCTGGCGATCGTGATGCTGTGACTAGACGAGACAAGTCTGACGCTTCACGCTCGCTTATGACGGGTTCCTTGATGCATGACGGTGAGATCCGTTAGGTCGTCGAATTATGCATGTGAATGGCCGAAAGTTCGGCAGCCAAACACAGGATCCTGGCAGTTGAATTTTGAGCTGTCTTGTCAACAAGATGGAGTCTTTCGGTGGAGCTCGTTCAGCTTGGATGTTCCTGCTTGAATGACCCGAGACTAGGCACAGAAGACAGGCACCATCGGGCAGCAACAGGTGCAGTAATGGTTCGGCCCTTGGTTGGAGCGGTAAGAGGGGCCTAGATTCCGACCACGGGAACAACCCAATGGCCAATTCCCATGCCTTACTTCTGTCTGGGATCGGCGTTCGCCTTCTACATGCAGTTGTGTGATCGAAGGGACTTTCAGCATGTTTACAACAGGAAGTGGTCTGTGCTCACCGAACATCCCCGACTCTCCTGAAAAGCCCAATGCGGGCCTAGAGCAAGAGCCTAACCTCTTTTGCTCTAGGGAGGCTCCTCGGGGCTAGCCCTTAGTGCCGTATTGAAACCCATCTAGCGATTGTTTTGAAAACGTAAAGAGGCATCTTGGCGACTGAGACATTTTCTCCTCATTCTGCACGTCGCATGTACGCAGATCTTCGGATAGCTCTGAGATCTGGAAATGAATGGGAGTTTTCTCCTCTTATCGTGTTACGCAATCATTGACTCTTGAGGTAGGCTGCTTTCACGTGGCTGCATTCCGACCCTGCCAGTTGCTGGCAATCCTGCAGACCTGCAATGCAGCTCGGGCACGCTAAGGCAGCTGGTGAAGGGGCGATGCGTATTCACATGCACGAGTTAGCGTGATGAACTCACCGTGCATGCAATAGCGTGCAAGATTTCGTCGTAGGTTAACTCTCTTAGACGTTGTATTGTACCTCGTCGACGATCCTATCTTGACGTCGCTTTATTCCGCATGGTGTCACGATGGTTACAGATTTCACAAATGGTAATGACACTCAGACCTCAAATTCGAAGTCATCAAGCTCTTTCAAACCCACGCTCAAAGCTTCTGGCACCTTCCCTCGGAATGGACCAGATCCCTCGGCAAGGCCATGGAGTCATGACGAGTCAGGAATTACGTTCTCTGCCCAACGACGACTACCAAAACAGCCACTTCCGTCGCTCGAGTCGTCTTGCGAGAGGTACCTCGAGGCAGTGAAGCCGCTGCAGTTGACAGAGGAGCACAAAACGACTGTCGACACAGTGAAAGACTTCTTGAGCGGTGAAGGCTCAACACTACAGGCACAGCTTGGGACCTACAATGAGAATCATGTGAACTACTTTGAGCATTTCTGTCAGTCTGCCCGTGCTGAAATGGACGACTTAAGCCATATACATTGACTCACGTGCAAACAGGCTATGAGGCTTTCCTAGGGGATGATTCGCGTATGTAATGATCATCGACAACTGTTGTTGGGCACGACTAACAGCTTTGTCTTGGACGTAGCTGTCGTCCTAAATTCCAACGCCTTGTAATTGACCCCTCTCATGTTGGCCTAGTCAATAAGTGTGCTGATTTAATGATTCTCTAGCTGCTCGTTCATCAAAGACCCAACAGCATCTCGGAATGATCAAATCTCGAGGGCGGCATCTCTCGTGCGCTCAACTGTCACCTTCTCTCAAAAGATTCGAAATGACGAATTACCTCTCGATGAATTCCGTGGTGTACCACAATGCATGAATCAATACTGGTGGCTCTTTGGGGTGACAAGAATACCTGAAGACGACGGTGGAAGACTAAGAATGGACGTTGATGCTACACATATCATGGTCATGTGTCAAGGGCAGATTTATAGTCTTGAAGTGCTGGAGGAGTCTACAAATAAAATCATCAACCAGGCAGATCTCTGTAAAGCCCTGCAAGACATCGTAGATGACGCCAATGCAGTACCTGTCGACCTAGCTTCAAGAAGTTCGATAGGGGTCTTCACAACAGAGCACCAGAAAGTGTGGGCTCGTTGCAGGAAAGAGCTCATCCGTGCCGGGTTACAAAATGGTCGAAGTATTGGGCTCATAGACTCATCGCTCTTTGTCCTCTGTCTAGATGACAGCTCCCCTGAGACCGAAACCGACATCTGCCGTAACATGATCTGTGGTACGGACATCGTCAAGGGTAGCGTACAGGTCGGCACATGCCTCAATCGCTGGTATGACAAGCTGGCCATTATCGTTTGTCGCAATGGCGAAGCGGGCATGAACTTCGAACACACGTGTACTGATGGCTCTGTCGACATCGCCATGGCTTGTGAGATCTACAAAGGCTCTATCCTACACAACTCATCTACGCCTAAGAACAGTAGTACACCCGCTACATCGTCCACCCTTCCTATTACGAACGGCATGTCAAATGGCACCATCTCTTCCGTCCCAACGAAAATGCGCAAGCTCACATTTACTATTCCTGACGCCCTTATGAAAGACCTCCTTCTCGCGCAGGAACATCTTGCAACACGAATCTCTGCGCATCAACTCTCCACGCTTCATCATTCCATCTACGGCAGTCAATTCATCAAGTCGACCGCCAAAGTGTCCCCAGACGCTTTCTTCCAGCTTGTCCTTCAAGCTGCACATTACACTACATACGAAAAGGTGGTGTCGGGCTTTGAACCAGTACTCATGCGACAATACTTGCACGGTCGTACAGACGTCAGCCGGACGACAACACAAGAAGCCTTGGATTTCGCGAAAGCATACCATACAGCTCAAATGTCAGGTGGACAGGCGGTAAGCTTTGCGCATGTCATCACACTGCTGAAGAAAGCCGCAATCGCACACGCCGACTTAAGCAAACGCTGTGCAGCAGGGGTGTCACATCACCGACACCTCTACGTCTTACAACAACTATGGAAACGTCGGCGAGCGTTCATGGAGGTGAATCGCCTGAAAGACCCGACCACGGAAAAGCCTACGATCTTTGAGGATCCAGGTTGGAGCAAGCTGAACACAACGGTGCTGATGGGGAGCAATGTTGAGAACGACTGTCTGGCCTATGCTGGCTTTGGGCCTCCGAGTGCAGATGGGTTCACGGTGTGTTACTTCATTAGGAAGGATGAAATTGCGATGAGTGTCAACAGCCGCAACGGAGAGGCGGATAGGTTCATGAGGGCAATTGAGGGGGTACTGGTGGGGTTGAAGGACATGATGGAGGAGCAGTAAGCACGCGTGAAGAAGCTTGTGACATTCCTAGCAGGATGTTGTCAGTGGGCTTTGAACCCCTTTCGGCTTGTCATAGCAGTCCGATAAATTTAACGCTTTTGCTGTGACCTCTCTCCTATGAGTCCGCTGATTTCTAGCCTCGTGTCATCCAACCCGGGGATAATATTGACAACTTTGATCGCTCAATCCAGCCCTCTTACTCACTCTACAGCATTTGCTCCTTGCGCTTTATGAGCTGAATTCCATTCCGCAGAGAAATGTTTATCGTCGCTTGTCCACACGACATCAAGGATGTCGCTCGGCGTCCCCGGCGCTGCCTCTTGGTATCTCACCTCAAACCTCTCGTCGGCTTTCCCAACAATTTCCTTCCACTCCCTAAGCGTGCGCTCTCGTGCGCCAAAAAATGTGAGCATTACGAGGTCCATAGATCTGTCGATCGATGCGAAATATTAGCAACTGTTGTACACACAAAGAATAGGGTCACCCCACCGTCGATACTTCTCCTTATAAGCCGGCAGCTCATCTCTCGGTTCAGGAATCACTGCATCCTGAATCAGAATATGCGCGCCCTTTTTCAATCCTACGCGTCACGTATCAGCCCATCCTCTCCATCATCAACCCCAACTGCCAATGGAAGAAGAAATACACCTACCGGGTATCTGCGCCTTCAGCAACCTGACACAACTCTCATCCGGATAATTGTGAAAAATGTACCGAAAATAATAAACATCCTTCCCCTTCGCATCCTGCTCCCCAAAGAAATCATGCTCTACATACTCCACTCTCCTCCCCACCCCCGCCTCCCCCTCCCCTTCCCCAAGCTTCGGCCTCCCCTCAATCACATGCCCAAGATCCTGCACCGTAAATCGCAGATGCCCAAACCGCCGCGCGAGATCCAGGCTCACGTCACCCCAGCCCCCACCTACATCGACGACGGTGCTGACGGAGTCCCAATCGAAAGATTTGGCGAGCGTACCAATGGGCGAGCGGTCGGCGAAACCGGACATGGCGCCTGCGAAACGGCGGCCTCGCGAGGGGTGGTGGGAGAGCTCGGCGTAGAGGGATAGCGGGGTGTTATGGCCGATTGAAAAACCCTAAGATCATGAACTCCGAACTACTGTACAACATGGATAGATTTTCGAAATTTGGTACCAAATTGGGAAGGGCGGGGTTGGGGGGGGGGTTAAGTACGCACCGACTCATGGGCCTCCTTCGCACCATTGTACTTCACCAGTGCATCTACCGTCTGGACCCAAGTATTAGCAGGATTTGGAAGGCTTAGCCAAAGCGACCAGAGATATGGCTCACCCTCGCGCTCCCCGGAAACAGCTCCTCAGTCATTATCCCCACAATATCCGCCATGGTCCCCTCCTCCTTCAAAATCCTGCTGGCGGCCGTATGCGCCACCCTGCCCTCGCGTTCCTGGAAAACATGATTCGTCATCGCATGCCTCACCACCCTTCTCAAATCGATCTCATTGAGCCCGCTTTTCTCTGATAGTTCGACGTATGTTGCGGACCCGTCCAGTGGGATTAGTGAGGCGATTTTGTAGTGGTAGACTGCTTGCAGACTTAGTACGTCGTTGGGGGACACGACCTGGATGTTGTTTGGTTAGTGAGGAAGGAGAGAGGGAGTTGAAGGGGAAGGGGAGAGGGGAGGGGGGAGGGGGGAGGGGAGGGAGAAGCACGCTAAGTCCCATCAACATCTCCGTGGGCCCTTTCATTAAATTGTGGAGTTCCTGCGTTGCGGCGATGACGGCGTCTTGGGCGGCGATGATCTCGGTTTCGGACGCTGGAATGGGGATTTTCGAGGGAAAGGATGGCTCGAATGATAAGGGTGGGAGGTTGTGGGTTATTAGGTATTCGTCGACGATGGAGGTGTTGGTGGCGATTTGGGAGGCGAGCGTCGAGATGCGGGAAGGTGTGGGAGACATTGTGGTGGGTGGTCGACAGGCTATTTTTTGAGATATGAAATGTAAAGAGGAGAGGGGTAGATGATCAATAAGAATGATGAAGAGTCGAGAAATTGTAAGTGCGATCTCAATTGAATTTTCGGATATGCGCGTCTCGGCTTTGTTCGGGGGTTTTGGGTACCTGCATGATGCTTGTTGGGCGGACAATGGGTGCGATACATGCTGTTTGATCATTGAAAACTTGTTCATGGCTTCTGATGCCTGGTTGAACCATGGTTGAATGCATCATACAGCGTGAAAGAGTGAGTAGTGACTTGATTCCGCAGGTGGCCAGCCAGTCCTCTTGGTCTGAGCCGAAGATGGTGCTGAATATTAGGGAAATTCCCCCTTTCTGATCATAGCTTGCTTGTAGATGCTGCAATAAATAGGGAGGGTGAAGGTAGACAATGCTTGAAGGCTGCGGCCTAGCCAGGTTTTGCTGACATCCACGTCTTCTCAGTCAACATCCCATAAATCGAGGGCATTGGTAGACACTTCTAGGCTTGTAATTTGATGCCATTTCCAGGTCTTCTTACGCGTCTTGCATGCGGGTAGCAATGGTAATGATGTTCCATCCACAGAGAATTGCTCCTTAATTCTTGTGTGAATGCAGGTACCTGTAGAAGGGTTTCTTGACGAGCAATGCTCCCGGTGCATCATGACGGAGTATTGGGCACCGTCTTCGCCGCTTCGAAAGCCGTATAAGATGTCTTTAAAGTTCTCGGGCAGGAGGCAAGGGCAGATTGCAGATTGGCTTCAGGGGACAGACTGAACAATGCTATTTTGAGCCATGCAGTAAGACCATCAAGCAAAGCAATTAGGCTAGCCATTCAGCTTTTCGCGTGGTCGAAGGTCCAAACAAAGCTTCGGGAGCAACTGTAGATAGACAAGGCGACGATACTGCCTCCCCACAGCTCGTTGATCACAAGCATCAGCTTTCTGCCCGAGGAGAAGATTAGTGCAGTCCGTTGCACGCTGCTCTATCGATTCTTCTAGATCACCCTTTCCCATTATCGCCGGGTCTTTTGCTCGCGAATCTTTCGCCGAGGTCTCTCATACTCTTTTTCTTCCTCATCGCTCTATCTGAGCCGTCCACGCTGAAGCTGTCACTTTGGCACCGAAGCAGGATGCGTTTTTAGTCCTGCTCTAGCAGCAAGAACAATGAGAGGGGCCTCCAGAAATCAGCGGCACTTGTTTCCTGGTGACGATTAGATGTTCTGCATAGAACAAAATGGCCCGCAAGGAGCAGTCGCTGCGTAGCAGAGCTGGAGAGGGCTGTTTGCTTGCGCTGAGAGAGGACATGACTGATGCTGTCCTCGCTCATGATCGTTTCCATTTGCTTGCGATTCTCTGAGAAGGCTTCTGTACTTTGATTTAGCTTTGAAGCTGACATTGAGGGCCATTCTCACTTGGTTGTAGACTAAATGAAGAGGAACCCTTGCGGCACGGAAACGGGGAGCTTCAGAAGGCTCGCTACAGCTGCAGGAACCCAGTGATACTTGCTGTTTGGTCATTGAAGTCACTCTCATGTCTCTTGATGGCTGATTGAGCTTTGTTTGGATCCTTCGGTGGGCGTAAAAGGACCGTAGGTGGCTCTATTGCGCAAACAGACAGCCCTCTTACTTCGAGCTGGGGAATATGCAGGTTGTGAAGATAGGATCAGTCTCTTTCCCCATGGACTCTTGAAGTGTCTAGGCCTTCTCAATCGACGACATTGCCCACATGTGAGTATTTTACCCTTTTCATCAAGTGAATAGCTATGATAACATGACTCTGGAGTACCTGCAGCATGGATGCGACGCATTGTAAGTCTGTATATGACTCCAAATCTGCGGCTTCGAAACGTCGAATGAGACGCATCCTAATTTCCACATGAGGAGAGGGGAGACTAGATGTGTTGATCGATTTGGCAAGAGCCAGGCAGACTTGGGGGAAACCAAACGACAGTCAACTCCTGAGATGCAGTCAAGTTGTTCTCCTGTCTTCATTCTATTTCCAAATCAGAGAAAGGTAAGCTTGACAACGACTTTCTAGATAATTACCCCTGATCAAGGAATATCATGATAAGAGCATGAGAGTCACTATACCCACTGACATCGATTTCTATCCCTGCTTCTCACCACAAGGTGGTGCAAGATGCTCTTAAAATAAATAATGTTGCGTGCCTGTGCCCCTTACATATCTACCTCTGAAGGAAAGTCGACAGCCGTGTAGTCGTTAAGAACATGTAGATCGTTCGTTTGACAGTGAAGCCATATGGTAAACCGTACTTTTGGCTTTGTAAAGCCTAAAGAAAACTCTCACTGGCTTTGAAAAGAGATGGAGCGGCGAATGTCCCTGCTACTTGGATAACCAAAGCTGGCATTGCAAAGCTAAATCATGGAATAGATTTATTGAACTAAGCAATCAATATGCTCTTGAGTCTTTCTATATCTTGAGATGGAGCACTGAAGCTAAGGATAGACAAAAAACGCGTCGATACTGACCTTTCCTCAGCCCAATAATACCAGGTGCCAGTTTCCTGTTATACTAGATCATTGTGCATGAGGCGTAAACGTAGATAGAGAGATCTTCAATACTGACGCTCCTAAAGAGTGCTGACAACGAATGCTGCTGGTCCTTGCTGCGCCCCGGTGCAAAAGGAACTCGATGCGGCACGATCGGGCGTGATTCCCTTTTGCATCTCTGTTCTTGAAAAAAGAAAGGATGATCGCTGGGCACTTGCGGCTACAACGAGCCTTCCGAAGCATTCAGGTTTGGTGCCGTTACCGCCCGTGAAGTTCTGATAGATCGATATTAAACGTAATAAGAGATATCAGTGGTCTTGCGAAGCAAGACTCAAGATCCTAATCAAGTCTAGGGAGATAGACAAACCTGTCTAAGTAGCAAACCTGGCTTAGATATTTTCGAGAAAGGAAATGGGAGGATATCTTTCCTGTCTCTTCGAATGCAAATTATTAGCTTCACCACTGCCACGAATGAAGGGGGTCTTGTATGCGGACTGCAGCCTCACGCCAAAGACATGGAAGCGAACAATCAACGAAGTAGAGCCACTCCCTTAGATAGCCAGCTGAGCTTCAGGCTTGGTATCATGCAAGCTACCCTCTCTAAGCAGTTTGAAGATCGGCGAAGATAGCATGCACTATCAGCTCCAGAGCCATAATACATCACTCGAGCCCTCTCAATCGATCGTAAGTGAATGGGGTAAATGATAAACTCGCGCATAATAGCTACCATGCCATGATATGCGACTTCAAGATTACTTTGACTGCCCAAAGGGCAATCGCATTGCAATCACAGTCCGCTTCTCGCTCCAGGTGGGCAGACCCATCGGCTCCGCTATGTAGCATAGGTTCACCTTGGGAGTCTGTCTTTATGTTCCTGCGGCCAGGATGAGGCATCCAAAGCGTCCCCGTTCTACAACACCATCGCCCAAGGAGTAGTGGCAGCTTCAAAGCTGACGGTTCAGAAGCAGCGATGATAGCGCAAATTGCCGTTCAAGACTTGCACGACGTCACCACGAGCGTAAAATTCTACAACGACGGTAAGGTGTCAACTTCATCACTCAATGGAGACGATGGAGATACCAATCCCATCCGGTCATTTCCGCTTTGCAGTCAGCTTGCCAGCGATCAACCATGTCGTCGGCGCTCTTGATTGCTTACGACTATGCGCGAGAAGACAAGAGAGGGAACCGTCAACGAGGTCTAGTCATTCAATTGATGACTACCTGACAAATAAAGAGAAAACTATGCAAGCAGAGGACTTTTCTGACCAGGCCACCACCCACCCCACATCCCTCCCCCTCCCCACCCCCCTCGTCATTCCTTCCGATCACTACCTAAGAACCTAAGAAAGGACTATCATTCAAGTGCACAAAAGAAACACCCCCCCCTCCTCCCCCTTCCTAGTCCTCCCTCCCTCCTACTCCGACTCTGACGTGGATATATCCACGAAAGTTGAGGAGCCGGCGGCGGGGACTTTTGCTGGCTCTTGTTTTCCTGAGGAGGAGGAGGAGGCGGCGGGGGGGCTGTCGCTGGGTAGCGGGAAGGGGCACTCAGTTGCTGGTATAGGTCTGAGAAACTGTTAGTCGTAGCCTAAGATTAGGATCTCAGACATGAGAAAGGGCAACGTACAAGCCTGCCGATCTTGCTGTTCTCGTGTCAAGGGCTTTCTCCACCCTTTTTGGGTAGGAATGCCCTCCTCCGTGCCCGCACTTGAGGTCATGGTAAGGTCTGTTGACAAGGGTAAGCTGCTTTGCACATTGCAAAGTCATTTCTTGGGCTTCAACTCACTGTCTAGCGGCGCAGTCATGCCCGTTGACTCTGTCATTTCAACACCTTTGGTGAACTTCTTGCCCTCCTTGCGTCCTGAGGGGCCCATTGTAAAATGTGGCAAGGTTTCTGAAGAAGTTGGTGTAACACGCGAGAATAGTCTCAGCTTCGGGCAAAAGTTCAGAGACGTGAAGGTATTGCTGCCTTGCAATGCAAGTATGATTCTGTGATGTGGGATTGTGAATGCAGTATGATTCTGTGATGTGGGAATGTGAGTGCAGTATGATTCTGTGATGTGGGATTGTGAGTGCAGTATGAAGATGTGATAGAGAGAAAGCTATGCAAAGAAATTCAAGTCTGAAAAGGCTTCTGAGTTCTTGAGGAAAGAGAAAGGGACGGGGGACCAAGGTGCTTAAATGCACAAGGCTGGCAAGCGCAGCGACAGGGCTCAGGATGCATTGTCCGTTTTGGGAACTGTGCTACCTCACCGTGACCCGATGACAACCGACCTCACGGGAAAATGGAGTCAAATCAGAGCCCAAATCTGCCTTTGCCAAGATACAATCTGAGACGATCGAAGATCAGGCGGCACATCGAGGGTAATACTTCCCATTTTTCCTTATCACCTTCGGCTACAGGGTGGCAAAAGACTCGGTTGTTCACGGAATGTTGTACTACACGTGCTCAAAGACATCGACGATACAAGTGAATAGTGTCAGCGTGACTTTGTCAAGTGCTTGTCAGGTGAGACAGTGTTTGACTGTAGTGTGGGCCACGTGCTTCTTCTAGAATGAGGCTCGAGGTAAATATAGTGAAGCAAATTGGTTGGGGGAGATTGCGTTCACTTATCTGAGGTTAGTCTCCCGAATGATTGTGGCAAAGCCTCAGTCGGGCTCCACGTAGCACAAGGTCCGGCAAGCCCCCAAGTAAGATTTCAGCCCATTGTGCCCCCCAGAAAGGCTCACTACCGTACATGAGGGGTGCCTGTAGTTTCAGCAGCTTATCCTGATATTCGCACTGCCAACGTACAAGCTAAGGCTTTCTTGTACGGACCACTATTGAATACATCACCGCATTGCTGTACGCATAGACATGACGAGAAAGAAACGACCGCAAGCTAAGATTCAAAGAGATCGTCAGAATCTCACCGACATAAATCTAAAGGAATTCACGTACCAGAACACGCCTATCAACTTTCAAGTCGCCATGCCAATCAATGGGCATAAGCCTGGGAGAAAAAAGCGCGAAAAGCTGAAGTTCCAGAAGGGTGAGTCGGTGTCTGGAAATCTGTCTATGCAACATCTCTGACATATAAGCAGGACAGAGAGACATGGCCATCAAAGCAGCCGGCTCTCACCAAACAGGCCAAAGCCTTCAAGGCGGGGGGCCTACAAGTTTGAAGGAAGGCTATGAAAACCCCGGGAAATTCAAAGCGCGATATCCCTTGGGTAGTCGGGCTGTCGGAGCCTGGCGTCGTGAGGAAGGAAGACATCTAAAAATGAGAGACGACGCAATCGACGAGGCCATAGCGAAGGGAATCTTCCCTGATATGAATTTTATGCTTCCAATTCAACACGAACAACTGCCGGACAACCTGGGATTACACTTGCCCGAGACATACATTGAACGCCAAGTCAGGATTGAACGTTTGACTTATGTGCTTTCGGTGATGATGAAGCATATTGCCTTGACGAGCGGTCTCCAGGACCTGGCACCAATCCTCATTGACGCGGTCCACTCTATTAATATGAGGATTAAGCGGTAGGTTTGATGAGACGGATATACTCGTGCAGGGTATTGCACGTGTAGGTCTTAGCTTAATACAAATCAAGCTTCTACATGCACTTATCTTGCCTACCTTCTCTACCATTTCTGTCTGCATTGCATGCCTGCGTTCTGTTTGGATTGGCTCGTAAATTACTCGTCTTCTATTAAATTTATGGGCATTGTTGACATCCCTGGAAGCCTTTGTGATCGGAAGGCATTACTAATAATGTCTTTGGAGCTTTTGCTGAGCTTCCACAACATGAACGAACCATGTCCGACGGCCACAATCCCAAGACTTCACGTCAGGATATGACTGCAACTTCGCGACCATGGGCCATGAGAGAGCCACTGAGCATCCTCAAGTTGTCATTGATGTCTCCAGAAGGGCACGATGCCATATTGGCGACCAAAAGCATATGATTCTTGCCGAATCCAAGGCAATCAATTTAGAATAAGGCGAGCAGAAGGCCGAGCATCTTTTCAGATAGACTCGGTAGCGTACGGCACTGTGTATGTAGACCAGGAAGGAACCAAAGGCGTGTCGAGTACTTTGCAAGACAGACGCTCTCTAGAGCTGTCTGGTATATGGTACCCAAGGACCAAGAAGGATGCCAAAAAACCACGCCTATGCGGTAAGAATCACCTGATAAAGCAACCCGATGCTGAGCATCTTTAGTAGTGAGAACGTTCCCAACAGTGAGTATAGTAGCGCATGGCTAGCTGCGCAGTCACTTCTTTGCTGATCTCAAGCCTGTATTTTGGCAATGTCCCTGCAAATTCTTCACCTCTTTTGGGTTGTAGTGATTTGAAAGCCGCTTTGCAATCTTGTTGCGTTGCTACGTTCTGGCCTGAGAAAGCGCCTTGCAAACGTATTGCAGAGCGGCATGTCTGCGCGTTAATTTCTCTGTATCTTCTAGAACTCGAAATAGCTGAGAAAACGACCTAGCAAAATGTTGGACAGCCTACTAGCTACATGGCTCTTTCCCTATTGTTTAACTATCAGTTGCGAGCTACTTTGGCTGGAAGAAACGTCATTCGAATCTGCTTGTTGCGCGATTCTTTTCCCATAGGATTCACCACGGGTTTGACGGGGTTTCATGCTGAGAGCGCATTCTGGCACACCGCATGAGTGCGATAGCAGCATATAAGTGCTGAATGTATCAATATGGAATCATTGTTGCGAGACTGTTCTCGGACAACAACGATGTTGATATGCGAGATTGCATACTTCCAGATCAGTGATACGTAGTTGCCTAGAGGATCAGCAATTCGAGACCCGCGCCTTGCGGGATTCCGAAATATCTGTTGAAGCCTTCGAAATGAAGCATGTAAGAGACAGCTGACATAGGTACAGCCTGCAACTCTCTAAATCGATCAATGATCTGAATTTGGGACACAATGATCGATCAGGCTTGACATGACGTTGTCGGAGGGTTTGATCTAGTGCTGCAGAGTTCTGGATGGCGCCCGCGGAACCACCGGATATGGATCAACTAGGCCGATTTTGAAAAGCGACATGCAACCTCATCCCATCAATATACATTTCATCTCATCATTGTATGTGAACTGAGCTATCGTGGCCACTTTGGTCTCATCTCTGGCAATTTACCCCACCAAACCCTTGCTGCACAAGACTTTTTCCATTGCCCACCTGTCTGCATTGATTGTGAGTCAAGTGAAGCCAAGTTCTGCTCGCGACCCACGCAAGAAATCCGCAGATCGAAAGTTCCTCCCTTTACTTTTCACAGTACCCATCTCCCATGCCTATCAATATTGAAAAGCCTGTTACCCAGCCGCAGCACCTTCTCTTCTGCAATCGATGATGCCGTTTCTCAATCGCTGCCGACGCAAAACTACGGCGGACGAAACGTCATAATGCAAATAATTCAGCACAACCTTGGCAAAGATTGGCGATAGTTAGGATTTCAAGTGAAAGCACCAACCACAACGTGATGGACGGTGTATAGACAGGTCAAAAAATATCCAAAAGACACTCAAGGTATATCAAGTGATGGAGCAGCCAAAAGATGCAAAGGGGCTGTAGGGGCGAGGGGTGAAAAATGGTTTTCTCTCTGAAGACCTTCCGTCCGATGCCAGGATTTGAACAGGGCCGGTCTCGAGCCTTGCACGCATACAGTTCCCTTCCGTTTCGGTGATCCCCCCCAGAGCTGCAGTGGGAGTGGGCCGTTTACAAGGTTGTGGAACCGGTGAATTGCACAATTACGAGAATGGGACTTGGGCTTCATAACCGCTGAACTACCACTGCCGCCAAGGAAGGGTGATCAGTCCCCCTCAGTCGTCCAGTGACAGACGCATAGCAACAGTTTGATTATTGCATTATATATACCTTTGTTGCATCGCTATCTCAATCTATGTGACTCCTTTTTTTGATGGGTCATTGACTTTGAGAAGACATTGCGACGTATACTTGCACTCTTCGTCATCATCAACGCCAGGAGACGAGGTTTTCAACTCTTAGATAGCTACGGTATCTTTTGTTTGGCAGACGATGAAAAATTAAGATAGAGCCTATTGTTTGTCTGCCTCACCAAAGATTCATGCACGATGAACGCCTTGCTTCTAGGATTTTACCTTTTTGGGATCTTTATTTCTGAAGATTGACCTGACCAAAGACTTCATCCGCAGTGTCGGTAGGACAATGCTCACGAACGAAATTGACGTTCCATACGCGTCGAGAAATGGCCTGAAATGTACCCAACAGCCCTCCAGCACCACTTCGCTGAGCCCTGCGACAGGACCTGGAGCAAAGACATTTTACAAATTTTCCTGTGTGTCGGATCTTCACCCGAGGGGAAGTGGGTATTCGTCCAACGCTGAATCTTTTTTTCGTCATGCTCTGCAAAATATGACGAGCGAGGTGAAGGAGTCTCAAACCTCAAGCAAGACCATGATACATGCAGGCTGTATGCATCTCCATCGTTGATCCAGTCCGGGTCGGGGGTGGTTGTAGCCTAGATCATCGGGCGAGATGTCTCCGTTTGCACCACAACCATTGTTCAAGCAATTTGATTCAAGGGGAGAGACATGATCAAAGGCTCTAGTAGAACTTCAATCAAATTGTTATCAAAGTCTAGTAGATATGTGACACACGCGTGTCAAGCTGTGCTGATGGCGCCGCTCGTGACCGAGCGAAATATCGCAAGGAAAAAGAAAAAAAAATTGACAAAAAGAATGTTGAGACTCGAACCCCCGCACCCACTCTGACACCTGATATGGTTGAGTAGCTGACGCTAGACAGAGCCGCCCACAAGCTACGTCAGAGATACGACAGGAATTCAAGATAGAATGGACTTAGTCTTGGCATTACCATTGAGCCAACGTGCCTTTCTACAAATTCTTTTCTATGAAATGTGAACATGATATTACCCATTATATTCTTTCCCCTTATGCGGATTCAATTTTGTGCGACAATCTCTTCTGACGCCATCACTACTTCAGAAAGACATTACAGCGAATTCTGAAGCCTCAATTTCTCATGTGCACAATCTTCAGTTGCTGAAAGGACTACGACACATTTCATCTGTGATTCTACGGATCTTCAGTGTGGCGGGTCTATCGATTATAAGCAGCCTTTGGTGTTTGGAGCAGGCAAACAATGGGAATCATTATCTAAAGTTCCGTGACGGACGCCCTGTGCAAAGCTGTGCTTTCAGTCTCCTGCTCCTGGTTTCCTGCATATCGATCTATCAATTCAGACTATGAGCCCTAGCGACGTGCAACAGTTCGATCATGTTAATGCTATGATTGCCATTTCCAAGTGGTTGAGAAAGCATCTTGGCAACCCCAGGGCAAACTAGGCGTACCTCACGCTCCAGGCTTGTGACACCTACGACAGGCCGAGTTTTTATTTAGGTCGTTGTCTATAAATGTGTTCGAAGATCTTGAGGAACAATGGCGCGAGACAGAAGGATTAATTTCAAGAAAGAATTGCATTATTCCCACTTAGGGGTCCGCGCAGCTCACCTTGAGCTACACCATTCTATTTCAGATTTCAGGGCTTAGATCACTCTCACCTACCTACTCCATGCTGCAATACTCGTCCTCCTATGCAGTAAATTGGCACTCTTTCTGACCGGTGGCGTTGAGAATGATGCTTCCAATAGAAGCCGGAAGGTCGATTTTGACCTTGTGATACTTCTTGGTGGGATGTCACTCCTACCCATACTATTTCCAGCTCCCTGCACCCTACTTCTGCGGTATGCACCCGCATCGCATCTGATTTCCTAAAAATCTCCAATGGGACTTCTTCTCGCGCTTCGGGACTCCACCATCGCATGTCGTCAGAGGTCTCAACATGCCTGAGGTTCAAATTCACGATAAGTACCGATCCAATCTGTAGCCACTGGGGCTATCAGCACATGGGATTTCAGAGCTAAGCCGCTGTGGCTAACATCACAAATCATACTTTGGTATGAGCGTCAAGAACACCTGGCGGAAGGGTTTCAGAGATTGTGTTACTCCACCATAGCTGCCGCCACAGATAACGGCTCGCACCGGATAAAAACAGGATTTCGAGTCAATGGGTCATACATGCTATGAGATAAGACATGAGGATACAAGCTCTATAGCCACTGGTATGAAAAGCCATGTTAAAACTGCCAGAGGCGTCAGACCCTAGGTGAAGGCATAATACTATTTTTCGATTTGCGTGAGCGTCGCGTGATTCCATTTGAGAGATTGCGACAAGCGGAAAAGTGAATTACTGAGAAGGTTTGCGAGCGTAGCACTGCCTTGATTGAGACTAGTCCAGCTCGTGAGCATTCACATTGTTGAGTGGCGAAATGCGGGGTTTGATGTAGTACGAAGCTCATTTTCCCTCCAAATGTTTCCTTCCTTCTACACCCACCTCTCAAAATCCCTTCCCCTTCAGTAGACTCGCCTTTTCTGCTCGACTTCTAGTTCTATGCCCAATTATCTGTCCAGCTCTTCACATATCTGCTTTCCACTACATTCGTCTGTTACGATCTCTTCTCCAAATCGATCAATGTTCTTCGAGTCATAATTCCAGGCTACTTGCAAACATGGGTACCAAAAAGCACCGAAGATCGCGAAGACATGATCTGAATGAAGACCGTTTGGCAAAGTTGAATGCAGAGAACGCAAGTCTAGATCTGGCCAAACGAGCTAATCATCGAATGGGAAAGAGCATGAGAGACAAGCTCAAGAAAGAAAAAGGTGGGGTTGACCATCACTCTAGCTCTCCAAGTTCTCTCTCATACCTGCGCAGCTCTACTTATCGAACAGATAAAGACACAACAGAGCCATATCACAGGCTCAAGCCTTGAGGGTTCGAAAATGGCAAGTGAGCCATCTATATACGTCGATATGCTCGGTGAGCGTAGGCGTTTCAAGGCTGGCACAAGGGGTGGTCAAGCATGGCAACAAGAAATGTCAAAGCACCGCAAGCTACGCGACGTCGAGATGGAGAAGTTGATTGCTCAGGGCATCAACCCCAATCCTTTCAATTTGAAACCTGTTCAACACGAACCCCTTCCAGATATTCCCGAGGCTGAATTCCGAGACACCAACGATCAAACGATGTTCGCTGAGGTAAGTCCCAAAGACCATTGAACCTGCAAGCGGTAGAATGCTGTTACTAATAAGCAGCAGCCTCCGCTACCGCCGTTCAAAAGCCCTCTGCTTCCAAAATTGTTCAAGGATCGACTAAAGCAGTGCATGATAGCGCAGGAGGCTCTTGCAATTGCTCTCCAACATACAACATGCCACGACCGCTCCTCTCCGCGCCGTGCCCCCCTGCTCCTGTTCTCACATGGCTCAAGCGTATTCAGCACGTCAAGATCGCTCGTCCAAACCACCCAGTCATCACCAAACTCGGCGACATCATTGCATCCTACAATTCTTGAATCTCCTCCTTCTCGATACTCTCGGCACATCGCTGAGCTCTGATCGACTACATTCACGCCTGGTCGTGCCTCTGATTTCAATATCTTTACATGATAGAGGGAGAGAAAGAATATCTGCGAAATTCTCTTCAAGGTCGGTGGGCTGGGATGCATCAGCATCTTCGGAAAAGATGGGTGTGGGGATGACTTTCTGTCGGCAACTTGCCAGGATGTACTTGCAAACTTCGTGCGCTCATGCAGATAGTTGACAATGAATTGCTATTCTGCGAACACTCGACCTCGTCTATCTTTTATGTATTTTTTGTTCTTGCTCTATCTCTTGCAAATATGCAATCTCAGCGTCGCTTCCTCACCGTCCCAAACGCGTCGTCTCCTGCACGCATCGCGTGACCTGCGTCCATTGTACACGCTACTTGTCGATGACAATACGCTTGTCAATCTTGAAGAGCAATGCCAGACCAATGTCGACTCTTGAGAGAGAGATTCAGCGTTCTGGTCGTTAAACGAATAAAACAATCCTTTCGAAATCGCGTCGATTGCGTTTGGGACACAGTTATATCGCTCGATACCTCTCCATACTTGAAGAGGCTATCATGTCAGGCCAAATTGTATGTGCGACTACAGACGAGCAGCTGCTTGAATGTTGTGGCTTTAATTCTTGAACCATTTCAATTCTGGGCAGCATCTACGGTAAACAGAGAGTACCAGAGAGTACGGTATGGAAGCTCCACCCTGATGTCAGACACAGACATCGAAGGACATAATGTATGAGCGGCCATGATAGCTTCAGCAATTGTGTTCGCCGACACCGACAGGTCAGCGATGGAAACCTCAAACACCTCATCCCTACCTTCGTGACTATACTTAATCCTCCAGTACAGTATCTCTTTCCCAGAACAGTAGACCCCAGGAGCCTCAACGGACTCGTATCTGCTCAAGCCTTTCGAGCCACAGGACATTGGGGAAACGCCTGTCGACAACTGCTCTAGTATGGCTCATAGATCAAGATGCTCCTACGCCATATTTGATTCACGGATCGCCCGATCAATTTTGCAGGATCTCATATGCGTTCCAGCTCATTTTGATGACCTCAATCAACGTCACTATACGGGGGAGGCGGGGGAGGCGAGGAGAGAGGGGGAAGGGATGGGTAACAAGGGGACCATTGATATCATAGGCGATGGCAGGGAGTCTGGAAAGATGTTCGCGAGGAATTGAAGCCGCTGGATGTTGTACGGGACGGCTGTAAATGGAGGATCCATTACCCATCATAGCCAGATTCGAGAGTCATGGTCGTTGAAATGGAGCTGCATCACATATGACGAAGTATGGCAGGAGGTCGCTGCATAATTCGAACCAGTGATGCAGGGGCAAGGTATGTCTGGAAGGCGCCGTCGGAACCTTCGGCCGTCGATCATTAGACTAAAATTTGACGACATGATAAAGATACAACCTGGTTGCATCAAGCATTCATCAATATTTTGATGCAATTTTCAATTGTTACTGTTGAGGGTGATTCCGAAAGCTCAAGTGCATCTCTGGCGGATTTTCCCACCTAATTTGTATGGCGCGAGACGCCGGTGTGTCACGGTGAGTGTCGTTGCTTGACTCCCGAGCTTGCACAGTCGGTGAAAATTCTGCGAAAGCAGGGATTGAGGTAACAACGGCTCATCTACGTCTTCATGCACTTGTTACATTTGATCCTGCAAAGATTTAAAGACTTCCAGCGATGATAGCTGCTCTCTTCACCCATTCGAAGACCGCCAGTGCCAAAATTATACGGCTGACGAAGCCTGAATTATGCATCTACTCAGAATTTCCTTGGCGAATCTTGGCGCTCCTTTCATGGTCAAGATGTAAAACAAAAGCCTACACCCTGCGCCTGCTATGAAGACACGCAGAAGGGCAGACAAAGCTATTGAAGTAACAAAATTCAAAAAGAAGAAGAGATAGTCGATGCGGACCATACGGTCATCGAACTCCGCTCCCACCAGGACCATCCGATAGTTCGTCTTAGAGACAAGTACGACATGGTCGAGCACGGGGCGTGTCTAGGTATCGCGGATTGGAGATCTTCAGTCACATCAACAAGACTAAGGGCCCTTATTTCATTATATATTCCCTTTCCTTTATGGATTGTTGTGACTTATGCCGCGAACTTTACCTCATGCGCGTGGTGTTGAACTGTTCATTATTTGGCGCAATGTTAAGCAACGGTCATCTACGATGTGTTTGCGAGCTCATCATTTCACGTTCCTATTAAATGTCATCCAATCGCAATAATTTGCTGCTCACTTAATGCTGAATTCGAAGTGATTCTATGTGCGATCGATCTTGAAATTCTAGCTATGATATTCTTCTCTCATCTTGCCTTCAGAACTTGACCATGAATTCCTAATTATCCAATTCACACTTAGTCATCGTTGTACATATTCTCTCAGTTGCTTCGCTTGCCATTCCACCCTTCTTTCTCAAATCACACCCTCGTCGATGTGAGGATTTGTGTAAGCTTCAGTGATGAACATGAGACACTTGCTTTGCACGCCTTCCAATTGGGATGTCTGATGATGGACGTCAGACTGGCTAGAACTTTGTGTGAAGCCGCTCTGGTGAAGGTGTCTGAGACAAAGTTCTTCATCTGCCGAAATATGCAGTCTAAAAATCGCCATCACTGGGGGCAAAAAGTCAAGTGTGAACTTCACGTGAGGTATACACAGCATTCGAGCCGTGAACACTGGTTATTCAATCTATTGAGTGGCTAAAGTACTACTGGCGTGAATCGTTCCTCGAATGAATACACCGACACGCCTTTTTCACTCTAATTCCGGTGACAAAGTCACACGGAATGTCTTTGAAATAGTCACGCAGGATGTCTCGGAGGACGTCACCTGGAACATTACACATTCTACGGCTTTCTATGGTACAGCGGTGATTTGCAATGGAGCCACGGGTATAAATACCCCCTCCCACCCCCCAACTTCTTTCTTTTTCCTTTCATACATCTGTCTTTGACTTTCTAAGTCTAAATATATATATACCTATCTTGATCGAAACTTTGGGTACCGGCAAACCAAGCTGATCTTCCCTTCCTACTTACGGCTTCTCTAAGCTCGTAACAGTCTCCAAGGCTGATGGTCACCGGGACTGCCTCCTGTATAACAGTTCCCAGTGGGTGCTCGAAATGCGTACGTTTGACCGAGCAGAATGTCAAGCAAATAGTCATCAACCAAAGGGTCGAGATGCTAGCAAAGGTCAAGAAGACACGGCCGGAGTCAAAAAAGCGGAGGCGATTCAATGGACGACGATACAAGTCTTCTCCTAATAGTCCATCTTCAATAACGATCTAAGAGATGTGCAGGGGAACAGGCATGCGACGACATCGCAGCTGCTCCTCGCCCCGGGGGAAGCGATCTAAGTGGGGACAAAGCTAGTCGACTCGATTATCTCCCAGAGGATTACGGCGCAGCGCTCCTTGCCCGTTCTTTTCCATACAAATCAAAGATCATAGCTTCGCTAGCCCAGGATCAAAGGCGACACGACGAGACGAAGTAACAGCCCGTCCAACACCACGTTTTCTCACTTCGCTTGTGTCATGGCCTTACTTCCACTGCTCATATGGTACACGATTCGCTTCCGGGATGGACGGTCGATTATGACCTCAGCTTTGGCTTGAAAAATGAGAAAGCAACATGAAGCGCCCACAGAAGGGGCGTGAAGCATGAGATGCGACTGACGACTTCATCCTGGCTAAGCTCAGGCATATTCTAAATATATATATACATTTTGCGAGAGCAGTCAAGCCTTGGCGAAGAAAGCAGCAGACGAAACCAAAAAGAAGATTACGCGACCATCGCCTAGAAAGAAGAAAACATTGCAGCGTCAAGCACGTAAGCTCAGTACCGAACCGTTCCTTACTCTGACTCTCCTAGAGGAATATTAGAGAGGGAACCCTATGAGAAGTACGCCGCCAGGTCGCAGTTCTCGGGCGCCAGCCTGAGAGGCGACCAGTCAAGCAGAGCTAGACCATTGACTATTTACTTGACCCAGTCGAGTACGGCCTCCGTTTCCCCGTCCACTCGAAAGCATGGAAGGCGATGCAAAAGGACAACATCGTTTGGCGAGACGGGCGAGGAAAGTAGAGGGAAGCTTTGGCGGAATTGGACGTAAATCCGAACACCAATTTTCCGGAACGTCCGTCCTCGGAAGCGAATGACTTGTCTGACGCCGACGATAGAGGCCACGGGTACGAAACAGGCTTAGCTGCTCAGATGAGCCTGAGGATGTACAGAAATTTATCATCCCTTCCCAGTCAGCTCGACCAATTTTCATAAGACGCAATGCCACGACTCGTGACAACTGCTCTCAAAGCTCTCGGTATTCACCCGTCCTATCTCAGGTTCGTACGAGAGCTCAAATTGCCTACAAACAGGATAGAGACGACATTTCAGAAGATGAAGAAGCACGAACGCCAACAGGCTCTCCAAGTCGAAGCGAACAAGCTCCCTTGGGAACCTTGAAAGAGGTATCAGAACCGAGATCTGTCAACAGAAGCTCCTCACATATCATCAAAGGCTCGAGAACTAGCAATGCTCTACTACAGTCTGAAGACCACAAACTCCTTCAAACGTTCAACGCTGGTACTCGAAGGTGTGGTCTATAACACTCTAACAATAGCGCTGTACGCCTTCGATAGCATTATGCTGAATACTGGGTACACAATCTTGGAGCGACGTCAAGGGGAGTTTATTTTAGAGCGTATCATCACATCATTACCAGCATCTCGGGGTTTTTGGGCTAAAATTTCTAAAAAACAGAGGAATAAGCACGGACTTGGAGCCAGCAGCGACGATCACAGCGCTTCTGATGAGGAAGGGCAGAGGTACGGGCTGACTTACCCTAAAGCCCTGCAAGACTTCACCATCAATTCTTCCATATCGATACTGTCGCAACTTCTGGATCTGTATGGTTGGTGAGAAATCTATTTAGAACGATGGAAGTTGCAGGAGAGATATCACGAATGTAAACAGAGGTCAACGTGGAGCTTCGAAGGTCTAGTTCATAGCCACTGGAGATGATTGACAGCTTCGTAACGTGGTTAAACCCAATCTCATCCGCTCCCTACTTTGTTACCTTTTGCCATCCCTAAGAATCCAGGGGACGTTTCCTCACCGCCTCTCTTCCCGCCTTCCCTATCCATTTCTCGCTACCCCTCTCACAACGATCCCATATCAAGACTTCTCATTGGCCCTTGTCATGACAGCGTTGAAGGAGGTCTTCCTGCCAACCAGACAGGTCCGATGCCGCGTCCGCCTCGCTCCCTCTCGCAAAGTTCCTTGCGCGACTTTCATGTAAAAGTCGTGTAAGCCATTGTTGAACGGATTTATCTTGATAGGCGCGTGATGCATGACGTTCAACGGTCTCAAGGCCTGAATAGCTGGTGTATCAATCAACCATGTCGTTAATCAAAAGGTTCACCAGGGCCTACAATCGCCTTCTTCATCGAGGTCAGACAATACATTTCACAGGCTTAGAGCGCCGTTGAGGCCCCCATGGCGATGGAACAGCTCTATCAACACAACCTTCGTCTAAGGAAGCGGCGAGGGTCTCCAACCCGTAGATCAAACGACGACAAACCGTGTCCGAGGAATGAATGGTTTTGGTAAGAATTTGAAAATGGAAAGTCTTGGCCAACATATGTGAACGAGGGGGTAGGAAATACGATTAGGGACTATGGTTTGAATCTGTATCGACAAGCAAGTACCCTAGACGACGCTCCAGGCTGGACTCTTGGGTACAAGAAATAGCTCGACGAAGCGAAGTGCGTCGAGCAAGGTGGCAACGACGATGAAGGAGATTGAAAAGGATTGGGAATTGGACGACGATGCAGAGGCCGAGGGAAATATGGGAAGAAGGCATGTCATAGAGAGAAATATTTCGCTTGCTCGCATCAGAATGCGGGTTATGTGCATGAGATAGCCTAAAGGCAAGAGCAAAGACACCATCCTTTCCTCTATACTCTGCAGAGCATTTTTGATGCTCCCAACCCCTTCATCTTCCCAACTCACGCATTCCCTTACTTGCATTTCCTCGATGCGCATAGTATCATGTAAGAACAAAGGCCTCACCACTCTCTACGGTAGGCCGCCAGACATGCCTGTGCCTCCCTGATGCAATCACGTCCCTGCCCTTTCTTCTTCACCTGGCCCTCCTTCCCATCCTTTCCCTCGCCCTGCCCTGCCTTCTCCTTCCCATAGTTTTTTGTTCCTTTTTTCCCTTCCTCATCCTTCTTTCCCTGATCCTCCCCACCCTTCTTCGACGAACTAGACAACGGTGATAAGGCGCGAGGTTTCGCTACCGAGTCAGATGGTGTGGTCGGATCCCAGTCAGGGTGTGCCGCAAGCTCTCTTAGCTCCTCACTGGTTGGCGGGAAGTACGTTGGGAGAGGGATCTTTCGGCGCCGGTAGCGGGAAGGAGGCTCTAGTGGTCCCTCGATGGTCGCTTGAATCGTGAGATGGTTGTTCAAGCCATTGCCGAGGGCTTCGTTCTCCGCAGCCTTCTTTCGTTCTGCCAGGATCTCTGCCGCTCTGGGATGGGCTCTCATCGAGTATTTGGAGGGAGTTGGTCGTTTGATGGCTTGAAAATGTAAGTCTTTCTGCATACAGTGCAAGAGGTATGAGGAAGGGAGTAGGGACTTCGGTTTCTGTCGCCTTGCAATATCTTGTTGACTTTTCTTTCCCAAGCAGGCCCACTGTATCGTGACTTTTTGGTAGGCGACGCCTGGACTGTGTCATTTCCTTCCAAAGCTTGATTTGCAGGGCGTTTTCCAGCCATTCTGGCTGGTACAAAGCGCAAAGTCTTGGGATATATTGACTCTTCAGTGAGGGTACAGTTGCTGAATGGTGATGCGGAGAGAGAGATGCTGCAGGCTAGCGGGAATGTTGTGAAGAGAGCAGGGAATCTCCCGAGAAAATTAGTAACGTGGTACAAGCTGATGCCATTCGTTGCCACCGAAATGACGCGTCTTTGCTGATAGTGCCCATTCAAGAAATTGAGAGAGTTCCAGCAAGAATGAGGCTGACGGAAGAGTTCACCAAACAGTGAAGCCAGATAGTGAATGCCCTTGCTCGTGTTTTGCAGACAGTGAGTGATCATTACACTTTCTCTCGGGTAGAACTACCTCTTCCCTTAGCAGAGCGTTTACCCAAGTGGGAGATTGCGTCTAGGAGTGAAAGACAAGCATCATTTCTCTTCACTCCACCGAGACAGGCTGATTACGAACTCCTCCCGGTGCCGCAGCTCCACGTGGCAAATTGCAAGACACCTCACGAGAGAGTCTTCTAAAGGCTTGTCAGGGAGGCTTCAAGAGACCATGAACTGACCGACATAAGTTGAGAAGGCAGGAAAACTCAGCATACACACGGTTTATGAGCTTGGAAGAAATTAAGGCCCTTACTCTTTTACCCTTTGAACCTGATCTGCTGGCTAGAACATTCGGTGGCGGATAAGTGATTCCGAGTGTTTGTGGCGAAAGCGGGAGCTCACATTCACTTTGATAGCGGATTTGAAGCAGCCAAATCCCGCCCCCTCTTCTTTTCACCTTTCCATCTTCCCATCTTTCCAACATCCACTTCTCTCCAGCATAGAATCTCTTCCATGCTATACACCAAATCTCCAATCGAAACTACTCACTCCAAAATCAGCTCCTTCATCAAATCTGTGTACAAATTGTATTGATTCATACCCTGTGGATTTCTCGCATGTACTTGGTCTACGGCGCGATGATTGTCGTTATTGCTGATAATGAGAAGAAGGCTATTCATATCCGTTCCGTCAGAATTTCCGCGAACTATGAACAATAATGCACAAATACCGTTGCCAGGAAACGAATACCGCATCGCCAAAAAAAGACCACAACGAAAAGGCCAGAAATCAAGGGCCCGCACTGCAAGGAATCAGTGTCCGTTCCATCTCAAGTGCTCGTGTCAGAGACTCTACTGACCCATCTGTAGGTGCAATCATCGAGGCGAGATTAGCAGAAGAATTCAAGACCCAAATGCTACTATTCCATAGCATTGCTCAAGCCAGGCTCTCAGCAGATCTCATCTACCAGGGAATCCAGCAACTTCTTCGACTTGAGCCACAGAATCCCACCCCACCAAAATCCGCGGCCGGCGACAAGATTGCTCAGAAAACCAAAGCAATGCGCGTTGTCGGATCATGGGCTTTGAAACGATACCACAGTCCTGGGGTCACGACCAACATCTCACAAGAGAATAAGAGCGTTTCACAGTTGGATTTGCCATTTAGGGTTGGGAGGGCGTCAAATTCTGATGATCATGAGATGGAAATGTAGATAAATCAGCAGAACTTGATGAATGCTCTTTCTTGTTGCCAATTGCTTGCTATTCTTCCATGCCCTCGTCCGTTGGAACAAGCGGGTTGCCCTTTCCCGTATTTACACATCGTCCTCGTCCAACCGTTTCTTGTACTACAATGGCATGTGTTGCTGATATATCAGGTTCTCAGTGTCGCGACCTCGTCAAGCCTGGAAGCCTTCTCTAGACATGGTTCACAAGGGACCTATGAGATGACTTCAGCGCCTTGCGAATGGGTCTCTGGGCGGGCTTGCTAAGGAGCGTCTTAATGCGTATCCTACAGAAAATACAGCTATGTAGCGGCGTATCAAAAAAGGGCAACGCGAGATACCAATCTTGCCAGCAGTGACCTCCTGGAGTTGCATTCGATACCGGCATACCATTGAAATACAATGTATTCAAAGTTGCACCACAACCGGCCACATCAAGATGTGCCTAACATGAGCAATCAAGAATTACAGACCGTGCAGTAAGCTAGGCGTTTCTTCAACTGCGACTTTTGTGGAGCTTCGCCGGTGGGAGGGCTCCTTTTTCTGTCCTTTCAACTCACCAAGTGGTTTTTTCAGGGTTGTAAAAACGCTCTTCTTGTGGACTCGAGAGGATCGGAACCCTGTTCTTAACGGATACAAATTACGCAAACAAATCGAGAAGCAGAAGGTTGGGTATTGATTCCCAATTATAGCAAAGACATGAGTGTTTTTGCAGGCGGTGTACAATGAAAGGAACCGAAAGACAACAAATGCATGTAATCTCCTGACCGGCCAACTCCTTGCCTTGATGACTCACAAGAAGCCTATCTCATCCGTAGAACTCCCTCGTCAGGATAGAGAGCAGCTATCTTTCATATGGTCGCCGCGGACACTCTCAATTTGAAGGCTGAGTTGCCATAAGTTACAGCAAGGAGGTGCTGGGTATGTTATCCCACGTGAAACGCTGATTAGATGCGAGTCCGGACATTTTCAAAGAGATCTTCATCTACATTTCAAGTCTTCTTTTTCATCTACAAGCTTTAAAAACGACTATCAACATACTGTACCAGTGCATCTTCTGATGAACAATTGAAAGAAAAATCATATACGCTGTCGCAAGTCTCTTCATTTGTCTGCTTGCGAATGCTATCTCATTGATCGCTGGAAGAAACACGCTCTTGGCTTGTGATTATCCAAGCACGTCTGCTCGTTTCGCACCCGACTTGAAGCTTTTCACTCATGGTTTCCTCCATTCAAGATTTCTACTTCACGGTGTCTTGCTCTATGGCATTATCACGGGGACGCAACTCATAGATTCACCGTCTATGTGGCGAAGACATGGCGTGCAAGACATATGTGATATGTTTCGGACGAAGTCACTTTCTAGTACAGCCGAATCGATCCGGGCTAGACCTTTGATTCCCAAACCGAAAAGTGTGAAGCAAAACAAGAGGTATTTCATATCATGCTGAGTATTGCCGTGCTCTATGAATGCCATTTAGCCCAACAATATGGCTTCGACGTGTGAGTAAATACGAACCCACACATGCACACGTGAAGAGGAGAGACATTTTACTGAGTCACCACCGGACCCGTGACCGTGATTGAGGCAGACACACTCAAACAATACGAGGAGACATGCTTATTCTTTTGGTGAATAGCACATGGATGTGGTACAAGTAAATGAGTGTCTGCCACTCGATGGTGCCACTGGGTTTGCTTCATCACTTGTGAGACAGACTCTTGGCAGGTGACTTCCGTTCTGGATCATTGCACTGTTATTTCAAGCAAATCTGATCAGTGGGCGGCGAATTCTAGAGGCTTCACACTCTAGTGAAGTACTGTGTAAATAATGATTCATGAGTGTCTAAGACACCAGAGGTCACGAGCATTGTGAGACCTTGTGATCAGAAATGAACGCTACCTTGCGTGTAATGGGGCCTCCGGGTATAAAAGGATGCTCCTCCCCCGAGCATTTCTTTCTTTCCTCCTTCATGTCACACTACTCCTTGCCAGCCTCCGAGGCCTACGGATAATCCTTTCGAAATATATATACATACTTCTTGTACTGACTGCACTACCATGAGAGACAGTCAGAAGCTGTAAGTAATTTTATGTTCGAGTACTCCATAACGCTTCCACGTTCCTCGAGCTTCCACCCTCACAAGTTTGTGGCTTTCTACATTTTCATCGTACATAAAAAGCTTTCATCTCTTTCTTCTTTTCCTCAATCATGTTTGTCTCGACTCTGACATTCAAGACCACAGTGTCTGGATACTGAAGAGACGATGCACGACTTGACCGAAGACAGTGCACTTATTCTCTCAGTTCTCAATAAGCAGGGCATCCATACAGACTCAGACTTGTCATCCTGGAATGGTGTTGGTATCTCCCCGTCCTCTTCCGCCTGTCGCTGTACAATTTTGTGCAAGACATCCCTTCTCTTTTGAAGCATCTCAAGCCTTTCATACACACAATGCTCTCAGACATGAGAAGAAAGAAGAAGTTCCGCCCTGGTTTAAATGGAGAGATGCATCATTCCACAAAGGACAATTTGCAGACCCTCACTCGGCAGCACACGGGCGCCAACTATACGGGAAACACAGACAAGGCAGAGACAAGCCCAGAGACAATCACAAGCAGGAGATAAAAACACTGCTTTCTCTGCCTTCTCTTCGTATTTCTGGAGCGGTACCAAAAGGTTAAGGGAGTCGCAGTAGCCTTGGAGGAGCTCCTCAAGCATGCGTTCCATTACCTCACAGAGACCCTACCCCCGACCCTGTACCATACAGACCTGGAACTCTTGACTGCCAGTCTTGATATGGGAAGAAGCAAGACACTACGCATCCAAGGACGCAGTCATGGACGAGATCACTAAAACGGCATCTACCCAGTCGGAGTTTTGGGCAGCCAATGCCAGTCAGCATAGCTCATGACGATACCCTTACCAGACACGTCAGCTTGTGCGATCAGCATCAAGAAACCTTTTGCCACGTATGCGAAAGTGTCTCTGGCTCGTCACGAGACTGCTGTGATATTGAAACCGCAGCGGGTACCTACAATTGGGGTTAGTGCCCAAGTACAACAACGGCGGGAGTATACTGGTGGTGTGTCCCGGTGACTTTCCGCTATCCAAAGATCAGAAGTACCACCCGAAGAGACGAAAAGGGGAACTGGAGTTTCACAAGACAAAACCGAGCGCCAGATCAAGCTCCAACTGAACACCGATGGTGAAATGGTATGGGTCGAACCCGGCGACTGGAGATTGATTCCATCCTGGAGATTGGAGGTGGATCCCATCTTGGGGACTGGCGGTGGATACATCTTGGGGACTGGCGGTGGATCCCATCTTGGGGACTGGAGGTCGATCTCATACCCTAAAGCCTTACCCCCACCACCATCCAAAGGTCGAAACGCAACCAGCGGCCGATGGCAAATGGAGAGGGGCAACGATCCTTTTGAGATCCTATGGGAACGTTTCACAGGGATCGATGGTCAAGACGCAGAAGACATAAGGGTACGAAACCCAATCGAAGAACGAAAAGGGTGAGTCGAGGGACAATCCAGCGAGAAGACCACTTGACAACGATACCGAGCTGGGATCCGGTCTCTACCAGAGATTTGGAGCAGCTTTCCCGCCCGAGTCGACCAGGATAAACGAATCTAAGAGGATTGGATCCTCCACAGAGATCGTCGATCTAACCGGCGACTCGGAGAGTGAAAAGCAGGGTGGGATCGCGGATGAAGCTTTCTTGATCTTCCTGCAGCACACGTAGCTCTAAATGGAGAACAAAGTCAGCAAGACCGGGTACAACGATAGACCGGAGAGTAGCATCGCCACAAAGGCATCACGTAAGCCTTTCTTTCTTTAGTACATCACTGTGAGAAGATGTTCCATCACTAACAGCTCCCCAGGCCTATCTGTCTCTAAACGGGCTAAGAAACGAGCCAAGACACCGGAAGCCGAGGAAGTCAAGGAGGAGGCACCGCCGCCAGAAAATCCCCACGGCGGTATAAAACAAACAACCCTCAACACCGGAGGAGAAATGAAGGAAGTCTTCCTGGGGGATTGGAGGTGGATCCCCCACCCCAAACCACCGCCACCTCCCCCAACCAAAGGCCGCAAGAAGGTCGTCAAGCAGAGGAAGGGGGAGATCAAGTGGCAACAACAGAAGCCGACACATAAGGTCGCTCATACCCCCTTGAGATCGTGAATAGGTCGACCATCTTGATATCTGACAGTGATAGCGGCTTGCACCAGGGCCTCAAATCTGGACTCACACCACAAGTGATCGCTGGGTGAATTGTGAACGCAAGTGAATAAAAGTGAGCTGGCATAAATGGCGACGTGCAGCCAAAGTGCACATTATATAAATATATATACAACACAGCAGCCTTCAGGGCTCCTGAAGCCCCTCACACCACCATCAACCGAGAGCAAGCTAGGTTAGAATAATGGTGTGCAGTGGTCCACGAATTGGTCGCATGAAGATGGGCATTGGCTACAAAGTCATCCGAGCAGGTTTCCAAGGAATACCTGAAGAAAACAGAGTGGCGAGACACTGCCTCTAGATATATATAGTATCCGGACACAGATACGTCTAGCGTCAGCAAAAGCTGCCGAGAAGGCGTTCGGGGGAAAGAAGTCGAGGGGCAAAGCCCAGTCGGGCATCACAAATCTGGTAGAAGGTATTGAATTCTCCCCGATGAGAATATACTAGCATGTGCAAGAGGCTAATGATTTCCCTCATAGAGCTGGATCTGAGCCGAGAGGTAGACGAGGAGGTGGAGGAGGAACCCGTGCTCCCTTCGATTAGCAAAGGGAAGGGACGTGCTACGACTCCTCTAAAGGAGGAAGAACCTACAGATGCCGAGCACGCCGGCGAAGAGGTGGCGCCTCCCCGCCCCTACAAGGTGGTGGGAGACCTTGAACCTCGTCGGGACACGGGGGGAGGATGTTAGAAGTATTGCTAGGTGACTGGCGCTGGATACCGTACCCGAAAGAGCCCTCGCCCCCACCCAGAAAAGGCCGAAAACACGTTCACAAGCGGCACAAAGACGAAATCAAATGGGAGAAGCCAAAGCCCGCCAACGGAGTGCTGCCAGGAGACTGGCGCTGGATCCCATATCCAGAACAGCCCTCGCCCCCGCCGCAAAAGCAAACAACGCACACGCGAAGAGTTCGAAGCACGTCTGAACCCCCAAATGTGCGTCGAAGACAGGAATTGCAGGGACGAGGACTGTCTCGGCGCAGCACGTCCATAAGCGTCGGAAGAACGAAATCAAGTGGGAAAACCCAAGACCTTCCGCCAATGGCAAGGTAGAAGGAGGAATTGACCCTCCAAAGGTGAACTGATCTCACTTCAAAGATGTCGATGATAAAGCTACGACTACATCATGACGGAGACTACAGCCGAGATTAGAAGAGAAATGCGGAAAATAGAAATAGATTCCTAGACGATGCTTCCAAAACAGTGGGCGACGGGGCGAGCGCCAACATTATAAATATATATACACGACAACAATCACATCTGTGATCATGACTTGGCGAGGGTCGCCTAAAGGAACAGGATTTGATCACACAAACCGATGCCTTTCCCATGAGTGACGGTGCCGATGAAAACATTTCCTTTTCTCCTGAGACTACACAAAGGACTTGTGAGCTGATTATAGCTACTCGGATCAGCTCCACGCAAATGGGTGAGCGGCTTCCAAACGCCAAAAGAAGATCTACTCGCTCTCCGACTATCAGCATATAGTCTTTCTGCAGCCTCGTGCACTGGCTTCGGTGGTCAGTCTTTCAGAGGGCACGAAAACCACTGCTCATGCACAATGTCGGAATAAAGCTTTGACGAAAGGAAGACCCGATCCTAATGGCGAGGAAAAGCGAGAACAAATTGAAGAACAAGTTGCGAGAGAAGAAAGATCGGCCGCACTTGCTACACACAAGGAGTAGAGTGATGAGTGGGTGACAAGTCGGTGCAGAAGGGATGTGACGCCGCAAATGATGTTGATGACCCGGAGCTCTAGACTTCGATGACGAATCTGATTTCCACTTCTCAATATCGCGCACTGCAATGGAAGCTCAACATTCGCAACGTCAGGATTTAGAATGATGAGTCAGTGCTCTTAACATGCCGCAACGAATGTTGTTAAGCTGAGAATCAAGGTAAGGTGTTGAGTATCTAGAGAAGTCATATCTTGAGAAAGAGATTGCTACATGCGATGGAATGTATTGATCGTGGCCTGATTCATAATGGCACGACCGTCATTGACGTGGATGACCGAGGATGTTTATGTTCCACGGCGGCTGGAAGTATTTCAGGGAGAGGAAGATGGCGGGGTATCCGAGATGAAGACTCATGGAGCTTTGTGTGGTCAGCGGCTCTAGCTCGAATGATCTCATGTAGAACAATGTGATGCTGATGACCGAATTTCTTGAATCGTCCAATTCGATAGTGTCTTGCCTACCTCTGCTTTCGTTCTGAAGAACTCGCTCAATTGTGACAACAATCTGCTGATTTCTTTGAGCTGAGTCGAGGCTTAGGAGCTTTTGCGGAGTTAATAGGGCCTCTTCAAAGGCTACCACGGCATTAGACATCCACTTCATAATTAATTTTGATGCGTTTGCGTCTTTGAAGCAGCATGAAAAGCTGGCATCAAAGAATTGAAATTGGCTAAAATATCTAAATAGCAAAACACAAGAGGCTACTGCATCCTGGAGGTGAAGCGTAAGAGCCACTTTCTGAGGTCTGTCCTTCCCATCGCTGCCCTAGAGGTCCACGAAGTGGAACTGTGTCTCGGTCACTCAATGCAATGTACGCAAGTATTCTCTCGTGAGTTTGCGCAGCTACTGCAAAGAGAGGGTATTGCATCTACTGAGCGAGGTTCTGTGAATTTGTACGTCTTTTCAATGTCCCCATGGAGAGGGCCGAATTTGACCGCGCTTCCAGTAGGATCGAGGGTGGAGAATGTCATGTTCATGGATTTGTCACGCCATCTCCTGAGCCTCGTGAAGTCTGCGATCAAGAGTCCTGGGCCCTTGTCAAAAAGTAAGTCTTTGAAAAACTTTTTCATAGGGTTTTCTTGATCGCCACATCGCTCTAAAGGATGACCGTGTTTAGTCAGGCGCTTAGGCTCAATGTTACCGACAGTCAAAAGAATGGGTGGGGTATCGAGAGCTAAATGTTGCCAATGATTTAATCTTAGCGGAGGATGCCGAGCTTTTGAAGCTGGACGTGTGCTAAAATTCTTGTTTGGTCGAGAACTTTTGAAAGGATCTTGGTACGCCTGCCCTGTCTTGCTTTGCACAAGATCCTCAAGGAGCCAGTACATTGGTCTTACGTCTTTTCCATTTTCTCTTTTGATTGCATTGAGCCTCTCGCTAGCCTTCCTAACAAATAAGTCTCCCGAGAGACGGGTACCTGTCAAGGATATGAAAGCGGACTGATACCATGTCTGTAGGCGCCCGAGAGCATTTGTGTGAGTGAAAAGAGGAAGGTTTGCTTCTGAAAGACCTAGCTCTCGTATGTATTGCAGGCACAAGACCTCCATTATATCCGCGCCATCGCAGAGGAGATGGAGCTGCCTTCGCTCATCATAAATCAGTACAGTCGCGGCAGCTGCCTCTTCCATTGCAAGTCGAGATTCACTTTCAATTGAATGGTTGACTACATAATTATTTACTGCAAATGTCGCGGCAGCTCCAATTTGAGGTGTGTCAGGCAGCGGTACGCTAAGTTGTGCCACAGCTTGAAGCTCTGCAAGGTGCAAGCTCTTGACTGGTCTTTTTGTGAAGTCTGCACTGACCTGCAATTCGTCCCATAGAGCGCTAGTGGCGCTGGATCTGCCCTCCACTTCCCAGCCAAGAATACAGGGCGTTGTTGTTAAAAGTCGTTCTCCGGGTTCGTTGGCGTCTGTAGCCACGCACAAGTTCTTATTACAAAGGGTTCCGTCGCATGGAGCTGTCTCGCGAGTCACGTGCCACAGCAGCCATTGCTCGATCTTGATTTTGCATTGAAGGAAATGACCACTTTTAGCCGTGAATGTGCAAAAACACCCCGGGATTCTTCGTAAATCGTTACCAAGCATGGACCACATTGCTGCCGCAGTAAGATACAAGCCATCTTTCGCGGAACCCAATCCATTCCCCTCGGCACTCGAGATGACTCGCGTGACTGACGCAGACGAATCGCTGTTAAAACTCTCGTGCACAAGAATATTACCTTCTAAAAGAACATCGCGCCAACAATTGAAATGATCAACTTGCGTATCCGTAATTCCACTCGCTGATGCAGGCCCTGGTGGGTCTCTCCCAGTATCCTCCCGCGTAGGTCGTTTCTGCTTCAGTCTGATATATCTCCTTTTTCCCTCTACTACTTCCTCCACGCTCGGCAGCAAAGAATTGTATACAGACCTTGGCGGTTCTCGCTCAACTTTCTGTTGACCAGTTGTAGATGTAGCAAACGGCGGGACAATCTCGTCCCCAAGAGCAATTGTAAGCCAATCTAGCAGGCTCTTTACCTCCCTCATTTCCTCTGCTTCATTGGACATGTGTAACCGCCATTCGCCGTCCTGCGATTCACCGTCGTAGCTCGGAGAAGCAAAGAGAAAATTGTCGGTATCGAAATCTAGGCTTGCTCTAAGTTGTTGCTTGTACCCTGATTTCAATGAACGCTTTCGGTATTCGCAGTATCCGAAATGTCCGTCTCTACCAGCTCTCGCTCGCAAGGAAATCTCTAACACCTTCAGAATGATCCAAAGCAAGGCTGATAAGTCCTCGCCAAGAGTTGTAAGAGCAGCTTCGGCAATTGTCACCATGGTCGTCAACCCTTGCGCAGTTCTCAGAAGGACTGCTTGGCCAACGAGATGTGGGGCTGGCAGGCTTTTCAGTTGCAGGATGACCCTAGGTGGAACTGTGATGTTCCCAAATGCTAAAGGCGCATGGAAGACTTGGTCGGCGTCTGCTCTAGTTGCAGTTATAAAGCTAAAGTGCGAGCGGGCCATGGACTCTTTAATCGGGGAATGATTGCCCCAAATATCTCCCGGCAAGCATGTCGCTCGGGCCATATCTTTCAGGAAATGCTCTGAACGGTCCATTTTCTCAACCGCGAAGGCTCTTGAAGACCACCAGCCATTTGAGCAGACCAATTGGTTAGTCTAATCTAGGATCAGAATTATTATCAACGGTTCAACTTAAGATTCAAAGCAACCATCAAGGTAGCGATTCGATTTCAAACCCAAAGCATCAACATTTTGATTAGACTATTGGCGATGTAAGCGGCTTTATTGATTGATAGTCGGTCAATTCCGAGGGCCAAATCAAGTATCAGCACTTTGGTTCGGTCTACAATACCACTGCCGATCTAATGATTTGCCCTGAAGAGTCTTGTCTGGGCTGTAACCAGAACTGTTGAGTCGATTGGCACCCCGTGTGCCTGACACAATTTTGCGAGGACGCTTTCTCAGCAGTCTGAAGCAGCAATGAAGAAAAAAATGACCAGGCTGAGGTCTACCTTGTGGTCAGATCAGCCAATGCATGGCGGGCCGTGCTAGGGTGCCCACCATCAGGCTTGAGTGCTTTTCGCGGTCGTGAGCGAACAAATCACCTGAGGCACTAGAATTCATTCAGTAAAGGTAGATGCAAAAAGTCTTTAGATGGCTACGCACTCGACATGACTGATATATGATGCATCTCGGGTTTCCACATCTCTGAGAAAGTTATACGCACTGTAGAACATTCGTGAGCGAGATCTCCCAGGGACGAAGTACGCACATTTTGTCCTAGATGCGCAATCTGAATACCCGCTCTGTCCTTCACCATGATTGGCCCGATCTTTGTGGCGCTGAATGACTAATCAGGACGCGATTGTAAACATCCCGCCCTCACTGAAAAAGTAAACACCATCCATACATCCACCGCCCCCTTGCATTGCTTCCATCCATCCCTTTCCGAAACTCGAAAAGCTGCTCATCGCTGTCGCACAAGCCCCGCGACGCCATCCCACATATCAGCCGCAATGGCGACCGGCGTCGAATGGCTGCAAAAGCAGAAGAAAAGCGAGCTAGCTGAGCTAGCCGGACAGGTTGGGATGAAGAGGTAATGCGCCCTGCTTCACACGTCCTGCGTCTTATGTCCCATGCTCGCCGTCACCTGTCCCTTCGGGTCACCTAGCTAACCTCTATCACTTATCTCTCTAGCTATGAGCGCATGAAGAAATCCGAACTAGAAGTCGCCCTTGAAGACCACCTGCGCACGCACCAATCCTCATATGCCTCCAACCCCAGCACAGCAGCCTTCTATCAGGGCGTCGACCCTGCCTCACCGGTAAAGCACAGAGGCGGTAAAGCCGTGTCAGGCGGAAAGGCCGAAGATGAGAAAAAGCCGCGCCAGCGCCGGCAGACAATGAAAGCGAAGGAGGAAGCTGAAGGGTACACCTCCCCACCCACATCCCGCTATCATCCACCTACAGCACCTCTGTCCTATACCCATAAGACCCCCAAGTCTACGACCTTCTAAAACAAGAACCCTGCTAACCCCTCCCCCGGCACAGCTCAACAACCTCCTCAACCACCACCCCCGCCCGCAGCAGCACGCTCAACCTCGCGCAACGCGTACCCCTCCCCCCCTCGCCCGCCGCCCTCGCAAACGCAATCGACATCCGCACCACCTCCCTCCGCGCCTCCCTCTCCAGCACCCTCTCCTCCCCGCGCCTAACCCGCTACGCGCTCTCGACGCGCGACTTCGCCTCCTCCAGCGTCTCCCTCACTCTGATAACGCTGCTTCTCGAACTCTGGGGCCTGCGCTACGAGGTCCTGCCCTTCAAGTACGCGTTCACTATCCCTGCGATTCCGGCGTTGGGTATTGCGGCCATCAATGTGGCGGCGCCGGACTTTTTTGCGTTGTTGACCGCGGCGTTTTGGGGGCCGGTGTTGGTGTGGGCGGTTACGAGTGTGGGCGTGCCGCTTGTCGGGGCTTGGGTTGTGAATTTGCAGGGGGCGAATGCGAAAAAGGGGGTGCGAGGGCTGATGTTGTTAGTTTTAATGTTGTCAAGGCGTTGGTGGCATGGATTGTGTTTTCGAGGCATGGGGTTGAGGGGGAGGCGGTGGAGGTTGTGGGGAGAGGTGTCCCGGGTGGGGCGACGGGGTTGCTTGTGGGCGCGTTTGTTGGGGGGTTGGCGGGGGTTTATGAGGCTCTGTTGATGAAGTAGGGGTTGGCGTTTGAGGACAGGGTGGATGGAGAGGAGAGGTGCGAGTCGTTGGAGTGGGGAAGGGGAGGGAAGACAGAAAGCGGTCACGCAGGGATCGTTAGCTTCGTGGAAAATGGAAGTTTTGGGAGGTTGGGCTAGAGAGACCACTGTATATGACTGATGTTGGAAAGCGGGAAAGGGTGCCAATTTCGACATCGGCGTTCTAAGGACTCCATATGACCTGAGATTTTCTTTCACTGCTATCATGGGGAAGGCTATACTCAGGGCATATTTATGATACCGCGAGCCTTACAAGTCCACTGTAAATGCGGACTTGGCTCACTGTTTGACGCGTTTGCTTGGATTGTAAGTTTTAGTGAATCGATTGAGTAATGGTTTTTCTATGTACCTCGCCTGATGTGGCCCTTTCACCAACTCACTGTTTATATGTCGTATTCTATTGTGGACTATGCCGACATCTTCAGCATTTGTGAGAGTTTCGTATTTGTCGCTAGTCATTAGGGTTTCACACCGTACGCAGCTGGTCATTACCATTGGCAGGAGGTTTAACCAGAGTGACACCTCACCATCAGGCCAAGGAAAATTGCTGTCCTCAAGTGTCTTGGTGCAACGATGCCAGAACGTCTCAAAGCCTTGCACACCTGCTGCCCTGGCCCAAGAAGTTGTCTCGCTTCCTTGTGGACCTGTTGGTGGATAGGTCAGCATTTCTAACCTCTTAAAGCAGGCTATACTAGATGGTTCTACGATGCACTTCTTCGAAATCTAGGCTGTCAATGGTATGAGCCTTGAGGCTGAGTGTATTCCGGCAAGAGGGTATGTTGGTGCCTGAATTGGAACAGGCATATCTCGACAGAGAAAGTGGGAGCCGTGATTCGTATTCGGCGTCAGGAAAAGAAATCATCTCTTGATGAAAGAAGCTGAAATGATTTCATGGAAGGTAAACAACATTCTCTAGACTATGTGATTGATGTTGTCTTCTACCTCTTGAGACCATCCAGTACCCGAAGTTCAAGTTATACCCTTCTGAACAATCCACTAGATCATTTGCGCGGCCGTCAACGCCTTCCCATTCGCACCACGACCACCAGTCGGCCAATACTTAGCCACAATATCCTCGGTCTTGGTGGTCGGCAAGTTGGTTTTGTGAGCAATGTTGTAGAGCCATACCTGAAAGATGTTTTCATAAGGGTAAGTGTCAGGAGTGTTAATGCGCCATGTCCAAATCCCCCGACTCTCGGATGTAGCTTCGAATGCAGCATCCAGAATCAGTTGTTTCACCAGAGGGAAGGGGAAGGTAGCATTTTTGTTCGGCGTCTCGGAGCTGAACCCCCAATTCAATTTGGAGTATGTAAGCCTTGGAATCGCTTGTGTGTAGTTCAAGGGTAGGGTAAAACGGCCACCATCATAGTTCTGCATAATAATGTAGTCCACGGATTGTGCCACGCTTGGATCATTGAGATAGTTAGTCCAGGCTGGTGTGATTGACACAGAGAATTTCGGCGCACCACCACCGCCAGGCGTGGTACCAAGCTTAGCACTCAGATTATTGAGGCTCGTACGCACTGCGACGAGGATTTTTGGAAGGGGCGGCTGCATTGTTCCATACTCAACATCCACATCCCATCCATTGATTCGAGCAGATACGTCGTCACCACCTGCTGGGATTGAAGGTAACGTTGCATTGTACCAAGTGTTGATAGAGTTTGCGACCGAGTCAGCATATGTGCCGATACTGTTCAAGTTGTTGTTGAAGATTCTAAAATCCGCCTGGCCAGGGGGGGCAGCAGGTTCGCCGTAGAATTGAAGTGCAATGATCTTGATGTTGGGGTTCTGGGTACGAGCAGATTGAATTACCCACTTGAAGCGATTCGTCAGATCACCATTGGTGACCGTCGACAACGCGAACGAATAGTCGTTACTATTGATGAAGAATGAACTAACAAATAGCACGTCAATCGCATCAAAACGTATGGATTGCCATTCATTCGGAATCGTCCCCCAGGTGTACTGCGGCCCTTGTGGGGGACCAGGTTCTAGAATGAAAATGTGAGACTCGACGGATGGTGACGGCTAAGGATCGTCAGCTATGTTGCTGTTGTTAGCTATGGGTCGTGAGAAGAGGCCAAAGTCAGCAGTATACGTTGAAGGCAAGAGAGGATGCGATAAGGAAGAAAAAATTGTAGTGGCAACGAGCTCAATCCAACGGCACCCAAAATTGAAGGACCAGAATCGATACTCCAGCGGTCTTGCGGGCGTTGATTGATGCTTCGATGGGGAGATGGTACTTTATACATTAAGACAATTGACAAAACGCAGATCGATCCCCATCAAATGTTACGCGTCATAACGCATACTGGTCACAAGCCACATCGTATAACTCAGGTCGTTTCGCTCCGCATCAGGCCTGGCGAGACCAGTCCAGAGTCGCAGTCCATCCCAAAGCGGAAAGATTTGATGCTGCACTTCCTTCAGACCCTTGAGATTTACTTAGGCACAAGTCCCGGGTGACGCCACAACGGACAATGTTAAGCTGAGATGTCCACAAACAGTTTTAAGCCAAGTGTGCCGCAATCTAGACCAGGTCGGCGCTGTAGGAATACCTCTAGCTTGGCCCTCCACCCACATAGGTGACGCTACGGCTATTACTAGGGCTGCTGTCACATTGCATCGACCAATGGTGCTGCGATGCATTGATAGCATGAGATAAGCCCAGTCTCGAAACAGCCATGGTCCAAGTCCACGAACACGCGTTCGAGCTAGCGAATATGCCATCACTTCACAGCTATCGCGCAGCCGCTCAGAGATGCCGTACTCCCCCCCAAAAGTTACACAGGACAGACAATCAGATTTATCTCTTCTCTCGATAATCGGGCGTGGAAACAGTTCACGCCAATTAGCTAGACTTGGCTTTGGTAAGACTGAGCTTAATCCGGCGCCGCCGGCTCCGGAAAGGTTAGCATTTGTCTTTTTGCCATCGATGCATGGATTTCCTCGCCTGACTATTCAACCGGTGATTCATTGGCAAGATTAAGGAAAGAGTGCTGGCCTAGCAGTTCCTGTAGTAGACTTTTGTGATGGTAGTATCGAAAAGGATGGCGATTGAGACGCATAGTCGCCGGCAGGTGCACCAGGAAGTGTGACAATGTCGTGCATGTAGCATGGCCAGACATCTATTATTAAAGATAGCTGGTCAAAGTCCTTTCCAATTCCTCTCACTTCAGACATCGTGTCACCTGCTTGTCAGATCGCGATCGATGGATTCCAATGACTCTAACAATTTCCCAGTGGTGTTGAACCCGTGTTCTGTGGCAACCTCCCTCGGGCTTGCTCCGTCCTTGTTCTTTGCAAAAACGTTTGCTCCACGTGAATGGAGCAGATCAACAAAGAAGATACTGCCTGTCCGCGCTGCCTTATGAAGAGCCGTTTCACCATCAAGGGTGCTTTGAGTATCGACGGGAATTTGGCACGCGTCATCATCGAGGAGATACTCAATGACTGAAGTTGAACTGCCCAAGACTGCTAGATGTAAGACCGTTAGCCCGTCACGATCCGTAGCCTCAAGATTTGCACCTCTGCTCAGCAAGAGTTTGACTACGTCGAGATTGTCAAGCACGGTAGCTAAATGCAGTGGCGTATTATTGCCCTGTAAGTTTTGGAGTCTGTCGTTGAAGTGAATATTCCTCTGCTGACTTATGGTCAGTGGATCAATCTCAGCGCCGTGATCGAGAAGCAACTGGACAGCTCGCATGGGGGATCTCCATATTGCCTCGTGCAGGGGCGCCCATCCCTCGTTATCGGCGAGGTGAACACCGGCACCATAGCTTAACAGTATCTCCACGATAGAAACATTACCCCACATGAGTGCCTCATGTAGTGGTGTTCTTGATGTTGTGGTCAATGCATTGATGAAAGCCCCGCGATCAAGGAGAAGCTTGACAAGATCTTGATTTCCAACACTTGCTGCCAGATGCAATGGAGTGCAACCTTTTTTACGATCCCATATTCTTCCATGACTAGGCATAGCTTTGGCTTCGATATCTGCTCCAGCATTCAGAAGTGCTGTGGCAGATTCTTCATTGCCGAACTCTGCGGCTGTATGAAGAGCGGATCTGCCATCTTTTCCATAGGATATAATGGCGCCTCTTGCAAGAAGTAATTTGGTCACTGCCCCGGTTCCGCTGGTAGCAGCCGCGTGCAAAGCTGTCTTGTCACGATTATTTTTAATCATCACGTCAAGCCCTTGATCGAGAATGAGCCTGACAAGGTCTTCGGAGTCATTAGAAGCGGCTACATGCAAAGCGGTATCGCCAGCGCTATCCTTTGCAGCATAATCGAATCCTCTTTCAATAAGAGCTTTAGCGACCGAAAGCAGATCAAAAGTGGCAGCAACCTGAAGCCCCATCACAGTCTTTAGATCTTCCTGTGGTATCATTTGCTCTCCGTACTCGGTGGACTGTGCAGCCTGTAACGAGCAGGCTAGGTTTTTAGCAGCACCCATGAACTTCAGCGTCAATGGCAGAAGCTCTTCTTCCGGAGGTCCTCGCAAATGATTTCCCCAATAGAGAGAGGCATAAGCGAGGAACTGGTTCGCATGAAGTCGGGACGACAGCTGATTTTTGCTGGATACTGGTCCTGTGCAAAATTGATCGAAGAGAAGGTAGGTCAGACAAGTCCTCGAGATATCTGTTTGCGCAACTGGAAACGACGTTCTTTGAAACCGCTTGAGGTATTCCGCCGTGCTGTAGTGACACAGACGAACCACTTGGCTGTTGGGGTCAACGACAACAAGCCCCGCACAAACAGATGTCAAGAGGTCTTGGTCCGGAAGAGCACTATGGTCCAGGTCTTTTGCATTTGGTTCAACTGCAATTGCCTCTTGTAGTTCACACAATCTTAGTGGCCTCATAGCGAATAATATCCAAGAAAGAACCTGCTCGGCCAGCCTTTGATCATCGTCCGTCTGGTCTTTGATTCTTGATATTGCTTCATCATATGTCGCGTCTAATCCACGTGGTAATGTACACAATGTCTGCCGGATGGTCTTTTGGCTAGTCTTCAACATAAGGGCGTCCATGTGGAGCTGGGCAAGCAGAAACCTGAGTCAGTGTCAGCTAGTCAAGGCAATGACGCGTGTTCTGCTTGTGCCGTACATCTTGTCCGCATTCTCCACAACGTTTCGCTCGATGTCCTTCTTTAGCATCTCGTCAGAATTGACGTATCGGGCCAACCGACCACTTCGTGCTATGCGACCCATGACGTAAGCTTGCACATCTGCTCGATTTGCACAAATCTCCAAAACAGGAGCTTCTTTAAAGGCGCGTGCTATGCTGTCTGAGAACCTCGATGTCACGATCAAGCATATTCTAGGCTGTAGCTCTTGGAGCTGTCTGATAAATGTTTCACGAGTCTCCTCATTGGTGCACTCATCGAGGGCGTCAACGAAGAGGTAGACATTTTCATATCGGTCGATTTCCTGGCTCAGTATTCTTGCAATGTCTTTGACTTTTGGCCGGGTGCCTTTGTTGACGTGTTTCTCGTAGAGCTGTCTAACTTCGCTGTTGTCAACGGTTTCATATTGGAAAATTTGCCTCCAAACGCTGGCAAGAAGATTTCCTAGAGTCTGCTTGTTCTGCTCTTTGTAATTGCAGTAAACGTATGCAACACCAATTTTGCGATACAGTTGGATTTTTTGAAGCTCGTAGACGTAGTTCACAGCAATAGATCTGTGAGTATGGATTAAGAGCAATAATCATCAGGCTAGATCCGTAGCACATACGTGAGTATGGTTTTACCCGCTCCGGCTGTCAAGACTCGCTCAATTAGGACTTGATGAAGAAGTATGATCATGGCATTAAAAATTGAAGGGGGCCTTACGAATACCAGGGCACCAAAGAGTTCCGCCCTTGCTGGTGAGCCATTCTTGAAATGAGGCTGACTCAAGAAACCATTGACCCGTGCCTGCCTCTCTCTTCTCGAAGTAGTCGTCCTGTGTTTGAAAAAAGGTTAAAGGCGAAAGCCATTCGATGACTGTGCGACTTTCGGATGCTATCCACGTATCTTAGCTTTCGGCACTACAAAGATTGTACATAAACAGACAAAAGAGACGCTATACCGGCATTGTTGATGTGTAAATCCCTTACTCGGTCTGTGACATCCGCCACGTTTCCTATTAATGATGATAGTCCTGCTGTATCTTCTCGAATTTTTTCAAGTAGGGTCCTGATCAGAACGTCAAATTTGCTCCTGGGTGAAAGGTGAGTGTTGTTTATGGAATTAAATACAGACTATCATCCTGTAAAGCAAGGTGAAAGAGAGACTTTTGTCGTTCAAGAGTAGAAAGAGTGGCCCTTATTTCTTCGTTTTTGAACGGCCAGGAGATCACTCTGACAGCCTCACGGACAGTTTTCAGCTTGCCATCTTTCGGCGCCAATCTAGAGGCTAATTGCTCGAGCAATCGTTCAAATCGCTCGAGAGGCCCATCAGAGCCGCCAAGCAACTGGACTGAGGTTCCATGGCTTCCTCTATTTCCTTGTTGATCAAGGCGTTCTTTGATTATATAGAGCGGTAAACAAGCAGCGCTAAGTTCATCACGTAGCCGTACACGCTCGTGAGGGGCATTCTTGACATTATGGAGGTAGTCAAAGACCTTAGTACTCAAATGAAGCACTGCAATTATGCTAGCTGCAATACTGAGTGGGTCAGCCATCCTCCAAGGGAGAAGGATTGGGATGAAATTGATCTGGCCCCTCTGAGTTACGAGTTACTGGACATTGTTGGAACTGGACACCGTAGAATTAAGGCTTTTCGGTGCCAAGACATCTAGATCTTCTCTTCCATTCAATCCTTTGAGCATCATCACCTTAACGAACCATTGGCAATCCGCTGTAAGATTCATCGTCCTTCCAGCCAGTCGAAGGAGAACGAATTCAGCGCTGAAAGGCCTGATTTGGACTGTGACACGAGCCAGACCATAACACACAGCACGAAACAGCTATCCATACAGCACGACGGCAAGCTGGTGTCGTGCGAGCACCACACGTCTGAGTCTCACGAAGCCAACACCCCCAAAACCTCACAGCTACCTCAGCAAATGCTTTCAGAAGCCCGTCCGCCAACATAAACCACTCCATCACAAACCTCGCCTACGCATTCCGCTCTTCAAACCCTCAGCTCTAAGCACCCCACAACCTCTCAAAACCCACCACTCAACCCCTCAACGCAACCTCCTCACCACCAAAATGTCCAACCCCCTCTCAATAACCGACATCCCCACCCTCCACGATCTCTACCGTTCCTCCTCCCTCTCAGCCCCCTCAGACCCCACCACACCCTTCCCCCCCTCCTCCCCCCTCAACGCCTCCATCTCCCTCATCCGCACCTCAATAACCACGCTCTCCACAACCTGCATCGTAAACGCAGCCAACACCTCCCTCCTCGGCGGCGGCGGCGTCGACGGCGCAATCCACGCCGCCTCTGGCCCCTCCCTCCTCGCCGAATGCTGCACCCTACACGGCTGCCCCACCGGCTCCGCGAAAATAACCCACGCGTACGAACTTCCGTGTCAATACGTCATCCATGCCGTGGGGCCGATCTACCACGTTGCGAGACGGGAGCGGGTGGGGCTGGAGGCCGAATTATTGCGGGGGTGTTATCGGCGGAGTTTGGAACTGGCGGCTGAGGCTGCGGAAAGGGGGAAGAGGGGAAGGGAAGCGTGGCGTTCAGTTGTCTGAGCACGGGCGTGTACGGGTACCCCGCTACCGAGGCGGCGGAGGTCGCGATTAAGGAGGTGAGGCGGTGGTTGGAGGGCGAGGGAAAGGGGAAGTTGGAGAGAGTGGTGTTTTGCGTATTTGAGGCGAAAGATGAGAGGGCGTATCGGGAGTGGTTGCCACGTGTTTTCCCACCCGCGCCGGAGGATTCGCCCGAGCGGGAGAGTACGAAGGGTCAAGGGGAGGGGGAGGATACAAAGCAGGAAGCGGTTGAAGAATCTGCCGTGCTTGTCCCGCAGAACGAGGACGGGGGCGAGGAGCCGTCCCCGAAGAAAGCGAAGACAGAAGCTCAATCTCAGGACACCGCGGCGGCGAAGGATGAGTGGGAAGCTGTGGAAAAGCCGCACACACCCATCCCCGTGGAGCAGGCAATGGATAAAAGCCAGGAAATGAGCGAGGAAGGGGAGAAAGTGGAGCCGGAGAGTTTGGGGGATAGTGATGGGGAGAAGGTCGAGCGGCCGAAGGAGGAGGAGAAGGGCGGTTTTGAGATTGTGGATCCGATGGGGAAGGCCGAGGAGGAGAAGGCGGTGGGAGTAAATACGCTGATGAAGGACTGGTAGAGGGGGGATGCAGGAGGGGGGAGGGACTTAGATTGGATGAAGGGATATGCTCATAACAGCGAAGGCGTTCAGGAGTCCGAAAGTGACGATACGCGGATTTATTCTGGATGATGCCAACAAAGGTAGCTCTCTAAACACATCTATACTGAACCAACTTCCACTATAATAACCCCACCTCTTTGCTGAAGTACTTCGAGAACCCACCCCGTCCAGCCTTCATCTTCATTCCCTCTTTTCTCCTACATCTATCCACCCACCTGCATTTGCTCGTGCCCTACTCAATCCAAACCCGCTCCATCCATCGACGGAGCGGGGCAGTCCCAGCAGGCAGGTCACAGAACACTAGTCCCTTCATCACCGTGACGGTCTCATGCAGCGCAAAAGCGGGCACCGATAGCACGTCGTTACAAGCCAGAGTGCCAGTCACGAAGAGCTAGCTCAATTGACGGACACCCTTGCGCTTGCGTGGTGTCTGTACTGCTTCATCCATCCAAGCACCATCCATCTCAGAAGCCAAAACCATCGGAAGCATAGCTCATTGCCGTGATTCTTTCTTCCTCTCTTTCTCTCAGAAAAGGGTCGGTCGCCGGAAGGGGGGGGAGGTTCAGCTCTCCGGCCTGGCCCTCCACCGCGTCAACTCCATAGCCCAGCTATCCACCCACGCGCGCTCCTTCCACGTGGTGCCCTTCGGGTTGACGAGCTCAATCAACGGCGTTTCTGCATCCATCGCTTTCATATCGTACTCGAAACTCTTATACGCCGTTTTGACAGGTTTTGTCACCGCGTCCCCAGCCCCAGCCCCTGCGGCCCCCTCCTCAAACCTCTCCCTCCCACCCCCTCCCCCTTCAACAGCAGACTCCCCAACACTCAAATCCCCCACCGTCTCATAAAGATCCGCCAGCGCAACTAATTGCGCATCCTCGCCCAGCCCCTCCCCGCAGAGCACGCGGCCCTCTCTGATCATAGCCGCTGTAACGTCGCCGCCTTCATCGCCAATCCGCACCTGCCGCCCCTGCACCCCTAGATCAATAAACTCGTACTCGACATCCTCTTCGTGAAGGTAGCGACCGATGAGAACATCCTCCCGCTCGCCGAAGATTGGGTTCTCGCGATGCCGCTGCGCGAGGGCGGAGACGAGCGGCCAGGTGAGTGTGTAGAAGGCGCTTTGCGGGAAGCGGTGGGGGATGTCGGGACGGGTGGGGGAGCCGGCGCGGGCGATGAGGGTGTGCGGGTGCGCGACGAGGTTGGGTTCGGCTTCTGCTGGTGGTGGGGGGGATGGTGGTTGGGGTGGGAGGGTCGTGGTGTTAGTGGAGGCCGTTGTCGAATTGATCGCGGCGGGTTTGGCGGCAGGAGCAGGCTGCTCGTCTGCATGGAGGAAAGGGTGGATGAACTCGTTGTAGAATCTGGTGATGTAGATGTAGCTCTGGGTATCGACCTTCGAGACGAACTTTGGCGGCTCGCCGCGATAGCTGGGCGATGAGGGGTCAGCCGTCTGCAGCAAGTCCACGAAGTAGTCGTTCATCTTCCGCGTGTTGGCGTTGTAGTTGGTGGCTTCCAGCTGCTCTAAGATGTGGATGTCGCCGTGCGTTGCGGTTTCCCGCTCGATCACGTCCCTCCATTCGCGTTTTGGATGGCCGAGCAGGAAGACGACTTCGAAGAGGTCGGGGTTGTCTTTTGTGAAGAGGGATATGTAGGTGTTGCGGATTAGCATGCGACGCTGGACTTCGTGAACGTGCGAGGAGACCACGATGAGCCATGGCGCTCGAGGTTTTGGAGGGGCGGGTTTGCTGTCTGTGCTCTGTTGAAGAGATAGAGCCTTCGCGGAGGGGCTGATGACATTCTGTGGGGAGATTTCTCCGGCGATTGGTTCGACGGAGGTGAGGGGGGAGGTATGTTCATCTAATTCGACGGCATGGCTTGGTGGATAGACCACTTGACCGCGCGTTGAGGTGGTGAGGTGAGGGTGGTTGAGGTAGAGGAGGAGGGCACCGCAGAGCAGTATCAAAGTGCCATAGATGACGCGGTGATTGATCCGTTTCCGATTGACGAGAGGTGTGATGTAGTGAGCGTGGACTGATCTTGTCATTTCAACGACGACCAGCACCGAAGACTCCGTCCTCGCTCTAATTTCGTCCATCAGCGTCCTGTCCAGATCGAGTGTCTCCCCCTTTTCCTCGCCTTCTGTCAACAACTTTTCTGACTCCATGCTTTCTACCACTTGCTTCTCATATTGATTCTACATTATAGATGTAGAAGGACAAGTATTGCATCAGGTCAATAGATGTCCAACTTGCTCTGCCTCAAGTGGGCGCCAACCATTCTGAAACGCGCATGGAAGATTGATCGAGGACGCTCAAACGTGCCGCTTCGTCGCATGTCAGATTATTGTTGGTGACCTAATCTTATATGCTACTTCCCCAGCCACCATCTTGCTTCTAATTACGGCGCTTTCCAAATGAGTCCTACGGGTGGTGTCTTGTGCGTTCATGGGCATGGCTCGTCGTCACAGAATGGCCCAGCAATAGTGGAAACTAGAACGGGAAGACTTGGGTATATTCTATATGCATTCAACCAACAGACTCGCTAAAATCATTCCTCCAAGCTGCATCGTCCTTGACTTGCGTATCAGTATATCGATCAATTCCCTTGATAAGACTTTCCTCTGCCACCGCCGTCTCATATGTGGCAAAAAGCTCAGTGTAATCCTCCTCCTGATTTTGCTCTGTCGTTGAGCCTTTCTTTGCATTGCTCTCGGACTCTGCTTTCATTTCCTCCTTGACCCTTGCAAACATGTTCGCAGCAGCCAGGAACTCATCATCCGCCTTCAACATGTGCCCCACAAGCATCTTGCCACTTCTAATGTCTTCATCCGTCATATCTTTCTCAGCGGTCAGATCATGGTGCCGGTTCTGCGTCCAGTCGAGGAACGTGTACGTAATCCTCTCTTCGAATAGATACCGCCCGATTAAGATGTCTTCGTGCTGTCCGAAGATTGTTCGCTCTTTGTGTGCCGTCGCGATGGCTTCGACCAGTGGCCAAGAAAGGGTGTAGAATGAGCCTTGCGCGTACGGATGCGGATCGTTCTCCCACTTGATCTTGTAGCCAAGGTACGTGCGATCCGAAGAAGTGTATTCGCCCCCAGCAGGCGCATCATCATCAAGCAATCGCTGGAACATGATCTCTTCATACATGCGATCGATATTCGGGAAGGCGTCTGTGTCGACCTTGCTCACGTATTTCGGGTGCGATCCAGAAGCAGTGGCCTGGTCGACCACATGAGCAAGCCAATCACACGATTTGCGAGTGTTTGCATTGTGCCTATCATCTTCAAGGTCTTCCAGAATGACTAGATCGTTGTACACCTCATTCTCCCTTTCGATGATCTTTTGCCATTGATTTGCTGGTCGAGCGAGTACGAAGACTGTCTCGATATCCTCGTGGTCTTTGGTCCAGGTCTGCCATGTATTTCGGATGAGCATGCGCCGGCCCACGTCTTCGGTGCTCACGGAGACACCGATCAGCCAAGCCCCCTTACGAGGTGTCTTTTGGCTGGGTAAGGCCACCACTTGCCCGGGGTCAAAGTCTTCTCCTTGTGATATCGAGGTCAGCTCCAATGGATCCGCTTGCGGTGTTGAGTCCCTGGAAACGCGGTTTGAATGGAAGTCGTATGGCAATGGAAGTGGATCATTGAAACCGGAAAGTGGATGGTCGTGACCTCCGATCTTGTTCAGATGAGGTGTGAGTATGTTGGTACTGAAACTGAGGCAGAATAGAAGAGTACCACAAAGGAAGAAGAAGGTGATGAATAGTATGCGCGGATGTGAGAGGTGGGTAGTGAGGTCTTGCATCGTTTTTGTCACTCATCAAAGCCTTGACGCAACCTCGTCCTCATGATAGCCTATCGCATCGTGACGATCCTTGAATATTTTGCAGTGTCTCTTGAACAATGGTATCGATCGCAGCACGCACTATTTCTTGCCCCAGAATAGTTGCCTTGAAGTTGAGATGTCAAGAAATCATGTCCAGACTACCAGCGAAGATTGTGTTTCAGCGGCACACGACAGGCGTTTTTTACCCGATAGCAGGTATACCTCCACTACGAGGAGATTGAAACACCCCCGTCGGGCCAAAGTAAAGTGAGACACCAACAATGATACAAAAGCGGTCCAGGCTTCCAGCAATGCCTCTAACCAAGTACCCTCCATCTCAGAAAATGTCTCACGTCAGCCCTGAAACCAAAATATCTCCGCTGGGCGCGTGCACGGGACCCTCATGGATGATTCCAGACTCCAGAGGGAGGGTCTGCCTTATTCGAAGTTCAAGATCAGTTATGTCGCCCGCCTACACCCGCCGGGATTGGTGAACAGATCCGATTGTGAGTGGTGGAGTATGGCGTCGTACATGATGAGTGATTATGACAGGAACGATCGAGCACCAACCAACAAACGAACTGTCTTCCTACCCGGCATAGCAATAAATTGACCCCCCTTTTCTGACTTGCATGAGGAGCGGCGTTGATCCCGCACTGCCATCTCTTACTCAGCACTATATCCAATCATCCGTTATTGGCATTGAATGTTGATACATTGACCTTACCATTTCATGAATGGTACTCTTCCTCATCAGAGCGCGCTCAATCCACGATTCTACATCCCAAAATTCCAGTAAATCTGACCACAAGGATCGCAAATCTCTACGATTCGGCCGCGTCCTTGTAATCTGGAGAATTGCGCAAAGCAACTAGCGCGGCGCGTCGATGTTTCAACTGCGCCGTTGCCGCCTTTGATTCCTGGCTGTAAATCCGCCATAGCCTCACCATGCAAAGCTTAACTCTGACGTAGGATCCTATTGAAGGACTTTGTTTCAAGATGATATGTTAATCAGGTGCTCGTGCCGCAAATGTTATCTCTTTGATACTGTAAGGACGCCAATGCATCCATTAGCACCGTCACACTGTCGTTCCCTTGCACTGATGTCCTCAACGTATCAAAGATATCTTTGCCAAGCCGAAATTTCCTTTTTTCGGCTTGGCATTCCCACTGCAAGCTTGAGCTTGTTCAATTGAGATGCAGCAACGCCACTTGGGCTTGCCGTCTTCTACGCCATGCACGTCCGGTGTGGGACGCTCAGCCCTCTAGTACACCAGCTCGCTCTCACTCCGAAGACTGTGCTTAGTTGGAACTATGCTTGCGTAAGCTAGAGAGACTGTCACGAACGCCTATCTCGCAGGATCGTTTGTTGCAATCGATGCTGCTTATGGCCAAGAGCACCGCCTGCAAGCAGTCTTTTACTGTTTGCATCGCTTGTCCAACGCCACAGGCTATCCGTCTTTCACGTCTAGGGGTACATGTTGTCCACCGTTTCGGAAAAGGTTTGCTGGCCGTACGGCCTTGACCGACCTGCGCTGTTTGAGATTCGGGGGAGATCTCGGCCGCGAAGGGTAAAGCATGTTTTCTATCGGACAGTGCTGTCAGGTACTGAAATGTTAGTGAAGGGAAATCGTTGTTGATAGATTGAGGGAGGTATCCTGGGCTTATGTTATCATGTGGCGGGCTGCATCCATAGCACTGTCTCAGCCCGGACCTGCCTGTTGTATTCCAGGCACAGAATGACCTGCTAAAAGTATAAGACTCTCTGAAGAGGCTATGACTTCATTGATCTTTGTGCGAGTAGTGAGAGAAAGCTTGTCTTCGGTTGATCACTTACAGACGAAAAAGTACTAATCAGTGTTGGACCCGTTCGTCTGCAAGTCTTGCGGAAACGTCTTATCCACTGATAGGCGCATCTCTATTTCATGGATTTCCTCACCGTAATACACGATTTTCTTAAGCCCAGCGTGAACGTAATGCTTCTTTCCTGAAGCAAAGCTAACCTTGAGGGTTCTGCACGGAGACGGAAGATACGCATAATCTGCGAGCTGCCTCCAATTACATGCCTTTATCCTCATCGACAGAAGTTCGGAAGCAGGCGAGACGCTGACCCATGGCTCATAGCCATAGCCGAAGCCAAAGAGCAGCCAGAATTTTTTGAATTTAAGTGGATCTCTTTTGAAAATTGTAAGCTGGCCTCCAACGAAGTCGTGCAGACCCTGTGTGATCCACAGCCCAGTCGCAGTGTCACATAGGTTCTGGGGAGCTCGTTCTTCATTAGTGAATGCGCTGTTAAATTCATTGATGAGGAAATCGTGGCCATGCAAGCCGGGGGAGGACCTTATGAGACCTGGATCGAGGCTTTTGGTGAAAAAAAACTGCTTGTTCTCCGCATATTTATCAATTGCATTGTTTCTCAGCACCCGTTCGTTCCACTTAGCTACACTATCAGGTAATGCTCTGACATAGACACCCGCACCCTGATGTTGCAGGTAGATTGCGAGTCTCATATTAGAGTGTTTCGACTCGAAACAATTCAATTCCAAGAAGCACAAATGACTTTTTTGGTCATAATGCAGCAGTGTGTGAAGTTTAAGACCTTTATTAGTAAGTGCAAAATCAGGTGCGAATCTGAGCTCGTTGATATGTTCTACGTCACTACTCTCCCTGAACTCGAATGGATGACCGGCAAAACAACCACGTACTGAGGGTTGATCTGTTGTGCCCTCGGCTTGCCACCCCAAAATTGACAGGTCGTTTGTGTTTCTTACTATTTCTTCTTGAAGTCGTGTGTAAGCTCGTGCACCTTCTCCATACAGTAGAGCTAAGTTGATGCCAAAGATACCCAGTAAGCAGTAGGCTGTATCCTCGATTCGAGTCGTCACTCGATTTGATGCCCATGACATCCTCTTTGCGATGGGCATGCTCTCAAGCATTTGTTCCAAATTATGATTTGGTTGATGTAAGATCTCCTGTCCAATGCCAGTGATTCCCTCCAAATCCCGGTACAAGTCTGCTTTTGTCCCGATCAAGTTCCAGTCCCGGTCGTAGAAACGGACACTGGTTGGAGCAATCAGCTCTTGAAGTGTCCAACCTCGCTTGAACCACCTTGAATCTTTCATCTGAGCGCTATGATCCAAAGAATCATGGTCAGCCAGATAAGCATAGCAAACCTTGGCATCACGGTACCAAACGAACATCGAATTAATCGCTTCCGATAACTCAGCACTACTTGACTTGTCAATGCAGCATGTGTCGATCCAGGCAAAATTAAGGCCGTCGTCTTGTGCTAGACGACAGACTTGCTCGATCTTTCTCCAACCTTTCTTTTCTTTCGACTTTGCCAGGTCACCTGAGAAGTCATTGTACAAGACTTCCTCGTTCTCTTCCCACGTATGAGACAAAATGGCATATTCGACCTGCCTATGGTCTACGAATTCTTCTAGCAACAGCGTCCGGCAATTGATAAGTCGCATTTTAAATGGGCCAAATTCACCACGAAATGGCCAGTGAAGAAGTCAGACACAAGGGCACGTTTCAAGTGTCACTGCTAGCACAGTGCACGATTCTAGACCTTCTTTGAACCAAATTATCTTGGTGCTGAGCAGATGAGCGAACAGTAGTACCGAGACTTCGAAACCCAGGCTCTGCATATGCTCTGCGAGAAATGAGTACACTCCACGTGCATAAAATATTACAAACTATAGATACCAGTGACAAATGTTCAGATTGACGCCTAGCCCGTAGCGTGGTGATAGAAATGTTGTGAGAAACAATATGAGCAGGCAAGGAGTCTCTCGGATTAAAGTTCATGCGCACCGAAAAACAACTTGTCCTAGAGACTAGAATGAGTTTGGTAACGATAAGCACTTTCGGCTGACGAGGCGTCAATCTTTTTTATAAGATATTTAAATACGGAGTCGATTACCAGGCTGCCATCCGAAGGGTAAAGGTTGCGGAAGTTCAGACAAGATACGTTGGTGAAGTGACAAGGCTGAAGCTGAGGGGCACTCGACGCAATCATGCATTAGTCGAGGAGCACAGCCTACAAACGACCTTGTTCAAGTAACTGCCTCTACCGTCCACATGTTGAGTTTAAATGGCTTACCAGCCTGGATCTGATATCTCCATAACCACAGTCCTTTTCAAAACTAATCAAATGAGCCCAAACGACATATGCCGGGGAATTGGCGACTAGCAACGACGAAATGATAGAGCTATGCCCATGGAACGAGCGCCGCCTTCCTCGCGAAATGTACGTCAAGTTCTTTGTCATGCATTTCGTGGTCATTGGAGCGTACAGCCATCTCAGGCACCTGCGTCGCGAAAAGTACAGCATTCCCATGTATGTCTTTCTCATCGCAGCCCCGCTTGCGGGACTATCTATGATTCTTATGCCTCTTCTTGTAATTTTGATTCAATTGATTGTAACGCGCGGGGACGGCGTTGCTATTCGGAAGTCAATGGGCATACTCTTGGGACGCCTGCCCTTGGACAAAAGCGTAGAGTTCTGTGCGAAGCAAAAGGCTCGTGCATATGCAGAGGACTTAAGGAGGCGGTGCTCCGAGGAGCCAAAGTATGATGATTACAAAGCTGCTATTGTGGCCAGCCAAGGGGAATACCGCGAAGCAACCGCTGATTTCGTCGAGAATTTGCCCCGTGGCGTTGACGTCGAGACTTTCACTGAGTCCCCAGACGTGAAGAGATTCCAGGGCGCATTCGAAAAGATGATTTTCAATAAGCTGATGCTGACGGCCCTGGACGACTCCGTTTCCGAAGCGACCGAAAACGAAGACAACACAGTATCCTCCGAGACGCAAGGGGACGAACCTACTACTACGACAGACCTTTCGCCGCTCATTCGCGAGAAGAAAGCAGCACCTTTCACGGCTCCCGTCCCTCTCAATGGCCTGCCCGAGCCAGTGAAGACTCAGGCGAGAGAGCTAAGAGAGAAACGCAGAGAACTACAGAAGTGGATAGACGCAGAGCTCGCTCGCTTCCCTCTGAACGCTGATGAGGAAGCGGAAGCACTAGAGGACATCTCGCCCAAACCATTTGCACTGACTTCCCAGCTTGTGCGAAGTGTCATCATCCAACTCGCCTTACTCTCACAAAGCGCTACATCCATCTGGCTTTTCTTCAGACGTGTGAGTCACGGGAGCGACGCACTTTATGACCACAGATTGCTGCAGCTGTCTATTCTCGGGGCATGCGTCTCACTAATGAATATCGTGTCAATCGTTATACAGCCACACTACCCTCTGCAAGACAACAATGAAGATAAAAGGATGGATTGGGTCTATTACCTGCGGATAGGGGCCATTCGGGAACAAAACATCGTGGAAGACATCTACAAGGAAGTCTCGGAAGACCCTGCGAAAAGAGGTATCAACAACGAGATAATGCAGGCCATAGCTTCAATACTCACGGAAATCATTTTCGAGCTCCTTGGCCTGTATTTCATAACACTTGCCGCGACCAAGATTGGCTTGAGATGCGGTTCTCCAGTTGATTTCCTCGACGGTGTCGGGGGCGTATGTCTCCGACTGACATCGACCATCATGGAGTCATTCTGGTCTTTCATACCGGCTTTAATGGCCCTGGCAAGAAGAGTCACGCCCTTTCGTGGCGAATTCTGGAAAACAGCACTGCGAAGATATCGTTGGACTTTTTTTCTCGCAACGCTCTTCTGCGCTTTCTCGGCGACTAGTGTCCTTCTGCCGTCAGCATATTGGGCTGCAAGCTGGAGTCAGAGCCTACTGGATAGTGTGCAGCAGCTTATAGCTCTCTTCAGCATACCTCCAGATTCACAGGACTATCGGAACGCTGCATGTATCCTCACGAAAAGCTTATCCGACGTGGCGAGTAATGCTAGCAATGTACCCTTCATCAACAACTCGCTGCTGAAGCCGTCTGGAAACACCACTGAGCTTGATGGGGGCGTCACGTATCTTAGTTGCACACTCTTTCCGGATTGGAGCAGAATATGGACATTTGGACACATACCATCTAGCTTCCCGTGCCCTGAAGCTTGGAAAGATCCGGTAGCCGACTATGTCTGGTGGCTTGCGTGAGAATGACGAAACAGAGTTCTTCAGTCGGCATCTCGTTTTCAAGGGCTAGGGAATTTTCAACCAGGATTCTCGCTTAACACATTTCTAGAGCCTGCTGGCATGACACAGCGTGAAATCAGAATCGTTCAACTCTAGCTGGGAAAGACTGGCTGTAGAACGAATCAGTACTGAGCGGTTCACTCGCTATGACTGCTCTGGAGCTTCGAACCGACGCTAGAGGCTTTAATTCCGGCCAAAGACGAGGGAGATGGGTGTTGAGGAATGTCGGAATCGTATCAATCTAAGCAGGTAAAGGGGGCGCCAAGAGAGAGGCGAGGATTCCAGGAGAAGGAGGGTGTAAGAAGATGGGAAGGAGAGTTGGAGTGAGAAGATTTTCTGAATGGGTGAGCCTGGGGAATATCGCGCGGGGTGGTCACGCGAACACTGAACATGAAAGCATAGAATGGACACGCACCCAAACGCTGATGATGGTGAAGGTGGTCGAATGGCCGATTGATACGCAACAGGCAATGCAAGTGGGCTTCTCGAAAAGCCAAGATAGTTCTGGCGGGTAGTAGGACACCAGAAGAACTCAGGCGGTGGGAAATTCTATTATTTCGCATACCTTTCGTCCAGATCATCAACATCCCCTACCCCCAGTTCAGGCACGCGCCTCTTATATATCCCCCTGCACAGGCCCCTCATCACTCTCACTCTCACTCTCATCCCCACTAACCTCCGCATTCTCCCGCTCCTTCTTCGCCATCAAATCCTGCAGTTCCGCATCATCGCTCTCCGTAACCGCCTTCGGCGCCATCTTAACAATACAACTGCCCCTCTGGCCCTCAATCTCCTTCTTTACCCCCTCAATCGCTCTCTCCAGCGTCTTTATCCCCGTCTCTTTCTCCAAGCACTGCGACGTCAGGACATAAAGGGGTGGGCTCACTAATTTGACTTTCACGTTCGTTTCAGCGGTATTCTGCGCCTCGGCGGTGCGAAGGGCGGTTTTCACGGCGTCGATCCCTTCGTAGCCGAAACAGGTGACTTCGACGTCGGCGCGGACTTTGGTGGGTTGGGGGGTGAGGCGCTTGGAGATGTAGGATTGGAGTTCGTCTTTTACGGCTTCGGAGGGGAAGTCGATGTCGGACCAGACGTCGGGGTTGCTGTTGTGCACCACCTATCAGTACTTGTGCACGTGGGAAGAAAGGCGTGGGGAGGAGTGGGAGCGCACTTTATAGAGAGCTTGAAAGCGTCTACAGCATGTCCGTATCGCTTGTTCAGTGGCCAGCCAATATGTTGGTATAACGTTTCCATAGGCGTTCGCGTCTTCTCTGCGACGTGCCGCATGACTGATGCGACCATCTTGCCTTTGTTGTATCGCTCTTCGCATTTCACAATGTCTTCGGGGGAAACACGTCGTTTTGAGAGATCGATATAGCCTGCTTGCATTCAGTCTCTTCTCTCGGAATCACTGAGCCTCCTGAGTCTGGCAGACATACCCTTCTCCTTGTCCACCCTCAGCACAACCACCACTTCATTCCTCCCCACCCGGATGAGCTTTTGTATACTTCTTATCCGTCGCCGTGAGAGTTCGGATAGAAGAATCATGCCATCGATATTGCCGTATTCCATTAATTTGACGTAGGCGCCCATCTCTGCTATCTGGATGGGTGTGAGTCAGGCAATTCTGTGGAAAAGGTGGGGTGGTTCACTTGTTTGACCTGCGCATGCCATTAGCAAAGGAAGTTGTGTTATTCAAGGGCAAGAGTCGTACATTGACCATCACAAAGCTATCAATCTCCGGGAACTTGTCCTCATAGAAGCGACAACTTATTAACGACATTTTACGTTGTGCTTGTGTAGAAAGCCCGCTTGGGCGCTTGGTCGCACGCTGTTTTCCCGGTTGTAGATGGGTGAGATCTCTGTGCTAGATCGTGAATAGTCTGCTCGAAATTGTGGGAGATTCGCAGGAATCAGTAAGGCTTGAGTGGTTGTAGAAATTGAAAGGATAAAATGAATCATGCTCGAAGTCATTTTTGCGGGGCGGCATAAGTTCCGTCAATTTGCCCGCAAATCTACTGTGGCTTTAGCGGGCTCTCTCAGGGGTCTCAGGTACGGTTGACAATAATGTGCACCATGCTTGTTGAGCAAGGCTGAGGAAGGGCAGACAGAGGACTCTTCACAGCCATTACTGAATCTAGGAAAATCTAATTACACAGCAGCGTCTCCTGTCCGACTCTATACTTCACCCTATGGACCCTCTAACTCACTTCCTGCTCCTTCATCTTCTCCTCCAACTCCTTCCGCTTCCTCTCTTCTTCCCTCTCGACTTGCTCGCTCCTCCTCACTGCAACATCTTTCGGTCTAAAATCACTGAAAGCGCTCTTCAGCCCTTGCTCAATGACCCAGCACCCCACAAAGTCTACCACCATGACAGCCGTCATCACAGCCCTAAAAGAGACCGTGAACGGCACCAGTCTCAATTTCGAATTTAATTCAGGTATGAACTCCGTGCTGCAGGAGAAAGCGACGAATGAAACACCGACCAAGCCCCAATACATGGAGCGATTCTCGCGGATGCCCTCCCGGAAGGGTCGACCTTGGTAATTGATAGCGAAGGTACTGATTTGCTGGATTAGCTGTAGGAGGTAAACAGCGGAGTTGAGGAGAGAGGGCTCGAACTCGCCCTCGAGATCAACAGAGGAGCGCGGAGGCGAAGGAGAAATCTTCTGGACGTGGTTGGAGAGGTAGATTAGCGTGGCGATGTGGATTGCGAATTGTCCGAGGACAGAACCGATGATATAGGGATTGAAGATGTTGGGTTGGGGGCGTTCCTTTGAGAGGCCTTCGACGGACTAGAGGAAGTCAGCTTTGTTGCTGGGAAAAGGGGATAGGAGGAGGAAAGGGAAAACTACCTTTGCGCGCGAGATGCTGAGGAAGCAGACGCTCATCAGCATACCACTTATCGTGACCTGACCGTCTCCGAATTTGATGCCGTCGAGATAGAGGACGCTGAGACTGTAGGCGCTAATCAAGCAATTCAACGCGAGGATTTTGTACATTTGAATGGTGGCAACGAGCGTACACCTTCCCTGTCGGATGATGTTAGGGATGGCGACAACGTTCTTGAGTTTACTAGTGAATGGTGCTGCAACGGACGCATCGCCTAGCTTAATTTTTGGTGGCTCCATCTCATCCATTTCTGCTTCCATCATTGTGGAGGTGAGTTTATCTGCGAGGCCAGCGGCTTTTTGTCGTGCCTCAGCTTCCCGAGTTTGCTTGGGCGAGGCACCAGCGTTGCCATTCTGAAGTGCCTTCGCTCCTGGTGAAGTGACTGTCTCCATACTCTCCGATTTCGGTCCTACACTTGACTTAGCTGCAATGCCTGCAGCCGTACCCTTTGCTCTGCTCGTGCTTGCATGGCTTTTTCATAGTGGGGATTTGTTGGGCCAGGTGGATAGGTATGCGCTATGGCAGGTGGCACTGGTGGGGCTGGCTGATTGAATCTCTTCATCAATTGGACTTGTTTTTCATAAATTTCCTTCATCTTTGTGGTGCGGAAGTGCTCGCCAATCTTGTTGAGGTCCTCCTGCGTACCATTGAGAAGAGCGACCCCGATGTGAGCCTGCTTCAGCGCGCCCACGTCATTAGTACCATCGCCGCACATGAGAGTAATATATCCTTGATCTCTCAACTCGATCAGGATATCTTCCTTCTGCTTTGGTGATACACGGGCGTACACCCAGGTGTTCCTTACGATTTGCTTGAATGCTGGTAAGTCCTTGTATTTCGATAGAGCATATCCAGTGACGCAAAGATCTTTCTGTTGAATGATCCCGTGGTCTAATGGCTTTTTCGGATCAACAGGGATGCTCGTTGAGTCATCCACACTTCGCCATACGAGGTTCTCACCGCTGTCATCATGCTCAGGTGCATCAAGGATCAGGACATCGCGGTCAATGATTTCGACTTGTCTCGCGACATGAACAGCTGTGAGGGGATTGTCACCGGTGATCATGACACAGCGATGGCTGCTCTCGTTAAGCATACGCACAGCGGACATGGCATCCTCTTTGAGCGGGCACTGCAGAACCAGAAAGCCAGCGAAAGTCAGATCAGCCTCTACTTCTTCTCGTTTCAGATTGTTGATTTTCGTCTGACCAAGCTCAGATTCAGTAGAGAGGTATTTGTAGCCTAAAGCAAGTACACGCCCTCCATTGCGGGTGAAGTACTTGAACGTCTCCTCATAGTGGGGAGGAACTTTCGTCAACATGGTTCGTATTGTCTCAGGGGCTCCCTTGACACCAATGAAAGTACTCCGCACTTTCTTGTTGGTATTCTTGTCGTTGACGAGTACTGTGGCCACTGAGCTTTGCCTTTTCAGAGATGATGAAAATTGAAAGCGTCGTTTGACTTGCACGATCTCCCCACTGGGATTATTACCTCGACCAATCGATGCTGATCGGCCCGTTAAAGTATCGTTGCGCCCAAGACTCCAATCTAGGGAGGTGAGGGTAGCCTTCTCCATTGGATCACCAACGATTTCTCCCTCGTCTAATCTTACAAGAGCGTGAGCAGTGGCAAGGACCAAGGTCGTTTGTTGACCAACATCAAGCACTGGGGTGAGCTTGCTATGGGCACCGTCCTTTTCTGTTGGAGCTTCCTTCTCGTCTAAAGACAGGCCTGCAATGCCATCGACAACGAGATCCTCACCAGTCAAAGTGCCTGTCTTGTCAAAGCATGCCACATCGACACGACCAGCGTATGGTATCCTGAAAGGCTCTGTGCAGAAAATGGCGTACTTGCTCAACGCGGCCAAACTTGTGTTCACAGCTAGACTCAACTCCATCGGTAGCTCAGGAGGCACAACACTCGTGATGATCAAGACGCAATCCAAGAGGAGCTTCGAGCGCTTACGATCTTGTGCCACACCTTCGACCCAGACGTACCAAGAAGCAGCAATGGCGAAGATGAGTAAGAAGAGGATGAATAGGAGCGCCTCCACATTGTTCGCAGATACTCGCTCTGTCGAATAGATCATAGTCCGCACCAGACTGCCTTGGCTTGTCTCAAAGCCAGTCTTGACTACAACTGCCATCGCACCATTGTCAGGTGGTGGCTTGACGCCCGACACAAGAGTTGGTACTGTCTCCGGCGCATCCTCGCTTGCGATTCCATGGGTGATCTGCAGAACCTTCGTCCCACCATAGAGAAATGCGTTCTTGTCCAGGCCCTCGGGCTCAATCACGGCATCTCCAGGTCTCAGCTGCACCGAGTCCTTCAATAATGGTGTACTCTCCCCTGACAGCATCGCCTCATTTACAATAGCGGTGCCCTCGACCAGCAGCATATCGCATGCGACACCGCTATCCTCCTTCGTCCTCCCGACGGAAACTAAGTCTCCAGGTAATAACTTATCACTTGTAGTCTGCTCCCACGTCTTCTGCCTATACACATACAACTCGTATGGCTTAATGCTCATCCCGCGGAATTCGTTCAGAGTCCTTTGTCTCTGCCACACAACTGTGCTTTCAAATCCGACCAGCATTACCAAGGTGAATAATGAGTAGTACCAGTAATCATCTAGCAACCACAATCCGACACAAAAGATCTGGAAAACAAAAAAAGGCGCTACAGCGTGTTCCTTCCATAATTCGGTGAAAGTGGGTACTGGAATGTCGAAGGTGTTGTATCCATAATGCTGATGTATACGCTCAATTTGGTCGAGAGACGTCAAGCCGTGCGACTCTTGAAAGGTGTTGATTTGAGGTTTGGGATCAGCGTCAATGTCGTAGGAGAGGGGCGCGAATGTGCCGGAAGTGGTATCGTAAAGAAAGCGCCTTTTCTGAAAGAGGAATGAAGTATTGAGCTTGCCACCGACCTGGAAGACCTATCAATACATATCGATACTGATGAGGGGGCGAGCGACGATGCCTACATGATCTCTCAGAAGCGGGCATATCTCCGCCGTACCCGCATTCATCACAGGAATAATCTTGATGAGCTGAGCGCTCTTCACATCTCGCGCTTTTGTGGACGTGAAGAGTGCGTCCACGTTGACGTTCCATTTCGTGGTCAGCCACGTCAGTGCCTGGATCGAGAAGATCGAACCCGCCCAGACAAAGGTAAATTCTTGCCCATCTATGTACTTCTCATATCGTTCTTCGGACAGATAGAAGGCGAGAAAGATTGGCCACACCGCTAGAAAAGGCCATATGTATGTATGGAGGTAGAGGGGAAGAGGATTGTGGAGGCTCGCCGATTTGACTTGGGCGCTCTTGACTAGGGGAGGCCTGCTTCATTAGCTAGTGCATTTTACCAAGGCTGCATTTTCTACTCACATCTTGACGGCCACCATCAATGGGTTCGAAGATGGAAGAAGGTTGTCAGGAAACACCAGCCATGGGCAATCAAGAAGATAGACACGGTAGACTTCACAACGAAGCCGAGGACACTTTTTTCAAACTCCGCTAGCCGCAATCGGACAGCGTGAACGCCACATTGATAGTCGACACCTAATCGACACATGGCAAATTGATTAGATTAGATCACACCTCTCGTGATTCTTGGGGAACCGTTCTATTATGTTATAGGAGCGCTTCAAGGATTCGATCATAGTAATAAATAAGGTACAGCTATTTACACTCCCAAGATCTCGTCAAGCACACATATACAGGGCACAGCAAAAGCCAACAGTGGCTCGCTCTCAATCCTTCTTCTCTTTCATCGCTTCTAATAACCCTTTCAATTCTTCCAGTTTTTCTTTCACTCCTCCAATCTCCCCTCTTGCCTCTTTCACCTCCAACACTGTTGCGTCAGTTTCCACGTTCGGCTTCGTTCTTTCAACCTTCTTCGCCCACCCATCTGACTCGAAGTCACATTCGCCAACCATCTGTTCCCATTCCTCGATCGTATCTTCATCGTCCTCGCCTCGTCTCCTATTCCAGCGAATGCTCTGCGCTTCCCTGGTCTCGAACCACGCTGTGATCAGCAGCAGTGGTGAATAGAGGAAGCCCATAACATAGTGATTGAGGCGCTCGTATCTGTGGGTCTCCATCCACCATTCAAGAGGAATAACCAGACAGAATATTTCAATCAGATTGAACGGTGCGAGGAACACGTTTTCGTCGGGCGCGCGCACGAATTGCAAGGTCTTCTGTGAGTAGAGAGCCATGAATTCGTCGATGGCGTTCTCTGTTATGTCTTCGTAGGCCGAATTGTAGAGCGCAATCAGGATATTGAGCAATATCACCATCACTACGAAGGTAAAGATGTAGTACAAGATGATGCCGAAAGGTGGCGCAAAGTTCTCGAAGCCGTCAAAATCAGGGCTCTGCATCACGCTGTTTGCCATTGCTTGGATAATGAATGATGTGACCTTCGCGTTGGAATCGATCGAGTCCATGCCAATGAAAGCCTGAAGGAACCCAATCACGATTACGATCAGCAGCGCGAAGAAGATGACTGACTCTTTCATCATTACTTTGAGGATTACCATCATGGCACCGAAGAAGCGGTACGTGTCCAGGTAGAGCAATATTCGCATCCAGAACATAGGCGCGGAAAAGGCGAGAAAGTTGTAGGAAAGTTCGTTATATCGTTCACGCTGGTCGTTGCCGATGGGGTGGCCGAGCGCGATCATGCGAAGGATGAAGGATATGGTGAGCAGGGAGTAGAGGGTGCTGTTGAAAACGTTCCAGAAACCAATGTAGTATCTTCCAACCTTCCAAAACTTGGCTGCTTCATCAAGAACGAAGCCGGCTGTCATTAGATAGACAATGCCCTCCACTACGTCAAGATCACCAGTACTGTTGATTGTATTGATGGCGCCAGTGTAGAGTGCCAGGTAGAACAAGGAGAAGAAGATTTGGACAGCGTTCTGGTATCTTGGGGTACGCATACGATCAGGATCGAAGTGATCCCAATAGTTGGTGTTCGCTTTATTGTCCCATGGTATGAAATTTGAAGGGTATTCGTCATCTTGGATTAGCCATCCGCGCCAAAGATAATTGACACACTTTTGGTACCCTGATGAGCCAATGGTGTGCAGTGCATGGAGATCGACAGCACGCTCAACAGCATTTGCAGGCTCTGTCGTTTCGTGGTTGACAACGATAGAGAAGCGCTGCAGTAAGAGATTCTGGAGGAGGTGGGGCTCGTCTTCCTCCGCCTCAATGAGCCGCTTGGCCAGGACATCACAAGCGATAGCACGGACTTCATGAAGGTCTGCATCCCAGAGCTCGAGTACAGCTTGTCTCTTGAACCATCGAAAGCATACCATCAGGCAGTATATTATGCAGGCTTTGTTATCCTTGCCGCCAGCTTCCCGCGCCGTGGCCATGACCTTTGGGGTGACGACAGGGGAGTTGGCTTTCGTGACTTTCAACTCCTCTACCTCACACGGTAACACTTGTTCTATCTGATATTTCAGGCGCAATGCGACTTTCGTGACCCTCTTTTGGAGGAAGGGCAGAAGGAAGGGCATCATTGTTGGATGATGGCAATACTATTGTTGTGAGCTCAATTGGTGCCCCACACGTGTACTGAGGACAGGACTCACATTGGCGAACCTCATCACGGAAACCTCGACGATCCTGGCCATCAACGCCAAACACCTTCTTCCATTGAACCATCTCGACCCACGGAGAAAAGTAGGTTGGAGGGTTATCGGTGCTTCTGTCAGCTGAACTGCTATCTAAGACCTCCCGTCAAAGAAGTCATTGGTGGTTCCAGGCTTTTCTGTGCCTAAATACTATTAGACGGGCCTCGACTCGCGAAGAGTTGGTGTATCGCACAAGCTCGGAGGTGGAATGACAAGAAGTTGGCATTGTCACCAGGTGTGGCGGTGTGGCGGTGCGGCTGTGGCTGGGAATTAAAGTTTGAGATTAGGGCTCGAGGGTGGGTCAATCGGAACGTGGCCACGCTAAGTCTGTTATCAGGGCACTTTATAGGGAGGCGTGCCCTAGAGAGTGCGCTATAAAGACCCCCCGCTAAGGCTTCTAGAACCCCCATTTCTCCCCTATGAATTTGGCGTGGCCACGTTCCGATTGACCCACCCCTCGGCTGGGTGATAGCAGCGACATAACTGGCTACATGCTGCATTGGGCGGAACCCAGGGCTGAAGTTCCTGTAAAGGTCAAAGTCTACCTGGGAATGGCCATAGCTACGGCAAAGATGCATGCTCCAGTAGAACAACTGGTCTAATGATCCCAGGATCATGATGCTCATGGTCTGTATATCTACATAGTTCTATCATGGTATCATGGAAATGAATGGCCCACAGGATGATACCGTTCGGCGTCTGATAAGGTGTACATCGGTTTCACTGCCTCGTCCGTCATGTCTTACACGATCTAGAACTCGCGTTGTTGGGTCAAAGGAGTCGCGGTTTTTGGCTACTGCGATCTTCAGGCTTTCGGTAAAATAGTCGGCTAATCCATACGCATCCATCTCCTCTCGACACAACATTGGAGGTCTTGATACTGAAAAGACTGTCCTTGCGATGATCTCGAGAAGGCTGAGGAGCGACGAGGCAAGTCGAAGAGTCGAGAACAAATGCTTGGTGAGCTTAGCGCAGTCGATAATCGATTGGTGGATGCTAATGAAAGTGCTGAAGGATCGAGGACGCCTATTTGATTTGATGCAGCTAATGATGCATGTACTGTGCCTGCTCAGGGGTCAATCTTTGCCTCATCCGGCTAGGTGAGTCCTTCATCGCCCTCGCCGGGGCTGAAACCAGCGGTGCGTAAGGCTGTGATCTCCCATTATTCTACTGGTACACCATCATCAGAGTTGATTTGATTCTCCCCCCTCTCTGCAATGCTTCTCTCTAACTCCGTAGCAAGATCAAACATTGTTGCAATCCCTGAAGGATTACGTTGGTACTCCATCTTATAACACGACCCCCACAGGAAAGATACAGAGACCGCCCCGGGGAGGTGAAGACCACCCTGAGATACAAGACTACTCGAGCTTGTCGCCTCCAAGAAGGAAGATGGTCAGTAAGAGAGATACTACCGCATTGAACGTGGAGAAAGTGAAAAAAGATATCAATGACACTCCTCACAAAACCACGATATCACCACCAATAGGCCAATTCGCAATTTCCGCTGTTTTACAACTAGCTGCCTTCGCGGTCGCGATATCATTCGGAATCTTCGCCGTCAAAAGCGTCAGAATATCAAACGAAGCAAATCGGTACGCGTCCGAGGCGCTCGAAGAGACGCGTCTAGCCAACCGCATAGCGCTGCTGGCAATCTGCGCTTCAGCTACCCCCGGCGTGAGCTCTGCCAGAAAACCCACCTGGAGACACTAAAATACTGATTCTAGTGCGGGCAGGATAGCAATCTCTCCGATTTCTGTAGACGGGCTTTGGGTGATGATTATGTAGTTTTCTCACAGGCAGATACCTCCGCTCAAGGAATCAATACGCCAGGCCTTACGTACAGAGTGCCTCAGCAGGATGGGCCGACGTCCACAACATCGTCTTCTAGTGCTCCCTCCTCGTCTCCGGGCACTTTCTCGACTACCACCCGAACCTTTGCAATAACCACCACTCGTCAGCAGGATAACGCGACTCCCACGCTGCCGAGTAGCACGCACCTCCCGGGCACACCAATTTCTGTTGCCGGAACTGGAATCAGCAAAGGCGGCATAGCTGGGATAATCATCGGCGTCGTAGCCGGTGTCATTGCTGCCTTTACCCTACTCTTTTGTCTCGTACGACACCGGAGACGACGACGGCGAAGTGCGGGAACAAACTCGCCGCCAATTCTGGACGAGCCGCCGAGCACCTTTTCTCCAGACATTTCACATGCTCCTACGACAGCTCAGGCATCTGGAGAGCATTCCGATACAGGACCCACGAAGCGAGCTCGTGGAAGAAATAGGGAGAGCACCGTGGCCCCATCCCGGCTGTGGAAGACTTATAAAGCGCTGTTTGTTGATTCGACTATTTCTACGAGTCGATGATTGGCGGATTTGAGGGGTGAGAGGCTTGGTGGGGTAGTTGCCTTAGATGTGGGATTGAAGACTCTCAAGGCAGGGATTAATGCCGCTGGGGAGAGAGGGAGATTGATTTTGAATAAGCTTACTTGTATGAGTATATATACGTAAACGGCTACGAGACCGGTAGGTCATGTTGAACCTGGCGTCCTCGAATACTACGTGCTGCTCATAGATTATAAAAATTTTCAATGTCGTTTAGAAATGTGTCAAGACGCGATGAATGTTATGTGAACATTCAATTGGATATGAGTATTGTATCGTGTGAGCTATGATATGGAAGTACCAGGTGCTGCTTTGCAAAGATGTCTATTGCTCTTCTCCAAAGTCTCATTCTACTCTTCAACGTTCTCATGAATGAATCAAGTACGGTGAGAATTCGTCTTGTGATGACATGCCTGTGTAGGCGTCGGTGTCGCTTTCTGAAGTGACAGCGACTTTTTTCCAATTTCCCATATGGAGGTGAGGATGTGCTAGCCAGCACTGCATGCGCACCCTATCTGATCTTCTGTACGCATACGAAGGCCATTCTTCGACTGGTTTCGATCTGGCTGTCTCAAGGTCCATTGGATCCAAGGCTGCTTCTGGCCACCTGCCCAGGACAAGAAGCCCAGTGGGTAGCTTTTTCGAAAGCCGTTCCTCATATCGCTTGTCTAAGTCGGAAAGGAAAGCTTCTGCTTCCTCTATGTCTATGGAACTATCATCGAGCTCCTCCGTAAAGTCTTCTCCGTCTTCCTCTTCGGACCTCTCTTCTAGGTTTTTAGACATCTCACCACTTGATTCTGCACGAGCCTCTTCGAAGAAATCTCGAAACGTCTTTCGTTGCGGCAAGTTTCCACATTTGATTTTCTCTTGAGCATAGAGCCACAACGGTTGAATCTTGAGACCATTTTGACCAATTTTCTTCTTACAGATGCAGCAATCGTATGAGTCACCACATGCACAGTTCACCTCACTGAATTCGTAAAGTTTTTGCAAGGTCTCGAGTGTCCATCCAGCTTCATGGACTGGGCCCTCCTTCGACTCATGGGCCAGCACAGCGTCAATGTCTATTCTCGCTTCCGAAATATTGCCGGTCCAATTTTGGAATGCTTGTATGGAATACATTGCTAGAGACGTGAGGGTTTCTGGTCTCGGACTGATATCCTCATTAATGCCGGCGCAGCTAGCGTCGGCACCACGACTAAGGAAATGGGCTATTTCGGAGCTCTCGCCAACCAGCTGAGGCGCTAGAATCTGGAACTCGTAGCGACCCTTTTGTTTGAAAGCACTTTGCGGAGCAAGATCACGCCACAGCTGTAGCGCATTTGGGTCTTCTGCTCTGCAAACATAATTTGACATCGAAGCATATATACCTGGATTGGGATTGTCTTTCATTTCTTGCTGGAACTGGATGATAATCCATTCGAAAAGTATGTATATCTTTGCATAATCGTTAGATTTGCCGTTGAAATGGCATGCAAAATTCATAGCGACGTTCCAACCATCGCAGGATGAATCAGAGAAGTCCACACAGTCTAGGAAGAGACGAATTGTATCGATCACGCTGTTTAGCTGAATGTCGTTTGAACAAAAGCTACGGCTTGCCATGGCGAGCGGAGTTCTGTGACTCTGTCAACTTGAAGCCTCCAGCGACTGATTTGCTACGATACCTATTTCCATCATATACCTTAATGTCCGATTGTGCCATTCTATCCGCTCCAGCGTGAATCAGGAGCCTGCAAAGCTCAGAGCAATGAGATTCAGCGGCGTACTAGACGAATTCTTAGTCAGACTTGACAAATCAGCTTGGTTTCCTTACATGAAGAGGTGTCAATCCGTATGAGTTTGTGTCCCTTGCCGATGCCTCACCACGAGCCAGAAGGCCCCTCACAATAGGAATGTCCCCTTTTTCACAGGCCTGAAAGATTAACGCGTTATCGGGAACTGTGCAGACCGAGCTTAATGTGTATTTCCAGCCTTGAGTAACACATCTGCTAATGTCAACCTGGAATCCGTAGTTGATGCCTATTCTGCTCATCCATGCAGCCGGCCGAACGACGATGGATGTCCGACTCTCAAACCTATTTCCGATGTCCACCCAGTCTTCCTCTTCGGCCAGTTCTAGGACCCGCTGTGCAGACTGAACTCGAAGACAGCCATATATTGATTTTCGTTGAAAGTTTTCTGCAGAAAGCAGTCGCGTGCTCCACAGCTTCGAAGAAAGCGCATTTTTGGGATACATTGTTATGGTTTTCGGCTCCGATGTCGCTCGTAAGTTTTGTAGGTCCACGCCAGGCTCGTCTGGCTGTAGGTGGCTTCCAATTGTCACACTCGAAGCAATATCTGATTTCGCAATTTTTCCAGTCTTATACCCACTTTCCACGTTAGGCAGACCTCTACCGGAGTGTTCATCGTAAGTGATAAGTCGATTTAGCGTAGATGGGTTGCCCACGGTGGGGCGAGACACGCAACCAGTCAGAGCGACGAGAATCTGCTGTTGGTGCTGAAACTGGAGGTGAAGAGTTCGGCTGAAAAGGGCTCAGTCAAATGTCAAGATAATCCCGGAAAGGATTCCTTCGTACCTAGTCCGGGTCTGCAGCGCCAGCGTCAGAGTATGCTTTAGCCGGCCCAAAGTGGTTTGGAACTTGTCAAGCTGTTTACATTTGAGAGCACCCTTGATCGCGGTCCATTTTCTGGTCAGGCGTTTTGAAGAAGCAAAGCCCCGCTCTAAGTTGTGGGTGATGGATTCGAGCTGTTTTATGATGAGCTTGCAATTTTCTAAAATCTTTTTCACTGTTGCATTTTCTGTGTCTTGTTTTGCCTCGGACTCGATGTCCTTGAAGACATCGCAAAGCAAGTTTAATTCATCAACTATTTCGCGAACGTCGTTGGGCGCCTCCTCAATGGACGTCCAAAATTCAATGAGCTTCTTGACGCCCACGCCTAACTCTTTGGCAATGGAAGCCGTGGCAAACGCACTCGCTGCCACCTCCATCTTGTAGGATGAAAAAAACCCTCACGACAAGAGAACATATTTGAGAAGACTTTTGCCTAATTTTCGTGACCCCTAAGATCAGACCCTCGCCGTTTCTCGTCCTTCGGGTCATTTATCCACCACTAATGGCAACATATTTGCGAGATGCCAGCATCTAGCCGGGTGAACACCAATGAACAGACACGCAAGGCAATAACATTCTCCTGACACCATTTCAAGGCACTGGCTGTGCTCAGGAGACGCATTTTTATTCGCGGGGATGCTACTTGCTTCGTGGCAATTTTTCGCCATATGCACAAAGGGCGCCCGTCCTGCAATGAATGCCTGATTATTATAAAGCCTGACAAGGCTCAAAGGCAGGCCGGGACACAAGCAAGTCGTTGTCGATTTAGAACCAATCTGACGTTCTTCCTTCAGGTCGAGAGGTGACCCCTCGGACAGCAGAATTGCCTGCCAAGACCGCCAAGACCGCCAAGACTTTCATAGGGCTGAGTCCGGTGAGGTGGCGAATATCCTCAACGCCATCAGCCATTTGAAGGCAAATTGAATTACCATATCTATTTGATTTTGGGATTCTGTAAAGGCTTTAACTACTGGGTAGTTGAAGCCCACAGTCACCATAAATGAAATGCATCCAGGGGAGCGAGGGAAGCCTCTCATGTCTGCATGCCTTCTGAAATTCTAGTCCATGAAGATCAATCCCTCCCGGATGCCTTTCAGACTGCTAATATGAGATGAAGACCTTGCTCTGTATGACAATGGTATTCTCATGTTTGCTGTTACCATGATCGACCAGCTACCGTAGCGGAATACGTATTTGCGTATTCGCATGCACGTCATGATGTAATTGCTGATGCCGTTCCTGATTGACGTATGTCACCTGCTGGCTCCTGTTCACGTCCCCGCTTTCATATGTATCTCATTCACTACCGTCTTCTTTGATCTCCATTATCTTCAATCAAGAAAGAAGCTATATCCCACACACCCCATCATCACAATGGTTCAACCAGTGTCGAAATCCGATCTCACCTCAGAAACCGATCCTTCAGTTGCCAAACAATATGACACCAAGACACCCATTGACAAGCAGGTCGATGAGCTTTACGAGACCATCGACAGACTCTCCATCGGCCTTCTCACTACCATACGCTCCGATCTAGGCCCAGTCTCACGTTCAATGGCAGTAGCCAAGCGAGCTGGTACGTCAACCCCACAGCCATCATCCGAACATCATATCCTGCGGCCCTACTTCCTCCCCCTCCTAGAACAACAGCCATAGCTAACACCACCTCTCTTTTACAGGCCCCGACATCCTCTTCCTCTACAACATCCACTCCAAAAAGCACACCGACCTCTCCTCCAACCCCACCGCGCAAATCACCTTCCAAGACTCGACAACCCAAGACTGGATCTCGCTCACGGGCGTGGCAACGACCTTCTCCAACGACGACGCCCGCATCAAAGACCTCTACAACCCGACCGTCAAAGCGTGGTTTGGCGATCTAGGAGACGGAAAGCACACTGGTGGGCCCGAAGACCCTAGGATGGGCTTGATTGAGATCAAGGCGAAGTATGTGACCTACTGGCTGCATACTGTAGATAAGGAGGGGTTTGAGAAAGAGGTGGGGAAGGCGAGTGAGACGGGCCAGGTGGCGCAGACGGGGGTGACGAGGGAGATTGGGGAGAAGGATTTGGAGGCTGCGAGGAAGAAGGCTTGACTACATAGGGTAAATACAGGCGGTGTTCTGGGGAAATCGAGGCTCTAATGCCGGCTGGCATTAGAACGTGTAGCATAGCCGATGAGATTGTGACGAAATCATGACTTTACTCACAATCGCTAGGGGCTGTCCATAGCATCCACCAAATATAAACATAAAATCAAACCCATAGGTCTGGAACAATCCCCGTATGGTCTACAAACAGACTTCTCGGTCGAATGTCACCCACACCCGAATATCCCATACGGCCGAGCTCGGGCCACCCAAAGCCTTAATGCAGACCTGCGTCGAAGACCGTGTATTATTACTTGTTTATCATTCACACATCCCTCATTCGGGCCGGTCCAGCAACCCTTCAGACTTGCATCAATTACTCACCACCTCCCATTTACCATCCCACCCCTTTACCCACCCCTCGTACACCACCATCACAACAACCCCTTCAACCCTCCCTCCCTCCCTCCGTCATACCCGTGCTTCTTCCATCCAACATCCCATCCCATCATACAGCGTATCTAGACCTCAACCACCTCCCCCTCTCCCTAGGCGTCGTTCCCCCACTCTCACTCCCACTTAAACACTCGCTCTCCCTGATCCTCGTGCCGTCTCTAAGCCAGCTCTTCTCATCATTGACCAATTGCGTGAGTTCGCCACCTTTCCCCCTTCCCCTTCCCCTGCCCGTCCCCTTTCCCCCCTCACCACCAGCACCACCAACCCCCTCCTTCCCTCCCCCTCCCTCAACATTCTCTCTACTCCCGCCCCTCTCACCGCCGCTGCCTTTCCTCCCTCCAAACAAGCCCAATCCCAGGAGACTGCCTTTCCTTCCTCCTCCCCCACTCCCTCCCACCCCTCCGCCGCTGACCCCTTCCCTTCCACTCCCACTCCCACTCCCCCCACCGTCGGACTCCCCACCCCATCCCCACCCCCATCTCTAACAAACCGCTCCCTTTCAACCCTAACAACGCGTCCCCAACTCCCGCGCTTCAGCCCGGGCCACGAGAATTTCAAACTGGACGTGTACGGTTTACTGTGCTGGCTGGAGCGGCGGCGGCTGAGCACGAAGAAAGAGTCTGGGAAGAGCCGGAGGAAGATGGGGCGTAAGGTTGGGAGACAGGCCGCGATTATGTAGTTGGCGGGTTCGTTTATTGTGAGGATTGTGAGGGTGAGTGCGTGATCTGTGGGGGAGGACGGGGGGTGTTAGCGGGTAGGAAGAGGGAGGGGAGGAAGGGAGTGGGAAAAGGGGAGGGGAGGAGGGGAGGAGGCGAGGAGACGTACCATTGAGATTGGCGGACGAGGTTGGTTGGGAAAGGATTGCTAGGCGGGCTATACTGGCAATGACACCGCTATATATTTTTATCATCAGTGAGGCTGCAACGGCCATACAAGGCTCGAGGGAAAGGGGGACGCACATAACACCATGCAAGAAAGTCGCACTCAACGCCACCTTCTGCAACGTCCCAATATTCAACCTCAAAACCAGCGGTATCGGCAGCACCAACATCACCACCCCCGAAATCACATTCGGGATCGCCATGTACCGATTAAACGCGATCACATTGATGCAGTGTCCTTCCCCGTCGTGCGCACCCTCGCTGCTGCTGCTCCACAGATACGATACCGGTGAACATTCGAAGATTGCGACGAGTGTGTGGATGGTGAGGGTGAGGGTGACGAGCATGCCCATGGAGTAATAGCCGATATTGAACCAGCGGCTGCTTTGCGTGAAGACGCGGAGGTAGAGGAGGAGAATGGCCCATTTGGAGAAGGCGATGGAGAAGCCGTAGATTAGTGTCCAGGCGAGGAAGATCTGTGAGATGGGTGAGTTTGTCTCGGGGACTGGGGTGCTTGGGGGTGATTGGGGAAGGGGGCGGGCGTACTTGTTTGGCGTAGCTGCTGTCGGAGAGGCTGTCATTTTGTTTGTCGTTGATGAATTGGGCTACCCCGGCGACTCGTGGGACTGGAAGTGGCTATTAGCTTGCCTTTGTTCGTGAGTAGGTATGTTGAGACTTACATGCGACTGCAATTGCGCACAGCGCGATTGTAAGAAGCTGAGTCATATTAGGTCTGTATATCATGACTTCTTGAGGTTGACCCACTGTCGCTGCGATGAGCATCAGATCGTCTTTCGCCAGCCGGCTCTTTCGAAGTGTCCGTGAGATGATCCGACCACATAGCATAGATATCTGCATGAAGAATAGTATCGATCCGACGACGACGACTTTCCACCCTCCATTGCCGTATTCCATGATGTCCATGGTGGAAAGTCGTGTTGGTGGTCAAATCTTGCGCGTTTTGTTTGTAGTGAATCGATGAATCAGCGTCATACAACAAGGTCTGTCCTGCAAGGGGCGACTGTGCCGGTCACGTCGAGTCGACGATGCCTCTATGTCATCCGTGGGTCGTGACAATGAGTACCTGGTGAACAATAGGTTGCTTGACAGTTGACGGTGTGAAGGGTGCGGGTCAGGTCAGACAACAGTCAGAGCTTTATTAAAGCTCCACATGAAATAACGGTGGCCTCGAACGAGAATCTTGCTTTCCCCAACCGAGTCCGGCCATCTGCAAGGTCCGGTAATGCTATTTACGTTTCGAGATGTCTCGCTAAGGGAATCTTCGGACCTTTCTCCTGATGGCAGGTCAAGCCGAATCCCTTGCATCCATGGGTGCAAGGGTCAATTTGGAGGGTGGTCGGGATGTTTTGAGCCGCAGGTAAGATCTACCATACATATGAATGCTTCTTCCGGTGCGTAGTAGACGGTGTTTTGCACGGTCATTTCTCAAGCCAAGTTTGAGTTATGCATGTCCAACAGGGTAACGACCTCGTCTTCTTGCCCACCTGTACTTCCCTAGCACACCGGCATTGAGTACTTGCCACAACCCGTCAATCCCCACTGGAGTCTCACTGTCAACCCAGGGTCTTCTGGACACGTCCCGTGCTTGCGGCAACTTATGGCTCTCGCTTCTCTGCTAACAGGACCCGGTAGAAGGCCTCGTTTATTCCTTCTGGTTGTATTGTTTGTACGGTCGTGCCACGCGTGATTTTCCCCGCAAGGTTCATCTTTGCGTGCCGTTCCCGCCGTTGGTTTGTGAAACATCACCACTCGTAGCATCTAGATTTCTCCCGCTATGACCCGCATCTACGCGTGAAACATTTAGTTTCCTCACTAGAGACCGGAAGTCGGCCCAAGATCAGCAGAAAGGCAAGGGGAAGCGACATTGAGCCGCGAGAGTTTGCTGACGTTGTAAAGACTTGACAATACCACCCGGGTTTCGCTCATTAGACGTTGAACAAGCTTCTACTAGCTAACAAGGCATGTTTAGAGCGCTCCGTAGACCCCACCGTTCGCGAGAAACTGCTACATTTTGGTATTTGCGGGTGGCCTAGGTGAGCTCATCACTAATGAAGGAGTCGTGGTGATTCACTCTAGCATGACAACCGTATTTGTCGAGCCGTGTGCGCGATTCAAGATGCTTCGTGTCGGTATAGCCCTTGCGTCGCGGAAAGGCATTAGGGAGCAACGACGCTCTACGGAAGACGTCTAATTACGCTCTTGACGTCAACCTCATCGATTCATCCTTCGTTAAAGGTTTCCAGAAAAAGCGTCGGTGCATCGATGGCATCATTCCCCTACGTCAACTGACGACGTTTGGCAAAACGTGCTTCAAGCTCTTGTTGACGTCGCTGGCGAAACTCAACGTCCTCATCCACCATTCTAAGGTCCTTATCAAAGCACATGATGTATGCTGTATTACCAATCAAATGGATCAGAAATGTCTCATCGCCCAGCAATTTTCCCTTCCTTCCACTACGAATGCCACCAAATACGTCTGTAGCTGGCCAGTCATGACAGTCAGTTTGGGTCTTGTTATCACCGAGGTCTATAACTCGTAAGATAGTCTTGGAGCTGAATATATTTAGCCTAGTATTGATGTACATGACATCTCTCCAGACATGAACAGCTTCCGTCGAGTTATCGAGTAATGGGGCTTTAACATTGAAGCTATCCACTCGTAGACGATCATTTTCGCAGTCATAACATAAATATTGGAGCTCCCAAGGCGACGTTGTGAAGTTTGTCGTGTGTAAGAGCACGGAGGATGCATCGAAAGCTCCTTGGACAAACTTAACGTCTGCTGGCTCAAGGTTCTTTGGTATCGGATACGTGAAAATAACTTGCAAGCCCTCACTTAGGACTTCACCGCGAAGATTTATGCGGTAAAAGCTGTAGGGTACTTTGTCTGTTCGAACACTTTCTTGTCTTATTTGCTTCAACTGCCTTAAGAGCAATATTGAGCGACCATCCAAAGAAAAGGTAAGCGAGACGATGAATCTTGCAGAAGCCATGTGAGGGATCCCAAACTCGGTCATGGACTCGCTGTCTCTATCCCATATACGAACTGTAGGCCAATTAGGAGGATTCTGCCTCCCACGCCAGCCCTGAGGGAAGAAAGGATGAAAAGCAATGGAGGTATTCGAGACGGCCAAATGCACACCATTTGTGTTCTCAAGCTGCAAGCACCTCGGCTGTTGAACGGACATACTGTCTGATAGATCCCAAACATAACATCTTCCGGCATCCACAAGCGCAACCAACATGGTAGCTGACAATTCGATGCATCTGATCGTCTCTCGATTTGGCATCATCAGGATTTGCTCCAGGCCCGACTCCATATTGATACTCGTTACTTGCCTACGTTCACCATGAATCATGTCGTCCCATACCAAATATCCTGCCCTGCATTTCAAGCTATGTGCATGTTTCGGTATGGTGATTTGTTTCATGCTGAATGGAGAACCCCGGGTGAACGCAGCGACTTTGTTTGCTTTGGAGGTCAATTCTGCGCTGTTCAATGGTGCTGTAGAACTCGACCATCGTCGCAACTTCCCATTGATTGCATGAAGCGAGGTCAAACGCTCGTTCCAGCGACGTGAGACCCTGCGAGCTCGAAAGCATTGGCGAAGAGGTAGATGCTGAATAATGCTATCACAAATTTCGGCGGGAAGCTGACCAAATACATCAAGCTTGGCATCATTTGTGATAATATCGAACAGATATCGCCGATCGGAGAACGAAAGGGACTGTACAAGTCGGCGCAACTCGTCTCTACGCTCCCTGTAGTCTGAGAAGCTTCGATATCCGGTTTCGAGGTTCATAATATTTTCTCAGGTGGAAATTGATACTGGCGATCTTAGTCGCTAGTAGAAAGGGCACTTTGCTCGTCAAAGAAGCTTTAGAGTGGGCCTGAGGTAATTGAGATGCAAGGGTTTCATTGCACACTTACTTGTTGGGGGGCTGTGGCATCGTGCGCTAGGGCATTCAACGTAGTTTCCTAATATGGACTAGCTTATTCAGAGATCTCTAGACTGCCATGGATATCAATTTCAAATGCAAAGTCATCCGCCCATTCACTTGGCTATCCAACCCATGTTGATAAAAGCATTTGGGCAATGCGGCGTGTCAAAATCTTCTCGGGATCATCTCACCCTCTCCTCGTCGACGCTATCTGCGAACGGCTCGGCACCTCGCCAGCACAATGCGACCTCAAGAAGTTCAGCAATGGGGAGACATCGGTCAACATCAACACTTCAGTCCGCGACCAGGATGTTTTCATTGTGCAAAGTGGAAGCCCCATGATCAATGACAGTGTCATGGAACTGTTGGTGATGATATCTGCGTGCAAGGGTGGCTCTGCAAAGTCAATCACTGGTTCGTTGAGCACAGCAAGAGATGGACTGGACTGACTCTTCCAGCTGTCATGCCGTAAGTACGGGGCCAAATTCCTCGAAGACCTGTGACTAAAGCCGCAAAGCTACTTCCCATATTCCCGTCAATCGAAGAGAAAGTCACATCGGGGTGCAATCACAGCCAAATTGTTCGCCAACCTACTGTCCGTTGCTGGCATACATCATGTAATTACAGTGGACCTGCATGTGCGTGAACATCTCGAGCTAGACGATGGTCAGGAACATGGCTGACAGGATCAGGCACCACCTACTCAGGGGTTCTTTGGGAAGCCTGTAGACAATTTGCGAGGAGAGCCCCTCATTGCGCGATGGATCAAGATGAACGTACAAGGCTGGCAGGATGCTGTAGTGGTTAGCAAGAACCCTGGTGGAACTAAGAGAGTTACGTCCCTAGCAGACGCACTGAAGCTGAACTTCGCAATCGTAACGACTCAACCTCGCAGACAACCTACCGCAAGTGGTAGTTTGGATGGTAGCACTTTCTTTGACACATACGGCGAGTTAAACTCGATATCCGGATATGATGGTCCTAATGACTTGAGAATAAATGGCTCAAATGGAGCGGAAGAACATACGCAAGATCATCTCCTACGGTCACCTGCGAACAACAACTCACCACCTCCACTTGCGCGACCCCGCAACATTAACATCCCTCACGCTTCAAGTCCTCTAGTACAGTCTTCTAGACCAGATTCAAACTCGCCACCAAGTGTCCGGACCCCTATACCACGTTCGCAACCCCAACAAAACTCAGAGCGGCTCCAAAGGCCTGTGGCAAGACGCAAAAGATCATCAGACGACACAGACGAGTACAACGATGAAAGAGCCAGGGAAGTAGTGACAGGCCGCCTAATACAAGGCCACATTGTCGATGACGATGCACCCTCTCCAAGTTTGTCTGCTATGTCGGGCTCTGTGTCTGCACTTCCACGTGACGACCTTTCACCTAGAAACGGCCTCTCCTCGCCCGCTCTTGAAGAGGCAGATCCTATGACCATGTCCTTCATGTCAACCATATCGCGGCGCTCGACTCAACATACCGAGCCAGCGGAAGCTTCAGACGAAGAGGAAGGCTTTCAAGACCCAGAGCTCGAGCATACAGTGACTCTCGTGGGCAATGTGTCTGAACGTGTCGTGCTCATCATTGATGACATGATCGATCAATGCGGCTCATGGATAGCGGCAGCTGAAACGGTCGTGAAACGTGGAGACGCGAAGAAGGTGTACTGTATCGCTACGCACGGCCTTTTCGGGAACGATTCTCTCGAGCAGATGGAGGCTTGCAAATGCATCGATCATATCGTCGTGACGAATACCTACCCCATTGCGCCAGAGCGTGTGAGAGCAAGTAGGAAGCTGGTAGTGCTGGACATCTCAAACTTGCTCAGCGAAGCCATTCGGAGGAATCACTACGGCGAGAGCATCTCTGCTCTCTTCCAGCACTACCCGGATTGATGAGCGAAGCTTCCAACGAGACAGTATGAGCGTACGATAATGGCTATGCTCTTACGGCGGCAGCATTAATGTACAATAGCAAAGACTGTATGCATGCGTTCACACGCAAAGAGCACGTTACTTTGGTGGCTCTAATATGGCATCAACATCTACCTGCAAGCCTTCTCCAAGCGTCAAGGTGAGCTTTGCCATACACCTTGCACTCCGACCCCAAATAGCCTCCTTGACCTCACTTTTCCCTTCACAACCACTTCATCACCTCCTGACCAACACTGCTCCCCTTGCCTGCCACCCTACCTGTCCCCATCTATCCTCCCCATCTCTCTCCCTACCTCCAGCAACCTCACTCCCCCTTCCCCTTTCCCCTTCCCCCTCTCTTCTTCCCCATCTCATTCCCCCCCCCTTATGCCAACCAACGAATCAGATACCCTCCACAGGGCATCCACACAAAAAAAGACACCCTTCACACTCATAGGGCCGTCTCACATTCTCGTTGGCAGATCAAGCAATCGAGGACAGAAGGCACCATCTTCTGCGATTCTTCTCGCACCGCTTATTGAGGGGGTGGGGGTGGTGCAAGAGAACGCTTCGGACATCCTGTTTTCCTTTTTACCGGGGAGTGGGTAGGGGAGGGTGTGGGGGAGAGAGGGAGAAGAGGGGATGAAGGTGATGGAAGTAGGGGATGAAGGTGATGGAGGAGCGATGATTTGGGGGGGAATTAAGGGTGGTGTGATGGAGTGTGTTCTCGAAAGAATGGGGCGCCAGTTTTACTGCTGATGCAGGGCTCTGAGGCTTTGATTGTGGGGGAGTGGATCTGAGGGAGCGGCTCTGAGCGGGTGCTTTGAGCGGGGCTTTGAGGCAGCGCTCCTTAGACAGTTGTTCTGAGGCAGTCTGAGATAGTGGGTTTGAGGCAGTGGGGTTGAGCTAGTGGCTTACGCAGTGATTCTGGGGTAGTGGTTCTGAAGCAGAGATCCTGGGCCAATGGTTCTGCAGCAGTGATCATGACTCAATGCCTCTTGGGGCAGCGATGTAGAGACAACAAGATCTTTCACGGAGAATGGGGAGGAGGAGGTGGTGGTTGTGGCTATTCGAGTTGATCAGTATTAAGTTGTTTTCTTGAGGGTATGTGCGATGCTTTGTGATGCTGTAGCTCTACGGCATTCTGTTTGAAGCACTGATTCCGAGGCATTTGTTCCCGAGAAGTGAATGAGGAAACGATACTGGGGCAGGTTGGACTGTGCGAAAGAAACCTCGAGACAGCGGTGCTGGAGGTGGGTTGAGCAGGAGGGATGCTTCGGAAGGTCTACTGAAGTAGCAGTGCCCAGGACATGCGTAGTGGGTGTTGGAAGGGGGCTTGCGGAGAGAGACGGTAGGTCAAATGAGACAGTAAGTGATACGTGTTTTGTGTATCTCTTCCGCGATGGCCTTGTGTATGCTCTCTTTCCTGCCTTCTTTCTCATCCTTCTATTATTACTCCGAAATTCACAATACTGAAGCCAATTGTGTACAAGAAAACGGGTCGTGTTCTGAAGCTTAAAGAAAAATGAGCCAAATGCTCTCTGCGTGGATGAGGTCGGGGTTGCAGCTTAGTCCTGCTTTGTACGTCGTTCTTGGTCGCTAAATACCTGATTGTATCGTATCCGTGTGTGGCAGAGCTCGGCTTTGGCTCGTTGTGAAGTTATGTCATTGTGTTCACAGCTTGGTTTGCGCTGATTCATGGATGGTGTCAGCCGCTGTAACGCGTGGCATGAGATAAGAAGCAGGAGACATACAGCTTTTCCGGTCGTCAAGGGGATGTCCCTGTTGATTTCTTGACTTCTTACGAGCCTCTAGACCGTTGATGAGGAACTCTCGATATTGATCGTCCTCTTGGTCAAATCTTTTCATGGCTTCACAATGAGTGGAAGCCTTGACCTTGTTCTTGTCCTTCTGTTTCGATGCAATACGATTTGTCGAGGACGTTGTTCTGTCACAACAATTTGTCAGCATTATACCATCATCAGTCGGCGACTAGCAGACAATGGAAGCTTGTGATAGTGACTTACTGATACTTTGTCTTCGAAGGCATGACGCGAGGTCAATTCTGTGACTTGAAACTTTGTAGCAGTTGGCAGCAGATACCTCAACATAGGAGGCAAAGTCCAATCTTACACTTTCGGTGGAGATATCTGTATATCTAAAGACTCGTCTTGTACTTGGCTTGAGGGCCCGAACATGTTCGCAAACGGGGGTTTCGCATGGGCCTCCTCGACGCGTCGATAACTCTGAAGAGCATTGCAGCTCTTCTGCTTACATTTTCCTCCTGCGCACGGTTATGAAAACTGATGCAATCCCAAGAATAATCTAGGATCGTCGGAGTCACCTGGAGACAGGTTGCGGGGAAGCTAACGGTGTACGAAAGCTCCTATCTGGCGAGCTAATGCTATTTGTGGCGCTGAATTAGGGCCGATAAGAAGCTGGCAATGTTGGGAGAGTGACTGAATGGTCGCAAAATTCTTTGTCGGGCCGCTCCAGGTGCAGTCTGCGGCTTTGGGGCAAGCAATCCAGTAGTATCAAGTCACCACTTAGGCTCCTTGCAACATCTACTTCTCTACATCACCCTGGCGACACCACGGACCTAGTGGGGTCTAGGGCATGTCGCTTATCCGAAAACATGGTCACTCCCACCATCTAGGTAGAGTTTGAAGGGAAGTGCCTGTCCGAAGGACGGCTCTGTGTGAAACAATACACCACTCTGACTTGTTGAGATTTCTGGCCATATACTTTACAGGGGCACTCATCAGGATATCAGGAACGCAGATCGAGTAAGGACATCCGTCAATACTGACATTCATTCGATGGCTGTCGGTTCTATCCCAGGCACGCTTCATCAGACGGACTATTCTCATCATGGGAGCTTCGCTTGTATCTACGATCGACCACCACTCCGATTGATGTTCTCAATCCATATCGTTTCACTGACCGACCCTACAACGCATCGCGTACATTATGCAGAAGGAAATTAAAGTCGATCATAATGCATAGCGTCATCCTATGCAGACTTCCTGTTCCCACAAAAATAGAAGCGTTGAAAGGAGAGCGCGAGTAAGGCGCAAAGATTCCCGGTACCTGACTACTTCATGTCTCATCCCGCCATATCCCGTGTGGACCTTGCAGCTTGGCATCATGTTTGGCGATTTGCTTCGCTCTCTAATACTGGCGACTGGGATCATCGGACGGCACGTGGCGGCTGTTGCGCTTCGTGCAGTTCCCTGACAGGCGTTTCGAACGGTTTATCTATTCAACTGTCGCCAATGACTGCCTATATTCATTGGACGAGAAGACTGCCTTGTAGATCGCTTTTAGGTTGTTATGACGCCGAAAGTTTAGGCACGGACCCTCATCAGATTGCTTCTGATGGCGACCGGGGCCATACAAGGCTGTGACTTCCGAAATTCGACACTTGTAGCATGCTCTCTGGTTCTGTACAGCTAGGATCTCTCAGCCCATTAGAGCTTGGCATCTTGACCAGTCAATAGAAGACGTTCTGCTCGCACAATGGAAAACCTGAACTCATTCTTTACGGAACTTCCTCTCTGCAAAGTAACAACATTAATGCTAGCAATCTGGAGGATCGTTCAGCAAGACTTTGACCGTCGAAAACATAGAACGCTGACTCTCACCTGACCTATCAAACGCACTTGATCGTATCATGAAACTTGGAGGCAAGCAGCTGTAAAGCGTAGAGGACCCGGAGTATCCGCTGAGGCAAGACAAGTCGGACCTTTTTCCGATGGCCAGCAGAGTCTACCAGGATGTCTTCTCTGACAACGTCCCTTCCCCTGCACATGAACCTAGTATCACGAGTTGCAACCCTATACATGCTTCCCGATGCATGCTGCAGGGAATTATAGTCAATCTGTCAAACCTTGCGGATGATCTTAGCGGCCCACCAGGGCCTGCAAGCCTCTACAGAGATAAGTAATTGGGCAATTCGGGCAACCGAAGCACGGAGGGGCGCTGAATGGTAGGCTCGCATAAGGAATGATGCACCTTGGGCAGGGGATGCCACGTGAATCCCCGCGGGGATGAAGAGAGACATCAGCTGCATTGTGGAGATTGCAGAATGTTCCAATCATGCGACGTAGATCACACAATGCACATCGCTTACGCTTATACAGATGTTGGTGCTTCTAGACGTACCCTCCCAAACGAGCATCTAGTTTTAGGTAGACTTCTGCCAGGGCTGACGAAAGACTTGCATCCCAATCAGGCTGATCGCTGGTTCAAGATCGTTTCTCAAACAAGGAGATGTGTCTTTACTTAGACATCAAGACTTCTAGAATGCCTACGGCAGATATCAACTTGTCTCAGACCCTGCAGTACTCCGCGTCTCAATAAGCATACAGTACAAAAATGTCACAGCTCTGAATCAATGCCTGACAATGAAAATACGGAGAGCAAGATTCTCTGTGACACAGCCTTGCATAAACCTGGACTTCGAAAGAAACGGCTACCAAAGTCAAAAGAACTTTGCTATCAGAGCTCACTCCATCCGCTTCCGCTTGAGATCTCCCCTTTCAACCCTGGTATCATCGTGTGCACGTTTACGGCTCACCTCAGCCGTATCCTTTTCATTTTGGCCTTCCGGAAAACAAGCTTCGACAAAATGATCATAGGCAGAAGTATCTTTTACCTGAATAACTTGAGGCTTTCTTGGGGACACATCATGCACTGTCAAATCCTTGAGTCCCAATGACTGTACGTCTCGAAGCGCTTTTCTCCCGTCACGGACATCTCGCCAATCTCGAGCGTTCGACGCCTGTGCCTCGGCGTCTGCAGCAGAGAGGAATTTGGAGAAGGGATCTCTGTCTTCATAGAATCGCTGCATTCCCTCGCTGACGGGTTTTCTAGTGCCACTTCCTCGTCCTTGCTTACTGTAGACCTGCTGCGTCGGTGCTCCTTCCAGATCTGATGCTGGTTTGGTGTCACTGCCTTTGTTAGCCAGAAGCTTCACCAACAACTGTCATATAATACCTTCTCTCGTCCTTGTCCGACATCCCGAATACTTGATGGTGCTGAGCTTGTGACTTAGAATTGGCGCGATTATCCTTCGCAACGTTCAAAAGATGACGTTCGGACAATGTCAGGTCAGAATATATGGAAGTCATTTCTTCAAGGCGATTCATCGGTGGACGCCCGTATTGTGTCATCACGAATGCCTATCGATGGCAATAAGGCTTCGAGGAAGTTCAAGTTCACCTTCTCTGGCGCCTTCCTAGCAAGACCTTCGTTGCAGTAATAACAAGATCAAATCGTTTCCCAAATTCTCACTCATATCACAGCGGATCTCACTCTTGAGCTGAAGATTGTTTGAGGGAAAAGTGATGGGCTCCATGAGAAAAAAGTTTCGCCTATTTGATGATGGGTTGTACTATTGTTGTACGAGCCAGAGATGCCTGGTCGGAATTGCCTGGCGGAATACTGACCCCTCATTTGAGAATCCAAAAATAATTTGAAACGAGTCCTGCAGTTTGACCCCGCTGGAAATGTTCTGTACGACCTCAGCCTTGTGCACCCACAGCTAGAGTGCCACAGCGCCTAGCCCGATTAGGCAGCTGGAAGTTGGGCGGAAATGTGCGGCCTCACTGTGGCCCACCATTCAGCTTGTTCTTACATATCCCCGTCCTTCGCCAGCTTTGAGGACTACCGGATACCTTACTCTGCACAACGCTGATTTTGAGACATTTATTTTGCATTAAATTTCGCTACCTGGACGTTTCTTTATGAAATTCAGAGTAGTCAATCTTCTTACTTCATTCCTCAGCTGCGGTTGAGCTCTACTTCGTTACGAAAGAGCACGATGGATAACCTGCATCGCCCCCGCCCCGAACCTCAAGGAACCTGATGGTGAAATTTTTACGTGATTTACTGTCTGATTCAGCTGCGCCGAGATTTGCAGCTGACGCAATTCTATGTGCAGGACATGAATCGCCAGTAATGTGGGCTAGCCAGGACACCTTGACCGACTGGATTCGCGACCGTCCGTCATTGCTGCCATATACATCAGATTCATACCTATGGGAATACGATGGATATAGCGGCATTTTTGTACCTTTACTTTCAGCCAATGACCAGCACTCAGCCTATTTTACAACTGCCTCCCACAAACCTGTGTCGCCAAAGCAAGGGTCAGAGGTGGACATTGACTTCGCAAACTTTGACTTCAATCAAGAGTTTCCAAGCTTTCTTACACCGAACCAGTCTTCTGAGTCTTTTAGTCCTTTCGAGCAGGATTACGGAATTTTGCATACCAGCCCAGATCCAGAAAGTCAGTATCTTGTAGCCTTTGGCTCTAATGCCATTCCTGAGAAGAAGTCGATGGAGCATGCAGCAGCTGAGCCCGTCCTATCATGCCCTGGTTGCGGCAAGAAGTTTCCAAAGTTACACAAATTAAAGTAGGGCACCCTTGAAGCGACTCTGATAGGCCGTGCAGCTAACATGTAACTACAGCAAGCACATGGAAATCCACAGGCGTCCTTTCACCTGCTTTTCCAATAATTGCACCAAACAATTCTCGACAGAACGAGACCTAAAACGCCACGCCAGCAATGTCCATAAGCGCCAAAGAACGTACACCTGTCCCAACTATGATTGTGAATACCACATCAAGGGCTTTGCAAGAAAAGATAATCTTTTGCGACATATGAGAAAGAGACATAAGGGTGCAAGTCATACATCGGCACAGTGCTGAGCGATATCATTCATTCGTATCGCTATGATTTTACGAAGCTGAGGTATATATGCCTTATACGGCTGCCTGAGTAAATACTCATAAGATGAGCTGATCTGAAGTTGCATTAATTCTTGACAAAGGAGAACAGTCTCTTCTCCTCAGCAGCAATAAAGCATGCACAGTCAGTTCCTGTCAGGTAGCCGCAACAGGGTTTTGCCAGCTCAATCCCCTTTGCTGGGCAAGCGACAGCGTGCATGAAGCGAACCAAGCGATGGGTACCATTTTCCCCCACACTGCACATCCTACGATCTGAAGACAACTTCATCTCTCCTAGACTCTCCTCAGTATCACTTCCTCCCATCGGTTGCCGGTGATCTTTGTCTCAATTCTAGCGCCGTCCATTTCCTCCACGCTGTCCCCCAGATTGGCCGCCGCTGCCTGTCTTGATTTTTCGCTTCGATGGGGTCATATGTAGCCACGGTTTCCGACGCTGCATTGCCAGTGTAATCTTCCTTGAAGTGACATTCTCATAGAGAACCTTGTATTCGATTCCGCGAAAAATTCTCTCATCGTATAGCCATGACTTTGCTTCCAACTGTTTCCTTGTGAGCCCACTCACCCATGTCGCTGTATCGGGACGTCCAGTCGAATTGATCACGCTACGTGCTTGCTCCCGAAACCTTTTCTTATCCTCTGAGACTGGACTCTGCCCCAGAGGCAGACGTCCAATAGAATATTCCTCCTTAAGTGCTGTGAAGTGCAGAGCCCAGTATTGAAAGTGGGGTGGCCACGTCTTGACTCGTGACACGAAGCGGTTTAATTGATCTAGTTCCTGTTGTACACCGCGTCGCCACGGATCGCTAATCCACGGAGGCAGGTAAAGTCGTTTCTTAAGGTAGCCGATGAGCGAGTCGCGCGCTGCCGTCAGGAATGGAGTTGTCAGCTTTCTGAAGTAGTGACTCGTGAGCGAGAGGTTGAGAACATCAATACAGCCTAGTGGCTCTTGTTGCAGGCTGCGGACGATTTGGATGTGAATTTCGGTTGCAAGTCGCTCCATACCACACGAATGGAGGATTGCTCAGCTTCACATTGAATTTGGAATGGTTTGATGGTGAACAAACAGAGGAAAGACACGGGTGATAATAATACCGCTAGCCGGATTTAGACGTCAACACACTCCAGTGAATGTGAAGAAGGGGCCACCCTCTATGATATGTCCCACACCATGGCTATCTTTACATCGACCTGCACTCATAAAGATTTCTCGATCAATGCGCAATTTGGCTCATGCAATCAAAATATGAGATTCGAGCTGTCTCTCGATATCAACTAAGATTAGAAACTTAGCAACAAGATATACTCTCCATCAATGAATATCTTCACCGGATCAATTATGAGCTAACGATAAGAAAAAAGACTCGCTAAATGGGGTCGCTTTTTCGAAAAGACTAGAATTAAGAGATGAGCAATTGAGCTCACAAACACCTTGCCGGATAATTTGTCGACATTCTAAACTGCACTCTCGTCCATAGGAAATCGCTACCACTAACCGTGGCTACATTCACTTCGCAGATTGCATATGCAACTAGCCACTCAATGAACCTGCCTGCAAAGCCGGATTATACGAGTGGTAGTGGAAGACTGCCTACCTGCCACCAGCCGAATCTTGCCTCATACTACGATATTGCAGCTTAAGGAATTATAACCTACTCTCTCTTTGGAACGTTGCTGCTGTTGATTTGTCTCAACCCGAATATCATTGACACGAGGAGGCTTTAGAGACAGCAGCAATTGATACTTACCGTCCGTGATTGCAAAAGCGAACCCTAATGATGACAGCAATGTTGCCGACTGAAAATTTTTCCGGCTTTCTCACTGGCACCAGCTGGTGCGAGTTTCTCATACCGCTGCATTTCAGGTCACGCAAAAGACACGGCTTTAAGGTCGGACTTAAGCAGCCTGGAGGCTTTCTCACTTCAAGACTTATAAGATGGGACAAAGAAGACGTATGTTTGGATATGGCAAGATTCTTATGGGACCAGTGCTTTGTAAGTCTCACACAGAAAGCCTGCCAAGAAAGCTTTAGACAGAGCATACATTCCGTAATCGATCGCTGTCCGTCGGCCTTGTGAGAATCAAGGTGGTAAAATCATGACTGGCCCTGTTATGCATCATGATTGACGGCCTGGCGTACCTGAAATTGTCTCAAAGTTAGTTCGCAGCGGCTAGTTGATGAGCTTCATTCCAAGATGTCTCAGTATTGGCCTGTAACAAAAGAACCTCTTCATGAGCGACTTTCGCGCCATGGCCGATGGACAGACGAGAGGAACGCTGCTTGGAGCTTTGTTTACTCTTAAAGATGCTGGAGTAACCCTGACAGGCATGTCTCAGACCCTCATGTCCTGGCATCAAGTGCTCTTTTTTACCAAAGACAAATCCCAAGAAGGTCGTTTTCTAGCATTGTTATATCCAGCCCAAGCTCATTCACTCGCACTTTCACGCGAATGGCGGGACGGTAAAATCACTTTCAGAGCCGAAATGTAATCCTGCGAAAACCTTTCTGTTTGAACGGAGTGCCCGAGACGACGATCTCCCAGGAGTACAGAATGAGGATCGTGTCAGTGTTCTTAAGACACCTATATCGCTAGCCTGTTATCATACACGCCTTGTCCAACTCTTTGTGGAGGAATTTGGGAACAAACAGGTTTGGTCTGAAGGAGCAGGAAGTACAGAGAATTCCTCGATTCATGCAGAGGGCGTCTGAATGTGCTGCGGCGCAAAGGGTTGCAAAAGCTTTTGTTCTTATTGGACGTTCTTGAGGACCCGACGATGTGTCCTCAACTACCACGTGTCGTGGGCCTCAAAGGCTGACAGCAACAGTGCAAGCCTGTCCATGGCTCGAGATTGACAAAACTCAAGGTCTCCCCTTCTACTCCTCAAGATGTATCGAAGAAGGTGGTGGTTTACTTCACTGTAGACCCTACAGGAATTCTGTCTGCGTCCCAACAGATTGGTACATCACATCACTGAACAGCCACCACAAAAGTTTATTTCAGTGACTCATTTGTCGAATATTTCACCGTCATTGCTTTTGCTACGAACAACCATTTCCTTCCCAACTACATCTCACAGCCGTCGATCACAGACATCAATTATAGCAAAACTTTGATCTCTCTTGACTCACTTCAAGTTTTTCTGACCCACAACACCATGGTTGAAGCTCAAGCGTTAACCTTGGAGCCTGAGGATGCTCTCCATCTCAAAAAGCGAGGATTGTTGACGGATGCTGGAAACGGCAAGCGCAAAATTTCACAAAAGTCTTTCACGTCTGGCAGGTCACTATCCTCATTCGCACATGACGACATCACCGTCAATGCCGACAACTTTATGGAGATTCCAACGCACATGGAGTCTATGGAGACTTTACAATACCTTGGGTTCAGCGAGACAGCTGCACAAGTATTTTGGGGGAAATGGAGCGACTGGGTTGAGGATGAACTCGCAATCCCAAGGCCGTCGTTATCGGAGTATGTTGTGATGATTATTGAACACAAGGTTATTGATGCTGAGGGAGAGGAGGATGATTGGAAGGGTGTGCTCGAGGGCTGGGGGATAGACAACGATTTATGTGAGAGGATCTTGGATCCTCTATACACAGATGTAAGGCAGACCGCATCAGCCAAACACTGGGTCGTATTTACGATCGAAAATCGCCAATACAAACTTGAAGAGATATTTCAACAAAGTCGGAACCGCTTACAGAGACGCCATGCTCGGCGTCAGGCAGACCCATCTTCTTCCGATCATTACGAGGAGTCGGATCTGGTAGAGCCAGATCGCGAGTACGGCCCGGCGCCTGGAACTACTTTCTAGTAATTCTAGATCTTTAATTTGGTTGAATGACGCTTGACATTCACTTCTAAGAGACGAATCATCAGAGACGGCAATAGCTTTCAACCCTCCCAACTGACTTGAATATGAACTTTGCGACGGTGCCCAGGTCGCAACGAAAAATCCATGCCACTGGGACCTAAATTGATGTTCTGCTACCGTCCTCCCCACTGCGCCCTATACAATACTATGAGAATCAAACCTTCCGGCAGGCAACGTACAGACATTCTTATCCTTCCACTTAGCTAAATTTGACCAGCTTTGATGTAGGATCAAAGCAAAGATGCCTCACGCTGGTCACTATATTAATGCCAATGGCTTGATTGCGCAGTGGGATGATGGAGAACAGGGTGGAAGTGGAGACTCGTTCGTGAATAGGGTTTGTAGAGGAGAATGCGAGGGGGTTTATGGGCCTGAGAGATATATGTGGTGAGGTTTTTGGACGGTCTTGGATTTTTGTCGGTGATGGAATGGACGAAGAGAGGTAGTGGAGGGAGACAACTCTCTCTCTTGGGGTAGGGTTTCAACAAGGGGAAAGGGAGAAAGGTGCTGTGAGGAGATGGTTTCATATAAGGCGATATGTGGTGTAAAAAGAGAGCCGGAATGGCGGCACGCCTGATCAAAATGACTTATCTTCAAGCATGGCCCACAACAAACTGGACGTCTAAGAAAGAACAATGACTGGCACAGGTAAGCTCGGCGGAATTTACCGTGCGTCTTCAGGGGAACACTTTCAATTCTAGCAGCCAGCGTCGGTAGAGTTTGCCCAAAGAAGGCTCTATCAAGGCGTCCGGACCCCTACTACAGAGACATAGATAGCCAACATATAACGCCCCCCTACCAACCTTTCGAGACGTAGATTTACAGCATCATCTCCAACGGATTCTCCACCACTTTTTTGAACTCCCGTATCCACTCCCTCCCACGGCTCCATCAACGACTTTGTGATCGAAACTCGCGGTCACGACGATCTGGTCGTCAAACTCCACCTTGTCACCTTCTTCCGATGCGGAGGGGATGGCGACTTTTCTTGTCGTACCCACGGCCAGGATACCAGCTTGAGGCGGGTTGATGACGGCGGTGAATCTCTCGACTGCGGCGTTCATGCCCATGTTACTTATCGTGAAAGTGCCGCCTTGGTATTCTTCCGGTTTCAGCTTGCCGTCTCTTGCGCGTTTGCCGAGGTCCTTGACCGCTGAGGAAATAGCCTCGAGGCCGATGGAGTCGACGTTCTTGACAATGGGCGTCATGAGACCTATTGGTGTAGCAACTGCGACGGAGACGTCAACGGTGTTGTGTTGTCGGATCACTATCTGTCCTCCAACTTCTCGCCATGATGAGTTGACGGCGGGTACTTTTTTGCAGGCGATGGCGCTCGCTTTGATGAGGAAGTCGTTCACACTCAGCTTGTACTTGCCGTCTGCGGAGGCGTTCAGCGCTTGCCGGAGCTTGAGGAGTTTGGTGACCGATAACGGGGAGGCGACGAAATAGTGGGGGTTTTGGTTCATGGACTCGGTGAGGCGGTTTGCGATCGTTTTTCGCATTGACGAGGCGGGGATATCTTCGTATGAAGGACCGGCAGCCGCCGCAGCAGGGGCTGCCGAGGGACTAGCTGCTGGTTGGAATTTCTCGATGTCGGTTTTGGTGATTCGGCCGCCGGGGCCAGTGCCCTTGACTTGCTTGATTGGCACACCTTTTTCGAGGGCTAGTGCTTTGGCTGCTGGTGCGATCTGTGGCTCTCTGTCGAGGCTGGTTTGCAAACGTCCATCCGTTGAATCTGATTCTTGTGCTTCTGGTGCTGATGGCTTCTCGGAGCTGGGGGGCGCTGTACTTGAGCCTGTATCTTGAGGTTCCGACGACTCGGCGGCTTCTTCCTTGGGAGCATCTTTGGGAGGAGCCTTTTCACCCCCGGCATCCTCTAACGTGAATGACTCGAACGGAGCGACATCCTCACCCTCTTCAATCATGACTGCAATTGGCTGTAGAATTTAGCATAATTTCTCTTGGATGTATGGGCCAAAACCAACATTTCCCACGGCGATATCTTTTTCCCCCGACTCCTTCAATATTTTTGCCAGGACGCCCTCTTCTTGAAACTCAAAGTCCATTTGTGCTTTGTCTGTCTCGATCTCTACCAAGACATCTCCCGGGGCTAACGACTCCCCCGGTTTCTTTTGCCAAGCGCCTATATTCCCCGCCGTCATGGTAGGTGACAAAGCAGGCATAGTGACGACGGTATGAGGTGGGAAGGCTGCAGAGAAGGTAAGCAAAGCTCAATTGAGGCTCACCGCTAAAGCACGTACATTTGTCGGCGTAGAAGCGGGCAAGGGCAGAGAGTGCTGGGACACATCTGGGACGACAATATTAGTTCGATCAAAAGTTCGGGAGACCCATTGTAACTTCCAAAGGGGTCGTACCTTGAAGTATTAGGTATTCTGTATGCAGCGAAGATTGATTGTGGGCTCGGGGCAGCTCTGAGGAAGCTTACCCTTGCCGGGGAACGGAGGAGGACGGAGGTTGACATCGAGGACTGGGTGGGCGGGGATCAAGCAATTGAAGGAGCGTGAGAAGCTCACGTGTATCAACAAGAGCTATCGTCGTCCCATAATGAGCGGCTGGAAGAAGTCGGTGCAGTTGCAGAGCAATTATTGAATGTTGGGAGGTGAGAAAGTTACTCCGGTGATTTCTCTTATTTTTGTCGGGGAACCCTAAACTCGCAGCGCCCAGCCCTAACAACCACCCGATGGCGCTAGCTGAGTCAGAATGCCAAGAATTGATAGTGGCGGGAGCAGCCAGCCAATCAAGGAAGCTCGAAGCATTGAAGCCTCTTACCCTTTTCTTTGCATAGAAATCATCATCCACCCACCGGCACAATCCTCCCCATTGCGACCACCCACATACGAAGCTCTATAGTGGAGGCAGATCAGCGGCTGCATGAGTCTTCCTCAAATCTCGACCATCAAGCTTCATATGCCACCTTTCGCCTTTTCCTCGTCGAGTAGTGTTGCGGCCTATCGAGAGGCAGATCGTTGCCTATGGCGGAGGGCCAAGGGTCAGACGGAGAGGTGGAGGTGAATGGTCAAGAGGAGTATGATGGGGAAGCAACCAGAACTTCGCAGCAGTCCCCGCAATCACTCACAGAGGACAAGGAGGAGCTGAATTTAAAGAAAGACTGGCAAGAGATAAAAGTTGCAGACGTGCCGCAAGAGCAACCTGATGAGACTCTCGACTCCCCACAAGCTTCACCTGATTTCCGGGAAGGCTTTTCGACCCCAGATGACTCTGCGGCGAACCGAACAGACACTCCCACTTCATCAGGGCCCCCTCCGCTTCCTGAAAAAGACCATCCTCCTCATAAGCAGCCTCCGCGCGAAAGCATCGGAGCTCTTCCCTCTTTGCCAGTCACCAACGGTACTTCACTACATACGAGACAAGAATCAGATGCAAACTATGCCCAATCTCCAAGCACACCCAAGCTTCCGGTCCAACCCATCAGTTCCATTGTTTTCGTCGTCACTGCACTAGAAAAAATAGCAGACTCCCGAGAAGCGAAAAGAAGGAAGCCTTTGGGAGAGTCTGTCCAGCGGGCACTGGCTGCAGTCAAAGACAAGAACTCCTCACCTGATCCCGAAATTATCTTTGAACCGCTTCACCTCGCTACAGACAACACCAGCGTACCCCTCACAACAACGGCTCTCGACTGCATAGGCAAATTGATTAGTTACTCCTACTTCTCTGTTCCCCAACCCTCTCTAGATCCGAATACACCACCAAGTCAGCAACCTCAGTCTCTCCTTGATCGGGCGATTGACACGATCTGCGACTGTTTTCAAGATGAAGCTACACCAGCAGAAACACAATTACAGATTCTCGGATCGTTGTTGGCTGCCGTCCTCAATGATAAGGTCATCGTCCATGGCCAGGGCTTGCTGAAGGCCGTCCGCCAGGTGTATAATATCTTCCTCATCTCAAAGTCAAGTACAAATCAGCAAATCGCGCAAGGTGCTCTCACACAGATGGTCGGAACGGTCTTTGAGCGTGTGGGGCAACGGCTGTCCATGAAAGAAGCGCGAATGAACCTGGCGCCAATTGATTCAGAGAAGGGGACGGCGAATACAAGCCAGTACGAGCTCAACAGCAGCAACCCTACTCTTGGGTCTCTAGATGGCGAAAGTGGGGAGCAAGATGGATCATCGGAGGGCGTCTCCATCCGAACTGTGGATCAACCGGCCCCAAAGTCAGATGAAGGAGAAAAGCTGACTCTGCAAAATATTGAGACGGCGAAGAGTTTTGACGATCGTCGCATCGCAGATAACGCGCCGACAATGATCACGCCAATGAAAAATGCACAGAAGAAACCGCCAACGGATGCCGGAATGTCTACCAATGGTATTGACGGGAGTATAGAAAGCACGGTCGAAGATGAAGAAGATGAGATTTTTGTCAAAGATGCATTCCTCGTGTTTAGGTCGATGTGCAAAATCAGCCAGAAAGAATTGCCCACGGAACAGCAACAATACGTTGCCTCCTTTAACATGCGACAAAAGTTGGTCTCACTTGCCATCATTCGGACACTCTTGAATAACCATATGGTTGTGTTTACGTCTCCGAACTGTACCATTCGTGGAGGTGCAAACGAGAACCCGACAAGCTTCGGTCAAGCAATCAATCAGCACTTAAGGTTGAGCATCTCTAGAAACGCTGCCAGTTCCGTCAAACAGGTCTTCGAAATTGTGGCCGAAACCTTCTGGTTGACGCTCAAGGATATGCGAGTAATGCTGAAGCGAGAAATCGAATTATTCCTCAAGGAAATCTATTTAGCAATTCTCGAACGTAAGAATGCACCAAGTTTTCAAAAGCTGTACGTCATGAAATTGCTGAAGAGGCTCTCTACGGATCCTCGGGCTCTGGTCGAGATCTACTTGAACTATGATTGCGAGTCGACAGCTCTTGATAATATGTTTCAAAGAATTATCGAGCATCTCTCCAAGATTTCCAGTACACCTGCGCTTGTCACTGCCCAGGTGTATCACCAATACATCGATCATTACTCAAAGGAGATAGATGTTGATATTGACTGGCGTGACCGAGGTAAAATACCCCCGTCATTGACAATCGCTCACCTGAGTGCTACGTCTCCACCTGAATGGGATTTGCCTACGGACTTTCTTCTCAAGCAGCAAGCGCTTGATTGCTTGGTTCGAACATTGCGGGCTCTGGTTAATTGGTCTCAGGACAACCTAGATGCAGCTGTGTTGAAACCTGACAGTGTATACTTGAGACAATCAATGGAACAAGTCAAACTGTCAATAGATCGATCACAGGGCCCAGGCTCGCCCAGAATTTCTTCTGCTGGAGGGGACACACCACTTCCTCCCTCCACGCCAAGGCTCGAAGATGATCCCAGCCAGTTTGAGAAGCAAAAGCTTCGCAAAACAGCCCTGCTCAATGGTATTAGACAATTCAATTTTAAGCCTAAACGAGGTGTGAAGACGTTGTTGAGCGACGGCTTCATCCAGAGCGACTCACCCGAGGATATTGCATCTTTCATTTCGCAGACTGAAATGCTTGACAAAGCAATGATAGGTGAATACTTGGGTGAGGGTGAGCCGGAGAATGTTGCTATCATGCACGCTTTTGTGGATGCCATGGAATTCGCCCGACGCAGATTTGTTGATGCGCTTCGAATTTTCCTCCAAAGTTTTCGGCTTCCTGGAGAGGCGCAAAAAATCGATCGATTCATGCTCAAGTTCGCCGAACGATATATGGCCGGCAACCCCAATGCTTTTGCTAATGCGGACACTGCTTACGTCCTGGCGTACTCGGTCATCATGCTAAACACCGATCAACACAGCACAAAGCTAAAGGGCAAGCGAATGACGGTAGAAGATTTCATCAAAAATAATCGAGGCATCAACGACAACGCTGACCTACCGGATGATTACCTCGTTGGCATCTATAATGAGATTGGAGAGAATGAGATCGTGCTGAACTCAGAGCGTGAGACCGCAGCAGCACTGGGTATGATGCCGCAACCAACAGGCGGTATCGCTTCAAGAGTTGGCCAGGCTCTTTTGACCGCTGGTCGGGACCTACAACGGGAAGCGTACGCCCATGCCTCAGAGGAGATGTCAAAGAAGGCAGAGCAACGGCTCAACACACTGATCAAGTCACAGCGTAAGGCAATGCGGCAAGGACAGCCAAGATTTGTCCCTGCGACATCGTTCAAGCATGTCGGACCTATGTTCGATGTCACCTGGATGTCATTCTTTTCGGGACTCTCAGGCCAAATGCAGTCAGCTCAAAACATTGAAGTCATCAAACTCTGTATGGAGGGTATGAGGCTCGCTATTCGTGTATCCTGCTTATTTGACTTGGATACTCCACGGACCGCTTTCGTCACCGCACTCTCTAGCTTCACAAATCTTGACAATCTCAGCGAAATGATGACCAAGAACTTTGAGGCTTTGAAAATTTTGTTGGAAGTTGCGCTGACCGAGGGTGATTTACTGAAGAGCTCTTGGCGGCCAATCTTGACTTGTGTCAGCCAGCTCGATCGTTTTCAATTGATTTCTGGAGGTGTGGATGAAGGGACTGTACCGGATGTCAACAGGTTACGCATTGAAAGGACACCATCAAACCAGTCGAGAAAGTCTGTCGCAAGCTCACGATCAAGACCAGCCCCAAGTTCTACCCCCTCCCAATACGATCAAAGCTTGGCGAAAGAGAGTCGCTCTTCGGACATGGTGAAAATCATCGATCGTATCTTCACGAGCACGGCTGAGCTTTCGGGCGAAGCTATAGTGTACTTCGTTCGAGCTCTGAGTGAGGTTAGCTGGCAAGAGATACAATCTTCAGGTCAAAGCGAAGCACCTCGAATGTACAGTCTTCAGAAACTGGTGGAGATCAGCTACTACAATATGACTAGGGTTCGTTTTGAGTGGAGCAACATATGGCAAGTGCTTGGCGAGCATTTCAACGCTGTAGGTTGTCATTCTAATACACACGTGGTCTTCTTTGCCCTTGATTCCCTACGCCAACTTTCGATGCGATTTATGGAACTCGAAGAGTTGCCCGGTTTCAAATTCCAGAAGGACTTCCTGAAGCCATTTGAGCATGTCATGGCCAACAGCTCTACTGTGACTGTAAAGGATATGGTACTCCGATGCTTGATTCAGATGATACAAGCTCGTGGCGCGAACATTCGATCGGGTTGGAAGACTATGTTTGGTGTTTTTACTGTGGCTGCTCGAGAGCCCTACGGTATGTGATTTGCCTCACCAGATGTCCCACGTAAACTGATATCTTTGCAGAGGCCGTCGTGAATCTTGCCTACGACCATGTCAATCAAGTTTACAATACTCGTTTTGGCGTTGTCATCACACAGGGCGCATTTGCCGATCTGGTTGTCTGCCTCACAGAGTTCTCAAAGAACTTGAGATTCCAGAAGAAGTCGTTAGCTGCCATTGAAACACTCAGATCCACTGTGCCGCGTATGCTTAGAACGCCTGAATGCCCTCTGTCTCATCGGGCTGGTTCTGTACCCAATGGTGTAGACCCCGAAAATTCAGGGGTACCGAAAGCTATCAGCAGACAAACGCAGGAGGAACAATTCTGGTTCCCTGTGCTTTTCGCTTTCCATGACATTCTTATGACTGGTGATGATCTAGAGGTTCGATCTCAGTAAGTGCAAGTATCTAATTCCCACGGTTATCCGCTGATACCTTACTAGGGCGTCAACCTACCTCTTCGACATTCTGAAGGAGTATGGAGGTGGTTTCCCCCAGAATTTTGGGACATCCTGTGGCGACAACTTCTTTACCCCATCTTTATGGTACTCAAGTCAAAATCTGAAATGACGAAAGTCCTGAACCACGAAGACATGTCAGTATGGCTTTCGACAACGATGATACAAGCTTTGCGGAACATGATTACTCTCTTCACCCACTACTTTGATGCTCTTGAGTATATGCTTGACCGATTCCTAGACCTCTTAGCTCTCTGCATCTGTCAAGAAAATGATACCATCGCTCGAATTGGCAGCAATTGTTTGCAACAGCTCATCCTTCAGAATGTGCCACGTTTCACACCTCATCACTGGCACAAGATTGTTGGAAGCTTCGTTGAACTCTTCGAGAGGACCACAGCTCATAGACTTTTCCAAGCGGCTACATCTTCCTCTGATAATTCTCAGATCGGTGGTGAAGATGAGCTCGCTCGCAAGGGATCTCAAGCCGAACCGGCAAACTTCAAGGACCTTGCTATGGCTACCCCTTCAGATGAGACGGCACCTCTCGAAGAAACGCCAACGCCAAGGACAAGTACAATTGATGGGGCACTGTTCACGAATCATAATCGATCAGAATCTACCCACACCCAGAGCTCACCTGTACAAACACCAAATCTGGAAGACTACGGACGGCAGGTCAACCTGCAGCAGCAGCCTGTCGTAGTCACAGCCGCACGCCGCAAATACTTCAATAAAATCATCACACAATGTGTGCTACAACTACTAATGATCGAGACCGTCAACGAACTCTTCTCAAACGACTCAGTCTATGCCAAAATCCCAAGTAACGAACTCCTCCGGCTAATGGCGCTCCTCAAGGGCAGCTACCACTTCGCTAAAAAGTTTAACAACAATAGAGAACTGCGCATGCGGTTGTGGAGAGAAGGCTTCATGAAGCAGCCTCCCAATCTTCTCAAGCAAGAAAGCGGTAGCGCGGCGTGCTATATCTCGATTCTGTTCCGCATGTATCATGACGAGGGCGAGGAGCGACGACGGAGTCGGGCGGAGACAGAAGCTGCACTGATCCCGTAAGTCTCTTCTCTCTTTCCTCGTATGATAAGCAGACTCACTGACATCCTCTCTAGCCTATGCGCCGACATCGTCCGCTCCTTCACCATTCTCGACGAGTCGCAACCGCGCAACATCGACGCGTGGCGGCCTGTTGTGGTCGACGTACTGGAAGGCTACACCAATTTTTCTAGAGACGACTTCGAGAAGCATATCGACACGTTCTATCCATTGGCGGTTGATGTATTAAACAAAGAGAACGGCATAGAAGTGCGGATGGCACTGCAAGCGTTATTGAGACGAATCGGGGAGTGCAGGTTCGGCATGGCGCCTGCTGAGCCGAGTCAGACTCCTACGAGCCCGAGGAGCGTCAGTAGTAGTTATTTCATGACGAGACGGAATAGTGTTGTGGGTAAGGGGCGATGAGAGAACAAAGCGTGAGGTATGGGGACAGGAAATGGGAAGAGGCGTTCCTGGCATATGGTGTGTGTGTATGTATGCTGCATTTTAGCGATGTGAGCAGGATGTTTGCAAAAGGGTTAGGTTACATAGAGGCTCTTGAACCAGAGCCAGTCCGGTGACTTCTTCGATTTTTAGACGATAGGGTATGGCTAGAGTGGGTAGTGCTTGTAATCTAGAGATTTCTCCGATGCAGGAAAGACTACCTACTTTTGTCTCCCGATGGTGGTGGTGGTCTGAAGGAGATGCCTCAGGCAGGTTTCATGCTCTTCTTGTTGCCTATACCCTGATTTATCCGAGGTACACAGACGATCCGATTGCACGGTACAGAATGCTAAGCTATATTAGGCGTCTGTACACCTGTTTATACCACTTCAACCATGGTTGTGGCCTTTGAATCCGGTTACTAGCCCCTAAAACCTGCTGCTCTAGGCTGCCTGCAGGCTAGTTCCAGGCGCCCCCACAGTGCCAAGCACAATAACCCCACTATTGACTTGCCCTTCGTTCTGGTAACTTACACCAACAACAGCGTCAGCCGTTACTGCTCGCGTGCCACAGCAGTCGCTCTATCTCTTCACAACCTACACCAGGAACGTTTATTATTCCCCCATATCACTAGGGCTGGAGGCCTACCCATACCGTCACAATGGTCGGCTTCGCAGATAAGCTCAAGAACAGCGTCGCAGGCGTGAGAGAGCAGATGAAAGGTTCCTATTCCTTGTGATCCATATTGACTACTCATGGTTACCTTTGGTCGGCTCGCTGACAAGCTCTCTTCATACAGACACCAATCTCTACGACGCCAAAGTCTCCGCCCTCCACTTCAAAAACAAAGTAGGCAAGTTCGGCAACATCATCAATTCGAACCACCGTCACGACGAGGCCCATGAAAAAGCTACGGACGACAAACGAACAAAGATAGCTCAGTCGCACCGCTTTGAGTCTTTTGCGCCAGAAAGAGAGGGCAACAAAATTAAGTGGTATGTCGACGGGCGCGACTACTTCCATGCAGTCTCGGTCGCCTTGGAACGCGCGAAAGAGACCATCTACATCGAGGATTGGTGGCTGAGTCCGGAACTCTTCCTCCGTCGACCACCTTACTACAATCAGCAATGGCGGCTGGATCAGGTCCTGAAGCGAGCTGCTGAGCGCGGTGTCAAGATCTACGTCGTCGTGTACAAAGAAGTTGAGCAGGCTATCAGTTGTAACTCCGAGCATACAAAACACGCGCTCCATGCCTTGTGCAAAGAAGGGCAGCCAGGCTATGGCAACATTAAGGTCATGCGCCATCCGGATCATAACGTCTTCGAGAACGCTGGCGACATGACCTTCTATTGGGCGCATCATGAGAAGTTCATTGTCATTGACCATGAGCTTGCTTTCATTGGAGGATTGGATCTGTGTTTTGGCAGGTGGGACAACAAACAGCATCCCCTGGCGGATGTGCATCCAGCCGGTGTGAGGAACGAGATGTTTCCAGGGCAAGACTACAACAACAATCGCATCATGGACTTCAAAAAAGTCGACGACTGGAGTCAGAATGAGATTTCCAAGGCAGACTTTGGGCGAATGCCGTGGCATGATGTTGCCATGGCGGTAGTCGGCGATTGCGTGTATGACATTGCAGAGCATTTCGTTCTTAGATGGAATTTCGTAAAGCGTGACAAATACAAGAGAGACGCGAAGTTCGATTGGTTGACGTTGGAGGGTAGAGAGGGTGAATACGAAGATCTGATCGCCGTACAGAGGCCGAAGCATCCTGTAGGCGAGTATATTCATCACCCTAGAACACCACTCGCCGGTCGAGTGTGGGCGAACGAGAATCAAGGGACTGTCAAGGCGCAGCTTGTCCGCAGTTCAGGGGACTGGTCTTCTGGAATATTGACAGAGCATTCAATACAAAATGCCTACTGTGAACTCATCCGCAACGCCCAGCATTTCGTCTACATCGAGAATCAATTCTTCATCACAGCTACCAGCGAAAACCAATCACCCATCCACAATCAGATCGGTCGCGCGATCGCCGACGCGTGCATTAAAGCAGGAAAGGAAGGCCGCAAGTTCAGAGTTATCATCGTCATCCCAGCTATTCCCGGCTTTGCTGGTGATCTCCGCGATGATGCCGCCATGGGAACACGAGCAATCATGGATTACCAGTACAAATCAATCAACCGAGGCGAGAACTCCATCTTTGGTCAGATTAAGAAAGAGGGCATTGATCCTACCCAGCATGTCTTCGTCTTCAATCTCCGCGCATACGACCGCTTGAACCGCACCCCTGGTATGCAAGCCCAAGAAGAGAAATCCGGCGTCACTTATCAACAGCTCCAGAAAGCGCAAGCTGAGGAGATTATGGGCGGCAGTCTCCCCAACTCGACGGATGACAATCCTGGCGGTGGCGACGAACATAAAGCGGAGCTGGAGGAACAAAGCCGGAGGTTTGAAGCTGCAAGAGAGAATGTGGATCTCAATGCAGACCCAAAATTGGACCAGGATACCATCAGCAATTGCATGATGTTGAATGGCGGAAAGGTCTCTGAGCAGCCTTGGGAGGGTGGTGATTTGAACAAGGAGAAGGAGAATTTTGTCCAGGAAGAGCTGTACATCCACGGCAAGCTGCTGATTGTGGACGACAGGATCGTCGTCTGTGGGTCCTCGAACATTAACGATCGCGTAAGTCCTCCTCTCGCCCCCTACCCTTCCCTCAGTCCCATAGACCTCCCACTACCACACCAGCGCCAAGCTAATTCCACCCACCATCCACAGTCCCAACTCGGCTTCCACGACTCCGAACTCTCCATCGTAATGGAAGACACGCACCTGATCCCCTCCACCATGAACGGCCAGCCCTACCAAGCAGGCCACCATGCCGCCACCCTCCGCCGCAATCTCTGGCGCGAACACCTCGGGCTCCTCCCCGCCCAGGACGGCGACGCCAGCGACGAAGCCAATGCCCAGCCCCCTGAGATCCCCAACGATTGCGGCGAGAACGATCCGGAGTATAAATTCGTGGAGGATCCGCTCGGTGAAGAAGTCTGGGGGATGTGGACGACGAATGCGGATGAGAATACGAAGTTGTATAGGCATCTCTTTAGGGCGGATCCGGATGATAATAGTGCGTCCCCCCTCCCCTCCCTTCTCCCCCATCTCCTCTCCCCATACATCTTTCTCCATGTCCCTACTAACGCATCTCACAGTCAAAACATTCGACGACTACGACGCCTTCGTCCCACGCCACACCAAGTTCCGCCAAGGCCATCTACACGACCCCTTCATGGACCCTGTCGAGGTCAGGGAGAAACTCGATAAGATCAGGGGTCATCTCGTCTGGATGCCGCTTGAGTTCCTGCGGGATGCGGAAATGGCGGAGCGTGGGTTGCAGGTTAATGCTTATACTGAGAGTGTGTATACGTGAGGGGGGTGAGTGAGGAGGGGAAGAGGGAGGGGAAGGGGAAGGGGAAGGGGAAGGGGGGAGGGTGTGATGATGATGAGTGCAGCGACGTGACAACGGATGGATAGATGTGCAACGAACGGATGGGAAGAACGACGGGACGCGGGAGACGGTACTGCGAGGCTTTTCGACAGGAGGTAAGCGTTCGTAGTCAGTCAATGATTTTTCATTCTTTTTACGATCCATGACATCGATCCCTCCCTCCCTCCCTTCCCTCGTGTTCGCACATTCATATATTATCTGTTTACAGCTGGAGTAAGTACGATTCTTTCCTCGCTCGACCGAGGGTCGGTGTATCTGAACGTTGCCGCGCCAAATTATAGGCGCTAATTGGGGGGAAGGCAGCCTTGTACCGCCCGCCTGTAGGTAGCTTTCCTGGGCAAACCCCCCGCAAAAACCCCCTAAAACTGGATTTGGCGCTAGCTCTTGAGGGTTTAGCGCGATTTTAATGGATAGAATTTTTTGGAGAACTTCTTCTTCTTCTTCTTCTTCTCCATCATCACTACATTTCTGCAGCGATGTCGGCATTGTATCACTATATGGTAGCTGTTTATCATGCCTAGATGCGCAAATAGTATGATATGAGATGAAAGGGAGGGTATGTCGTAAGTAAGAATCAGGACGCTTTGTCCGTCACATTGCGTATTGGTCACGTGATGATGTCTTTGTTCTCTGCAGCATTCCTGCGCTGAGGCTGCGTGATACTTTGGTGTTCATTTGCAGGGAATCTACAATAGTTTGTCGTGCTATTTTAGAGGTATGGGTGGTGGTGCTGATGAAATACCCGCTTTTCGTTCGTATTCTCGTCGTCTATGATTTGATCACAGCAAGGTTTCTCTAAGACGACGAAGGAAAAGTATGGCGAACTACCGTTGCGCAGGACGGGTCGCAAAAAGCATTACGTGCATTCATCGCGGTACCCTGTCTTGCTGTTTGCCAGCTACCTGTAGCACACCTCATGCACATCAAAATATACAGTTGCAGAAGACGGGAAGAGATCTTCGAGATTTATTTATAGCATGCTTTTCATTCTTGAGCCGCACCATACGATATCTCATGTATGGTTAAGGCTGGTCCGCACAGTGAGACTCCTGTAAATCATCTGGGGCGCTCCCGCTGGTCATTAGGCGAGGATACTTCCGCAACTCCACGGGCACACGAAGGTAAATGCATCAATTTTTGCTGATTAACTAGGTTCACCGTCCGTGACAGGCGATGCAATGAATCGTCATAAAATCTTCTTCAGGCAGTTCATTCGAGTCGTTTTCACGAGGGAGGATTAGAATTAGGCCCTCCTGCTAAGACCTTGCACCTCCTTTCTTTCAGGATGTCATTTGCTATACTCTTGACCATGATACTTTCGATGGTCAGGAGAGTGACCCTCATTCCTGCTGAAGTACCTGGCCTACCTGCACCGCCTAAGTCATTTTCAGCACCAATAGCGCCGAAAGGGCCTGCCTACGAAGTTAGCTGCGTCCCGTACCCCAAAGACTGGTCTGTTACGACAGAGGAAGACTGCAAAAAGGCAGCTAGAGACTTCCAGAGCTTTCTATACGATAGCTACACTGTTTATCTGAAGAATCAGTACACCCCTTCAGGCCAAAACCACTTCATCGCGCCCACTTACTTCGTCGAAAACGATTGCTGCTTTACCTTCTATCTTCTCAATAATGCAATCTGGGATACCTTGGACAGAGCATCCGCTCTGATAGGAGCAGCTGGTGTGCTCGACCAATGTGCATATTTCGGCGAAGTGCAGGTGGGCGTGAACGTCAAGATTCAATTGATGGACGGTAAGCACGCCCTAGACGAAGCGATGACGAACGGGAACCCCGTGTTCCCATTCAAGCACACATCCGGGAACATTACAGCGACAGAATTTCTGAACAGCTCCGCTAGCATGACGTCTGCACAGAAAAGCGCTGCAAGCCAGGATGGACTTTACCGGTGGAGGCGCTAGTGGTGTCTCAGACACCAACCAAGAAGTTCTGCCGACTTCACCCCTAAATCTTAAGGATACATAAAGACAGTCTCCCGCTCCTCTTTCATCATCGTCTATTGTAACTACGGCTTTCAGGATGTGGAGAAAATGATAAGAATCAATGACTGCCGGTATAGCGTCGCAGCCTTCGATCTGACAGCTTTGTCAAGGATCCTGATCTGCCTGTTGGTGGCGGTACAGTATCAAAAGGTCGCAGGCCTGGTTCCTTCGGTTTTGAAAGAGAGATCTGCACCATCTTTCCCTCCACTACCACCACCACCGGATCCCTCGGGACGCCCTCGGACCAATTACAATGTGCAATGTGACCCATATGACCCTTTTCTTCCTCCATTAGAATTCGAAATATATGTCGCACCGGAATGCCAAACAGCATGGAACTACTTCAACACATTCACACTTAGTACCTACAACTTGATAAAGAAGGGTTCCGGCCAGCACATGGGTGACAACACGTTGTACGCACCAACATATTTTGTCAGCGATGCATGTGCATTCACTTTCTATCTCATTGGGGATTCTACGAGTGCTTCGATAGATAAAGCGGCTGCCTTGACTGCGGCAGAAGGTGTGATAAGTTATTGCGCCTTTTATGGTCAACTACAACTCTCGCAGAACGTAAAGGTCCAGGTCATGGATGGCGCTGACGCGTTGAAGGAAGCGGCGCAGAATGGGAATCCTGTCTATCCTCCCCAACTTATTGACAACGTCACAGCACAGCATATTGCAAATGATACAGCTGTGCAGTCCTTCCGACAAAATGCCACCGCGCAGCCAGAGTACTTTGGTGGGGCTAAAGCGCCCTTCCCTGTCCCATTCAATTGTGATACTTATCCTTCTGGCTACGATGCTGCGGAGTGGAGCTCCACTGTTGGATCTGACTGCAACAAGGCGTGGGATTATTTTGCGCAATGGAGTCGTCTGAATTACACTCTCATTGCTGAGGGAGGAAACGAGCCTCAAAATGACACGACTCTATTTGCACCTACATACTTCATCGCAAACACATGCGCATTCACCTTTTCCCTCAAAGCTGAAGTACATAGTCAAGCGGTCAATAAAGCGGACACCATCATAGCGGCATCCGGCGTCGTCAGTAGCTGCGGATACTTTGGCAACGTGGCGCTCAGTGATGTTGTGAGTGTCCGGGTCATGGACAGTGCTCAAGCATTGAAGGACGTGGGCGCAAATGGGGCGCCCGTTTTCCCACGACCAACGGATTCTCTTCTGCTCAACAATACTCAATCATCCAATGATTATGGTGGAGCTCAGGCACCAAACTCGACACAGCAATCAATACACAGTGTGACCCAGGCACAGACCGCCCAATTAGGTACGTTTCGATGACGCGGGTAATCATGACAACTGGAATATGTCATCTCCAGCGGTGTCACAGATACTATCAGCGATAGAAGCTGGACCCTGAAGATTGATGAAATCCACACGAGGCGGAATGCCGACAAATTGAGTTTGAACGCGAGAGGTACTCTGTGACGTCCGTCTATGTTTCACTGGACGCATGAAAATTAAGCAAAAAATGTTCTGCCGCTCGCGGGGTTGTCTAAGACATTTCATCCGTGGACATCAAAAGCTCACGATTATGGTAAGATAAGGAGCCTCTGGGGCTCTTCTTCCGCCTCAACCTCTCCTGAATCCCTCAGACAGCAATTGGACGACATTCAAATAGCACCAACTTGAACATAACAATTCAACAAAGTCCACCAAGTCATGGCTCTGATTCGGCTATTGTTCGCCGTCATTAGTTCCAGTGCTGTCTGCTCGTCGCCAGTACCGCAAAACACCTCGTCCGCACTTCTTCCAAAGCCACCTCTGTCTCACCAAGGACGAAATTGTGACCCTTATCCCACAGACTTCGATATTGTCCAGTGGAAATTGACGGTAGCGCCGTTCTGCCAAACCGCCTACAATTCATTCTACACCCTGACGGAAACAATCGACACATACGACCTCATCCTGAAAGGTTCCGGTCAACCCGAAGCCGGCAACCGTATATTTGCACCGTATTATTTCATCCCTCCTTCAGACAATGACGACTGCGCCTTCACCTTCTATATCACAGGTGATAGAACAGAGGCTCCTTTGAAGAAAGACGTCGCGGTGAAAGCTGCGCAGGACATTCTTGATAATTGTGGGTACTTTGGCTACTGGGATATTGAGCTTGGGACTGGTGGAGGAGTTAGGGTTCAGGTTATGGATGGCTTTAAAGCAAGTCAGGAGCAGGCGGATAATGGAAATCCGAGATTTCCGCCGTCGCTCATGCCTGGTGATGCTGGAAAACAGGTCACTAACGTTGACACGCTCTAATGACATGGATTCACAGACCCTGACGGCAGAATCATTCGCTAAATTCAACCACATAGTTCGCTCATCATTAGTCGTGGTATAACCTTTCAGACTCTTTCACTCTCCTCTATTCGGTCTTTTTTGGACAACGACAATCACTGTAGTGGTTAGGTGAGAACCCTTTCGAACCAATTCAGACTTGGAACGAGAGTCCCAGAAACAGCGCGCGACGTCGCTTCTAGGAAATGTCCCAACTTGAGCTTGCTTGAAATACCGAGAGAGCCCAATGAAACAAGACTGGGCGTAACATCAGACGCTGCAATCGTATCGCTTGGGTATTGGTCAGCTCAAGAAGCCTAGATGGGCGATTGATATCAACCCCTGCTATCAGAAGAGGTATGAGTGCTGGCACGGGCCACAAAGATCCCCATTCTATTATTCTAGCGATCAGAAAGAAATGCTACTAATTCATCCGAATGATGTAAGCTGCCATTGGTGTTGGCAGGCGTGTATCTTGTAATGTATCAGGAGAGGATATTGTAAAAAGATACCGGACGGCTTTGATGATGAATATTATGATCCACTTTGGGACTCGATGAATAGCGACGACCAAGTTTATGTCAGGTCATCGACGTTCAATTTGCGAGTGTGAAATCCCACATCCTTTGGCTCTCCTTCGTTGACAATCGGCACACAATTATTACCACTGCTGGCTCTGTCAAGAGATGAATTACCGTATGATTGACTCCTACGCCGGCAACCTGTGCAAGTATCTGTCATCCAAGACATCTAAGATTTTTTGATTGGCCCCGCAAATGCAGCTCTTGAGTTTCGAGATGACATCAAATGCGCGGAATACTATGACCCGCATAACAGAGGCGAGCCGTATTTAGACCGAAAGATGTCTTGTGGAGGTTCCAAAATTGGCCAATAGCCGAACATTCTCCCGCACGCACCTTGACAGGAAAGGATCTCCACGACAATACCTCTCTTAAAGCGTGAATGTAGTCCTAGCCGGTGGCTGGATAGTAAGAGAAGACTTCTGCCATCATCTGACTTGGGCCAATAAGTCTTCTCGACTCAATCGGTGCCCTATGGCTCTCGCGAACGCCCTCACATTCCTGAGCTTCGTAATATATCTAAGCTATGCCGCCCCGCCACCGAGTACACCAGTAAATCCAGCAGCACCAGCAGCGTCATCATATACTTATAAACTGAAGTGCGTTCAGATTCCTGCAGAATTTGATTATGTCCTATGGGTACTTGCCAACCTACCCGACTGTCAAAATGCCATAGCTACCTTTGCCGGATTTGCACTCGACGACTACACTGCCATCAAGAAAGGTCAACCCATGACTGACTCAACTATTATTGCACCAACCTATTTCGTCATCGACGAGTGCGCGTTTACCTTCTATCTGGAAGGAGACAATACGAGCGCTGATTTCAGCAAAGGCACAGCAACACAATCAGCTTATGGCATATTACAAGATTGCGGCTTCTATGGCGAGATTGATATCACTGATCAGCTTAAAGTACAAGTGATGGATGCGGTGCAGGCGCTGAGTGAAGCAAGCCAAAATGGAAATCCGGTCTATCCACCGCAACTGGACCCTCGGCTTCTGCAGTTCGGGGGCGTTGCACCGCCAGGCTATTACGGTGGTGCTACCATGCCGGGTTTTGTGCCAAACATCTCGGTGACAAAGCCACCTGCGAACTCGACCGGAACTCTGCGTGCGAGTTATGCATCGCCCAGTTACGCAAGCGCGCGTCGGCGGTGGGCATAGTCGGAGACGATTCATGAACCTTGCCGCCACCGGCAACAGTAACTTGGTGACGAGCATCATCGAACCTCTTAATGTGGATTCCTTGCTACTGTATCGAAGATGCAGATTGTAGAAGACTTGTCGTGGAGCTGCAGTCTCGAATTGACAACGACAATGACCAAGTACAGGGGCTACCAAGGGAAACATCAGCAGACTAAACTCCGGCTCCAGCAAGGAGCCGCGGAGAAGCCTTGTTCGAAAGTTAATCCTGACTGAAGATGGCATTCTTACCCCACAAAGAGCGAGATAGGTTTCAAGATTAGACAACGGATGTGTAGACAGCGCACCTATCAAGACTCGCTCTTGTCACGCTACGATCTAAGTACGTCAAGACTGGCCGATTTGACAATATAAAGGCTGGAAAGTGCATATACGAGATCTACAAATTACCAACAGTTCGTCAAAGAAATGTTGGTTTCGCCAGACCAACACTCCAGTGTATACGCGGAACAAGACATGTCTCACCCGATGCAAATGCCAAAACAAGTCCACTAGCCGCAAGCGGAACGCACCCTTCTTCAATTCTTCAAGAGTATTAATCGAATTCTCCTTCCCCTTCGTCGTTCACAACACCTTGCCCACCACCATAGCGAAAGGACCAATTCTTCCCGCACGGCTCGAATCCGAACCTTTCGCTTCAGCCCAACAACATGCTTCACCTCCTAACCCTCATCTGTCTCTGGATCACCACCACATCCTCTTCTGTCACACGACTAGGCTTCGCCACACCAGACCCAGGTCCCGTTAAAAACCTCAACACCACTCCCGTGACCTTCTCCCCGAAATGCAAGCCCTTCCCCGCAACCTACAACCCCGCCGAATGGGCACTAACCATCCAACCCGAATGCCAACAAGCACTCGACTACTTCAAAACCTGGGCCCAAGCGACTCCCAACTTCCCTCTCATGAAGACCTTCGACGAGACATGCACCTGGTATGATCTCCCCTGCGTCTACGCGCCCACCTACTTCGTCTTCAACGACTGCGCTTTCACCTTCTACCTCCTCGACGGGGCCGTAGAACTACCCAGCATGAGGACCGTCGATGCCATCAATAAAGCCGGGAATGTGCTCAATGTGTGTAAGTATTATGGCGAGCTGCAGATCGATGCGAATGTTGAGGTTGCTATTATGGATGGCTTGCAGGCGTTGAGGGAGGCGCAGGGAAATGGGAATCCGGTCTTTCCGCCCCAGATGGTGCCGGTCTTGCAGTTCCGCAATGCGACTGTTCCGCCGGGGTTGGTGGGGAGTGTTAGTGCGTTGAGTAATCGGACGCTTGATGCGGAGGTCGGTGTGGCTGGGAATGGGAGTGTGAGTGTGAGTGGCGTAGGCGCTTCTTCGACAAGCCGGTTCGAGACGACTTCGGTACAACAGGCGCCGACGCAGATGGCGGTGGGGACGTTGAGTACGCCGAAGGTTGGGAGTTCTGATGAGCCTTATCGATTCAAGAGGAGAGTTTGATGGTTGCATCGATTTGGTAGAGTGTGGTCTAGTTGATGTCTCGGATCCAGCCGGATCTCCCAGTTGGGGATATGCAGCATAATTTCTCATCATTAAGTGGAGTGCCAACACTGATCCAAATGGCTGGATGGTGATAATGGCTAGATGACGGTAACACCTTGGCCGTCAGGTCTGCCTCCAACGACCAGGAGCAAACTTCCTGGCAACCAGCGCCGCGCTGAAGAAGAAGAGACATCTATGTCCGACTCGCGAACAATCTTCAGCACTCGCCAGCACTTCATCCACAGCTTCAAGGTCGAGCTAGCTGTATGCGAAGGCCCTTTACGTCTCAAGAAATTCCTTCGTGGAGACTCATACACAGCAAATTTTTCGTTGGAGGACCATGGCTAGACTTGGGGTGTTCGTCGAGTACGATGATGTCTGCGCACTGGCAGTGCTGGCATCTACATAAATCCGAGAACAGCAGTAGCAATCAAGTCCTCCTTAAGGAATGGAACGTTACTCTGTACAGGAACCCAAAACCCAGAGAGCAAGAAGAGTAAGCATGGCTCAGAAGTCACAATAATCGTGTCAATCTCTCTCGTGTACGCAAAGTTCGGAATCAGAGCCATACCTTGCTCGGAGGCAGCTCTCTGCTCGGCTTCTTTTTCAAAAACTCAGGATCTAGCGGAAAGTACTACTTGACGAGTCTGCGGGTAGCTGACTGCTGGGCCAAATACCAAAGTCACGATGAATGTTGGCAACTTCAAGCCGGCCCCCACTCCTTCCACTCCTGTACACAAGCCCCACAACAGAGTTCTCCGATGCTGAAATGGAACACCAGTTGTTCTACTTCATGGAGCAGTATCATATAGTGAAGTGCTGGAGAGAAGAAAGATAGACGAGAGATCACGCACACACCAGAAAGTTACAGTCTCAAAGACCCATGGAAAGGCGGAAAAAGAGAAAATGGGGGGTCTGACCAATTTTTTGTTCCAAATCACCAGGCGAATTTTCAGGCAATTCTCCGTCAAATCGTTCGCGGATCGATTTAGTGCGGCCTAGTGGGCCCTGTTGCGGCTCTAGACATTTGCCTGAAATGCCTTGAGATGCCTACTTTTTCTCGAGGCTCCGCCTGCGGTCCGCGCATCGCGCTAGCCCGATTCAGGTATTGTCAGTGTTCGAGTTGACTTCTTTTGATAGTGGACGTGAGAAACATAAATACAACAGTAAATTTCCCCAGTCATGGAGGTGTCTGCTCAGTCAAGCTTTTCTCGTCTTCTTTTGCTTTGCGCTGAGATCGAAACGGAAGATATCGAGTTCTCTCCCTCCATTTTCCCCTTGAGTATATACCCCTTTCATCGTCTCTCGTCTTGTTGCACACAATTGCCTGGCCCCGGACCTTCTTTGTCCTGTTTCCGGAAAGCTCCGACGACACATCCCCATCGGCAGTCGATCCTTCACCCAGCTCCCCCTAAGCCTTCGCGATGCCCTCCCCTTCCAGCTCAGGACACAAGTACTACTTCCCTCTCTTCACTCCTACCTACCCCCTCCCCCCTTCCCCCCTCCCCCCCTTTCTCCGCAGTCCAACAAAGACTCACCAACAACCCAGGACCAACCACCCCTCCCCCACAAAGTCCGGGCCCTTAACATCCCCCAACCTCAACGAACACCATCGCACAACCCCCTCTGACGAGGGCATGATGCAGCAATTCCATAGTGAATACGACTCGTACCGCGACTTTTTGGTAAATGGTGATGGGAAAACTGGGGCTGCGACAAGGGCGGGGGCGGGGGCGGGCACGGGGACAGGGGCTGGGGAATGTAGTAAGAAAGGCGGAGGTATGGCGTCTGCATTCCTTGTTTGTTAGAGATGTGCTGAGACTACTGTTGTAGAAGGTTCGAAGCTATGATATTCAAGAACCGTATGAGGCGTACCGCACTGAGAAGGACGGAGATGTGGAGGAAAAGGGAAGGAGGGAAGGTATGAAGAAAACTGATATGGGATATAAATCATGTAGGGAGAAGCAACATGCCCGTCCGGCGAGTTTCTGTGGAAGATTGCGACGGGGCGAAAGGGGGTCTGTATCCGACCAACGGCAACGTTCAACTACCATGTCCGATGACCAGGAGAGCCACCTCTCCCGTATCGAGTAGAGTCGAGTAGGGTTGTTGGAAAAACGAAAGTCGCTGGCCTACCGCCTTCCCCCTCCTTCCTCCTCCCCTATTCCCCCTCACCTTCACCCTCCACTTTAACCCCTGCCTCCACCCTGTCCCCCTTCTCCATCTGTGCGAATTCTAAGCTTTCAGATCGAACGAGACGCAGACACCATCCTCCCTCGTCCACGAGATAATGCGCACAAGACACCCCACGGGAAGGACGGATGAGCCTCTATTAGGCAATCCCCCCATGTTTCGCTGGAGATAGGATATCTTTCTCATCACATCCTACCAAAACAGAGCCGATGACGACGCTTACGGCTCCAATCTAGCACACAGATTCCGTCAAATGTGGGCCAGACAAGGATAATCCAAATGGCCCGAAGGGGCGCTCTGACCCGGCCAAGTCGTTCGAGAATGCTGATAATACTCTTGCATTTGTCGTTGCAGGTACGTTACTTCTTTTTGGAGACTACCATGATGTAATTGGGCGCCGGAGCTGGTGCGATGGGTCGCGATGTGCCCTATGCCGACGGTGCATTGAGCAGGCGAGTACTGGAACGTATGGTGTAATAGGGTAGTCGTGGCCAGCGCCGCTGATGGCGACCGAACGATCAAGATCTTCAGCCGCACTTCGTATCTGCCGATTATCGATGATTTGGAGCATGTGGTTAGTCGTTGTACTTATATGCGATGGTCGGAATCGGCGTCAAGGTTTTGCTGTGGTATCGTTGTTTGTACTTTGGGTTTGTTATTGTCACACATCTTTTGGTTGTCATTTTCTTGCTATAATGTTCCTTCCGTCAGTTGATTAAATGATTCTCAAATGATAAAATGTCCACTTTATCAAGTTGCGCTCCTCTGGTCCGTTAGGCGACGTCAGTATATCCTGTTATAGATTCGCACAATACAAGCCGTCCGTAAGATCATCCAGGATGCAATAATTCCGGTCGGCCACACATAAGAGTCCAAGTCGGCGTATGACTCGTATCGCAAGGCTTAAGCTATGTTCAATGAATGCATCGATCCTCGTGATTACATTGCAGGAAAACTTGAAGAAGAAAAATTGCTCTTAATTACCCCTGTTTTACCTACCAAGTGCAGCATTGAAATTGAACCTCTTCTTTGGCTCAAGGGATATGAACCTCATTAATACATTCAAAGTGCTACTAAGAGCGCCGCACTCATCCCTCAGCTCAATTGGTGGATGAGAAGTAACGTTCGTCTACTTTTCTGGAGTCGCTTCACCGACGGTGGTATCGAAACCCAAGACCAGCCCGTTCTTATGGTAAAGTACAGTAATACTGCAATCTCGAGTGATATTTATGTTTATACAACTGTTGCTCTCAATGTCGCTGTTAACGTCATGAGTGCCTCGCAGCAGATTCACAACCATGTTGTTGCCGCTCATGCCGCAGACAATTATCCTTCCTGGAAAACCCTTTGACATGGTAGTGACAGTCAAGCACGAAACAATAGAACTTTCTCCGATTGGGTGACGTGCTATGCCTTGAAGCAATGTGACGATCGAGATCTCGTTCGCGGTAGAATTGCTGAATGCACCCTTCAATGGAGCAGCAAATATCGCGGTCGTGGGTTTTGACATGTTTGCTGAGAGTTTCCAAAGTTCAGCTTGGAGGGTCAATTTAGATGGCGTATGATACTTACTTATAGCGATGTTTTTCGGTGAATGTTTTAGCACACGTAGGACATTTGAGTTGGCTCAAAGATATTGCAAGGGGCTCATCTTCGTCGCCTTCTTCCAAATCGTCTACCATAATGCACTCTGCTTCTACCTGTGTCATTTGCTGATGCCGTGGAAGAGACGGATGACTTTCGAGCGATCTGATTTCGTAACATGTATCAAAGCTTAGTTGGCGTGTCGAAGCTTCAATAGAGGCTGCAAAGTCGTCGGGCATAGGGTGGTATGATGAAAGATCTTCTGGGGCAACCAAGGAAGGTAGAGATGAGCAGGATGGAGGATTCGAGGCCGAAGCAACGTTATGAAGACCTCGGGTTGCATCCTGAGCTGCAAAATCGTAGGCATTGAAGAAGGGCAAATCCGCAGAATCTCCTTCGCGTAAAGTAGATTTTAATGACTCATCCTGGATGTCATGGAGTTCTACCTATAAATCAGAGTGTTAGCGTATGAAGCTCGACTGTAGCCTAGAATGCACAAACGTGGCTAGTGGGATCGAAATCCTCGGCAAAAAGATCAGAGTGTGGTTGTAATTCTTCGTCGTCGAAAATAAGTGGTTCATCTGAACACAGATGCAGCCACCCTGACGGGGATGCACCTGGGTCTGTACATTCTCCCATGAGTAACAACGGTGGCCCAGGCTTCAAATCGATTGGCGCAGTTAGCCACGCCTCTCAATGCTAGATTCCCGCTCCCAGGCTGCGGGATGTGATGTATAAGACAGGATCGGGGGCCTCACGGTAAAGACTGAGAGGCACCCCACCCGCCTTACGCAAATTGGCAAAGTTTCATGCAGGGTCTGACGCTTAGACGAGGCAGCAGGAGGCCTCTCACCAAGTCCAGCATCAATTTAGAAACTCTGCTTTGCTCTCTCGAAGATCATGGGACTGCTTGACTGATTGTGGCTGGCGAGATGTGGTCCTGTGCATATCTCGCCGTCTCTTGGGCGAGCCTGTCTGTTTCTGTGGTTCACTCATAAACATGGAGTTCTATTCAACTTTTGAGCATCTATATGTCAACAGACCACACTACTCGCTTGCTTATGCCCATCTGTCGTATGCAACCATGAATCTAGGGCTCGCACTGAGGTTCTGATGCGTCTAAGATGATTTCTATCCAGCTGCTGCTCATGCCACTCTATTGTGTAATCATGATCATCTTCATATTTTTTTTGAGAATTCGCGAATCTTTCGTGAGAGTCTGGGGAGAAAGTCGATCAATGAAAAGTGGCGGGTCTTTGACTCGGATATCTCGTAGGCTGGTGGGTGCATAAGGTCATTCCACTGTTTGGGTAGGGTTCGTGAGTGAGTGCGCTGAAGTCGTCATCAATTAATGAATGCGCTTTTCGTGCCGCAAAAGATTATCCTTTCTTGAGAACCCTTTCGAAGCATAGTCACAACCAGACTTTGGGCAGAGATATCTGGCGCCCGAACCGTGGCTTGTTGAATCATGCCGATCGAGATCCTGTTGACGATAGAATGCAGCATTGCAACCATCATTCTGACATTGGAACCCTCGGCTATGTGTCTTTACATGTTTACTTGCAAAACCACTGTCAGGACAGATCATTTCGATAAATCAGGTGTACATACTTTAATTGATGACCTTGAGAAAACTCTTTACTGCATTGTGGACAAATGAGATTAGAGCTGGAGGTGCGAGATGAGTGTGGAGAGGGCATGGGATCGGGCTCTAAGTCGGTCACTGTCGTAGGGGAGACTGGAGGCTCAAGTGATTGATCGCACACCCCAAGCGTGCGATTGTCTGGCAGAGGCTGACTAGGCTCTATATAGAAGTCTGGTGGTAAGAGGGAAAAATCGACGTTTGATAGCAGATCAGTGGCCTGATCCCAAATTACCTGGGGAGGATGAGACCACGTTAGAGGCGGTGGATGATTTTCGACGCTGGATGTTTGCTAGAGAAAGTAAGCCGACGAGTCATTTTTAAGGCAAGGGGTGATGCACACAAGTGGGGTTCTCGGGTGCCGGAGATCGGAGGGCAAATTGTTAAGGGGCGCAGATGCTGGATGGGATCTTATTAAATCCCGAGGATTCACATGTGTATGCCACGGCGCTGAAGTATCACGCGAGAGGCATGACATAGTATGTGAGTCCCATGGTACGACTTTGCACGGCGAGAGCGAGCAATATGAAGATTTCATAATACTGTGGGAGGCCTCCGGGACATCGTCATAACGATTGACCCGTGGAAGGCCTCCAGTGGAAGGCCTCTCTTCGCGGGCCTCCCTTGGCGTCCACGCTGTCTAGCCTAGACGCACTTGACGGAAATGCTTCCTAATGGGCAAGGTCAGCTACGCCCAAATTGCAACCCGAGTCGACTAGGCGGCGTCTAGTCACTTATTGCTGATAAGCGAACCAGTAAGTACGCATCAGCGCACCCAGCGGTGAGTCTTGACCATATCACCGTCCCTTGGGCATTTGAAATCATGACATGTTGCTGACGTGCCCTGAAGCGTCCATATCATGGTTGCTGTCAGTTCGGAGGCCCCCGGAATCTTTCTCCTCCCCAGGAGTTGCGGCTCTGCGACATCCCGCGATGATTGGTGCGGGATACCTCCTCCTGGACATAGAAAAGTCCACGATACAGCCAACGCAAGACCTTTGACCGCCTAAAGATTACCGAGCGACTTGAGGATCGAGGATGTCTGATAGCTCCGAATCATTGACTCAGCATGTGATGCGTCCGAACAAGACTTCAGATGACCTTCAATATCTCCCGTCAAGGGTATGCCTTTGATGAAGTCCTATGAAGACAAGATCATGTTCGGAGATATCTGTGGGCCTTCAGCGGCAACGTCTATAAAAACGGAGTTGTTCCTTTGTGTCGTGTGTTGTGGAATCAAACATATCTTGAGAGGGAAATGCAAAGCTTTCATGGTCGCGGTGACCCTCCTGGCACGAGGCTGAGAGGCCTCCCAGATCCTCTTACACACGTGTGGAAGGCCTCCGACTTAATCTCTATGCCAACACAAGATGCTCTGCCTTGCTTTTGTGTGCGCAGAGGTCAATGCTCTGGCTCTGAAGTTTCCCTCGAAGTCTGACGGAATAGAGGCCTCCCATTGTGTATTGATGTTGGCACGGTCTCGTTGGAGGCCTGCCACTATCAGATCTCGCCCAATTTCCTATGGGCCACTACAGAGGAGGCCTCCTGCTCTTTGATTGAGGTCGAAAGTCAATGGAGACTCGTACTGCGGGATCGAGAATACTCTTATTCGAAGGCCTCCAAAAACGATCTTGTGTAAATAGCTGCTTCTCTCCCTCGGACTCAATGATAACCAAGACTCGCCTCCTCATCTGATATCTTTTTTGACTTCGCCGTGAGCAGAACAACTCTGACCTTGCCTCAGTCAAGCCCGTTGTCTGCAATAATCGTTCAGGCTTGAGACATGTCCCCCAAAATCAGGTCGGTACAGTTACTAGAATGTCTGCTCTAAGTCATGGTTCCACTGGGTTGCTGACAGGCGCAGCGACACCAAGGAAGCACCTCCCTCGCAACGGTCGCCAGAAGCGCAGCACAATGCCCAACAAGACCCGAGACTAGCACCAGACAGCCAGTCGATGAAGCAATACAAGCAAGAGCATGATGCATATCGCCACTTTCTCGTCGTGGGCAAGGAAGGTCGTCCGAAAGGCTTGGCATCAGACGCCACGTTATGGAAGAATGACAAAGGTAAGGCACCTCACCTCATCCGATGAAGGATTTCGTCTCATGAGAGTTGAGTTAGGAGGCACAAAGCTCTAAGCTGGGGACTCACGTGGTAGAGCATTAAGACCAGGGGTAAGATAAGTCATGAGTCGCGACGCGGTGGAGATATTCCGTACTAGAGACGCATGAACGAGACATCTTGAGCAGGCTGCGAGCCACGGAAGAGTCGCTGATCTCTTGGCCAGGGATACATGCGAATTATCATGTATGTAAAGTTGATGTCGGTATGAAAGATTGAAAGCTCGTGAATGATGAAGAAAATATCTGGAGGGAAATTATGCGGCTCAATTTGTACTTCTCTATTTACGGCTAGCACGGGTGGGCTGGGCTTGCAGTCCCAATACAGCTAAAGGCATGTCGTCGTATCTAGACATCATCTCAGAACCGCTCAGCCATCAATCAACCTTTCTATGTTTCTGCCGTAAGTGTCGCAGGCAATTATCCTGCCTAGTGAAGCCTCTCAAGGAGTACTTACAGCCTGACGAGGGGCATAAAAAGCTGTTGCGTGCTGAGTTTGCGTTATGACAGCCTCGCATATGACGGTCAAGATCACGTTCTCGATAGAAGCTTCTCTCGCAACCTCTACGAGTGCAACGTATTTCACGACTGTGCGTTTTCACGTGCTTGCTACAATTCTCTCAGCAAAAGCGTGCGGGTAAATGGCTATACTCTCAAGAGACCGTACTTTAACATATACTTTTGTGCAAAGCTTTTCTCGCAGTTCGGCCTGGGACATGTCTTGACTAAACTGTCGTCCGGCAACTCGGATGGCTGGTGTCCGGCGACCCTCTCGATATTGTCACGCTGTTGGGGCTGATTTAGTTTGAAGGCTCCACAAGGGTTGATGGAAGACCTCTCCGCCTTAGACGATGGGAAATTAGTAAGGGGTGTGCTACTAGCTGCTGCGTAGACATTCCTACTATCGAACCGGGAATTGAGAGTGAAGTAATCAGCTGCTACTGATGAGGCTTCAAGACGAGGTAAAGACTGTGTAAGGCTATCTTGGCTCATGATGGGCGACAAGTCTGAAGACTGGGTCAGTTCAGTAGCCGGAACGAGAGTGTCGCAGCTGCCCCAAAAGGAATGTTCGGCGAAGTCATCCGTGTAAGATTCGTGATCGAAGTAACCAAAGAATGGGTCCTCGTCGGTCAGTATGGGCGTCAGATCAGAGATCGATCTCTTATCAGACCTTGCGGGCCATTGACCTTCATCTTTCAACATGAAGAAGAGTGAAGGTAAACCGAATTACCAGAAACGACTGTGTGTGGGCGAAAGCAGAATTTAAATACAGCTTCAAAGATCACGATTCGAATATTAAGCTGCCTGAAGTGGATCACATCGCTACTCCGAATAGAGACCAAGTACGGACCAACGTAACGTATGGCATGGGGCCATTTTCGAACCGATATGATTACTGGTGTGGGGTTGTTACGCTCTCTGCTCGGTATGTATTTGGAAAACTGAGTCGAGAACAGAGGATGTGCAAAGCTCTTCTATAGAAAATAAGGTGGTAAGGCTGACATGGAGGGCCTCTTTGGTCTCTGGTGGGCTGAAAATTGCCGACGGAGGGCCTCTACCCCACCTCGCCGATCCGATGTAGCCTTGCGATTAAATGCCCTCATGAATACTCGATTCGCCAGGTAACAACCATCTTGACACAGAAGCTCGATCTCATTTTGTGATCTATCTTTTCGCTCATCGTAGGGACATTGGCGCCCGGGCTTGCTTCTATGCTCTGTCGACCATGCTTGGGACGATGATTGTCTCGCTATAATCCTTTCTACACAAAATCACAGTCATCCAAGCAGCAAACATTCGATTCTCCAGGAGCAGCGTGCACAGCCCCGAGCTTAATTCTCCAAACCATACTCTCACTCACTCTAGCAACAATCAACAACAAAGTACCCGTACGCCGATACATCCCGCTCAGTCTGTGTGTCACCTGCTCTCAGACGAATCATTCAATATCGTGTACTTGTCGACAATGTCGCCGCCAATTATCCTTTCGCGAGAACCCCTCTCCCTCTTTTGAGTGCTTGCATCCATCGACCGGGCAGAGAAATGTTCGAGTGGAGGAGTGGCAACTGTTCAAGTGGCGAGCAAGATCGCGCTTTCGATAGAAGCCTTGCTGACATCCTTGAGAGGGGCATCGGATGCCGCGATCGTGAGTCTTGATGTGTTTGCTAGCAAGGTGAACTGGTCAAAAATATCTCATGCTGGAGGTTTCGTTTCAACTCACTTGAATTTGTGGCGTTGGGTAAAGAATTTGTCGCATTGAAAGCACTGTAATGAAAGAGCAGGCTGCTCCCTTGTACTGTTCACCACTGTGCTCTCTGTTTCTGTTGCCAGAATGTTCTTCGCCGAGGCAGCGCGCTTTGGGTCTTCTAGACTCTCTGTTCGATCGATTGCCGGAAAATCAAATGAGAGATAGTCCATCAGGTCAGCTGCCACAGGAGACTTCTCGACTTCTGTCGTGAAGGACTTGTCGATGTGAGGATCGTTCAGTGAAGAAGCGCTTAAGTCGAAACATAGGAAGGCATCCCAATCAAGGTCTGCGAGCGTCGAGCGTTGTGATAGTTGAAAGGCAGGGTCGTGGATGTAATCCACCCATGGAAAGTCGGGGAGGTTAGGTTGCAGCCAATCATCAACTTTAGTGTCATGACATCCAGTAGTCTGTTCTGTAGAAGGGTACTACTTCACAGGTGAGAAGCCATGACAGTCAATCTGGATGGACTGTTTACCAAAAGAAAGGCAGATGTTTTCGAGGCATTTTCTTCCAATTCCTCATCGACACCATAAAGAATCGACTTTGAAGAATCACTAAGACTACTGATATCATCTGCCTACAACTGTTGATAAGCACTGTGCTGAGCAGTGATCCTTGGTCCAAAAGCTGGTATAGCGGCAACATCTCCCGTAGATTACTAAGAGACTTGGTCTGATAAAGATCCATCCAATTCCGCGTGGATACGCAAGCCTCAGGATAGTGCTCGGATGTTTGGACCCGTTAGAGTAGAATCACAAGGGACTCTCGGCCAAAGTCCCGAACACCATCCATGTAAGTAGACCAAGTCATAGACCAGTGTCCTTGAAGCCTAGCTCAAATACCATTTGCAGAAGATGCTGTCGCTGAACATCAAATAATTGAACATCCTATCGTGGAACATCCTATGGCCTATTGGACACTGGCATTAGAAGGGGTCATCCTCAGTTCGGATCTACCCCCAGTTCGGATTTTCGCCAAAACTGCGCTGCCAAGCTGAGCAATACGCTAAGAAATCCGAACTGGGGGTTGATCCGAACTGGGGGTGACCCCTTCTACCACATCAGTATGGGTCCATAAAGAACGGTTTCCATTCCCGGAAAATTGAGAACTCCACGTACCATGAGAGGTGCAAAGACTCGTCAGAGCCAAGCACCGGACAAATCTGTGAGAAGTTAGCCTTATACTAAGAATGAAGGGGATAAGTAAAGCATGTCTTGATCAACAACTACCTTTATTGTGTAAGTATGTGGTCAGGACGAATGACTGAGCAAGTCGTTTCGGAGATAATATGGTGTTGAAATGATTTGGGACGAATATTTCGTTCGATGGGATGAAAGAAAGTAGAAGTTCGTGGAGATTAAGCGTTCTCTTGTACCCACTGATCTGGCGGGCCTCCGGAGCGGAACAATGTTGAGCCGAGGGGCGGCCTCGGAGGCCTCGAAAATCGTCACCACGAGGCTACTCCTACACTACAGTGTTTGAAAGCACCAATCATGCCAGACGTAAATAGTCTTACTAACTAGACACCATTGGATGTCGACTCCTGGCAACAGTCGGCCGTAAGGCATCGTCCATCGTGTTTCATGAAAGCCCCTTGAAAGCGATATGTCCTCAAGATTATATGACAACTCAGCACTGCAAGCAAGGTGCATGGTCCAGCTACATCTCCAGCAGAAGAAACCAATTGACTTTACTTTTGCTTTTCAACCTGTCCTTACCTTCCGCTACACGTATGTCGAGATGAACGAGAGACTCAACAACTATCAACAGACCTTTCACAGAGCTGAATAGGAACTTTGAAGTCGCCCGAGTAGCTCGTATCCATCAAACGAAGCTCTGAGATCATTGAGGAATATGTCACATTAGTGTCGGCCTGCATAGTCATCTGCAACGATTCTGCTGAACCACGCAGAGCACACCAACTTCAGTGTCTCTGGTGGATTGAGACAGATCTTGATTGGAGTATATAAAGGTATTGACACTCCCGATAGAGATCCTTAGTCAGATATTGTCCTGGTCATGTCTTGGTCCAATTGCATTGGGAGGGTCAGTTGGGATGTCTACGCAATGACGTCACAGGGCCGTTGGGTCTGAGGTCGACATCATCCTAACATTTACGACAGTCCTCTATGTCTTTGGCAATTCGGCAGCAAACGGTCTTCCCGGACATCAGACTCATACATCGTGTTGAAACAATGTAGGCTGGGTAGCGGGTCATCGAACTTGTTTCGAAGTAAAACATTTGGGGCTCAATGGGCCGTCAAAACAGTATTTGCGATACGCGAGTGTTGGCATCCGTCTCTGGTACCAACGATATTCTGGCTCAGCCTCCATAGAGCCTGCATACAGACGAGGGCTATGGGGAGGGAGGAATTGAATGTCGAAGTCGTACGGTGTCTACCGTATCAAGCATAAAAATCTGGCATTAATCCACGAGGCGCGGCGAACACGCATCCAAGAGTGCGATAATGCTCATGAACCAACATGACGGGTAGACGGTAGGCTGATGTTCATTTCATTCGAAACGAGCATGGGACAAGATCAGGTAATCTCAGGATCTTAATCGGAATCTATGTCGAAACTATGACGGTCTAGCTCATGCTCTAGTCGAGTCTTTTGGTTTGGTGGTGGAACATGCCTAACTACAGGCGGACAGATGATACTGTAGCCTATACTAAAAGCTTCCCGTCGACGTCTGTTCAGTCCATGCCTTTTGCCCATGGGTGAGGAACAGGTGATAAAAGGGCGGACATCCAGTCACCAAAATGGATCTAAGGAACCAAACTGAAGAACATGTATAGCAATATGATCGGATATAATTCGATTCTTGGTGTTTTCTTACTGGCTACTTTGCGTGTTTGGGCACAGTAAGATTGATATCCGTAAAGAAATCGTGTGATCGGCAAGACTGACTTAGCAATTTAATTGCAGGACAATCAATTCATACGAGACCTTTATTGACCGCCCAGCGTCGAGTCTGACTTGTTACGGTGATCAAGATGCTAGTGTTGATATCCTAGGCGGAGCTGCGCCTCTCGGTGGGGGACCGACGAAACCGTTGTCAGCGTTTTGTCACGAATCCCTTGCGGCTATGGAATGTGGCTACGATCGCGACCCTACGGTATGAATGCGATGTCCGCGTTGGAGGACAATATCTATTCCATGAAGCTTGAATTCTTTTTTCTGTTTCTCCACCACCAACTAATGACGTGAAATAGCATCCGTATTTTGCTTCAGTGGGATTCTGGGTCGATAGCATTCATTTTCTCTTTAACATATACGGAGGCAGTGCAACCAGCAACCGGGAACAAACCTCCGCAATTTTAGCCTGTTACACGAAATGCACCTGCACTGGTCAGAACATTGTGCGGGCTTCAACACGATACAATGAAAATGCACCTAACACAACAATCTTGTACAATTTCGACACGATGGAGACAGCGGAAGATTTTGAAGAAGATGAGCGTAGCACTCAATCCATGATCTTCTACGGCTTCGACGCGAGATATCATTACCCCCGAGATATTATGCTAACGATCCGAATCTGCCACGCTACAGGCGAGACGCTGGACAAGACGTGTTGTACGCTGCTGCGAACAACACTGACAATAATGTGATGTCTTTGGCCGGTGAGTAACGATTGTGAAGTCTCAAATGAATGGTTCCTACCAGCCGGTAGTCCATCCCTGATACCCACCCAGCTAACGACAGATCATCAGTTGTGGGCTACAAACCAAACGAGCCAATTTGTGACGGATCGACCGATCTCAGTGTAGAGTTCACCACTCCCCTCTATCATTTCATGGGGCAACACTCCGTCGACTCCACACCAGCAAATCCAACCGAACTCTGCGCGCACACCCTCTATGGTGGCAAAGAGAAGAGCAACCTCGGCGCCGTCTGCACATTACCAGCAAACGCACAGAACGCCAGGCGAACCCTATCCATCAACACCATCCGCAAATCCCCGCAATACACAACAGACTACTACTCCTCCGCACTCGTACCCACTCTAGCAACCCAATTATTCGAAACCTTTTGCTTCTCCGCCTGCCATTGCTCCGGAGAAGACGAAGATGAGCAGCAGAAGAGGAAAGACGCATGGACCCAGCTCGCTGGCAAAGTAAAACAAGCGAATTCTGCAGAGAACAAAGGTCAGTGATTCCCTCCCCCATTCCCCATTCCCCACCCTCTTCCCATCCCCCCTTTCCTCTTCCTCGCAACCCTCCCAACTACTGTCATCAAAGTCCACCCCACCCCAAACCCTCCACCGCTAACCCCCCCACTCCCTACACAGAAATCCAAGCCGAAGACACCGGCGCCACGGAAGCGCAACCCCCGGCAGCCGCCCTCGACGCCAGCCCGCTCCCCGGCAGCCCCCAAGACGCCAGCGCCCTCCCCCCCGCCGGCAGGCACGCAATCAGCCGCCCCTTCCGCCGCCTCCCCTTCTTCCACGTCCTCCACTTCCATGACATTCAACCAGCAACAATGCGCGCTCAACAACAATGGCGGCACGTGCCCGAACTGCAACACGGGGCAGAATTGCACGGCGAATTCCGACTGCGGTGGGGGAGGGAGTGGGGGAGGGGGAGGGGGTGGATGCACGTGCGCCGTCGCGCCTAATCAGCCCGTCAATAATTTCTTGAATTATCTTGCCCCCGTGCTGTTGGCTTGTGCGGTGCAGGTTTTTAGTAATAATGGTGGGAATGGGGGGAATGGGAAGAGGGACTTGACGGTAGCGGGGGCGGGGGCGGGGGCAGGGAAGGGGGAAAGGGGGGAAGGGGAGAAGTGCAATACTGTGCCTGCAACTCGACGTATGTGAGCCAGGGGTGCTGCGAGATGGATATGGGAGACGGGATTATTTGGGAGGGGGGGGGAGGAATATTTTGGAGTTTCCCGGGTTGAGGATTAAAGGGGTTGATGAGGAGTAGAGACTTGGGATCTGTGATAAGCTAAGTTTGCGGGGGATGGTGAGAGTAGAAGAAACGGAAAGAATGTATGTATGATTTGGTGCTTTGTTCCAGAGGAGAGAGAGAGAAGGACTAGGGAGCTGCTTTGCCAACGGATTGAACGGATAATTGAGGGATGTAGATACTCCCAATCGAAGAACTGGATAAGGCTCAGTCCTGGACTAGACCAGACCATCGTGATCTCGAGAGTGGCGAGAGAAGGGCACGCTGTCGTTAGTGACTTTAAAACCGAAGCTGTCAGATCGCTACTGAGAACAGATCAGCGAAGTATCGAGCACGTGCTTGCGGAATATGGATGGATGTGGGATTGTGTCAGAAAGCCACTGTCCAGCCCAGGCGCTGAATTGGAGAGGATGATAGAATGCGAGTGAGTGGTGGAGATGGTGGTGCAGTAGCTGATGGCCAGAATGCTGGCTACGGGTTAGGCGGCTATTCGAATTTGCTCAGTTGCGTGTGACGGCGACTTTGGTACGGCTCGTAGGAAAAGAAAGAGGGTCTCGCGAAAGTGGGAGGGTTCTTTCGACGATGATCGTGGCGTTGGGCCAAGCCATGGTTGATATTCGGGTGTACGTCGGCGTACGTTTTATTTGATGTATTCGTAGATTTGTCCAAATAGCTCACCAATAGACGAGGATATGAAATGTATTCGTCGGCACAATGACAATGGAAATTTCAAGCCGGAAGACAATCGAGATTTTTGCGAATTGACGAAGAGGTGTTGAGCCATGGTGATCGCGAAGATATATATACCGTTTACCTCTAAGGCATACCTGTACGATAACCCCGTCGTAATCAGAGGATCCGTACACCGGCCGGTAAGACCATCCACCTCATGCCAGTGACAGAGTTAACTTTTGCGAAGTGCTGGCTTCAAAGCCTCTAGTAAGTCTAAGTATCCTAGGAGAGTCGAGGCAGGCATTCTCCCAAGTTGATTGCACCCAAGGAATGAAGACACAGGACACACATGACACAAAATACAGCAGGAAATGTTCCAGCTGAAATATTAGTCCATTTTTTCCCGATAAGAGAGGCCTTTTCTCCCACGAGACGACTTTTTTGGTGTCGTAATGAAGCCAATCTTCCCCTCTCACGCTCAATGAGGCACACAATCAATAAGAGCCCTCCCACCCACGAGCGAGAGTCTTGCCAGGAATATGCTCTGGCTGGAGGCCCCAAAAAAGAATTCAAAGTGGCCGAAGTTGCGGTATAAAGGAACACTACTCTCCGTGACGAAGAGGCGTTGCCATTTGAAAAGCCAAAAAGGATAGCGTCATTGAACCAGTGGTGTTCGACCTCTTGAACGGGTTTATTCTGCTCCGAGGTCTCATCTAAGCTTAGCTTCGCATGAGCATAGTATGTGATGTCAGCTCCGTCGGCTGAACGAGATAATTGCTAATGAACGTGTTGCGCTGGACCAGGGATGATTTTACCTCTCACGACATTACTGTGGGCGTAGTTTCCCAAATATTGTTCACGTACGAGACCGGTCAGAAATGTGATTCGAGCTTTACAAAGAGTCTTCATCGCTTCGAATTCTTCGTCGCACTTGTCCGGTCATAAGTATCTTATCATGATTGGCTGAGGGTCTCTTGCGTTCCGCCTCGAGCATTGCATATGCTCTTAGTAGATGACTTTGAAGCGCTCTGAATCTCGAAATTGATTATCAATTCGCTCTGTAAAGCTGGAGACCACTTTTGCGTGGAGCCCCTTGCTTATAACCATGCTAAGGGTTTATTGGAAATGACGGTTGCCTTTGCATCAACAGGGAAGCTTTGTCAGCTCGTGGGAAGGAAAATATTTGGACCAAGTAGATGAGATGGCATGGGCTGAGGGATTTGAATACAGTAGGGTTGTAGCTCGATGAATGCTGTTCCTGTACCTCGCAGATCAAGGGTCTCTGGGCTTGTCCGCATTGTTTCCCATTATTTAATTCAGGCTCCGCACAATACACATAGCTCTATCGTTCTCACAAACAACATGGCCATCTCGAGGCAGGTGTGAGCTTTCGACGCTCATACTCGGTATGCAGCATTGCTGAATTGGAGCGAGATTCATATGGATGATAGATGAAGTACTAGTAAGCAAGGTGGTGTTCCGCACAAGCATTCCTCTATACTCAAAAGGCTGAGAGAGAATAATTAGAGCGTCCTTGTCAACATGTTCAACTGCTAGCGCACTGATATGCTGGATGTAATGTACGAAAAGTAGCCTGAAGGCCAATTATTGCTGTCCTGTCAGCTCTGGCCTCCAAGGCTCATCGCCCGTGAGTTCTGGTATAGGCAGAGCTGACTCCTCAGATAGCTCTGGCTTTCTAGGAGTGTTGTCTGCAGGAGCTTCTACTCTTTGCGGTGTATCCTTCCCATGGAGTTCCGGTTTTTGGTAGACATCTGTAGATGCGGCTGATATGACACGCCGCCTGTTCCTCCACCTGCCAAGAGCTGTAGTTCCGAGAGCTAGTAAGAAAACTGGAACTCCGATCGCAATACCAACGACAGCGTCTTTCGACAGGCGGTGGTGACGTTCTATATTTAGCACAGGTGTCCTTGAATTGGTTTGATTCATTAGAATAGGATCTATTGAAATGATGTTCTGTTTAGTATTTAGATCTGGGTATAAAGCCTGATATACTGAGAAATTTCTACGTTCAAAATCTGCCACCAAGTAGGCACTCTGAAGAAACGCTCTGCCGAGCCTGTACTGAGTCGAGTTGGTTGCTTGTCTCAACGGGAAGTAGTGAGAGCCGTTGCCCTTGCTAGGAACGGAGTCGACTAGATCGAAGCTTTTGTAGGGCATCGTGATGTTGAATGTCTGGCCGGCGCTCGAAGGATCAGCATTCAGTGTTAGAGTTGTATTCGGATTGCTCGAAAGAAGCGCGTCATGCGTTGTGTCGTTCGTGAAGTAGAGATTCCTCGATTGGTTGTAAAACAGACCAAATGTGGATTCGAAAGCTCGGCATACGTCTACCGGCAGCCACATTTCAGATATCAATGAATCAATCAAGGCATAGACTTCCTTAGTCATGAGGGATGTTGTCGAAAGATCTGTATGAATGCTTTGTAGATTGACTAAAAGTTCCCGATTTATATCTGAGCTGAAAGGAAAGGTCAAGTTGTGAGCAACGAAGCGAGAGTCGTCAAATCCTCCGAGGATCAAGCTACCGAAAGCAGGTGGTTCTGTGTACCATGCTCCCGCAGTATAGCCCCAGCTAAGACTTGGAATTGCATTTGATGATTTCAGGCTCGAGAGGAAGCTGGGTGTCGAATTTGAGAATGAAGTGATGTTGATAGCGTTAGGCCCTAGACCAATAGTCCCAAGGAAAAAGTCTTTAGTAGCAATGCCTTCGATGACCTGGTGTTTTATCAAAGGGACCGAGGGATCTGTTCCAACTCCCAGTCGAACTTCGTCAAAGCCGAAACGAGCATTGCCACTCAAGCGAAGAGGGCCAGCCGCAGAAAGTCCGAGTTCAAAGAGACCAATCTCAGACCACGTAGAAGATTCGTTCACTTTGAATATAGTACCTCGAGAATCTGGACACGTTGTTGAGTCGCGAGCCGTGCATCCTTCTGGAAGAACTGGCCAGATTGCGTTTTCGGCAGTGGAGGGCAGGAGCCTCTTTGCTTGAGGGGGTTGCCGATACTGACCCAAAAAGTGGACCATCTGCCGTCGTCACCCTCCCTGCAAAGATCAGCTTCATTACCATTAAACTTTCCTTTGCCACTCACCAGTATTGAGATGGAGGAACAACTAGAGGAGAAGGCAAGGAGGTGGAGCTGCTGAAGAAGAGTAGATGGATCAAAGCGATTTTTAAGGTAGTAAGAGGTATGGCACCAAAGTGAGGAAACATATGCAGAGGCAGTGAGTGAGTCTCAATAGAGGTGTGTAATGAATCATCAGAGTTGGGTATGGTGAGATGCGCTTAGAATTCTACATGTTGAAGAATATGCCCGTCTTTCTCGTCGCACAGTTACTCTAATGAGACAAGGCTATGTCTTCTCGTTAGCGGCTCAATTCGTAGCTTATAGGGTTCGAGATTTCCTAAACTTGATTGATCATTAGCGATTTCGTCAGCTGAGCATCTGAGGACGTCAGCGAATGAGTTTGAGAAATAATAGGTGTAAACCAGTTTGAGAGGTCAAAGGTTGGTATCCTAAGGAAGAGCAGTAGGGTAATAGTCCGTCTCGAGTGAGGCTTAGCGAGTGTCGGCAATTTTACGAGAATCCTGCAGAATCTCATGCATGTGACTTGCAGACAGCTCAGGGGTGGTGGGGGTGCAGCTCGTATGCAGCCAAGAAGCGCAGCACCAGTACCTACTCCGTCAAGCTGACGGGCTTCGAGGCTATTGATTCGAGCTTTCAGAAATGAGAGAATCGCTCTGCAGATTAGCACTGCCCAAAGTACCCAAAGTTAGTAATGCCCTCCTTAAAAGTCTTCTCGGCAGTACGATATAGCGCGATAATGGCGACAAGGCGTCCGGCTGTATCCACTTTGACAAGGCAGTAGAATTCAGAGGGAGCGCATTTAATGCAAGTCCTCCCACGGTTGTATCTCATGTTCTTCATAACGATACGGTTCTGAGACAAACCCAACCACGATGCGCTGGAGCCCCTTTGCCTGGGCCATTGTTGTCAGACTAGGACTCGCTGCAGTCCCTAAGAGAGATCAATTGACGACAAGTCTGCCTGCAAGCAATGGCTTCATTAGGCCCAGCCTTGGCCTCGACAGGTCAAAAAATTGCTCTGTGAACTGCCAGTCAGACCAGTTGGCTATGACAAACTTTCATTGGCTGGAGGCCACAGTTACGGAGACGATCATAGCCGAAACGATAGTAACTATCATTAATCCCCAGAAGAACCGCTCGAGGGTAACAACAGTGGCGAATCCAGAGATGAGGCTCAGGAACATCACTAAACCGACAAATGTGAACGATGATGGTTTTCGTACGGAAGTCATTCCATACGGAAACATGAGTATGACGGTGTTAGTCAGTCAAAGGCATCGTACTGCAATGGAGCTGACACGATGCAATAGGGCCTTTCCTTCGACAGTCGATGATTATCCCACAGGATATCGGCTAAGCGGCCGCATACCAACAACGATAGAAGGAATCTCGACTTGTTTGAGTATTGCAAAGAGCGTTGGCCAAGCTTTCACATTCCCCTCTCATCCGCAGCTTTCCCAGACAGCGAGCATTCCAGACACGCCAAGGTACAAGCAGGACCCAAAAGGATTGACCTACTTGATGATCGGCGAGGAAGTCGCCACAGATCCAGCATTATTAATAAAACCTTTTTTTCCGGACAATCCACTTTGGCAGTGTGGTTCAAATGTTTCTTCGATAGTTTCACCAGATCTGTTCTCGGAGACTGCCCTTTTCCTCACCGAGACATCAACGTCAACAGAGAATGATGACGACGATGACGATACGTGGACAGAAAGAACTGAACTCCAATCAAATGTGCCATCCTCGCGAAGCACGGAAGTCTTTGCTGCAGAAAGCCCGTCTATCGACATAAAGCCTTCCGAAAGTTCAATCACAGCGCCTGCGGTTCCTGCAGGAACTTTGGCGACAGCAGTTGCAGCGAAGACTGGAGGTCCCAACGTACAAGATAATAACCCGAGCTCTCTTGTGGATATCGATACACAAGCTTTACCAGACACTGTCGACGATAGTTCAGACTCACCGAGTGCAGACTCCGGTATTGGCAAGACTGCTGATGCAACGACAATGAGTGAGACTGTTGAACCAAAGAAGCACTCGATCGACGGAAACGTCGACAGTGCTGTGGAACCAGGTATTGGTTTCCTCAGGACACCGGACGGCCCCTCAGCACCTGCCGTATCATACAGCCCTTCAGCGTTGGTTACATTCAATGGCCAAACACTTACCCAACTTTCTCCATCACAATTCATATTACAAGCCCACACCCTTGATCTACCAGTTGCCACCACCCTTGGTTCAGCTCCTGATTCTACGCCCATCGCGATACAGATGAAAGGGAATGATCTCGTTTTCTCTGTGGGCTCATCATCGACAGAAGTTCCACTTAATTCTGTGCCAACAGACACTCCGCTGGGCTTCCAATTCGGCACCAAAGCACTCACACCAGACAAAGAAGGGTTTATCATGATAGCTGGACAGACTGTAAAGCCAGGAGGGTCCGCCATTCATGCTCAGGGCACGTCCATCTCTTTGGCTTCAGATGGAAGTGCTGTAGTGATTGATGGTAGCACACAAAGTATTACTCGGCTCGGAAACCCCACCGCAGCAGCAGTGGCAGCGTTTGGGGATGATCTGATAACCTCAAATTCCCGTGGCGAGTACGTTGTCGGTGGAAAGACTGTAGCTGCTGGAGCACCAGCAATAGAAGTTTCGGGCACGCCTATCTCGCTGGCTTCAGATGGAAAGTCAATCATCGTCGGGGACAAGACGCAAACACTCCTTACACCCAACGAGGTAGCGACAATTATGGCTTTGAAAGTTGGCGGCCAAACAGTGCAGCAAAATAGCCAAGGCCTCTATGTGGTCGACGGGCAAACAGTCAACCCAGGAGCGCCTGCCATTTCTGTATCGGGCACACCCATCTCGCTTGACCCAGCTGGCAGTGAGGCTGTTGTCGGCGGAGTCACGCAAACACTGTCGCCTATGCAGACACCATCTGTAAGTCTAAAGCCGCTAGTATTCGGCGACCAAACGATCAGACCCGATGCCCAAAGTCGCTACGTGATCAAGGGGCAGACGCTCACACCTGGTGGAGCAGTCACCGTTGATGATACGATAGTCTCATTTGCGCCAAACGGCTCAGAAGTTGTTGTGGGGACAAGCACAGAAAGTCTCAATAACCCGAGCTCGAGTGCATCTAGCGGTCGGAACGGTTCGAGTAATCCGAGTGGTGTGATTGGGACTCAGCCTTTTGTTGAAAATAGCGCCGCGGGAAAAGTAAGCCTGGAGGCATTCATCCTCGTGGCGATCGTAATGTGCAGAATGATAGTTTAGGAATGGCAAAGGATGTCGGATGTTGAGTACTTCGAGCGGTCTCTGAAGATCTTAGTAGATGCATACTATACACTCTTTACCCGCATGTGAAGCTCTACACCCACGGCTTTCACTTGACGAAATGGAAAGTGCCCATTCAGCCGTACTGTGACAGACGTTTCTCTGACGGGCATATTTCACGTAAGGCGTGCGCATCTCGCACAAACTGTCAAGGATGCTTAACTCAGTCTGTCACACGTAGCACGGGATAAGGTATGGCAAGCAAGCCACTCATAGTCATCCCGACTTTGTTGATAAGGTCTCCAGGGCTCTGAGAAACTCCATCCGCATTCCAGCGAAGTCCCACGTGCCCCAAAAGTTACTGGGGACTGCTGGAAGCCGTCCACCAAACGGTTTGATGCACGCTCAATCCATGTATCCGGCTATTGGACGAATATTAGAAAAGTCTAGAACATCTCAGGTCGATGCGTGCCTGCTCGGCTCAGCCTTGTGCCTCGGTGACGCCCGTCAGGCATAGGTGCATGAAACTAGACTCTCAAGGACAGATCGATGACGAGATAAGAATATAGTTTTCCCAGAGGTTTGTCAAACGGCTATCGCTTCTGCCATCTCAACATCGCCGCAGTCGTTGCCGCAGACACTTTGACGATTATTGCCTTGTTTGTGTTTAGTGGCGTTTCTCATTTTTCTGCCTTACCAGATCCCACAAGGCTATCACCTGCTGAAGATATCTTCACACATGCCACGTGGCTAGCGAAAGGTACAAAATCTGCGATTTGTTCGCATAAAGCTTCTGGACGTTCTTCGAAGGATCATGCAGTAGTGTAGCCGTTACCGAGCGTAAGGCGAGGCTGTTTTTTTAGAGCAGCCAATGGCGGGAATGGTATTCAATGAGTCATCAAGGATATGTAACGCTCTGCAAGTATCAGCTGTGCCTTGCTTACATTTGAGACGGGAGAAGTGCCCTACTGTGGGAAACATAAGTAGGCTGGCAGTGATCTGCACTTTCCTCGAAATGTTGAGAGAGTGGGCAATCAACCTTCGGATCTGAGCAGATCCTGCGCTGCCAACACATCCGTATGCTACTTGGCGAAAACCCGATACTGCAACATGGTCGCTCCGTCAGCGTTCGATATCATAGAGTCTGCTCCTATCGAATGGAGGTGCGACCTTTTGACCTTCTCATTTGGCTATCACCATTCTGACAGACCGTTTCAGGCCATGTGAGAGAGAAGTCGCGATCGGCTTTGTAGCAATAGTCTTCTACATCTTCCTCGACATCAATGTCAGCATCCACCGTGTGTTTCGCAAGAAGACCGGACTATACTTTTGGTCCATCTTGCTCGGAACTTGGGGTTGCTTAATTGATCGCATCGCCGTCATCCTTCGTTATTTCGTGCCCCACTCTCAACCCCTCTGGCCACTTTACACGCTCTTCATTTTGCTGGGATGGACAATCTATGCCCCAGCACAGTTGCTTGTCCTTTACTCACGCCTGCATCTCATCAATGAATCGCTCGTCGTCCGTCGATGGGTGCTCGCTATGATCATCACAGTCGCAACTCTGATGATCATTCCAACCTGGCCTTTGGTCTGGCATGGCTGGAATCCATATGATCGTCGAGCCTCCGCGCTGTACTCTCCCAAGGAGGCAATCATGGAGCGCTTCCAGCAAATTAGCTACACAGCGGCTGAGCTCGTCATTGGCGGAATATACATCTCCAGTCTGAGCCGCCATCTCAGAATGAAGCCGAATGTCATTCATAAACGAGTCATACGTGACCTCTTCTACGTGCTCATCATCGCCGTCGTGCTTGATATTGTCACAGTAGTGATGGTTTTCTTCAACCATACGGGGATGAATCATGCCATTCAGGCTTTCTCATATATACTGAAGCTGAAGCTAGAGTTTGTGGTCCTTAATCAGCTCAAGAATGTTATTGCGCCTCACCGAATTCGCAATTCGGCAAGACGGTATCATCATCCGGATGCCTTTGGTATCTTCCAGATCTCGGAGTCTGAGAAGGCGAAGAAGACCAAGAGATGGGGACTGGAGAGATGGTGGAGTGATGAGAAAAGTGAGCATTTAGAGAAAGAGGTGATTGTACCTGCCATGCCGGACGAGGCCAGGTTGAAGGGAGATGTTAATGGGGTACGAGGAGGTGTTTGGCCTGTACAGGTGAAAGTCAAGCAGAAAGCTAGAAGAGACGAGTTCGGGGATATTATCGAGGATGACATTGAGGAGGTTGAGCTGAGAGTGGTCAATGGGACGCGCGAGGATAATGTGTAAAAAGATGTATTTGGTAAGGATGAGAATTCTTGGCGGCATCTGCTTCTGGTCAGCTTGATCCTGTAGTAAACAATTGTATGGCCATTGGGTCTGGCACGACTACAGAGTAAAGTGAACATCTTGAAGTTGTCTAGTCCTACCAAATTCCTTAGTCACGTTTTCTGCGTCCTTACGTTCCTACATACAAAGGAGGCTCGTCGAAGACATTTCATGGTCCTACAGATCTCAAGCATTGTGTCCAGCCACTAGAATTCTTTGCATCGTCATGGCACTGAACTCATCACCCATTCTTATTCCAATGCCAACGTCAATGGTTGCCGTCATGCGTGAGGGCGTGAGATCCTATCGAATTGAGGCCTTCACAAGACTGATATTCAAGCCCCTCCACCAGGATTATGGACCGAGTCGGTATTCCGAGGTGCAGCGCCATTTCGATAGGAAAATGAAGCAGAAAATTAGTTTTGGATGGCAAAGTCTGGCTGTTTCGGCCCGACAATTTTCCGGTCTCAATCACAATTCCGAGCGACAGACTCCCTCTCTCGCTTACTCTGTCTCAATTTCTTCATTCACATCTCAGGACACGCTTTCAACTCCGCGAGAGTGCCGTCGCGTTGTGTTGTAGTTGGAGTCTTACTGCATTGGCTCCTACAACCTCGATCATGCATTCCAAGACAATATCCAAGCGACCCAGTGTCCATACGATTGATGTCAGACATGCGTCTTCGCCTCGACGTTGCTTTATCATTTAATGCCTCTTAAACTTCTGTTCATCAAGTCTTCTACTCGAGAAGAAGACGCGTCAATTGAATGGCGGTCTCACGCTTGCTGCTCGCACTGTCCCTCCTAGTCTTTTGCCCTACTCATCGAGTCACAGCAGATGCCGCCTCCGAACCTCCTCTCAGTGACTCCTCATCCGGCCCTGCTAAGATCCTGTCTTTGACCAACGACTCCTCGGCGATGACAGACCTCGGGTCCGATCAAGTAACGTGCTACGACACCCCCAAATATTACCCTCCAGTCAAACTCCGAGACTGCATAGACGCAGTGTACTCCACGGGAAGAGCGCAGGCGCAAGATTTTATACTCCCTAGATATTGGAAGACTCGGGAAGAAGAGGGTTCCGGTGTCAATGTACCTATCTCGTGGCACTCAGGCCGATGCTACATGGTCATTGGCAGTCCCCTGAGGAAGGCGAGGGAAGGTTTCTCGCTCGTCCAGGCTGCATATTACGCTAGCCTGGTTGTGCAGGAGTGCGTGCTTATCCAGAAAACACCGTTAGGTGGAAGATTCGCGTTGCCAGACAACAAGTTCTTTGTGGAGATTACTGGGAATATGGGGGATTCGTCGCTAGCGAGCGCGAACATTACAGCGAAGTAGGAGGCAGACGTGAATACCACAACAGTGGCCATCATTGGGTCCACAAGCCTTGTTCTCATACCGTTCGTCAGGCGTCCTTCTTTATGCTTTGCAGGATCTCCAACAGATTATCAATCATCACAATAAACAAATGCGCCGAGACTGCCGTTAATAAATGCCACCTAAAGGATGATTAGCCCACTACGCCAGCCTGATTTCCATACAAAGACCCCTTACCATCCATGAAATTCAATCAAATACCCCCAAGGCAGTCCAATCTCCCTCCTCCAAGCCCTCAAATACCCGCACGCCAGATTGTCCACACCCCACAACACGAAACCGGCGAGCGCAAACCCTAATAATTGTCAATCCATACACCCATCTACGGCTCTGAAAGAATCTACATACCTTCAGCAATCCTCCCCACCCTCCTCACCCTCCTCCTTGCCTCCCCATCACCCAACTTCCCTAACAATCCTCTCACCTTCACAGTCCCAAAAGCAATCATACCCGCAAAAACCACGGTATGAATAGCAAGGATATTCACCACGCAGTGGAAGATCGAGAACCCTACCACAGCAGCTCCGATCAGCAGGCCCGTCTGCCTCTGCTGGGCGACAGGCTGCTGAAATGTAAGCAGGCGATACAGCACCAACGCCGTTGCCACGACCATGGATAGGCTATCGCCCAACTGGAGCCGTAGTTTCAAGGAGCCATGGTAGAGAGCTGACAAGATACCGACGGCGAGGAGGCCGAGGTGCGGCAGGGCGCTAGATGGGCGGAAGTTACTGCGGAAGATACCGTAGATGGAGATGATGACTGCGGACCCTCTAAGCGGGATTGGCAACGAGAGGTGTCAGGGCCGTCACTTACTGTATAGAATATTGGAGAGTGTGTTGATGTACTCAGCGATATACGGGGTGATGATATAGTCTTCCTCGCACCAACTGTCAAGCAAAGCTTCGTGAGCAATGTTTTCGATCTATCTTGGAGACGGAGGTGGTCAAGGGATGGCTCAAATTACTTCTCTGTTGCTGTGCTTGTGCCCCAATAGGGAGAGTACGGCTCCGTGGGATATGGGCTTGAGAACATGATAGGCTTCTACAGTGGCCGAAATTCTTACATCTCTGAGTCCAGGATGGATGAAAAGGGTGTTTTGGGTGTTTTGGCGGCGTAAACAAAAAGGGAAACTTTCTGAAATGTGCGCAAAGGCTGCGTTGATGCTGTCATGGAAGGACTCTGAAATGTGATTTGAGGATCTTCATCATTCAGCCATTGCTGCCTGACTAGTCATGTTGCATCAACCAAGATAGCTAGGTGGATGGGGCGCCAGACTTCCTGATATTCTGTCGTTTCGTTGTGATTCTTATTTAGGTGCTCATCCTCTTACACCCATCTCTGATGGCGATGGCGACGGCGACGGCAACAGCTCGTCGCTCAAAAGATTAGAAGCCCGGTAAATCATAACCAATCCACTCACAAACCCACAAACCAACAAAGCTGCCCGCTCCAATGAACTCCATGCCCACCCCTTACCATATATGAAACAGCAACTATCACCACAATGCCCGCAATTCCCTACCCAAAACCCAGCTCTACCCACCCCCACCCCCATCCCCCCTCAATGACCCAAATCCCCTTCCTCCCCGGTCTCCCCTACTTCGGAACCCACCCCTTTCCCTCCACCTCTCTCACGCCAAAACAAACCCACGATTTCCCCCAAGCCAACTCGCACTTCTTCCGGCTCCCATACGAACTCCGCTCCGCGATCTACACCGCCGTCTACCCCACCCCGACCTCCACCAGCACCCTCTTCCCGCCGCCTAGATCCGACCCAACCCTGCACATAGTCCTCGGCGGGGGCGGGGGCGGGGGCGGGGGCGAGTTGCTCTACCACGAATGCGACGCTCGCGTCTGGACGAGCGTGTGTGAGGAGAGATGCCATGGCGGGGAGGGAAATGAGGAGGGGGAGGTGTGGCCGGTTCCAAGGCCGGCGAATAGGCTGTTAGTGAAGTTGTTGGGGATTTGTCGGAGGATGTGAGCCCCCCCTCCTTTCCTTTCCCCGTTTTCCATCCCCCTTCCCCTTTCCCCTTGCCTCTCCCTTTTCTCCTACTATCAAATCCTTTACCCCCCTTCTTAATCTAAACAATCACAGCCAAGCCGAACTTCTCCACCACCACTACCTTACCCACCCACCTATGATCTCCTCTATCGTGACGCTGATATCCTTCTCTCACGCCCTCGCACGCTCTCCGCTCGCTTCCAGCCTCTTGACGACACTGCATCTCAACATCACGTACCCGTACCCCCCGCACCCCGCGCACGCGTTCGAGACGGTGCCCGTGCGGGCTGCGCTACGTCGCCTCACCTGTTTAGAGAAACTGTGGTTGTATCGCCCCGGCTTGGCTGTGGGGGAGGCGAAGGTGAGGGATTATGGTAGTGTTGGGAGGAGTTCTGGGGAGGGGGAGGTGGAATGGGCGATAGGGGAAAGGGTGGGCGAAGTGCCAATCAGCGAATCAGCTGCGGAAGTCGTGAAGGCCTGTATGGCGTGCACGAAGGCGCGGGTGTGGGTAGTGTGGAGTGGGGAGGAGGGTGCCGCTGCGCAGGTTGTGCTTCATTCCCCGCTCCTACTGAAGGAGGAGCAAGGGAGGGGGGAGGAGAGGTTGGTGCTAGTCTGTTGCTCGCCCCGGTTCGATTTTGGGTGCGGGGGAGATGACGATAGTATTGTACCTGAGGATTCGGCTAGTAACATCGGGGTCGGGGACAGCAGGAGGAAGCTTTGGGAACGAGCTGCTTTTATCTTTGAGGAATGATGGATTAGACGTCTCTTCATTTTCTACAAGAAGTCTTCGTAGTTACGAACTACACAATTGCAGACTCGTCAATCCCATGGGTTGCGGTCACGAAACGACTGGCTGCCGTCGAAAACGAAGAGGGGGACGACCAAAGGTTGCAAGTATGCGCCCCGTCAGGCGAGCGAAACATTCAGTTCGATGGCTCTGTTCTTTTGTAAGTGTCACTTCCAATCCATCATCAAACCTGCACACAACCACGCGGCACGAGGAGTGATACTCATTCGTAGACCTCCTCAACGCAAAGTGTTAAATTTGATAATGTCCTTCCATAGACCTTGCAAGCCTTCAAACGCCACATTACTCATCCCATCATCATTCTTGTCATTGCAAGATTTCTACGCAAATTCCACTCATCACTTCCCAACAACCTGGCCACTGGCTTGCAAGTAGCGCGGGTTCAACTCAACCAATCTCGGCATCCTGAAGAACTTCTTGGGGCTGTCAAGACCGGTAGACCGAATCGGTAGATATTGTTCATGCAATGGTAGAAATGCTTCGAATCGCATTGCATAGAGAGGACACTCATGGCATGATGATAAGGGAGTTCTTATAGGGAGAGTTAGAGGGACCCCTCGGACCTACGGGGGCTTGGTCCCCGGGCCGAGATCTAGAGTCGCTCAGGCGCAATCCTTCGTCCGTGAGTCACTCCTTCCCCACTCATCAATTCAAGCATCAGATTTTCAACCGCCGCGATACAACGCGCATAGCATACATGCATCGAAGTCGCAGCTACCGTTTCTTGGCTGTGGATGGCGCCTTTGTGTGGAAAGCTTCAGGTTGCCGTGACTC